GGGCATGTGTTCAATTCGGTCCAGATTGTTACAGGTGCTAATCTCCGGAGATTAGACATCAAGAATGCCACAAGATGGCAGTTCGCACTGGGCATTAAGAATGGTCAGTGTTTTCGCCATGGTTTTGACATGAGGGGCCGCGCAAAACTTAACTGCATTAATGATATGCAGCGGGAGATGGTCAAGTATGTGCTGGTAGGCACACAGGTTGACGTAGCAGGCTCCCCCGAGGTCGCGCAGGACGTAAAGTCGGTGCAGTGCGAACAGTGTGGAAAGTATAGGGCTCTTCATCCGCAGGATGCAGCCAACCCAAGGCTAGAGCGACCTAGTTACCACTTCAGCTGTTCTAGCATGCAGGGTCTGACTTGTCAGTCAGATGACCCTCCTCAGCCGGCAAGGATCTCGTCCTTTATGGAGGCGCAGGTCCGTCGGGTTGCGGCTGATCATTGGTATGAGACGCCGTACACGTTTGTGTATGAGATTGTCCGACCAAGGTCCGACCGCGTCCATCCTCTTCAGACCGACCTACCTGGTCAACCAAGGGAGGACCAAATTTCTCCATGGTGTGCCCTCAGGGTCCCAGGAATGCGGGTTAAGCATTTTCGGTGGGATCAGTCACGTCCTATACGCTTACCCGTCGGCTTTACGGGTTCTGTTCGCTTTAGGAAGCGCAACCCCGAGGATTGCTCACAGAAGTACGATCAGTGCCTCAGGCGATCGGAGATAATGAATGATATCCTCGATGGGTATGATATAAACCGTGTGGAGCAGGAGGGCTCGCACCATGTGCGTCTAGTGCAGAAGGAGTTGACAGCCAGGGAGGTCTTAGAATACGAGGCTGATCCGGGTTTCGTCAAGAGTGACCGCAAGGAGTTTCAGTCCTTTATTGATGAGCAGGTTTGTGTGCCTTGTGATCGCCCGGGTGGTAAGTTCAACCTCATGAAGTTGAGGATGGTCAGGACCTTTAAGCATGAGGATCCAGAGGATTCCAAGAGAATTACTCGCAACAAGTCGCGAGGCGTCTTGGTGGGTTGTGGGGACTTGAGACTCACGTCCGGCCTGCAGGTGGATGCGCCTACAGTGCAGACGTCGAGTCTTCGCGTACTACTGGCATCCGCAAGGCAGCGGGGCTGGTCGCCGCGGACTTTTGACGTCCCTACGGCTTTCCTCAAGGGCGAGCTCCCGCCGGGGGATCAGGTTTATTTTGACCCACCACCTCTCTTGGCTGAGATGCTGGGGTGTCGCCCGGGGCAGGTTTGCCGGGTGACAAAGTCGGTCTACGGTCTAGCTGATGCTCCGAGGCTCTTTTATAAGGCGGCCCGGGAGTACCTTCAGGAGATTGGGTTTGTGACAAGTAGAGTCGACCCCTCCCTCTTTTTGTACTATACGGAAGAGGTTTCTAAAGATGAGGCCGCTCAGGCTCAGTTTGAGGAGGCCCGGGCAAATATAAGAAATTCAATGAGTGGGCTACATGCTCATAGCCTGCTGAGCTATTTGCCTCAGGACTTGCGTGGTCGTACCCTTCGGGGGGCCGTTGGGTTGCATGTCGATGACGGCCTGGCTGTTGGTGACAGCTTTTTCTGGCGCGAGGTGATGCCTAAGTTCACTCAGAGGTGGGGCATAAAGGAGGTGAAGGATGCCCCTTTCAAATATCTAGGGGGAATTCTTTCAGTCTGCCCCTCGACAGGAGACTTTCTGTTAGATTATAGTCACCACGCGGAGAAGCTCCGTCCGGTCTCTGTGCCTAAGGAAGTGGATCAGCCTGAAGGGCCTAAATCCACGGACCCAGTAGGTAAGGCGATTCACCAGGAGTTTCGCTCCCAGTTGGGGACTCTGATGTATATTTCAGAATTCGGCAACCCGCTGATCAGTCATCAGACTAACGCACTATCGTGCGCGGCTGGCTCTCCCACATATGCTGACCTCATTGAGTTGAATCAAGTAATTCGGAAAGCTCAGGCGCCGATCGTGATTCGAATGAGAAAGATACAGAACCCGAAGATAGGTTTGTACTCAGATGCCTCTTTTGCCACAGGCAGAAAGTCGCGCACTCCCGCAGGTAGGTTGGTGACTCTCATGAACACTAAGCCTCTTGATGGGACAGAGGACGCGGAGGCTACTCTTCTCTCTTGGAAGAGTCAGTGCCTTCGCCGTGTGGTACGTAGTACTCGCGCAGGGGAAACCATGTCAGCCGTAGAGGCCCTTGACATGGGCGAACTTGCTCGCTACTTGTTCGCAGAACTTACAGGTCGTATATTACCTATACAGCTACTTACGGACTGCAAGTCCCTTGTAGCAAATTTAGTAAAAATAAGTCCTCCTCGCGAAAAGGGGTTAACGCTGTCTATTGAGCACATCAAGTGCTTTATTGATAGCGGGGGCTCGGTCAGGCACATAGATGCTGGCCATCAGTTAGCGGACCCGTTAACAAAACCCTTGGCGGGTAGGGATATATCTAAATTACGACGACTGATTGAATGTGGTATAGCCGAGGGGGCTTACCGACATTGCACTCTGCGAAAGGACCGAGCTCCTACAAAATCCCGACATTTCTGGGATTCAAAACACAAAAATAAGCTCCATGACTTCATTCAAGAAGTTGTGGGTAAAGATATATACAAGTCCAATATAGGCTCTCTCAAGTCGCAGACCTCTGATTCATCAAGTGCCTGAGCCAATTTTCATCTTATTGTAACCTGTGGGTTGCATATATGGCCGCAGGCCTTTGATCTCTCTTCAATAAGAAAATCAAATACTTTTCTAATATCTTATCTTAATACAGCTTTCGGGATACGAGATGTCAAAACACGACTGATTCTTGTCGTCGGAGTCTTTACGTTGGTATTGCAGATGCTTCGACAATAGGAGTGTGCCTTGACTGCAAGGACGATATGGAGGTAGATCGCAGATCTTGTGATGAAGTCACAACCACGGATCGCAGATCCACAATGAACATGACAAAAAAACGATAATAGCATCAACAGATGACTGACGATGTCCTCAGAACAGCACTCCTTCACAAAGACACTTTGATATGAGTTGCCGCAGGCACAGACCGGCACTGTTCCTGTGCAGCCAATACTAAACGTTAAACGGTATGACACTTCTAGGTGCGTCATAAAACGTGTGTTCTTGACATGTCCGGCACGCGGTGCAAAGTGGTGCTTGACGGTGATCTTGTGTTGTAACTGGTACTGTCCTTTCGTGTACTGAAGCGAGAAATTTACAACACGTCTAATCTATATGAGTATGACCTACATTTGGCACTGCGACGCAACGTTGGTTATCCCGGCAATGCAAAGTCTCCCATCTTGATTACCAAGCTTTGTTGTCTGAGTTCCGCAGCAGGGGAAACTAAGATATGGGTGATAAACGCAAGACAGAAGAATCCCCGGAAAAATCAGCAAAGAAATTGAAAAAAATGGACGAGCCTGATTCGGTAGTCCGCAACTTAGTTGCGCAGCAACAAAGACAAGAGGATATGCTCAAAGCCTACCAGAATGCCCAGCAACAGATGTTCGGAATGCTGGAATCCCTAAAAGCGCAGCTTTCCTCCCCGCCGATGCTGCGTCCCGCTATGTTGATCTCCACGTCGCCGGCGACGCACCCGGCCGAAGTGACATCCTCCAGCTCTACATGCTTTCCTCAGGAACAGCTGATAGTTTTGCCTAACTCTGCTTCTGAAAAAAGAGATGATATACACATACCACTAGAGGCCACGGCTGTTGAAGGTGATAAGTCTATCTCTGACTCAGTAAACGTAGAGCAGGCATTGCCTTTGGAAAAACAAGCCTCGATTCTGGAAGAGAAGACGGAAAACCCAAAACCGGAGGCGCAAGCTGTTGATGGTAGAGGTGAGTCTGATACTTCACAGTCTGACGCTCCAAAATCCTGGGCGGAACTGTCAACTCCACTGGTAAAGGACGACGTTACGAATCACGACGCTCCGTCGTCGATCACCGAATTGGTGGAGTCCTCGATTGAGACGGTAAATGAACCACGCAGTGAACAAATTGGGGACCCTCAAGTTCAGGAAGCTCCGGCACAGCCGGGTCCAGAATCGACTGCAAATGACAGTGACTGTGAAGTGCGTCTTCCGCAGGAACAGCCTCAGGCACATCTAGGTCTAAAATACACGAATCCACTGGTAGGGCAGACCTTCCATGGCTGACCCTCAAACTGAATTCGAATAATCCGTGCCCGCAGAGCCGTGTGTAAGATCGCAAATTCACCGTCTTGAAAAATTATTAACATGACCCATCAACACAAGTCTGCGCCGTGTTATTTCTCTCTGATAGCAAATTCACTTAAAGTAAAATGCTTTTCAATTTGTATAATCAGTAGCCATAGTTTTTCTGACATGGGCTCACATCTAAGCTCAACATGTCATAGCGTAAGGGCTCATAACCCAAGCGATGGCTCGTAACCTCTCTCCTAAGCAGGGTCCTAGGCTTCTACATTGGGTCTATACAAACAAACAAGGTTACACAAAAAAAGTAATTTTTCTTTATCCAAAACAACTATACCTTTTCTATCCAGGCCGAACAAACGCACAAAACACAACCGGCGCAGCCGCTACCGAATTCGGCACTCCCTTCACAACAGGAGTCCCCAGCTCCTCGTCAGCAATCACCTCCGCGTCTAATAGCTACGGCTGAAGAATGTAAAGATCTGGCGAACATTCCAATTCTGTCACCTTCCCCGTTATTGAAGAACAAGAAGGTGGGGGAAGAACAAGAAGAGTCGCAAGCTCTCGAGGACATACGAGATCGGTCGCAGACCGAGTCGGGATCTGCACCGCAGCAATTAGATATGGAAGACTCAGCTTCGCGCCTGCCTGTAGTCAACTCGTCCTGTCCGTCAAAAAAGGACGTGGCCGAAGGCCCGAATGACGTAGGGAAATCGGTTGCCACAGAGGAAACAACTGTGTCTGAAAGCCAGGTCATACAGCCGACGACGGAAACGAAAGAGCACGATACTTCCCTTGCTCTTCAGGATAAGTCTTCTTCTGAGAGTAGTCCCGCAGAGAATAGTGAAGAGTCCTGGAAAACTGTGCGTTCCAAGGACGAAGAACGACCTAAACAGCCGCGACAACATGAAGAAATAAAGCTGTCAATCCTTCAAACCTATGCAGAGAAAGCAGCACATAAGCCGGAAGATTTGTATCCTACTCCTGCTGAGCTCAAAGGTACTCTTCAGAGCCATTGGAGACAGGAAAAGAAGATGCATTTTCTCGAAGAAATTGCGCGACGGTATAATGTCATCAAGAAGCACAGTCCCCAAGTGGTGGCACAATGCGCTACGCTAGAGATGTCTTCTTCATCACTATCATCATCTGGGATAGTGCAAAATGGCCAGGCAATGCCATCTCAACCCACCGGATACATCTCAAGTAGTGCGCAGGCACAGAAAAGCGCGACGTCCTCCCCGCAGGGGTCCGTAACGGCTAGCACAACTTCCCAGACTAGAAGCACAATGAATTCAGTCACACCTTCCAAAATGTTACTGGATGCGAATATAACGGCTGGCTGCACTCCAGCTGCGATTCCACTTGGTGGCCAATCTCCGCAGAAGTCGGATTCCACACCTAGCTCTAATTGTAGCATGATGTCACGCAAATCCTCGACGCGACCGTCCCGGGCGCGAAAGAGTGGACGCAGTCCTCAATCATCCGACATGGATGTAGAAGTAACTCAGCAGGCTGTCCGCACGAAGACCGTGCGAAAGGCAGGTGAACGAGTTAAATCCAGTATCGCTCGAAGTAGTTCAAACGAGGTTGTCAACCCGGAAGAATTTAAAGTACGCCTGAACGACGTGAATCCAAACAACAATCATCATGAGAACCCGCACTTTCTGTTTTACCAAAAAGGGGGCGACTTAACGCCGAATCGGTACACGCGCAAGCGGGCGTTCTACAACTACTACGACCAAGTTGCGATGTCATCAGGAGAATCTTCGTCTGCAGATTCGACAAGTGATGAAGAAGAAAACGAAATTGTAAAGCGCAGCTTTACACTCTCAGACTCGCCTGGTCGAAATGCTACACCAGTGTCTCGATATCACATGGCGACGCATCACAAGGATAGCGGAATTATGCCCTATCGTTTGTGTGACCTGAGCAAGCTCCCAGAGTCAACCCCAAACCCTCATACAGTGCCCGCGGGCATTTAGGATTATACTCGTGTAATAATTTTACGGAAAACAATCCCCCCAAAACCTCCCAAATTTTTTTTGACTCTCCCAGAGTCAACCCCAAACCCTCATACAGTGCCCGCGGGCATTTAGGATTATACTCGTGTAATAATTTTACGGAAAACAATCCCCCCAAAACCTCCCAAATTTTTTTTGACTCTCCCAGAAGATTTATGCAAATTTACCTGCTCCTCGGTTCTTCCCAATCCGATTGCAACCACTCCGCCGCGAAATTGCTATCCCAAAGACAGAAGATATGTCTGATGTGGATGTAGAGCGTCTTCTCCTAGCAAAGCTAGGAACCAGGGCATCAGGTGTTCTTCATCTTGCACCAGCGAAAACTGGTCAACAGGTAACACATTTTGCCTTCTTGGTGGATAGAGAGCAGTATCAGTCTTCGCAGAAGAACTATGTGGCAAAAGTGACCTATGCCGAAGCGGCGCACTTCCTGGAGACAGCGACGTTCCCGAAGAGCAGCAAATTCCTGGAAAAGCTGGCCTCTTCACAGTTTCCTCCACAAGAGGACGCGCGGCAGTCTGAGCCTAAACAAGACTCGTTACGAGCCCAGCTTTACACGGCTGTCTGCCAGTTGGACAAAGACGAAATAAGCGGCTTCGTGACCACACAACATTGCTTTGTGTTCTATCAGAAGCGAGAATCTGACACAACCAGTATGTGCAAAATCCCCGCAGGGGTAGTTACACATGTGGAAGCGTTTACGCAATTCCTCGCGAAGGGCGCATCTTCAATGGAAGTAGAGTACCAGAATGATGGAGCAGTCATCGTGCCAGCCCGATACTTCAACTTAATCCTAGTACACGAGCCGGCAGCTCCAATGACCTCATCACACAAGGCCATAGGTCGCGCAGCGGCGTTGTGGGAAGAAATTGCTGGTGAGCATAAGCTGGAAGATCGCTCTGCTTTTCACGATTCACTTAGAGACGTTACCATTTGCCCACAGGGCAAGATCGTGGTGCGTATGGTTCCAACGTTCTGGCCCGATAATTTCCTCTTACGCGATTTCTGTAGAGCAACGGATACGAGCATGCATGTCTTTTCGCTGAAGCTGAAGTCGGTAGAGTCGAAGGGGTTGGAGACACAAGGACTTACCGTGACGGGTAGGGACCTGCGTATCATGAGGCGGGCCCACGACATTTCAAAGGGGTCGCTGCTGGTAAACAACATCACCAAGACGCAGCCTGATTTGATGCCCGATCTGCCGATAGTCCTACCTACGGCGATGCACGGTGAAATCCGCGCCATCTTTCACAAGAAATATCCGGAGAAAATGTACCGCGCCAAGATTATGACGAACATCTCCATGGCCTGTGAATTCAGCTATCTAATAGATATCCGAAATACACATCGTCAACTGGCACAGGCAAAAGTCCAAGCGCAAAGAGATACCTATGCCGCGCGCAAAGGTGTCCAGGATACGATGGCTTCCTCGCAGAGGAAAGCCACGACTCCGGCAGGGGTCTTCCACTACCAAGCAAAGACAGGCGAGAAAGGACCGTCGAAAGGTTCCTCCAAAAAGGGCAAAGGTTCAAGCCAGTCGCAGGCGGCTTCTTCTTCTACTTTCTCTATCCAAGACATTATGTGGGAACAGGATAGAAAACGCTCGCGTTCTTTGCGCATGGATCCAGCGACACATACTGGAGCTGGAGGTTCGGTCTCCAGTGTTAGACCACCTCAGCATGGCATCAGAGGTCGCCATTAATTGATCATGAGTCATTCACCGTGCTATTCCCAAATTGCAACGCAGTTGCCCTTGATACAAAATACCCATCTTTTCGCCGCAGGCGATCCTCGCATGTTGCAGGCAACATCATTGAATGAACTTTGTGCAGACATCGCAGATGCTCATAATATAAGTTTCACCTTCCCGTTATAATCTTCAACCCGGCTGGAGTGTTCTGCCATGTGCGTGGAGTACAGAAGATCCTTTCTAGTCACTCTTTCGATCTTCTTACCTGTGATTATTCGGTCAGCTCAAACAAATAGAACCGAGGAACAACAGGATGTGGTTGGAAATCATTTTAATTGTGTATGGACTAGTCTGGTGCATTCAAAGGGCCATGACGAAGATGGAGATAATTCGATCTATGTTTCATTTGTATAAAGACCGACAGGATGAAGTCTACTGTTCACCGCAGGTGGATTCAGCTCAGCTACAAGACACTGTCGCCAACTTATCCAATCATGTGTTGGAAATGAGGCAACAGCTCAAATCTGCGCAGCATACCATAGAGATCCTTCAGGCCAGAATATCAGCAGTTGCAGCAGCTACTGTGCCACCAGTTGATCTTGAAGACCTGCATCCTCTTACAGAAGGAACGCCATCTACAGATGAGTCACTCCTTCTCTCCGAAGAAGATTGGGAAAAAACTCCTTTGAAAGAAGACAATCTACCTGCGCAGCAGGGACACTCTACGAAGGTCGTAACCCTTCCGCTTAGGCCACAAAAAGTTCTCCCGAAGCGACCGCAGGTCCAGTCAGAACACGTGCAACAAAAGCGAGCGCGCGAGGCTCTTATCAAGCTTGAATTCCCGGTCAAAACGTTATCAGTCCCTTTTGCCGCGCGACATGCATTGCAGTTGCACGATCACTGGCAACCAAATGGATACGGCCATAATGAAGACTCTATCCGAATACAATGTAGGCATAACAATCCTTTGCGAAAGCAGAACATCACGGCTCAGACGGTTGCTCAGCTGATACGTAATGGGTTTGCCTTCCATGTTCGCTTTTATGCTCCACTGAAAGTCGAGTCTGACCGATACGGCATGCTGGAGCGCGACATCAACGAGTGCTTTCAGCTCAAACTTCTTCGTTGGGTCCCGATCGACGATCCGCACTACAACGTTCTCCGCGAGGCAGCTAAAATTTGAGACGCAGTTCTCTCATAATTCAAGGACGCAGTCCTTTCCTGTTATCTTTTCCAATTACCATCCGAGGGGGTGTCTGAATCGCAGCGAGTGTGGACACTGCGTTCTACATAAGGCTGGTAGGAAAAGAGTGATGATGTTGAAACATCTGAACACTGAGAGAGTCGCAGAACTCAACATGAGGTGAAAGCAGCGTAGCTGCGGAGCGATGGAGAAATGCAAGTGGGAGTGAGTTACCCAGGAGGGAAGCAAAGCGGCTGAGCGCCAGCAGCTGAAAGTACAAGAGAGGAGAAACCAAGCTGAGGATGAAAGATGAGTCATCAGATAGCGCTTCTTCTGAATAATTACTGAACCATCACTATTAATGATTCATGATCCTATCACGCTGTAGCTTGGTGGGGATGCTATTCACTGGGGTAAGGTGCATGCATTTATTTGATGGTAAGGTATGTGAACAAACATGGCATCGACCGAACAGCAACGATGATGAACCTTTTGCTTGTTCTCTTCTTCAAGGTGTTGGTATTGGGAGCAGAGACTCCACTTGCCGCAGGCAAGGGTTATTGGCAAGTCAACAGAAAGCGAGCATGGCTTTCTGCGAGGAGTTGGTATTGGCCTGTCCCCAGGCCTGTGTTCGCCCGTGCTTCGCTAAGAGATCACTCACCTAGCTGGAGATCCTCCGAGGGAGATCAAGAGTTGAGTGGTAGTAGGTCTTGTTGTAGTACGAAGGTCTCTCGATCTCTCACAGTTGCATGCTTTGGCTTTTTTCTTATTTGCGACGAAAAACGTCGCGGCGTGCCAGAAGGCGTGGCGCAAAATTTTATCGAAACGCCGCCACATGAAGACCAGCGAGGCCTTTTGTTTGTGGCCAATCTTTTGGAAGAATATAAGGAGCCGGAGCCGATAAAAATGGAGAGCCGGGAAAACCTTGCGGCGATTTTTGTCGGAAACGTTGCGGCCGCCTTTTTAATATTTAGAAAAAGAAAAACGAAAAAGAAAAAGACCGCCGCAACGCGTTCCCAAATATTCCCCAAATATTTTCAAACATTCACAAAGTGCCCCCGTACTCTTTGACATTCACAAAAAGAAGACGAAAACGAGCAAGGTCGCCGCAACGTCTCCGACAAAAATCGCCGCAAGGGTTTCCCGGGTCTCCTTATCAGTTTCGCTTCGTCATATTCTTCCAAAAGATTGGCCACACGCGGGAGGCCTCGCCGGTCTCCACGTGGCGGCTTTTCGATAAAACCGCGCGCGCCTCCATCTGCTTCCGCTTCTTTCATTTCGCGAGATACGCGAGCGAGGTCGTCGCCGTCTGGCTGTTTCACGCTGGTCGCCTTGTGTTCCCCTGGCTTGGCTCGTCTTTGCTCCAGTTTGGTCGGTCTGTGTTCTTCGGGCCTGGCTGCTCTTGTGTTCTAGGTCTTCTCATGTGCTCCCCTCGTGTGCTCCTGCCGTGTGTCTAATCTCTGTGCCGTGGCGCGTCGTCCCTATGGCGGCAGTAGGCCGCCCGGGACGAGGGGGCAGAGGGTTGCCTTTCTGGGCTGTTCGCGCTGGATTATGCAGCGCCCATCAGCGCCTACCAGCGCAGCGTGGCGCGCCGTCCCTCTGGCGGCCGTAAGCCGCCAGGGACGAGGGGGCAGAGGGTTGCCTTGCTGGGCTGTTCGCGCTGGATTATGCGGCGCACACCGCGCGCCCATCCGCGCCCACCGGCGCGGCGTGGCGCGTCGTCCCTCTGGCGGCCGTAGGCCGCCAGGGACGAGGGGGCAGAGGGTTGCCTTGCTGGGCTGTTCGCGCTGGATTATGCGGCGCACACCACGCGCCCACCAGCGCCCACCAGCGCAGCGTGGCGCGTCGTCCCTCTGGCGGCCGTAGGCCGCCAGGGACGAGGGGGCAGAGGGTTGCCTTGCTGGGCTGTTCGCGCTGGATTATGCGGCGCACACCACGCGCCCACCAGCGCCCACCAGCGCAGCGTGGCGCGTCGTCCCTCTGGCGGCCGTAGGCCGCCAGGGACGAGGGGGCAGAGGGTTGCCTTGCTGGGCTGTTCGCGCTGGATTATGCGGCGCACACCACGCGCCCACCAGCGCCCACCAGCGCAGCGTGGCGCGTCGTCCCTCTGGCGGCCGTAGGCCGCCAGGGACGAGGGGGCAGAGGGTTGCCTTGCTGGGCTGTTCGCGCTGGATTATGCGGCGCACACCACGCGCCCACCAGCGCCCACCAGCGCAGCGTGGCGCGTCGTCCCTCTGGCGGCCGTAGGCCGCCAGGGACGAGGGGGCAGAGGGTTGCCTTGCTGGGCTGTTCGCGCTGGATTATGCGGCGCACACCACGCGCCCACCAGCGCCCACCAGCGCAGCGTGGCGCGTCGTCCCTCTGGCGGCCGTAGGCCGCCAGGGACGAGGGGGCAGAGGGTTGCCTTGCTGGGCTGTTCGCGCTGGATTATGCGGCGCACACCACGCGCCCACCAGCGCCCACCAGCGCAGCGTGGCGCGTCGTCCCTCTGGCGGCCGTAGGCCGCCAGGGACGAGGGGGCAGAGGGTTGCCTTGCTGGGCTGTTCGCGCTGGATTATGCGGCGCAGACCACGCGCCCACCAGCGCCCACCAGCGCAGCGTGGCGCGTCGTCCCTCTGGCGGCCGTAGGCCGCCAGGGACGAGGGGGCAGAGGGTTGCCTTGCTGGGCTGTTCGCGCTGGATTATGCGGCGCACACCACGCGCCCACCAGCGCCCACCAGCGCAGCGTGGCGCGTCGTCCCTCTGGCGGCCGTAGGCCGCCAGGGACGAGGGGGCAGAGGGTTGCCTTGCTGGGCTGTTCGCGCTGGATTATGCGGCGCACACCACGCGCCCACCAGCGCCCACCAGCGCAGCGTGGCGCGTCGTCCCTCTGGCGGCCGTAGGCCGCCAGGGACGAGGGGGCAGAGGGTTGCCTTGCTGGGCTGTTCGCGCTGGATTATGCGGCGCACACCACGCGCCCACCAGCGCCCACCAGCGCAGCGTGGCGCGTCGTCCCTCTGGCGGCCGTAGGCCGCCAGGGACGAGGGGGCAGAGGGTTGCCTTGCTGGGCTGTTCGCGCTGGATTATGCGGCGCACACCACGCGCCCACCAGCGCCCACCAGCGCAGCGTGGCGCGTCGTCCCTCTGGCGGCCGTAGGCCGCCAGGGACGAGGGGGCAGAGGGTTGCCTTGCTGGGCTGTTCGCGCTGGATTATGCGGCGCACACCACGCGCCCACCAGCGCCCCGCGGCGCGTCGTCTCTCTGGCGGCTTACGGCCGCCAGGGACGAGGGGGCAGAGGGTTGCCTTGCTGGGCTGTTCGCGCTGGATTATGCGGCGCACACCACGCGCCCACCAGCGCCCACCAGCGCAGCGTGGCGCGTCGTCCCTCTGGCGGCCGTAGGCCGCCAGGGACGAGGGGGCAGAGGGTTGCCTTGCTGGGCTGTTCGCGCTGGATTATGCGGCGCACACCACGCGCCCACCAGCGCCCACCAGCGCAGCGTGGCGCGTCGTCCCTCTGGCGGCCGTAGGCCGCCAGGGACGAGGGGGCAGAGGGTTGCCTTGCTGGGCTGTTCGCGCTGGATTATGCGGCGCACACCACGCGCCCACCAGCGCCGCGTGGCGCGTCGTCCCTCTGGCGGCCGTAGGCCGCCAGGGACGAGGGGGCAGAGGGTTGCCTTGCTGGGCTGTTCGCGCTGGATTATGCGGCGCACACCACGCGCCCACCAGCGCCCACCAGCGCAGCGTGGCGCGTCGTCCCTCTGGCGGCCGTAGGCCGCCAGGGACGAGGGGGCAGAGGGTTGCCTTGCTGGGCTGTTCGCGCTGGATTATGCGGCGCACACCACGCGCCCACCAGCGCCCACCAGCGCAGCGTGGCGCGTCGTCCCTCTGGCGGCCGTAGGCCGCCAGGGACGAGGGGGCAGAGGGTTGCCTTGCTGGGCTGTTCGCGCTGGATTATGCGGCGCACACCACGCGCCCACCAGCGCCCACCAGCGCAGCGTGGCGCGTCGTCCCTCTGGCGGCCGTAGGCCGCCAGGGACGAGGGGGCAGAGGGTTGCCTTGCTGGGCTGTTCGCGCTGGATTATGCGGCGCACACCACGCGCCCACCAGCGCCCACCAGCGCAGCGTGGCGCGTCGTCCCTCTGGCGGCCGTAGGCCGCCAGGGACGAGGGGGCAGAGGGTTGCCTTGCTGGGCTGTTCGCGCTGGATTATGCGGCGCACACCACGCGCCCACCAGCGCCCACCAGCGCAGCGTGGCGCGTCGTCCCTCTGGCGGCCGTAGGCCGCCAGGGACGAGGGGGCAGAGGGTTGCCTTGCTGGGCTGTTCGCGCTGGATTATGCGGCGCACACCACGCGCCCACCAGCGCCCACCAGCGCAGCGTGGCGCGTCGTCCCTCTGGCGGCCGTAGGCCGCCAGGGACGAGGGGGCAGAGGGTTGCCTTGCTGGGCTGTTCGCGCTGGATTATGCGGCGCACACCACGCGCCCACCAGCGCCCACCAGCGCAGCGTGGCGCGTCGTCCCTCTGGCGGCCGTAGGCCGCCAGGGACGAGGGGGCAGAGGGTTGCCTTGCTGGGCTGTTCGCGCTGGATTATGCGGCGCACACCACGCGCCCACCAGCGCCCACCAGCGCAGCGTGGCGCGTCGTCCCTCTGGCGGCCGTAGGCCGCCAGGGACGAGGGGGCAGAGGGTTGCCTTGCTGGGCTGTTCGCGCTGGATTATGCGGCGCACACCACGCGCCCACCAGCGCCCACCAGCGCAGCGTGGCGCGTCGTCCCTCTGGCGGCCGTAGGCCGCCAGGGACGAGGGGGCAGAGGGTTGCCTTGCTGGGCTGTTCGCGCTGGATTATGCGGCGCACACCACGCGCCCACCAGCGCCCACCAGCGCAGCGTGGCGCGTCGTCCCTCTGGCGGCCGTAGGCCGCCAGGGACGAGGGGGCAGAGGGTTGCCTTGCTGGGCTGTTCGCGCTGGATTATGCGGCGCACACCACGCGCCCACCAGCGCCCACCAGCGCAGCGTGGCGCGTCGTCCCTCTGGCGGCCGTAGGCCGCCAGGGACGAGGGGGCAGAGGGTTGCCTTGCTGGGCTGTTCGCGCTGGATTATGCGGCGCACACCACGCGCCCACCAGCGCCCACCAGCGCAGCGTGGCGCGTCGTCCCTCTGGCGGCCGTAGGCCGCCAGGGACGAGGGGGCAATGCGTGACCATCTCGCCCCCCGCCCCCCTTGTACAAGGTTAAACGTTTGCGCGACTGTCTACCTAAATAACGAGCCTGCGGCGAAGAGTGCGCCCCCGGACTGTGCCCAACCATGTAACCTTGTACAAGGGGGGCGCGGGGTACAAGGGGGGCGGGGGAATGCTCCAGACAGACGGCCGCGAAACTGAAGGGGTAGCCCATGCCCCATCGTCCCTGGCGGCCTTCGGCCGCCAGCGGGACGATGCGCCAGACAGGGCGCCGGCCTTCCCAAGCTTCTGCGGTCTTCCCGGGGGATGTTCTCGGTTGAAGTTATCTCCTTGGCTTTCTTCGTGTGCGTGTGCTACCTATACCGGGCGCACTTCTGAGAGCTACAGGCGCACAGGTTTAGCCTTTCCCGTTAATGGTGTCCCAGACTCTTAAAAAGGAGGGCGAGCCCGTGTCCGATGGTGTCGCCTGTCGTCTCATTCGGTTTGTATCGGTAGCCGGAGGGATTGCAGAGGAGACGGGCACGCCGAGCGAGCGGCGAAACCGATAAGGGAATGGCGGAAGCATCTGAACAGAGCCCGGAAAGACGGAGGCGAAACCGATAAGGAAAGGGGAAAAGGAGAGAGACGAGCTGGCCCCGCGATCTAGGGACTGGCGTGCCAAACTGTGCAGAAAAGTGGCAAAATATCGAAAACGGCCCAGAGGTACCACTGTCCCTTAGCGGTTTCGCTTAGGAGTTTCGCGAGGTTTGGGCTTGGTTAGTTTTGGGCTTGGTTCAAGGGTGGCCGGGGTTTGTCTCCTGTTTGGTTTCAGTGTGGTCGCGGGTTTGGGTCGCCTTGCTCAGCTTTTTGCGTTGGGTTTGCTTTGTACATAGCCCGAGGCCACCCAAAAGTGCCGCACTGTAGAAAATTCCTCAGCCTGGTCCTTCTGGTCTTGGGTTTTTTCCTGCTCATGACGGGGACAGATTCCCAAGCCCTGGACCATTTTCATCTCGAAGCGTCGCAGCTTTGCCTTTTGCTAGTGACGGCCGGGAAAAATTTTGCACAATTTGGTAACTTTTGGACAGCTTTGCAGTATTGCACTCGCAGCCTGTCAAAATTTTTTGGTCTTGCTTAAAAAAGCAACAACTTTCATTATTCTGCGTCTTTTTTGGAACGGTCTCCACAATAAAAAAAATAAAACAAAAGCAATGGCCACTCGTTTAATTTTTTTTCTCTGAGCGCCTTTTCACATCAAAAAAATATTGAAGAATGGAACCAAAAGAATCTACATGCTGTAAGTCCTCGCGAAGCTCTTAATCGAAACCGTTATAAGGGACAGCGGCACTTCTGGGCCGTTTTCGATATTTCGCCACTTTTCTGCACAGTTTGGCGCGGCGGTGCCTATATTGCGGGCCCAGTTCGTCTCCCTCCTTTCCCCGTTTCCTTATCGGCTTCGCCTCCGTCTTTCTGGGCTCTGTTTAGATGCTTCCGCCGTTCCCTTATCGGTTTCGTCGCTCGCTCGGCGTGCCCATCTCCTCTGCAATCGCTCCGGCTACCGATAAAAACCGAACGAGACGACAGGAGACACCATCGGGCACGGGCTAGCCTTCCCTCGCGAAACTCTTAAGCGAAACCGCTAAGGGGCAGTGGTACCCCTGGGCCGTTTTCGATATTTTGCCACTTTTCTTCACAGTTTGGCGCGCCAGTGCGGGTCGCTAGATCGCGAGGCCAGTCCGTCTCTCTCCTCTTCCCGTTTCCTTATCGGTTTCGCCTCTGTCTTTCCGGGCTCTGTTCAGATGCTTCCGCCGTTCTCTTATCGGTTTCGCCGCTCGCTCGGCGTACCCGACTCCTCTGCAATCCCTCCGGCTACCGATACGAACCGAATGAGACGACAGGCGACACCGTGAAGCATGGGCTCGCCCTCCTTTTTAAGAGTCCGGAGCATCATCACAGGCAAAGGCCGACCCTGTGCGCCTGTAGCTCTCAGAAGTGCGCCCGGTATAGGTAGCACACGCACACGAAGAGAGCCAAGAGGATAACTCCAATCGCGGACGTCTTTCGGTAAGACCGCAGAAGCTTGGCAAGGCGCCCCGTCTGGCGCATCGGCCGCCAGCGGGGCGATAGGGCATGCCTTAGCTCTTCAGTTACACGGGCGACAGTTTGTCTGACGCGTCCCCCCGCCTCCCGTTGTACCCCGCGCCCCCCGCCCCCCTTGTACAAGGTTACATGGTTGGGCACAGTCCGGAGGCGCACTTTTCGGCGCAGACTCGTTATAGGGATTCACAGTCGCGCAAACATTTAACCTCGTACAAGGGGGGCGGGGGGCGAGATGGTCACGCATTGCCCCCTCGTCCCTGGCGTAGGCCGCCAGAGGGACGACGCGCCACGCTGCGCTGGTGGGCGCTGATGGGCGCGTGGTGTGCGCCGCATAATCCAGCGCGAACAGCCCAGCAAGGCAAGCCTCTGCCCCCTCATCCCTGGCGGCCTACGGCCGCCAGAGGGACGACGCGCCACGCTGCGCTGGTGGGCGCTGGTGGGCGCGTGGTGTGCGCCGCATAATCCAGCGCGAACAGCCCAGCAAGGCAACCCTCTGCCCCCTCGTCCCTGGCGGCCTACGGCCGCCAGAGGGACGACGCGCCACGCTGCGCTGGTGGGCGCTGGTGGGCGCGTGGTGTGCGCCGCATAATCCAGCGCGAACAGCCCAGCAAGGCAACCCTCTGCCCCCTCGTCCCTGGCGGCCTACGGCCGCCAGAGGGACGACGCGCCACGCTGCGCTGGTGGGCGCTGGTGGGCGCGTGGTGTGCGCCGCATAATCCAGCGCGAACAGCCCAGCAAGGCAACCCTCTGCCCCCTCGTCCCTGGCGGCCTACGGCCGCCAGAGGGACGACGCGCCACGCTGCGCTGGTGGGCGCTGGTGGGCGCGTGGTGTGCGCCGCATAATCCAGCGCGAACAGCCCAGCAAGGCAACCCTCTGCCCCCTCGTCCCTGGCGGCCTACGGCCGCCAGAGGGACGACGCGCCACGCTGCGCTGGTGGGCGCTGGTGGGCGCGTGGTGTGCGCCGCATAATCCAGCGCGAACAGCCCAGCAAGGCAACCCTCTGCCCCCTCGTCCCTGGCGGCCTACGGCCGCCAGAGGGACGACGCGCCACGCTGCGCTGGTGGGCGCTGGTGGGCGCGTGGTGTGCGCCGCATAATCCAGCGCGAACAGCCCAGCAAGGCAACCCTCTGCCCCCTCGTCCCTGGCGGCCTACGGCCGCCAGAGGGACGACGCGCCACGCTGCGCTGGTGGGCGCTGGTGGGCGCGTGGTGTGCGCCGCATAATCCAGCGCGAACAGCCCAGCAAGGCAACCCTCTGCCCCCTCGTCCCTGGCGGCCTACGGCCGCCAGAGGGACGACGCGCCACGCTGCGCTGGTGGGCGCTGGTGGGCGCGTGGTGTGCGCCGCATAATCCAGCGCGAACAGCCCAGCAAGGCAACCCTCTGCCCCCTCGTCCCTGGCGGCCTACGGCCGCCAGAGGGACGACGCGCCACGCTGCGCTGGTGGGCGCTGGTGGGCGCGTGGTGTGCGCCGCATAATCCAGCGCGAACAGCCCAGCAAGGCAACCCTCTGCCCCCTCGTCCCTGGCGGCCTACGGCCGCCAGAGGGACGACGCGCCACGCTGCGCTGGTGGGCGCTGGTGGGCGCGTGGTGTGCGCCGCATAATCCAGCGCGAACAGCCCAGCAAGGCAACCCTCTGCCCCCTCGTCCCTGGCGGCCTACGGCCGCCAGAGGGACGACGCGCCACGCTGCGCTGGTGGGCGCGTGGTGTGCGCCACATAATCCAGCGCGAACAGCCCAGCAAGGCAACCCTCTGCCCCCTCGTACCTGGCGGCCTACGGCCGCCAGAGGGACGACGCGCCATCTTCTTCCTCCTCGCGTGCTGCGTGTGGAAATATGACATCCTTTCCGGCGATCACATGCGCGCCAGTTTCTGACACGAGCAGAGGTAAGCCGGATAGCCTGCGAGAGACCCTTTTGCCGCCTCGTGAAACGACCAACGCAAAAGCATCTTCTGCTCCTGCTAAGATTGGTGGAGAACTCTTGAACAAACTAAGTGCTGGCCTGCAAGGAGTAGCACACGGCAACTTTCTTCGACGTGGATCTTCTGCTTCGTCGAGCTCAGCATCCATTTCGGCAAATCGGGAGGAGCAATTGGATGCGCGTTTAACGAGTGCGAGCAGCTCGTCGTCGAGTACTGCAACAGCTGGGAAAGCAGGTTCGTCCTTTACTCGCGTGCATTCGACAACCATTACGAGCGTAGAGCAACAACCTTGAAATGGCCAGCCGTGGAACGCAGTCAAGAATGTATCCCGAGGCACATGCGGCAGCGACAACGAGCAGGGGCGACTGATTGACTCTGACGAAGACGGACTGCACTGGGTCGCGAGCGACCGACGAAGATGAGGGCTTTTAGGCGCTAGCTTTTCTTTGGTTCTATCTGATTGCGCGTTCTTTGCTAACCTAATGAGCGTGAGACTTTTTCTGTTCGTTTCTACTAAGTGGTAAGCCTGTGCTTCGCGTGCGTTAGTTTTTCTTCTGCCTGCTAAACTTCACCTAAGTTTCTTCTGCTTTGTTCGCCATCCGTGACTACGGTTCTTTGGGCAGTATGGCTCTTTTTTCTCATTCGCTCCTCTGCTTTATCCACGCAATAGAGTGCTAAGCTTCAGCGTGTGCGACTTTGTCGTTTTCTGGCGGAGGTGTTGCTGCTGCTTTTCACGAACAGACTCCTGCTACGAGATGAGCCCTTGACTATAACCAAGATGCGAGATGTTTCGCACCTCACAGATTCACTTTTATCGACTCCTTGGACCTTGCTTTTTTATTCCCCAAGGGAAGAGACGGCTGTTATATGCTGCAGTGCACTTCTAAAAACTTGGACTTCTGTGGTCTTGACAGAGTGGTCTATTGATATGAGAAGTGTCTGAGTTTTTTGTTGGCTCGTCCGAGATACGAGCACGGCCCGCACCCACTCTAAGCGGAGGAGGTCTTGACTGCGTGTTCTACGCGTCAAACTCAAGATCCTGCGCCGAGAATGTGTTGCCTGTCAAACTCGTGATCCAGATCCCCACATTGAATCAAAAAGTCGCTCTGCGCCTCTTTTTATAATGGAGAAAATTCAACGAAGGACTGCAAAAATCCGGACATAATTCAACCCTGTCGGGCATGATACGAATCCGCAGAACACTCGCCGCCTACTGCGCTCCCTTCGCGAAAACCTTCCTCCAATTGCGAGCCAAGAACCTCGGGCGCCCTCCAAATCCCCGCGCCCCTCCAGAATCCCCTTGCATACATTTGCAGGCTGGTGCGGTGGACTCTGGAGGGGCGCGGGGAATCACATGAAACGAAACCAAAAGACAGAAAAACCAAGAGAGAGCAAGTTGCAAAAGTCGCTAAGCGAAGCACTTCCAGGACGAGGAGGCGACAATAATGACCGTTTTTGTGCAGTTCTTAGTTGACTTAGCGCCAATAGATTAAAAAAATAATGACCTACACACAACAACGCGAGCGGCGAACTTTCGGCCAACAGGAAAGAAAGGACAGCGGCCATTCTGCTGAGATTTCTCCTGCTTACCCGGAGAGTTTTTCTCAGACGCAAACCGAACTGACGCTGAGAACGCTCTGGCAATTATGTCGAAGCCGATGGGATGGCTTTGCGTGAACGACATTGCCGACGGGCGATGTTGGGTAGTTGGGTGGATATCACACTCGCTGTGCGCGACACGGAAAAAAAGCTTCTCTGACCGCAGGAAATATAGAAATTGTTGGAGGGGACGACCGCTGCATGATTGACAATCGGTTTGAAGCGTTTTACCTAGCAAGTCTCAAAGGCGTCTCAATGCCCATAGTCGCAGTATCGGTCCTGCCTAACTCCCTACACAGTGCCATGAAGTTTCGGTAGTCAAAAACAGTTTGCCAGCATTAAGTTCGATATATCACCGTTCATAAAATGTCGTAGCTCTGTCTCAGTGAGAGTAACACTTTGGAGATCGGTGCAATCCGGTGCAGTTGTTATAAACAATGAGCACATGCATGAGAGCGTAAAACCGGCTGTGGAAGAAGGAAAAAATCGGTTGCCATCGGTGCGAATGTTGCTCGACAATGCGGTGTGTGAGGAATACAGGTCGGCCTTTCGAAATTCATGAATACTTCTCGACTTGTAATTCCAGCCGATTGAAAATTCATTACTCCCTCGTCATCTGAATATTTTACGGGAAGTTTTGCTTTCAATATCTTTTGCGATAGTTCGATACGAACATGAATTCACGCTGCTAGAAGTTGGTACTGGTACGTGACAGAAACGAGGACTAGTTCATAACTATTCTTCTCTAATGGTATTCATCGCCAGAGCCCATCTCTCCTCTGCCCTGAATACTCGTGTCGCACGTCATCTCCTATTTGAACTGCTTGAATTTGAATACTTGTGATAGTCATGTAGAAGCTGATTGATACTCTCATCTGTTTATTTATTTATTTTTTTATAGACCCTTCATCATTCTATTTCTTTTTCTCACAAAGCACCTTACGGTCAGGAGAAAATAAAAATGGTGTTTGGTTCTTCGGATCGTGGTGATTTGACGATCGACATTCCCAGAGTTGGTCTTGGCGTGCTGCCAGAACCACCGGCAGCGGCCGCGATGCAATGGGCCAAGTATGCGAGGGAAGCCTTCGATCAGGTTCGCTCCTCTACAGCCGCAGTGAAACGCGCAGCAAGTGAAGCTGCAAAATGGGCGGCTGTCGCTAAAGTATCACTCTTTGTTTAGATCATTCTTTTCCTGATTCTTCCCATTCTAGGATTATGAGACGAAACAGGAAAAAGTAACTCATCGAAGATAGCTCTAGGTATATTCCTTTTTTTGGTTCTTGTTCTTACGATAGATCGACGAATTAATGAATAAGAAATAGCCGAAAGATAGCAGTACCGAATGGATTTTATATCACAAGTAGTTTTTATGATATGCGTAAGAGTTTACTTTCGGATACCGCTGAGAACTACATCCTGTACTGCCTACAACAGCAAGCATCCGCGATGAGTGCTCAGCAGCAAGCGATGAAGGAACAGGCAGCCGCCGCCGTGATAGCGGAACAGTTAGGCTATCACGGAGATCCAGTAGGTGTGCCAACTGCGAATGTTTACGGAGAAGTCGTGCCGACTGCTCCGCCATACTCTTTCAATTACCCGAACCCGCCTCCCCCGGCAACGATGGCCTCGATGGGTTTTGGCGATGTGCTCTTGGTTCTCCAAAATTTGCTCGGGAAAAAAGGAGACGGCGATGAACCTCCAGAAACGGTAAAGATAAAGAATAAGAAGAGAGAACAAGAAGGTCCAGGTGGAGATGAGCTACAGAAGATAAAAAGAATGTGCAATGTTTTGTATGGTACTGACGCTAGACTGTCGGGGGAAGAAGAAAATGAAGAAGACGGAAAATTGATGGAAGAGGAAGATGCACATGCCATGCTTCACGCTGATGCCAGATTGAATATCACTCAAACAAAGAGTACAGAAGACCTTTCTAGAGGATGCTCCGCCCGGAGATATGCTTTTCATGACTTTCTATTTCAACCGCCGTGAAGATAATAAAGACACGATGTGCTAAATTCTCTGCTTCATGTGTATGAAAGAGCAGCTGGCTGTGCCATTGGATGAACTGCGGAGTTCTGGCGAAAGTCACGGATAAGCCATATTTGTGCGTCCGTGTTTGGTTCTCAGGAAATGGGTTGACATTTTCTTACATTGTTTTTGGTCGATAAGCTGAACGAAAAAAGAAGAAAAAAAACGATCGCACATTCTAAGTAAATAGTTCCGAGCTTCTGGTGCAGGAAAATTCTATCTTATTAATTTATTCTATTAAAAATCTGGGCTTCGCGTATATTTCTTCGTATCACGTGTGCAAAACAGGAACATTTTTGTCGGGTGTGTTTTCTGAACTTTCATCAGCATCCACTGTTGTGAACAAGAGCAGCCTAATGTGTCAACATCAGAACTAAATACATTTTGAACAAACACCATGGCATCTAAGCGTCCGCGAGAAGCAGACGGTGCTGGTGGAGACGACAGCTACGATCGCTGCATCTTCCGTTATGTTGAATACCAGCTTTGAGTAGTGTATGAAACGAAAAAGTGCACTCACACTCAAGAAATTGGCTAGGATTTAAGTAGTCTCTCAAGATGGGCACTATAGCATGTGCTGCAGCTTTTAACAAGAAAGGAACCTTTACAATCACAAAGGCACTCTAATGTCGCGGAAATCTTATCGAGCCAGACACTGCTGGTTTTCTCAAAAAGACTAAGACGGACAATGCTGACACGCAATTTTTCAAGTGTTTTTCGTGCGACGATCGGGTTAGCAGTTCCTTCGTTCAACGGTGGTTTCACGCGCAGAAGAAAGTCCGAATTAAAAGGGTGTGTGACGGCTTCAGCGGGCGATTCATTTGTCCGAAATGTCACTTGCGAAAACTAGACCAGTTTCACCCTATTTTGAACGGCGCTCTTCCCTTGTCAACGGAAAGATTAACGCAGCGCTCTGAGGCGTGTATGAGTATGGCCTACAATGAAGCGTTCTGATATTCATTCCTATCCTCGAAGTACTAGTATAACGAGGCAATTTTCTCTCACTTCAATTCAATGCCTCTACTTTTTTTTTGTAGCGCGAGCGAGTTCCGAAAAATCAAAACCTACCTGCGTACTTTCCGCGTGGATACCGGCAAAGGGGGGCTCCGGATCTACTCTAAAAGCCTCTGCGATTTTAGTGCTGACTGCTGGAGTTGTCTTTGAAAGCAGTACTAGTGTGTAGATGATTTTGTTATTTCTTGTATCTTCATCAGTATGCCTCACTCGAGTTTGCGCAGTCGCTTTGATTCTTCTAACAACGAAACAAGCCCTACGCAAAAGAAGCCTCCAGAATTCCAGCTAAGCGAGTTTTTGTTGGATCGCGCGAAAGTTGTGAGATGGCTTTCATGCACCGTCGACAACACAGGTGGGGTGGTGGCGCAAAAAGATAAAAAGATTCATCTCCGATGCGTTCGTTGTGACGAGGGTGACTTTGCCGGACCCTACTGGCCAAACAAAGTGATCGTATCAGTTGAGAACAGGCCGATAAAGCACACGGGCGAACCACTTGGTGTACGGCAAAAATGTTGAATAGTCATACAGACATGATATAAGGTTTAATATAACTGACGTGCCTTGTTCATACTAATACTTCGTTCCTTGCAAGAAGGTTTGATATCTTCAACCATAAAACAAGTCTAACTCGTGCTCCAGCTCACGGCGTTGTATTCTTTTTGGAATTAAATGACAACAAGAAGCCAAAAATGTTCATTTCTAATCCAACCCAAGCAAATCAACACCATCAATCCGCCGCAGATGGGCCACTGTCGGAAGGAACCGCTATCCGTCGACTTGACTCCAGCGATTTTAATGTCCCTTGAGGAGGAGATGAGAAAAAAGCGAATTATGGTAGAAATCGTCAGGAAATTCTTCGGCAATCAGCTGAGTGGATTCGTATCGTGATATACTTTTACTAACTAGGTAGTTCATTTCTTGCGCTGACAATTTTTACGCCTGCTACATCGGCTCGGAATTATTTTCGATGTCAACTGCATAGATAGACTAAAAAGTAAGTAGGAATTGTAAATGCGAATCCTCGTCTAATCTCACCCGGAACCTCGACAGCGTTACTGGCAGTGTCTCAGTGAAGGTGGATATGGTTTACTCAACTGAGATAGAACAGGAAGATGGGCCTCCGCCAACAGCGTTTGCACTGGCGCCCTACCTAGTTCGGCCGACCGACTGGCTCACACTAAAAAAGAAAACACTGACGATTTTGCGAACCACACAGATTATGACCTAAACCAAGTTACGTCCTCCTACAATGCAAGTAAATGCACTTGGACGCGGACAAATTAAGTGTATTCACTTCTTCTAGGGGTATCGCTGTTGCAGCGCATTTTTAAGATTTATACGAACGAGGTAGTCTTGCTGCTCACAAACTAGGAAAAGAGTCAGCTGCTCAAAAATATTTGAAGACTTATATGACTTAAATGTCTTTATTTTTAGTTTGTTGTTTTTCCATCTAATCAAACCCCGGACCCGCGTGAACGAATACAAAATAGCGGTTATTTTATAGAGCAGACAGCAGCAGCGGATGACGACATCGAGGTCACGGGAGATAACGTCGAGGCGCGATCGATCCGATTGGTGGATGAACTGACTTTATGAGAAGATAGAAATTCCTCTGTACTAGTAATTTATTGTTCTTCAATCCTGTAATCATTTGTGCTGAACTTCTCTTCAATCCTGTAATCATTTGTGCTGAACTTCGATAAGACTTCGTCAGTTTTCCTGCTGGTCATAGAGAATGGTAATTGGAATGGTCTAGTGCTTCTTCCTCTAACGCAAGGTTGCACCATGCAAACTCCAGTAGTCGGTGTGTTTTGCCGGCACTTGCAGTGTTTCGATCTGGACGCTTTTCTGCAATTGCAGCTACAGCAGAAAAATGCAGGGCAGCGATGGCGCTGCCCCATTTGTAAGCTGCGTTGTAGACCTTGGGACTTACGCTTTTGCCGCTTCACCAAAGAGATCATCGACAAAGCTACAAGACTTTCGCGGGCGAAGGCTGGTGATGGTGCAAATGACGACGAGGAGCTCGATTTTCTCGACGAAGAGTTTCAATGTGCGATGCTTGATGCAGATGGACGCTACAGTTTCGACTACAAAAAAGCTTTGCAGCAGGAACGACAGGGCGACGTCTTGTGCGTAGACGAGGATGAGGAAGATCGTGCTCCTCAACTAGCACCGCCGCGCCTTGTCAACCCCGCTACTCTCACAGATGCACACGAGCCACGCGATACTTCCACGGAAGCACTACGCAGGGGTGTGCCGCCATCCGCATCGACAGTGCCACCGGCTGCCTCGATAGTGCCACCGCCTGCTTCGACAGTGCCACCAACTGTTTCGACAGTGCCTCCGCCTGCTTCGACAGTGCCGCCATGTGTTTCGACAGGCACTAGACGAGAAACTATTATCGAGTTGGAGGATAGCAGTGACGAAGAATAGGTCTTCTTATGAGGATTTTTCTTGCTCTTTCACATTTCTCGAGCACTTTATGCAAAAATCCTTGAACTCCTTTTTCCACGTGTACCTGTACGATATTCTGCGCAAATTACAAGTAGACACGACCAGCACGAATTTGATTAGGTGCTGATCCCAATTCAGTGTCATGGAAAGCGTGACTTCTTGTGTTCTGTGGTTTTGTGGGTCAATGTGTTTTTTAGAGCCGAGTGTTTTTTGGACAACAGCAGAGCATATTTGAGGGATTGCTTCTTGCATGGAGCACAATAGAGAATAGGCGAGAGTAAGAGCGGAGAACAAATATTGCATATCTAGCCACACAGGAGAGACCGCGCGATACAGACACAGTGAATGTTTATTTCACTGATGGTAGTGATGAGAATGATTCATTTTCTACTTCATCAAGGTTCTTCTGCTAATGAAGATGGGTAACAATAACAACTAGTGCAGGGCAAAACAATATTTCTGGTTAGCCGTTCTCAGAGATTAGTCATTACTTTCTTGCGCAAGCTCTGCAATGTAAGGGTCTTTTGACTTGTTATGTTGTTAGTATTTGATGTTGATACAACTGTTTCAAAAAAAAGGATTCTACGGAGTTCTACTGAAAGATTGCTACTTGTATGTCGTCGGATAGGGGGTAGTCTTCGAAAAACATTGTCCTTTCTAGTACTGTAATAATTGTAATCTTCACAGTTACAGCATCGATAGTCTTCAAACAATTTATGAGAATCACAATGTTGCGTCTGTCTTCACGAGTGCTGTTTCTTTCCTCCGTGTCTCTCTTTCCCGTGACGTTTGTCTCGGCGATAGAGCCAGAGGACGCGGATGACGAGGCCCCGCCGCCTCCCCCAGACGAGCCACCGGTGAAGGAGGAAGCACCGCCGCCGCCTCCCCCTACTACTCCAGCGCCTCCTCCACCTCCACCACCTCCACCGGCGGTAGAGGAGGAAAACAAAGAGGAAATCAAAATCATCGACAAATTAAGCCAGGCTTCGAGGGAAGATGATAAGGTCAAGGTATTTCGTGTTATGTTCTTAGTCTTGACAATGAACGCGCTACGAGGTTTGTTTACTGTACCACGTCGAATCATGTGCATTTGATTACGTATATGAACATCTGTATTTCGCTTCAGGTTCCCGTGTACTTTTCAAGAACTTCATCTCCGAGAAAAAATTATCACACAAGGAATCTGATCTATCGACTGTTCATGGTTGAAAAATCAACTTTAGCTTCGTCGTTTGCTTTCTGAAAAAGTCGAGAAGAACAACAAGATGACAGCTGCCGGTCATCACTGGATGCTCGGCTCATGGCTCTACGGCGACTTGGCGCATGGGGTGATTCATGAAGATCATTTAACGGCCCACGGTTGCGCCGATCATTGGTACAACTTCTAAGATCTTCTGGCAAGAAAACCAATTCGAATCCTACCAGCAAAGTCGTCTTTCACTTTATCAGTTTTCTCCTTGACGTCTTGTCTATAGAGTCTAGTACAAAATTCGATGACATATGAAAACCATAAGTTATTTGAAAACTCACTGGGATATCCAACGGGATTCAAGATTGTTCTGAGTATCTGTTCCTACAACAGCGAAGCAAATCCAGAATGTTACCACTGGGTCTACTATCTGGACAACGGACGCTGTGATCTGAAGGTGAACGGCGGAGGGCACAATGCGGACGTGGACCACATGATCGTTGGACATGCGAAGAGGTACCTCGCCCTGCCGAAAACCACGCCGAAAGGCAGCGACAACGAGTTGTAACCGTCTCTTTTATGCCGAAATAGAACTGAATCTGGATAACCACGATGAAATATATTCTTTTACATGATTGACACAAGTAGTGTCAAAGAAGTGTGGGGGTGACAGAACTTCATCTAAGATAGAGATTTAAACGACTTGAACTGCATTAACAACAAGTTACAAGCCAAGAAAAAACGCACTGTTGAATTGCTCATCATAATGTGCGTTTCTTTGCGAAGACAGATGGAGCAAGAAGATTGAAATTTCCCCGCGTGGAATGTTACCAGGATGTTATGCTTAGATTTCGAGAAGTATTACCCACATGTCGATGTCATTGTGAATATGATGATTCCTTTCATTTTACAATCTCGATATTGAATCCTTTCGTGTATCGCAACAAAACCGCTGCTGTAGAAAGAATCCGGTAGCCGCGGCTCTGTCGTGGATAGATGCTTTTATCCTGTATTGGCCATGTTGCCCTGACGTGCCTCGATGCCTTGACGGTGCCCGCATCAGTCTTTGCTCGCGCCACAGCAAGTATCACTCGATCATGTTGAAGGTAATTGATTCATAAGACTGAGATATCTCAGATGGACTGATTGATATCTCAGACAGGGCCTTCGGATGCGCAGGCATAAGATTGATGAGCACGATCAAAAAATTTTAATCCTTTCCAACATCTCAAATGCTTGAAAGCTTGTTGTAAACAAAAGTCGATCTGCATGAAGATGGATCAACTATATCGGATATACTGACTGCGCTAGCCGATCTCACTTTAGAGATCCTTTTGTTCTCGCGAAAGATCTTGTGCGTGATCTTCAATCTTTTGATTTGTATCAAGTGTTAGCGTATTCCCATTCTACAATGGCGTTTTTCCTATTTTACCTCAATGAACAATCGGCTTACACTCATAGTCCAGGTCCAGCATGTATGATTTTGAATGTGGGCTTGTAAAGAGTTGCGGCTTTTAGCTTTTTTTCCTCACGCTGGAGCGGGCACCCAATGCTGTTCATGGTCAGTAAGTGATTGAATGGGCTCCACATGATAGCAGTTGTTCTAGTTTTCCTGTATGAGGATCACAAGACTCAATCAAAATGAGCCTACCGACGAGCAGTGAAGCAGAGCGGCCACGGTTCGGGCTGCGATCGTGCAGCTACCGCGGCCCTTCTCTCGCTGGAGACGCATCCACTGTAGCGGTATCGGGGTACTTGCGACGAGGTGCAGCGAGTCCGAGCAAAATGTCGTCAGATGGAGAGCCACGGGACACAGTCGGGAAGTGTCTGCCTGGTGTCATGACGACTGTAGGCGTACGTGCATTTTCTATGGGTGCTGATCTTTATGTCAAGAGCGGCCCCTCGGCTTGCTGCACGTTGACAAACATATTGAGTTCCGGTGGCAGCTGTAGAAATATTCACGTGCATGGAGTACGCATGATTCCGACCAAAAGCGGAGGTGACGCTAAAACGAGTGACAAGCTTTCAATACTATGTTGGGGTGAGGATACGGTCGCGCTCGTGGGGATCACGGTTCAGATAGTTGATCAAGAGACACAGCTCTTGCAAAAGTCACCCACCAAGAGGATAACATTTGGTGGCGAATGGGTCCTCGCTGCAACCTGCGTCCAGCAAGACTATAGGATGGAGGAAGCTGCATCTGCGGATAATGATTCCTCTAGGGAACAGCTGGCCTGTGGTGGAGAGGTTTTCCTAGAAGCCTTTCTTGCACGCGGTATCGTGAGACGTGTTCCGCTATCGGCTAGGGGCTCAATTACGGGTTGTAGGCCAAAAGCAGGTCTTGTAACACGTGAACGACTGTCAAAAGCGGTAAGTTACTGTGCGGATGTCTCATCGAAAATGCTCGTCTGTGGTGGACCCTTCGGGCGGGTCGTAGTCTTTCACAGAAATCCATCGGGGTCTTCATCGACGTTGAATTATCACACCAACCGAGGCTCAGAGACATCAGTGGGTTCGCATCCCCACGCGGCAGTGTTATGCGTGAAGATTGTAGGCGATTCTACAATTTTGTCGGGCTCGGACGACAGGACAGTACGCGTTTGGAAAAAGGACGCAAAGAAGTCCAACCCAGAACAATCGCCCTGGACGTTGGCAGGGACGCTCATCGGGCATGGCGGCAAGGTGACTTGTGTTCGAACAATCACCGCGAGAGCCGATGATCTTGTTTTTGCCAGTGCGTCTGAGGACCAGACCGTTCGTTTGTGGAAACATTTTCGATGTGTCCAAGTCTTCAATCACACAGCACCGCTCCGCTGGTGCTGTCTTGCTTTTGTGGAAGCACGATCACAGCGTGATTCTTTCGACGGAGAAGAAGAAGCCTGTCGAGCGGACGTTGAAATTCTTGGAAGTCCGAGTAGGTCCTCGCCAGCGATTCTCTGCGGTGGGGACAGTGGAGTCTACTGCTTCGCGGACGTGGACAGGAGAGTACTTGCTTCCTCAAGGAGTGATCCCGACGGTGCAGATCATGAGGACGGAGACGATCTTCTTGCGAAGAAGAAACGCCGATGTATACGGGACGATACCTCGGACAGAGCTTCCGCTAATATCGCAACAAAGATGATGGCTAACATGAGTATGACCAGTAGCACCAGCACTTCTTCAACTTCATCAACTCCTAACGCCGTGAGAAAGTTATTGATTGACGAACCTGAGACCGACTGGGTCCGTGACATCGTCAAATCGGGAGATTCCTACTTGGTTGTGTCAAACTTCGGACGCGTGTATGAACTTCAAGCCAAATCGGGAAATTGTAAGCAAAAGTGGACGCTGGATTTATCAACTATGACAGAGCGAACTGGTGAGCGCGAACATCACTCCTCTTGCTCCCAAGTCCAATTTACTACTGCTGTAGCTATCCGACAGGAACGCACTTCTACACTGGAACCGGCCCAGGTTTTTGCCGTGGGAACTGCATGTGGCCGTGTCTGCGTTGGCTACAGGAGCGGTATCGAGTCGCTTTCGGCTGAGCTTCCACAACTATCGCTGAAGATGACAATGGCAGAGAGGCCCTTTCCCGACGGTCGTCGCGTAGTAAAAATGTGGAACCTGGGTTCCCGGCTGCTAGTTACCACTGCGAACGAGGTGGTTTGCTACCAGATAGGATTTCGAAGCAGTAGTGTTGAAGACGACGGAGAGCAGCAAACTGAAGGTGGAGCTAGACCACCAGATGAACAGAAAGTTCTTGATTTTTCTCTAGAGTGGACTCTGCCGCAATTGAAGATACGGAGTTGTGCTTTGCTCAGAAAGTACAACGCCGTGGTTTTCGGCGACGATCAGGGAAGACTACGCGTCTTTGCATTGCAATCAGGAAAATTGTTGGCAGAACACGCCAAGGCACATGCTGGGAAAATCCTAGAAATTCTCAACCTCGGTGAGGACGATGACACATTTGTGACCACGGGCGCAGACTCGAGTGTAAGTCAGTGGAGGTGCTGCGCTGGGCAAGATTTTCTTCATGCGGAGGATCCGGACAGGAGTAGCGCAAGAACCACATGTGAAACGAAGAATCTTCAAGTGCCAACGACTACAATTTTTCTTCAATGTCAGTTTTCCTACAAGTGTCCTCAGATTTCTCAGATCCAATTCTATGGGGAAGAGAAAGCGCTTTTAGGCGGCTTCAATGCGGGTGATTTCGTCTTAGTGGCTGAGTTCGGAACAGAAGAAGTAGCGAGAATATCGTGTGGTGGCGCAAAGCGCGCTTTTTCTATTTGCAGCAACGAATTTGCGTTTAGTCGCAAATCCCTAGTCGAGATCCACACGTTGCCTCGTGCTGGAGACACATGTCAAAAGGTTCTAGATGCTACTGCGGGAAAAGAGATCCTGGCGCTGGCTGCTCCTCCAGGTGGGAATGAAGAGGATGTTGTGTTCTTCTCTGGCGGCGAAGAAAATGTTTTGCTGGCTCATACACTCATCCACTCGGAGTCTTCAACGGGCGAAAACGAGATCGCGCCAAGAATGAAAACAACTCGTGTGCACCGCCAGGCGTCAGCGGTGAAGGCGCTTTCGTGGTCCTCTGATGGTTGTATCTACGCTGGTACGGCGCACGGGGAGCTTAAAGTTTTTGAGACTACATCGCCATTCAGATTACAGTCTGCGGTCACAGTCGCTGCGAATCAAAGAATTCTTGCAGTAGCTACTGGAGATGTGGTTGCGGGTGGAGGAGGAAGCAAAAACGACACAATATGGGCGGCAACGACCTCTCTCGGGACAGTGCTGGTAGGGACATCCGCATCTTCGTCGTCGACAGCACGTAGGACTTCATCCTTTGATTCCATTCCCTTGTGCGGTACAGGAATAGGGGTTTCCCTACTTGTGATTCCCATGAGGAGCAGTTCCAGCGTTGTTGCACAAGCACTTGTCGGCGCGACTGATGGTTACATCTATATGTTTGACGTGCTAGCATTCGAGCAGACAAGTTCCACGGCGGAGCAAAGTCATTCAAGGATTTTTTTCAGGTATCGAATCCCGCTGCCTGGAAGTGTGAGTGCGTTGTGCCGTGTTGATGTACTTGGGCACAATGAAAAGCGGGGTCCATTAGTTGCAGCCTGTTGCGATGATGGTTTTTGCTATGTCATTTATCTCTCTGCTAGTGGTAGTTTCAGTACCTCCGAGAACAGCATCGATAGTTCTTTCACCAGTACCAACACCACCACTTCGAGTATGAAAAGTTGGAACATTGTCGCAAAAACAGCGATGCCCTCGGTTGCGACTCTGAAGGGCGTGAGATTCTGCACAAGACGGCAGGTCTTAATAACAGCTGGGTGGGACAGGTGCGTGCGCTTGTGGGATATGGGAGTACTTTCAATAGAGCGCTGCGACCTAGACTTTGACGCCCCAATGCAACTTCCGTGTCTATCCTGCGTGCAAACGGGCGTGACAGAATTACAGTCGCTGTGCTTCGACGGCGCTTCTACTGTGGTTGTTGCTGGTCGGGGCACGGAAGTCTTGAATGTCGTTTGAGGAAATTTCTCGTTGATTGAGTTTCCAACTTTCCGAGACTGCGAAGCCAAGACGCGACGTAACAAGCCGCGCTTAGCTTTGTTTTGAGCGAGCACTGAAGCAGCAGCGTGCGTTTGCGTTAGTACTTACACATGAATGGACATGTCATGACCCATGAAGCGAATCCAATCCTCATAACTTTTTTTCCCTTTTCACCGAGTCTCGGGTTTAGCAATCAACAACTTTCCGCCGCAGCGGAAATGCACTAAGTGCTGTTAGGCCAAAGATCTCCTAGAAAAAAAATGGAGAGACGACGAAGATCTGAAATTCGATCTTGGCAAGATCCTGTATTGTCCACAAAGATTGTGGATCCGGTGTACTAGCCACATATGCAACAAGATCCTTGAATGATGTGAGGTCTCCTTGTTTGCATACGAATTACAATGAGGGATAAGAAGAGGTAAGTAGATATCTATCTTAGCCCAACATCCTCGGAGGCGAGCAGGTGCCCGTGAGGCTCGCTGTGAAGGATTCACAACCTAACCTAACCTAGCTTTTTGATAATACAAAAATGAACACTCGGTGAAAACCGCTTACTCAACAACAGTGCGGGAAAAAATGAAAGTGCGTATTTATTGGAGTTGACTTTTATTGTGCCTTCATGTGGAGTACCCACAGTCTATTGAAGTAGTCAGAACCCTTAAAACAGGCCTGAATCATTGTAGCTCCATTTTTCCCCGTCCTCTTCTTTTGTTTGTTCCTCGTCCACGAGCACCAAGCCACCCCCACTCGTGCTGTTGCGTATCTGTTGTAGCTTCTTCATACTGAATTTTCATTCGGTTTTTGACCACTGTACCTCCCTCCTGCACAGTTCATGTAAGTAAGCAAAGCCTTTGAGGCTCAATAGTACTAGTAGATTGCGCATAGTCAGGCAAAAAGTGGATGGCAACAGAGGGAATACTTTCCTAACCTGTTGGGATCGTCGGCCTCTAGAGGGGTGGAAGACTGTCCGCGAACGTGTGACATATTCTGCCACGTCCGACATCTTCATGGTCACCTCGTCATTTACGAATCTAAGTCTGCAAGTGGAAGAAATTCTTTCCGGGTGTGGGAAAGCCAGTGTTTGAGTCGCTCGTCAAAGTCGCAGTATAGCAAGAGAAAGAAGCTCGGGAATCGTCACAACTACTCATTTTCGAACGGATTGAGGAAATTCCCGGTGGGAAGATACGCAATCGCCTCCGACCCCTTGTACAGTTGTAGACATAGAAGTAAAACGACGTGATGTAATGCTTCAAAACTAGCAGTAGAGAACGACGAGTACTAAAGCGGACGAAAGTATACAGCTTTAGCAGCTACTCGAGAAATTGACAGCTTCATCTGAGTCACTACGCATTCGTGGGGGCCACTTAAGCATCATCATCAAAGACGCAGTGATTCAACCCGCCAAAAACTCGTCAGGATGAATTTGTTTTTCGGGGGTAAGAAGAAGGAGGCGGCGGCGCCGCCAAAACCCAAGGTGAACCTGGGCTCCGAAGCGGCAGATACAATAAAGAAGCTCAGAGGCGATATAACAGCTTTGGAAAAAAGACGGAAGTACATGGACGTCCAAGTGACAGAGCTTGACGAGACGGTGAGGGAGAAAGTCAGAAAGAAAGACAAAAACGGCGCGAAAATGGCGCTTCTGAGAAAGCAGGCATTAGTGAAGAACGCAGGACAAATCGACAATCAAATACTTACGCTGGAGAACCAGTGCATGTACTTCCTTCTGATTATACCTGAAATGCTATCCTGCTTAATTATGTCTATACAACCCACTAGCCTGTAATTGGAGCATTAGCACTTGTAGGGCAATGAATTATGCGGTTGGAGGACTCGTGTCTTTCTTCAGCATGCCTTATGATTTCTGGAAGGTTGACACAGTGGTTCTTTTCACTTACTCTATCTACACCAGGGATGTAATGCGAAACCGCAACCTTTTTTATGGATTGACAAAACTAATCAAACAGGCAATTGGAGAACGCAACAACGAATATGACTGCGGTAAAGGCAATGGAGAGTGGATTGAATATGCAGAAGAAGATCGCAAAGGAAATGAACGCAGACAAGGTAGAGACTCTCTTCGACGAACTGGCGGAACAGAACGAATTCAGCAACGAAGTTTCCGATCTTTTCGCGCAGAGTACTACTTCTTATTTACTATTCGTATTTGTTTTTGTTGTTGTTGATGATGGGACTAGGCTTTCTTAAATCCTGCTTGATTTGCTGCGGGGTCAGTAGCTGCTTTTCTTTGTGCGATGTTTTTCGTAGATATTTTTGTTCTAGACATCGGAAGAAGGAAGTGAGTCGGAATTTTCAGTCAAATACACCAAACCATGATACATAGGACCAGTTGTTTACTGAAGGAACTTTATCCCTTTATACTACCTTCACAGACGCAGAGCAGATTGGAGGGGACATGGATGTGGACGAAGAGTTGGATCAGCTCTCTGCACAGCTACTGCAGGAAGACCTGCTCAACACGCAAGCGGTGCCCGCAGGTGGACAGCCCTCCCGGGCACCAGCTGCTGCTGCGCCTTCCGCGGCACCGGCGCAAGAGGTACGTTTAGTGCGGATTTCGATTCTTTTTTTAGACCTTTTTTTATTTTCTTGATTTACCTCTTGATTTAACTAAGCTAACTTATAGTTAGATGTTGTTTCACATCGCAAACTTCATCGCCCATTCAACATGATTGCTCATGTTCCATCATTTGGACAAGTACAACGACACTTCTTCAAGAGAAATAGGGGTAAGTACTTATGATTTACCTATTGTTACAGGCAAAACCCAGTGCGAGTGCTCTAGCAGCAGACGAAGAGGCGCAGTTAGCGGAGCTTCAAGCCCAACTGAACTTCGCATAGTTTGGATTTTTTGGAGACATTACTTTTTTTCGTCGTTATGAGAATCAATCACATTGAAAACTATGGCTATATGTTCATGGTACCGTTAAAGTAAATCTATCAAGCACCAGGTTCTTCACCTATGGAACGATCGTTTGAATCTATCTATCACATTATGGAAGGAAAAGCCATCCAGCTCCCAAGAGACAAGTCGATGTTAGACGTTTTGGACACTCTATGGAAAAGCTGTGTGGAGTTGAGACGCGTTTGAGCACAAGCTGTAGACTGTTTTGGAACTTTGATGGAGCAGAAAAAATCATAGACATATTTGGCCCCTCATATATGTCGTTCTCTTGTGAATCCTCCCCTCATGGCGAAGGCCAAAGTTGACTATTTATGAACTCAACAGCAAGTCCAGAGGGTTTTTTCCTCAATCAAGTATTTTCGGGGAAAAAGGACAGACGAGACGATCCGCGTCTTCACATAATCACGGGACTACCTGTGTTCCTTGGGAAGAAGCACTGTAGCAGCTACTGCGTTAGTGCTTTCACCACTCAGCATGGAAGAGCCTGAATTGTTAATTCTCCCGCGGTGATGGATTGCTGCTCTTCTTGGTTGGCCGGCAAGAGTAGACTTGTTGGAGATCCTACGTTCCACGCTGATGACAGATCCTTAACACTTTGTTTTCTGATGTACTTCAGGGAAAATTTGTTTTTACTCGGAGTGAGAGAGTAAGATGATTGCGAAGAGTGTTCGAGCTGGTCTGATTAAGCACAATCTATGATCTTTCGTTTGGGATTTGTTTTAAACGAATCTCATCTTTCAACAAGTAAGTGCGTCACTTCATATGACAAGAGGTATATCTTCAACATCCATCTCCTATTCGTTCTAGTGGTAAAAATCGGGTCGGGCGCATAAATAGACGATAAAGATAAATTTATCGTGAGAAGGAGGATGAGGCGTCCAATGCGACCCTCCCCGGCGGGAGCACTTTTGCTCGCCGTCGGTGCCTCCGCTACGTCGGACGGAAAATTGGGGAAAGTGGTGCAGCTGCTGACCGAAATGCACAAGAGTGGAACAAAGGTTATGCGTGAAATGAAGCAAATCCATCATCAAGAACGTGCTGGTTCATGGTCTTAACATTTCTATTTTCAAATGGCGGAAGAATACGCTGGTCATGTTGGCACCAGCACAAAACGAGGAATATGGATTTGTTTCGACATCTTTAAGTTGTAGATGAAGGAGGAGCAAGTGAGGTGGAGTGGGCGTGAACAGTGGTGCAAGAATAGGCTAGACGCGCTTACTGTTGAGGTCGGTGAATTGCGAGACAGCAAGGCCGAGTACGAGGCTAGCATTGCGCAAGCATCGGCAGACATCGAGGAAATATGTAATTGATTTTGTTCAGGATTTTTGAACTATGCATTTACAAGAACCGGATTCTATGGTAAATGGATATACATGCGCAATGGGACCTCCTGTCAACGACGCAACTGGGCGCATAGTAACTGGAATTGTAGAGCGAGAAGCACAACAAAAATAAAGGGCGCAGCACGGTAACAAGAAGAAGGACAAGTCTACAATGGAAGATCAGGATGGCGCGACAACCACATCAAACACGAGAAGACAGTACCCTGCCGTGCAGCTTCATCTGAGAAATAGACACCAGCGGTCCTGAGATATACAAACAGGGATGTGGCTGTGATGCGGTGCTTGAGAACTTCGACCTGCTCTTTCGAATTTCTTTTCATGAAAAGAAAGTCTGAGACTCGCTGCCCCGCTTGCGAAGGTAGGATAATAGAAGAGAACCGATATCATACATACTGAGCTGCCCAACTCCAGCTAGCCACCACAGCCACGGAAACAGAAAACTTGAAAGCTGTAGCACAGAACGGACAATGCAAGTCTCCAGAGAAGCAGTCAGGCTTCTCACGGTGGAGATCAAATAGATGTTCGGCTGCGCACTTGTGATTCGTTCACGCAGCATTCGCGGAACATTCTTTTCTCAATGAATGTGTCAATAGTTGACGTGAATTCTATTTTTCCTAGCCACATGCTGGCATCGATCGAGTTAGTTGTTTCCGTTTGGTAGTCCCATTGAATTTTACTGACTTTCCTATCAACAGCTGCGAATCTCGAAGAGCTATCTGCGACTATCCAAGATCGAGAGGCAAAAAAAAAGGCAGCCACCGCCACAAGAGAAGAAGAGCACAAGGCTTATCTCCTTGAACAGAAGGACTACGAAGAGTCCGTATTGGCATTAGAAAAGGCGACTCAGATTATCGAGCGACATCAGTCGAAGTTTGGATCCGTGAAGCAAGAATCCTTCATGCAAGTATCGCAGCAGCTTCCGGAAAATCTTCGCGGCTTAGTTATGGGGCTAGTGGAAGTTGATGGTATTGTGCATGCTAGTGGAAATTGTCTTGCTCACATATCCGCATAGCCGATAGCAGATCCACGCAAATAAACAGACTCGCTTTTACCGTTTGGTAATGCCAGTCCGAATCATTTTTCAGTGAACTTCTACGCGTTCTTTAGATTATTTAGATTTTATCTCCGTCACCGCGATAATCAATCAAATGTATGAATCACAGCACCGGCAACCGGAGAGGCAAAGGCATATGAGGCAAAGACTGGAGGAGTACTCGGCATTTTGGAAAAGTCACTTGACGAATTCCGGGAGAAAGTTCACGGAACCGAAATGGCAGAGATGAACAGAAGACACAACTACGAAAATATGATTCAGCTTCTCACTGAAGATATTGCTTCCGCCACGACCGCAACTGAAGATCAGACGGTACTCATAATTTTTCTTCGTGTAGCTTATCTGCCTAATCGTGCTAGGGTCGTGTGAATCATTTGCAGGGTACTCGATAGAGAATGTCTAAAAAATCTAATTTTCTCAACATCGACCAAAATCATACCTACGGATTGAAGGTCAACCTGCAAAACCGAAAGGAGGATGAGGCAAAAGCGGAAGGCCTGCTCGCAACAACTAAGGACGATCTCAAGGACACGAGTATCGAGAAGCAAGACACAGCCCTGACCTGCGCTACCGAGTCTAAGGAGTACAACGCGAAGCAGCGCGTCCGCGGAGACGAACTCACTGCCCTTGATAAAGCGATCGAAATTCTGGGTGGAATTGGTTCTTTCGCTCAGCAGGCAGCATCGTTTTTGCAATTATCAATCGCGGTTATGATAGGACATGTACCTTTTTTCTAAGCGTCGTTGCGAATCACCACTCATTTGTAGGTAGTTACAGGGATTAAGAAACGGATTGAGAAAATCTGAACTAGTACTTTAGGATCGATATTTTCCAGACTAGCCGCCATCAATATCTTGCATAGCACCGTGGAGCCACACTCTTCTCTTTCTGCTTTCATACCCTGGAAGAACGTGGAGCAAAACGTGCGGGACATGGGCGAAAGCGCGAAAATTAGCATGTTCTTGCGCCACCAGTCCGACAAGCTTCGCAGCCGCAGTCTAGCGCAGGTCGCAGAGCGATTAGCGGAGGATCCGTTTGTGAAGGTGCGCTCTATGGTCAAGGAAATGATCGACAAGCTACAGAAGGAAGGCCGCGCGGACGCCAAGCTAGAAGCTTTCTGCAAACTCAACTTCGGAAAAGCCAAGCGAAAGATGAAGAAGTACAATGCGGCAGCCGACAAATACACTGCCGAAAAGGACAAGCAAGCAGCACTCAACGAGAAACTCACCGAGAGCGCCAAAGAGCTGGCTGCAGAGGTACTACTATATTAATACTTATACAGTTAAGCAAGTTCTACAATCTCCTTAAGAGTGGCTTCGTGAGGGCAGCTTCTTAAGGAAGCCACTTAACATAGCTCCTTAAAGGTATCTATATTATGCTGTTGATGGTTGTGATGTTGAAAACATACAGTCTTTGGACTTGCCTTTCATCCAAGACTTCGTAGTTTCTTTCCCTAACAACCCTTATTGCCATCGCCACAAACAGATTGCTGCCCTGCGTGCCGCTATGGCGGATTCAACAAAGGCGCGAAACGAAGAAAAGAAGGCGAACACAGCCGCGATTGCCGAAGCGAAGGACGGCTCTGAAGCGGTAATGTGAATCTTGAGGATTTTTTGCAGAGATTTAGTATGTTATTGTCAATGTTTCTAGATAGCTTTCTTCTGTTGATGCATCTCCTATCTTCGAATCTAGTGGATGGTTATGCTTTTACCATAAACCCATACGCCATACAGGTTTCGCAAGCCTTGGAGGTTCTCCGTGCGTTCTATGAGAAGGCTGGTGCAGAAGTTGGTTCCTTTCTGCAGATTGGAAAGAAGGTGCAAATTCCGAAGCCGGGATCCGCCGCTTGGGACGCTATGGGCCCGCCAGACTTCGTGGACCCCAGTGCTACGCCGGAAGCCTACGAAACCCTCCCGGCCGGCAAGGGCTACGCTGGGCAACAGGACAAGGCCACAGGTGTTTTGGGCATTCTGGAGGTGATCGAGCAGGACTTTGCCCGCGACGCGGCCGAAACCGAGACTGCGGAGGCCGAGGCCAGCGCAGAGTACGCGAAGTTCATGCAGGACAGCAAGGTGGCTCTGGCTGAGAAGGATACCAATTTGCAACTGCAACGCCAAGATGCAGCAGCTGCGAAGGCGGCCAGTGCAGCGGCCGCTGAAAATCTCGAAAATACGGAAAAGCAGCTGAAAGCAGCCGAGGACGAGTACAATGCCTTAAAGCCTCAGTGCCCGGCTTCGTCCGGTGGTACCAAGGGGGAGGTCACCTTCGAGGAACGCACTGCTCAGCGACAGGAGGAGATTGATTCGCTGAAACAAGCCCTAGAAATGCTCACAAGCTAAGAATTTTTTTTTCACTTTGAGTAAATGGCCCGCGTCATATTGTAGAGAGGATTTGGATTTTAGTCGTACTATTACTCTGTGGTGGTGAATCCGACCTAAATTATCTAAATGAATCCTTCAAATGTATTTTGCTTGTGCGATTCCATGAAAAGTTTTGTTGAAACAGAGTTTACTAGGTCGGGCTGAGGGGATCAGCGTAAGTCTGTACAGAGAGTTTCCATTTTATCGCAATAATGAATGTGATGTATCGAGATGTTTCCTTTGCTTTGATTCATTGGATCGGTTTTGTTTTCAGCATACAGCGCAGCTCATGGGCATAACGACCTTATTTTATTAACGATACCTGGCAACATTATCATACTCGATCCAATTCATGGATTTATTGAATTTACTGGCAAATCAACGACACAACAAATACTGATATCAATTTACGCAAAGCTCTCCGGAGCGCAATGACTTATTATATTTGATTTTCATGATACGTACTGCTACGTCTGCGAGCAGCTGTGATCTGAAATGGAGCGGGGTCATGTTTTACCCAAAGCAAGGAAAAGTCACAAAATGTTTTCACGTGACAGCCATCTCGCGACAGCAGCGTTGCACGAAACGCGAGATCAAAGTTTGTGTCTACGGTTCACCAAAACGTTCGTTCATGTTCGAGGGAAGAGATCGTGAAAGCAACATACAGGGATGATGGAATTCTAAGCGACGCGGCTGGTAGATCACAGGGCATATTGTCTGTGAGAATTGTTGGCGTGCATTGTGAAGAGACACAAGTCAACGCTGATGCTTTGTTCCCCAAATTCAGGCCCACGAGATGTCCTTCCCCTTTGTCTCGAGATTCCCTTTTCTGACTTTTGGCTTTTTGTAGAAGATATTATGAAAACATTTTTCTTTTCTTCGATCTCCTATGTATAAATGTCTAAGGATACGTTGCTAACGCATCTCTGTTCGCGGTAGCACCGCTTTTGTTTTTGATGATTCAACCGCTATCAGTACTGTAGATTGTGTCATGTGTTTCTCCGTATGCCGTCTTATTCATGACGACGTGATTGGTTCGTCCGCTCTTGGTTACGACGTAGAGACGTAATGCAACACGGAAGACAGATACGGAAAGTATCCGTCCAGGTGAAATACGCAAACACACTTCATCTGAACTGTTACGGCGGCGACCTCTGGTTATAAACGAGTCGATGAACAACACATGGTAAGACGTGGCTTACGTTTCATCACACGGGCAGTGTCATCATGGTTCGTTGTAACCGCACCGCTGCTGATAGGCTCGGAACTCTCGCAGGCAGTCGGTGCTATGGAAGGGACCAGAGACGAAGCGACGGGCCTGACACAGACGGAGGCGCCAGCGCTTTCCAGTGCGGCAGATGGCGACAGTCGCTCGAACGGGGACACTACGAATGTTGTTTTTACGAAGAAAGGCCACGACGCTCTACCAGCAACCAGGCACGAAACCACAGTCGTAGTAAAACACGGGATAGATGTCGAACCGTCATCGGAAGACAAAATTGAAATCGAGAAGCAAGGAGAGGATAGTCTCCTGTACAAATTGGGCTTTTTGGTGATGCAGATCTGCGCCTTCGTCTACGCCTTCGGCGGTCTCGCCCTTTCTGCTGATCACATGGTGAATTCTATGGAGACGCTATGTGCGCGCAATGCCATTCCAGAAGACGTTGGAGGGGCTAGCTTCATGGCATTTGGATCCGCTATTCCAGAAATAATGGTGAATGCAATTTCTACTTATCGGAGCACGGGTCGGCGTAGGCTTCTCGAGCTGGACCCAGATGCCGCGAGTCCTGCAGACCTAGGCATCGGAGGAATCTTGGGAAGCGGGTTCATTGCGTTTCTGCTAATCCCCAGTCTGTGCATCTGGTTCTCACCTCGTCGAGCGGGATGGAGGCAGCTTGTTTTGAAGCGCAGCGTTGTACAGAGAGACACGCTGTTCTATGCTGTCGCGCTTGTGCTACTCATTGTCGCTCTGCACTTCCGAGAGGCAACACTGCTGTTTTCGTTTGCGCTCTTGGCTGTATACGGTCTGTATCTCGCAGCGCTCTTCCGCGAGCGGCGACGATACAGTGCTTTGAGTGGAGACAACGGTGGCGACGCTTTGAACGCTGCTGCAGATGATGGCATTGTTCTGGCTCACCCAGCGGAATCGACGCTACGATATTCACCCCCTGTCGCAGACCGAAACATTGAACTGCAAGATCATGCTTCAATACGCCAAACGGACTTGAGAGGAGCAGCATTTGAGCAAGGGTGTGTCGACACAACTGACCGACAGACCTCGGCTACAAGTAGCACTACAGCGTCTTCCTCCGAAAACTCTGTGATATCAACAGCAGACTACAATCTCATGGTAGAGCCAGACTCACAGCACGCTTCGCCCTACAGTGTGCGCTATTCCCTACCGGCGCGCACTGGACTCCAAGGGAGTAACACCGACCCAGCAAGTGGCTCAAGAACACTGGATGTTGCCTCAGCAAGTCGTCGACTTCAGTATGACGACGACGCGACGGACGACTCGGGGACCAGCAATGCAAGATCCCTGTTTTTCGATGATGGCGACGATGATGAGGCAGATGACGATCTACCAGATGGCTTGGGGCTCATGGCGGAACACGCATCAACATCTTTGAGAGTGAGCACAGATGTCGTGCCAGGCTTTGGTCCGCCTTTTGCGTTTGGAGACACGACCAACACAACAAGCCATGATTTTTCCCTCGATCCGAGTACCCTTTTCGACGATAGCAGCGGAAGTACTGCTACCTCTAGGACTGTAGGCCCATGGAAACGTTGTACTAGTATCTGCCATTTAATTTGTGCACTTTGCCTTTCCGCACGTCTGAAGATGTCGCGTTGTGCTTGGTCACCGTCATTTAGTGGAGTAAGTATTTGCGGACCACGACGACGTCGTCGGCTCCGAAGACTCGGCATACTTGCTGAGCTCCTCATCCGCCGAGTCTTTGCGCCCGTTGATTTTCTATTGCGCAAGACGTGCCCAGACTGTCGTGAGGGTGAACCGTGGGAGCGATTCTACGCGGTGACTTTTTTCACGAGTTTCGCCTGGATTTCGCTCTTTTCCTACGTGATTACGGAGCTCTCATGCGCGTGGGTAGACGCTCTGGGCGTTCCTAGCATGATGGCTTTTTTCGGCATTTGTCTGGTTGCCGTGGGCGCGGAGATTCCGGACGCTGTAAACTCAGTTACGGTGGCGCGTCGCGGCTTGGGGTCTATGGCTGTCTCCGCATGCGTGGGTTCCCAAATTGCGAACATCTGTTTAGGGCTTGGCCTCTCGTGGTTCCTGGCTTGTGCAGTAGACGGCGCGCCGGTGGAGATTGGGCGCCACGACCGGCTCATCCAGGTAGCCAGTCGAGCACAGCTAGCCAATGTGGGCCTCTTCTATGCAGTGACAACGTTGTTCTGCAACAACCTACGACCCGACGGTACGGTTGCTCTCGGCGTCCGCCACACCCTCCTCTTCGGTGCCAGTTACGCACTGTGGATGCTGCTTTTCGCGCTCGTAGCGCTTTTAGGAACGACAAGTCATGTCCAGAGCGCAATAGATGCATCATGAACATGACGATGAGAACCGCGTTTTTTCTCAGTCTGGACACTCTGTGCTCGGTGACCGCCGTTGCCATGTCGGGAAACACAGCACCCCAATAGAGGCGGCTTTTCAGCATTCCTTGTATGTCGAGAACAGGTGCTTGATGGATAGCTAACGCAGAAATTGGCAAGGGCAACAACAAAATGGCGAAAAAGTAGAAATGCTTTTTCTGATCGATTCGCACATCAAGCGGCGGTTGGCATTCCGGCGCTTTGGTGGAGACCGAGGGCTAGGCACGAGGGGCTCGATGCTCTTCGCCGCTTCTAGTGATCTAATAGCAGATTGTTCTCACGAAATTAGAAACCTCGCGCAAGGCGTACTGACTTTGTCTTCATGCTCCCTAAGCCTCAAACAATCTGTGCTAGTTACTCAAATTCACCTTTCTGTGGATAGAAATGAAATGAGTCTATTAGAGCGAAAGCTCACGCGTCAAGGTTATGAGTTGGACATAAGCACAAATCGGATTTGCGGCGTTCTTTCGAGAGGCGCTCTCATTTTTTCCAGAGGAGTAGTTTAGAATGAAGGCTCATTCGCTGATCGAAACCGATGATATTGTGGTCATCCGAGTTTGCTACTTAGTTTCCGTGTTCAAGAAAAGAGAAGAGAGCGAGAGATAGTACACAAGTCGTTATAAAGACTACCGATAAGTAAGTAAGTAAGTAAGTAAGTAAGTAAGTAAGTAAGTAAGTATGTAAGTAAGTAAGTAAGTCAGCCTATTGAAGCCGAGGACAAGGAAAGGGGTTTTATTTGAGAAAATGGTCCAAACGATGCATTTGAACGTCGTCCGATCGTCGAACGTGAGCAGGACCCCGAAAATATGGACATATACCAACTCGATTGTGTGGCTCCGTCCAATCAAATCGAGCCTTCTCGCGTCAGAAAGATTTTCTCGTTTTGCGTAGCTAGTTTTAGTGTGAACATTGCGCTCTAGAAATTTCTCTGAGGAAAAAAGATTTATAGTTCAAACGTCGTTGTAGGAGCATATGAAGACAACATCTTTTGATTCTCATACATAGCTCAATCAGTTATTTGCTGACCGAAAACAGTATTGAAAATGGCAACTTCATCCGACGGCGTTCCGATCGAGGTACGGGTGCTCGTGGTGGGCGAGGCGGCAGTGGGAAAAAGTTCACTGGTAATGCCTTTGCTAGAGGAGGTATGCTAATCCATCATCAAACTACCCTATAAATTTCGAGCGATGAGGGACAGCACACTGACTTCTACTTCGGAATTGGCACCTACACGTAGACATTTCTAGAAGATTTAGATCTGTAGTCAATTACAATTACTTCTACACTCAACGCAGGTGTCTTCGCTGATTCAGAAGGACGCAGGCCAGCAGGACATTACCATCGGGCATAAGACGAGTGTTTGGCAGTTCGACGTCGATTCGGATTTCGGTCGGAAGCGACGCATTCACATGGTTTTGACCGATGTTGGTGGCGGGCAAGCGATGCGCGCGCTTCAGCGGGACATGTTCAAGGGCAGCACAGCCGTAATCTTCGTTTTCGACCTCTGCGACCGTTCGAGTTTTACGCGGTTAAACAGCTGGCTTCGGGAAATCAAGGAGACGTGCGGAAAAACGAATCCCCACCTGATTAAGGTGCTGGTAGGGAACAAGGCGGATCTGGCGAACAGCGACAGCATTGTGCAGCAGGGAGAACACAGGCAAGTGCGAGAGGCAGAAGCAAGGGAGTTCGCCTACGCTGCTGGAATGAAATACGCAGAAACGAGCGCTCACACCGGACAAAACGTGGAACCAATGATATTACGGTCAACTTCTTGATGATATATTCTCGTTTCGGTTCCTCGTTAGTGGCCGTCTTGATGATATATTGTAGCAACGGTTGTTCGCTAGTTGTGGTTTCGGTTGTTTGCTAGTATGGGTACTTGAGCCGAATCATCTTGATCATTCTAGTTTCGATTCTTCGCTACTGATATTGCAACTTTCCGCGACACTGAGGTGTGTACAACTACTTATCACAGTTATAGTTTTCATGTAACGTACTAGTCTAGGATTACCTCTTACATTATGATATGGTGATCTCCAGTGCTTTTCATGAGCCCGCTCCATTCCTTTTCGAAGACGTCTACTTCTGCATGGATGTTGTAACGAGAGATCGACCTGAGTAATTATCTCTAATTTTTCGAGAGATCGGACGGGACATTGCGAGTATGGTTGCAGTTGGCGAGATTCCGCTTGATACGCCCGACGTGCACGGGGTGCGGCTGGCAAAAATACCTATGCATGGAGGGACCATGCGTCCCTACGGAGCGAATAGTATATTTTTTTTACACTTGATAAATTCATTTGTAACTAATATTGCTTTTTGTGACCACTCACAGTGAGGGCACCTTCCTTGGTAATTTTGTACACTCCTCTCTTTGAATTTTACAGGCGTTGTATTGTGCCCTGATATGCGAGACATGCTCTTTCGTTTTTGTCAAGTGCCCGTATACGGCTGATGAACAAATGAATGTGGACGGTGAATAGGGATAGGGCCCACTAGGCATAGGGATAGGGCTCTTTAGGCTGGCAGGTTACCAAAATATATGAATAGTTTGTGGAAGTTGTATCTGCGTTTAGTTTATCGTGTATGTAAAGCTCATGGAGCTTGGAGGCTAGTCTGATCATAGACGTATTACAAGCAAGTTGCTGCACTTCGATCGATCCCATTGAGTCGTGCATGATGATAGTTGTAAATCTGTTTTTATGGATTCAGTTTTTCTTTTTGGCGCATTGGGGTGAAAGTTTTCGTGTGTAGATCTATCTCGTTTTGATTTAAGTTCTTCTAATTCTCGAGGTTTTATTCTAGTCGTTTTGTAATTGTAGTCTTTCTATCCACTCAGGTACGATGTTTGTAGCAACTCTTGATTTTTATTTCGTATCTACCGCACTCAACGTCCTCCCCAAGCAAGGTCCCGAGTGTCCGCAACTCGGTTTTTTCGGGAGGTGGTGTGCGTTTGATTCTTTTACCAAAGCATAGAAGCGCATTTTTATCCTTGGAGACACTTGCCGCAGGGAACCTGACGGCCGACGCTGCGCCGACGCGCCTCCGATGAGAAGGCAGCATGCGCGCGACGCAACCAAAAGAAGAAAGGAAGATTCTTTTCGCGGCTAAGGGGGAGGATGCAATAGTATCGAAAAGGTCGGGAAGGGCGACACGCAGGGACACGACTTCCTCGGCGAGAAGATAGTGCGTTGTCCAACTTCTGATGAGACATGTCTATAACGACTTACGAATAGAAGTATGATACTTACCTCATTGCAGTTCACGAGCCTAACCAGGGCTACGATATTTACAGCGCATAGGTAGTAGGAAATAAGTAAGTATTTGATTGATTTCATCAGTTTTCTTTTCTACTTGGGTCTCTAATGGAACTAGAGGAGAACTTCTTTTCCAAAGAAAAGATCAATTCATGGTCTAAACTTCGCTTCCTTGTGGTGTAGTGGGAACACCACAACCGACAAGCACGATCCTTTCTTCCGCTCCTCTCTGATGATATTAGTACTGTCTTTTTGTTGTTTTGTGACATGATTCTTTTACAGCGCCATACATTCTGGATTTCTGACGTGGTGATGATTTTCCTGCTCGCTCGCCTGGGTGCTGGATTCTGCTAGTGTTGTTGCATCTTCGGCCACGGAACCAAGTTGGAGTCCTGGCGGCAAATAACAGCAGGAAAGCCATCGGAAGCGATGCGCTGTCTGTCAAGAAGATATCGAGTCTGTAAAGGAAATCATGCCCCCAAGACGTTCGGTCTTTCACTCGGACTGATACGAGGGCACTTCTCGGTTTCTGTTGGCGATACATAAATGAACCGAAAGAGTAAAGCCGTGAGCTTAGTGACTCCCGGCGCCGAATCGGTTTTCTCTGTCATCTTCTGTGCACGCATGTCCTTGCAAACTGACGAGTACCTCATATGTTCCTCTTCCCGACCCCGATTGGTTGTATTGATTTAGATTTTGGGCCACCCCGGTTTTGGGCCATCACCAGTTCTCTATCTCGCGAGTTGTTCTATGTTGTGAAGGTAAGGGCATGACAACCAGCAGGCGGTAACTCTCAAGAAACTTATTTGTGAGTGCTATCTTGCACTCGTAATTTGTCATTAGACAATTGTACCTACAGCTACTGCTTATACTTGGTTCCACCGCTGCAAATTCATATGCCGGCTTTGTTTGCCTGATGCTGCTTGAGTTACGAAGTGAGCCGTGAGCTTCCATAGCCATCACCGTGACTGCATTTCATGTCAATTTTTCGTGTCATGGAGTGACTCCGCGAGTACGAACCACAGAATACTCCTGCTAAAGAAGTCGAATGGAAAAAAGAGCGTGGGAACCCTCAGAGCTACTTACGAGTAATCTGCTGAAGCTAACCTGGACGGTTCTTGCACTGTCAGTTTGTATTCGGGTTCTCACTTAGCGAAGAGTGCTGCGCTAGTTGTGCAACTGACACGTTTGGACCGTAGGCGAAGCGCTAAAGAAAGCAGTAAGGGATGTGGCCTCCGATACTGGATTCGATTCCCCCAGAGGGTCCACCGACCCCGCCTTTGATTAAAGACAGGAGGACAGCGGAGACCAAAAAAGCCAAGGAGGATGCAGAGGAGAAAAGGGTACATGTGCTCTGTTTTCATAAGCAATAGGCGTTTTGCAGTTGTTCGACACCTGTTACAAAGCTCGTCCTCATTTGCATTTTGTACAAAAAAAAGATCCGTTTCCTGGTGGCTTTCGTAACTCTATGAATCTCTTTTATCATGTATACATCACTCAGAGGCACGAGCTCGAGCGTCGAGCATGGGAACGCGAGAGGAGGATGCTCATGCGGAAGATTCAAACTTTGGAGAAGGTGGTTTCGAATGACAAGCTGGAAAAGATGGAGTCAGCAATGGAGAGGCGGAAGCCCAAGACGTACTTCTAAGTTTGCAATTTGGAATGTCGCAGGTTGCTACAACTCGCACTATTTAATGGATTAGTGGAAATCGCTAACTGGCACTTAATAAGTATCGTGAATGCTCCTTTTTATCTTTCTTCTCAGGAAAAGCCCAAGTGTCCAGATAGCTCCGCGGCCAAGGCCCGAGGGTGCAATGGACCAGGAGGCGCTGGAAAGGCGGCCAAGAGATCCGCCAATCATGCTAGAGCCTGAATGCGTTGAGCCATTTCCAAATTTGAAGGAGGTCGAACGGAAGTCGCCGCGATCACCATCAGAGGGTCGAGCGGGATCACCCGAAGGTCGTGCCGAAAAGACGATACGTATGGGGAAACTGCAGGACTTCGATTTCAGGTTTTTACAATTTTCTAGGTAGGGAAGTCTAAGTCCGTAGGCTATGCCATTACTGACTTTTCAGAAGTATCGAGAGTGGATGATTGGCGATAACCATTTGTTTTCCTTAGAAGATACATCCTATTCATCTTTCAGGGAAGAGCTAAAAGTGATGAACAACCTGCGGATGGGTGCCTACTCCAATTCTCTCTGGGATGCCTTTTACGACTGGCAGCATACCATGAACCAGCCGTCGTACACGAGAGCGAATTCAAAGTTACGTCTATGTTTTGTTGAAAGTTCCAAGGGGGCTGTAAGTTTTGAGATTCAAGGTGTTTTTGTGCCGGTCTTACTTAGGCTTTGCCTTAGAGGTTGAGTAATAATAGTTTTGAAAGTTCACTTCTAATAACCAGTCCTTCGAAAGGTGGTGGAAGCACACGGGGTAGTCCAGCGAAGGCGAGACAAAATGAAGGGTCCTCACCATCAAAGGGAACCGGTGGGACCTCATTACAAAGGCACCCGAGCTCAAGTCCAACCAAGCATAAATCGAGCAGCGGGGGATGAGCAGATTTCCGATTGAAGAGAACAGACGGAAGAACTCATTCAATTTTGGAAATCAAGATCGTGTTCATGAACTGTCACAGTGAATGAGGTCCACGGCCTGCAATCTTATCAGTCGAAGATAAGATCTGCCTACCTAAGATGATGGAGATGTTCAAACTTGGCAGAAACAAGTATCCGGTTTTTAGTACTTCCAACCTCTCTAATTGTCGCATTTTTCGCTTTTCATTAAGAAACAGCAAGCCGAAAACAAAATGTGCGTGAAAAAAGAAAGGGAGAATCCAGGACTCATTGTTCCGTACGCGTCTGCGCTTCTACTCGTTTAAAAAGGAGCAGTCATCTCTTCTTGTATATTATTGTTAAGGTTGAAAAATGGAACTATTTCCGTCTGCGAATGATTCTTTAGACGTTGCTGAGGAGAATGGAGGCGGCAACGCCAAGGCTGCCACAGGAGTCGAGACCACAGTAGGGGTCGAAGCCGACGAATTGCGCGTCTTTCGTTTTTTTCTCCTTTGTCCGTCCATCTTCAGTTACTTTTTACTCATTGCCTCGATGCCGCAGCTAAAGTGGATCAACCACGAGGTGCCCATTGCGTGCAACTTTGTGTCGCTTTCCTGTGCCGCGCTACAGGTTTACGTTTCGGAGTTCGACGATTATAATAAGCAGGGATCGACGTCATTTCATGGGAAAAATCGTGGTTTTGTGGATTTCAAAAATGGACTCTCGGCGACGCACAGTTTTTTGGTGGCGCCATTGTCCTCGCGGTGGTGTGCTTTGCGCACTGCACCTCGATAAACGCATACTCCGGGATGGTGGCGATTCTGATCATGGCAATATGCACAGGACTGCTGCGCGACCTGGTTTGGGCGGCGCAGTGCAGGCTGCGCAGTGGTGTCGACGTTGCGGGAGGCGTCGCTGTCTCTCCGACAGCCTACAGGCAGTACCGCGAGCGTGTGATTCTGCAAGCCACGGCGAAGATGGGTGCGAGTTTGCTGTTCTGCTTTTTTACGATGGCGGAGAGGGCAGGCTGCATTGGTCTCTCTTACGAGGTGCCTTTGAAGTGTGTTCCTCTCGCATTGTCGAACGCGATCGTGGTGATGTCGGTGTCCCTGTTCAACGTATTAGTCTTCGCTCTCGGTGGAAGTGGCTTAATGCCACAGCCGTACGCAGTGCTCACGCTGTCGTCAAAGTACTTGAGCCGCGCGGAGCGTGCAGCAGCGGCGCTGCTCGTTTTCATCGTATTCTTGAACTTATTCGTGTTTGCCACAAGGGGCGTGCTGCAGTACCACGAACCCGATGAAAAAACAGGCAAGCTAAGACTGAAAAAGGAGGCGTTCCAGTATGTGCTGTTCCCATTCGCCCTTTCGTGGTTGGGGGCGATTGGATGTTTGCGCTTCAGCAGAAAGGCACGGAAGCTAGTGCGCGGGGATCTGCTGGTCTCAGCGGGGGCCTGATGCAGCATCTGCTTAAATCACGAAGAAACCCCACACAGGAAGAGCTAGTGCCGCAGGTGCTTGTACTAGAACTAGGTCCTGTTGGACCGAAAAGGCTAAGAGATGCAGAGTGACCATTGTCTCTGGGATGCCAAGCTTATTGAGTGTGTGCAAATTTGCACTGGCAAAGGCATGAGTGAAGGTTCGTTTTGGCGATGGAGCTTGTGGCGCCTGCGGGCTGTCCTTGTGGAGGTTAGCGTCAATGGCAGCGACGGTGTAGAGCACGCAGCAGTTACCTCAAGCGCACTGGTATTACCAGGTGCTCGCGGCTCCTACGTACGCAGCGCACCCGGACGAGACGACTCTTTTGTCGATGCAGTAGTAAAGGCTCGTGACAGAGCGTCGTGGGCCGTGGTTACGCGCTACATTGACTCCAGGCGGTACGCTTCGGTCGATGGAGCGCGCGCTGGCGCTATTCGTGTGTTACGAGGGACCCGCTCTGGTAGGCAGCAAGATAGGCCAAGCAGATAGCGCGTCGGGGGCTACTAATTGGTGCACGGTCTTGCTTTTGCCTAGTCAAAATCAAAATTGATCTCGGGTGATAGCTTTCTTTTTTCCAAGAAAACAAAGGTAAACGGACGCTGACGATTCTCTGCTCCACGGACGGCAAGCATTGCATTTTTTCCCCGCTAACTGCTCTCTTAGCACCAGCAGATTCTGAAAAAAGAATTGAATGCCTGCAACCTCGTGCCTTCTGTACGAAGCTTTGTCATTTCAGGACGTGTGTATGTTCAGGTCTTCGTACTTGTGTAAATGTATTCTGCGATAGGCGTTGGTGTGAGCTTGGATGATTTCTGTTCAAGTAGTAAGAAAAGATTGAGATGGTCGTCTGTGAGCTCGTAGCCTAGTTGTAAGTGTGATTGAGCGCATCATTTGAGATGAGTGAGTGACATGTACGGCATGTTGATAGGTTTTCTCACTTGAAGATTTCACATTCGGTCTTGAGTTGAAAGAACAAGATCTGTTTTAGAGTGAGAACATCAATTCATGCATAAGTGCGAGTTGTTATGAGGTGACTTATTATGAGTATATGATTTGTTGTCGTGTGAACAGCTTTTGTAGGCTAGGATGATGTTGCATGTGATCATGCATCATGAGATCGGCGCTCTAGGAATGGAAAAAACAAAATTTTGCAGGCATTCTCTTTTTTTGCTTTTCATTGAAGCCCGCCAAACCCCCAAATATTTATATTTGAGTTTCGATAAGTGGTTGTGGTTGCGCATATCAGTTGTACGAGATAGGGACTGTTTACTAAATAGCTCCTCGGTATTGTCCTTGGATAATCTTCATCATCAAGTGGCTGCTGCAGTATTACCGACAGGGGTCCTTGCTCTGGTGTCGAGTTATTTGCGATAAGTGATGAAGCCACGAGACTAGCAAGGTCCCTTTTTTTTGATTTGTTGAATAGATTCCCTCTTGATTTCGTTGTATTTTATGTAGCGGGTTCATTTTAGGCTGCGGCTTTAGAGAGATCGAATGATTCCTAAGTAACTCATGGCTGCCTTGACCTCGGTGGTTGACGTTGGTGTGCCTGAGGTAGATTCGAGCCTGCCGCGAACGCGGGAAATTCCGTCCTTAGTATAGCGGTACTTGGTGTATGAACGTCGGGGACAAGAGCAGCCGCCAGGAAGTTCCTGAATTAAGAATCTGAGGTGACGTTCGTGGCATGCAGCATATTGGAACGGTGACACACCATTTCTCCGATGTAACGAGGACACAACATAGTACCATTAACTGAAGGGCTTTGGTTGACGGCTTCAGAACTCATGAACTAGAACCTGCCGATTCCCGGAGTTTTCTACCGTTCCTAACGATCCGGAGCCAGATTATTCGCAATCGAGCACGACACGAGGTTATTGCTGGAGGACGTCGCATTTTCCTTTTTCATAGATAATTCTTGAGATCAACAACATGTCGAAGGCGGACAAGGGCAACAGTATTCGCGTGTGCTGCCGCGTGCGGCCACTGAACGCTCGCGAGCTCGCAGAAGGTGCCGCAGCTCTCTGCGTCGACGTACCCAAAGACAAAGATGGTGTCATCGTCCATAGGCAGAGCGGAGCCGAGAACGTAAGGGGTCTGGCCGATGTGAGCACCACATTCACGTTCGATAAGGTCTTTCCGCTTACGGTCAAGCAGAAAACAGTGTACGAATATGCTGCACTACCAACAGTGCTTTCGGTAATGGAGGGCTTTAACGGCACAGTCTTCGCATATGGCCAAACAAGTTCGGGAAAAACGTATTTCTATTGACTGCTCTAAAATTTGAATACGCAGTGAAGAAAAAATCATGAAAATATTTTGAGATGATTGAAGGTGCAAGTAATTTGTCTATTCCAAGGTAGCTAAATAGAATGATCATAATTCTCTCAACCTCTATTCTCGGCTTCTAGGCATACGATGCAGGGACCGGATATTCATGACCCGGATTTGCAGGGAGTTATTCCGCGGATGGTGTGGACGATATTCGATGCTATTTATGGAGCGCCACCAACGCATGAGTATTTGGTCAAGGTGTCCATGGTGGAACTCTATATGGAGAGAGTGAGGTGTCTTCTCGACCCTACGGGGAAGGAGAACCTAAAGATCAAGGAGCGACCCGATAAGGGTATCTATATCGAAGACGTGACGGAAAGCTACGTTCAGTCGGAGCAAGAGATTTTCGACGCGCTCCAGCAGGCGCAATACAATCGAACAATTGGGTACTTTCTTAAACTTTTTCTCGATTTTGTAAGATACGAACTAGAAGAAGTTGCATCGCACTGTTTATTCGTCAACAAAACTAGCAAACTGAATGTTGCGAAGATCGGACATGATTCCTCTTGATAAATTTTCTAAGTAAAATCCTTTATTGATTTCACAAAATCAGGGCCACTGCGATGAACGCGCAGAGTAGTCGCAGTCACATGGTATTTTTGGTCTCAATTGAGAGCAAGGACACTGTGAAAAAAGTAGTGAAACACGGGAAGCTCTATCTGGTCGATTTGGCCGGTTCAGAGAAGATCGCGAAGACCCATGCGACTGCGGGGCGACTTGAGGAGGCGAAGATGATCAACAAATCGCTTTCAGCACTCGGAAACGTTATCAATGCACTCACCGAACCCAATAAAACACACGTGCCATACCGAGACTCGAAGCTCACGCGCTTGCTGTCAGAATCACTCGGAGGTAAAAAGGATGCCACGTTAATTATAGCAGTGCTAATTACGTTGTACTTTTCAGAAGTGTCCTACTAGGTACTTGGTTTTTTTTTTTACAACTACAAGAAGAAGCCTTTCGCTTGGATTTCTTCTTCATCCTTCTCCTTCAAGAATGAATTATTGAACAACCTCAGGAAATGCAAAAACGACGTTGATTATCACATGTTCACCCGCCAACACCAACGACGCCGAAACATTGAGCACATTGAGGTTCGGGCAGCGAGCAAAGCTGATCAAGAACAATGCAGTTGCGAATGAGTCGTTGAGTACTGCATTTTCTAGAGATCATTTAGTTGGGCAATTAATGTGAATAAGGGTAGTTTTTTTCTGAGAAAAATTAACATAGAAAAGCTGGAAAGATAAAGCAACACGTTTGTGTTTATGATGTCTTGAGTACAATGTCGTTTTCAAAAATCGAAGTTCTTGAAGAACCCCCCCGGATAAAAAATTCAACCTTGGTGCTAAAATTGAATAGGTGTAGAGGCTTTGCAGGCGCAGGTTGCGACGTTAAAGGGTACGCTGGGTGGTGTTCGGGGACGCGTGAAGCAACTCGAAGCACTTCTGAATGCGAAGGGAATCCCGGTGCCTGCCGCAGACGATAGTTTCCAGTGTGGAGACGGCGACGCGGATGACGGCGGGCACTCGCCGAGGGCCACCGGGATGAGCGCTGCAAGCCAAGGAGAAATAGATGATCTCCAGAAGGAGAACGGCGAGCTGCGGAACGACATGGAGGCTGCACAGAAAGCAGAACAGGCGGCGAAGGAGCAATTGCAACAAGTTGCGGCAGAAAAAGAGCAGAGTAAGTACGAAAAAGACGAGTTGGCGGCCAAAGTGCACAGCATTCAAGCGGAGCTGGCAACGCAGAAAGCGGAAGTAGAGTCCCTAAGACTCGAAAAGAAGAACCTGAAGGAGGAAGTTGTAGACGCAAAAGCACAAGCGAGAGCGGAGAAGGCAAAAGGAATTGCCGCAATCGCGAAAAAAGTGAAGGGCCAGTCCGCGTCCACGGTGGTCTCCATAGCAGCCAGGGAACTCTTGAGCGATGATGAGACGCTCGACGAAAACAGCAAGATGATACTCGCAGTCGTCAAAGATTTAGCCGAAGTACACTCTTATTACCTTCATCAAAGTTTCAAACTTCAATTTGTCGTGTTTCTCTTTGTCTACTTTCTGAATCACTTATGCTGAAGTGATGGCTAGTCGGTCCGAGGTCTTTGATCAATTTATGAGAAAAATTCGCATAAGAGCTTAGATTTCCATCAGCTTCGATATTAAACTTATTGTTTAACAACTTCTGAAAATAACAGAGCCAAGTGAAAATGGCTCGTGAGAACGAGTTTGCTCGGGCGGATAGTAGCAAGCTAGCCGCAGGAGCGGGTGAGTTAGAAGGGCTCTTACGCGAAAAGGATGCTGCTGTTACGAAGTTAGAAGTCGATATCGCAAACGAGCGAGAAAGGGTAGCGGACCTGCAAGAAAAGTTGAAAGATGGGGATAGACCTTTGAAGCGAAAGGTGTCGCAACTCGACAAGAATCTCGAGCAACTTACGGTCATGTACCACAAGCTTGTCTCGCAGAACTCGGGCCTCAAGGTATTACAGCTCTATTTGTTCGTTTTTCTGGCACCTCAGTAGAAGTTTTGTTCGCAGTGTTGGTCCTGGACACATGAATACATTCACTCTTTTGAAGCAAGGAATACTAAAGATCTTAATTTCTTGAATACTACTTAATCAATCTCATCAATATTGCTTTCTCAAAAATCCAGGTTGAGTGCCAAGTGAACGAAAAGAAGGTGATAAGGAAGGATCAGCGTATTACGAGCTTAGAGACATCGTTGAGGGAGGCGAAAGGGAAATATGAGAAGCTGCTTACGCAGTGTGCGAATCTGACGGCGGCCATGGACTTGATGGGCAAGAAAGAAAATCGGACAACGCTGGGCGCCGGAAAGGCCCGCCTGATGCGACCATTGCAGGGTGGGCAGCAAGCACCTAGAAGAGTAACGGCTAGTAAAGCGGGCGACGACGAGCAGGACGAAGCGAAGGATGCGGAGTAAACTTGCTAGACTTCATCGTTGGAAACTGCTGTGTGGAGCAAAAGGCAGGAGCTTCTTCTTGAATACTAAATTTGGCTTATACAACATCCTCTTGTGCTGAAGAAAGACTCTCCGGTTGTTCATCATGGTAACACTTTCTGATTTCTTTGCATTATATCAGTCTGCGGATGCTAGGCAGCTCATATATTCGTAAGTATATCACAGACACCACATGGTGGGGTCTTACGTTCTAGAGATAATAGAGTGCGCTCTCACTCTGCCCCCCTATGATGGAAATGAATACTTTTTATCTGTATTTCATCATCGATACATTTACATATCTTTTCTAAAAAATAGCCCTGTCAGTGCTGAGTAAAATTTTGGTAATCTTGTTTACCTCCAACTAGCAATTCTCAAACAGTTGTTTACCTTCGCCTAGCAAAAAGCGAACGACTGCACGCGGCGGTCGAGGGTTTACACCAGAGAAAGTGACAAAAAGCTGAATACCAATACAAGTCCGTGTGACATCAACCGAAAAAAGTGACGTGAATACCTTCAACAGATACGGCTCAAATGGCCTGCGACGAAAACGTGATTACCTTCAACGCAAGATGGAAAAGCATGACGCGACTTTTGCTTACGCATAGATTGAATTCCAATTGTTTTTTAGAGTTAGACGCATAAGTAGAACTTTCAACGCTTATATTAAACGGTAAAGAATAAAATGAAAAAGAAATACACATGACAAATACAGGTTGGCGCCATCTTGAGAAAATGCTACAACCTTACTTGTGGTCTCTCTTTGTTCTACAACTCTTCACTCGTTTTCTTTTGCCTGCGAAAGAGGTGTTAGTGCATTCCATATAGAGGAAGGAAAATGAGAGCCGGAGCATGTAGGAGGGTGAGGCATTTTGAAAATAAAGTTATAGAGAAGCGGAATTTGGAAAAAAAGGCACGAGAAATGGGTGCATTGTGGTTCATTAAGAACTGATGATAAGGAAGGCTGCTGAAAATGTCTACCCTAATAAATCTACTCGGTGTAACAAAAACTACCCAGCACAAGCTGTCCCATAGCTCTTGCCCGGAGTCTATCATTTCCAATAACGTAAAGGTTTGTGAGGTGTACAAGGAGAGAGAGGGGGTAGTGAAAGGAAGATGCCCTCCCGCAGAATCGGGTGGGTGCGCGTGCGCAAACGCGACTGAAAGCAGCAATTGAAGAGGTGAGAACTAAGAGCAAGAAAAAAAGGGCCCCTGGCGTTGTGTATCTTGACAGCTGCAGGCTTCGTCTTGGCTCTTCGTGACCAAGATGGGATCAAGCAAAAGCGGAGGCCAAGATGGCCCGCCGCAGCAGGCGCATACCGGGACTGTCACCGTGAGCGTGCGAGTGCGGCCTTTCTTGCCACGAGACCAGGGGCAGCGAAGTGTCATCCGCATGGTGCAACCAAAGGACAAAGAAAACCCGACAGTAGTCCTCGATGTTTTGGCGCCACAACTGGTTGGTTCACCAAGATTGGAACAAAAACTTTTTGCCTTCGACCACTGCTTCGATGGCAAATCCACGCAACAACAAGTTTTCGACACCATCGGGAAGCAAATCGTGGAGAACGCAGTCAACGGGTAAGCAATAGCTGTACAATTTGATCAGCATCTTGCGCTAGTGTATGTGTCGGTTTCGCTGTGCTAGTTTAGATCTGGTAGACAAGAAGTAGTACTAGTTCCAAGAATAGCAACAGGTGAGGACGAAGCCCTTCCAATTGTTCAGGTACAACGCCTGTGTTTTTGCGTACGGGCAGACAGGTAGTGGCAAGTCGTATTCCATTATAGGGCCTGAAGAGGACGAGGGCCTGATACCACGAGTCTCGCGGGATCTGCCGTGGGCGATGGAGGATTTCCGTGTCACAGTGTCGTTTCTGGAAATATACTTACGAAACTGATGTAAGTAGACAAATGTTGATTTTCTGATTTTGAGAGTCTTCGAGTTTTAGAAGACCGAACACTCGGAAACTCTTAGACACTCACAATTTATTGTCACAATATGCTGTACTGCATGATGGGCATGAGCACCAATGTATACAGGATACAATGCAATCTTCCTCCTAAGCTGGTCGCTGCTCTAACATGAAACGAGTCTCTTCGCGATCTGTTGAACCCCGCGGTGAGAAAGAAGCCCTTGTACGTCCACCAACATCCAAAGCTTGGTATCTACGTTCCACACCTTCACGAAGCGCCGGTAACGGACCACCAGGAAGCCATGTCAAGGCTTGATTTTGGAGCAAAGATTCGCGCGACGGCATCCACTTGCATGAACAATCAAAGTAGTCGGAGCCATTCGCTTTTTATCGTGCGGATGACGAGGTACAGTACTTGCACTCCTGTAGAATTAGAAGTAGAAGATTTGATGGAGTGATGATGACCTCTGACCTCTGCTGTATCCTGTGTAGTTCATCAACAACAACATTTTCTTGAAAATAGTCCTTACAAAAGTTAGTACCCTTTACTTTTTCGTCGCTCCACTACCACTCCATAGGAACGTCGAGAAGGTGATAATAACATCTTCGATTAACCTGATCGATCTGGCGGGTTCCGAGCGGGTAAAAAAAGCGGGGCACCACAGGGGTGGCAGAATGCTGGAATCATCGTCTATCAATTCTAGTCTTTCTGTTCTGGGCCACGTCATCAGCAAACTGGCAGTCGACTCTATCAAGAAGGGACAGCACGTACCTATTTTTGAAATCTCCTCTGAAATCTCGAGTCTTGGTTAGTATTAGTTTCCAGAGTTATTTGATAAGTTTGTTAGAATTTTATTCTGGGGAAGATTAGCAATGGGTCGTTTGCTTATAAAATTCTCAAGAACTTCTACGGTGGTCTTCTAAGTATACTGAAAAGATCTCTACCCGACGACGAACATCCTCAGAGCATTGCAGGTCCCTTTCCGACAGTCGAAGTTGACGTATCTGTTGCAGGATGCCCTGTCAGGAAACTCGAAGACGTGGATGATAGCAAACATCAGTCCAGCCCAGTCAGAAACAGAGGAGACGCTGAGCACGCTCAGGTACGAATGGAATTTGAGGCCCTTTCATTCGTTGGCTGGAATGATATAAGGTAGTTACAACAGTTGTGTAGTCCATCTGAGGAAATTTCCGTGGATGTTGAGACAAAACAAGGTTAAATTAGACATCGTCCACATCTTCTTGCCAGGTTCGCCCAGTCCGCGAAGAAGGTGAAGTTGACAGCGAGCATCAATCAGCAGGACGAGGCCGAAACAGATCTCATGTTGCAGACTATGATGACAGAAATCGAGGAGCTGCGAACCGAGCTGCATCGTCTACCGTCTAGTCCGAAGGCAGGGAGGCTCAGACGGGAAATGGAAGCCATGGAAAGTCTCAACGCTGCTGCGATCACAAAATACGACCGCCGTGGTTGGGACGACGCTCGTAGAAGAGAAAAAGAGCAGGAGCTCATGCGGCAAGAGGTACAACTAAACCTGACATGATCTCCCCTAATCGATTTGTTAGTCTTAGCAGTAGCTGCTTGGGAACCTGTGTGGCCGTCTCTTAAGCTGCCTGTTGAATCGTCCAATGATCAGATTTTCATCCCGAGTGAAATAGTAGTTTTTAGGTCCTCGCGAATCTCCGTGTTGGGCGCATGCAAGGCATGGCGAGCGAGGATCCTTACATCTTGAATATATCTGACGACGTTGCAGTGACAGGACGGCTCTTGTACCTTCTGGACGTACCGCAAACGCACATTGGAAGCGCTGTGAGCAACCAGATTCGTCTTTTAGGACTAGGGATTGGCTCAGTAATGTGCACGATTCATAGGGAAGAGGGAGCAAGCAAGCAAGATATCAAATTGAGACTCGAAAAGCGGGAAACAGGAGGCCGACTAGTGATTAATGTTATGAGAGGGAATGTATAAGCGAACAGATGAGGTGGCTGTGGAGGTGCGGCTTGTTGTAGCTTCTGTCATCGCGTAAAGTCGCAGTTACAACTAGTTTTCCTAATGTCCAGAATAGGTACTTTTTGAACAGAGTTGGCTTTAAGAAAAGGCAGGAAGTGGCGGACGGCAGCTCAGTGGCTCTGAAGCACGGCGATCGGCTGGTAGTCGGGCGTGCGTTCAGTTTTCGTCTAGTAATGCCAGGTATGGCGAACGCAGGCGATACGCAGGCTGAGAGCCTTCCGCCGCCACAAACGTTAGACCCAGAGCTGAAGAAACTGCAAGACGCCGTTGATGAAAGCAATGAGTTGATACGCGAGCTCCTTGGAGACTCTGGACCGCACCTCTCCGTTGGCGTGCTCAGTTCCCCACCTCCAAGTAGCACTGGTACGGTCTTAAGCAATGCAGGAGGAGCGTCGTCAGGTGGCAGTGCCGGGGGAAGTGGCAAGGGCGTAGGAGGTGGGTCGTCATCATCCAGCGAAGAGTCCGTGGTTCGAGAAAGTGTAGGAGGCAGCAGTAGTAGCACCGCGGCGGCAGGTGGCACGAACGTTGATCTTGCAAGCAACCAAGCGGTTTTCACAGGACAAGGCGACGCGCAGTCATCCTCTGCTATCGGAGGTGGCGGAACCAGAACGAATTTGTCCGATTCCAACAATTATGACACGAATTGAGAAGATGAAGAGGGGGCTCTCTGCAACTTGAATTCTTTAGAAGCTCTAGCACAAACAAGCAACTGTAGACTACGCGAAAGCCAGCTAGCTCCAGAACAAACTGCTTCTAATCTTCTGAGCTTCTAGCATCTTCTCATCTTATAATCTTCTAGAACAAACTTCTTCTAATCTTCTAGCAGGCAAGGCGGGTCGTCCGCAGCTAATGAGCGGGTTCACGTGATCCAGCAGCGCGACGAACATGGAACACTTGTTGCGGTGTGGTTACAGAGCGCCTTTCAGTGTCGCCTTGAAATCATGCGCGACCTCTATCAACAACATCTCTTATGTTGAGACCACTTCTTCAGCAGGCTTTCTAAAGATTTCTGAGGAACATCAAGACGAGCATCGGATTTTCAGTGGCAACTTAGATGTGAAACCATGGGTTTTCTTTTCCCGATCCATTTCTAAGACAGGAAAATATCCGATTGCAGCAGGCAAAGGCAGATGGTACGGCGACCGAAGTCACGGACAGCGGTGCCGAGGAAGATCCATCTGCGGATAGCAGCAGCAATAGGGATGTTGATGTTCTTGGCAGCTCCAACGGCGGGACATTGATGATTATGGTTCTAAGTAGAAGATGTGTAGCTGAATCTTAACGACCTACTATAGTACACAGGCAGCGGCGACCGACTCAAGCAGCAACTAAGTACTAAGTACGGTTTCATCTTATTTTCCCTTTCCTCTAAGAAATACCAGGAAAGCAGCAGGAGAGCAGACGGGGTGTCGGTTACAGGCCAGCGTACAGGAAAGAAAGAGGCCTGGGGCGAGGGCGGTGGGCGAGGGAAGGAGGATTCCCGAGATCAGGATACTCTTCAGGCAACGCAGGTTTGGGAGCCGGGATCTACAAATATCATGTAGATCTTGTGCTGTAGTACGATGACGTTTGATTAGCCTGTTATACTAGAGATATTTTGTCGACTACTTAGAAAAAGTGATAAGCAAAACCACTTACGTTTTATAGTGTCGTTTGGAAGTATTTTTACGCGTGTTCGAAGCCAGTGAAGATTTGAAAGCAAAAATTTCGCTCCTACGCAAAAGAGATTTATTGAACCACCGTGTTTGTAATCCTATCTCAGAAAATACCAGCATAAGAAACATCAGAAATTCGCAATGGGCTATTGCATTATCTACCACAGACTCCAGTCATTTTTACGGGAACTCAGACCACAGATACTTGTGATGTCAGTCAATTTTTTAGAGAGTGGAAACGGAAGACGCAGCGAACTTCGAGAACGACACTGTCTTTTGATTTGAAGGATGTCGTCGTACAAGACGAGCGTTACCGCGATTCAGAGGTTTATTATTGAATTCGGTTTTCGTTTCATTTTTTCTGTTCTGAGAGACACTGCTGCCTTGATGGAGTAAGAGATGAGGGTAATGCAATGAGTGTGTCTCTGTGCGCGGTTGCAGTCGCACCTGTGGCATTTCCTCTTAATATTTTCATCAGTGGCAACATTCATGATCGGCGATCAAACTACGCTTTCTGGTTATTCTGGTCCTAGTGCATTCATCATGAGTGGAACGATCTGTCTCTCTGTTTTGAGTTTCGCTTGGTCTTTTGGCACGAAGGAAAAACTCCGAAATTCTGTCTCAGAGTTGAAAAATTCTATGATGATCAGCCCAAGATTTTGTTGCTTTGTGTCAATGTGATAGCTATCGGCTATTTGTTGCTGTGTATGTGGTAGCTATGCTAGCGGCTATCAATCTGTTAAGAGCGAGTCTTTGTGGACTGACCAAGAATCTGTTATCTGAGTTGTGCCTGTGTGGCCCAGACCATGCTTGTTTGTGCGCATGAGTGATTGTCCTCTAAAACTATTGGGGTGATTAAAATTTTTGCTTTCTAAATTATGCGCATCTCCTCGTATATATATATATTCCATTATCTTACCGTCGAGCGTGGGCCTTGTTTTCTCTCTGCAAATATGATCAATCGATCTCGGAATTTGCTTCTACCCCCTGTAACGACAGTCAGGTTTTATTCATAATTCCTTTCCCATTGGGTCGCTCCCAAAAGAGCTGTAATAAATTGTTTTTCCGGTAGTTTGGAGTTTCTTGATACTTATAAAGAGCATTATTGACTTTCTCTACTTCGTATCTATCACAGAATTTGTCTTGTGCTTTAATATTCTTGTTACAGACGACATATCGAAACGTTGCTTAAGTGTTCTAGTGAAATAATCGGAAGGCTAGCTTGTTTTGCATAGAACAGTAACGATTGCGAGACGAAAAATGGTGCATGGTCCACCGCCAACTATCCAAGAAAAGGCACGGCCTGACAAGGCTTCCGCACGCCCCAGATACAACGCAACACTCGTGCAAACCCACGGTACTTATTATATCCTCCTGCTATGAACTAGTGGTCACCTCATCAACGTCGCTGAATTTTGTCGTGATTGAATAAATTCGATGTTTGACTTGTTGTGAGGCCTGCTTTGATGTGCATGTGAGAAGATCGTTCATTGATGTAACTACTTGATCAAAATCCCAGGGACAAGCAGAAATAGGAAACTTTTGAAATTATTCCTTTTTACAACAGGTCCTTGGTCCGCTCGCAAGTTGCCTGAACGCGCTTTGGTTTTGCAGAAAGAGACTGCTGTTGCAGAGCCGCACAAGCAAACTGGGCTGAAGCGTTTCGACGACCAGAGGCCGAACACTTACGTTTCGGAGCATAAGTTTATGAATTTGAAGAACGCAGTGCAAACTACGTTGGTAGTAGAGCCGCACACCTCTTGGGGAGACACTGTTGAGCGCCACCGCAGTCCCATCGGCATGCGGAATATCGAGAACGGACGCGAAGACCTGAAACTCGCGGGAAGCGAGATCACGGGAGCCCGCATTGAGCCTTTTGGAGAACCTGTCGGCGTGCCCTTTGGCTACCCCACGTTGCTGCAATGCGGCGAGCCGAGAAACGTCAAGTACTTGGATCCCCAGCCGGACTTCTTCGAGTACACCAATGGAGGACACATTCCACCGAAGATCACAACGGTAATTATAACGATTCTATGCTTCCACAGTACTTGTAGATATCAATGTAGTGGCTTCTTGATAAGTCTCTTTTGGGAGTTAATCTGGATCAATCAATCTCGTTAGAATAAGTATCCATCTAGTTGTCTAGTGTGCATGTCGAGTTTTTGTGACACTTGCTGCTTGAGCAGGTCATCGATCTTGATGGGAAGCTTGATCTATGATCTTTCTTTAAATAGTAAACAACAAATCAATAAAGGTTCCGCGTTCTGCGCACCGTTCCCTTGCTGGTTTATATGACGAGCGGACGTTGCGGCAGCGCGCTCGCATCGACTTGTACCAGAGCACGCCGTCTGGGGACAAGCTTGCGAACCAGATGCGCAGTGTGGAGAGCCAGCACCGCCACCTGCTAGCCCGTCGCCAGTGGTTCTCTCGCGATCCCCGCAAGAACAACGTCTGGCCTAACGGAAAGTTCCGCCATTTTGGTATGCTCTCGGACACTGAAGTCCGGTCTGCCTCCTGCAACGCGCGCATCCACGATTCGTGCTGGAAGCATCGCCTGCCGTTTTTGGAGATTACACAGCAGAGCGTTCGCAATCCTGCGCAGGCACAATTCGACGATCACGCGCAAAGGCTCTTGACCGACGTGAGAGGATACTCAAGAGCCATTCCCGTTCGCGAACGAAGTGCGCCGGTTATGTGATACCCGAGAGCATAGAACAAAATCTTTATACAAGGAGGTAAAAAGAGAATGGAATCTACTTTGTGATGTCAAATATGCGACACCATTTAGGCATACGGGAAGAAACGTCATAGATTGACTTCATTTCATATACTGTTGATTTCATATAATATTGATAATGTATTTTTTTTGATTATGTGAACCTGCACGGGGAACATCTTTTTTACTGGTAAAGAACTCAATGTATTTTAAGGACATAATGAAAAGGAGGCATTTGCTGATGCTTTTTCTGGGACTCATATCATAACTTCGATGCTAACATAACATAACTAAAATTCGTAATTTCTGCGTAACAAGAACATAACATTCAACACAATAAAATACTGTATATTCTCTTTGGTACCTTTCTCATGAACTTCTAAACTCAAATTGATTGCTAAAAAATAGCATTCATCTGGGCGTCCTTCACATAGTGCTACTTGTATTTTTTTCTCATTGGAAAAGAACATTTGGTAATTTCATATCGGGACTAAATGGTCGAGTATGACCACGACATCATAGAACAAAGCATTTGACGAAAGTATATCGATAATTAAGGACTAGATAAGGAGGCAACACTGAAGGAGGTCGGTTCAATGACAACCTCCGCTGCACAGAAAATTCAAACTTTTAGATTGCAGGACCTGCAGATGCAAGAAAGAAAACAAAATGTGGACTAAAAAACAAATACAAAAAAAGAAAAGAAAAGATGGCGCGTCATGCCTATACGCTTACCTTGCCGCAGGTGAGCCAACTCCTACGCAGGTAGGTTTTGACTTATTGGAACTCGCTCGCACTACAAAAAAAAAGGAAACAACTCAACCTGTTGAATTGAACTCAGAAAACCTTCAGCTTTGCTTGTGGAAAAGCTTAAACTACTTGCTCCATGTCCGCCCAGTGCTTCAAATATCATTCAAGCAAGTTGGCAAAGTTCAGCATATTTCATTCGCCAATGAGGTCGCTCTTGCGCCCCCGACGGATCCAAGTCACGTCCGCAAGAACATTGGTCAAAAGTAATTTCAAGCAGAGTTGTTACTGGGTCGGACGACCATTGATGATTCTCCTTGTTCATCGACTTCCTGAAGATTTATCTTCTTTGGCCGACTGGAATGTCATCGTTTCATCTGTTTGAAGATGTTAATCTGTGCAGAAAACAAGAATCACAGGATGCGATATAGCAGAAACGTTAGGAAATGCAAGACCGAATATTAAGGGCATAGAAATAGTTTTGACCCATTTTTTTCTGAAATTGTTGATAGATGTTGTGGTTGAGAAAGTTGTTGATAGTAGGAATTTCTTCACTGCACTCACCGATGAAGCAGGTATTTTGGATGAAGGATTCAGTGTTTAAGAGTGTTTTGATGTTTTCAATTATTGTTGTCTTTTCAATCACTTTCTTTGTGTCGTGTGAGTAAAAAAGATTAAGATATTTCAAAAGATGGCCCGTCAGCTGTCGCTACTCTGACGCACATGGTTAGAGCAGATGAACTTCTCGGACGATCTCGAATATCCAAGTTTTTTCTTCTTATACGGTCGGGTGCGAAAGAAAAAGAAGCGGCTCTCGTTGAACAAAGACCGCTAAGCACAAACCGGCTTTGCTTCTCATCGATTTTTCGAATTTCAGACTCAGGTCACATCTCGAAGAGCGCCTTGGCATCTCAGAAAATGAAGAAAACAGGTTGGCATCAAGGAGGGAGGAAGCCTCAAGGAGGAGGATGGAACAGAGGCGAGGGATTTCACGAGAAGAAGCGGTTTGGTCCTATTCGAGATCAAAGCAGCGAGCGCAGTCCAGACCACGGGACCTACGAGAAACATGATAGTTATTTTAATGGCAAGAACTTCCGCGGACGTGGAAGTGGACAACACGACGGTGATTCGAAGTGGACGGATTCTAGAGATAGTGAAAATTTTACAACTCAACATGTGGGAAGTGGAACGAATATCGTGAACAAGAACAGTAATAAAACAAGTAGCACCGCATCTAAATCTGGGCCTACCACGATTCGTGTTCCGCTGGCGCCTGAGCGCCGCGCAGCCCCGCCTCCGCCTCCCCGTGGGGTGGGCATTGGTGTGCCAGAGCCTCCTGGTGGTTCATCCGATGGCCCTAGAGGGAATGGCCCTCTTCCGTTTGGGCGTTGTCGACTGACGAGACGGGACGAGGTCTTGCAAAGGGCGAAATCTTCGCGCTCTCCCGTGGCTGGACAAAGAAACAAGGAAGAAAATGGAGTTTCGTCGAAGACCTGCGAGAATTCGAGGACGCGGAAAGGAAACTCCAAGAACATTAGCCCTTGGCCTGATAAGTCTGGCAAAAAGGCGACTGTCTGCCGTTTGAAGTATACTGGTCATCTGCGGGAAAATAATGCCGGAGGTCGTCCGAATGCACATGGTCGTCCGAATACAACTGGTCGCCCGAATGCTACTGGTCGCCAGAATGCTGCTGGTCGCCCGAAGGATACGGGTCGTCTCGTGAAAAAAGACTCCAGGACCCCACGAAGCAGAAGCCGTGGACGACAAAAATGGAGATTGAGTTTTGAAAACAATTTGAGTCGTGGGAAATCAAAATCAGCACGAAACAATCAAGATAAAAAGGTTGTCAAGAAGACCAAGAATGCAACCAGCAGTTCTTCTTCTTCGGATGCTTCTTCATCTAGCGACGATAGTAGTTGTGCTAGTGGCGACCGGAGTGCAAGCCTCTCTGAGAGTAGCAGGTCAAGTACGCCACGAGATAAAGCGACGAAGCGTGCGAAGCACGAAAAGGAGTCGAAGCATGCTTCGACAACTACAGCGGCGAATGACGAAGCACCAGAGACAGAGATGATCTCTAGCAAGGCATCTCCACAACAAGACAAAGGACGCAGCGACAACAGAAAGAAAGAGTCGCCCAATGGTTCTGGTGCACATAGAAGGAGTAAATCAAGAGGGCGCGGCGTTTCGAAAAAATCAGAAGACGAGTCTTCGAAAAAGAGAGGAGAGTCGAAAGATGCTGAAAAGAAAACGGACAAGACATCATCGTGCGCACAAGTAACTGCAACAGGAAGTACTACTAAAGAAAAAGGAGAAAAAACGGCAGGAAGCGGCGCAATTAGCACTTTGAAGAAGATAGAAAAGAAACCGGCCACGCCTTCTCCGGCCACGCCTTCAGTTGGAAGTGCGACTGCTCATCAAAAGGACAAGAACGAGAGCACCAGTGCTTCCAGGAACAATGATAAGCAAGGGAAGAATAAGAACTCTCCATCGGATCGTCCAGGCGGCGGGAGCCTTCGTTCTGCGGTAGTCGAGAGTACGCCAGTGAATGGGATGGGTAGAAAATACCACGGTCCGGGTTGGAAGCAAGTCGGGGAGCGAGTGATTGTTGTAAAGGGATCAAAGGGCGCGGCTGCGACTCGCCGTTCAAGCGCAGGAAGCGGCGCTCGTTGGTCCGCTACCGGAGCCAATAGCATCCCCTTGGGTGGAGGCTCCTCTCCCACTAACAAAAAGTCGCCAAAGGAAGGAAGTTCTGCAGAAGATGCGAAGAGCAATCCTAAGAATGCGAGAGGACAAGACGAAACGCAAACAGTGGACAAAAAGTCTAAATCACTAGAACAACAAGGAGGAGAAGATCGTTCTTTAGCCCCAGATGAACAACAGAATTCGAACCAAGTTCCGGATACTAGTACCGCTGGGTCGGAGGGCACGAGAAAAGCTGCTGGTGAAAGCAGCACTGTAGGAAAGGCAGAAGAGAAGTCAGGAGTTGCCGTATTGAAGATACAAAAAATTCCTGTCAACAAGCAGGACTTGAGCGGCTCTTCCTGTACGGCTGGTGAACAAGTAGCGAAAACCGAATCCACAAAAACCGAAGGCACAAACGAGGGGTCCGCGGGCGAACCACCCGCAAAGAAGGCTAGAATATGCAGTGCAGCGTCATCGGCATCACTACCACCACCTTCACAAGTAGAGCGCGTTTCTGATCAGCAAAGGAAGGATGCCAGAAAAAGCAGAGGCAGATCGTATGGACGAAGAACGTCCTGGCACAAGAATGAGCGAAAAGCGACACAGAATCCAGCTTCTGGGAAAGGCAAGACGACACGCGGTGAACATCCAGCTTCTTACAAGACCAATTCTCGTGAGCGGGAGCGAGATGGAAAAAACGATGCTTCACCAGGAACGCAACCGGCACCACCATCATCAACACGTTCATCGGGTGCGCCGACAACAAAAAATGCGGAACACGGAAGTGCTTGGGGCCTGCCAGCTACAACGCAGTGCCCTCTTCCAAATACCTCGACGCCGGCTGCTACGTCTGGCGGAGTACAGCAAACTGTGGCGCAACAGCCATCGCCGTTTACACAGCGGGAAGCAGCGGCGGCAACTGGGCTTGTACTGGTAGACGCCCCTGGGTCCTCCATGCTAGTACAGCCGGAGGCGAGCATCAAATCTGCCACGACTAAGGATTTGCCAACGGCGTCGATTCCTGACCAAACACCAAATCCGTCAACATCGACAGCGAGTTCTTCTACTGCATTAGCAGGGTCTGGGACAGCTGATGCGAAACAGCAAGTCGGAAGTGCTTGGGCTGCAAGCGCGACTCCTGCCGCGGTGCCGGCGCTGCCTCCACCGGCAGTTGCTCGTGAATCGAAACCGAACGCGACAGGAGCATTTGTGCCCCCAGTGCCCCCACCACCTCCAACTGCGACTCCTCGGACGGGAACTACTAGCTCCACCAGTCCGCCGTCTACTTCTACAGTTTCGCCTGTTCTGCAGACGGGTAGTGCATGCCAGTCACCCGTGGGTGAGATTTCCTCAGGGCAGCTTCTCGGTCCGCGAGCTGGAGCAGGAACACAAAACCAGTTCAGTGATATGGGCACTCGGATGTTTTCCGGGTTGCCGATGATCACGTCGCCGCCATTGATGCAGCAACTCCCTGCGACACCGGGAGCACCAGCGTCAACAGCAACACCAGCACCACCAGCGCCGAATATGGCAATGACAGCGTATCTGGAGGCCGGAAACTTGCCGGGCTGGTCTCACTGGTCCTCTCCCGCAGGCGTTTCTTCAGAAACGAAAAACAACAGCACAATTTTTTTTCAGAAGAATCAGGGACACGGACACCACGGAGGTGAGAAACAATATTTTCAATGTGCTGGACGACACTCTGCGACGTGGGATAAGAAGTCGCGTCGAAACGCAAACCATACGCAAGGCAAGAAGGGCAGAGGCCATGGCAATAGTTGTCACAATGGCTCAACGCATTCCCAGAAAAATCATGGGCGAGACGGTTGTAATTTTTATAACTCGACGTCGACAGGAGCAACTGGGCCTGCTCCTGTAAATAATGTTAGTAACAATACGAGTACAACGACCAGCACAATGACTTCTTCTGCCAATCGAAACATCCACCATGATAGCAAAGTGTCGACGCCCCTGACACAGCAAGCAGGTCCGGCTGTGACGAAAGCGACTGTGAATCAGTCAGGGGAATCTTCAGCACCAAGTGCGACATCGCGAAATAAATCTGCATCCGGGAAGAAAACGAGTACAAAAATGGCGACTCCGCCTGATAATCTTTCTAATGATACAACCTCGAGTGCCTCTAAAGCAGAGGAGACGGTCGCATGGAACCAACAAGATGCTGCTCGTCTCGGGAGGTGGTTGTCGAAAAGTCTTCGCGATTGTAGTATCACCCTCAATACTGACGCGCGTCGGGAGCTAATGCTAATTTTATCGAAAGCAAGCCCAGATGCTGCGGAGGTGAACAATAGAAGCAACAAGAATAGTAGTATATCTCTTTCTTGGCCAGAAGGCCGAAAAAAAGTGGAGGCCAAGAAGTCGAGCGGGCGGCGTTTCTTTCAAGTACACAGGCCCGGACAAATGTACGTGAGAGCAGAGCCCTGGTTACAGAGCGCTCGAGTGGGCCATTTGCTACCTCTGCAGGTTGTGGAAATGGTAGATGGACCTCATAGAATGGTAATTTCCCACGAAGATAAGCAAGGGGCGATCGCGTGCATTAAGATTCGCAGCGAGGACGGTTGTGTTTCCGGTTGGGTTACCTATGAGTCCGAAGCCTTGGGCAGCTCATTGTTATGGCGTTCCTTTGACATGTGAATCTTTAAAGTTGTTCTAAAAAAACATGTAGCGACGCTCAAAAAAAATGAGCGCTTCTAGTGCCTTCTTTGTGCGTAGGATATTAGTATTTATAGTATTAGCAATTGCCAGAAATCTCTTAAGGAGCTCCCTTAAGGAGCTTCCTTAAGGAGCTTCCTTAAGGAAATCAGTTTCCTTAAAGAATTTTTATTATAAAAAGTTATTATAACTTTCCTTAAGAGGGAAAAAATTTCCTTAAGGAGCTCCCTTAAGGACAAGCTGTTATAAACTTAGGCTAATAACAGCGGCTCCTTAAGGCCCTTGCTAGTACTACGAGTTCAAAGGTGTCAAGAACGTGCTAACGTGTTCGCGGCTGTTAGTTTGTAGGCTACTCACGTACACCAGCCACATCCGCAGCAAGACACTACGCGCCCACCCCTAGCTAATCGCCCCAACGAGCTGCCAACCGCTACCCTTGTCATATATCGCCCAGCGCCTTTACTTTTTTCCAAAAACTTCAGGGAGGTCATTCAAATACAGAGAAAACTGAACGACCTCCCTGAAGTTTTTGGAAAAAGTTAGCTCGCTCCCCTTCCGCGACTACCTTCCGCGCACAGCAATCGACCACGGCACAGGAGCGTGCGGCAGCCCTTGGAGATGGTTAACCAGTCTACTTCTAACCAGCACAAAAGCGGGAGAATTGTAAGGGAGAGGGTGAGCACTTGAAAGGGTAGAGGCTGACGAGCGTGATCATATTGATTCGTGAGAAGGCCAAAGATGCGCCTCAAAGTCGCAGCCGTTGAGGATGTCGATGGCTGTGAGAATGATAGCCGTGAGCACTTGCGTGTCTGAAGGGTGGACCCTGGTGAGCATCATCATATCCATGAGAAGGCCAAAGGTGTGCAACTTTGCGCGTGAAGGTCGAAGCCGTTGAGGATGTTGACTCGATGTCTGTGAGAATGATAGCCGTGAGGACTTGCATGTCTGAAGGGTGGACCCTGGTGAGCGTCATCATTTCATATCCATGAGAAGGCCAAAGATATACATCTCTGTGTATGAAAGTCGAAGCCGTTGAGGATGTCGATGTCTGTGAGAATGATAGCTGTGAGGACTTGCATGTCTGAAGGGTGGACCTTGGTGGGCGTCATCATATCAACGAGAGGGCCAAAGGCGTGCGTCGGTGTGTGTGTGAAAGTCGAAGCCGACGCTGAGGATGTCGATGTCTGTCAGAATGATAGCCGTGAGGGCTTGCATGTCTGAAGGGTGGACCCTGGTGAGCATCATCATATCCATGAGAAGGCCAAGGGTATGCATCTCTGTGCTTGAAAGTCGAAGCCGTTGAGGATGTCGATGTCTGTGAGAATGATAGCCGTGAGGACTTGCATGCCTGAAGGGTGGACCCTGGTGGGCGTCATCATATCCATGAGAAGGCCAAAGATGTGCGTCTCTGTGTGTGAAAGTCGAAGCTGTCGAGGAAGTCCGTCGATGTCTGTGAGAATGATAGCCGTGAGCACTTGCATCTCTGAAGGGTGGACCCTGGTGAGCGTCATCACATCCATGAGAAGGCCAAAGATATACGTCTTTGCGCTTGAGTGTCGAAGCCGTTGAAAGTGTCGATGTCTGTGAGACTGATAGCCGTGGGCGCTTGCAGTTCTGAAGGGTGGACTTTGGTGAGCATCATCATACCCATGAGAAAGCCAAGGGCATACATCTCTGCGCTTGAAAGTCGAAGCCGTTGGGGGTGTCGATGTCTGTGAGAGTGATAGCCTTGAGCACTTGCGTGTCTGAAGGGTGGACCCTGGTGAGCGTCATCACATCCATGAGAGGGCCAAAGGTATACAGCTTTGCCTGTGAAAGTCGAAGCCGTTGAGGATGTCGATGTCTGTGAGGAAGTAGATGAGGGCGGACCCTGGCGGGCGTCATCATGTCCATGAGAAGGCCAGGCGCATGCATCTCCGTCGGTGAAGGCTGAAGGCTGAGGACGTCGGTGCCTGTGTGTGAGAGTGATAACTGTGGGCCATTGCATGTCTGAGGCGCGGACCGTGGTGGGCGTCTTGCGTCATGTCCATGAAACAGCCAAGCTTATAGACACACCCCCGCGCCTGAAGGTTGGGGCCCAGCTTCTGGCTCTGCGCATAGAGATGCCCAAGCGTGGCCTTCTCATGGGCCTCGTCCATGACGCTCGCCAGTGTCAGTGCCATCCCATGGGTATGCTATGCTTTAGGATTCTCCTGGACATGATCACACTCAAAAGGGCCCAACCTCTGCGCCTACATATGTCCAAGAGTGGCCTTCTCATGGACTCCATGACGCTCAGCGGGCCAGCCTTGGCGCCCATTGGCTTGCCCCTAGCAAGCAAGTTGGCCAAGGCAGTAGCCATAGCGGTAGCCTCCTCACTAGCCTCGCCACAGTGGGGGCCAGCTTCCCAGCCTTGGCGAGCAGACTTGGCGACTTTTTTCGTTTGTCTTTCTGTCTCTTAGTAGTCAACCTGTCTAGTTGTTAACCTATGCCCAGCGCAGCGGGCCCTTGATGGGCCCGCTTTCTGGGCATGTATGAATATCACAGAAGAACAAGCTTGCGCAATAGATACGGAAGTCGACTAGTTCTAATGTTTTTCCAGAACTGTGCCTTTCTTGCCGAACTCGACGACCCGTTTGAAGAACAGGTTGAAGACGTGGCGATGAAAAAGGCTACTATCGATCAAGGTGGTGATACTAGTTCCTTCGATCTGGAGAAAAAAGATGCATCCACGTTGTCTTCTATCGGTGGTCGTAAACGTTCCAGCAGTACTCAAACGCGTATGCCGCCACCCGCTCCCGGCGCTGATGTTGAAGCGCAGCGATCATTGAAATGTAGTTCGTCTTGCGCAACAAGAGAGAGTCCCATGGCGACGACAATAGCCGGAGTCGAACAATACGATCGCGTTGTCATGTCCTTAGGAGATACCTCCAACCCATTCTTTGAGGTTGATGCTGAGCCGATGGGCGACTCCGCATGGTTTTCTCGACCGGCAGAGGGTTTTCGCTCCGAGACCGGAATGAAAAGGGAAGATGAACAAGTACAGGCTGAAGTATGCGAAACGGTTCCAAGTGAAAACGATGAGCCACACGCTTCACCGATGAGCGAAGTGGTTGGTTCCAACGTAGTTTCGCCTGGCGTTGCAGTAACGGCCCCGCCAGAATTCAAAGAGACATCGAGTGCGAAAGCCTCCGATGGGATTCTGAATACAGATAAGAATGATCAGGATGTTGAACAAGATCAGAATCAGAATCCTGCTGTGGGAGAGGTGCAAGGAGACGAGCATGGCTCAATGGAAGTGGCTGCGGTCGCGGCCGAAGTGGCAGATGTGGAAGTAGCAGACATGGAAGTCGAGGAGGAGCAAACAAGTTTTTCAAAGTGTGCGGCCGCCTCTCCTAGCGACGTGCAGCAGCAATCTAGTGCTGTCGATGTTCTTCCACTTGCAGAACAAACTGCATCGGATAATGGTTCTGAAAGCGTGAGCAGCATGTCTGCATTAGCTGCAGCAGGTGTGAATCCGAAGGTAATGTTACTTTCCAAAGCGGGCGTAAAACTGGTGTCGTATTCTAGTAGAAGGAAGAGTGGGCGTGCTTGTGGTTGTGCCTCCTCGGTTACGGTGGTTGGAGATAGTGGGGAGCAGCACGAGCCGCAGACAAAATTTGCGCACGGTGACGGTATTAATGAGAAGCAGACTGACGTTGATGCTCATGTGGAAAACAAGATAGAGAAGGCAGAAGTAAGTGAAGATGTCACGAGGCCTGATCAAGAGGTGGTAGATCAAACAGGGGAAGCCAAAGCCGAAGAGAAAGCGGAGGGGGGACAAGTACTAAAGGAGCAAAGTCAATCTATTCTGGCTGGTAATGCCATCACTGAGGCGATGCCACCCAGACCCAATACCGGAGTAGACGCTGAAGGCTCAGAAGCCACGCTGGAAGATATACTTCTGGCGTCGGGAAGACCCCTTGGTGCGCCGGTTTCTGACGATCGTGCGGATGGGGCTGAGCAGGACAACAACAAGAATGAGAAGTTCGCGGACGACGACTCTCAACAACCAATTGGTGAGAGCGTGCCTGCGCCTGCAGTGGAAATCTTGTCGGTAGAAACTACGGCTGAACCGGCAGCGATGCTTGTGGATGATACGCATACAGCGGAGCCGGTAGTACTGCAATCTGCAGAAAAAACAGAGTCTGTGTTGGTTTTATCTGAATACGAGACAGCATCGAAGGCAACCGCGGCAGGACCAGCAGACAGAGCAGAACCGGAAGTGGAGGAATCGTCATCGGCGGCTTCAACGCTTGCGACATCTGCAGATACTGTCGTGGTGGCCACGGAAACTGATCAAGCAAAAGACGAGGTCGTAGTCGAAAAGTACGAATTTACACCAGTGGAGGTGGCCGACGTGTGCACGAGCTTGGAGTCGAGTAAAGAGCGGGAAGTTGAGGTTAACGAAAATGACAGTGCCTACGCGCATCTGCCTGAAGAACATCATCACGATGAAAACATGACAGAGGCAATTCGAGATGCTGTAGCACCACCGGCTGCTGTTGTAATAGACACGACTTCTGTCGTCGAGACACAAGAGCCTGTCCTACCGAACACGTCCAGAAGCACAGCGCAAGACATGTCTTCACAGGTTGCTCCGCTCTCAGAGGCCAATGTTAGAAGTATTGAAACAAAAGCTACCGCATCAAAGACATCGGAAATCGTCGCGGAAAAGCCAGCGGCGCAGGTGCCAAAAGCAGCTTTGCAAGACGATGACGTGGCGAGCCTTTTATCGTCTAGCGTCGAAGCCATAGAAGAAGAAGTGATGGAAGATATGGATCCCTTTCGTATAGAGGAGCTGAGCGACAGTCCGAAGAACACCGCCCAAGATGAAACCAAGAACGCTGTTGAAAATAAAACACAAGACTTACATGTGGTTGATAGTGCAGGAGGAGATAAAGTAGATAAAAGAGCTGATTCCGGAGCTGCCGTTTCTTCTGCGCCTTCGAATCCTGAAGCTGTACCAGTCTCTCACGACGTCGACGAGGGTGTAGAACAGCAGGTCGTAGAAGTGCCGCCGACAGACACGATAGAAGTAACAGAGTGTGTTTCTCCGGGAAAAAGTACAAACCAAAAGTCAGACTCGGAGGTTGAGAATGCTTCTGTCGAAAAAGGAAAAGGGCTCTCGGCTGTACTAAGAAAGATTCCTGTGTCAGCCTCGAGTGGAGCTCCAGATAGGCTTGAGGATGCGCAGGCTGTTGCGATGGGTCCTTTTTCAGCCGACCCGATATCTGCAATATCTGACCAGTCTGACGAAGACGTAAGACCTGATTTCAACATGATGACATCAAATGATCTGGATACCACGTCGAAAGAATCCCTGCTCGAGGATCTCAACAGTGCTCAGCCAGAAAGTGGCAGCTGTGCCAAAGACTATAACGTTTTGGCTCAGACTTCGAGACTCAAGCAGCCTATTCCCCTTGTTACAAACCACGAACGATTTTGTAACAAAATGCATGATTGTATTACCGCTTCAGCAGGAGTCGAGGAAGTTGGAGACCTTGCTGTGCATGCACTGAGCAAAGACGAGAACGTGAAAAATCACAGCACAAACATAAATCTGGATGATAGCCTAGCATTCGCTGCGTTGGAGGAGGTAGCCGGACGCAATATTGAGCCAGTACTAACCACTGCTGATACAACATCTTCACGTGATTTTAGTTCTAGAGCTAGAGAGTCACCCTCCGCTTCCTCTAGTAACCAGGTCCTAGTCGAGGACGCGTCATATCATGGAAATGCCAGTGTAGCGGGAACATTTTATACAGCGAGTATTGGTTCAAATCGCGACAGCTTCGGTCTTGGTGGCGAAGAGCAAACGCCTAGACAAAACACAAGCCAAGCAGGGGATGAGTTCGTGGATGCGGTAGGCGACTTTGCCGATGTCGTAGAAGAGCAGAGTGGCTCGCCAGAAGAGAATTATGGTCGTGACAACAACTTCTTTGTCGGGAGTAATCCCTTCCGATAAAGGTACTCTAGAAGTATGACATCACGGTGGAAGATGCTGACTCATACTTTGACAACACTCGACTCGGTAATGATAGTGATCCTGATAGGTATCTTCGGGATCTGGATTTGGGGATAAAAAGATTGAAAACTAAAGATGAAATGCGCAGTGATTTTCTGTTACACACAACTTACAAAGAAAATATACGCTTTGCGCACAAAAAGTGATTTGATACGACTGATTAACAGAAGTAAGAGCTTTGAACAAACCTGTCATCTTTTGTGGTACCTACAAATTCGAATGCGATCCCCCTATATTCTTGACCCGCTGCTCCTGTAATGCTCTTTTGATATTCCTAGAAGACCCACCCGTGTTAGTGTTTTGCGCCATAATTATGGAACATCATCCACAAAGACCGATTATATCTAGTGACGCACTCGCACGAACTCCCCAAAGGCAAGGATCTGTTGCGTCGGCATTTGCGCATCGGGCAGGTGAATGCTTCAGGGCAATTTATGCGTGTTTGCGACGATACCGATTTGGCAGAGTTTCCGTTTATCACTAAAGGTTTCAATTGAAGATGAGATGTAAGGAGAGTGTGCACCATGAGAGAAACTGCGAGTGATGTAAGGAGAGGGCACATGAGAGATCTTCTACTCCTCCCAGATAGAAAAATGCTGCCTACCTGACGAAAAAATGTTTTCACTTGTTGCCGACGGGCATTTGATCAAACTGCTCTAGCGGAAATGGAAATGGTCTGTAGAATAATAGTGCTACCTGATCATGTAGGAATTATATGAGAGTTGACCTTTGTGCCGGCTGCCAATGTGTCTCTATGGTGACCACGAAGGGTCATATCGGGGGCACTCACATGACATGTAGGAATTATATGGCAAAGACTATCAATTATGAGCATATTGTTCTCCCAATGAGATGGTCTGAGAAAAAATTGATGGCTTTGAGCGGCAATGAAATGACGTAGAATAACATGGACTTGCTTACACGACTCGAGAGCCAACTCTTGGCACAGCTGCAGGACTTGCCTGCAAGCCACCCTTTCCGACAGCTCGGGCGTCAGCCAATCTACGCGAATGAGCTGCAAAGAGGCCTCACTGAAGCCGGCCTGGCACCGTTGGACGCAAGTGTGCTTTCCCCGTTGCTGAGACGTCTTCCTCCGCGTGGGCTAGATACGTGTCTCGATGTTTCGCGCTTCATGTCGGAAAATGCAGCCATAGTGGACGCAGGAAAAGACGAAGGTACGCAAATTTATACGTGGTTCACTTTAAATCCTGATTTTGTCACATGCGTCGCTTCATCGATCTGATCTGGAGACGCGCCTTTTTCTCTTTCACCTAGGATGAATTCTTGTCAGTAAACTATGTACTACAAAAGAATTTGTACTAGGTAGTATGATCGGCTCTGAAATCGTTCGAAAACTCGTTATTTCACAGAGCCGATAACACCAAGCGGGAAGGCTACTCGTGCGGGCACATTGGATTCGCCGCAGGAGAATCTGAAAGGCACTGACTCGTGGTCCCAAAATTCTATCCAAGTGCTACTTAGTTTTAGATGGCATACGCATGTTGTTGTTAATAGTGAGTGCGTGGAGTTATTCGGGAATTCTTTTATTTGAAGCGGTCAAGTTGAGAGGAAAATTCCAAATTGTAAAAATATCTCGTCCTCACAGCAAAGGAAGGCCGGCAAAGCGTTGCGCAGCTTCTGGATATTTTAGAGAGCAAAGTTTCGGATGTTGGAAGCCTTTTTTTGTTGAAGGACGAAGAGTGCATTGGGAGCATCGGCACCACAGACTTGCTGGAAATATTGAGCGAATTAGGCTTACGCGATTCACGCAGCTTGTCTCTACTGAAGAAGGCGGTCGCCACCGAGCGCGACGGCCGTGTGCCATACACAGAATGGCTCCGCGAAACAACACGTAAGCCAAAAGCGACAACGGACGCAAAGAAAAGACAGGAGTTGGCAGCTGCTGCGGCCGCTTCTAGTAAGGACGACGCACCAGAAGAACGAGAGGCCGGAAAGGAGGTGGATAAGAACGAAGATGAAAGAGAGAAGGTAGCCGATGATGACGCGCCACGACCACAAGCAGCAGAGAACAAAGAAATTCCAAGTCCCGCAAAGGCGGCCGCTGCGCAAGAGCCGCCACCGGTGGTCTCCCCGGCTCCCCCCTCACCTGCTATCGACACGAGTGTGGTGCTCCAGGACGCGCCAGCTTTGGGGAGATCAGAGTCGGTCACAGCGCCACCGCCGCCCGCAGAGGAAGAGAAGGAGGCTGAGGATGACAAAGACCAGGCTGCGGCGAGAGAAGGTACGGCAGATGAGGTCGCAGAGGACAAGGCCGATGAAGTAGACGCAGAGGACGCGGGTGGATCTGGCGCAGACGGGGGTGCTGACGCTGACAAGGATGCGACGCCTCCTCCATCGCCAGAAAAGAAAGGGAAAAAGGACGAGGCAGCAGCGGACACGAGTGGCAAAGCTGCGGCCGCTTTAGATAGTGTCGACATCGAGAAAGTGAAGGAAGAAGACATGAATATCGTGGACGGCGAGAAACTAACGGGAAGTCCAAGGTTGGAGCGCAAAAACAGTTTCTCAGAGGAACCGAAAACGGCCTCCACAGGAACTCAAATGTCAATACCGAGTGCGCGACACCGGAAAAATTTGATCATGACGAACAGTCCGAAGCACAGTCCACAGGATCAAGAGACAGAACAAGAGTACTCGGTTTTTGGCTTGGGCGGGTCAAATAGCAGTGTATGTGCTGGATCCGGCGGGGGAGGTGCTGGAGCGGGGCGAGCAGAGGAACAGAACAGTGGTTCTTGGAAAAATAGAACCCTCGACAAGCCAGTGCCGTCGTCTTCTTCCAACAGTCAGAAGCTTGACGATTCTACCAATAATATTCAGTTCTCACAGGGCGAGGGGCTTCAGGCGGATCCGGGACCGGCACTCTTATGCTCGGCTCGGGATCTGGACGATCTGTTTATCGTTGATCCTGTCGACTGGCGTGTGTGCGAGCGCTTTTTCCGCAGTATTGACGTGACCGACAACACCACAGTGTACACAGAGGCGGTGTCGGTAGAGGAACCGATCACGGAGCAGAGGGTGGACGATCTGGTGCGGTTGAAAAAGCTTCGACGACTCGCTGCCGCTCCAGCCGGAAGCATTAGCGGCTACGACCTTGGAGCAGCCACGTCATCGGCCGGTGGCCTCGCGCCCGGCGGCGCGATAAGTCCGAGTTTGCGGCAGTCACAGCGGGAGTTGCGACAACAGTTGGAAGCAGCATCGCAACAGCCATTTGCAAGCGGGGTGTCCAACTTTCGATTTTACAATGACGACCAAGAGAATAGTCCGAACACTTCGATGTTGAAGAATACGGCTCCGAGTCCCCGCACGCAGCAGCTTTTTTCGGGTGCACGTGACCGTAGGCTCGCAACCTTTCATTTCGAAGATCACTTCGCAGACACCTCCCATGCTTGTGGCGGCACACTTGCGAAGCACCGGGTTCACTGGCGGAGCGCCTGCCAAATCATTCTTGCGGATCAGAACTCGCTGTTTCTCGCAACTTCGTCAAGCGTGGCGTCTTCTGCAGTCCCTCCAATGAATAGAAGTAGCGTAGAAGATGCTTTGCTAGAGCAGCAAAGTAGGCGCGTCGCCAACGATGGAACTTTGCCAATTTATGCGACGTCGCGGCCTGCTGGGAATAGAGATCCGCAATCGTACTGCACCGGACAGCCGATGCTACCGCTGGATCAGCAACTTGACTACAACGACAGTGGCGTGACAAGCGCACACATAGCGGCTCACGCGCTTTCTGGGGCACTCTTGCAGGCGCTGCCTCCGCGACTTTTTTCCGCTCTGCAGCCCTCCGACGTCGAAGAGGGGCTCGGCGACTCGACCTTCGTGCAAGCGTTGCGCGTCTTGTGCGAGAAGTTCCCGGAGCTGGTCATTCGCGCGTTTGGAGCACAACGGGAGAGTCTGGCAGGCGCCGACGGGCCTTATGTTTTGAACCTCTTTCATCCGCACAAGAATTTTGTCAGAGAAGAGATCGTGATCAACGACCGAGTTCCCTGCATCGACGACTTGCCACTGTTCTCCGCGAACCGCGGAGGAGAGCTCTGGAGTTACCTATTGGAGAAGGGCGTGGCTAAGCTGCTAGGCGGCTACCACAATTTAAGCGGCTTGGCGATTCCAACATTGTGGAATATGCTCGCAGGTTTGGAAATAGCTGACGCACCGCCATTTCGTAGCTTGTACACATGGCGCCCACAGCGATGTGTGTACGGCGAATTGCCGGAAACAAACGAGGCATCTTTGGTCCTCTGGGGCGAGGGCAGCTTTGTGCGAGATCTAGGGAGCTACAAGTATACTTACTTCCAGTTTTTGTTTTTGAAATTTTTCATGCTGACGCACTACCGAAGTGAACAAGATTAGCATTTATTTTTCAGTCAGCGAGCACCTACGTTTCTCCTTTTCTCCGGTAGGACCTTATGCGGCAGAAGTCAGGAGTTTTTACTTCGAGCGCTTTAGTACTACTCGCTTGATTAAGTGCTGGCCATGATCTGAATCCAGCGCAATACGACAAAGTTCCACAAGATCCGAAGGACCAAGATCATCAAAGTGGCCAGGGTCGCCGGGCGGAAAAGATAACCCAGCGGCGCCATTTTCGACGCGTTGGCCTTTTTTGGCGCGGGTGTGGGTGGTGTTCAGGCCTTCAGCGAACTGAGCCGGAGCGCCAGCCATACGCCTGGCGGGTTCGCCGCTGCGCGGGTGCCTCTGGCCTCTCCTCTCTCTCGTTCGTTGTTTCAAATCCCTCAGCTCAGCTAAGGACAAAGCGCCACCGGAAAGACCTCAAGGAAAAAATAGACCTAAACGCGTACGGTTCCAAGAGCAACGACCAACAGGCAAGGGGCCCGCAGCGTTTTCATATAGAAGAGACGGCGCGTCCTCATAGTTGTAGCCAGGTCCATGCCCTCGCCTCGTCAGTTCTGACCCGTTGAAAGTGCACGGAGGTCGTCGCGCTGTATTCTCGTGATAGGCTCCGTATGATCTGACGCATATCCATCCAGTAAGTTCTTCGCGATCCAGATGAGTAGCACAGCGGTGACCGCATGAGGCTGATGACGATAGCACAGGAGTTCCCATACCCCATTTAGGCACGTGGAACCTTTCCCGTCATGATATCCCAAGAAGAAGCTGGGACTTTCTTGCAACCCCAACGAATATCCACAGGGATCAAACCAGCCAGGGACCACCTGCCTGAGGCTGTGAGTTCAATGGCATCAAGCAAGAGCTTCGCGGCGTGTTTCTCCGCGAGAAACTGCGCAAGACTTAGCCGTCTGCGCTCTCCCTTGTGGTCCAGCACTGGCTTGACCCCTTGCGCATAGATAGAGTAGCAAGTCAGCTAGGGACAGCTTTTCGGAATGTTCTGCGACGTGAAAGAAATGCCGAAGAAAGAGAAACTCGGACAGAGTTCCAACTGGGGGGAGTGGCAGCGTGCCGTACGTCAGGAAGCTCGCCGCCTTGGTCTGCGAACGGGTTACGCGGATGGAGCTGGCGCGCCGGCAGCTCCTCGCGGTATTCCGAACGGGGTTACCACTCGGGAGGACGCGACCCGTCAAAAGTGGCGCAGCTTGGTTGGCGCGGTAGTGCGTAGCCTGAAAGGGAAAGGCGCCGCGGCGTCTTGCGTGGACAACCAGAACGATAGTGGTCAGGTGGGTGCGATCGATGCGGGTGGGGTTGTTGCGCTCCTGCGTTATGTAGGGCACCCCGATCAAAACAACCGCCGCCAGGGACAACGTAGGAAGGCCAAGCCGCTGGCAGGTGGTTTGCGTGCTCAAGTTCCAGAACACGGATCAGCCTGCAGATGTCAAGGAATTCTGCCTCGTCGAAAGTCTGGGACATCGTGAACCAGTCGCCCACCGTGCACCCGCCAGAGGCAGGAGCGCAAGAAAGTGGCCAGCAGAGTGGTGCACTGCTGCAGAAGTTGCCTGGGCTGTTCTGCAAAAACTTCAGGGCAACGATCGAACGCATGCAGGAAGGAGATGGCTCGACCTTTGGCCAGATCGGTGGCTGACTCACTTGAGAAGCGTCGCGCGACGTTGATCGAGGTCGAGGAGGGAGCCTACAAGGCGGAGAGGGATCCCTTCGGGAAGGTGTTCCCGTTCAGTGTTCTGGAAACCTCGAACGAATGAGCGCCCTCGTGAAGAAGAGAACGACGGGGGGAAGGCTAACGAAGGCGGAGAGACCTCTCGGCCTAAGAGTGCCCTCAAGCGCTTAAAGGCAACCATAAAGAAGAAGGTCGCCGCTGAGGTTGACGCCTCCAACTCCAATGGAAAAGCGGCGGCATGGTAGTGGTGGCGGAAAGAACGGCAAAGGGGAGCCGCAGAACAAAGGCGGCAAAGGTTCCTGCAGACAAGACATCCGCCCAGTCTGTTGGATCTGCAACAAGCCGGGCCACAGCTCCGCGACTTGTTGGAAGGATCTACAGAACCAGGAAAACTGGAACTAGAACACCGGCGCCCAGTCTTTCTAGTGGTGGAGAGGGTAAACGTGGCAAGGGTAATGGCATGGCTCACATGTCTCAGATTGCAGAGCTGTTTCAGGTTCTCAATGTCGGCAGTCAGAGCTGAGACGTGGAACCAGTGGAGACGGGACGCCGGTGCGGCTCGCTGAACTTGGACGAGGATGGCATGAGGGTGAAGATGGGGGGAATAGATTGGGCGGGGCATAGTCTTGCAGCTGGTTCCATCGCTGTAAGAGACGGAGTGGTTTGCGTTGATAGTTGTGCGCACAAATATCGCGCAAGACAAAGGGGCGACCTCATTGATATGGCTACCAGAGTTGTGCGGATTACTGGCAGCGCTGGAGGTAGAGACATTTCAAAGTGAAGAAAGATCGCCGTAATGTATCCCCGTGATGCGCTCCGTATGATCTGGCGCATATCCATCGACCCACTGAGTTCATTGCGATCCAAATGGGTGCCGACATAGGTGACCGCATGAAGAGGAGCCGATGGCGATAGCATAAGGGTCGTATCCATATGTATGAGCGCGCGAAGCTTTCCCCATCATGATATCCCAAGAAGAAGTTGCGACCTCCTTGGGGCCCCCGTGAAATATGAATATCCACAGCGATCCAAACCCGCCAGGGGTCGCGTGTCAGTATCAGGCTTTGAGTCCAATTGCGTCAGGCAAGAGCTTCGCTCAACGTTTCTCCACGAGAAGGTTGCCAAGACTTAGCAGTCTGTGCTCTTGTGGTCCAACATTAAGCCCCCTGTATACTTCTGAGCTTAGTACTATGAACTTAGTCGACGCTTCCTCCTTCCATCTTGTATTCGGGATTGTTTCGTCTCATGTGAAATTTTTTTGACTATCTCAGGTTTACAAGCTTATTTCTCATTCAGATTTTTTCCTCACCAAGCAAAAATCAGATACTCCGAACCCGCAGCGAATTGCCTGACTAGCCGCAATGTGGTGGATTATCTTGGCTCAATTGTGACAGCCGGACATCTAGTTTGTGCCACATTTCTCCCTGAGAATCCGTTCGACGTAGAGTTTGGCACGTACGTTTCCGTTGTAAAAGTGGACGTCGCAACACAGCTTGTTTGGTTTCATGGCTACGTCCACCCGGACGCGTCTTTTGGGTCAGATCTTCGGACTAAAGTGGAAGATACGAAACAACAGCTGAGCGACAAATTCGAGTTCGATCGTGCGGAGACCCGGAAAAAGCTTCTTGTGAAGCGGCAAATGGAACTTGCGCGCGATAAATTGATGAAATCCATTGGCAAAGGAAAGAAGTCACCGTCGTCGCGTCGATCGGCACCAGCGGTGATGAGCCCACGCCAGCGGAAAGCGTTGCAGGCTCTCAAGGAGGAAGGCGCGGCGATCGCAGCAGCGGCAAAGAAGAGCGATGAGGCTGGCAGCAACGCTGGCAGCAGCACGGGGAGTAAAACCAAGCTTGATGCTGCCGGACCCTTGCGTGCGCCATCGGACTCAGGCAGCGCAGCAGGGACCGCAACGAAGCTGGAGAGCCGACCGGCGTCGTCTGCAGCCTCTAGTAGTGCTGCGTCGAGCGCGGAGGAAGATGACGCTGTTTCTTCGCGCTCTTCGGCATCGTCGTCCTCGGCTGTGCCGTTACCGGAACCGAAGACGGTTGAGCAACTTCTCGCGGAAGATCCCAATATCTCGCGTGCTGCTGAGGAGATCGCGAAAGCTGCTAGCTGTGCACAGTTGCTCCGGCAGACGGGGAAACAACTACAGTTGGCTGACCGGAAGAAATTCGCGGTCACGTTCAAGGACTTCGAAAAATACGTCTATGATCTCGTCTACTGCGAGCACCGCGACCTAGTTCACGGACGCACCCCGCCACGTGACTGGCGCGAGCAAGCGGTTTTTAACACTGTGCGCGGTGTTTTCGCTCTTTTCGAGCAACAACAAAGCGCCTTTTCAGAGAGTCAAGGCGGACTTGTGGGTCGTGCTGCTGGAAACAACTCTCTCCGTCGGCGACGGCGCGCATCTAGCAGTGGAGGTTTCGCAGATTTCGGCAGTGGCGTCGCGGAGGCGCCAGAGAGTCTCCAAGTACAGTACGGTGCACAAGAGGAGTTCTTGTTTTTGGCCTCGGAAAACACTTGCTATGATGTGTTCAAGAGTCTGCTTCGTCCAGAATTTGAAGAGCGAGGGATTGACCAAGTGCGGTTCTACGTCCTGGTAAATCGGTGGAACCCGCGACTTTCAGAGGCGGATTTAGCAGACTTGTGGGCATTGTGCGATGCAGATGGCGACAATTTTCTCAACTACATAGAATTCTACCGCCTCTTTGAACTCTGCAAGACTTTCTGCCGACGTCCATCGTGAGTTGAACGAAGTGGAAACCCACAAGTATAAAGTTAATAATAAATACTTCTATATTGATGAATGAAGAAAGTCCGTGATTTAAGACCACGAAAGTAGCACCGTCTGATGCAAGAAAAAAGTTGTAACGGCATGAGTAAATCTACAGAAAGTCATAAGTCTAGTTTTCGCAGTGATGTACCGATTTTCGCAGTGATTTGTCCTCGTGCACAGGGGAAGCGCAGCTTCTGGTTTCGTATCTTAGAAAGAGTTGCGTTGGATAGCGATGTAGTTAGTAGCGTCAAGAAAATTGACTACAACAAAGGGTAGGTCTCTTCCACAGTGTAAAGTTATACAACTACTTAGTCCTTGATGTCTGTGTATGCCATTCCGCTTTCATCCGGTTTGATCGTTTGACGAATTTCCTTGTGAAAGCAATACGCGAAGGAGTGGCAGCACCAACAGAACTGAACAGTGAGCACATATTCTTCCATTCTTCTTGAAAAATGATTTCTTCGTACCCTGTTTCGATGTGAATATCATACAAGACGAGATGCTCTATTTGCGGCTCTCTTTGTCCATTGGCGCGTCACGAATTGCAGCTGTGCCCTATTTCGTCAATCCGCGTACTGTGAAGTTAACTAGCTGCTGTTTGCTGGTGACGTATAAGTTTAAGACGGTAGAAGTGTTGCCGAAGTTAGAGCGAGAAAGGACGTTGAAATGGAAAAGGAAGACTCTGATTCAAGTAGTGCTTGGTCTATTTTTCAAATCGTTTTTTTGCAGCTCTTCATTAACCTACCTGCTTGTCTGTACTCACTGTCCGTCTCGCAAGAAGTACGATAGCAAGTTTGCATACCACATCTAGTGAAAGTTTTAGAGTTGGTCCTAGGCATGATCATACTCGCTCAACATCATGGTTTTTGAATTGTGAAAAAGTACAAGATGTTCCGTCGATTTCGCGAGCGTGTGTTTTCCGGTCGACCGAACAAGGCTGAATCTGATGCAACTTTGGCGCCTCCGTCGCCAACGGAGGCGGTGGAGTTTGAGATCGGAGTGGAAGACTGGTCGCTACCGTTATATGATGAAACCTTCATGCAAGCAGAGGGTCCCGCACGGACCGAGAAATCAATGATGGATGCACTTGACAATTGTATGGACGGAAGGGAAGGCGGATCAGCATCTTCAAGCACGACCAAGTTTGGAACAACTAAGAATCCTAGTGCCTCTAGTTCGCAGTGTACAGCGGAGACGACTTCCGAACGCCACCAAGAAACCTCCGAGCAGAAAGCTACATCCGCACAGTCGAGAGGACAGGAGAGCAGAAGTGCGGTAGCGGAACAAAATGGTTGTGGACAGAAGAAGAAAGTCCTTGGGGACAAGAACAATCTCGAGCTTCAAAATGATGCGTTGTCAACGGCGTTAGTTCCTTTGCCTGCTAGTGCATCAAATTCATGGAACTGTGGTCAGCCTGCGAGTCCAAGCCACGGATTCGTCGGTGTCGGAGTGGTTGTTTTTGACGAGGTGGAAGGCCCTGTACTAGACTACTTCTACGCGGGTGCAGCGGTCCCAGGACTCGCTTTCGATCGCCAGTCTCGAGCACCCGTGGGTACTATGGCTTCTACTGGTGGCGACACTCCTCACGGTAAGAATATGAGCTCAGGCAGTTGTGAGCCAAGCGAAGCCTGGCCGTTCCCGGCCCTGGCTCCTGAGGTTCCTCGCTTATTGTGTGCTGGCGGGGAAAATATACGGCTTGGAGTTGGACAACCCAGTGATGGGAGGACGAATGCGCAGACAGAAAGTAAGGAAGTAGAGATGTTCTTATCGGACTCTAAAGGCTCCACGACTGCTACCGAGGATGGCCCATCATCGGCAGAGGCGGTCGCAGATCCAAAAACTATACGTTCTTCAGGCCTATCTGTTGCGGAGGATCTCCAGCTGCTCGCATTTCTAGCGATCCCAGATGGTAGTCACGCAGTAGGCGAGGACTGCTTTTCAACGACCTACTTTTTGCTTCCTGTAGGCGGCCGAGGAACGGACGGGGGCTCGCCACGGGTGTTGTATGGCGTATCGTTGTACGGTTGGCAGCTGTGTAATGCGAGTAAACGTGGCTTTCGCCAGTCCGCAGTGGTGGTGCTATCTCAGGCACCGTTTTTTGGGCACATTCGCAAGCGACTGTTGCCGATCGCGCGCATCTGTCTCTTGGGAGGTACCGATGACACGGGTGTTCGAGAGATGTTGCGCGAATGGTTTGATTACGTGCGGCAGGGCGTGCGGAACCAAGCCGCCACTTCTCCAAGCCCGCGAAAAAAGTTGGCACGTTTTGTGGAGGAGGAAGAGGGAGCTTTTGGTGCGCTCGGAGATCGACGGGGCAGCGCGACTCCAAAATTAAGTGATGCGAAAGCCGATTCACCACCAGCAGCGCAGGAGGTACACGGGGTTACGGGACTGTACACTGGTGTGGAGCGTCAGACGGAGGCGCAAAAGCGAGTTTCGCCAATGATATCGCCAAGTCATTGCCGTCCGCCGTCGTCGCCTGTCGCGCCAGAGCGGAACGCGCCTGCATTACCAGAGCGTGACGCTGACGAAGAACACAAAAAGTTTTTGCTGCCATCCCTTTCAGATGCGGAGCTACACGACAGCCTTGGCGACGCGCTGCTTTTTTTATTGAGGTCTCTGCGAAAGGGTGCGCTCTTCTCCATTCTGAAGGCCATTTTGCTGGAGCGGAAGGTAGTTGTGTACTCGCCGAGTTCGGAGGTGTGCTCGACGGTGGTACTTGCGCTCTGCAGCCTCCTTCCCGGGGCCTCATGGTTCGGATTTGTTAGTCACGCGTTCGGCGCTCGCTTTCACCACTACGCCAAGCACGCGCTTCCGCTGGGCGTCTTCCATTCCGAAAATCCCGTGTACCCATACCTTTCCCTGCAGCTGTTGGACAGTTTAGCGAGCGCTCGCGGCTTTCTCGTTGGAACCAGTAATCGGTTGTTAGTTTATAACGCGGAGCGCGCCGCGCGTGACGGAACGGCAGGAAATTACCCTTTGGGTGATGGCCCCTCGCCGGACAGCCCTAGCGCCTCGTTGGAAGCTTCAACCCCTGCAGCGGCATCAGGAGCCACGCCAGCGGAAGCCAGTGCAGCAATCAAAAAGAGCACTGCGCAGCTTCCCTTTACTCCAGCGACGCGTGCCGCAGCTGTGCGCCTTTCACCGGCGGCCGTAGTGCCTGACCTCGTCGTAGTGCTTCCGAGTGTTCTCGGTGGTGCTGTGGCTGGTGTGGTCGGCAGCGCAAGTATTGCTACGAGTAGCAGTTCGGTGTCCACTACAGAGCTCCGATGGACGCGCCCTGACGTCGCTGCCGCTTGTCAGGCCACAAAGGCCGACGTCCGCTTCCAAACCGAGCTGCTGAAGCTTGTGCGGCACATCGAGCCAGGGCAGTTGATGTCGTCGGAGGAGAGGTCCGTTTGTCTGCGCACGCCTTTCACATCGCCACCGAAACGGCGAAGCAGATTAGTCAGTCGCCTTCGCGGTGTCGGGGGATCCTCTTCCAGCAAAACGCGTGGAGCAGTTTCGTCTTCGAGAAAATCGTCGACAGGAGGTGGCAAACCGGTACAAAGCACTATGGATAAAGTTGGCTTCGGTTCTGCGGACCTGCCTCTAGTGAACCCCCGTGACGATATTTTTCGAGAGTCGCCGCCTGGCAGCGAGACGCCTTCGCCAAGCGGCGCTTCTCCGGGTGTCGAGGCATTTGCCATGGACGACGACGAGGATGTCCCGGTCGTGGAAGATGACTCCGAATATAGAGAAGTGCACATGTCGTCGAGCAACAAAAATCGTCGCGCCGATGCTATGGAGTGGTATCGGCAAAAAGTCAGGAATTCCTCGAAGTCGTCGAAAGACATCTTTCAAAGGCTGAGACAGAAGACTACGCGCACGACGGACCTGCTCAAAGGTCGGACAAGCCGAAAGGAGGAGAATGCTGCAGCTCCTGAACATCAGGGAGACGACGGACTAGCTGGAGAGCAGAAGAGTGGAAGCACAGAACAGAACGCTGCTGGGGCATCGCGGCGGCAGCTGCGCGTGAAGATTTTTGGAAATAAATCGCCAGCCAAGAAGGACAACTCTCCTGCTAAAACGGCGAAACTCGGGGTGAGTGTCTCGGAGTTCGGAAGTAAAAGGGAGGAAGATCGAGCGCAGGAGGATCGAAGGAAATCTACAGGCTCAAATTCTGGCACGGATGAGGCGGCCGTTGATGAGACGTTCTTTGGCGCGGACCCTGCTCAAATCTCTGACGACGAAGAGGTCATTGCAGTGCCGGCAGACGATGCTGCAACACTCTTTGACGCAGCCTCTTCAGAGGAGGAAGAGCCGGAGGATGACGGACCAGAAGACGACATCCGCGAAAAGGAGAATCCTAGTACTGTAAAGGGCACAGGAGGCACTAAAATGGCTACCACAAGAGCCATAGTATCTTCCACTATTCAGCAGGGCGGTCCGCTGGACTACTTAGCTGAGGGGACTTCAGGTGGTTCACAGTTGAATGAAAGAGAAAATCTTACTCTTGTACAGAGGGTGGAGACATTGTCTGCGCAGTTGTTCAGCAACAATGCTGACGGAGCAGATTCGGAGGCGGCACCTCCGGAGGAATCATTTGCACGCGTTGACCTGGTGAGGCATGCTATTTGGGCACGCCAGGAGGAGTTCCTCCGGAAAATCGCGTTCTTTGCAGGTGAGGCTCGCAGTTTCGAGGCTTATTTTCTCTTCTCCGGCAGCGTCTTGCAGCAGAGGGCTACTGCTGCACTAGGAGATGGATCGCTGAATGCGAGCAGCACGATCGCAACGCCAAAGAAAGGTGGCAACAGCGCAGTGGCGCGAGGTAATGCCGGGCCCTCCAGTAATGTACTGCAAGGTTCTTCCCCAAGTTCAAAGCAACACATTCTCTTGGCTCGCACCAGCTTCCGTAACGTTGCACTGTCCACGCTGCAGGGACGTAATGGCGCCCCGATTGTCGATCGGCCACTCGCGGTAATCGATGCGGTGTCGCCTGACCTGGTCCCGGTCGCAGTGCCGGGCGCAGGAAGCGAGGTCTACGAAGCCCAAGCCACCGGTTTGGCCCACGTTTCAACGAGCCTGCCTTCATTGGGATCGTCGACCGCGCAAAACAGTAGCCGACCGGAGTACGATCCTCAGACAAGATCAACAGCTTTGGGTTCGGCACCGGGAGAGAGTTGCGATAAGGCTAGGACGTATGTTCTCCACCATGAGCGCGACCCACAGCTTTCGTTACGGACACTCTCGCCCGCGCAAGCACGCACGGTGGTGAAGGAGTTCCGCAACGAGCTTCTGCCCTTCGGCCTCTCCTTTGCCGTTCAGTGGACGCGCGCCACCGAGAACGGCCGTCGCTTTTTACAGCAGCACCACTTAGAGGTGAATCCTCTGCAGAGACGGCGGCCGCCGTTTCAGGGTTACGGCGAGTACGTCTTTCAGCAGAGCGGCGATGTGTATCGCGGTCAATTCGGGCGCGGAAGGCGCCACGGGGAAGGCGTCTACGTATCTCGGCAACACGGGTTGCGGTATGAAGGGAGTTGGGTCTCTGACCGCCGTCACGGCCAGGGTCTCATGGTTGTGGAGAGGGCGTTGCGCATTGATCCCTCGGTCTCTTCACGACGAGGTGAACAAGAGGCCAGTGCTAGTACGATGATATCTTCAGGAGCACCAGAAGCAGGAGCAACAAGTAGAACGTCGAGCGCGACTGACAGCGAGGTGAAAACCACAGCGCAACGTGTCCCTAGTACTGGAGGAGGGAAAGAAGAGCATGTGCGGCAGGTGTTCTGTTACGATGGAGGATGGGTAGACGACATGCGGTCAGGATTTGGGCAGTGCATTACCGTTCGCGAAAAGTACAGTGGACTCTGGTTGCAAAACAGGTATCACGGTCATGGGAACTTTGTGAGTGCGGACGGCTGTGTCATCTACGACGGCGATTTCCAAAGCGGCAAGTTCCACGGAACCGGAAAGCTGACGTACAACGCTCTGCACGCTCCGTCTGGATCCCCAGTTTCCGAAACGGCAGCTGTGACGAGTTCTTCAACATCCTCTGTAGCGACTAATGTATATAATGCGCTCAGCATGTCCTCGAGTATAACTGCTCCTAGTAGAACTGCTAGTGGGAAAAATATGTTGACGCAGCTCTTCCGGCCAACTCTGACGGCGGAATTGCTAGCCGCACGATCTGGTGCACCACACCGTGTGTCTGATGCTCCTTTCAAGTATGCAGGAGAGTTCCAGAACGGCGTAAGACACGGTGAGGGACAGTTGTCAGCAGAAGCGCCGCCTTTGATTTACGTGGGTCCGTGGGTCCGGGACGAGAGAAGCGGGACTGGACGGATGATCTGCGACTTGGGGGATGGCTGTTCCTGGGAATTCGATGGTGCGTTTGCGTGCGGTGTGGGGCGTCAGGGCAGAGGGACGCTGAAGTTGAGGCAACAGAACGCGTTCACATGTCGGATCAGCTGTGATTGGCGAGGAGAGTCCATTTTGCCAAAGGGTCTAGAGATCGGGCTAGAACTGGAACTAGATGCAAGCGACTTCCTTGCTGCGGAGGGCAGTGAAGCAGGAATCATTTCTTACGGCTCACAGTTCACGTCGAGAGTTTGCCTTTTCTCAAAGAAACGGCACACATAAGTTGAGTATTTCCCTTCCTGTAAAGTCGAACTTCTTCTTGAGTACAGATGATAGATCAGGATCTAGACGGTATACCATGCTAATAAGTACTCAAATAGGTTGAGTCTATTCTCTTGTGTCGAAAGAACCCCGATGAGGGAGTTATCTCTGTATCATAGGCTCTAAGTTGATCCAAGTTCGGGTGCAGTGGCGCAGCTAGCAAGTTTGGGTGCTGAAGAGGAGGAGGAGATCGAGGAGTCGCTACTTGGCCCGACAGCGGGGCCTTCGGTAAGCAGTGTCGAGACCAGTTCAGGTGGTTCAGCAGGTGCCAAAAAGACCGACAAAGCAAAACTCTACAAGATCAGAAAACGCAAGCGCGGACGGCCTGTCGGAAAACCTAGTAGTAAATCTTCGGTTTCTGCTGTGAGCAAACCAAGCCATACAGGGTCTGTTTCTTCCTCTGGTACAACAACAGCTGACAGTAAGAGCGCTTCTACTGCAGAGGGCCGTTTGCCCGAAGTCTTGACTCGATGGGAATATGCAGGTGATGTCGCTGTTGTCGAGGTTGCTGTGACCGCGGTGAATGACGATAGCCTAGTACACCAGACCAAAAAAACATCAAAAGTAACTTCAGGGGCCTCGTCGGAAGTAGAAGATGAGAAGACCACTGCGGTTACTTCTACCGCTACAACTGCCCAAGGCGAACATCGAGACGGAGAAAAGACAAAGAAAAAAATTACAGCAGAGGGAGACGTCGAAGAGGAAGATGACGGGGATGAGGATTTTTTGCCGGAGATTGAAGTCAGTGCTTCGACGTTGCCTGTCACTTCTGGGAAAAATTCGTTCGTAGCGATTCCGGAGCGGCATTTCCTAGCACTGGAAGCCCCTTTCGATCCGTCGGACCCGGGTCGCCGGCATTTGAGCGAGATCGACCGACTATTACATCATTTTTATCGGGCGGACGTGCGTCAGGGTGAGGCCATCTGGTTTCCGATCTCCTTCGGCGGCCTCCGTCTTTTCCCACATGGGAACGGTCGCCTCAAACGGGTGGATGAGCGAACCGCGGAAGTCAAAATCTGGGAAGGGACGTTTGACATGGGCAAGCTTGTGCCGAAAGAACATAGAGAATCTTGAGGAGGTCTCCTCCTCGTAGAAAATCACCTTCTCTAACATTATACAAGACGTCTGAATTTGGATTTGACATACTTACTTTTGTTTTACTTATACTTTCATTTTACGCTACTGTGCTTCTTACTACACCAGTCTACACTTCTGTCAGCAAGCACAAGACTGGAACACGGGCGCAAGAATGAGCTCGTAGTCCTCTGAAGTTTCCAACTCCAAACTGGAGGAAGAGCTTTCTGAGACGCATATTCTCGCGCGCCTTTAGCTGTAACTCACTCGACTATTAGAGGTTATTCATTGCTCTAGATCTTTCGAAGCAACTCGAGAGAAACAACATGGAGCTCGGGCTTAATAGCGATGTTGATGATATCTATCACTCTGTATTGTAGACCACCCAGTGGGATTCACCGGAAGAATGGTCTTCGATTCGACACCTCTCTTGATGTTGCTTTCGTTGATAAAAATGCTTCCCGCCTGAGTTTTTCTTTACTGCGGCAAACCAAAGCTTCTTTGTTTTGTGGATGTGGGGCAGACGTGCTACGCCCTCCCTAGTAGGGGCTGAGGAGGAGCATGTGCTGGATCTTCGAGTCGTGCACGACCTCGTCTAATATGAAAGGTACTGGCAAGAAAGGTTGTCTGCAGGCCTTCTTAAGGATGTAAGTAGTTTTTCAACGCGTTCATCTCTGGCATGTGTTGTCAAGAAACTGTGAATGCTCAACAAAAATACTATGTTCATTCTAAGTCTATAAAGCAAGGCATCGATCTACAGTTTCTTAGAATCCTCACTTGCGTCAGCATCTGCACGTTGAAAAACTAAAACTTTGGCTTGTGGTCTAAGAGCTTGTGGCTTCCATTCTCGGTTTATACTATATTTCGCCTTGTTTGTACTCCGGTCTTATGCACCCGGAGGCACTTTTCTTCGAGACGAGCGCGTTGTTGAACCTGCGGTGTCCACGCGCGCCCATACGGACCGCCATGGGCAGACGCATGATCCCCGAGGACAAGACGGGAAAGATCAATTCGCAATTGGTCTCCCAGCGGGGACACCTCATGAGACCTTAAATAGTAGATGATCAACATGAGGCGATAATTTTTGACCAGAACGGTGAGTCGGAGTGGGCGTCTGCGTCTTTCGCGCCCTCACTTCTTCCAGTCTCGTGGAGAAGTGGACGAGGACTTCTCTGCAGCCACTAGTGCATTGGCAGGAGTACGCGAGTTGTCCTTGTCGGTCAAAGATGTCTCTTCCCTGTTTAACGCTGATGTGGCGACGCGGCATCGGTCGCAATCAATTGTTGGAAGAGGTGGCATGCACGCATTCGGCAGCACGAATGGTTTCGTATTTATTACAACTGGATCAGGAGGCTGCGTCGGAGGAGGATAAAAGTGCGTGATCGAAGAAGTGTACAGGGACTGCAACGAAGACACAATCGCGGGTAGATGCTCGGAAAGACTGGGTGGACTATTAATGACAAGATCAACAAAGGAAAAGCCGACCTCAATGGGGGCAGTACGGCTTGGAGAATGTGGAGTTTGATCCCGACGACGTTCGGATCACCAAGTACTCTGCCGAAAGTACGAGTTACATGTGCCGGGACGGTTTCTGTTGGGTTATTTTCTGCAGTTTCTGGAAGTCCGAAAGCGCCAGCGGAGTATGTGAAAAATTTAACTGCGGTGGTGGAGACTTGAACAGAAAGAGGTATGGTCTAGCTTCTTATTCCTTTTTTAGAATCGCTCGTTTGGGGAGTTATGGCACACGACTTCCTGAGGGTCGATTGAATGGTCATGGTCGAGGTACTTGTGGTTACTCGATTGCTCACTAATTTAGGTTGACTTGCTGAGTTGTAGATGTCAAGATATCTCGGAGTGCACTCTAATTTACGAAACTGAAGTGGAGTCGGATTTGCAGCATAGTGTACAACCACGTGAGTCCTCCTTGTACATCGCGAGTCTTCTCAGTTTTTTCTGAGCTGGAGGACAGAGTATGCTCTAATAGCCGATTGGGGCATAAAAGTTAGTACAAAAGTTTAAGTTTTGATTTTCTCTAGAAGGACTTCGGTAAAACAAATTAGAGAGGAGTCAGCGCAAATGAATATATTGAATACAGCTATACAGAAATTTCTTCTCGATTTATGCGCTCTCCTCATCAGCACCACCTTATGACAAAACAAAAAAAGAATAACCTCCCGGCATCAGCAGCGGATCAGCTTGTGACTCTGCAAGATACATACTGACTTCTTTCTCAAGAAGAGAAAGAGTTTCTTGAATTCTAAGGCCAATGAAATTATTCGCTCTCCTTTCATAGACTCGTAAGGCATCCCATTACGGGTGGTGAATTTCTATGTGATGCCCGATGTTACAACGGTGATTACTGTGCTACGAACCCGAAAAGTGCTGAGCCGACGGGTGTTAGAGATACGAGAAAGTGGAATCTTTACAGCAATGGGGACAAATACCTGGTGGAGCGTGAAGAGTATGTTGCTTGTGGGAACAGTGACAAGGACACCAAAGTGTGCGTAGGCGGCGGCTGGAATCTCTGGCAGCGATGGGACCCGGCAGCAAAGAAAGTACTAAGCGGCAATGGACCTGCACTAAGTTGCGACAATCCTGTGAAGCACGAGAGGCGGATAATTATGGGGAAGTATTAATCGAGATGGCTTTTGCGAAGATATTGGATTTGTTGATTGCAGTCTATTCATTTTTCTGAAATATAGTTAGCAGTGTATGTTTTCCTTGTTCTGGACCAAGTAAGAAGTGCCTAGATTCCATCCGAGGACGAGTAATTGATTAAATTCTGTTTTCATAGTCGAAGATGAGGACGAGACGGAAGTTAGAGCAACTGCGGAAGCAAGTGGCCCGGGTCCCAAGATCGCAGTAGGTCTCGGAATGGGTGCTCTTGTGGTGATTCACTGGCGCGCCACGAGCACTGCATCGGTTGAAGCAGCTGAGGATCATCATGACATAGAATGAACTAGAGCTATCCGGCGAGACAGGGAAAACGTCCAAAAGAACGTCGTCACCCCTGACGCAGTATTTCAAGTTTTTGCGAGTTACATCTACAGCTACTCTTTCTAGTTCAGAATTTCGGATTTCGGATAAGTGGGGACTTTAGCAGTCTGTATGCAGTTCTTTTTAATATCTTCTCTTGATTTCTGCGAAACGTCTCGAGAAGCGGTATGTATTCTATGCTATGGATAGGTACCTCTCATCCTGACACCTTTCTTAGTCATGCTCCTGTTTTAGGACTGCCAATTGTAATACAATTTTCATTGTCATTTTCATGTCGATAAAGTACAAGTAAGTACTTAAACTACAGTCACGTAGGTCGTGGTGATGCGCTACCTACAGACCGGATTTGTGGTTGCATGTCTTCGCAAATTTTCTTCCAAGCGAAGGGTGATTTTTCTCCCAGAGAACGGTGTTAGAAGATACTGAATAACTTACTTGTAGAAAGAGTTTTTAAGAGAAAAACAACTGCTGTAATGCTCATCGAAGCTGCGCTGTTGTAGCCTCCACATTGTAGACAACATTGGCGCAACTACTGTGTCTCATTACGAAGGCTATAAAGAGAGAGAGTAGATGATCATACTTTTTTTGGAAGAAATGTTGGTGGACTTGTAGACAAGTAGACAACAAAAAAAATTTGAAAATGTCCAGCTCCAAACAATTGCCAGACTGAAAAAGGGGCCTTGCTTTACAGAGAAATAATTATCTCGTCTGTGAGAAGAACCGTCTGTCAAAGTGAGAAGCCGTTCGCTTTGTTTCGAGATTGAGTGACAAGAATAGAGGTGGAGAGACCAACGCATAAAGAAACGGAAGTTTTTTTTGAGTCGTAGTTTTTTAAGGCGCAGAATCTCTATTTCTTCATTTTTTATACTTCTATACTTCGCATCTTCCGTTCGCGTGCGCAACACTAGAGAAAGTGTCGAGGAACAAGGTCCCATTCGAACGGAAGGTACAAATTCGAACGCGAGATATTTCCTTCATTGTCGTTCGTGTTGTGCGAGATTCACTGGAAAAGATTGTAGATTGATTGCGAGATGAATGAAGGAGTCGACTTTCGTCTGTCTGTGAGAGCATTTACTATTCTGGACAAGCGTGATGTTGAGGTGGCTCTTCTTCCGGTAACTACGTACTAAAGTCGAATAAAGTAGCTAGTCTTCGCTTTGCTTTCCTTTGGGAGGATAAACATGTTGGAAAAAATCTATATGGTTTTCTCTGATGTTGCCAACGTACACAACACCATTGCTGATGTTCTTTACAACCAACGCACACCAGTCCATTCGTTTTGTGAGCTCTCGTCCCATCGATTTGACGCCCCGTTGATCTTCACAATCATCACATCTTTTTTATCGCGCAACAACAAAAGACTCCGCAAATATCTTTATCACTCGTCTCGCCCAGAACGTTGTGATATTCATAGAGTGACGTCCTATCGTAAAGTCAGTAAATCTAAAAACAATCACGCAAGGCACGCAAGAATTATAGAAGATCGATATTCCTCTTCCTCAATTAGGTTGAAGTTTATTTGATCTCTTCACCATAAGGTAAGATCTCCTCATTCATTGGGCTCTTAATTGTTGAAAAAAAAGAAGTCAACAAGATGGCGGCTCAAGGTGCGACCCTGCAGAACTACAACAACGAGCTCGTTAAGAGCATCGAAGATCTCCGAGAAAAGCGAGAGGAGCTCAACAGGCAGATCCTCAAGGAAGAGGAGGATAAGGGAAAGGTATTCAGTAACTGCTTGGGTTGCCCTCGTCCTCTCTTTTGGCATGTTTTTTCCTCATCGAAATGCATCTGGACTTACCACCTTTTGACAAGTTTCATCATCCAAACGACTGTCCATAATCCATCCAAACGACTCTCTATTAACATCCAACAAGATCCTTCTCCTCTTGACCGCTATGCATCTACCCCGCATGAACACAGATCCAAAAGGAGTTGTCGATTTTGACGGACAGATTGCAAAAGATCAATGAAAGTCTCGTGCGCAAGACCCAGGCCCGAAACGAGTACGACAAGACCATCCAGGAAACGGAAGTAAAATTTTATTCTGCTTGTTGTACTAGTTTACGAGTCGTTGATACCAAAAAATTGCAGTTCCTTTACAGGAGATTCTTGTCCTGGACAAGAACTAGACAGTCTATCAATCTGCGTCGATATAATGATCATGGATGTGATTGAAACAGATGAATGCTTTGATTCGAAGGATCTAACGGAAAGCATTTGCTTTGATGTGAAGTTATTTGTTCTTTTTTTCAGGCCGCTTACATGAAGATTTTGGAGTCGAGTCAGACACTGCTGCACGTGCTCAAGAGGGAAACCGTAAACTTGAGCAAGAAGAAGCAGGGCTCAGACTAATCGCTCGATCCTTGGTGAGAAAAGGCAGAGACCGTCGAAGTCGAATAAAACTCAGGGGTCGCTGCGGTCTCTGTGGTAGGAAAATCTTTTCGGGAGCTATCGTTATGGCACATATCAATATATAACAGAATGATGCTTCCCACTTAAGGGGGATTCCGTTGCTAAGTTTGCGTCTATTGTTGTACAACCAAGCTGGATTCCTTCATCTGGAAGTTGCAGCGGGATCCTCTCGTTACTAGACTCTGCGATGCTTTTTTAGAAAGTTTGGTACAACTAAAAATATGAATGTGCTCTAACTTCTCTCGGCTGTTGTACTAGACAACTATAGTCGACGACTACTCTCCTTCGCGAGGAGAAGCTCGATGGAAAAGCGTTTGGTGGAGTTCCAAAGACTAGTTCCATGATCTTGCTACAAATTTATGTTCATTTTTGAGAAAAGGCCCCGTTGGTTCTGCGCCACGATCTTGTTGCACCTCTACTATGTTGAATGAAAAACCACTATGCGTAATGGGGAGTAGAAGTAGTTGGGCGCACTTGACCACACAAATGAAGATGACCAACGAAGAACGAAAAAAAAACGCAGAGAGGAGTTCCTAGTGCGTTTAAGAAGAAGCAACCGTCCTTATCATTATCGCAGCTAGAATTAATTTGACTACCTTTTTGACTACCTTGTCGTGCACTCTTAGTAACATCTAATTATCTACACTTGACCACAAATAAACGCAACTCATGTAATCGATAACCAGATGAAAGAACTAAATCACGATTAGTTTAAGAGTATATGTGAGTAGAAGTTCTATGTATTTTTCGCAACGTTTTAACTGACAAGTACAAATTCCCTTAAATCTTGCCATTTTCAATCAATACAACGACAACACCTCTTCTTGTTACTTGATACAACTTGCTCTGCGACAATCTCGATTTTGTTTATTTTGACGACGGACTCATTTTCAGGACGGAGCATTAACAAGAGGAAAAATTATCAGTTTGACGAACTTTTAGCCTCCAACGTCGAGTACGGATATTGAAGATAAATCTAATGTCTTATTCGTATCATTGCAGCATGCAGAGGGTGGTAACTAGGTACCACTCCTTGAACCAGGGTGGTTAGGAGGTTGTCAAACACTATGTGTTAGTGCGACGTCTCGCGCTAGGATGTGTGTATCGAGTCTGTAGTCGCTATAAAAAAGTAGGGGTCGCCCGCTCAAAAGTAGTGGGTGCACTCGCTCGGCCCGTGTCCACCGTCACCGTACTATGTAGTGAATAGAACATCGTGCATGCAGGGGAATCATCAACGACTCCGATGATGAGCATTGACGCCGATGAGGGAAAGTCCTCCGCAGTCGAATGAAAAATGTACATTAGGCAGCATCGATTCAATTCAGTCTGAATTGAACATCATCGCAGTGCGCAGAACTTGGTAAAGGAACAGGGATTCCGTTGTAGTACGTAGCACCTATTGATAGCGGATAGCAGACGAGTCTTGATGTTGTAGAAAGGAAAGAGGTTATTTACGAAAAGATGAAATTCAAGATCAACCAATGTAGTCTTACTCAAAAAGACGGATAATTAATCGTGGTGTAGTTACGACCGCACTCTCCACGACCAGTCGCACAGTTTACTAAGGCTGTGGCATGGTGAGGTTTATTTGTTCGGACTTCTTATTCTTAAGTAATTGTTTGTCTTAATGGCACTAGTCACATGTTTAATTTGTTATGGGAGACGCAAATCGGTTCCCCGAGTAAATGAAGATCCTAGGCAGAATGTCAAGCATACGTACAGAGGTCTCGTGTAGTGACTCACTAAACAAGAATCGGTTGCAAGCGAGAGTAAAGTGGAGAGACGGTGAGGCCAATGCGCCGTCGCAGAAACGATATCATTCGGTTAAAATCTTTCTTAGAACTATGTATTGATTGATGTCCTGTTCTGATTTACCTTTTTTGTTTCGTTTTTTTCCTGTAATGATGAAAATGGACTGAAATGAGAGTATGTATATTCTCAGACTCAGCGGTTGGCGTCGTGGTAACGCAAGCCCTCTGCATAGTGACGCCGTCGACGTTCGCACAAAATGTCATGAGAAAGGAAAATCGTTGCATGGTAACCGTAAAGGAATCTGATGGGCGTTGGTCTCCTATCACGAGTATGTTGCGATCGCATCTACTGCTATAGAGATTGTGGCGTTGTGATGGATTAGGTCACCGTGAAGTAGGAAGGTCGCTGTCGTACCCGAGTGCGTTGAAGGCGAAAAAGGCGTCGGGGCTTTGCGTGGGGGCGTGTTGCGACGGACCCCTGGAAGTCATCGATTTTCTCACAAATTTTGTCATGCTGAGCGGTAATGTGGGGCGTTCGAAGCTCGTAAGTGGATTCCATCGTCCAGATAAAGCTGAGCTCGTGCGGTTGAAGGTCGGGAGCCCGGTTGCGGAGGAGCAGAGAGCCTACTCCGCTTCCTCCGGTAGCACGGGGAGCGATGTTGGTGCAGGTCCGAGTGGACTCGAGATCGGGTCGCGTCGGGGTTTTGCAAGGCAGCCAAATGGAGAACGCCAACATTCTAGCCCACCGAACGGTCGCACAGGTGCCTCCGCAATGGCGAGGAGTGGAAGTCGATCGCTTGTGCGCTACGACGAGGATTGGCCAGGCGCCAACAAGTTTTTCTGCGAGGGAGCCTGGATAACGGGACCGGATAGTCAGAACTTGCTGTTTACCAGCCTGCTGATTCTCGTTCCTGTCGTTCTCCTTTTTACCCAGCTACTGCCGGTTATGTGCCCAGCAGATTCGTCGCTCTATGTAGAGCGGTTTTGTGGGCCGAGGTCAGAGCCTGTATTGACCACAATGCTGAGCCGGCGAATCGAGGAGGCACCCTCGGACCGGCATTGGTCTGGGGAAGATGATGCTCTTGACGTAAGAGATACCCACGAAAAGCCGCCTTCTTACTCTTCTGCTGCTGGACGTTTCCTTGGTAGCAAAAAGGATTTTGCACCTTCTTCAGCGAGACCGGCGTTTATAGAAGGAAACTGGACTCCCTCGCGACAGATAGGAGCCGTCGCGACAGACACCAGGTTCGAAAAGGTTGTAACGCCAGCTGGTGCGACTATAGCTCATGCTGCAAAGGGCATGTCAACTTCTTCCGCGACTGAATCTTCGTATGTGATGTCGACGAGCAGACCACTACTATCTTCGCCAGGAGATGCGACTACGACAGGCAGTTCTTTGCAGCATGGAGGTTCCTCTTCCTCTTTTGCGCAGCAAGTGACGACAGCACCGCGAAAGCGCTACGGGGCTCAACTGTATGCCAATCACCAGTATGTCTCTATCGTGCCATTCACACTGGTTCTGACGATTCTGGCTTTCGTGAAGTTTCTGTGCACGGCTTTCACAGACCCAGGCATTGTCCCACGTGAAGTGGACGGCCCACTGTGCGAGGAGGTACCGATCGAGCTAGCAGATGTCACTATCGAGAAGACCGGCTCGTCCCTTGTTGCAGCAACAACACTTGGACAATCCAGCAGGAATGCACCATCAGCATCGTCTTCTTCGAGTGACCTCCATATTGTCTTCAGCGGCGGAGGTTATGATCAGGACGAGCAAAAGACTTCTAATTATACTGATCATGTAAAAAAGAACCTGATGGCGCAGACCACATCAACAACACCAGATACGTTGTCGAAACAAGCAGAGAAATTCGACCCGTCTTCTACTACTCGCGCGTCTTCCTCTGCGTCTATGCAACCACCAGACGGGGACCGACCAGCAACTGGAAGAAGAGGGTCGCGAAATCTATGAGCACAACCAGGCGGCCTTTGCAATTATATTAATGTTTCTTCTCGACACTGCTTGGCGGCAACGAGGGTTGCTTTTTACTCCTTTCTACAATTAGAAGCAGCAACAACATCGCTGCTTGTAGGAAGCAATTTTTAGTGACGATTCTACTCGGGGTACACTGTTGATTCTTGGTATAAATGTGTAGCTTTGTTGTAGTTTCTTCTAATTCTGAGTGGAGCAGTGCCACCGCCAATCGAGGAAATCGTGAACGGCATACGGATACGGAGAAAATGGTGCACCACATGTCACCTGCATAGACCTAGCCGAGCAAAGCACTGCCGTGAGTGCAATAATTGCGTCCTGCGGTTCGATCATCATTGCCCCTGGGTCAATAATTGCGTTGGGCTTCGGAACCATCACCATTTTTATGTTTTGTGCTTGACTATTTTTCAGTAAAAGATGATCTGGAATATTTTTAAATCAGTGCAATAGCAATGTACTGAAGGTGAAGACGCATAAAGGCGTGTAGGTGAAAAACATAAGACAACTTTTACTCAAGAGTGATAGGTTTGTCGAACAAGCCGAGTCATATTTATAATGCTCTCTCTCTAAGCACTCGTTGCTTTTCTTTTTTTGACTGCTGCGCTGTGTCTTTGGGTCGGCGTCGTTACCGGGAGTGTGGTCTTCGTGAAGCCAATCGGACCTGCTGGATTGAATGGGGTGATGCTCGCTTTTGGTCGCAATGGGATGGCCACGGGACTCTTTATCTACAGTGCAGGTATCGATTAATCTCTTATAGCAACATGGTTTTTTTGAAGACGTAACTGTCTCATTCGATGAATAGTGAAAGTGATAAAAATAATGCATTGGTGTTACGGGATATCAGAATTCCTAGTTGATAGTTTATGAGATACTTCACGACTGCGACTACTGCCTCTGTCTCAATGTTGGTAAAAATGATATGAAAAAGCGTGAAGGGGACGCAACATCTCACCTCAGAAATCGTTTTTCAAATTGATTAACAGTTTTCTTTTTCGCGGTGTTTAACCTGGCGTGTTTTCATTGCTGGCTCATTTCGCAAAACCTGACGACAAACGAGGAAATGACGCGCCCGTACGGCGGGCACTACGAGCATACCATGCGTTTAAGCTGGATGATTTCTATAAATTTCAATACTTGTTCTTGTGTACAATAAGGGTAGCGTCCGTAGCCTTTTAGATCAGTCATTTTGATGAGGGTATCGCTCGTCATTGTTGCTCGCCTTGTAGCTGCGCTATAGTACAAGATGAACTCACTTATTGCTAGTTCAAAGATCAAAGGTATGAACCGAAAAGAATTGTTCTGAGGGAGACTTAAATAAAATAGTAGGTCTAATACGGAGTCCGTTTTCTCTCGGCGTTAGACGGAACTGCAAGCTTTTTTGGTGCGGTCCTGTAGAGAAGTCGATGATTGTTAAGGGTACTAGTGGTAGACCATTATTTTGTTGTACGGGATCCTGACTGACTGAGGTCCCCCGTGATTTCAAGGGGAAGCCAAGGGTGCGAAAGAAAGTAACTCACGCAGCCGGGGGTAGTGATCGCCTTCCAAGAACTCTAAGCTTCGGGGCTATGTGTATCGTTCCGCGTCAAGGGGCACTGAGGATGACACAGCGCGGAGACTAGCAGCAAGAGCGGTGCCAGTAGATGCGGAATTTTAGCGCGTATTGTCTTCGTGGCCGTGTTGTTGCTGAGATCCTTCACGCCTCTGGCAAACAAGACTCCAGCGCGTTCGTTCCATAGCTCAATTTGAAAACAGAAGAAAAGACCGTGCTAGAATGAACACGAAAGAAAGCTCGTCTGCGATGAACACATTGAGTTGGATGATTCACGAAAGAAAGACGCTCAACATGAAGAGGAACCTGCGATACTGTTTTGTATTGAGCTTTCATCTTCAGTGTTCCTTGCATGAGAAGGCTCGCTGAAAGATACTTGAGGTGTCTCACATCCGCTACGGATCTGTTGTCCCTGTTCATTTTTAGTAGTGTGAGCTCTTGACGTGTTCTTGTTCCGCATTTAAGTTTCGTTTGCACCGTGAAAACCGGTTTGCAACTTGTAGATCCCATTTGTGAAGTTCACATCCTCGTGATCTTTACTTTCGCAACTTAGTTATATGTACTTGATTTTTATTTTTTTGATGTCGAATCTTACTGGAGTAGCTAGTAGAGATTATACCTAGCTAGTGGATCTTCAAGCAAAGAAATTAAGGGCTGCCGGCTCGAAGACACAGGAGTTGCTCGAAAAGAACCGAAGGAGCGATGCCCGACGTCACAGCACTAAGGCAACATTTCAATATTCTTGTACTTGCCCATTGATTGAACGTAACTTGCGATGCTACCCCTAGCTACCAATACCATCGATCTTCCAAGTAATTGGAACCCCGATTCTGTCTTAGTCTTACATTCTATAACTATAAATAATGTGGTATTTAGGCGTAGGCACGTCACGCGAATAATATTGAAAACGTCTTCATCAAGTACCTACTTCTTTTTCTAAGCGGCCTAAGAGGGGAGCAGCCAGACCTTGAGTTTGTGACCACTTTGGCGCGGCGTGCTGGTGCTGTCGTTCGGAAAAACTTTGGTTTAGGCCACGTAGGAAGGGATATCCAGAATAAGTCGCCGGCTGATTTGGTAACGGAGGTCGATGTCTTCGTTGAGAAGCTGATAACGGACAGGATTTTGGCCCGCTTTCCTGCGCACAAGATCTTGGGCGAGGAGACGGCAGACTCTACGAGTATATTGACGGCCGATCCAACGTGGATTATCGATCCCATTGATGGCACGACGAATTTCGTTCATGGTGTACCTTACGTTGCGGTGTCCATTGTTATGGAGCGCCTACTTGAATCGATTCGCGGTATATCTTATCAGATATATTGCTTAATTGCAAAGATGACAAAAAAAATGAGCTTGGAGTAAGAAAATATGGTCGAGTATCGTTTAATTCGTAGGAGTGTGACATCTAGTTTCAGCGCAAGCTTGCGGCTTACTACCTATCTATGTATTTTGAAACATCTATGTGTCTTGATGCTTTATATATTTCAATAGTCGAGGATGATCACAGCAGATGCGCAACTAGCAGTTTCAACCTCAAATAGCTCCTCTACAAGACGCAACTCAACCTGTACACCCACTTCAAGCACAGGGCTAATAATGGAGCATGCATTTGTTATTTCAATAGTTTAGTTACAGCCCATAAATGCATAGATGTGATACTAGCCTTTTCCGCCTCGTCACTTGCAGTTTTTCTACTTTCTTCATGATTGGTTTTTACGTGAATTTTGAAGCGGTTTTGGGTGTCGTGTACAATCCAATTTTAGATGAGATGTTTGCGGCGGAGGCGGGCCACGGCGCGTGGCTGGAGACATGGATTGTAACCGCAGAAGAGTCTTCTTCTGTTAAGAGCAAGTTTTATGTAAAAGTACTTTGTAGTCCGGTTTCTTTCTATCATCCGACGTCTCGTTTTTTTTTTACTTATTTGTTGTCTGTGAAATGCAGTGTTTTCGAAGCCCAGCATTCCTGGAGCCGTGGCCCCTGCAAGATCGCAAGCCAGAGAACTTCGACTACGCGACGAATGGGAAATGAACACTATTTCCTGGAACGAGTGAACCGGAGGATTGAAAAGGAGCAGCTACTAACTAAGTAGGAGCAAAGATCGCACAACTTAGAATAGCACACACAGAAATTGGTCTGTGATCAAAAGCAACATCAAAAACAACGAACCTTTAATTCTTGTGGAGATCGAGCAAATCTTTCGCTAGATTCAGTTAAGGCCATGACGTTCGAAGCCACCGATCTGCTTGTGAAAGTAAAACAGCAAAACGAAATATACAGATGAATGATCATGGGCATGACTTTTCAAGGAAGTCTAGGAATTCTAGAACACCACAGGTCACAGGGTTTATTCACTTTCTCATAACTCATCTTCTGCTTCTAACCTCCCAGCAGAAAATATTGATGTGGAAACATCATCTACTTCAATACCAAACGCCTCGGTCGTTTCGGGGACGACGAAGCGGCTTGAGCGGCGGCCCTTGGTTCGTGGCAAGTGGGCGGGCGACACGAATAAGGTACTGGGCGAGTCACTAGTCGGGTGCGGATTCCTGGTCCAGGAATGCGGCAAGCTGAGAAGTACTGCTGAGAAGTAAGGCTTTTGGGGATTCGAAGAATATTTGTAGTGAAGGTAAGTAATATAGGTATTATCTTCAGTCTGAAAAATATGTCGTAGTTAAGTAGAGTTGACATTGATGCATTCGTCTGGATTTTTTTGTTAGCGGCGGTGCTTACCTGATTCGTATTGATCGGGGAACTGGTTCGTCTTGCCCCCGATCATAGTGGAGAGTGATTATCTGACTTCGAGACGCAGTGCTGATGATGAGTGATCATGACCATGATTAGAAGTATTTCAAGCGCTAAGATGACTTAGCAGAATCCGACCGCACACGCATCGAAACCCTTTACAAGAACATTGTCGCGAACACGAGCGCCTTGATTCCCATTTGTCGCGATTTGCGGCGTTCTGGCTCAGCCGCGTGCGACCTCGCATCCCTAGCTTGTGGGCGTTTGGATGTCTATTTTGACTAAGAATCGGTTTCTAAGTATAATTCGTTTGGGCTTGTAGCTAACCTACGTCAATATGAATTTGTTTTGATTATCTAGATGCAGGCTGAGTAGAGTCTATAACTGATCGTCTGAGCATGAGAACAAGTGGACGCTGCCTCATTTCATCCAGAAAAAAACTTTAATTTGAGTTCGGCGTTCGAGAGTGGGACATCGCGGCGGGTTTACTGATTTGCAAGGAGGCAGGCTGCGTTGTGGCAGATTTCGACGGCAAGACTCCTCTACCCCGGGAGTTGAATGCGCGCCGCGCTCTCGTGGCGGTGAATAGCAACATTTTGCAGCAGGTGTTAAGGCTATAATTAATAAGTCGTACAACCATAATATCTATCATGTCGGAGGTCATGCCTCGTGACACAGCAGGATCGATCCTTGGCGATTTTCCTACGGGAAAACGGGGCAAGGGATGCTCTCAACGATGCCAACGCGGTGGCTCTAAGGATGGCTGAAGTTTTGGTCTACGAAGATCTTTCGTCATAAAAGGCAAGACGACCTACCTTGGCCCACGTTCGGTAGGATTGTCAAGCCCCGTGCCTACGGTTGCCACTAGTCGCAGTTTCATCACCGACATACACGTGACGTACCACGGAGCCGGTCCAGCGGGCTCGATAAGTGGTTACTCTTAGACTCGCGTCGTGCATTGGTTTTGGAGATACGACGTCGCACTTTTTGAGTTGTAGCGATTTTATCGGCGGTTGTACTACAAGTGCCTAGAATGCGATGGCGGCTAAGGCGGCTACTGCGGAGTCATTGAGTCTCCAATACGGGGGGATGCTCCTTGATGATCCACGTAATTTGACATGATGTTGAGTTCCCACCACCTATTCCGATTAGTCCTGTGAACGTGCAGTTCCACAGAGTGTTAAGAAGCTATAGCTGCGCAGAAGAAGCGTTAGCGCACAAGTAGCCCTGTACTTTTTAGTAAATTATCATGAGCATGATTGCGAAGTCGCGCAACACTGATAGAGAATTTCGGCTCGTCTTGTATGCAGCTCCTCCGGTGAAGTTGTTCCTTCTTTCGAGTAGATTCCGCGACGTGCGAGATGACTGCGAAATGGAGTAGGCAATTCTGCGGTTTCTCTGGCTCATAGGCGTCGGTCTGCAATCCATCAAGAATCTGTCCATTATACATCTGTTTATCGGTTGTGTTACTATTCGTGTGGTGGACTTTTAGACAAGTAGACAACAAAAAATATGTGGTTGTTCTGTTGATGTACACTTGATCCTGCAAGCACAGGAAGATGTTTCAATCGGTTGTCGCTGATTGTTTTCTGACAAGCACTGATCGACCCACAATGGAAAAGCGAGGACTGTTTGAATGGGTATGGCACTTTTAGTATACGAGAACGCGTGTAACCGTTAGTGCTCATGCTATCTGTCCTAATTCTCCCATCTGACTAACTCCAAAAAATCCCACTTCCCCACCGATATAGTAGTTGATATGCGCAGTCAGAAGTCTGTTTACACTCTTCTAGGTACTGATTTATTTCATTTCTTTCAACACAGAAACCACGACGTGCTTCGCTTGTTGTGACTACCAAAAAATGCTGCGGGTAATGAATTACTACCAAAAAATGTCAATCCGTGATCATGCTGGTGGCCACCTGAAGAATATCTACTACTCGGCGAAATAAGTTGCGCATGATGGTCGTCTCCAACTTTCTGTGGAACGACACTTTTGGTGGAGAATCACTAGCGAAGTTCGGTGGACAAGATGATCCCAGACTGGGTTGTATAATGCCAATCTGGGTTGCAGCCGGTGGGCGGTCATGGCAAAGTAGAAAAACGGAAGAAGTAGGATTGCTTAGAAGTCCTGCTCCAAGACGAGGAAGGGGGCTATTTGTGACGAAAACAGCAAACACCTCTTGCAGTGCTGCTTTCACTGCCATATCAGGAGCTCGAACGAAGGCGAGGAGCAGGAAGACGACGGCGTCAAGCTTCATGAGCAGTACCGTACCCCTTGTGTGCGAAGCCGTAGAGGCGGTAATCGAACTCCCAGCACCGCTGGCTGCGGGTTACGCCCCATATCCGATGGGGCCGGGTCGACCTGGATCAACGAGGACGAGCAATAGCAGTACCAATACCTCTTTAGTGGATTAAGAAGTCTCAACAATGTTCTCTGAATCCATCCTGAGGAGCATCGATGGAACTGGGATGAAGAGGAGAGTTTGTTCAAAGGAATAAGATTTGAAGGATTATTTCCACGACCAAGATGACTCTCAAGATGGATTCTCAGGGAGTTGGTCTAATTCGAGGACGGTCACGGAGTCGAAGTTTTTGGTGCGAATTTTAAGGGTATCTTCCGAACCGTGCCTCCGAAAGGAGCGAAGCCGCGGTACTTCGCAACTTGGAGCTATCCATCACCCTCGCGGAAGCTAATGCGCGACCTCCGTCGTTTGCGTGTTAGCAGGGAACTGATGCATCAGGCACTGGGAATATGAGGACATCAGGACGACTAATATTAAATTGTGGCTCTTGAAGATCACATATTAATTTTTCATCACACATTCTTAAAGATTCCCGCCCAAGCCGGTTCTCTAGGCGGAGGCATAGGCGTAGCCCACCTTGACATGGTACTACCTATCCTCTGGCTATGAAATGATAGAATGGATGATCATGATCGTGTCCGACGCGTCGAGAACTTCCGCGCAAATGTGGTGAAGATAATTTGTGCTCTTCCTTCCGTCGCATCGCATTTGTTTTATGATTCGCGGGTATGCCACTACTGTGGGTAGAAGTTAGACCAGGTCAAGCAGAGGTGATATGACATGCCTAGCAACAACATCAGAAGTCATTTTCCTGTTGCTGGGTAAGGCTGTGGAGAACGACTCCCGGTAGATGCACTTTAGGGGAGATGACGTTCATGATTTTCATCCGTACTAAGACTTCTGCTGCAGAGGTCAACCTCCAAATGAAGGCCCGTTTTGTGCTGATAAAAACCGTTAAGTTGAGTATACCTGCTCGTAGAGACGCGGTGATGACTTTGATTGTTGTTCTTGTTCTTCTGGTCGACTCCTCACCTCTGATAAATGAATCTTGTTCTACAATTTGTGGCGCAGGCTGTAGTATCCCGTCTTTTAGACTGTGGCTTCAAATGTTGTTCTATGAGAATGTTGCCACTGCCAATATATAAGATCAATGAAAATTCTGCAAATAGCATACTGGGATCTACCTCTTCCTCTTGAGAAACTTCATGTCCGTCCTACTTGCGACAATCGCAGTCGTTGATACGATCACGCTGCTCGTCTTCATTCTTTCGATAGTATTCATTGAAAGAAAAGCGATCCTACATCCTCCAACCAGAAGTATGGATTGATGAAGCAGAAACCTGGAATTATGCAAACTGTCTTTCACCAGGTGTTCCATTTGCGCTTTTTCATTACCGTCTATCATCTCTCATACATTAGGAAATTCTTTTCAAAAAAAACGAGCTGTGATTCTTTTGGCTTCTATTTTTGTCCTATGCTTTTTGGGTTTCTTCTGATTCCAACCCTAAGATCCTTTCTCTACTATAGCGGTCGTTACTTATCCCAGTCATCTCCTACCAATTCTTGAAATTGTTTGCTTTGCGCGACTTCTAGTGAACAGCGGCTCTGATGTTGTGGCTCCTTGACAGCTTCAGAAAGAATGAAAGCAACACACATACCTAGAAGGCCCTGAGAAAAAATGTCGTCCTTTGCGTGGCTCTGAATGTTCCCTATCTACCAAGCCTTCTACTTCGCAGCGACGAGCACGTTGCTTCCACCTGCTCCCTAATTTTACAAGTTTTACCTCCTCCTGTCTGACGAATCCTTTTGTTGCATGTTGTACTTTTGATTACGGGCAGCTACAGCTGGAAGAATTTTGGTCCTTGACCAACCAGAGAAGGGAACAAGATGGGCAAGAAGGCGAAGAACAATCAAGAAGAGAAAGTCGTGGACGCGGCGAAGGCGGGCACCAAGGGCGGCGCGGAGCCGATGATCAAGGGGGGTTCCTCTGCCGACGCCGTGACCAAAGGGAGCTCGACAGCCTCTAGCAAAAGTGCAGCACAGAACAAAGCACCGAACAAAGCGTCCAATAGCAACGCAACGGCTGCTTCACTTGGAGAGGATGTGCAGAGCAAACAACCTAGAGCGGCTGTGTCTGGCGACAGCAGTACAAATGCGTCGCGCCCAGGCTGCACGGGCAATGGTAAGGTGCAGGGAAATGGTAAGGTGCATAGTGGTGGGGATCATGTTGATGAAGTTCACTCCTCACCCGTGAGCGGGGAGGCGGTTGTGGGCGCATCGAAAACGGTTGTTGGGGACCAACCCGCAGCGAAGGCAGATGGCGAAGGTGCTGACAAAAATGGCGGCAAGAATGCAGGTGCTCTTTCTTCGGATCATAATTTGGATGTCTTAATATCGACGACCAAGCCTGGGGGAGTGTTCCGGCTGCATCGCTTAAGATTCGTAGTCTACTTCATTTTCTGCGGTATGGTCACGATTTTTGTGCACGTCGTCAGCCTCTTGCGCACTTGTGGTCAAGGATGCATGCGACGAATTGTCTATGGCCCATTCAGACGCTACGCCGCTGCTCGGCAGTCATGGAAAATGCAGGCGCGAATCGTTCACGCCGCAGCGCTGGCACTGTTTCGGGTGCTTGCCCGCAGTTGGTTGGGAAAGACTCGGGTAGCGCAGCAGCTAGGCCGCGGAATTCGAAGGGGGTCTGAAATCCTGCGAGAAATCATTGCTGTGGCCTCTACTGCCTTTGGCCAAACGGACAAGGCACAGTGCACAAAGGCGGGACAGACCAGTGGCGGCACTGTCATCGCAACTTCTAAGGCAAAGCAGGGTGACATCAAGCAAGAAACTCCGAACAAGGTAGTCTCCGATGTGGGTTCTAGTACCCAGACAGGGAGCCAAGCGGAATCGGAAAAGGCGACTGCCACGACGTCAAATCGATCGAACGATGATCAACAAAGTGTTAGGCTATCATGGGTGGCCCAGGTCGTCTTTGGGCGAATTTTCACTGCGGAGAGAATCGCCTTCGTATGTTTTCTGCTCGAAGTATTCGGATCGCTGTTAGTGCTCCACCTCATTGTCAACCACAGCTTGTTGCTTCGCGTGTTCGTGTCCTGTTGCAATCTCGTACAGCATCTCCTGGCACTGACGGGTAAAGTGGTCCTGCTTTCGCTCCACCTCACCGTGCGTGCGTGGAGCGCAGTGGCAGAGTGGGTGCATCTCGCATGGCTCGTTGTGCGGGGTACGATTTTCTTCCTCTTTGTCTATCTCCCGGAGCGGGTGCTGCGCGTGTGCTTCGTGATAACAGGACTGCTGGATGCGGACTGGCTCCACGGTGTGCTGGTGTCGCCATTTTACTACCTCGCAGCAGTGGTCAAGTCAGCTGAGTACTGGACGCAAAACGCTTACTACAATGCTGGGGGCTCGACAGTGTCGCGCGTCGGAAGTGACGTTTACTATGGTGCTGTCAACGTCGGCAAAGCGGGGACCACGGCGCTGGGCATTGCCGCGTGGGCGGAGCGCGCGACTGGCTGGTCCATGAAAACCGGCCGCTGGCGCAAAATCAACAAGCAGGACGCTGCACGAAAGAACAAGCGCAGTCGCTGGAGCGACCCACGCAGCAGCGGACCATCTTCAGCTTCAACTGGACGCAGTGCGCCATCTTTCAGCGAACGCAAGGCCCGGAGGAAGCAGGAACGGGCTGCGGCGAACAAAACGAACTCCGATTTCGATTGGACGAATTTTGATGACTGGTATCTGCTGCTAGACGAGGATCTTTTCTTCGAGGGCTCCGTGCCGCAGTTTGGGCGCAATTTTGATGCCTGGAGCGGGTCTCAACGAACTGGAAACGCGACGTCCTCCAACCAAACGGGGAAAGACGCACAACCGGGACGACGCGACGACCCAAAGCGTGGTGACGCAGGAAGCCGGACTGCAGGAGACCGTGGCGAAGACGAGGCACATCGCGGTGGACAGCAACAGCCGGATCATGGTTACGAAGAGGACTACGACGAGGACTGGGCAAGGGAGCAGCAGCAACGGCAAGAAGAGGAAGCTAAGCACTGGCGCAACCAATACACGGACGACGAGTACGAATACATGGATGACGAAGAGTACGAGCGCAAAGAGGAGGAGGCGGAGCGCGAACGGCGGCGAGAGCGTCGGCGACTGGCGGAAGAGGAGCGACAGAGAGCCCTGGAGGAATCGGAAAAAGAGAAGGAGCGACTGGCCACCGTGTTCTGTGGCGGGTTTCGCACACTCATGAACGAAGAGGTCGAGCAGCGGCTGGATTCGGAGTACAGCATGCGTATAGTGCGGGACGAGCAGTTTTACCGTACTTTCTACCGCGGGATGCCTGGAGACACTGCTACTGAGGGCAAGAAAAAGAGTGCATCCTCGTCGCCAGAAGCCGAGGATGCGAGCGAAAACAATGATGCGTCAGAGGAGGAGGAGGAGGAGGAAGAAATTCTACCAGACGGCAGCGTGAAGAAGCTGAAAGCACAGGTGCCGTACGGGGTTTCCTTGCGTTTCGAGTGTCAAAACGACTACAGAGACGGGCTGCAGCGGCACAATCAGGTGCTGACTTGCGAAAAAGATGGATCGTGGTCGCGCTTCAATCCTCTGGCCTGTGTGCACTCGACCAGCTGCTTGTTCAGCGATTTGCGCGACCCGCAGTTAGGCACCTACAGCGGCACGTACTACCACCCAAGAGGGCGTCCTTTCAAAGTCGCCAAGACTATGTACAATGGCCGCAACAAAAACGTCGATTACCTGGAGCACGGTCAGTGGGTCGCACCTGCGTGCTCGGACCCGGACTTCGTGCGAGCGGACACGCGGAAGCGGACGCAGCAAAAGGATCTCTCCTCCGTGGAGCGCTTGTACTGCTACGACGGTAACTGGGAAATGGTGAAGGATGTCGAGGGCTTCGTTGGTTGGATGAAGGACAACGGCTACGCGGAGAACAAGCCGCCGAAACCTAAGGAAGACAAGGAAAAGGCAGAGGGAGAGAAGAACGACGACGAGGATGGGGAGGACGACGACGACGGGAAAGGTAGTAGTTCCTCCTCCGCAGACGGGAGAGAAAAGTTTTACGCGAACATCCCAGACGCAGAGCGCGCCGAATGGACGAACCAGGCTCCGCTGGGTGGCTGTCGGCGCTTGCTCAGCTGCGAAGAGGAGAAGTGGTTAAAGGTAATGGGTGCTCCCGAGAGCAGTAGCAAAGATGCGAAGAAGCCGCCGCGACCACGACTACTAGCTGTCTTCTCATCCGACCTTGGCGAGGAGAAAGTCGATCAGCGCGAGAACCTCATGGGCCTGCCGAGCTACGAGGTAACCGGCCGCTTTCCGAAAAAGCTACTGAAGAAGGCCACGAGCGCGGCGGAAGCGCTCGGGGCGACCGGGGCGGACGGCGTGGAGCACGACGACGATGACAACAGTGACGAAGCAGGCGGAAAGGCGGACAACGAGAACGATGGTCTGGAGGGTTTCGTCGAAGAACCCACGAAAAAACAACTAAATGCAGTCGGCGCACAGCGCGTGTATGACTGCCTTCCTGGATACTTTGCGGTACCTCACGAGCTCGCGGACACGCCGGAACAAGATACTATTGTCGCATGGTGGCGACGTGGAATCGCGGACTACAAAGCTAGCTTGAAAGCTGGCGAAGACTTTCAGAAGACCTTGAAGTTGCCGTCCGCCGCAACCGAGTCGCTGGCTACCCTCGTTGGCCTCACCGAACAAGCTCTCTCGCTGGTGTTTGGAATATCCGAGATCACGGCCGAGGAAGCAGACCTGCCGAATGAGGACGACGATGAGGATGATGAACAACACTCTAGAAGTGGATCGTCGTCAACGTCGCGCCTCAAAAACAAGCGGTTTCGCTACCATATGGTGGCAGAGTGTTGTTGGGACCAGTTCGAGTTTCCCAAGTGGGAGGTTCTAGCGTCTCACAACAAGCCGTTGCGATGTCAGGAGTCGCTAGCGTCACTGTTTCAGCGGAGACGGGAATTGCTCACCCGCTGGGACGCGTTTTCGCAGGGATCCTTGTCCTTTCTCGGCTTGGCGCAGAAGCGCACGTCGCGCCAACAGCAGCGACAAGATGCAGAGTATCGAGACCGCATGGTTGCACGCTACTGGCCGCACCTGACGTACTATTCGCGTCAGTACTGGCTACATTTCCTCACGAGCAAGTGGAACATCCTCTTTCCGGTCGAAGGGGTCACTGACGGCGAAGGATCAGGAGGTGCTTCTAGTGGCAAGGAGCAAAGAGGGGTGAACCACGACCCGTCCTCTGGGAAAAATAAGCAGGGGTCCAAGGAAGACGTAACGAAAGAGGTCGTGAGCTTTGGCGAGCTCTTCTGCTTGCAGGGACTGACGACACAAGACAAGCAAGCACGCGGAGGCAACCTGGTTCGAAAACATTTTCGGGAACTCAGCAAAATGTACCACGGAGACAAGTGCGCCGCGGGTATGCGTGATGAAGCTACGGCCCAGGAAAATAACTCCGGCGCCGGACAGTCTCAGCAGGAAAATGGAGCTCCTTCGGGAACAACAGGAGGTTCTTCTTCTTCTTCAGGAACAATCATCTCGTCGTGGTCTTTTGGTGGGGGTACGGTTGCGTCTGTGCGGAAGCTGTACACGGATGTGCAATCTGCGGTGCTCGAAAGCCCAGCTCTCGTGGCCGCGCAGGCTGCGTACACGCAGACGGCGAGCAGCGTGGCTTCGGTGGCTGCGACGGTCGCCGTGCCTCTCGATTACGTGAGCCGCATTGAGGCAAAGCACATCTTTGGTCCGACCATAGCGGACTTCCTGCTCAGCACCGACGCCGACGAAGAGGACTACCCTTTTTCTGGAGAGGGTCTCTTCGGAGAGGGACTATTTGCTTCCTACGGCGCACAGGACAGTAGCTTCTTTGGCTCTTTCTTTGGATCCTCGAGCACCTCATCCTCTACTGCGGCTCCAGGCGGCGGGTCTGAAACAGGTTCTAGTAGCACAAAAGACCAAGCAGACTCTAGCACGGAAGGAAATGATAACAATGCCGATTCCACTACTAGTTCTGGTTCCTCGACATCATCACAACAACAGGCTTCCCCTTTGACAGCTTGCAGGGAGCGAGCCGACAAACGCTTTTCGCTACTTGTGGCGGTAAAAGAGAAGCTGTTACTCTCTCAATTGGCGGAATCAACCCTCAGAAAAACCTCCACCAGTAATTGCGACGGCGCTTTCCGACGATGTTCCAAAGCAGAACTAGACTCGGGAGACCATATCGCAGAGTGGTTCCCTCGCTCAGAAGTAGCTGAGGTCTGCAAAACCGTACTATCATAATCGGAAAAGATAGACCTCTATCCTTCTCCTAATGATAATAAGGACAAAAGAGAGAGAGAGATTCAATTTCATCTAGCTCACCGTACTTCTAGTACGCGTTAGAAGTGGGTTTGAATATTCAACAAACAAGCACACTAGGGGCAGCTCGTGTTCAGATACTAATGTATTCACACGAATCAACACATCATGCTGTTCTTACTACGGAAAAGCAGCTTCGGCACTCATCGTTGACATCCTATGATGTGAAAATTGACAACCAAGAAACAACAAGTTCTAGATTATTCCCGTAACAACGCAATCGAGTCGTGATAAATTCCTATGAATTGTCCACCAACAAGTATAATAATAATGATAGGGCAGAAACGTAGTTTGGCTGCAGTTCCAAAAGTTCGGTCACTATCAACCAAGTTGTGTCTCACATAGTCCTAGATAGAATGGAAAATGCACAACATCAACGAAAAGGCCTAGAATTTGTTACATTCATACGTGAGTGTTACCCGAGGGGAAGGCCCATAATCATGATACTGAAAGCAAAAATAGCATGTTGTTGTACCAAGGCTGACCATGACGAACAAGGTCGCCCTCGTGTGACCCAACACAATTTTTATCAAAATGGATAAGCTTTTTTTTTCATGTTCTTTTCTCCTCTTTTTCTGACCCTTTTCTACCCATCCCCTGAATGATGTTCGACTCCAACAGTTTAAAGACTAAGATCATCACGAAAACCACATTCGGAATGGTGAATGGAGGAGCATGCGCGTACATAGAAGAAAAACTGGTAAGGTCAGAGGAAAATACGATTTTTTTAGTGTTCAACCGTGTCAGACAAAAAACTGACGTCTGTAGAGAGGAACACTCGTATGGTGTCATCATATGTTTCCACAGGACGAGAGGATACTCAATATTATGCAGGTGTCCTCTATGTATTGGTCTTGCTGTGCTCCTAGATAGAGCGAGAAATCTGTAGTCGAGAGTGAGCTTGATCAATTTAGAGCTGCGCACGCGAAGAGAATATAACCGTTGAGGGATCTGTCATACGAGTGACGAGTATAATGTTCGTGTAATGTCGAGCGAAGATACGCGAGGTCCTCACGACCTTATGCCTGATTCTGTGCGAGTTATCACATTCTGTGAGTACTATCGCGAATGTTTTTCTCTCTGGTCCGTTTGCAGCCTTCTCTTGTCGCTTTGTCAGATTTAGTTTGAGGTTGTATGTGCGCTCCTCCCCAACCTCCAACGTTCACCTTTTTTTATGTACTTACCTACGAACCGCAAGTTCGTTCTCTGTTTCTGACATTTGAGATCCATTTGGTGTAGTTTCGAACAGAATAATCTCTGAGATCTCTCGAGGCTCGTAGTTGTCGTTTTGGTTTACAGCGCACAATGAATATTAATGTTATTTGATTCAATGCCTTTTCAATGATGTTAAACTTTAACTTAATCAAGCTGCTCTAGTGTAGCAAAATGGGTAACCAGGAGTCTGCTTGCTGTGGGGGGTCCCGAGCTCCAGAGAAAGGGACCGGAGATGGCTTCACTCTCGCTGGTGGCACCAGCACGACGAATAACCAAAGTTTTGTTTCCATGTTTTTCACGTCCGGTGGAGAGAATACAGCGGGTCCCCAGACGTCGAGGGATGCAAGACCTGGTGGAGGAGGATCCCGTTCACTCTCAAGGTCCTCAGCAAGTGCTCGAGGAGAGCAGAATAAGCTAAGCAGACGCACCATAGGCATGATTAGCTCACTCGATTCAGGAGATCATATACCTTTGAGCCCTGCCCGTTCACCTGCGCGAGAGAAAACTAGCTCGTCCATTCTCGCAACCACGTATGAAGAGCATAAAAGTGCTCTATCCCAGACCGGGGAGCGGGAAAGCGAGAAAACGCAGGAACATTATAGCGCGATGTCTGAGCCTCCGACAAGGGAACATCACAGCGCGATGTCCACTATCAAGCCTGCATCTGACAGCAATGCGCCGTGGCAAATTTCAGAAAGAGCCGCCTCTGCGAAAAACAGCACCCAACAAGGAGGTGTTGGAGGTGATAACAATAATTCGTCAAGCTATGTTGTTGACTCTGCCAGCTCGACCGACGAACGCGAGGCAAGCGTTATCCTAGAAGAAAACCTGTCTTTTCCCGCTGCAATGTTGAGATCAGGCTTTACGATACTAACTGAAGCAATCTTGCCAGGAACCCGGAAGATCTTTCGACGTCAATTTCAGGAGTATCCTCCGCCGGACGGCACCGTCTATAGCGTCCTTAATGCGCAACAAGTGAAACAGGTATACATGTACCTAAAGCACACGCAATCGGAAATGGATGATTTTCAGGGACGGACATTATCATTAAAAAATAGGATTCTGCAATGAGGTTTAGGCGGAGTTTGTGTTTAAAAATACTCATGTTGAAATGCATAGGCAACGTTTATTGTAGTTTATCGGCCTTTTGTTATTGAAATGCTTATCCTCTTCTATCACTTTCTCACTACTTCTTCTAGGTAAAGCAGTACCTTCTCCGTGAGTATGGTCACCAGTTTTCGCGTCGCGGGATTGCCCTTATGGTCGACGTCGTTGGTGTTTCGGAGGACGATGTGGAGGGGTCCAATGATTGCTGTGAACACTCTGCACGGCTGATCTGCTTAGTTTTAGGAGTGCTGGAAACCAACCGAGCAGGCGGTCTCGAGGACCAAAAAGAGAATCAGGAAGAATTGATGATGGCGATGTTCCCATTCGTGTACGGGGAAGATGCCTTAATCGAAACATACGATGACGAGACGTTGAAAAATCTGGAACTCGATTTCTAAGAATACGACGAGTCGCTCAGCATGACGAAAAAGTGATTCTAAGGCAGAACATCAAGTACAAGGGGCGCATCTTGTGACATGATACGATGAAAAAGCAGAAAACCGCCGGAGAGAAGCATGGAGAAGAGAAGGAATATGACAGATACTAGAAGACCCCGACCGTGCTTAACAAGATAGAGAGAACCTAAACGACGGATAAAGAAATGGCGTACGTAGCCCGCCCCAATTCTAAAAATACGATTAAGCAGATGATAGCTCGCCGATTGAAGCAAAAAAAAATTGTTGAATAATTCCCCATTTGTTACATAGCATGACGGAATCGGAAGAATGGATGATGGCGATGTTGACAAGGTTGTCAGCCTATAGAATGCCCATGGACACCTCAGCTTTGATATTTTAAGAAGATGATAACTCGCCGATTGAAGCAAAAAAATATTGTTGAATAATTCCCCATTTGTTACATAGCATGACGGAATCGGAAGAATGGATGATGGCGATGTTGACAAGGTTGTCAGCCTATAGAATACCCATGGACACTTCAGCTTTGATATTCAATTTCAACTGCAACTTGTGTTTTGTAGAAAAAATGCTTATCGAGATGAAAGACCTTTGAACGAACTAGCTCGGCACTTAACAAACATAATGTGCCTCATTTGCTTTTGCTGTTTCGGCGAGCATTGCGAATGAGTGAATAACCCTGATACTTGTGTACTTTTCCATGAGAAAGTCCGCGAGAGATGACGATTTTCGGTCTTTGGCATTTCTCCGATCTCCGTTTTAGATAATGTTGAACTGTCTGTCATCTTGAATTTTCTGTCTTTGAGTTGAATTCGTCTTAGATTGACTTTGTCTGTATGAAATAGAAAATTCACACTTGCTTGTTCGAGAGTGATGCAGAAACTGCAAATCGCGAAAGCAATCTGTCAATCCGTGAATTTAAAAGTGTCTGTTTCGATGCGGGCAACTGTTGAGCGAAGAGCGTAACAATTCTGTCCTATTCCCCAAAGTTGTCTTTGAGAGTAGAAATGATTGCACAGATGGATTCTAATATAGTGTGCATGTAAAAAACATCGTTCAAGCATTCTCCTAATCAAAGCACAGGCATCATTGCAGGCAAACCATTCATAAATCCGTAAAATTATTTTTTCTTTTGACATCCGAGCATGATGTTGTACGTAATCAGTGGTTAGCTAGTTTTTCCTAGAGACATGATATCGAAGTCCAATAATCCATATCAAAGCAAACCAGTTTGTCAAATGTAAAATCTTCGTTTATAATCGGTGGGCTTAGTGCAGAGATTGATAGAAAATAGCTCATTTTCTTCCGATCTTCGTCTATTAGTTATCATAGAAATAGAAAATAGCTCAAATCTTTTTCCGAGAAAATGGGTCAGTCCCAGTGTTGTGGTGAGAGCCGTGGCCAGGGCAATGCAGGTGAGGCTGCCTTTTCCCGATCAGATGGCAATGCCCCGCTGTATACATCGCCCACTGGTCCTGGGAGCGACATGCGAAAAGCTAGCGATGTGAGAATGGTGAAAAGCAATGAAAACAACATGATGTTCGGGACGAGCACGGCCATGGGGGCGCCGATCCAGATGGTAGGTGAGCAAGTCGCGCGAGACAGTGCTGGCGAGGCGGTGGCGTTCAGTTCCGAACATACCAGTGTGGTGGGAAGCGCAATGATGAGCTTCGGAGGACAGATGCAAGTGATGGAGGTTTCTAATTTCTCTTTCGCTCCAACTGTGGTCAAAGAGCGGTATAGCAGCATTTCTCAAGCCGGTCCCGCGTTTGGCGTAACGGAAGGCGAGGTCGACGATGATTAAGGAAAGTAGTTGTACTTCTTGTATCATTTATTTGCCACACACTACAGAGGACTAGACACTCTGGTGTCCTGGCGAGTGAAGTGCTGTAGCCATAAATCGGCGCCTAGAGGTAACCTGCTGAGTTACTTAGGGGTTCAACAACTTGCTCATTTAGGGAAGAGTATTGGTATTCATAGTTGTATCATCATCCGTGTTGAAATATTATTTTGAAGAAAGAATTTGTATTTGAATTTCTAAGATGTGCCAATTTTACGGGACGAAGAGCTAGCAAACTTGTCCTTCGCGGGACAGATGCTTCGGAGGGGCTACCTGATGCTAACGCGCGATGTTCTACCTGGGTCGAGGTCCTTTCTGCGGCAACAGTTCAAGGCTTACCCTCCAGCTCCGGGAACGATTTTCACTATCTTGAACCCAGTGCAGGTGAAAACGGTACTACTGTGCTCGTGGCTACATTTTTTTGCTCTTGTTTCCTCGATAATTCCAACGATCCAACGTGGATGAATTAACTAATGTTTGTTAGTGTTAGTTTATTTATGATGTAAGCAGCTCCAGCTCAAAGATGGATTAGTAGAAATGACAAGGCATATTGTTCATCCTATGTTAGTCCCTCCAGTCAATAAGTCAACTTATAATCGTCCCAACACGACGAACAGGTGAAGCGTTATCTGGAGAAGAACTTCGGTAATCAGTTTTCACGTCGCGCGATATCACTGATTGTGGATCACGTCGGTGTTTCAGAGGATGACACGCCTGGTTCCAACGACTGCACTCAACATTCCACTAGGCTGATTTGCCTCGTACTCGGCGTGCTGCAGGCCAACCAAGAGGGCGCCCTGGAGGACCAGAAAGAGCATCACGAAGAATTGATGATGAGCATGTTTCCATTCGTCTACGGTGAGACAGAGCTCCTGGCATCATATGATGACGAAACCTTAATCGACATAGACATTGATTTCTAATGAAAATTAGTTTGGATATTGATTTGGAGACGACTAAATGCATGGTATGACAAGGATATATTGAACGAGGAGTCATGGTTTTGAACAGCCTGCTAGAATTAGGTACAAGTTGAAGTTCCTCTATTCGAAAACATGATATCATGAATTGATTGGAGCTTCCTCATTTTGATTATCCTTACGAGATAGTGTTGTAGCCATATTATGTTTTTTATGACACAGAGTCTCACCACACAGTCGGTAAAAATGAGAAATTTTCTTCTAAACTTTTAACTTCTGATTGTTCTCGTCTACATACTAGCGAAGATAGACACAAGAAATTGAAATTCTGAATCAATTTCAAGAGCCGATAGTTTATGCTGTACAGAAGCCTCTACACTTGATGCATTCTCAACATAATGAAACTCATTGAGTTTTTCCGTACAAAATAGAAAAGTCCAGCGTAGGTGGTTATCCAGGACAGCGAAGCGCAAGTACTTGACTCATAAGCTCTGTGTTTAGTTTTTTCCAAGCTCGTCATCAATGGTTTGATGAGTGAGCTGGTCTGGATTTAGGTCGACAGTACTACAGTTTTTGTTATGAGAGCATAGACTTGGATACCGATAGCTTGGTAGTTGTCGTGTATTCACGGACGCAAAGAACAAGAACACAACTAGACCGAAAAAAAGAGCATTGTTATATTTGGAACATGTGTTGAAATAAAACAAGAAAAAATTCCATATGACGTGCTGATGACCTCCTTAGGTACACACGGCTTGTTCGACTAAGGAAACATTTTTGAGCAGCGGCATTCTTTTCACCTGCGGGACTTGAGCCGGCCGAAAGAAGCAGAGTACCATCGAAAAAAAGTGGTTGGAACAACCTTTAACACTAGAAGGGAAAAATGAGCGTACTGTCTCAGCGAATAAAACGATGGAAAAATCACAATCCATAGCGCCCATTTACTTCGTGAAAATTTACGCGAAAAGCGCATTCTCACTTCGTAAAATTAGGGACATCTTCCTTCTCAGAATCGTTGCAGTAATCAAAAGCATTATGCCGGCAGCAATCGAGGCTGGCGATTTCCGAGCCGTCGTCACTGGTGGCGGGTCAGGCCTCGGGCGTGCGTATTGTCTGGACCTTGCAGCCGCAGGCTTCGGGCACATTCTGATAAACGATGCCGACTCGGCGAACGCACATGCAGTCGCGAAAGAAGTTGAAGCAATTTTTGCTTCATCGTCTTCAGGTAACTCAAAAAAGACCAAGCCACGCGTTGCGGTGACACCTGGCCGCATCGGCGAGGAGTCGCAGAGCTGTGAAGAGCAGATCTTGCGCGACTGTGTTTCACACTTCGGAGGGCCACCCACTGCTGTGGTGAACAACGCCGGCATTTTGCGGGACGCCGCATTCAAGAATCAGTCCGAGGCGCAGTGGTCAGACATTTATCGCGTGCACCTTTCGGGTATGCGGAATTTGACGCGGCTGCTCTGGCCGCACTTTCTAGAGCAGAAATTTGGCAAAATCGTGAACATTTCAAGCATGAACGGCGTCTGCGGTGCTTTCGGGCAAAGCAACTATGCGGCGATGAAAACCGCTCTCATCGGGTTCACTAAATCGCTGGCGAAGGAGGGAAAGAAAAACAATGTGTGCGCGAACGTGATAATCCCCACAGCGCTTACGGCAATGACGAAAACCGTGGGTCTGCAGCACTACACGGACAACGCGGGGCCCCAACACGTCGCGCCACTGGTAACTTTTCTGTTGCACCCCAGCAGCAATCATGTGACAGGACGCGTTTTCGAAGGTGCGCCCGGGTTTTACGCGGAGTTGCGCTTTCAGCGCTCGTTTGGGAAATACTTCGCAGAAGAGACTCGTCAACAACCTCGTGTACGACAGCGCCCCGTCACCTGGGAAGACATACGCGACAATTGGAAGGACATCACGCTTTTTGATGAACGCGCAGACGACCCGAGCCAAGAATCTGGCCCACCCAGAAGTTTGAAACTAGCGGTAAAACACGACGCAAAACTGTGAAAATATAATCAACCGAGCATCAAGTTGAAACTCGCTCAGTCATGTCGTCAGGGATTTATGATGTCCTTCGACAATGAAAATTTTCCACATCAAATTTTTTCAAACATGCTCTCTCACAAACTGCGCATTGACTTGACGTTTTCATCGTTTTGCTTTCTTTTGCTCATTTTTGTTGAATAATCCGATGAAGTAGGAGCTATGTTTGACATAATCTTGCTTGTCGCACTGCATGGGCGCCAGCGTTGCTCTCGCACGTTGCTTGTCGTGTGATATATGACGAAAAGGTTTTCGGCTGTGGTTCTGGTTTTTACGAGGAGTACAGGAACCACAATGAGTTTCGTGTTGGAGAGGACCGATTTGACAAGAACTTGCACCGGCTATAGTACGAAAAATGAAAACTCCTATGGTGTCTTACCGCGTAAAAGGAAGTAGACGTCCAAAACTAGACGACTTTTTGGATGCTCAGTAAGGAAACCAAATTAGGCTTTCTAGGTGGAGCTGTATACTTGTACCGACAATCATGTGGTAATTGCAGTTAACAAACATCTGTCTGTGTAAGTGTGACTAAGAACACGTATCCCACGCATAAAGAAGTAAATAAAAGAATGGACAAAAGGACCTTTGTTGCACTGCACTTCTGGGCTCGCAATGTGCGACGGCGAGTGCTTCGTGGCTTCCTTCAGAACAGGAATAGAGCAGACGACGACGATATTTCATGTTCCGAAGAGTACGGGATTTCCAATGACGCATCACTCGTACTCGAGAGCGCACCTGTTGCTTCGTCGTCGCAAAGCAGATCCGGTGACTCGCCACTGGGAGAGGGAACTGGACGCTCTGCACGTGTAGAGGGTGTTTCACATCCTTCGTCGGCGGACCCGCGCATCCATGCTCATATCGGAGAAACGTATACGGCACAAGCAACAGACGCAAGAGTTCGTATAGGAGGTTCATTGGAAGAGGGAGGCAGTAGTAGTTCAACCTCTTTCGTTCGAGCACAAACTACTCAAAGTGGGAAAGTCAATGCAACGTCGAGCCAGGTAGAGTCGCTGTCTTCAGAAGGCATTCGGCAGAAGAATACTCGTAAAGACAGCACAACAAGCGGAGCGCCAGCTGGCGAGAACGATCGTGACGACAACGTTCAACATCAAGACGATGCGCGGTTCCGAGAACTTCGCCGGCGCAAGAAAGCGCGGCTGTGGAGGCGCTGGTGGCTCCGAACGGAACGGCAGAGTTTGCTAAAGGCTGGCGTCTTCGCCTTTCAATGTCTGCACGCCTTGCGCACTCGACAGCGCGGCGCTGCTGAGTGTGTGCGACGGCTCCGCGTCTCTGAGGCAGTGAAGAGGCTACAGGCGCATGCGGGAGCGCAAAAGCTGCTGCGAGCGCTCCGGTGTCGTGCAGATACATTCCGGACACACAGGATGCATCAGCAAACTCTGAGCCTATGGCTTCAGGGTCTCATAACTGTCAAGCGGAAGCAAATACTCGCCAATCTCGCTTGTCAGGTGTATACTAGAGAGAAATAGTTAAATAGACTCATTCTGAATCTTCATCTTAAACTTAATGTCTGAAGGAGGCTGCTCTTGATTCCTATAGTATACTCTTACGAACACGTAGCGAGTTCTCCAGCTTCGACGATGTTCTGTATCATACATAACGTTTGTTTCGACTAATATCCTATCTCGTTTTTCTACTTCCTTCTCTTCACAGCACCTTGCCAATGTTCGTATGAGACAGAGGATAAGAAAATGGTCTGCTTCAGTCGAGGAGATCAAATCATCGAAAGCCGCGCGGAGGAAAGCTGCGGACTTCTGCTGTCGCAAGCTTTTTCCGCCCATCTTCTCACAGTGGGGGTATAACTGATGCTACTAGGAGACTCATCTGAATCACAAATGGATATGGAAATGATAGAAGGATACGCATGTGTTGTTGTAGTGGTTGATCCCTCAAGGTCTTCTGAATTGACATGCCTCTTATAAGTAGATTGGTTGTAGCTGCTTTAGTAATCGGACATTCAACATTTTTCGAACTCTCAGGGCATGGGTAGTGCAGCGACGGCGAAAGAAGGCCAGACAAAATTCAGCGCATCGCATGCATGTCGAGGCGCTTCGCAAAGACGCTGTTTGCAGTTGTTTGAATCGAGAGCGGGAATTGGTATCTTTAGAGAAGAGCCTTGTTGATCAACTCTTCGGTGTATGATCTTGGTCACGGATGCTTTTTATTATTTTCAAGGTAGATTCTTCAATTGTCACACACCGGCGGCGCATTACCATTCTATCCATTCTTGCACTATATATAGATACCCGAACACTTTCTCGCCAGATGTTGCAACGGCGCGAGAGGCAAAAAGAAGCTGCCTGGGAGAATTTTCAGCAGTTGTACAAGTTCTTTCACTGCTGGAAAACTGCGAACAGAGGAGCTTTGTTAGACGTACTGATGGAGAAGTATGGTGTCCATACGAACACCCTAGATGATCATCTTCATGGTATTCTTGACCACGCGCCGACGATTACTTCGGGTGTCAATAAGAACGTAGAGGTACACAACAAGGAAAAGGAAATGGATTCACTTCTGAGTCCTTCGCTTCCATTTCCAACGGTAAAACGGGCTAAAACAAGTACAATCCAGAAAGTAGAAGTACTCGAGAATCAGTGCACGACAGGTTCTCTCCTGGTGGTCCATGACGGCGAAAGTGATGTTTCGCGGGATGGGGGCGAAAGCCTAGCAGAAGAACCGTCATGGCTCCGCGGCTCGGTCTCAGCGCACTTGCTAGAATGCCTGAACTATTCTAGACAGCAAAACGAGGAGAGTTCGATCATCTCTCACGCAGAAGGCGATTTAGGTAACAATGGCGCAAGAGTGCAACAAGTAGCTGCTATGGAGGTTGCAGCCTCGTCAGGCAAGAAAAGTGGAATCAACGTTAATACTGAACTTCCCTGCGTAGTACCTCTGGCATCGAATACTACCAGGCAAGCCGAAGAAGAACAGCCCAAGCTTGTGCCGAAACTTCCTGTTGGTCATGGGGCAGGGTTGCCCGATGGATCGCCCGACACGAGCCGTACAACAGTCCCTGCTGAAACGCCACCCAGCATGACAACGCAAGGTGGCTCCTCTTCGTCCGCCTCACCCAAAATTGGCAAAATTCACGATGGTTATGCTGGCACACCGATATTATCAGCCCGAGGTGGAAGAAAACCGCAAAATCCACTGGCTTTTTTACTTACGGATGGGGATGGTCGCGAAAGCTACGACAGTAGGGCCTCTAACATGGGACTGCTTCGCCGGATACGAGACGAGCAGGAAGCGGTTGCAATGAATTCACTAGCGGACGAAGAGCGAAGTACCTATCGCCACGCTACTACCGGAAGGTCGGGGAGTGACACATTGCTTTTTTCAGACCACGATGATGATGCCGACGCTCGATATTCTAGTAGGGAGACGATCAAGACATCGAAGTCCTTTCTGCTTGGGAAAAAGCAACGTCCGGCACCGCGGATTCCACAATGGCTACTGCAGCCCACATAAAATCATAAGGCGCTACAATGTCTCTCCTGTTTTTTATGTTTTGGTACAATAAATTTCACATAAATAAGTATAAAATGACGTCTCTTGCTGTTGTTTGTGAAAGCACCGCCAGTGCTGAGCACCATTGAACAGTGAGATTTTGGTAACCGGTCTACTTGACGTGTGGATCATTTGTTTTCTTAGGTTTCCACTTATGAGGAGAGCGTTTTGGGTGAATCATTCAAAAGGCAGAAACGCGTTGAAAATACACAGAGTGGATACTTCTTTTTGCAGGTCTGCCATGCATTGTTTTTCTCGTTCCTTCCTTGGTGTTGTACGCAGAGTGTCATGGGAAAAACATCGGTCATGTTCCTCGGGTTCAAAAGGTACTGTCGGTAGGCACTGTCACATGCCTTCTTCAATTTCAAATATCGAATCTGTCATGCTTGAATCGGTTTAGATTTTCAGATTGTTTATGTATCTTCGGGTGCAGGTGCTTATTCGTGTTGATTCTGTGGAAGGAAAGACGAGATCGCGATTGCTGGTACCCTCAGGACGCACCTTCCCTCGAATTCCCATCCTCTATTCACTGTAGATACGGAAAACCGTGCCAATCTCGAATTATTTGTGTCACAACTTGTAACCGATGATACATAACGACTTATTTCTCCGGATCTCTCTCAAAGAAATTAATCAATAGCAGACTCTGCGTGTCAAATTATTGATTCCGTGTCTCGTTTTTTTTGAAACTAAATTCGTTTTCGTTGGACACAAGTCCATCTTTTTCTGAATTATCTGGCGGTCGCTAGATAAATGGTCGCGTCAGGAGGAAGCGGAAGTGACAATCAGCAGCGGCCAACGCTGGGCGGCATTTCGAGTCAAGGTGCAACCACTGTTGTGCGCCGCACTAGTCTCGGAGGTATGGATGTTTCAGTGAACACGGCCGCGCCCGTCACGGCAGCCGCGCCTCTCGGCGGCGTGGCGTCGGTATCCTCACCTGCAGGCCGTGCCCAAAGCCAAGTTAGACGACTGATTTCTTATTCCCCATTGACTTCACCGATCCGCATAGGCGCGGCAACGTCAACAATGCCCTTAACGGCAAGGTATCACAAACCCGGGGTCCCTTTGTTAGTATCCGCTGCTCCACCACGTCCTGCCACTTTGGTCGTCAAGGCAGCTACATCAACCACCGGTATTGCTGGAAATAATATGGCAGCGACGGCGACACCCGCAACTGGATCTTCCTCCACGACTGCCGCCAGCGGAACTTCGACTTCCACGACCAACGGCGCGGCTCCTTTGCGCACTACCAGCGGCAACCAAGATGAGCAGAAACAGGGAGTTGATGCGAGTCCAAGCACAGTCATTGTCCGAGAGGAGGATGTGCTAGACCTTGGAGACGCCACTGTTGGGAATGGTGGGCAAGTCGAGTGTAGTAGTTCCCAAGGCGGAGGAACCACAAAAGTAGAGAAGTCGCTGGACGATCCTGATAGCACTTCATCTTCGAGGTCGATACACACTGTCCCGGACGATGATGTGGATGATATGCCCGGGGCCGTGAAGAGCAGTCCGCGACGACCCGCGCCGGTGATGAGTCCGAGAGCTCCAGCAGGAACCTTGGCTGCGACTTCCCCAGGCTGGATTTCATATCTCGCTACAGGGCGGGGACAGGGTTCGAGTCTCGCAGGGTCGGTGGCCACAGGGCGTGTCGGTGCGCCGCAAGTGATCGCGCCGTTGACTGCCAGAGGTCCTCCAGTATTCGCCAGTGGTTGTGCCACAAGCGGACCGCTCTCAGCGAGGGCAAGGAGTCCTGGCCCACTGCTGGGGAACAAGTTTTCGTCACCTTTTAGATCGCCTACAACCGGAAAACTCTTCGTCACCAAACCACCGCTCTTGCCTGCTCCGCCGTTCTCAGCAGAAAAGAAAGCGCAGAAATCACTAGCGACACCGCACAGTGGAAGTACTTACCACTTTGTTCGTTGATGGTAGACGACTATTTCAGTTACAATTTATTTCTTTTAACTCTCCACTCCTGTGTCGTACAGCTAGTTTCATGATAAATTAGATTCTACAACTAGCTACTCGTTCTCCCAGTGTCGTCTCCTAACCTAACCTCCCAGTGTCGTCTCCATCCACCTCGGTTGCTGACGAGTTCGAGGAAGACGGTTTGCAAGGAAAGTCGCATCCTCCTAGGAGCACCCTCGTCCGAACGACCGGTAGTTCAGCGCGCAGCGCTTCGGCTGCTGCTGGTCCGCGCAAAATTTCGAGTTACATTTCATCATCGGCGTTTCGAGGTTCGCTTGGCAGTGGCGCACCTACTGCATCCAGCGCTGGTGTTCATCCGATGCATCATCAACATGATCTGAATGTAGACGCGGGTAGGGAAAATGAAAACAAAGCTGCAGCCTCTGCCGCAGCTGACAAGACAGGATCGCCTGGAAGAATATCGTGGTCGGAATTGCGAAGTCCTGAGAGCAATTCCGTGAAGCAATTTGTGTCTCCATTAGAAATGCCTGATATCGACGTTGACTGCGTATCACCGCTACAGAATTCATCATCCGCAGACGATACCGAAAATGTTTCTGCGGGTACTCCACTAACTACGGTTATTCCCGACAAGAATCTTGCCGATGAATCGCAGACCGTAGTCGATGAAACTGTCGATAGCACAGTGAATGAAGATGAGAGCGACCAGAGAACCGAAGAGAAAAAAGGAGCTTCATCTAAAAATAGTGAAGTCGAGCACAAGGCAGATGAGGATGGAGGTAGAGATTTGACACAAGATGATGGTATTGACGGTGACACGGCATCGAGCACGACGTATCGCAGCGGTGGCGGATCCAGCACAGGCCCTGCTGGCACGCGCTCGACGTCCGCCGCTTCGTCTGCCGCAACTAGCAAGTCCAGAGTCTCACATCTGGAAAATGAAGGCGGAAGTCGTAATTGTAGAAATATAGTACATGCAGGTGCAGCAGCCAAGTGCGCGGTGACAGCCGTTCCAGCGCGTGCTTTGATACATGCTGAAGGTGAGAAGTTGGATGGAGCATTGCAACAAGGAGAGGAAGGTCTTCCGGCGAATGAACCTCATGTGGTTGGGGTTTCTTCTGCCTCTGCTGCATCGGCATCATCTACTTCGTCCTGTGCAGCGGTACCTGTGGTCGATTTCTTCTCATCGCATTCTGCCTCTGGCTCGTCAGCTGAGGAAGCTGCGTGCTCTGCGCGCAGTACTAACGGTTCACCACACAAAGCATCTTACAAAAGTCCCGGCAAAGGAGTACGCCCACCTGCGGAGGCCGTCCATGCGAAAATCCAGGAGAACGGTGCTGCTCTTCGAGATATTATGAGAACAATGGCCGAGAAAACTGAGGCCCAAAGAAATGCTCAAGAACACACTGTAGACGAGGAAGCTCTTGCTTTATCTAGTACTTCTAGCCTGAATAAAGCAGAAGTAGAAGCAGATCTCGAGGATCGAGTGGATGATCACGTTGCTGATGCATGTTCCCTTGTTGGACTAGTCGATGCAAAAGAGATTGATCTCAAGAATTTCTCTAGTAGCGCCATTTTTCGTGAGAGTGGCGCCGCGACTCTTCTCGTTGGCGGCGTTCCGCTGCTCAGTGATGACGACTGCGGCCACTTGCCACCACTTGCACTCTCTGCTCACCAGGATCATGATGTCAAACTTGTTGATGAAGCATTGAAGAAGATGAACGCTAAAGAACACAACACAGGCGCAACAGATAGCACATTAGTAGGCGTGGACGATAGCACTATTACTAAAATTAAGGCTAGCAGAAATCCATCTTAGCCGGCATCTTCGGCTCGTTTTCTAAGGGGAAACGGGCACCAAGATGCTCCACAGGATGGATTTCTTCTAGCTCTAATAAAAGTAGTAAACCACCAGCATCAGCAAAGCAGACCGTAGCTGACGAGACACCTGTAGCAAAAGGCAGTGGTACGTCGTCCTTTTTTTCAAGGGCTATTGGTCGTTTTTTTCCAAGAGAGGAATCCGAGAAGATGGAGGTTCCTCCTGCGTCACCAGGAGACGAGGAAGTAGTGTACGAGGAAAAGGGAGAGGACCACGCTGAACCCTCTTTTAGTGGTACAGCTGTGGAAGAGACTGATCAAATGGTAGAAGATGGCAGCATGATCTTTCCGGTAGACGAACTGCCGCCGAAAAAATGCACTGGAGATGAAGATAGCCCTCCTAGTAGCTCTTGCAGTTCGGCCAGTACTGATATGATCGACGCCGACGCTAATATCGCCTGCGTGCAGACTAAATCATCAGCAGGAAGTGGTAGTAATAGAAGACCGGGTACAGGCTTGATAGCTGATGAAGGTGCTGATGTAGTCGCGAATGAGAATGCGAGTAAAACGGCAGACGACACTAATCCTCTCATAACTGCTACTAAATCGAAGAGCTCTAGTAGGCCACAACCTAAGAGTCGTTTCCCAGCTCCCATAAACGACCCTCCTGCCTCAATGACGAAGCCGCGCAGCGTAATCGTCACCGGAAACGTCAGCGTGAAAATTCCTCGAAAGAGCGACAGGCGCAAAACGATGGCCACATCCGCGCTCGAGGCCGCTGCTGCAAGACTATTTTGAGGTTTATCCCTAAAGAAACAATATGGCGTTATCTATCAATCATGAGAAGAAAGATGTACTTGTAGGTGAAAAATGTAGGCATTTTCTGGTAGAAGTCATACGGTGAAGATGACAAATATGCATAGAGTTCTTGATGTGATTGCAAGAAGAAGTTTACTAGGTTAGAAAATATGACTGTAAAAAATTATCCAGATCTTGTACGTTGTTCTTTGGATGCCTTTCGCTAGTTATGTCCTTCTTTCTTTCGGGCGTATTTCATACTCATTTGATTTGCAGCTGGCTGTACGCAACAGAAACGAAATCTATCATGCTGAAAGATGAACTGGGGGAAGTATTCGTTGCATACAATTTATCGTTGTGAATCTATAAGTGAAAGTGAGTATTTTTGTCATTTCGATTTCTGGTTTTGGTCGGGAAGCTAGTAGAGGGAGTTCTTGCAGCACCAAATTACAATGCACGTTGATATACGATTTCATCAAAAAGTTACGCGTCTCTCTATAATACATTACGGTAATCAAATTCTAATCATCCAAACGTGGTCGTTGCTCCTTTCCTTATGGTGGTTGGAGTAACTCAATGTTTTTCCACGAAGCGATGCTGCCCGAGCCCTGAAAATGGTTCAGGACTCGTCCCAACCCGTAACTTATAACCGACGAATTCATCGTCTTCTTTTGCAGCATTAGCATTCGATTTTTCACGTCTAGTTCCTTATTTCAATTTCAATTTCCTTACTCAGGTTTTAGGCATCGTCGGTAATATCGTCATCTCATATATGAACACGCCCATTGACATGAAAAAAATGTACTATTCTTAAGCTTGTTGTCGTTCCTTTCAAGCACACGAATGTAACCAATGAATATTGTATAGTTGCATAGTCAGAAGTTCAATCTATCATTGATCAAACGATTTTTTTGCCTTCCATTTTCCCTGATCATCGCATTGACTTTGAACATGATCATCCCGACAGTACTCTCGATCCGAAATTGATCTTGCTGTCTTAAAACCACGATGAATATCAATACCTATGATTGCCTTGTACAGAGTTGCTAGTGGATGATGCAAAAATTCTTGTCTTTGTTGTGGTACAAAGAAAGTAAATACTAGACGTAATGATCGTAAGGGCCCGGCGACACTCCAGTCCATCCACTAGAATCCTTAACCTTTCCCCCTGGGTCGCGTCTCCCCTAGTCCTCGTCAGCCCGATCCTTCAGCCGTCAAATACTGACGATCCAGGGGGAGGCGAGAGCCAGCGTCGAAATGTAAACCGAGTTCGCTGCAACACAAGGTGCTCAGAAAATCACAACTTGCTGGATGATTGTGAAAGAATGGTTGGGTTTGCATAGCACAATCAAAGTCAAAGGCTTTGGCTTTCGAAAATTCAACTTTTGACTTTTCATTTTTCGAAGATTCGAATCCTAGACTTTTCAAAATTTGGTCTGAAGTTTTGGAGGCGCAAAGTTCTAGTTTTTTGATTTTAAGCCCTTCTGTATGAATTTGAGATCTGTCCCTCTCAAACTTTGAAATTTCAAGTCTGACCTTTTGAAACTTTTGGACGTCAAATCTGAAGATCAGTAAGTGCAAAGTTCTAGATTTTTGATTTTATGTAGTTTTATATCGAGTTCAAATGAATTTACCTAACTTTGATCAACTTAAACTTCGAAACTTCAGATCGGAACTTTTCAAATTTTAGAAGTTCAAATCTGATGATTTGGAGTGCAAAAATGCTAGATTTTTCATTTTAACTACTTTAAATCAAACTCATACATCGCAAAATATTTGCTATGCTTCCTGTTGCCATGGCTCATGACTTCATGCGTTCATGTTTTGCGTGTGGGTGGGTATTGTTGACGTTGTGTGGGGGTTTGGTTGATGTTTCGATGGAGCTTAGTCGATGTTTTTCGACTCATTGGGTGTTGTTTTTGAAAAAGATAACCATTTAGTATCGAGTCCCTCATTGTTTGATTGAAGCTGAGTGCCTTTGTCTTCACTGGAAAGAAACGAGATCATCGGAGATCTCAGATCGGAGGTGTGCAAAAAGAGATCTGAAAAAGTTAATATGGCAGATGGATCCTTTCGTTCTTACGATTATAACGGATCGTTTCCCATTCGCGATCACATCGATTTTCCATACGGGTTTCGTTCCTCTTGAATATGAAGAGATCACAAACGGATCAAAGTGGCAACAGCGAAGGGCTTGCTAGCATTAAGCAACATGCTGTTATCTTCCCCCGAGGCCTTCACCTTCTTGTTTTCTTGTGATTCAGAAAACACAGGATGTTGTATATAGTTTCTCTAGTGATTATTTGGTTTTGGTCCATTGACATTGACTCTACCATAAGAAGCCATACTAAGCCTTCGATGCAATGACGATGAGCGACTCTTCCCTCACTCTGTCCGCCGTTTTCGTCGGTGTGGCAGTTTTAGCGACTGTTGTGGACATACTCGCAGAACGTGCCTGGCTGCGTTTGCGACGTATGAAGTATGAAGGAAGGATAGACTTCTCAAAAAAGGCTGGAGGCGATAGAGTAGTATTTTCAACGGTAGATCTACAGAAAAAGGAGAACGACGAGAAACATCCGTTGATCGCTACAGCTCCTCCGGCCAGTCATGGAGCATCTATTACTGTCGGAGGAGCACCAGATGGCGCAGGAGTCAGTTGCTCGGACACACCGGCACTAGTAAGCCAGGACGAAGAAGTGCCGCCTCTCATGCTGTTACCGAATCTTTCAGCTCTGTGCGGCAGAAGCATATTAGTCAAATGTGAGCATTTGAGTGTCGGCGCGTCATTGAAAGATCGGATTGCACAGCGCTTAGTGCGGGAATGCGTTCGTCAGGGCAAACGAAAGCTTTTCGAAGGCACTTCTGGATCAACAGGGGTGTCGTTAGCGAGATTGTGCAAAGAACACAATGCTAGAAGAAGAAAAGAACTTGAATTAAAAGGACATCATCATGTCGCCCATGATGAAGAAGCAACGCAGGGAAAGGGATTGCGGGGCGAACACCACGAGAAGGACGGCAATTTGCTGGAATGTCACATTTTTGCTCCGGAGGATTGTGAGCCGGGAAAGCTGCAGCTAATGGCCGAATACGGTGCGATTGTCCATCGTTGTAAGCCGACCACTTTCTCCAGTCCTGAGCATTACATGCAGCAATGTCTGCGGGCGGTGCGTCAATCCGAGCGCGCGCAACCGGGATCGACGTTTTTCTGTGACCAGTTTGAGACGGAATTGAATTGGCGCGAACACTACGAAAATACTGGTCCCGAAATCTGGCGACAGCTTATGAACATGAGAGGTAGGACACCTGGGAGTGAAACAGAGACTGAGGGCGGCGTGTTGGACGCGTTTGTCATGTCCGCAGGAACCGGGGGGACAATTGCAGGCTGTAGTCGGTATTTCAAGGAACAAACGAAGCTTCTGCGTCAAGGCAATAAAGATCAAAGTCAAAGAACTTGTGGTGGCGATAGTTTTGTTCGCCAGCAAAATCAGCACAAGATGTTTGTAGTCCTCGCCGACCCGCAGGGTAGTTCCTTAGCGACGCGCGTTCGCGAAGGCGTTTGCTTCAACGCGGACTACGAACGAGAAGGTCACCGTGCGCAGTTAGTAGACCAGGACACCATCACCGAGGGGTTCGGGTTGAACCGGATTACGCAAAACTTCCGGAAGGCTCTTCCCTACATCGATGACGCCATCTCGGTGAGCGATAAGGACGCGGTGTTAATGTGCCACTACTTGCGCTACGCCGAGGGACTCTTCTGTGGCAGCAGTTCAGGCGCGCATCTAGCAGCAGCTTTGCAAGTGGCAGCGAAACTTCCACGTGGAAGTCGAGTGCTGACCGTGTTGTGCGACAAAGGCGACAGGTACCGCAAAAAGTTCTGGAACAAGGATGTGCTGCGTACGAGAGGTCTCCTTCCTTTCAACGAGGCTGATGTAGAGGCGGAAAATGCTTCTAGCTCGAATGCACCACCTCTAAACGAGAATGCCGAGAGACTTGCGGACGTTGTGCGCCAACGCTTCTTTCCGGTGTCTTGAGCAGGAAAACGACCCTCCTCCCCTGTTGAAAAGTCATAACGATAACTAACAAACCGTGCCCGTTTGTTACGACTCTAACCGTCTTACTTTCATCTCTTTCCTTCCGCGACGTCTGCGTGATGGCTGCCGTCGAGTGAACGCTGGCGCTGGTCTTTGTTTTTTTTATTCTCACGTCTGTCTGTATGCATCCATGTACAACACTGTAACCTAGACTATTCATCTGTGACAGAGATGGAGACTAGAGAATAACTTCCTGTGAGCCTGTTGATCTGTCAAGTGGAGCGAAAAATTCAATTTCAAATCTGTCAAGGGAACATCGAGGGGAAAAGGCTTCCCGTCTTACGATATGACGTATTCAGAGTGAGTATGTTTCAATATCTGCTTGCTGTAGGCGCTTACAATTCTGTTAAGTTGTGGTGAACACCAGAATATCAGAGAGAAGCATCTGTCCTGAGAGGTCCATAAATGTCGACTTGGAGTGTCTATCTTCTCTGTAATCGAGCGTGAATGGTAAAGATCTGTTTTCTCAGTCATCTCTGCGCTAACACCTTGACTGCACTGTAAGCCGAATCTAATTTCCAGCAGTTCCTCTGCGTGCTTGTTCATGCCTTAGGGATTCTTCATTTTCTTCATCCTTTTTTTCCCGTAGCAACTATTCCCCTTCGTTTATCACGAGTAAGCGCATCCTAAACCATACCAGATATTTAGACCATACCATTTTCGAGATCTAAGCGCATAGCGATTTTCTTTTTCGCACATCTTCAACATATTGATTGATTGACTTCTGGGGCGCAACCATTCATTAACATATTAAACCTCTTCAACATCCTCAACTAATCATTCACAACATAATTCTCAAAATGTCGTTCTATGCGGGACAGATGGGCTTTGGTGGCGCAAACTACGTGACGCCGAACTCGTCTCCCTATGGTACTTACAATTTGTACTTAGTAATGTTAAGGACTGCGCTAGCCATGATTGATAGATACAACACTGCATATATTTTTGTTATTCTAGGCAAGAATCAGAAAGCGGTTTGCATGTTGATTCTCGGAAATCATGCTTAGCTTATTCCAAATTTAATCTGCATGATCCCTATCGCCATAGTAATACTGTCCATAAATGATTTTTTCACCAACAAACACTAACTACAGTGGGACCGACGATGCAGCCTTTCGGCGCTGGTGGAACGATGATCGTGCCGTCCTCGATGGCGCAGCCGTTTGGAACCGCCCCACCTCCAACCACGGCTGGCATGGGTCAAGCCTTGTTGCAAGCTGCTTTGTCGCAAACTGAGTACGAGAATCGGGAGTTAGTCGCGATTGAGGTGCATCACCGGCGACTCAACCGCATCGAAGACGTGGTGGACGGCCTTGCAAGGGAAATGAGTATCGCAGCAACAGACCACGAGCTGCGTATGCGCAAAATCGAAGAGTTCCTCGAGCAACAAATCAGAAGGATGAAAACCGATATGGACCAACGTGATAAGTAAATCACGTAAAGAGGAAGATTGGACGCAATTAGGTATGCTGATCATGAAATTCTTGGATAGAAGATATAGTGATCGATTCCATGAATACTCCTCGGGGATGATTCAATCCGAGGTGAAGAAATAAATACTTGTTGTACTTAACAGTTGGAGTTAATATTCGCGCGTCATAATGAAGATAAAGGTAGCACAAGCAATGAAAATTTGAATTTGTTTTTGCGGGAAGTAGATACCACCGCTATGCATCATTGATTTTTATATGAGTTCTGAAACTAGTTGTACGAGTTTGCTTAACAAAGTCAAAATGCGAGATTTTTAACATCATGGCAAATTTCGTAGGACCAAATATGATGTAGATGAAAAATGAAAAGGGAGAACAAGAGGAGCTAATCTTTAATTATCTATGTCTGTTGCACCCTGATTCACTTGCGTGGGAATGACGAAAAGATTCAGCGGAGATGTAGTTGTGTTCGCATGCGAACGAGTCGAGGTGCATCTGTCAGACAGAAACTTCTACGTCGACAATTTTGTCATAATCAAACGAGAGACGTGTACTTACACTCCAGAAATGATAGGAGAGAAAATCGAATCTCTGTGCTGTCACTGTCATCTGGAGAGGGAGGTGGCATGTTCGTCTTTCGATATTCTGTGTGGCCAGAAACTATGTGTCTATTTTCTACGTGTGAGAATTGAGATAGAAAATGCTTGCAGCTGTCTGTCGTGTGTTTGTTTATTCATACAATCCCGTCCTGGTATGCAAAGATATGAACACACCACTTCCAGGCAGTTAAAAACTTTCGAGCAGTTACAAGCCTGGCAGCCGCAAAGAAAGGAAGGCCGGAAAGGATGCCCATACGAGGCCGCCACTCGTCTCGGGCAAGGAAGGGGCCGCCAGGGAGGCCAGGGCGTGCCGAAGTGGGCGTGAGTTGTTTGCTGTGTGTGTGATTATGGGGCGCTGCCTGCGAGCGCGCGCGCGCGTGCGCCTTGCGAGTCGCGTCCTGCGAGTGTGGGCAGCGTCTTGCGAGCGCTGGCGCGGGCATCGTCTTGCGAGTGGGAGCCGCGTCCTGTGGGTGTGCGCCGCGTTTTTCGGGTGTGGGTTGCGTCTTGCGAGTGCGGGGCGCGTCTTGCGAGTGTGAGCCGCTTCGGTCTTGCGAGTGGAGTGAGTCGCGTCTTGCGAGTGAGCTCAGCCGGCCGCGTCCTGCAAGTGAGCCCAGTCGCGTCTTGTGAGTGTGAGCCGTGTCCTGCGAGTCGCGCCGTGCGCGCCGCGTGCGTCTTGCGAGTGTGAGAGGGTCGTGTCTTGTAGTGCGTGCGAGCGGGTCGGGCCTTGCGAGTCAGTGTGAGCCGCGTCTTGCGAGTGTGAGGGGCGTCCTGCGAGTCGCGTCGTGTGAGTCGCGTCGTGCGAGTCGCGTCGTGCGAGCCTCGTCGTGTGAGTCGCGTCCTCGCGCGGGTCGCGTCGCGCGAGTCGCGTCGTGTGAGTCGCGTCGTGTGGGTCGCGTCAGTCTTGTGAGTCGCGTCGCGTGAGTCGCGTCGTGTGGGTCGCATCGTGCGAGTCGCGTCCTGTGGGTCGCGTCCGTCGTGTGAGTCGTGTACTGTCGTGCGAGTGTGAGCTGCGCCCTGCGAGTGCGCGGCGCGTCTTGTGAGTGCAGGCGGCGCCGGTCTTGCGAGTGGGGGCCGCGCCGGTCTTGCGAGTGTGAGCTGCGTCCTGCGGTGTGAGTGCGAGCCGCGTCTTGTGAGTGTGAGCCGCGTCCTCCCTGCGAGTGTAGGGAGTCGCGTCGTGCGAGTGCGGGCCATGTCTTGCAAGTGCGGGCCGTGTCTTGCGAGCCGCGTTGTGCGAGTGCGAGCGGCGTCGTGTGAATCTGGGCCGTGTCAGTCTTGCGAGTCGTGTGAAGTGATCTGGGCCGCGTCTTGTGAGTGTGCGCCGCGTCTTGTGAGTGTGCGCGCGCCGCGTCTTGCGAGTCGTGTTCTGCGAGTCGCGTACTGTGAGCCATGTCTTGCGAGTCGCGTCCTGTGTGTGAGTGCGACTCGCGTCTTGGTTGCGAGTGTGCGCCGCTTTTTGCGTGTGAGTTGCGTCTTGCGAGTGCGGGCCGCGTCTTGTGGTTGTGAGTGCGGGCCGTGTCTTCCTTGCGAGTGTGGGCCGCGTCTTGCGGGTCGCGTCTTGTGATTTATGTCCTGTGTGTGTGGGCTGCGTCTTGCGAGTGCGAAGGAACGCGGGCCGTGTCTTGCGAGTGTGAGGCAGGGAGTCGCGTCTTGCGAGTGCGGGCCGCGTGTGTCTTGTGAGTGCGAGTCGCGCCTTGCGGGTGCGGCCGGGTCGTGTCTTGTGAGCGTGAGCCGCGTCCTGCGAGCGCGAGCGCGCGTCGCGTCTTCCTTGTGAGTGTGAGCCGCGTCTTGCGAGTGCGGGCCGCGTGCGTCTTGCGAGTGCGACTTGCGTCTTGCGAGTGCTTGCGAGCGAGGGCTGCTCTCTGTCTGGCTGCGACTGCGAGTCGCGTCGTGCGAGTGTGAATGTGATTCGCGTCATGTGAGTGCGAGCCCGCCGCGTCGTGCGTGCGAGTGGCGTCGTGCGCGTGTCTGTGAGTCGCGTCGTGCAAGGAACGAAGTGCGGGCCGCGTCTTGTGAGTGCGATTCGCGTCTTGCGAGTGTGGGCCGCGTCTTGCGAGTGCGAGCCGCGCCTTGCAGGTGTGAGGGGCGTCGTGTGAAGCGGGTGCGAGGCGTGTCGTGCGGGTCGGTGTGAGAGTGAGTCGCGTGGCCTTACGAGTGTGAGTCGCGTCTTCTCTTGCGAGTGTGGGTCAGTCGAGTCTTGCGAGTGCGGGCCGCGTCTTGACTTGTGGGTCGCGCCTTGCGGGTCGCGTCATGTGAGTCAGGTCTCCTGCGGGTCGTGTCTTGCGAGTCGCGTTTTCTCGTGAGTCGCACGCGACGGGCTTGCGCGCGCGAGCTACGGGCTGCGAGTATGGGCCGCGCCTTGTGAGTGCGGGCCGCGTCTTGTGAGCCGCGTCGTGTGAGTGCAAGTCGCGCCTTGCGAGTCGTGTCGCGCGGGTCGTGTCTTCTCTTGTGAGCTGTGTCGTGCGCGTGTTAGTCGTGTCTTGCGAGTGCGGGCCGCGTCTTGCGAGCCGCATCCATCGCGTGAGAGCGAGCCTGCCGTGCTCGCGTCTTGTGACTGAGTGCGGGCCGCGTGTGTCTATCTTGTGGCTGTGACTTGTGAGCGTGGTAAGGGGGTCGCCTCTTGTGAGTCGTGTCTTGCGAGTATGGGTCGCGCCTTGCGAGTGCGGGCCGTGTGCGTGTCTTGTGAGTGTGAGCTGCGTCGCGTGAGTGTGGTCGCCCTGCGTCTTGCGACTGCGGGCCGCGTCTTGTGAGTGTGAGCCGCGCCTTGTGAGTGCGGCTGCGGGTCTTGTGAGTGTGAGCCGCGTCCTGCGAGTGCGCGCCGCGTCTTGTGAGTGCGGGCCGCGTCTTGGGGGTCCGGGCCGCGTCTTGTGGGTGCGGGCGGTGTCTCGGGAGTTGCGTCGCGTGAGTCGCGCACCGCGTTGGCGAGTCGCGTCTTCTCTTGCGGGTTCGGGCTGTGTCTAGCAAGTGCGGGCCAGCTGTGTCTTGTGAGTGTGCGCCGCGTCTTGTGGGCGTGAGCAGTCGCGCCGTGTGGGTGTGAGTCGCTTCTCGTGGTTGTGAGTGTGGGCCGTGTCTTGCGAGTGTCAGTCGTGTCGTGTGAGTGTGGCCCGCGTCTTGCGTGTGTGATCTTGTCGCGTCTGGTGAGGGAGTGGGAGCCGCGTCGTGTGAGGGAGTGCGAGCCGTGCCTGTCGAGAGGGTGCAAGCTGTGTCTTTCGAGTGTGAGCCTGTCGCGTCTTTCCATTACTTAGTGTCTTGCGGGTGAGTGTGCTGGGAGGGCTATGGGCGTCTTGTGTGTTTGCCGTTGCCTCTCATGTCTTCGTTGTTGTGGGTAATGTGGCGCGTGTCTTGCGTGTATGGCTGCGCCTGGCGAGTCGTGTGGGCGCGTGCGTCGTGTCTGGCAATCATAATAAATTTTGCGCGGCTTTCTTAGTGACGCTGGCAGCGTTTCATCCAAGTAGGTGCGCCGCCGCTTATAATGCGCATCGGCGCAAATGCAAAGCGGGCCAAAGGGTGCCGCGTAGTGCTTGTGGTGGGGGTTGCTTGCTTTGTATAGGTTTCTTGCCATACAGCTAGTGGGCCAAATGCGGCGGGAGGACTGGCAAAAAGAGGCGTGGGGAAATTGCTGAAAAGGTGCCCCGCATTGTGAAAAAGATCCGCGGGGCCCTGGGACTGCTGAGAACATCCATGGTGCCCGGGGACTGCTAAAAAGAGCAGCCGCGACTGCTAAAAAGAGCAGCCGCGACTGCTAAAAAGATCAGTCAGGACTGCTGAAAAGAGCGGTATGGACTGCTGGAAGAGCAGTCTGGACTGCTAAAAAGATCGCGCGGGGGCCGTTTCTGTTAGTTTTTCCGTTGGTTTTCCGCTATCTGTTAGTCTATTAGTGTCTCCGTTAGTTTATCCGTTAATTTAGGAGACCCGAATCTTTTAAGCAGTTCAAAGAATCTTTTTGGCAGTTGTCGAATCTTTTCAGCAGTCGCTCAATCTTTTGAGCAGTGCAACTGCTAGAACGATCAGTGTTCAATCTTTTGTTTACCGCCGTTCGATGGATTGCACATTGCAACCTGATCGAGCGAGACGTTCTGAACCTGAGCCGATTATGCGCAAGACGGGTGCGCATTCTTCATTCTGGATGAGCGGGGCCGCCTGAATCACATACCAAAATCGATCGGTCCTCTGCTGTGAGGCATTCATTATAACGAGGTACAGCACAAGCACGCATCCGAGAGAGATCTTATTTTTGTGGCTATGCTTACGCTTACGACCGTGACATCATTTATTTATCGAAAATTGTAAGCCTGGCGCAAGGCAAGAAAATGTCTGTGAAAGTACAAGAGATTCTGTAGCAGAGTGATGTGCACGTAAATGAGCAAATAGAATATTCTCTATGTCATCTGCTTCGCAGGAGAGGATCAATGAGAGAGATACTTTCCAACTTCAGACATGCCGTCGGTAGCTGAGACACTAACTCTGTATCCAAATTCTGGACTAGAGCCATGGTCATTCATCGCGAGAGAACACTAGAAGAGAGAGAGAGGGCCCATACGCTTGTTGGACTCTTTGTTTTATGCATTGACCGTTCCCTATCCCGAACAACCTGCTCGAAAATAATCATGATTATCCAGGTTTTCAATGAATGTATTGTTGTTTTTGTTGAGTCTAATTCCTTCTTGTCGTTTTTGTTCTTGATGGTAGAAACAAATAGGACTATATGAATAAATGTGCATCATTATATTTATATATAAGAAGAGTTGGAGTTCATCGTCGTTGAGCTATAGTTGATGCTATTTAGCACCAGCAGATTGATAGAAGAAATTTTCTCCCTCTGCTGTCTTCATCGTCCGTCGCGCGTGCAGTCAGAAGACCACGCATAGTTTTTACACTTGATTATTTTAAACATATATAATTAAATAGATAAAAATGGCTGATCTGTATCAGTGTGGTCAGAGTCCTGCGCAGGAACTGCAGCTCCGGCGCGAGATCAATGCTGCCAGCATGCGCCCGCACGTTTCTCACCCGTGTGCGCGGGATTTTCGAATGATTACGAGCGGCATCGACGGCTGCAACATGGTCGTACTGGATACTTCCGCGAAATATCGTCCGAGTGCGGTGTCGACGGAAGCTCGGGATCATTTTGGCTACAACATCGAGGACCCCGTTTGGCGCATGCGCGTAGCGAGCGGCAACCAGTTGACCCAGGCGATCCGCTATGCCGGAAAGCCGGCGGGCATCGGTGCCGACCGCGTGAACCACCATAACCGAAAATACGAACGCTTCGAGCACTTGGTGAACCTCCAAAAACAAAGAGGATGCTACAGCAACGAGTAAGAACTGTTAGGCCGAAGCCTTGCATTTTTCACCACTATTTGTTTTTGTAGACTTGTATCTCGACCTCCATGACTACGAGGCACCAAATTTGACTAAGTATTCGTTAATCCATGAGAGGGGTTCTTGTAGTGTCCAAGAAGCTTTCAACATCAAACATCGCTGAAAAATAGGGCGGAATGGCGTCGGGTACGATATACGGAACTGGGACAAGGGAGAACCGTAGCCAACACAAGGCTCCCGGACGAACTAAGGCCTCGAGTAGAACGAAAAGTGCTTGAAGACGGTGAGCCGGCTTCCATAGTCACTTCCAAATACCGGGTTGTGGAAAGCAGGTGCTCATAAACTATGTTCAATAATTTTATATGTTGCATCTAATCTCAGTGAGTTCGTTGTGAACCGATTGCTCAAAGGATAGTAATAGAATTTTTTATGCTTAATATCAAGATGTCCTTCTTTACCTGAGCGACTATGTTTCTGTTTTTTCAACAGGCATCCGCAGTACAGTGGTCGCGGAGGCGAGCAGACCGCAAGGTCGTCTGGCCGAGGAGATGTGCAGCCGAAACGTGTGCGCGCAAAATCTGCGCACAGATGATCGCAGAAGAGCAATGACAAAAGACAATACCTGTGAAGTTACTCACTCATTGTAGTAACTTACTAGAAGAGGCTGTTGAAAATCTGATGTCATTACTTTGATCGTAATTGGTCAGTGGATTGGGATGAATTTTGTTGTTCAGCGCGGGTGGGACCTTCACTCTCAGAAGAGATTGAGGACTTCCCAGGGATATGCAACGTGTTTTCTTTACAATAATGGCCGCCATGATTGGAATGTTGTCGACTCATACACATTGATAAGCATTGAGCATACGCAAAATTAGGTTACCAACATGACAAGCGCAATGTCACTAGGTAGTGATTATTGCTTGTCTCTCCTGCCTAGAACCCCTAGCGCAGGTTCAGCAAAAAAAACGTGACATGTGAATACCTATGGAGAAGTACGTAATAAATACAACGAGCTTACTGCTTCGATGACGGCATATTTATTGTTTGATTCTATTCTTGTTCTTGAAGACGAAGCAGACGAAGTCGCATCATATCCTGTAGACTTCGTCCATTATTTTGGACATTTTAAGGTCCACCTGGATACGAAGTACAGCATACCCCACGAATCAATCTAAAAGAAAAGGTAATGAGAATATCGAAAATGTTGATGATGACGGATAATTACGGTGGAATGTACACCAGGCAACCGTAATCTTCGATCGTATTTTTGTCATGTAGGCTGGCATTGGTAGGGTTCTGTGTACGGCCCACGATCACCGATGAGACTAGCGAAAAAAAACAACTTTTAGATGCTATGTCGAGTCTGGACAAATGCGAATGTCGAAATACAAAAATGAAAATTGAAGAATTCACTCTTTGACGAATCACAACCGACCGCTACCTTTCCGAGGATAAGGCTGCAGGCGTGAAGCCTCTGTCCCGCTTTCAGTGGAATGTCTTCATTTATCCGTGCAGTTGTCACCGTGATTGGCGATATTTCGATAAATATTCTTAACTGAAAATACCTGTTGATGCAGATCCATTCTGTGGAGGTTTAGGATCCTACTGCTTTGAGAGCAGAATGATCGCCTTGCGAAGGGGATGCTGAGCCATTCTGTGCCATGCGAAGACAAGGATCACTGCACGGCATTAGCTGTGAAGCTACTTGCATAAAGTAATCGCTGCAGGAGGAGGACGAGACCGAGAGTGATTGACTTCTTGATGTAGCTTTGGCGTTGTGAGAATCCACACGGGCATGACAATTTTGTTCCGTAGGTAAACTTTTGACGTTTGGTTTTTTCTTTCTTCATTTGGCTTTGGTTGTTTGCGTGGATCATCATCTTCATCATCTCGTTTTCGATTTCTTACACAAATTTTACACTATTTAAGAACAATCATGCCGGCAGTTGCTCCGCAGCCCACTTTGGTGGGTAGTGGTTCGTCCTCGAGTTCGTCTGTCATGCCGTCTGCGCAGACGCAAGGTGGTAACAGCGACTTCGATTTTGAGGAATCGCACCAAAAGGCTAGAAGTGCCATAGCAAGTTTGCGCGATGTGTTGCAAGCAGGCGAAAAGTCATGGTCCGTCGAGCCAGGAAACGAACAGAAGTTCGCGTTGCTGGCACATGATGTGATGAACAACGTGTGTCAGCTGAGACAATGCAACCTGGACATGCGGGCGAACATTGAGTCCATGCGCAAGGAGCTTCAGCAGAAAGATCCGGTGGCAGCGTTTCAGAGAAAGGTACTTCGCAAGGACATACATATTTTCTGACTTGAGTCATCTACTTCTAGTTTCCCCACTGACTGTCCGACCTAGTATAATTCTGCTCTTGTTTTAGTTTCGATACATAGAGACTGAGACGTGAGGCTTCGAACATCTGACTCGTCAATTTTGGGAATGAAAAAACTACAGTACACGAACGACTTGTTTGAAGAAGGGCAGTTTCTTCAGCAAGTACTGCATGCGGGAGTTCCGGAGAGCGATTTGAAGGTAGACTTGATCCCAGAGGAAGAGTGGACCGGACGACAGGCACTTCTAGAACAGGGCATGGATCCGACTTCGACGCTCTACCGACTCCACCACCTGCACCACGAGCTGCAGGAACGAACAAAATTGGAAAACGAGTTGAAGGAAAAGAAGGTACTGTAGTACATATGCGTGCTCCCCTGCGGTTGTAATCGGCGTTAAAAAATAGATCATGTTGTAGTATAGAATGGTATTGACTATCGTGTGAACTACAAGACTTTCTACAGTTTTTTCTTTTGACATTTTTGCATTTCGGTACGAACTACAACAGGATGCCAAAGCACGCACTGTGGAGCAGATCCAGAGATTAAAAGAGCGTGGTTCTGCGAAATTAGATGGTGTAGAAAAAGTGACAGACGCGGTGAAGAAACTTCTCCAGGCGCGACCAGCAGCGGAGCAGGCAGCATCATTGCAGCAGACGCGATCTACACAGGTCAATGTGGCAGTTGCGGCGGTTGAGGCGGCGGCCGCGGCTGCTGTCCCAGGAACTGGCGGTATCAGCGGGGTTGCAGGAGCGCAGCCAAAGTCAGCTTCAAATCCTGCGCTTCTACCTGAGGCGCTTGCAATGGTGCACAAGAAATTTAGCACTTTGGCACAAGACGGCTTTGATACTCGAGTTAGTAGTCGCGTCGACGAATATCCAGATCGGAGCTTCATTCCGGCGGATGGCGTCGCAGCGTCGAGTTCGGCGAAGGAATCTGGTACTTTTGCATAAGTTGTTGATTACACTTTGATTTGCTTAGACTAGATTCGAAACTACGGTCGCATTCCCGTTACTAGTTTTCATCACTTGGTACCTGCCTCGTATTTGACCTACCTGTATCTTTCCTTGCTCTACTTTGGGGAAAAATTTTTTCTCCATCAATCCCCCAACACAGTTTTGCTTCGTAGTCCGCGTGTCGTGGTGACAATATTGGCTAGTGCGAAATCAAGTGGTGACATCAAGCCAATAGAGTTACACTTTAGGGCCAAGCAGTCGGCGAGTAGTAATGCGTTCGCCACGGGACCTGGGAACATCGAGGTGTATGCTTCGGAAACTGAATTGCGCTTCCCCGAAACTGGAGAAGATATTTCATGTCCGGCTGGTGGGCCATTTCATCGCCCGGCGTGGATCGCGCGGCTGTTGAAGGCTGAAATCACAGCGCTAAGTATCGTTCAAGCAGTGCGCGCGGAAATGGCTCCCTCAGTGACAGGGTCGTCTTCACTGATCATCGCAGATAAGTAAATGTGGGTCGAAGATGATGCGCATGAAGTTGGACATGATTGTGTTTTCACATGGATTTGAAATGATTCTCGCAGATTATAGAAGTGTTGCTATGTTGATGTCGCTCGTAAGAATTTTACGGCATCACACACCCGAAATCGATCCCCATAGAGGAAGTAACCCCTCCGCCTCTCACGGACATATTTTACGTCGTACGCACGCAAAGAAATATTAAGGGACTGTTGTGGTCAGGTACCATTTCAGCAACGTCGTCCTTGAAAGAAAATGCCTCAAAAAGCAGAATCGTCTGTCTTACGGTATCTACGGGAGAAGGAGCGAATAACACATTGGAGATGAATCGCAAGAAGGAGAGACGTCGTAGAAGAAGCAAATACAAGCAAAAGAAAGTGCTAAGAAAATTGCAACTTGCAGAACATTTGATGTAGGACGAGTGTACTATGATGAGAAAGAAAGACTTTCGTGGAGCGCCTTGATGCGCCATCTAGAATAGATCTTTCAGGAATAACAGACTTCACGAATTTCGATTTCGGTATTTCCAAGAAAGATGAGTACAACCTCTCGCGCGCGCACAGGCGGTGCGCGTGCGTCGGTGAGGGCTAAGCTTGTACCGCGAGGCGCTCCACCAGACTCATTCGCAGCATCGCTACAACGGTTTTCCCTCAGAGCACAAGAGGAAGTGGGAAATGTCGCATCCGACCTGGTGGTGAGAGGCAACGACTTCTTGGCTTCAACGCAGGTGCTCCCGCATCTTGAGTCAGCATTGGGCGTCATCGTTGGAACGTTTCTATCTGCAGATGAGGAGGAAGCTACACGAATGCTAGGCGCAACTGAAGGCACTGCAGCTCGTCTGACGAGCGGAGCAGATGGACGAGAAAGCTTAAACTCTGGTAACGCCCACCTTCACTCGTGGGAAGTGATTAGACGCTTTTTGCCGACGTCTCTGGATTTACTGGTCCTCGTTTTTTCGCTCTTCTGCCTCAACGTGGCGTACATGATTTTTTCCGATTTTCCAGTCCTGCTAGACTTTTTGTGGCTGTGCATGCACGCCTCTCTGTGGGGCGTCAGTTGGGGTCTCTGTGCATTTTTTCGTGGATTCGATTTGTTTACTGTGTATTCGCACTGGCAGGCGGGCGAGGGTGATGTAGAGCTACACCAGTCGATCCTCTTGCGTATTTTGGGTGTGGTAAACGCACTGGCTTGTGTTTTCTTCGTAACTCTGACCATTGTGCGGAGTTGGCGGCTTCGGCAAGCTCGTGCGACGTCGGCTCTTGAGAATGCTCGAGTACGCGCTCTTTCCGCGGACGTTAAAGATTCGGTTTCGCAGGGTAGCGCGGTCGTGAGCAGCGCTTTTTCCGGCAGTGCAAGCGAAGGAGAGGAAGGTTTTGATAAGACTTCGCCTCCTGTGAAAAGCAAGAGTGAAGAGGGAGCGATTACTGGGGCGTCGGGTGTATCGCACACGGAGAGCGCACCAGCCGATGCGAGACTCATGGCTAGTAGAGCCAGTGAGGATTTCTCGACGGAATCGCTGGCGGAAGGAGCTGTAGCTGCGACTGTAGCCACCACGGCACCACATCACTCGAAGATGCTCGGGCATGGTTCACAAGAAAGTGCGAAGCCGATTAGTCGGGAGGCAAGCAAGGATGATGTTGCAACGTCGGCTGGTGGTTCGACGCGCCCTTCTGGTTCGTCCTCTTCATCCTTGTTGAACTGGACTAGTGACGAAGGGGGCCTCTTGGCGGTTCACAAAACAAGCGACAATTCGGATCAAGATGAAAGTCAAAATCGTCTGAAGGCAACAGGATTGCCTGGTGCCTTGCCCAAGACGGTGGAGCATGAAAAGGAGTCGTCGAAAACGACATCGAAGTCGTCAGCGGAAGAAGATTCGGATCAACGGCGAGTCACAGCTTCCAAAGCATCGACACGGGCCACACGGAGAGATCTACATCTTGACGAAGATGAAGAGTCCGAGTCCGACGATTCCAACAACGAGGCAACGTCAACTGACAAAATCGGAGAACAGTCATCTTCTAGCAGTTCCACAGGAGATCAAGAGACGAAGAAGAATTCAGATATGAAAAATAATGAAGTCGATGACGTACTAGACGGACAACATGCTCCGTCTGGATCCTCTTCTAGCAAGGCACAAAGTTTCCTAGGACGCGGTATCGGCAAGGGGCCCATTGAAAACAATGACCACGAGGCGAACAAGTACTATAGGGATGACACCAATACTCCCAGTAATAGCTCTTCTTCTGGTGCGAATCGTAGTAAGATGAAGGGCAGTGGTAGGGGACGAGTGGTGGCAAGCTCTTCGTCCTCCTCTTCTTCATCATCTTCTGCCTCTGCCTCGGAAGACGATGGCGCCGTTTCGTCAACGAGCATGGCTAGCCCACTTGCGAGTCCTGTTCCCTCTCCGAAAACTTCCGTCACGCTCACGTCCCCGAAGTCTCTCCTGGGCGACCACAGCAACATCAACTATCTTCGAGGTAACCGTTCAAATAAGAGTTCCATGATGTTCGCTCGGATCAACGAGAGGCCTGTTGTTTACAGTTTACCTTTACAGCAACGGCTACAACGTGAAAGGGAAGCGGAGGAGCGACGACGCAACGGTCTGGGTCGCCGACTGTTGTGGAGCGCATACTACGCCCTTGCACTTGGGCCTTTGCTTGTGTTGTGTTTCAGCTCGAAGATACTGGACGCGCCACTCGAGGAAGCTTTTCTCACGACGTTCGGGGAGGAGCATCACAAATTCAGTGGCAAGACAGTCCTCGTCTCGGATGCTACGAGCGGCATCGGCTTTCACACTGCAAAATGGCTATCGGAGTGGGGACGTGCCAAAGTTGTTTACTTATGGAAGATAGCTGGCAGGATGATCATCATGCAGGGAAATCATGTGGTGCATAGCTTTCAAATGTGGTGCATAGGAGCGATGTACTGTGTAGACAACTTCGAGAACTTGCCTTTTTAATAGTTATGTTGACAATTCATCAAAGAGCAGCACAATTTTGATGAAGCTCTAATCTTGCTCGGCGCGCGCGGTCGTAAGGCATGTGACCGCGTCAAATCGGAAATCATGCGGCCTGATTTCACGCGTCTGAAGTGTTTTCTTTTCGATCCTTTTGACGCTCGTGTGGATGAACAGAAACAGAATGGCGAGACTGTCTTTCGGCGAATAGATGGCGCTCTCAAACGCGATGATTTTCAAGAAGAGGCGGACGGGCCAGTTGATGTATTGATCAACACCGCAGGGTTCCTCCACTACCCCGTCGGAGGTGTTGTTAGGAGTACCGGCCTTCTGCCAAGCAACGAGAATCACACTGTTGCAGGCGGGGAAAATGGAAATGAAGTCACGTCCTTACCAGCGACTTTTTCATCAGCTGCACTGATGTCACCGACTCTACGTGCCCATCTGAAACCTTTCGCTGAAAACTACAAGCCCCGTGGCCCCCTTGACAACTTGCTGCCAAGAAGTACATTGGGCGGGTCTGACACCAAAGAACACATCTCTCGGCAAGTTGGTCGCGCATTGAAAGATGCTGAGGTCCTTGCAAGGTTGAACTCCAAGGAGGCACACGACGAACGCCCTTCTTACCTGCGAACCTTCACAGCGCAGCGGTATCTGCATACGCGTCTGCTCCAGCGATACCCTGGTATTCGCGTGGTGACGCTCGCGAGCAGTGCTAGCGCGCTATGTCGTACTCTTGGTGTGTCCAACGATGAGACCCACTATCCGGAAACGGGGGACGATTGGGAACGCCTGTTCTCTACGTTCTTTTTCTACCAATTTTCGCAAGCCTTTGCTCCCGCAATGTGGAGTGATCTCTCTTCTGCTGCGAGAATTTTCGGAAAGTTGTTAAGGCAGCTTTATTGGGATAATAACTAGGCCTGCAGTAAGAAAACAATCTGATAAACGAAAAAAAAACAGATTCGTTACGTAGATGGAAGACTATTTTTTTTTGCGAAAGACGCTTAACTCAGAATATGCGTCTTCGCATGAAACCAGACTACAGCAAATCACCGCTCTAAGAATCGAGTTAATTCTGGAAGAGTTCGTTCCCCAGTCACGGCTCTTCGATAAGGTCTGGCCATTGTCTCTTTTGGATTGGCGTCGCTCCGTTTGGGTGGCTTTGAGTGCTGGTCTCGGGTACATTGCGCCAGGAAAAGTGCTTCTGTCCGGTTTAGGTCCGGAGGCTGAAGAGCTGGCAGCGGAAGTAAACAGGCGGAACCGACTACGCGATAACCCCTACCTGCAGGACCACGCTGCGGACGCGCGTCGGGGCCCGGGAAAGGTGTTTGAGATCTTAACGCGCGAGCACTCCAATTCTATTCCACCATTCAAGCAGAAAACAAAGACGCCTTCTTCGAGCACCGCTGAAGCGGCTCCGTTTTCGGACGAGACCGTCATGCTTCGTGTGAAGAAAGCAGCGATTTGCAATGCCGGTCCCTATGCGCATGACATTGCGCTTTTTGACTACATTCGTGCAGCGTTCTGGCAGCATTTGGGTGTGATATCACCACGCGAGACGTTGGTCCAAGGTCATTTTGTAGCAGCTTCGCTTCCGCACGAGGAGGAGTACTTTTCGGATTTCCTCGACTACTTCTCACCCACTACTTCAAGTCTCGTCGGCGGGCTACAACATATTAGCGACGAGAAGGACCTGGGTTTTGTGTACAGCGTGGTCGAGGCCGTTCAAGGCTTTTTCTCGCTCATTTTGCGCCGGGTGCGAGAACAATTTGTGCGAGAGGGTCGCATTGGCGCCATCCCGCTCATTAAAGCAGCATTATCCTCGATGTTGCAATCTCGAAATGTGGAAGATGAGGTGAAGTCCGTCCTTAGTTCCTCTGGAATTCCTTGTTTTTCTTCACAAGGTGACAAAACGACGTGTTTACCCCATAGCAGCCATTTGACAGTCCACAAGGAGCATCTGCGGGACACGGAAAGGAACCTGATTCCACAACAGACGCATTCATAGTTCTTGTAGACTTAATAAACTTACAACGAGCTGCTCCTTGTTCTTGCAGTCACTATGATGATTCATCGCGCATTCGTTTTCTCTCCTTCCTTGAAGAAGTTGCTAACTAAGCGTATTCACTTCCAGGACCCTCCTAAGTTGTACATCGGAGGAGCCCCTCGGCAATGATTGTCCTGCTAGTAGTACATTAGATTAGAGTCGGGCGTTCTCGCTCTTACGCGTGGTGCCCGAGCCGGAGGACCTGCGCGCTGCCCATCCTCTGTTCCCAAGGCACTCCAGTCTCGTCCTTGTAAGGGGTTCCAAAGCTGAATGTTCAATACCTTATCAGAACGAAGTGTTTCGTCTTGGAGGTCTCAATATGACCCTGGAGTTGACAGATTTTCGAATTGTACACTCTCGTATACTTTCGATGATCGGTTAATTTCGCCAGAGTGATCACAGGTACTCTTTGTACAGAATTAATTTCTACAAAATAGCATGCCAGAAGAGCAAAGATCACCCATCAACATGTAGAACAAAGATCCAAGCGTATGGAAAGACCACTTCTGCAAACTGAAGAAAAAAACGACCCAAAAAAAGGATTTATTCAATGTAAAAAGTAGAGGTAGAACGCTCCTCCGAGTACGTGGAAGATGAAAGAAGAAGTGAAACTACCGATATCTCGTCCACACAAAATCGGTTCTGGATTGTCGGATTTAGCAAAGCGGTTTGTGTTTCTATGCTTCTCGGTATTCTTAAGGAAAAGCCGCACACTGTTTGTCTTTGTACCTATTACACCGCTGGCCCATGGTTGCTTACTCGGCGACTGGCTCGGGTGTTGTTCCCTCCTTCAAAAGCATCCGACCACAGACAAATATTTTCACCTACTTAGTCGAAGATGAAGGAATAAACCTTATCTCTGATGATCATTTTAGGAGAAGTAGCGCATAAGTAAACAAGCCTCATGAAGATGTCGTCGTTTTTCTAAAAAAGCATGTAAACCTATCGCACTACACGTAAGCCTGAGCATAATGTACGAAAATATGAGGCCTATTCGTACTGTGAAGACGAGAGCGTCCTAACTCCACACGTAGTTGCGCCTAGCTTCTATTTATTGGTCCAAAGAGATTTTCATGCCAATCCTTCTGCGACATCAGTGTCTTTGGTTTAATCCTTGGGCTTCTGTGTCAATGCTTGTAAGGAACAATTTGTGATTCTCATATCTTATGGTAAATGTTGGTGCGCTGCTCCTCATGCTTGATGTAGATATGACGTTAGAAAGGACCTCAAGTATTCATACCTAAGTAATGTATAAAAGTAGATGTTCTCTGGTAGTGGTTTGCTCTTTTCGGTGTCATCTCTGTCAACACACCTGACGAGAAAAGAATCCTCTTGATTCTTTCGAGAGTAGTCGTTCGTTTTTGCAACTTTCGTGCTCGATGAAAAGCTGATTTTCTTGTTGACCAATCTTCGTTCCAGTGTTGGTGAGTCGAGTCTTCTAACGTCTATTGCTCATCTGAGTTCTCGATTGTTAGAAATCAGACGTTTTTTTTTCAGGAAAAAAAATGGCTGATAGGTCTGTGCTCTCGTCTCCGTCGTCCACGCAACCGCCACGGAGCCACGCAGGGGCAAAAGGTACATCTACAATCACAGAAGACACGCTCTAAAGTGTGAATATGAAAATTCACTCATGGTTTCGCGGTCGTGGCGTATCTGCCTTTTTGTTACTTTGGCTTGGTTGGGAATCGTCTTTTTTCCGAGGTGTATTTTCGTTAGTTCTTTTAAGGACAAAAAGCATCATCATCTTTTAAAACGGGTCATTTACTTTTGAGAAGCCGTAGTTCGTTGTGGCCTACTTCCTTGATAATCAACATCTACTATGCTTTCTTGGATTTGATTTTCAACATTTATCCTCGTTCATGTCCATGTTCTTTCTCACAACAGCGTCCAGCGGTTTCGCAGGTTCGTGTGGTCTTGCGGTCGAGCACGAGCAAAGGCAAACAACGACAATGGCTAATCTGGCTACGCCAAGTAGAAACATGTCGAGTTCTATGGAAGATGCTTTTTCGTCAAGTATGAAAAGCAGTAGAGGCGGTCACCAGGTGAGTACCCAACATCTTGTTGTACCACCTCCAACGGCGAGCGCTTCGCCAACATCTTATGTGGTCAGCGGCAAGAGTACCTCACCTGGTAGTAGTACGCCGAGCAAAATGCTATCAAGCATACCTCATACCGGTTACAAAATGCTCCTAACTCCTGGAACAACGGGCGCAGGCTCAGCTGCGGCGTCATCAGGTGCGGCAACAACATGCTCGCCATTGGTGCTCGACGATGTTGCGCGCATGCGCAGTGCACTCAAGCAAGCGGTAGAGCATGGCGTGTTGTGTCCGGAAACGCTGGAGCCTAGGGCAGTGGCGGGCGGAGGCGACACGGCATTTGACTTGAGGAAACATGGCATTTTTCAACTGCCAAGGGCACTGAAGAATCCTGTATTTTTGGCCGAAGGCGGTTTCGGGACGGTTGCGAAGTGCACTGTGGTTCGCCCGCAGGACTTGTGCGGCGGCTATCGCGGAGACGTGGCAGTGAAGCGCGTTAAAATACCGCGAGCGCCCGAGGACTGGGAAGACACCCTCAGGTTGCTTAGAGAGGTACCCACGATTCATAGCTCCTACTCACGTGCTGATTAATATACTTCCCCTTGCTAACGCGAACGTAGAAATGTCTCTCGAAACTACTTCTCCTACGTGGCAAATTGAAGTGCACCTTTCACATTTCTGCAACTTTCTCAGGTTCATTTTCTGAAGCATCTACCGCATACAAATGTTTCTCCGTTGCTTAAGCTATACTCGGACGGGACGACAGTGGATTCCCTCACGCACATTTACCTCGTGATGCCTTGCTACACGCCTGGAAGCCTTGATGAGTATTTCTTGGCTCCTTTCATCCTTGCAGTCATCTTTAGAAGAGATTTGAGATTATTCGACATCGTGGTGTCTCGTGCATGGCTATGTACTGGCCAACATGGTGGTATCTAGATGAATGAGGCCCTTTTTCCTTTCTACAAGCTGAAACTTCGGTTTTTTCACCTTTCCCTCAAACCGAAGGTTTGCTATCAACGACATTGCCGTCGTGCGGCGAATCTGTTGCGGTCTGCTGCAGGCGCTGCGGTGGATGCACCGCCACAAGGTGTTGCACCGAGACGTGAAAAGAGAGAATATTTTTTTCGACAACGTACGACAACAGGCTGTATTGGCCGACTTCGGAATGGCTCGAAGCATGGTGAACCGAATGACAACCAAGCGCGGAGTCGGGACGCGCTGTTACCTCGCGCCCGAGCAACTGGCAGGTGTCGAAGACTACGGAGTTGGAGTCGACATTTTCGGCTTCGGATGTGCGATGTTCGAACTTATTGCTCTTTCGCATGAGCAATGTCTCATCCCTATGTCCATTGCCGGCACTCTCGAACACCGGGTACTCTCTACTATTAACTTGAATTTTGAGAAAATCCAGTTCAATGATTCTGCCTATGAGATGATTTCAACTGGTCTATTGAGCCGGTATATGAAGAGACGCAGATCTTCGAAGTCTCATTCTTATAAAGATGCATTATATGCATTGTGGAGTAGTACTAGTAGTATTTATCTTGACGTGCAATACAACGCTGCAACAGGCACGACTCTACGGTTTAGCGGGGCATGAATCTCAACCTGCGGAGCCGGATGTTGTTGAGAAATCGAAAAAAGCGCCTACAAAAAAATGGTGCGAAAATAGGTGGCGGGCTCTCAAATGCCGAGCGGGAGCCCATGAGAAGTCCGTAAGCGAGATCGTACTAAGGTGCCTCGCTTACGCCCCCTCATTTCGCTGGACTGCGGACGAGGCACTGAAGCATCGCTGGTACACGCCTAGATCATATCAGACGCAAATGTATACATAGAGTCTATACCTCATCCAAATCTATGCCATAGACACTTATCTTTGTTCTTCATCATCTTCAGCAATGTTTTTGTAAATGAAAAGAGATTCTTCAAATCAGTGTTGAGATGGGTCTTCATTTGCCTTGGTAGTAAAGTACATCTTAATCTCTGGCTGGCTGTGGCTCTTGACCGTCAGGCGCTCTCTGAAGATCTTGTATAGGTCGTTTCCTGCACTCTCTCGGATTGGTGCTCATCGCTACTGTCGGCAATTTCATGAGAACCTGCTTATAATATAAGTTGTTGAGATTTATTTGCTGGATTATTCACTGGTGGTTCCATAGTCAAAATTACAAGGTTCACCGGTGAGCCCATCGAAGAGGAGACGGCTTTCCAGGTAACCGCTTTTGAGGCATTCGAGGACGGTTTGTGGAAGCTACCGGACGAAGCGAAGCGTATGAAACAAATACGACAATGGATTTTGGATATCGTCGCGGATCGCACAATTCCTTTGCCCCGTGGAGTTCGCAATCCATTGCAACAGGCAGGTCTTCAACAAGAAGGCACGAGTGCTGCTGCTGGAGGTAGTAGTCGTGGTTGCGCGCCTTCACCATCTCGTAATGTGGTCGGTTTATCAGGATCGGATAAGGTGAATCTACCAAGGATAGCCGGTGGAGCAGCAGCACGCCTAGAAAAACATGATGATGGTAAGAAGACGAAGAATTTGACGAGTTTTATTGACTTCTCGTCTTTACTACCGAGTAGTGAAGACGACAGTCAGCAGAGCGTGTCTACAACGGCCTCAGTGAGCCTGAGCATGACCAGTACGCCCGATTTCACGCACTCGGGGACCGGCCCCGCTTCGAGCGAGCCCGCAGTCGAAATCAAATTCCCTCACAACAGTTGGTCCCATTCTGCAACATCAAGTACTAGTGCTGCCGCACCGGCATCAAAAACAAGTGGAGCGGCCGCCTCGTCGCCAATATTTTCAGTGGAGCAAGCACATGCTCGGTACAACAGTCATCTCAAGTTCAACATGAAAAATAGTAAGAATTCGCTCGTTACACTAACATCCTTCGACTCGGCAGGGGACGATAGCAGTCATTCAGCAACAAACGAATTTACCTTACCGTCAGCACCGGAGGCACCTGTCTCGGAAGAACCTGCAAAGAAACGCCGTGTTGGATAGAAGACTTCCCTACACTTAACTAGAATTAATAATTCCTTGAAGAAATAGAAATAGTTAGAACTACAGCTTTGATGGGCGGCAAGATAAAGATAAAATGCATCTTAATTTAGTAGATATTTATAGCCTTGACAATGATGATCGAGTCGTTCGAAATTTGAAGAATTCCTCGTCAAGAATCAATGTCAATAATCCAGTTTTTCGTTTGACTTCATTCAGGTGATAGATATTGTCAACAGCGTCATTGTTGGTTTGATTGTGTTGCAGTTGTTACGTTGTTGATCTTCTTCTTGATTATCCCTATACCTTGAAATCGTTAGTCACACCCACGGCTGGACGGCCGTGGTCGCAGAGCTGACGTCAAAAAACGGTAGATCGTTTATTTTCTTAACTGATGCCATTTTCCTGAATTCTGATATTTTATTATTTATTTCACAGTAGCAATCTTCAATGAATATGAAAATGATCCGTCAGCATCGCATCTTTACGCTCCCTACGCACAGGCCACGTACGACGCTTTATGCACGCATCATTATTTCGTGCACTATGAATATCGTCTATCTACTCGACCTCTTCTACTCGACCTCCACGATCTTCACGTCCCATCTTCTATCTAGACCCTTCCTTTTTTCCTTACATGATACCGACCCCGGCATAGTACATGACCTGTTCGTCCTGGATTCCTGAACCATCATGAACGCCGAATATCATGCCGAGCAGGTTCCTGATTAATTTGCATGATTTGAAGTCACGGGACGAAACTTGCAGGAAAAGTATTAGAAAAAGGCTTTTCTCCGCCGAATACTACGTACTTCTAGTACACAGGGTGGATTAGTTCACGTTGAACGGCAAAAGACTAATTCTGTTCATGTTACACGTACTTTACCACATGCATTTATTATATGGAGGGTTCTTTGTCCTAGAAAAGACATTTTTCTCCACGTCCAATCATGACCTTCCCGCACTGCAACATCCCAGATTTAAGTAGATAAATTTGCAGATGAATTGGATCGTTCGCTCTGGACGCCGTAACGAGAATCTATTCCCTAACTCGCCGACCTATGTATATTATTTAATAATTTTTGTCACCGCTCCTGTATGAGAACGAAACTTCAGAGCTATTTATCATTTTTTGTTAAGATTGATGAGAAGTAAAGAGCAGGCATTCGTCATTAATTGCTATGCCTGCGCGCCTATGTTGGATGGTATTATTTGTATGAGATTATATTTTTGCAATTTGGGGAGGGGGGACCATAAATGGGCGGGGTAGAACTTCGGTATGCGCAACAGCGTGTGAGCTGTAATCGTCGATAGCAAACTTATTGATATTTCTATGTGCGTAGTCATCTTCGTTGGTCAAATAAATATACTTGCAGGCAGCCAGCTGCAATAGGCAGTAGTCGTTTTTCTCAGCGCTATACAGGAATTACCGCAATATCTACAGCACTTATCAGTGTGATTATGATGCTTACCGACAAGGATCATGGTCAAAATCAAAGTTCTTAATGCAACGGATAACAGAACAAATGCAAAATGTGGTGCGTCGTGAAGACGCAGGCAGGACAAACAATAGTCGCGAATAGGCGGACAACAAAGATTGGGTCAGACACGATAGAAGACGCACATCTCTATCCCTAAGTGTTTGGGCCGTTCACACACATGATTGTGTTTGGCCGGTGCTAGCTATACACATTCAGGTAGCGCTTGTTACATCATTTTTATGTGCTGGCGAGAGCACAGCAGACGAGAAAATTGAAAAGTGAAAAATGTCAAAACTTTGAGTTTGGCGCATGATTGATGTCGCTGGACATTCTTGTGAAGTTCTGCAAGTACCGTAAAGTCGAAAGTCACCAAAGTCTAGTTTGTTCCATATCGTGATATGTTGTAATTAATTAAGATCGTTCATCATTGTCATAACTTAGTCGGAATTATGCAGACGCGAGGACCATGCCGCGGTGTCGCCTCTGCCTCGAGCAGCACAAAGAACGCTTTAGCCGATGCAATTGCAGACATTCGATTCGCGCGTCAGCGTCGACGCATGCTCGATGACCAGACAGCGGGCTTGGGCTTTCCGCTTTTCGGCACATCAATCGCTTCTACCAAGGAACCTGTCACTCGAGACAAAGGTGGGCGTCCAACTTCGACAATATTAAAGGATAGCAACGTCGAGGAGAACAGAACAAGGCAACGCAACTTGCGGTCACCTAATTCGAAAAATCATTACTCTTTTCCTAGTTATCCCCTCCATGGCGACGCTGCTGCGTCGTTTTCCAGGCCGTGGATGCGTGGCGCCACGAATTCGGTGCGGAAAAGCCAAAGTGTCAAAATTGTCAACAACGGGACCAAACCACGTTGGAAGACGGGTAATTTTGATCGTGAAGTCGAAAAAATTTGGTGTGTCGGTCGCCCTCCACAGCCTGTGATTGAGTCGCCGTTGCACGTGAGCAGTGGCAAATCCGTTTTCGCTGGACGCCTAAAGAAATCTATGGAACCCCGAGATGCAATGCTATTATTTCTGGACCACCATAATGCTTGGTTGGAATCTCAGAACAAGCATGAAGAAAGCTCGTCTTCGAAGTCGAGTTCTAGACGGGGGCCAGAGAATTGGGTCTCAAGATCAAGTAGAAGTCCTCAAACTAAAGTCGTGGAAGTGGCACAGCATCCAATCCGTCCGGTGGAGGCTCTTGATTTGTTGGCTTTTCTCGAGAAAAATGCTGACTTTAATCGCTCTATGGATGAATGGAAGCAATTTCTGAACGTGTTGGAACTGACTGCAAAACAGAATGGCTGGCCAGCACCCATTTTACAGCGAATTTTTCTTCGGCTCGCTGCTCTGCGCAGCAAAGTTGGGGGTCTGGCCTTCTGGTCTATGTGCGTACAAAAGCGCACTGAGTTCGGCGACACGGAGCGCGTGAATATGTTATGGAGCCTCGCGAACGTCTCCCGGGCAAAGTTGCATGTTCAGGATCTGAGCGCGATGCTGGAAGATGTGGATGTTTCCTTTTTTAGCTACGGCCAAATGTACCGACTGCTTTTTGGTTTGGTCCGCATCCATTTTGGAGTGGGACAGTGCCCGGCTGATCCGGCGGCTTTTCCGAAAAACTTCTCCAAACTGATTGAAAAATGCGCACCACGGATGTTGGAGGTATTGACCGAAAAAAGATTACTTCTTGAAAAGGAAGCTCATGGAACTAATGCCCTTGCTTTCGCGGGTGTGTCTCCTAGGAGCAGAAACGATCCTGATAATGAAGATGACCTTGAGGACCACGAGGGTGGTCCGAACAAAACGGCGGCAGTTGGTGCGTCACCCAGCAAGATGGTAAACGGTTCAAGTCTGAACTCAAAGTATTCTTTTCGCCTGATGGAGGTGTTTGGTCGCAGTGCAGTACAAGTTCCGTACAAACTGCACTACGGCTTTATTTCCGTGCTGGATATTAACCTTGACGTATACGAATACGAGGAGTTGGGGACGATTCTAGATGTGTTTCGTTTCTGGTGTCAAGATCCCGGGCACGGCAGCGTGCCGAAACTGTGGCTGCGTGCGAAGAAGCGCCGACCGTGGGAGCGGCGCCGGCCGCGGAAAGAAAATTATGGGAGTATGAGTCGCGGCGCAAAGCACATCTGGGAGTTTGTTTTCCGAGTAGAACGAGCAATGAAATTGCAGGAAATGCGAACGGGGTGCACGCCACATAATGGCCGTAATCTTCCAATGTCAAACGCAAGTCGGGTGAAAAAGAGGTCTAGGGTAGTGCGTTTTCAGCGAGACGATTCAGTTTCGGGTTCTGAAAGTTCGGAGGTACTAAAAGGTTCTGCAGCATTGGATGAAAGTCGTGTGTGGAAAACTAGAGGAATTGACAACAAGGCGAGCGGCCAAACCAAGCCTCAGGAAGGTAGCAGAGACCGACGACGGGACAATGAGTCCCATGCATGTGGAGACCGCTGCGGAAAGACTGCATCGCATAAAGCAGAGAAACGTAGGGAAAGCTCGTCCTTTGGCTCAACAGCGCCTGCAACAAGTTCTACACCAAGGAGCGTTGAAAAGAGAATGGTACACATAAGACAAAACTGCGATGAGGATGAATTTTCTGACGATCCCTGGGTGGAAGAAAATGACGAATACAATGAGGACGACGGCAGGAACTTTGATTGAAGTCGAAGTGCTTACAAAATTATATTTGCAGGATTTTGAAGAGTTGTAAGTCGCAAAGTTTTAGTAGGCTCGATTTTTGGGACACGGATACAGGCACCGTGACGCTATTGACTGGCTCGTCGTTCTCCCCAGGAGAATGTTCGATCATCGATCGTAGAGTATAAACAAAGAGAGTATAACGAGTACTGAGAATAAGTCGAAACATGTCCTTCCTCGACTTACTAGCGAATTGAAAACATTAACATGTTGTTTCACTGACCACTCCAAAAGTTTGTTGCTATTCAATAGAAATAGGGTTTGGGTTCATAGTACTCACTCGCATGCGCGTCACTAGCTCGTGCAGTGCAAGACTTTACCTAACACATTTTTTGCATGAGCCTGTGCATATAAAAATTGAAATACCTCGACCAGGACAACTTCTTTGAGAATATAGCTGAATCAAAAGTAGACTATGTCGGCGAAACAGAAATTGGGGGAAGAAGCGGTCGTGGGTGACAAGCCTTTTCGCGAAGTTGCTGGGCCGCAGAATATTTACAGCCTTGTGCTGCCAGAGGCGAGTTCTAAGGCTCCCTGCGCGCTCAAGGGTTGCGACAAGTGCGCTTACTGGCCGAACCCGGCGCCGTTCAACGAGAAAGATAGTCGAGAGCGCTTGCGACACATTGTGGTGTCGCAAAAAACGGGGCATGTGACCGACGTGCGGCATTTTCGTCCGCGCAGCGATCTGCCCTATAATGTCGCCAAAGCCGACAAGTGTCTGGATCTCGCAAAGCTAAAACCGGAGTGCATTTTCGAAGGCGAAAGCACGGCCCTATCGCTTCGGTCCAAGCCGGTGGGTTTCTGGACGCTGTATCGAGACCGATGCCAGGGACAAGTAGTGTTCTGTTCTCGAGAATGCGTCCTAGAGTGCTACACGCCACCACCCGAGAAACCAGTATATAGCGACAAAGGCTGGGACCTCACGCGAGAGCTGCTACGGGGTGCGCCGGAAGCAGAACTCGTACCCCTTGCGAGAAAATGCAGCGAAGAGGACATGAACTTCCGGGAGCCCGTGGAAGGTTTTTAAAGTGAATTCTTCATTTAGTCACGACATCAACGAACATATTCTCACTCTTTTTGTTTGTAACTGGGCAAACTTTCAAAGAAAGATGGGTCAAGATCTCTATGTCGTATTGATATCTCGTCTTCAAATTTGCCCGCCGCTCAAAAATTGAGTGCAAGAATAAACCAGCAATGATTTTTATAACTACCTAATATGACGAAGCCCTCTGTGGCTGTGTGTCCCCATGATCAGGTCTGTCGGCTCTGCATCTGGCGGTGCGCGACAAGCTTTCGACAGATTTCGTGCGGGTGTTGTTGGAAGGCAAGGCGCAAGTCGACTTGAAGAACAAAAGTGGTTATACGGCTTTGCACTACGCGGCTATGAACTGCGGCGAGGACTATCGCGTGATCCCCTGGCCGCAGCTGCGCGAGACCCGCTCCGACACGATGGATCTTTTATGGGAGTTCAAGTGCGATCTAAATTCAGACACGGAGTTCGGTCGCACACCGCTCATTCTCGCTGCCATGAATGGGAATCGGCAAGCCGTATTGTGGCTGATCGAGCACGGCTGCGACCGCTACCGGCGCGAATACTCTGGCGTGGCAGTGGATTTCAACGCGCGGGATTGGGCCGAAAAGAAGGGCGAAGCGATGCTGTGCATGCTTTTTGACGATGTCGAGAAAGCGGAGCTGCGCAAGGACTGGGCACCAGGGCAACCCTTTATCGGACGGGGAGCAGCTAATGATCCGGATTACCGGTCCAGCAGTGAGGAAGAAGACCCCTTGGCGCGCTTTGCCAATCGAAGGGGGGGAGCGTCATCTTCCTCAGCTTCATCGGACGCCGGTGGGAACAACAGCAGAAAAAATGTCAGTGTACCACAAGTAGGAGCTGTGCCAGCCGCTGTCATCGCGGATAAGCCAGCAGCATCTTCGTCGTCGGATCAACCGGGAGGATCTACCAGTGCTGCCGTTGCACCTTCTAGCGATGCCCCACTGGTCGGCGATAGGACTAAAAATGAACTGGCGGGGCCACCTGGAGAGCAGGATGCGATTTCAGAGAAAAATGAGGCGCGTCCAGAAGCACAGTCAGCAGAAACTGCGAGCCAGATCAGCATCAGCAGTGCAGCGTCGCTGGAAAAAACGCGAAGGGCAATGACATCATCTGCAGGCTCGGGAGGTGCGGGCGCCAGACGTGTAGGTGTCGGGGGAGGGCGTAGATAGTGGATCTGCAACTTTGGCCGAACATGATTGAACGTACGCGATGAACATTTTTTTTTCTGCACCGATCGATGTAAGAGATGTTGCATAAAATGAGAAATGTCATGCAGAGCCACGACGACAGGCATGATAGGATTTTCTTTTTTAGAAAAAGTGGTAACCGACTCCATCTATGATGGCAAGAGTTTGAACACAAGGGCCTTAGGGGGCGCAGGGAGTCTCGATGCTCTTCGAAGTCGGGGCTAATCGCTTGCTTAGCTCAGCTTCGCTTCACCACTGCCACAAGTCGATGAGTCATCCTCATCAAATAATGGAAAAATGAGGCATACAGAAAACAATAGCTAGAGCCTCGATAGTCGGTCTTCGTTTCGGTAGAAGAATGTTGTCGCGGTGATCTGTGAAAACGTTGCTAGTTCCGCTTCCGCTAGGCACACTAAGGTTTCTGTCTGAATTATGAATGATCTACATCTACCCATGAGGGATCCCAGTAAACCCCGCCACGCTGGACTCGCCATTTTTCGTTGATCGTATGCCTGTCGCGGCACTCGTCGCTAAGAAATGCTTTCGTTGTTTCCCGCCGTGACGCAACTTTCTCTGTTTGGTACCATCCGTGCTATGCCAAAACGGGGGTTATCATGATCAACAATGCCTGGTTATCCTCTTTATTTACTACAACTGATTAGCGAATGACGTAGAGTCAGAAATTAACTGTAGGTAGCTCCAACAGTGGACATTAGAAGACTCAATTTGTATGAGCCACCGCGCGTGAAAAGTGGACGCCATAGTGGCGCAGGATCGCACACGTGCTGCTGCGTCGCCGCGGCGTTTTTCAACACCGTTTTACCGGCTGATGTACTACGCTTGCGCAAGAACCCGCGTCCAAAGCCTGACGCATCAGTATTGAGGAAAGCGCAGGGAACTTGCGATCGATTTCGGAAGTTGCTTTCCGGAGATTCACGACAAACGGCTAGGATTCGACTAGTCTGCCTCTAGAAGTGTCTCCCAGAGAACTTTTCAGGTTCTTTGACCAGTTCCTCATCGTTCAGTTAGGGCTACGCTCTCCACCTGAATCCACTTGTTTTCAAGCTGCCTAGGATCGGTGGCTTTTTCTTCGCAGGTGCATTTCGTTGGGCGTGGTCCAATTGCAGGTGCTCGTTATCCACGACGCGATTATTGTTGACCGAGGAGAATCGTGTCTGCTGCTGCTTTTGCTGCGAGCGGTATCTCAACGGCGCAGATTTTCACCCTGGGAGCGAAGTGCGAAAACCGGTAAAGCTTGTAGTTCCATCCTCAGATCGACGACATGGCTTGTGGGTGAAGTAGAGTGCAACACACAAAAAGGCAGAAGCTAGGTTTCTCAGAAAGACGATAGTAGCGAAAGGATAAAAGGCATTTGGAAGTGGAGGGAGCAGCAGGAGTAGTACGAGTAAAGGAAGAAAGATTCGAAGGGAGGCACTCTCTCTGCAGGTCGAAGACAAAGTATTACTCATCGCCTTGCTGTGTGGGTTATACATCATAGTTGTACAACTTAGAGGACGAGACGACCTTCACATAGCGAACAAGATACTCGTTCTGAAAGACGCGATTCGCCTTATTGGCTAACAGTTTTCCTTGTGGCGTTACATCGCTTCACTCATAACGATTTATTGCCGAGCAGCACACGCGCGCGTGGTGCGTCATAGGGCGAAGTGATTCAGCATAGCGATTCGTTTGTATGGCAGAGTCAATTTGCACGTGAGGGAGCCGAATACCGACACTGGGACCGGCTTTTTTGCTTTTGGCATCAGCGAACTTATTTGCCGTCAATTGATTCACTGCGAGGTGGACGCTGCCCACGAATCTGATCGCCAATTATGACGGACATAATAAACGCACAGAACACAGCAGGCAGGGTATCGAAAGATTTTGTACTTTCAGGCTTAGCCTTTTATCTTGCGAGGACATAGCTACGGCAAACAGGTGTTGCGATGAACAACGTCTCTGGAAAGATAAGAGGTTACAACTCCTTTCGCGAGTGCATACGCTTTGATATCCATGTGAAGTACCTAAGTAGCTTGAAATGTAAAACTCTTTACATTTATTTAATGGTTCTCATTTTCAGCTCCTGCACACAACGCCGGGCCTTGCCGATAGAGTTGCGCAGCCGCCACTTCAGAGAGAAATAGACGTTTCCAAAGTTCCGGCTAACGATAAGGACAACCTCATACGAGACTTACAGGCGCAACTCGACGATGAAATCAACAAGAATAGACAACTAGAAGCTCAGTTCAAGTACTAATAGAGTTCTAGGTCCTAGTAACTTCTTGTCCTTGGATGTTTGAGGTAATATTGGAGTATGGTGCTTCCCGTTAGGCCCCTCAAACGAAGATGATATAGAACATACCTTTTCCAGGTACCGAGTTGGCTCTTTTGTGAAGCGGGAGACCCAAGCTAAAAAAACAATAGAAGCATTGGAGAGGCAGCTCCAGGATAGGACCGATGAAGAACACTATCAGCGGATGCAGGTACTGTCCACAACTGTTTTTGACATTCGTGGAAATCAAATGACACTAACAATGCTAGGCCTGACGACGGACTCCTTCAACCAAACAAGACTACGCGGCTCGACTCCTTCCTCCGTTCAGGACTATCTCGTTCATCGTTTGATATTTTCAAATTTTCTTGCTTTTTTTCGTCCTCAGCACCACGAACTAAATCTCACCACGAAATCTTCTCCAGGTTATCCGCAATATGCAGGATAGTGTGCTCCAGGGACTCGAAGGCATCCAAAATAACACTGCGAAAGTGTTGCAGGAACAGGAGAAAGATCTGATGAGAAGCTTCAGGGCAAGACTTCAAGACTTGACGAAGGAGTTGGAAAATCAGAAAGCTGCTAAGGTACTTGGAAAAAGGATTACCACGTGAAGCACGACGTAAAGGTCAAACTAAGAACTCAGCAATATGTGATTACTTCGACAAAAGGATCACATCGATTTATTTCGGGGATTCTTGTCTTGGTCTGGTAGTTCATCAAGTACTTACACTCAGGGTCCTCATGATTCCAAAAATATCTCACGACCGCAGGGCAACTATTCAGCAGAGCTACAGGCAAGGCATCAGCGGGTGCTTCAGGAGTTGCAGGCGTCGCAGGAGTTAGCCGCAGTATTTGACAAGAAGAACCAGCAGTTCATTGCGGAGAACCAGAAGCTGCAAGACATAATAAAGACGAGAGAGGTAAGTAGGTCAATTTCTTTTACACTTACTACAGTAGAGGTTACATGATCACTTTCTTTTAGGTAGGCCAAGGTCTACCCAATAGTCTTCCTCCTTTTTCAAACAACTTACTGTTTTGATGCGTCCTCCATGACCCTAGGTTAAAGAGCTCTTATTACTATCATCAGTGTGAAGGAACTCAATCAACGTCAACTCGATATGATCCGTTTCTCTAGGACGACAGGCATGCACTTTTGAAAGAGCTCGTGACCGCTAAGAAAGAGAATACCAAGCTCAAAGTGGAGGTGCAACAAAAAGAAGAGCGTGTCAAGGAAATCTCAGTTGCCCTGCCGACGTCTGATAGCAGCCAGAAGATTGAGGCAAAGAGTGTACTCGATAAAACAAAGAGCGATAGGTCGAAATTCCTTGCGAGCACGAAAAACAAAGCGTACCTCCTTGTCTAATTGTGCTCTTCTAATTAGCCAATTAAGATGAAGTAGTTTTTGACTGTTTTCGAGTGTTTTTGCTTGTTATTCACTTGTTTGAAGCTGTCCTTTTATGGTCATGAAAGAAATAGTATTTTTTATGTAGTCCTCGTTATCACCTTTTCCAAATAAAAATACAAAGGTACGAGCGAGAGCTCGGGCACCGCGAAGCCATATCAAAGTTGCAACGCATGGTAGATGCTGAAAAATTGCAGGTTAGGATGCTTAGGGAAGCACAGAACGAGCTGCTGCAGAGCAGAACAGAGCTAGAAATGCTGTTGCGACAATGTCTAGACGACGTGAAACTCGAAATAGCGAAGAAACAGATGGAGTCCCAGGGCCCCGCGGCACTGAAACAGAAAAGTGATTTTTTTTGGAAGACATTTATTCTTCTTCAATATCTTTCTTTTTGGTTTCGTCGTCTTCAACGGAGACCAGTGATCGATGTTGATCGCGCTTCTGAAATAAACAGAAGTGTAGTTTTTTAAAACTAAAAAGCTTTTCTGATTGTCACGACCATGTTTACCATAACATCAAACAGAGCCAGCAGCGGAGGCACAGGCGAGTGAGATATCGCTTCATGAGTTGGGACAGCCCGCTAGGGAGCGCGTTCTGGAGCTGTTATTGTCACAGCAGCGAGTGGTGCAGTTGCTATACGATAAGAGCTTCCCAGATCGACCATCCACGCCAAAGGAGCAAGCCGAGGAGGGAGACACGGCGCCACCGGACAACTACAAGTGGATTGAAGAGGCTGTCAAAAATTAGTCCATAACTTCCATGTAGGTACTTAATCATCATGTCTCTTGAGTGGTTCCGCTGAACCATGACAGGGACACACACATGAAGGCAGACTGGAGTCGCGACGAACTGGGTGCTCCAGTTCGCGACTTTTTTGCATATTGAAGATTCGTCCTTCCATTTTGTCAATACAACTGTATTTTACACCAGGGTGGGGTGGGTAAGCACAAGCTGAAGCTTAGTTTTTAGTCACGAAGTTAACTGTGTTAACTTAGCCGTTGCGTAAAAAAGTACGTTTATTCAAAGCCGATAAAATTTAGACTGTTAGACGAGTCTATTGATTTCGTTTTGTAGTTTCGTTTTTGCAAGAACGCGAGCGTGCGTGTATAATGCCGAGCTAATGCACAAGGATTCAAGATGCGACTTCTGGCGGGCTTGCATGGTTGAAACATGTCGACGTTTATAACAGCAAGCACATGATATGTTTGATTTAGCTTCCAGCTTGCCCCCTTGGTTGTCGCAAGCTGGAGTGTTTCCGAAGGGACCCATGTTTAGCTATCTTTACGTTCCAGTTTCAGGCAAGAAGAAAACAAGAAGGCACCAGCCGTCGTGGAGATGCTGTTGGTGATTCAGTAGATAGGTGAAAGTTATACGGGATCGAGTCTACTGAGTCATTTCTTCACCTTTGGATTGTCGAGATCATCACCAGGATCATCAAAGAAAGATCTATCTGGCGCCAAGGATCAAAGTGCATTACTTCGTAGGTCATATGGTGGATCGAGTTCATGATTGCCAGTACGATTTTGATCATCATGATGGAGCTTCTAGATGATCCCTTTTTCGATCTCGTAGTTTGCTGTTTCTTTTACCATGGTGCTTGCTCCATTTGATCTGGACTATCAAGGAGCACTTTTCTGGTTTATGCGCACTAGTCATCAAATGAAGTTGAATACGCCCTAGCCTCTCTAGTCATATTCGTTCGATGTTTGGAATTTGCATCGATTTGCATACAGGGAGGCGCTCTCTAAAGTATATGGTTGGTTCTACAAATACATGATGTAGTCGAGGACATAGAGCGAGCACGACACCTTCGTTTCTCTTTGTTGTAAAGAGTACGCTCTAACTACAAGTAAGCTTTAGTTACTTTGCAATATCCATCTGATTGTAGGAAAGAATCATGCCGCAGCGACATCGAGGAGCAGGACAAGCGCGGCCAAAGCGCAGCTCTCGCGGGCCCTCTCGTGACAAAGAGACGGCTTCGAAGCCTGTTGGGAGGGGTTCTGATTGTGGTAGAGTTCAGCCTTTCACTTTCTCGCACAATATCAGTGTCATAGAGGCCAAGCAGTTGATTTCGGAGTCCGACATTGTGCTCATTATGTTGCAGCAGCTGCAGCGTGGCGATCAGCAAGGGCAACTCGCTTCTCTCGATGATGTGGTGGAGACAAGTACGCAGCTATGGCGAGCGGCAATTGAGAACCTCAGGGCGCATGGCTGGCACCACCTTGTTATGCTCGAGCCGAACGAACAAAGCGCGAAAATCACAGCTTTGTCTAGAAACAACAGATCGATCGCGGGCAGCAGGGCACTAACCAGAGGCAAGTTTTCTAGTGGTCCGAAGCTGGACTTGGAACCTTCGGTGAAAAAGCTACTCTTTGAGAAGCTCCACATGGATGATGCGGATGTCGCTGACCTTCTCTCGACTACTAATGAAAGAATGTTTTTTTCACCGGCAGAAGGAAGAATCGCGTCAGCACTCGACATCCATCTACCAGACAACTATCCCGATACGACGAAAGCGAACGATAAAAGCATAATTACAACAAGAACATCAACATCTTCAGACGAGAAGTCCGTTGTCGAGCCTCCGGCTTACGCATGCTGGCGCTCGTACTTGTTGCAGTGCCTTTCGATGCTGTTCCAACCTGGTCATTTCGGCGGCCGTTTGCGATGGCCGGTTGAGGTAGTGCGGATGGATAATGCTGTTGCTGACGAGTCGAACGATAAGAAGCGGCAGGCACAAAAGCTTAGTGTGATCGATGTGTTGTGTGTGGAAGACGACGGAGAGACCTACGCGGTGATGCGGCAGCTTGTGCGTGGCGTTTGGCGAGGCATTGATGTAGATGCGTGGCGACCTGGTTTCGCGCACCTAGGACAGATGGACATGAGCCAGCTACCGGGTCAAGCTCCGCAAGATACCTGGTTGACTACTACGCTGGTTGGGCTTACCTCTCTTGGGATCCGTCAACTTCTCAGCAACGCGATGAAAGAACAGAAGGAAAAGTCCAATTGCGTGAACACGAAAAAGTCAACCAAGAACATTCGAGTACTGTTTGCAGGTTTGGGGTGCGGCCAAGTGGTCTCTTCTGTTGGGCGCTATTTCTATCGTGACAATGCCAGGCTTCTAGGCGCGCGAGGACACGGTGGGCAGATTTTTCTCGACGTCATAGAACCAGATGAACGCATAGTGGATATTGCAACTGACTGCTTCGGCTTCCGGGAAGAACTAGGAGCACATACCAAAAAGGAGAATGATGCACCAGATGAAAGAGAATACAAGGGCCCTGGTTGCGAGGTTTCGTTATCCACCGAGGCGACCCAGCAGGAGGAAGGCAAGTCCGCGAAAAAGACGAATAAGAGAAAGAAGAAAACTGCGTGCCTTCGAGAACTTTCTCACGTTATCCCTGCCAAGGTGTACCGACAAGACGTTCTGAGTTTCTGTAATGAGAATGTTGGGTCGCGCTTTTACGATATCATCGTTGTGGATTACGTTGAGCATGAAGATGAGCAGCACATGGAAGATCAGCAGCAGAACAGCAAGATGAAGGGCGCATTACAACGTCTATTGCCACGCCTCGGGGAACTTCTGAGGCCAAAATCGGGGATGCTTATCGCCCGAGGCTGCTTCACGAATGCCGAGCGGTTGGAGACGGCGCAGGACGTAGTGCAAACTTCCGTGAGTGGGTCCGCTTCACAAGTCAAAGCAGAGGTCTACACATTAGCTGAATTTAAAATGCGAGAGGATGAAAACAGTAGTGAAGGTGGCAGCAGCAGCTGCGGAGTAGAAAATGGCTTAACATCGTCAATGAGATTCGGGGAGGATGTCGTTTTTATTGGCTCTCTCAAGAGTGGAAGTATCGAGCTCTCAGTTGCTGAATGGGACGAAAAAGTCGTCGAAGCAGAGGATGAAGCTATTCTCATGAGCAGCAAGGGAAAGGATGTTGTTGCAGAGACAACATCTAGCATTACCAATCTTAGCGTTGGAGATGGTGAAGGAGCTACAAACATTGAAGATGGGCTTTGCAGTTCCGAGAACCAACCCGGCGATACCAATAAGAAAGCTATTGTTGTTCCGCCACTGCCCAGTCTACGTGAGGCGCAGCAGATGCACGTCGTTCCCTTGCCGAAATTCCTGAAACCCGCTGAGGTTGAGGCAATATTAGCTTTCGGCGAAAGCTGTTCGGGCTCCCTCTCTCAACAGCAAGGTGCGTCCGACGTTGTCGGATCTGAAGTGCGGTCGCACGACAAAGAGAAGACCTGGAAGGTCCTCTTTCTACAACAGGGACTGCGTTTTCAGAAGGAATTCCCGGAACTCACTAAGAAAATTTTAAAGAAGGTGCGGCAAGCTGATGCCGAAAACTGGAACTTGGTGAGTGGTACTCAACACAAGCATCAAGATCAAGATGTCGTGGAAGAAGCACCGTTGAACATTAGAGTTGTCGAGTACCACCGACAGATTGCTCCCTCACCTGGCCTCCCGGATCCATGGCACTATGACCAGGACAGCGTGTTGACTTTGGACATCCTGTTGTCCGACGCTGGTACCGATTTTGAAGGTGGTGCGTTTCGAACTCTAGAGAGGGACGGATCGTTCAAAGAGTACGCCTTTGGTGGAGGCAGCAGGCAGGTAGGCTCGACGACGTCAGCTGCTCGTCCACTTACCTCAGCGATGACTGAAAGCAGCTCGTCGTCCTGCAATAGAAGAGGAGACGCTTTACTTTTTGTGTCTCACAAGTACCACTGCGTGCAACCAGTTACGCGTGGGACTCGGCGCGTGCTAGTACTAGAGTTTTGGCGATGGCCAGAACGTCGCTGCGGGCATCGCTGTGAAGTCGCGGCGATGCGACGATGTCCTCGAGAAGCGCCGCTTGTCTCCTCCTCTTCTTCTTCTTGTTCTTCTTCTTGTTCTTCTTCTTCTTCTTCAGCTTTAAAGGTAGACAATGATCATGGGAATCTTGTTGGAGATTCTCAGCAAGAAAATATTGGCTCTTGTGATCTTCGACCCGAGCTTTGTTTGCGTGATGAAGGCAACGTGGATGTCTCAGCGTGTCTACCATTGCCCATGCGCCTAGGAAACGTTGCGAACAGTGAGGGGAGTAGTACAGTTAAGCGCATTTTGTGGCAGAGCAACGAAGTTCAGGCAGGAAAGTTTACCGCACCAAAGGAGACTCTAGATAAAGCTAACGAAGCATGGGATCTTTTTGACTGATGCCATTTCGCACATGCTATTTTATATCATCTTCAGCGCATGAGGTCTAGAAGAAGTTCATTGATGACATTCTGTTTGATTTTTCCACACCCTTCCCAGAACTAAAATGCTCATCAGTGAGTACCACCAAGATTTATATATAATTACTTCTGGTACAAAGCCTATTCAGGACAGTGGACAGTCATCTTCATCGATCTGCAGTGAACTTCTTCTCTGTACAACTACTACTGATGTTGATTTCTCATTGAAAAGATAGAAAGGTAAGTGGAAGTCAGTCATCTGTTTTTTCCTCACCCCTATAAACCATTTTTTTGTGTTCGGTATCGGTTGCGGAATTCAGCAAATGACCGGAGGCATACCTTGCAGGGGGCGCTTAAGAGGTTGTTCCGGGCCTCCTTCCGCTCGGTGTTTTTTCTGAGAATTTTTTCTGAGTGTACCCTTCCCCCAATAGTCCAGTCCGATGTGAAACAGTTGAGGCTAAACTATGCTCATTATGTCCTCTAGACTTAAGTGCTATCTTGCAGCTGTTAACTGTAACTGAGTATAGCACAAAGTGACCATCTTAGACCTTACATCTTAGACCTTACATCTTAGACCTTACATCTTCTATTCTCTCGCTTACCAGCTACTTCGGGTACAAAAACCCGTACAATGAACGAGTGAAAGCCATGCATAGGATGAAAAGCAAAGAAGAAAGCTGTCCGTTTGTGGCTGCTTCTTAGGATCAAAGAAATGTGTTCATATTTTTATTCGTGGACGAACGAGATTGATGAGTGAACAGTCGGAGCGCACCAACAACATGTCTTCTTGTGATGACGGCAAAGACAGCGACATACGAGAGAGCACCAAGCATGGACTCATGGACAGGTGCAGTCAGTGTTCAGTGGTTTTCGTGTTATTAATTCCGCAAATTTCTCGACTAAAGAAACAACGAGAAAGATTTAGGTTTGCATCATGATTGCTGCTTGGCACCTACTCTAAAGCATTGAAGGAGCCAACTCCAGGGAGTTCGTGTATCTAAGCATGAACTTCTGAAAAATGTCGTTTCTATGCCATACCACTCTGTCAATGCAGGAAACAGCCAGCGAGTCTCGGCTGAAGTGCTCCGAGGCGTGACTGATAGATGAGTTCCCACTCGATTGCAAGACCCACTCTCTCCTTTTACATCTGATCAAAAGTTGTATTTGTTTTGTTTTCCCAAGTGACAGTTTATTTTGGCATAGGGAAAGTAAGATTATTTGCAATGTGCAGAAATGTATTTCATATCTAAGTTTCAAAATTTTGTTTCGTCTTCCATTATGCTTTGAATGCATCTTTTCAAAAACAACATGAATTTCATGGAGCAAAGTTGTCTTGGTTTTTCCATGTGAGCGTGTATCAAATATTGCTGGTATTTCATCAATAAAAAGAGTCGTTTGCCGTTGCATGAGTTCTTGTATTAGTATTTTTGACAGTTGTGACTTATATTTTGTTTGAATTTTTGATTTGAGTATTCGTTATTCAGGTGATAGTATTTTTTGAGTTGTGGCATCACTAGGTGCACTTATTCTTGTTGGGAGCACATTTTGTAAGTTGAGTTGTTTTATTGAAGTCCATCGTTGTGTGGGAAGTAGAACTGCGTGTACAGAAAGTGTGTGACAAATTACTTTTTCCATATTAAAGATGGATCGATTTTTCGTAACAGTGGATGTCGCTGCTGCGCCGGCCGATGAGCCGGCATATGCGGACAGGTGTGGGAGCCAAATGACGCCTGATCAAGCCGGAAACATGGTCGTGGTCAATCGCATGCTAGAAGCATGGGCGACGGGAAAGCTGTCACCATTTTTGGCTTCTCTTACAGGTAAGATGGACTATGCCACTGTTCTCGGAACAAGATTGTCCGCTGTCTCGCGTGGCAAAAATGAGAAGGATGAGAGCAGAACCAGAAAAGATGGAAGAGGGACGGCATCTATTTCGCGGTCGCCCACGATATGCAATAGTTCCGGGGCTTCCTGCTCTTCGTCTTCCTCCAATACTAGGGAGGTGCGCCGTACTAGAGATTCGCCAGCGACGACGAAAGTAAACAGTTCCTCGTGTGAAGCGTCTCCTCGCGAGAGTAACCGGAGCACGGCAGAGCCCTTCTCACCACGCAGCCTAGGCACTGCGTGCAGTTCAATCGACAGTTTGTCGCGGTCGTCGCCCCGAGAACAAAGCAGCAGTTCGAAATCGCCATGTTCTAGGAAAGGATACGAGGAATTGACGACGATTCAGGCATCGAGCTCCTCCGTTTCACTGGTGCTCACAGGACTGCCAAGAAGTGGAGCGAGCCCATCGTCCTCCTCGAAGCCAGAGGCTCATAGCGCTTCTGCACTCCTTTTTACGCCACCGACCCGCGCAGGAAGAAGGACGCTGACAGTTGTATCGGCAACCCCTGATTCAGTCGTAAACGTGGCTCCCGCATCCTTTTCACACAAGACCAGCGTCGAAAAAGAAACTTCATCAGCGGCAGCGGCTGCAGATAGAGAGGAGCAGTCTACACACGGCGACTCATCAACATCGTTCGTTTCGCGTAGTGATGCTGACCACTCGAACTGGAGTGGCACCGAAAACGATGGTTTCTCAGAAGATGGCGAGATGACGCTGACGCAGATAGAGGGGCGCGTTCGCCGCTTGGACGCAAAGAAGGCGAGAGCAGAAAAGCAAACCGCGGCCACTAAGGAAAAACAAATGTTGGAGATGAGCCAAGTAGGCAAAGAAGTCAATAATCATAAGTCGTCGGCGAGTGTTGATTCCGCAGGCTCTAGAAGACAAAACTACAAGGAATCAGCAGAGCTGGCTCCCCCACGGCCAATGGTGCCGGTGGATATCCCGGCAGCTGATATGCAAGCGCTATCTCAATTCTTTGCTCCCGATTTTGATTGTGACTGTCGCGGCCCTCCGGATTTGAAGCAGGTCTTTTGCAGATATACAGGACTAAAAGAGTCGCTAATGTGGCTTCATTTCCTGGATACTTTTCAAGTGCGGATTTTGGATACCAATCTCTTTCCAGGTCCGCCGGATTCCAAGAAAGTGTACCTGGACTGGAGGTACGAGATTGCGATTCCAGCGCCGCGACCAAGAACAGGTGGACTTGAAGAGAGGCAGCCTGGGGATGAAATAAGTGGAGGAAATGGAAATGCAGGGGGACGGGCGGCTTCCGCGGTAGCCATACCAAAGGGAACGGAACCTTCTGCCTGCGGAGATGCAGTTGTGGTGCGAGGTTTTAACGACCTCATCTGCTATACAATCGAGCGAAAGCGAATCCGCTCGATGCGGATCTTCTTCGGAGCACCAGACAAATGGATCAAAGCAGTGCAATTGATGTATGGATCTTAGCGAAAGACGGATAAGTACATAGTGATAAAGCGAAAGACGGATAAGTACATAGTGATAACATAACCAAAGTCGGAAGATGGAACTTGTAGGACTGGCGCGTGCTTATTCTGATTTACTGGAAGTCCTTAGTTGATTGGCAGTTTTGATATTTTGATGCATGTTTAGAATGTAACACCTTTTCCGATTGTTGTTCTTGTTCTGGATTCAGCCTTGACCTCGGAACACGTGTGTAATTGGATCATGCTTTTAAGTCTTTTTTTGCATGTTTTTTTGTCCTCTTCGCACTTAATTCTTGTTTGAAAACAAGTCTTAGTTGGTTTGTACAATCTCAATCTTCACACGACTTCTACATACTTTTTACCACCTACATCCTCCATTCTCCCAAAGTACTTCTCAGATGAGTCAAGTCTACTATTAGAATTGAAAAATGTCCAAAGACCAAACACATGCATCCTTAGCCCATTCGGTGTCGTCCAATTTTCCAATGGTTCTTTGCATCTAGTGATGAAAGATTCTTTAGTTTTGTTTAAACGCAGGTAGGTTCTGACTTATCGGAACTCGCTCGCACTACAAAAAAAAAAAAAAGCGAGATTAATTGTATTGTATTGTATTGTATTGCACAGCAATAGTCGAAAAACTTTACGAGGAAGAGCGTATGAATGAAACAAGACTGTCTTAGAAATGTCGAGCCACTCAACCGTCTTATAATTGATTTCTTGTTTTTGCGAAGATAGTTAGTTGAATTTTTTCTTCAATTAGCTTGGGTGTGTTTTCCACAAGAAATTGTCATAGGTCCATCAGTAAAAGTACTTGAATTTGTAGTCTACAGCTTGTTGATTTCGCGGTTGAGGTATGACCATGAGTCACTTACTCGTCTGGTTGTTCTCTTTGCTATTCATTGTGTGAGAAGTGTCAACATTGCAACCCACTATACCAAGAAACAAGTGCTGTTAGTTTCTTATGTTGTGGACACCAAACAAAGAAAATGGAGAAATGGCACGATGGATGAGCGGATTCTTCGCTGATGTGTCTGCCGGTCCTGTTCGCCATGACCTGACAAGGCGGTCACTTTGCATGCAGATACCAAGCTTCAAGGAATTTATGTGCATCTTCCCTTTTCGGTACAGATGGTCTATCGGTAGCGTGTTTATCTCGAGTGTGCGCGATGGGGCAATTCTTACAACGAACATACACGGAGCAGGTGAAGGAGGCGCTGACGAAAAAGTTTACCGCAGTGGAGATCATTCATCCAAATTCAACTATTGTATCCCTAGAATAAAGAAAATAAATCAATGCTACTCACTAGGAGGAAAAAGGATTCTTCCATGGTTGAGTTTAATATAATAATGATAATATATGTTTAATAATTTTCGACGTTTTTGTTCTTAAGCGTGTATCTATTTTTGTTTTTCGTCTTTCCACGTATGCTGTTCCTCTGCGCTTCCTCAGTTTGTTGATGTCTATCTCTATCGCGATCCTTCATGATTGTCAAAAGAAAAGATAGCTACATGGCGCACAGTGCTCGTACTGTATAAAACCGTTAGACGGTTGCAATACATTAAGTAGCTGCATGCGCCGCTGGTAGAGAAGTCCGCGGAATTCATTGTGAGCACAATTTTGAAGATTACCGTTCCTGCCTCACATACAGCGCCAGGTGAAATAAACAAACGGCCAATTCTTGTCGGCATGCATGAACTTTCAAGAAACGCACCTGAGAGCTCTCCTTCCGAGGCCGCGACAGCTGTCGTTCTCTGCGACACCGCTACAGTGGCGGACTTCGTGCCTCCGGCAAATGGTTATCAAGTTGCCGACGTTTTGGTGCTCTCCAGTTCCACGAGAACGAGGTCCTTGGAAAATGCGAATCCTCCTGAAGAAGGACTATTAGCTCCTGGACGAGGGGGAAACCCAGGAGGAGATACCGGGGGCCACGATAAACTAGAAGATGCGAACAACAATTACAGCGAAGAGTGTGCCAGTCGCACTGGGAGCAGCTACGTCGATGTTTCTGCGCATGCAGACGTGGGGCCGACAAGTTCTTTTGGGGGCGGAAGTATACCCTATCATGAAGCCGCCGAACAAGGACCACCGGGAACAAATTATAAGACGAACATGACAACAGGTGAATTATCATCATCGGTATCGAATTGCTCCCCGTCGTCTAGAAGAAAAATCATAGTGGATCCTCCGTCGCGTTCGGAATCGTCGAGCACTTTCAGAGGTGCTGGTCTTAGTGCCGGAGTTGTAGATTTAGGTGGCCAGCAGGATCAACCGAGATTGAGAACTAGAAGTGGAGAAGAAGTCGGGGATGATGCGATGCACCCAGCCGGTGGAGCAGTATCGTCGTCGTCCAATGGAAGCTTTTACTTGCCCCCATCCATCTCTGCAGGTTCTTTGCAACAGCCATTAGCGTCGGTTGGTCCTCCTGGAGGTCCACCTGGCTCAGCTGCTCCGGTTGTGGGCCTCTTTGACTACGCCACTGGAAGTAGTTCTAGTGCGAGAGTTGTGCAAGAAATAACTTATTATAAAGTAAATCCTGACGAGGCTCGGTTTATTCGAAGAGCGAGCGCGGACCGCATGCAATTGGAGCATTGGATTAAGGCACCTGAAGATAAATCATTTTTGCAGCTCATTGAACTTTTCGGTTTTCGCTTTTTTTTCTAATCAGATTTTTAGGAGAATCAATATAATAGAAATACGCACTTACCCTGTCTTAGTCTTTGGAAATGAGTCAATGGTATAGTGCTAGTGGAAAGCGCTAATTGGATCCAGGAACACTGCAAACAGCCGAGCGTCGCGTCTGGAGCTACGCCGCAGCATGACGCCACACCCTTAGAAGACAAGAGAATGAACAGTCTCAGCGGGACCAGCCTCACTGTGTCGCAACCAAATACGCTGTACGGAGCAGTGCAGCAACCTGCAAGTGGTGGTTTTAGTGATCCGGCCAGTGCAACTCGTATTCGGCCGTGCGCCGACAATGAAGGAATGGGCTCCGCGACTAACTTCAATGATCCGCTCCAGGTATGCGAAAACCTCGATAATATAGTCGCATTGCTATCTTCTACGCTACCCGAAGTACATGCGACGATGCGGGACGCACGTACTAGACGAAAAAACTTACTAGAATTTTATTGTGTTGGTCGATCGCGATCCAGAAATGAAGCAAAGTAATCTTTTTGTACCTTTTCATCTAGTTCGGCGTGCTCTATGTATAACAACATCATAGATAAGCAAGAAGCGAGATTGCAGAGACGTCGGTCATGGATTTTCAAACTACATCTTTACCCATGATAAGGTATACGAGAACAGAAATTGGAGAAAGAAAATGCGCACCTCAAAACTGCAGTAGATAAGTTGAAGACTCAGATTTTACGCTTGGAACGGCAGATAAAACGCGAAAGGGATAGTAAAAGCAGAGAAATTGCGGAGATCGAGCGCATGTACGAATCCCTCCATAACGAGCACGAAAAGGTAATGAAGCGGTAGTAACTTAGTTCGATCTTTGCCAATTCTCTTGTGCATAGATATGCGTGCTGACGAATGTAGAAGGTTTTTTTTAGTACTGACTTATCTTCAACGTGGAGTTTAATGTTGTATATACTCGACGAATGAATGTATCCTAAAGCTGTAATAATGTTTCTGACAGACTGTGGACCAGCTGCAGATGACGCAGCAGGTTGCGGCAATCACGGTAGAAGGGGGAGCACCGGACTCGCCACAATTTATGCGGAAACATAACACCACCTCGGCACAGGCGTGAATACGGCTATATGCGCGTCGCAGTCCGTCCTGTATAGCGCTCTGCGAACGACACACGAATTTCTTGTGTGACATTCACGTGATTTTTTGAATTGCAGACGGATTCTTGTTGTTTTCTGTCATCGATCTTCTTATGTATGAATATCCGGATGAAAGAGATGGTTTCTCTCTCATCTCGACGACACGCAGTCGCGTCTCGACACAACTCGTTGCATTGGACAGCTTTTTGCAAAGACACGTCGTCGTACATTCTTTCACACTTCGCTGCTTGCTTTTTTCCGATAGATTTAAAGGCAGAGGACAGACAGATTATAGATTGGAGATCATGGACAGGACATTCGAGTTTGTGCCACTACTTAGAGTTTGAGCTAGCGCTTAGCCATCAACTATTTTCAGTCGTCTTTCATCGTGTCGACTGGAGTTCAGAAGAGCGATTTCAAGCGTCCTAACATTAGGCCGGCGGACTACCAGGAGACTGCGGGCTGATGAAGAGGCAGATCGTGATATCTTGAACAAAGATTTCTTAGAAAGGCAAAGGTTAAACTAGTACGTAGGGGGCAAGCTGTTTTTCAGTAATGCAAAGAGTCATAGACGGTACTAGATCCGAAGATCGTGAGCATTTCCATGGCGTGGTCGTATTGGAGAAGCGTTCTTGGCGACGGAGGAGAGCACTCTAGTGCTTCATGTGGAATAGATTCGCATCTCGGTGCACGATAGGACGATATGGGTCTTGTCTTCTTCTGTTTATCCATCATGTTGCTGTCCTTTTCCTAGTTGCGCACAAACTTCTGCTCCAATGCATCTGTGTCTGTGGTGGGGTTAGTGTTGCGGCTCTGCCTTCGCCACTACACGAGGAAAGGCACTATTGGGATGGGGTCGAAACACGGGAGACCTGTCGGCGGCCCTGGGTTTATCCGGACCTTACCCGGTTGGCTTGGGCCGACTGGTATCGGCGGGAGTGTTCGCGTGTGCGAAACAACGAGCCGGTGTATGTGAAGAACGCGACGCGGGCTGCCTCTTTGTTCGCTCTGGACCGCTACTTGAAGCGGGTCTTCCTATCAGGCCGCCTGCAAGATGCAGCGGTGGGCCGTGTCAAGGAGAACAAGAAGCGTCTCTTGCGGCAATATCGTGGCTTTCGGCCAAAATATAGTTTACCACGAGATCGGCGGCAGAAAAACGGAGATAATTCACGAAGTCAAGATGCATCACAGTGGCATCCAACTTTTCGTCCTATCAATTTAGCCCACTACCAGTGCCGCAAGTGGGAATCGCGACCTGAGCGGGCTCTGTCCGTAAGGACGGAAAATCTTCAGACAGTCTTGATTAATCCAGAGAAGACGGAGCTTGTGCAAGAGATACTAGTCAGTATGGCGACAGGCCGACCCGAACCGATCGCCGTGATGAAAGTTCGCCCTAGAAAGCAAGTGGTCGAAGCTCAAATAGACACGGGGCTAGAGCGCAAAGGTGGATCACGAGAACGTGGCTCACCAGTCATGGCAGAAGACGCTGAAAAAAAAGCTGTCGGAGTCGTTCACGGTCATGATGCGACATTGATCGAGAAGGAGCTCTCCTATGATCTCCGTGCCGGACGATATCAATCGCTGCTGGCGAGCTACGATCGTTCGGCGGGTGGTGGAAACTATACCGTTTTTCTGCCTGAAGACACGTATGAAGCGCGGTTCGAGGCAAATGGCGCGCGTGCCGGGCAAGCCTCACAGACTTCGACGCAGCGCGATAATCTACTTAGCAATGATCGAAACTACGACGCAAATAACACGAACTCTGGCTGCCGTTCGCACATCGGGCTTTGGAGTAACGATACACGATCTGATGCAAAATGTTACTTGGACACCATGGCCGATTTTCTTCATCTAGAACGACCAGGGACAACTTTATTAGACTGGGGAAGTGGTTGTGGACATCAATTGGCCTATTTGGCGCAAAACTACGGCATTTCCGGACTCGGCATCGAGCCTGTTAGTCAAATTGTGGATGAGGCTCGGGAAATTTATGAAGAAAATCAAAGTCACGGCCACTCGAAAACCTCTACGACCAAGGATGAGCATGATACCGCAAAGCATCGGAGCACGACCACGAGAACGTCGCTTTCATCCGCAGACAATCATGCTCAATATGTCAGTGATACGACGTCGAGTGAAAAAGGTGGATTGCGTTTTTGTCGCGAGAATGGGGTGGACTTGAGCCATCTGCCGTCTAACAGTTTCTCGCACGTGATAAGCTATGCAGCACTGTATCACCTCGACGAACGCGCCCAGTGTGACGTGCTGCATCAAATGATTAGGGTTGCTCAGGACAAGGTCGTGCTGGGATGGCATGTGGCGACGCCCACAGCTTATGTAGGTTCGACCTGCCCCTTTTGGCGACGATGCTTGTTAAACCTGCAACTGAAAACGCGTGGCCTGTTTTCTGCTATTCTGCTGGTTTGTATGCCCGAACGATGCCTTGCGGGAGCAAGTACCTACAGTCTGCCGTTCAATACAATCATTTTCCAGAAAGTCTATGCCTGATGTTGAAGATGTTTCGAGAAAAGATTGGAGGACATTGCTTTATCCGCGATTCTGTGAGCATGAACTACCCGCTTCGCTGAGCGTTCTTGCTGACATCTACAAGTGCTCGAGTTGAAATACCTGTTCTCCGAGATACAAGTCTATCCGTCAGTAAAGTTGTGTAATGTAATTGACCATACTAAGCCGGCGCAAGCTGGAGTCTATTTCCGACCCTCTCGGTATGTCTTGCGTGATATCACCGAGGTCCGGCGACTTCTACCAAACCTGCACGAGGAAAGAAAGCGCGCCGTGCATCTTCGTGCTGCGTCGGTCTTTGTGTCGTGCTTGTGATGCATTGCGGACCTTGATCCTGGTCCCCATTGAAATCCGAAGTCTTCCGATCACGTTCCGCAGCGTCAGCGTCCTACTTAGCTAGGTACATAAGCAACACAAGAACGAACAAAAGACAAGGCCACACAAGCACAACGCAAGACCGGCGTAGCATGGACATGCATGGCGTCAATTCTCTTTCCTCATGCAGGTCTGGTAGATGTTATCCCGGTGACATGACGCGAGACATACCGAGAGGGCCTAGGATAGACTCAAGCCCGGGCCGGCTTAGTGTGGTCGATCACGTGCAACGATAACAGAGCGCCCCAAGCTGCGTGTCTGTTATGTCTGTAATAGAGCGCGACGCTTCGGCTGAAATCCAAAACGAATTTCAAAAAATCTCCAGATTAGGATGAAGAATTCGGTCCTTTAGATATAACAAGATGATAACGGCTAGCGTAGGAAGAGCGGAGCGTGAACAATTCGGCAAGGTGACGAAATCCAAATGGGACTGACTCGTACTATGTCATATGAGGAACAGGCACTTTACCTAGAACGTAAACCTAGTCTGTGTCTCTGTGTTGTGAGTGGGTGCTCTCATGTCGACGAAAATTAAGAAGGACTCGGAAAATAGGAGAGTGACGAGCCAATCCTGTTAAGTAGAACACGTACACGAGTATTTTATGCACTTCCTCAATCCTCATGAATCTGCCTCACATCCCAACGAACACCAATATAGTTGTTTCGGGGTTGAGGTTGAGCCCTTCGAATTGTCGCGTTATTGCGGCGTACTGACATTACAGTCAGAGTGTTGCGGTAATAGTTTTGTCGACGGTACTGTTGCACGGCTTATTTAGTTACTTACAGCATTTACTTAAGAAGTAGGTCTTCAACTGTAAAAGCATTGACCCTACATATCTTTCCGTGTACAACTAGCTGACAAGAATGCGCGCTCGCATAAATTTTATGACGATGTTTGTAGGATCTACGGTAGTTGCGCGCATGATGTTTAGCTAGACGTGGATTCGTATGTGTTGCATAGCTTCGTACGAGATTCTTTTATGCTCTTCGATAAGTAGTTGAATACCTATACCATGGCCATGCATGTTGTCCTTGTCGGCGTATACAAATTAGCAGATTATCATCTAGAAAATATAGTCAGAGTAAAAGGGTCTGTATTCTAAAGCAAATAATGACACTCACAAATGTAACTACTGATACTCAGCGGCCAATGCAGACAACACGAGCTTCTATTGCTTTCACTCATTCTCAGTTTTCTTATAGATACGTTTAATTATTCGATCAGCGTTTTATCTTTTTGTCGTTTTATCAACAACCCAGTTCCAGAACCAGATGGTAGAGATAGTCACTCAGAGTTAGAGTGTGTTGATGTTGTAAAGGACGCGACACATTTTATGGTTTATAGTTGAACATATAGTATATAGAAATAGATAGTTAGTGAATAGATATCCGCGCAGTCGCCGAACGCGCTTTTCCGATAATATAGTTTACACGATCTCGTCGTAGTTTAGAGAATAATATTGTTGTTTTTGGTCATGATTACACCTAATCTTACACAATGCTTCCCATAGTTCGGTCATCTACCTCCGCGCAGTCACGAGGATCGATCTTTTCCCAGGCTGTGTGCGGTCGTCTTCAACGCGGAAGTAAAACCTTGTTCCTCGAGCACCCATCGTGCGCGATTGGGAGCCTGCGAAATGCGAGACACGAGCATAGGAAGCAGAGGTTTTTTTCTTCAGCCCCCAGCGGCGCTTCTCCAGAAAAGGGTAGCAGGACACGAGGTTCTTCGAAAAATGGCAAAGGATCCAGGAAAGCAGGGGCTGCTTCGGTACAAGGTGGTCTTGCTAGCGGAGTGGGAACCTCGTCTGGCTCGATTTCGAAAGCAAAAGCTATACCGAAGGAGCCGCTGGACGAAGAATGTGTACTCAATTGATTCAACATGAAAGCAGCATTTATTGACGTGTCAGGAGTAAGAGATACAGAAGTGGATAAAGAGTGTGTATTCCTGAATTTCATTCGGTAGCAGGTACGCAGTTCCTATGCTATACAACTGGGTAGTTCCAATAATCCCTGATCTTCAAAACGTCCAGGTAGCGATTGCATTATCAATGCATCGAGTTCTATTGCGTTCTTTGTATCGGTTTTGCCGCGCGGGAGAGAGTGTGCCAGCATCAACGAACTTCGAACTCGCTGGGCTACTGCGCTCGTTGGTAGACGAATTCGACGTGCGCCGCAAGTATTGCATTAGCGAGCGCAATTCCCACTGGATTGCGCATGCACTTGCGTCACGAAACCCGTTTGCTGGTGCATCTCGTGGCTACGAGTTTTCCATAGCAGCCTCTGAAGGAGCTGAAGAAATGGGAGGGTAAGCGAACTTGGGAAAATTCCAACGACTGATTGTGGTTTGGAGCACCTGAATCAGTGAGAATTAGTAGCCTGTGTTTTCTCATCTGGACCTGGAGTTCCGCGCGTGATTCTTTCATCAGCGTTATTTCCTCGTTGAAATCGCCGATTCTTGTCGGTTCTAGAAGAAGCTGCAAATGTCTTCTTTCACACCGACCGTCACTCTTCATGAAATACTTGTTACTCTTTTCCCACCTTTTCAGGACCAGGCCCACCTCTTACAAAGTAACCTTCGACGACGGAGTGATTGATGGCGAACCACTTTTCTTATCATACGACACCCTTGTTTTGCATGGCCGAGCATACCTCCGATGCTCGGCTGCGGATGCCAATAATGGTTCAGCCCACCATGCGGATGTCGATTTCGGAAACGTGCGCACCGTTTCACGAAATATTTTGACGCAGGCTCTGGTATACAACGAAATTGTATCTTACATACATCTTTCACTACAAACAAGGACACCTACTGGACTGGGTTACTTCATCTCTTTGCCATGCGCAGGTGAGCTAGAGAAGTGCACCCAGCAATGTACTACTGCGATACCGATGAGATGACCCTTCATCGTGCATATTATCTTCACGACAACAGGACTTGAACTCTCCTCGGGCGTCCGAGGGTGGCCGTGCAGACATGTTTAACATTGGTTTCGAGCTTCTGCAGCATGTGAAACGGTGGCAAAAACGGGCACAGGCCGCAACGCGGCAGCGGCGCCTTCAGCGGCGACAACTCGATCGTGAATTCGAGGTTCTAGAGCGTCGCACGACGCCGAAACGCAACAACGACGGCGCGCGGGTGCGCCAGGCTAAAGAGAGAATAAAGAGTTTGTGGCTGAATCACCCGGATCCTGACGTGCGAGATAGGCTTTTTCTCGTTTGCAATATGATGGGCACACTGCAGTCTTCTGGAGAAGTACCGACTACCCGTGCTAAATCTTCAAAAACCAAAATCAGCAAAACAGCTTCTACTTCTTCGTCCACTCTTCATAAGAGAAAGATGAACACTAGGAGAAACAAGATAGACAGCACCGACAAGATGATCACCCACTCCACAAGAGTCGACGCAGCTTCTGCAGAGGACGACATCGAGACTTACCACTCTCAGGTTGGAGTTGACGACAATGTTTCGTCTTTAAACCAGGGTCGAGCCAAGATGGACGAGGATACAAAAACTCGATGTCTGCAGGAACTAGATGAGATCTTGGGCCTCGACCCCTTAAACCCTGAGACGCTGCACACGCGCGGACTACTCTTTTTTCTAGACGGAAACTACCCTGCCTGCGAAGAAGACCTAGCTCAAGCCTTGCTGGTGGAGCCGCGGCACTTTCCAAGTTTGCACACCCTTTTTCGTTAAGGCTTGGCGCTAGGGTTCCGAACGTGTTTTCTAGCTGATCTACGTGTGAATTAGTTATGTGATGGTCGAGATAGTTCTAGTCGAACAGCATTTGCTCTGTATTCAGTTTTTTCGTCAATAAGATGAAGGTCAAGGTACTCATCACGACCAGCTACTTATTACAGTTTTACATTTTTTATGAAAGTTAAACGACGGACCAAGAGCAACATTGGATTACATCATGCGCAGATCTAATTACCTCTACATCAAGAGCGGGATGAGCGTGAGGGGATGCTGTCGGTTCTTTCGCAATTGCGGGAAATATGCCCTCGCGATCCGGAGTTGGAGAGTCTCTCTCGCGAAGTTCCAGCTTCCAGGGAGAAAAGTAGCGCAAAATCAAATCTCAACAAAGCGATTTCGACATCTGCCGCAGAGACTTCTAGCAGTTGTGGAAGTGCTGGTGGTGGTAGATCACTTGGTAGCAGCATTACAACATCAGCTTCATCCAGCAGCACTGCGACTGAAATAGGAGAGGAAAGGCAGGAACTTAGGGAACAACAGCAAGTGGCGGAAGTTGAAGAGGGAGACAAAGGAAAAGCTGGTGGATCTTCGTCGGCAAAAACATCCGCGGCATCCGATAGAAAAGAAGACGTGCTACTCCGGGATTGAAATGCCGAAAGTGGAGATACGTTGGCTGAGGAGACGAAAAGCCGGATCCACACAAACAAGACGTAGGGATACAAGCGAATGTCCTCGTGCTGTAGTTCCCTCAGCGATCCATTCTCATCTGCATAGTATTGTACAGAAATCAATAGACTCTACAAGTTTTCAACTGCACGATATTGTTTTTATCAAGATAGCATAACATCAAGCAGGCAGGGTGCGTGGAGAGAAAATGTCATATGTCCATTCTTCAGTACAACTACGAAGATAGAGAAAAGTTTTGTGCATGTGGAGGAAGCCTGCACTTTCAAGTTGTAGACGCTAAATATGGTCAAGAACAAACTACATCTTCAACTACAATTAGCTGCTGACTTACATCTCCACAAGAAGTGTGGCCATATATTTTTGAACATGAATGTACTTCTAAGCGAATGTCACGACCCGAACTCTTTCTACTCAACATAGTCTGACTATCATGTTGGAATCCCCATTTTTCAATCCTTCGAGCAAAGCTATTTATTTGGCAAGATGGCAATGGCATCGTTGTACTCCCCACGCTACGCCTTCGTCTTCGGAATGGCAAACAAGCATTGTGGCATGTCGGAGCACCTGGTAGAGTCCCAGAATTTCGTAGATAGAGTGACTTCGATAGCTTTTTAGAAGACTGAAACCCGTCCGAGTTGAACCAAGATAGAAGAACGTTCAGCTTTTGTTAATGCACACCATAAAAATCAACTCCACCATCCTCCAACAAGACCCTAGTCGTACGAGAAGGGACAATGACGCGACAGTTGCGGATACTGCTGCCGACCTCAAATTCACTCTATAGAGAGGGTAGGGTGCGTGACCTGACTCCTGGAAGTTGCGCAAAACCGTTCGACATTACATCAAAAAATTTGAAGTGAAAACTACTTACCCAAATTGATATGTATCGAGAAGCATGATGAAGTCTTCAGTTCGTAGGGAAAAGAAGATGCCAAAGAGCTCACCCAGCTGATTATAGGGAAAAAGAATAACTAGAATTCTTAGACGCAAGGCGTTCTTTATGTCGCAATCGATTTGAAGTCTTTTGCATTATCCCTCAATCAAAAAACGTTTGGCGCTCTGCTAGATGTGTTGAAGACAAAAGATACAAAAATAGCGGGCTAGCAGAGATTCGAGGCGAGGCAAGCGCATGGCTACCGAAGGGAAGAGAACAACACACTTGCTACAAGGTTCGTACAATCCTGCAAAGCTTCGACGAAATAAGCACGACCGCGGCACGGCACGACAAGAGAGAAGTAGGCTTGGTGGACTAAAGGACCGAAACAAGATACCACGCGACGACGGAGGAGGTGTCTGTCAAGTATTTCAACGTTGCGCGTTGTTTGGTATAGATACGACGCACAATATAATCTGCGCACTCCTAGACGCTTGTACACGATAAGGAGGTCTCTCGCCCCCAGGACTCTAGCTGCGCGGTGAAGATGGTGCTGTACATCAACATCCTGATTCTGAATCCGGATGAGGCGATGGAGAAGCAGGCGGGGAGATTCTCCTTTTTCGCGAAGAGCATGGTTGATCATGACACGCTTACTGGCGTAATCGCAGAAGTCATAAGACATAAGGCTGAGGCAGAAATGCAACAGAAAGGCCTGGACGTCGATATGCGGGTCCGCGAGAGTCATTCCCTTTACTGCGTCCTGCAGCTGAACGTCAAAACGCCACCGGCTAACGTCTTCGCATTATTTGCGCCATGTTGCGAGACAGAAAATGCAGCAATAATGCTCGTCGAGAAAGGTACTCCTAATTTTTTTTGCGTTGAATAGAGGTCTCAATGTTATCGATGTCGATCTGTGGTTTCTTCAGAATTTTTGATCACGCAACAAAAACAAAAACACTGAGTACTATGTATCTATTAGAAGTGTATTGACGTGAGTCTTGATGAAAGAAACTACTTCGTCCAGGTCTAGCCGCGGCTTTTCCGATAACGTTGAAGAGCGAATTGAAGAAAGAGGGCATAGACGCAGATGTCGTTATTGTACGAGACACGGATAAGCAGGAGCAATATGAAGTGAAAGTTTTAGATCTGATCTATCCCGAAGCCTCACACGCTCACCATGAGCACGATGCAGGCTCTTCTACCGAACAATACACGACCAGCTAAAAAGGCAAATCTTAATCAAGGGTTGGTGCAGATGTACCACTCACGCGAGGAGCAGGGGAGTAGCGTAGTCGGAGTCGCCCCCCCACTTCGTTGAAGTGGGTCTAAGGCAATGCCCTCTTCTAGGGGTTTTCCTTATCTGCTTGAGTAGAGCGCGTACGAAAAATCTTGATGCACACACTAGGCATTGATCTTAGGGCAGGCCTTGATGTGAATAATTAATCGGTACGACGGCGTTCAGGCGAGAGCGGAGAGTAGAGTGACACTGAGGGGGAGTGTGTTTGCTGAAAATGATGAATTACAATTAGTCTTACGCACCTGCAATCTATTCACCTTCATCATTCTCTTTACCTTTCTACACATAGTGTAGAAATGAAGCTCTGCTTTTGATGAATCGCCTGAGGTGTCCACTATGTTGATATCGCCTCAATTGCTACCGACGAATGAAGGGTACAGAGTCATTGTCTCGATGTCTGAGAAAGGATAACAAAGACAAACTATGAAGCCGTACTGTCGCAAAAAGTGCTTCTCGTCGTGGTCATGTTCGAAGCGCGGCACCACGATCATGGGGCGTAGTACAAGGAAATAGACAAGTAGAAGAAGCTACGCTAAAACTCAAAGGTGGAGTGGAGCTCGTACTCGCTGTACTGTAATTGGAGGCAACGAAGTTCGACCGGTCAGACAAAATGTGGGGCGAATCTGGTCGTGTTTCAGTACGGTCGCAAGACCGCGACCACGTGTGTACGCAAGAGCTGATTGGCCTGGACACTCAAATGTCAGGGCTGGACCGCACTCGCAACGAAGTCGCCTATCGCCGGGCCGATGACGATGGTCTCTCTTCGGCTTTTCAGCCTAGTGGCGGAGCCCTTGCGTCTTCAACGAGTACAGCGGGAGCGAGGTTTTCCGCCTCTTTGCCGCGGGTTGATGAGGTGGCAGGCGCGGATTCTGGCACAACCTCTGTGATGCGTGGTGGAAATCGAAATGCAGAACAAGGGTCTACGCGAGGCCTGGAGTTGGGATTCCTGGACGACCGAGAGCTCGTCGTCGACCCCGGGATAGCAAACCCGACTAGGAACAGAAGGAAACGAAACAGAAAACCATGGAAGTCCTGTTGCTACTGTACATGGCAGTCTTTGTGCGTGACACTAGGCACCTTCGCGCTAATTTTCACACTGCTCATCGTCTACGTCGAGTACTACGAAGAAAATGGCATTTCTATGGATGCACGAGGAGGCACTTCTGGCCGACCCGGATCTTCGGATTCTTCATCTGGCCATTTGATGTTGAAACGAGGCGCACGTGCAGATGCGGCAGGACCTGATCTACTCTTGTTAAGACTTCATGTAGACTGCAAATTATTTGCATCCTCAATCATAGCATTTCTGGCCATCAATCATCATAAAGTAGAAGGTCTAGTTTTAGACAAAAAAAGTTGCCTTCGGGGATGGGAAGATCATGGCGGTAACGACCCTGCCTCTAATTGCAGACGCGGGTGCGGCAGCGGAGCTGAACGGTGCTACAGTCGTGACCCGTCGGAATTTTCGTCCCTCCGATGGCTCGCTAGTAGCACTTCCGACACGATACGCGCACAACAAGCGCGGCAGGGGAGGTGCGAGGAATGATAACGCAATGCTTCTTGGTGGGGCGCCGGACAACGAGGGCAGCAACACGACACCGGATGACGATGAAGCCGATGCGACAGATCAGAACGACTTGCGGCCAGCAGCAACGATGCATCCAGTGTTGGACGGATCTGTTACCCTTCTGGATGAAGACCAAGAGCGGAGAGCCGCTCCAAATGCCTTGGACACGCATCGGATCAAGCGATTTGCCGTTACGAGTACCACACGCGAATTAATGAAGATACTAAACAGACGCACCGAGCAGCGGTCAGAAACTACGCAAGTAGAGACGGAGAAGGATAACGTCTCGAAACCAGTCGCAGCGCATCCGACCGTGCCTGAGGCATTGACGTTAAGACGATAAAGCCATGATAGCAGTTGAGGTCTTATGTTTTTGCTTATCTGGGGTGATATTAGAGCTTACACATACAAATATTACTCTACAATTAGATGCACATGATAGGTTCGCACGCTGCTCAGCTGGCTCTTCTAACAAGTGAAATCCTTGAAAAGCACGGACGGCATCTAGTCGTTGATGTTTACGATTACGTTCCAGGATGTACAGTTTCAGCAAGCTCTGCTGCCGAGGGGACTGCAGGAAGTGTAGTTAAAAAGCGACCTCTTTCCGGACACGCCAACGTAAAAGTTACCTATAGAGCAAGCAAGCATGCGCCGAGAAATGAGCCAATTGGGATTCTGGCGTTGTATCCAACTGGGAATTTTATGGAGCATTATGGTACTCCCGCAACTGGTGGGAAGGCAAGAGCAGACTCTCCCAGTAGCGCCCAAGAACGATCGAGGCCAAACGACGATGTATCTTCAGCGTCTACTTCATCACCATCGCAGTCATCTTCGCCGCAACCACTAGCAGCAGCCGAACTAGCGCCTAGGCCTTCTTGGTGGTCATGGGGATCAGATGGAGATGAAAATCCTCCCCAAGTTGCCATGTCGCTGACGCACACAATTCTAGCTTTGTCACTGCTCGAGCTCTTGGCACGAGAGCGGCCGGCGCTGGCGTCGGATGTTGTGGTTACCTTCAGTCCGGATGTCACGCGAAGGGGAGTCGGCGTCGACCGGTTGCTGGAGGAGGGCGTCTTCATGCGGGACCCGTCGATGGCAGACGCCTATCACTCTTAAGAATGTGATGCGCATAAGTAAGCGTAAGCTTTTTTGCTCTTGATGATGTCTTTGCTTAATGTTAATCATGTTGAACTTTTTTGCCACGAGGGAGAAACCTCTAATATTCGGACAAGCTGATGCCACTAGCGAGCAGTAGCGCTGGCACACCAGCCGCTGCAAGGTCCGGCGCGCTTGTTTATCTGCAAGGTGGCGGAGGACAGCCGGTTTGCGGAAGCATGGGCACTTTCTTTTGGAAGTTAGAGGTCACAGGACAAAACGCTCCTGCAGGGAAGCCGCAAGAAGCGATTAACGCACTCGAGTTGACTCACACAGCACTCGATAAGATTCAAGCCAGCTTCTACAACGAGTTCTCAAGGTATCTATGTATACTTCTCAGAACGGCGCTTGTTTTTGTTAGCGTTCTGTGTCTATTCCTTCATCATCATCATCATCATCATCATCATCATCATCATCAAGAGACTTCAGGCCAGTGCGATGCTTGACATTTTTTCTTGAACTATTTCGATTTCACGGCCTGAGTGAGGATGGCAATAACAAAGTTATTACAAAATGATAATGATTATTTTTATCATGTAAGGTTCAGTGGATTGGATCGTCGCTACGGTTTCGAAGCTTCAAGTACGATGAAACCGACGCAGATTACATGCGATGGTACCGGTGAAACGATACCCGGTAAGTGCACTGCCATCGGAGATATTCGTCTATCACCTTTCGTGCGTGTAGAGGAGGCCCGTCGGAAGGTGAGAAATAAGAATTTTTGATCAAAGATTACAAAATTACAACATCAACAATTTTTTTTTCCGTTGTACTTATCATGTTTTGGTCGAATAAGAAGTATGAGGTGTAGAGGCTCTAGTTCTATGATTTCGATCAAGGTTAGTTAGTAGACACATTGTTTTCGACCATGGACGGAGGTATTAACAAAAAAGGCGTCACTATTAATTTATTCAATCAGATAGAGAGCGTGATAACGAAACTGAACGAGAATGTCGGCAAATTGACCGGGCGTGGGCCGCATAGCCGATTCGAATTATATCGGCACGAAATGAATGGCGGCGCTGTTGCGGTAGAGGCAAATCGCTTAGGGCGCTTAGAATTTTTCTGGCTGCATCCTCGACGAGAGGCTGAACTGAACGAGGGCTTTGTTTGCCAGCACCGAACTCCAGGTCACTTCGCTCTCGTACAGGCCGCTCGGGAAGGACGCATGGCAGCGTTGGGCAAGAGCACAAGTGTCGAAGATGAGAGATCAACAACAGCCACATCAAATCTCGCTGATGCCATGGGCGCGTCTTCATTCTCCTCTGGCGCCTCTACTACAGCTACAGACAGCAGCACTGGTGGAGGTTTATTTTCTGGTACTGCGAGCACTAGATATCGTCGTGGCGGCAGAAGTGAACCTCAAGCAACAGCAGCAGTAGGAGGGCAAGCAGCGCTAGCGGGCAAAGTCTATCCACATTCGATTGGTGGGAGCTTGCGATTTGCCAAGTTGCTGCAGGCTTTCGGAAACGATGTCCAGGTGATCGGGTTTGAGGGACATCAGACACTCTCCGCACTGAACGCTGACTTTCGTGTCCTAGTTCGTCACGTTGCACTATTAGAGATGTTTTACCGAACAGGAGTCCTATTGCAACTCTAGAGCAAACAAAGCTGGGCAAGTTCCGTTTTACCGAAATTACGTGATTGTGATATTACGATAGGTAAATCAATTCATTGTATTTGTAAAACCTTTCTCCCCACACTCGCTTTTTCAACAGCACCGATTTTATGCGTTTTGCGTTTGCCTTTCTTGTTTTCCTCTTCGGTATCCTGCTCTAGCTGCGCAGTTAACAAAAAAATATGAGTATCTACGTAATCTATGTATCTATAGGAATTCATTGGAGAGCTACAGGCAGGAATCTAGCGATTGCATTGCCAGTTTTTGGTATCGTTTCTCTAACCTCCTGACCTCCTTCTCTAAAAATGATATCCTTCGGTACTTGCCTCTTTCGATTTCAAGTTTGAGAAAATATGCCGTCAAAGACAACCACTGCGAAACATCTTTACTTTTCTCTTTTTCCGCCGCACCTGTTCTGAAACTCCTAAGTAACGGGGGTCCATAAGAAAAGGGCAGTAGGATCACTAAGCACTGTCTTATAGTTGTCTGATCTTTTTCTGAATAAGAGTGATCTGTTCTGAAGTAGAGACCAAAATATTTGTTAATTATTCATTTTATTGTCGGCCAATATTTTCATTCGTTCTGATGCTTAGTGTGGTTGTCGTATTAAGCCCTCCGGTTCCACCTCGACCTTTTAAAATCCCTTGTGTAAATTTGATGGTTGTAGGTGGTTTCTTGGTGGATGCTTTTTCGAGAAACGGATCAGGAATGGAAATAGCGACCGCTGTGGTGTAAGGTTTGAAGGTCCTTGTGCTTGATAACTTACGCTACATTTGTTTTACTACGACCCTTGTCGCCCCTACTCACTGATTTATCTTCTGTTTCCTTCGGTTGAAGGAAAAATTGTCTTCATGATGTTGATCGGCGTGGTGAGAGTGAGAGTAGAGCGTTGAATCTAGTACAAGTAGTAACAGAAAGAACAAATTGAAATGGTCTCCATCCCTGTGGAGCTCTCTGCTACCGAACACACGGCCTAATAGTATTTTTAATATGCAGACAAGAAAATATTTTACTAGAATCTAGGCTGGGAGGTTTCGCTTTCTTGTGGTCGTGGTCGCTCAATTCGGGTCTTACCGTGGCAGTCTCTACTAGCACAAGATTGATTTACTACCTAGCTGAACAGAGCACTTCTGTTTTTGTACATGGTTGTGGATTCCTAGATGCTCGTCGCCAGAGACCGCATTCGACGCATATGGCGATGAGAGAAGGCTCGCGAAGCCCCTCGCAGAGGGCGCCTCTGGTCGGGGCAATGGGGCAGGGCCGCGCTCCCCTGTCGAATGCAAAACAAAGACCACGAGGCGACGAGGTAGACGAGCCATCATGGCTACAGAAAAAGCACGAACGGCACCCGGCCGCTACAACTTTTTGCTGCATCGGAACACTGCTGCTTGCGTCAGCAGGACTCATCACCTTCAACAAATTTCTCATTGCGGGCGGGCGCTTTTCGTACCCCCTCGCACTCACCGCCTGGCACATGTTTGTGTGCGCGATTTTCTCTACCGGTACTAACTTTCATTTTTCCTTCCAGATAAGGCGAGATTTGGTAGACAACCAAGGCAGAGCAAACGGTATTGGACAATTAATCCGACAACACACACGCAACTGGTAGCCTTTTCAGGAAATGTCAGAAGCAATCAGGATCTGCGCAATCCAAAAATTGACATCGAACAACTTTTTGGGCATATTGGCAAAGGATCTGCCTCTGACAGCATATGTTCGTCTGGATCATTCACCCTAAATCCTCTGTCACTTTGAAGTAGGAAAGATTTTGAAAGAACGAAAGAATATCTTGTAATCTGATTTTTTCCATCTTGATATTTTTTTGATTCTGCACTGGTCGTGAAATAATCTTTACTCTTTGTTTTAATATTTCGCAGTGCTGTACTGGCGGAAGCCGGATTGGTTTACCACGATGAACTACATTAACCGTGAGACGGCATGGGCGTATGCGAAGTTTATTGTTCCCATGTCGCTGTGTTTCGGCAGCAGCGTTGTTTTGTCAAATACGGCTTACTATTAAGGCTCACTGCTCGATGATAAGTTCTATTTTGTTACTTTATCTCTCAAGGCAAGATTCATTTTCTTGCATTCCCACCGTTGTGCTGGTCTTTTCTACGCACAGTCAGAGCAGCGCTGGGTCCTCTTCTATATTAAACGGAAGTGCATGCTTTTGAGAAGACCACCTTGATGAGAAAATGAATTCCGCAGAGCTCTACTGTTTCTTCGCGAGCGTGCCATTTCTGCAGATGATGAAAGAAGGCAACATTATCATCGTTTACGTCATCTCCCTCATAGCCTCCGTGGAACAGTAATTCCTATGGTCTTTTGAAGAAAGTAAATCCTTTTGGTAGCAGGGAGTAGGAGCACGACTGCAACGCATTATATTTATTATCACACAAACGATATCTGTCACACAATTTGATCTGAGTCTTTTGAAAATGACATACGTTTAACACGTTGGACAAAACTACTTTAATATGGTACTGATAGCTATCAAACTTTCTTGTTCCTCCCAAACCTGGAGATATAACTACTCATGGTCCACTAGTTCTTATCCTGGCTGCTCACGCACATTGAATCTTCTGTAATCTGCAAGAAAAGTAAATGCGCAGCTGCTATAGAGATCATCTACTCTGTAGAAGTTAGTTAGTGATAAGCAAACCACACTGCAGGTGGTCGTGGCGCATCGTGACGATATTGTTCGTCGTTGCTTCCGGTGCGTATCTTTCACTGGGAGGCGAGGCGCATTTTGTGTGGGCCGGATTTTTCATGCAGTTTGGTTCGCAGTTCTTTGATTATGTTGGCGCGATGCATCATGATATCTCATTCTTTATACTGATAACCAGTCCGCCGTTTATTTTGGATGGGCTACATTGTTGAAATTTGTAATATATCACTACAACAAGTCTAGAGTCAGGGATGTACTTCGAGTTATTGCCTTGTTGACTGCTATGTATATTGTAATCCATAGGTATGAAAAATATATTAATGTATTCGCTGAGCACGGTGTTGCAGAGTGCTCATTGACATGGCACTCATCAACATCCACCTAATGTGTGTGCACGCGGTTGGTTGTCCAGAGTAAAGTGCTCTCGTCTGCCGCTGGGTCCAGTATCAAGAAAATAGACGCGCTCACGTTCTTGCTACTTGTTTCGCCGTGCTGCCTGTTTGCTCTCGTAGGGGCACTTGCATACACGTGGACACCGGATGTTTTGACTAAGTACTAATGACAGGATAATATTTATTGATGGCAAAGTAGAATGGTCATAGGAATAGTTTTTGTAATTAGTGCGGATAAGGGAGGCCTTTGCCTTACGCTCAAGTTGGCGAAATGGCGAAGACGAGGTGAAGCGTGCTACCAATTTTTTCCTGGTGAGACCGCTTGACTGACTTCTGAACACGATGGCTAAGCAGACTTAAAATTCATTTGGCTGGCTGGGAGAAAATGTGGCGATAGACAAAAAAACGCAGCAGCAGGCGAAACACCTAGAAGCAATCTAAGAAAAGATTCTTCTTCCCTTTAGTGTTCAGATACTTAACTTATTTATTACTTGTTTTAACAGTGGAGACTTACGTACAAGTAGGATCAAAGCAGGTTCCTGGAGTCGTGGCCCTATATGGTGGGAAACGGCCTCGTTGCGCTACTTCTGAATGCGACGACGTCCCTTTTCCTTGGGTGCTTCTCTCCGCTGACGTTTGTGGTAGCAGGAATGATGAAAGATTTTCTCATCGTGGTGGTTAGCGTGCAGTTGCTCGGCGAAAACATCACGCCAATGCAAGCCTTGGGCTTCTCCATTGAGGTATAGATGCATCAAAGCATCCGTCTAAGATGCAAGTTTTATTTATTATTGTAGTAGAACGAACAGCCATGAAGTAGAAGCTTTTCCTTTGATCGACTAATAAAAACGCCTCTTCTGCTATGGTGATTCGTTGTACTTGTATTGCAACAACAAAAAGGAATGGCAAAATTTCGATCCCTCTCCTTCTCTCTCAAGAATCATTTCAACACTCGCATGATGACGCTACAAATGACTAGGAGCACGTACTCAAACGAAATAATAGCCGTTGTCTTCATAGGAGGAAGAACATATTACAGGTATTCGGTGTCGCGTGCTATTCGACCATTAGAGCTTGTTCTGACGATTTTCCAGCGGATCGCTGGGTCGTTGAGGTTTTGTATACCAAGCTGGCCACGCGGGTGACAAACGAAATTATGAAGCGCAAGGTTTACCTAGAGTCGTCGCTATTAAAGTAAAGATGAACATCTAAAGCAGGAGCTGGACTGTAAGTTTACTGGCTAGTATGCTGGCAGTGGTAACTTGTGACACTTCACTGACAGCACTATAAGAATTTTCTGCATTTCTTTCCATTTCGTTTGCAAGCGAAGAGCATTTCTGTTACGCCAGAAAAAATTCTAAAAATTTGTCCGCCCCAACCAAGGGTGTGATGGTTGTCGATCCTGCGAAGAGTTCGAGGCTTCTCTCTACCAGCAGAACGAGCGCGGTAAGTATTGCGTCCACAACCGGGTCTTCAAGGCGGGAGAGCGACGCCTCGTCGCTGCGCGACAGCAGCAGTGATGCTAGAATAGTCGAGGTGCTGTCCTCCGACTTGAGAAAAATCTCCTCCTTTGAGGAGGATAGCAACGGCGTCACCACATCCTCAGACCAGGAGCGAGAAGGTTCCACCCTAAGCTCAGGGGACGAGCGTCTTTTACGGGGAACATTGAGCGAATCCAGCACAGCAAGCGCCAGAGGGCCTGTTGCCAATGTGTAGAACAAGTCGCGCTGGGACAGTGGAGTCATAGAGTCTTGAATTGGAAACATCAAACCGCCTTTCAGCCGACCGACTCTTCCCTAATCCCTAATCCCCACTTCGTCACAGAGATCTAGCCACCTTTCGGCTCACCCGCGTAACTTTGTCTCGGCCGCAGGCGTGCAGGCATTCACAAATATCGTATGCACAGAGTGCCACTTGTCGCGTTGTACAGGTTGCTGTGTCGTGTCACACAGTATGAAACATAGTACCCATTTCCAAGAAGTGGACCGCATAGAGTTTTTTTGCATTGGACAGCAAAGTGTAGTTCTAGTTTCGAAATGATCCATCCATTCCTGAGTTGAAACATGTCGTCGTAGGTAGGAGAGTAATAGCATGAGTCAGGACCAGATGAATCGTCAGAAGCATATCTATCGTTCAGGACATATAATATATTTACATGTTAGGGATCAAGATTAACAGGCAGCTCGTAAAGGATCATGCTCATACTGTCATCGTTTCAATGTAGTATGCCGTGAAGTTCTTTGACGCTATCGAAGTCGATAGCTTTGCATCGCGCTCGTCCGTCGCCCTGTCGATGATAAAATGCCCGAAAATGAATGCAAGTCCTTGTCCTGCGTCTTCGTAGTTGTCGACAAAAATAAGTCGCGCACGCTAAACAGAAGCCCTCGACTTCGTAGTGAAGTAGACTTACCTGGCACTGGAACGAGTCTAGTGTGGAACTGTCTTCAGTCGTCGACTGCTTCGTAGCGGAGAAGAAAAGCAGTGGTTCTGTTATATTCGAGAGATTTCTTTCGGGAAAGCACGCAAACGAAGTTGCGGCTTCGGTGACATGATGGCAAGTGTCGGGATAGTATCTCGCCTAATATCGTTTGCCAGCACAACGGAGTGTGGAGATTTCATGTATTCGGTATCGTGACGCAAATTCTTGGAAAACTCCTGAAAAGTTGCATTGTGGAGAGAGGCTGAGAGTCAGAGTGAGACTGACGAAACAAGAAGAACAGTTTTTGGTCGCGCCACTGCATCGGATATGTGAAAATGTGATAAAGCGCACACGAAAAAGGTATGTTGTTACGAAAATAGAAGTGCCCGTCTCTACTTGCGTCATCGGAAAAGGCAGTATCCTAAAAAGTGCTATATTGCTATTTGCGGGGAGCCTGTCTCCATCTTCGCCTTTTGTATCAAAAAATGTAGGAAAGAGGCATCGAAAATCACACGCATGGCCGTGCACTAACAGACGTCCGTAGTAAGATTTTCAAGTGACTATCCCTTGCGTTAATCTATACTTGTAGTTATAGAAGGTTATATCTTTTTATCATACAACGAAACGGAAAGCCGAGGCTTCTTATATGAATTATTCGTAAAAAAGCAATCATATTAAACGCAAATCCGTTTAGAACGAACGCGGCGCCACATGGAATAAATACTGGTAACTCACTCTTCTTTTCATCTACCAAGTAGGCTTATTGATTTTCAACTTCCTAATGAACGATCTGATCATCTTAGTCTCCTAAAAAGCATGAGGAATAGATATAACTAGAGCATCATAAACGAATCAATCTGATTATTTCTGTCTGTGTCCTAAGTCTATGGACATAAACAAACTAGAAGCACTTCTGGGGAAATCATAGTACATTCTTTCAGTCACTACTTCCAATGATAGCTACCTTTCGACAGGGCTATAGCACTCGTCCTCTGTTGAAGTGAATACGTACATCGATCTAGCGCACCCTCCATCTTCACGTGCCATGGTATCCTCGGCGCGCGGAGGCGTCCCGGCTGTGCCGCCGGGATCCATCGCACGGAAATTATGGGCCGCTATACCGCTCATGATTGCATCATTGCTCTACATCTCAACGTCTGCCGGGCTCCTCAGCTACAACAAGTTTCTCGTGAACCCAGACCGGTTTCCGTACGCAGTGGCCCTAGTCTTGATGCACATGGCGGTTAGCTTCCTCATGTCGCTAGGTACTTGTGATTACATTTAACCCTTCACACCTTCTTCTTCAAGACGTGTCTGAAGTTTTCAAAAAAATGCTACTTGGTATTCGTGAAGGTCTGCGCGATCGCTGTAGTGCCTCAGGTCGGGGTGCATCATCCAAAGTCTGAAATACGTGCAACAGCAGTTATTATCTATCTGTGCGGGCACATTTCAGCGTATTCAGTAGTACATTTTGATTTTTGAAATTACAGCTCTGTATTGCATTAGGCCGATGTGGTTTCCCGCGGTCCAGTATATGCGAGAACACCCGAAGTTAGCCTGGACCTATGCAGCTAGCATCATGCCAATAGCCCTTTGTTTTGCTGGAACGCTTGTCCTCTCCAACCTGGCGTACCTTTACTGCAGTTTACCGTTCCTGCAGATGATGAAGGAGGGCAATCTGGTTCTGGTCTACCTGGGTTCGCTCCTCATCGGCCTGGAGAAAAGTATACTATCTACGATCGGGTACAAGGGAGTTTTATGTCGGTCATAGCCTCCAGACTTACCATAATGTAGAAGATGTTGTGACGCGGTGGCTATATCAGAGTAGTTTATAGCACGCATGGTGCATGGAGTGCATGGAGCGCAGAGCTTTAAGGGGCGCAAGAAGCTCCCCCTTTAGCTCCATGCTACTCCATGTGATCCATGCACTCCATGCCATGCGAGCTGTGAAACCTTATAAATTGCTCTGCTATATGATTATCCTCGTTCTTATCGCGACGCATCATCATGATAACTATCGCCATCAGCGTCACAACTATTATTTTCTGAGGATTGGCAAACTAAATTACATGTCGTCTACGACATTCATCACATTATTCGCCTCAGGTGTCGAGGTGCGGGTAGTCGGAATTCTCGCGTGGATTATCTTGGCAACATCCTTGACAGTATATGGGGAGATGAATTTCGTTTTTTTTGGCTTCTGCATTCAGTTAGGATCTCAACTCTGCGAAACGGGGAAGATAGTGCTGCAAAATAAGGCCCTCTGCGAACCCGTGGAAGAGGATGCTGGTACTAAGCAGGATTTGCTGCTTTGTTTTTTGATCTACGTACTTACGTCCTCTAGAAGATATTAAGATACGCACTACGACTATCTTTAACAAGCGTGAGCGAATTGTTTGACATTCCTAGCCCAGTTTCTACAATGTTTACGTGCAGCACCGAACAAAATTTGACTTCTCAATTGTATGTGAGATTTGTATTCATAACGTATGGATTTACATGCAGAATGAAATACTTCGCAGACCACGACGAGACCGCACCCCTAGCCGCAAGCGAAGAGAAGAAGAGCGGGCCTCCGAAAAAGGTAGATCCACTGAGTTTTGTGCTCTTCATTAGCCCATGTTGCATTCCTATCCTGTTCACGAAGCTGTACTTCATGGAGTGGGAGTTGGCCGTAGTGCAGCGAGCAGAGGTATGGGCGCAACACTTAGCGCTTAACTGTCTTTGCGCGTTCGCCCTGAACGTATGTATAGCAGTCTTCATGACGTATGCCTCTGCGGTATCCTTCCTAGTCTGCGGAGTGCTGAAAGTTATGGGTCGTCAATAGAAGAGTGTTTATAATACGCATCACAAAACAGTTTTCGAGTGTTGGAACTGCTCGAAGCTAGCATCTTCTGGATAAGAATCATTGTGACTAGTAAGTTTTTCGGTAAGCAAATGACTGACTCATGATTTTCATGAGCAAATGCATCAAGAATGTCTCGGGTTCATCTTGATAGGGGTACCATCCATGAAGTAGATTTGTTTTTCTAAGGAACACATTTTCGTGATATTGGTTGGCATCCTATTTTACCAAGAGGCGATCTCTGGACTGCAAGCGGCAGCTTTTTCTATGCAGTTGTTTTTTATCGTCCTCTACACGTGCGTGCGAGGGTTTCCAGAACTCTTCCACGACGACGAGCTCGCGGGTTGGACACTAGTGAAGGTACCCATATCTTTCTCGCTGAGGTGGTGGACTTCAAAAAGTTCTATTAGTGTAACAGGCCTGCGCCTGAATGAAGATGATCAGAGGTACTGAACCTATTAAGAGGTAACAGCTAAACGGCAACCTAAAGGCACAGCACACTGCTACGCTAAGATACATATAAGGCATTCGGTCACGTCCCTGTGTGGGATTGTTGCTCTGTAATTCAGGTTCTAAATTCTGAATGACAACCCACTGATGCATCTTTTTTAGGGCCTCTTTTTCGGCGGGTGGTGGTTGCCGTCATCAACTGTAGAAGTCGAGAAGCGATCACTCGCTGGCCGAGGCGAGTCTGACCTCCTGACCCCATCGACGACCGCAAGTCAATACTCCGAAAGCACGCCAAGCCTCTCCGATCGAGAGGTGACAGTGTGAAGACTCAGAACTTGTTTCTAGTACAACGGGAAAATGGTTCCTATAGAGAGCGGAAATGACGTATTTGCCAACGTCTGTCGTATAATTCTCCGGGGAATGAAATGAGATCCAAAGCAGGAACGAATGAAAATCGTTGTCAGACGCTGTTCTTGCTCGCAAGATGCCACGATTCTTGGATCCTTCGGCGTGTGACAAGATGAAATGCAAATTGTTGCGACTGATGACAATCTGAATTGTCATCAGGTGATGCAACGCGAATGGAATTCATCAAACATGTTGGACGTATGATGCGCGACTCTGGCTGGATGCTGATATTCATTTGGTTCTCAGCGATCACCGCATAGCAAGTCCTTGTCTGAGGATGTTGTGTTCCATGTTGTCCGAAATGAATAAGGATCAAGATGGTTTCGAACTTACTTTTACATTTTCATTGTGGACTCCTCACTGATGGTGGTGTTGTTCACCTTGGATTCATTGAGATTTAGGCCTACCACGCACTCCTCAACGAATTTCGATGACATAGCTAATTTTTTTGTAATGCAACACTTTCATCATCCTAGACCTACCAGGAAGACCAGGGTAAGCAGGAGGATAGCTCTGGTCATTTTTGAAGTTAGCATACGATCTGTGAGTAACGCTAGTGCTGTCAGTCAATCATGTTGAAATTATTTCAATGTTGCGATTTGAATCGCACACTGACGTTTTGCTGATTTTTGATTCGAAGTCTTTTCACTTGCTTCGTTCTGGTAAAGATCTTGGTCGTTTTTAGCCTCTTTCGTTTTCCGCCATAAAGAAAATTCACCGTCTTCTGATTTTTCCCTTATCGCTGTCGCTCGCTGTACTTCCTTCTTCTACGGCTCCTATAATTTGTTTCGCTTTGGCATTAGAAGTGGCGCAACTAGTCTAAAGTTAGTATCAAAAAATGTCGTCTGGTCCGGGGGCAGCCGCAGTTTCTGGTGAGGAGATCACCAAGTCGATCGCCGAATGGCAAGAGGAGCGTCGGCGTCTTGGTTTGAAGCCTCTCCGGATAGACGATGGAGAAGGCAATGCCGCTCAGGGCTCGAGCGACGCCCCTCTTGATCACTGGCAAGAAAAACAGAAACGCGACACCGAACGTCACGATCACAAGAAAGACGCGGAAAATGAGAAGAAAAAAAGGTAGTGGTCGTTGTAATTAAATGTGAACATAATTGGGTGGATTAGCCTCCATCACATTTTTGTCATAAAAATGGGTTCATGTTCACTGCTTCTTGATGCATAGCATGTTAAAAATGACTCGAAATAGACGATTCTCCTTGTTAAACAATCAACAGAGAGCGGGCCAAGCTAGCGACCGGTAAGGGTCTCGGAGATTTGCTAGCTGACGATGACAACGACATAGGCGCTTGGGCAGCCAGCCATCAGAAAAGTGCCAGCTCAAGGCATCAGCGAGACGACACAAGGAGGGACCGGGATCGCACGCGAAGGCGCGACGAGCCAGCCTCCTCGTCCTCAAACACTACGGGGCTGGAGAATTTTAGGGTAAATGAGAATTTGCCTTTATACTTTTGCTTTTACACATGGACTTTCGCAGGTTTATGTTGAAGCATGGTCGAAAATTACTGACATGATTAGAAGATCTTCTAGTACCTCAATCTTTCTCGTACAAAAATGATCTCTCGTATTCATTGCAGGTAACACACGACATGGGAGACTTTGAGGAGGGTTCAACAGCTATCTTGACTCTAGCAGACGAACGCGTTTTGAACGCGGATGGCACGATAAATGAAGACATGGATATGCTTGAGGACATAAATAAGACGGATGCTTTCAAACTGGTACAACTTCATTTTTGATTTAAGTAGCATGGCTCATTAGTTCTTCAATCGCTACTTTTGATTCAAGTACCATGGCTTTTGATTCAAGTACCAACTTCATTTTGACCATTAGTTCTCGAAAACAAAAGATCGTCGCAGTTCTAAGTCCATTGTCGAGGAGGTATTGTTTTTCAATCTTCTAGTTTCAACGTGTTAGTGTTTACATTTTCATTTTTTATCCCAGCATTCATCCGACGTCAAATCTTTTCTATACAGAAACGTCGAGAAGAGCAGAAGAAGCGGAAGCATGACTATGATCCAAGTCGGGGGTATCACGGTGACCAGAACACTGGAGAGATTCTGTCGAAATATGATGACTTGCCTACTCGAGCAGAGGGCTTCACACTGGGTGAGGGCTTTAGCGCAGCAGCTGAGAAACGCTTAGCGGCCATGGCCGCGAACTCAGCCGACTTGAATCCGGACGGCCCAAAGTTTCAAGTTGATATGATGAACCAGCAAGAGGAGGTGGTTTTTCGCAAGAAAATTGCGAAACAAGCCAAAAAGCGACAAGCACAAGCGCAGAAGCGGTCTATTCTTGACGACGAGGACGACCTAGGACAGCCGAAAAAGAAAATGGTGCTTCATCTACTTCTAACTCTAAGAAGGATATAGCATGAATCTTTCTGGTTTTTTGTTTTTGAAAAATGTACTAGTACTTACTCACTCGCTGACATTCCACGTAGACCTCTTAGTAGAGCTTCTCCTGTTTGTTATCCAATCATGTTAAATTTTCCTCAACAAACAGAAATTCGCTTGGAACGCGGATGTGGATAGTGACGAAGACGATCCTGAGCTCTACGAGCAACTTCGAAAGCAGAAGACTGCAGCGGACGTTAGAAAAAAAGAGGAGAAGCGCACAAAGGATACGAAAGAAAAGAACAAATACTTGTCGAAGGGTGCGGAGGAAGCTTTTGTTGCCGAGGCGCCGCCCGAGAGCGCACTTGTAGTTAGCGCGACGACAGAGTTCTGCAAGACCGTGCAGACACACGAAGAAAAGGACAACAGAACCAAGAAGGAGACTTTTACGGGCATGTCTTTGTTCAAGCAGGAGCAGGCACAAAAGCTGAAACTGCACGAAGACGTCGTGTTGGGACAAGGAGCGACCATAGCCAACGACGCGACGACGATGGGGTCTTCGTCCTCCTCGTCCTCCGCCGGGATCAAGCACGGAGACGCGACTTCATCACTGGCGGAGCAGTTGCACGAGAGACCATTGGACGGCAGTGTATCTTCCGCCTTGATGTATTTGCGCGAACGCAACGGCTTCGGCAAGGACCAGTTTAATCACCACAAACGAGAAATCGTCGAGGGTGGTGTGCTAGAGATGGACACGCAAGACGGCGACGTCCGCATCGACTACCGCGACGAGTTTGGCCGTATCAACACCGCGAAAGAGCAATTCCGTCAGATTTCATGGAATTTCCACGGTAAAAAACACGGGGGAAAGAACGCAGAGCGGCGTAAGCAGAGGCTAGAACAAGAAAACCGCGTCAAAAAGATGGACATGAGTGCTCCTCCCACCCTCAAAGCATTACAGGCAGTCCAAAAGAAGGACAACAAGGCATACATCACACTTGGGTAGAACATGCGAGATTTCATGATACTTTCATAAAATAAAGACGTAACATATATTTCTTGGTGAAACTCCATATTCATTCAAATGCCTGCCTCCTCTTGGTTCACAAGACAGGCTTATACATAGGATAAGCAAAAACATTTATATATTTATAAGTAGTCCTTCTTGGTGACGTTCAGCAAGTACCAGTCGGCTCGGCCGGCCGAGTTCTTATGCTATTGTTGTTGACCGATATCTTGTGAAGAGGTCGGAGCAGAATGTATGTACGTGGGTTGGGCGCTGCTGCTGTCCTCCTATCCATGTCCAAGACGCCTGCTCATCATTTCTCTTTGTATCCCCCACATCCCTCCTTGATGACTACAACATGTCATGAAAAGATATCAAACATGACGATGTGCCCGATGGATGACTGTCAATCGATGGGTGTCCTTGTTTGGCTTACAAAGAAATTTGGAATTGTGGTGAATTATAGCTTTATTTTGGTTTGCGGTGATGATCAGATCATCGTCTTGTTTACTGAAATGATGTCAAGTATTTCAAGTATTAAATTCATCTCTACGTCGTTGTTCTAGTCAGAATGACGTAGAGATGAATTTAGTACTTGAAATATAGTGACAGAGCCTAGGACCTCATGCAATTTATTAGTAGGATGCTACCTCGCATATAAATATATTTAGATGTACAAAGCCGGAAGTCAATATCACAAAAATGGTTTCATGTAAAGAAAGATGATCAAAAGTACGATGGCCCCACCTGCTCCCTCACGTGCAGACCCATCGAATCTGAGAACATTTCCGAAGTTGCTCGCCTCTTGTGGGAGGAATACGCGCTGGACTATCGTAGCTACGAGATAAACTCGATTTCTGAGTTAGAGGAGTATCTCGAGCTTGCAGTAGCCAATGCGGTGAGTCTAAAAAGTATAAGAGGCGTCCACGAGGAAGCAACGGCAACATCGTGCCGATCTCGAGAAGAAGTCCTCACTGCGCTACCTCTTTTCTTCGTTCTTGCCACGACGTGTACTGTTCGTCTTCAGTGTGGCGATGATGAATCTTCACAGCATGATGGTCTTGATGTCGGTCCTGCGACAACTACATTTGACGCTTGTTCAGCTTCCTCTAATGATGGCGGACCAGGCGCAGAAATAGTTGGGGTGATCGGAATAGAAGCGGACGATCTGGCGTTCGAGGACTACGACGCGCACCATGGACCTTGGATTACGAGTTTGTTGGTTCATCCGGATTTCCGACGGAACGGCATTGCTGCGGGTTTACTAGACAAGGCATTGAAATCTTATGCGGAGATGTTAGAAGTGAAGGTCATGAATGCTGAACCTGAAGAGCAAACAGAGACAAGAACTTCTTTTAGAAGAACAAAAGCGGCAGAAAAAACGCCACCGCATGATCAGCATCCGGGAGCCTCATGTGCGTTGAAATGACCGTTCGTTTCTCTGTGGGTAGATGCTCGAAATGTCTATCTTGTTGAAAAATTGGTATGAGGATGATTTCGGATTTATTTTTCACGATGTTGTCACTTGTGAAATACGGCAAGGTGAGACGCGGACGGTATGCGTTGGTATAAAGTATTTCTTATTATCGCAGAATTATCGTGGTCACTATGTTGACGAGCGAGTCCATTTTCAGAGCATAATCTCTAATGATATTCAAAGGGACGACGCGGGAGCTTTTCGTACGCGCGCATCTGTTCTCGCGGTGGAGGTCGCATACCGAATTCACCCAACTCTCTGTGTGATAACTACGTGCGTCGCGATAAAGTCCTTTTGAAGTACCAGTGCTTGGACGATCTGCATCGGTTCAACAAATACTCAGTCTGTGCAGTATCAAGTAATGCAACTTGTGTTGACAACTTCGCTTGTGTTGTGGTCGGTATTCACTACGAGAGGCGACGAATCAGTGTATCAACAACATGAAGATAACAGAGCAGCTATTTCGTGAATATGCTCGGTGTAGCTCTAGTTTGAGCCTTCTTGTCAAATGTCAAAGGAAGTAAGAGGCTCGTGAATCGGTACTCCTTGCATCATCTAGTCCGAAGAGTGAAAACGTCATTGATCCTCCGATTGAATTTCTTCAGTCGTGTTCGGTAGAGTGTGTACAATTCTGTACAGAGAATGAGATGTTCGGGATTCTCCGTACTAAAACGGCAAGCGATGGAGTGTAGCCATACTTAATCGGTACGCTCCTGGTGTCATGCACTTAGTCTGAATTATAATGGAAACAGCCACCAAACATCTATATGTATCGTTGCCCGTTTAGAAACCCACCCGATGTCAATCCCAATTACCTTTTCATTTTGCATCGGCACCTATTATATCTTTACTGTATTCATCTTCATCATACTATTGACCTTTACCTGACGAAGTATCGATCCAGGCATACTGATATTCTCGTCAATATATTTTCTGTCCTCTAATTTCTCTCTCCTCGTTTAACATCTTCAAGATTGGCTCACAGGGCAACATTCATAGACATGTCCTCATTGGTAATCATATTTTGCACGGCTCGACAGTAGAGGAAGGTCTTGGGTATCAATCTTCTTGTAGTGAAAAAGAATGTCGATGCGATGATCAGTCGTGATCATACTTGCTTGTTCCTGCAACTGTTGCATACTTGCTTTGATCATCCTCGGCGTCATATCTTCCGGTCGTAAAAATCGCGGCCTGACGCTGTCCCTCATCCGCTACGAACTTCCTGGACGCTATAGCACCAGGCGCTCGAGACAGGGAATAGACGACTTTTGAACAAAAATCGGTGGAAACTGAAGACGCCCTCGTGTTCGAGAAAGGCGAACTTGCGGCTTTGACGATTTCTGTTAAAGATCGAGTACTATTCTTCAGTATCTCGTTTACAGCAAAAGAACAGCGAAGATGAATAGTACGAGTACATCAGGCACGTCGAAGATGACCAGTACGTCGGGGGGCAGCGGGATGGTTGTCGGTACCTCAGCGGCCAGCTCTTCCACATCGAAGATGCAGTGGTTCGCCAAAGACGGAGCTGAAGGTACTCTGAGTTATACTATCTGTCTCATCTTGATCTTGATGAATAAGCACTCGTAAATTTAACTTAAGACTATCTCCCTCTACTTGGTTATACAACTTACACTTACATCTCATCATCATTATGCCCATTGTCCCCAACGGAAAAATGAAGGTAGTCTACACGACGTATATCTTGTCCAGCTGAATCTCAATCACAATCTGAATCTTACGTTCCATTTTCAGATGAGGAGATAAGCGAGGAGGTTCTATACCTTCGTGGAGTGCTATTGGAAAAAGGAGACGGGGTAATACTAAAAGCGTGGAGAAAGTACTTCGATCCGTACTGCATCGGCGATGTTACGTTCACCAAGTTTTGCAAGGTACATACTATTACAAATTCTTAGCACCTCAGCAACTAGAGGAAGTTATTTTTTCTTATGAATGTCAAAGGAATTAACCACGTTGCGACTTATCTGTAGCACAGAATAAAATCGCACACCTTCTGAGAAACTTCACCCAGCCCACTTAAATATTACAGGGTCTCACAGCATTAGGCGCAACAGGTGAAGATGCGGTGGATTTGTGGAAAAAATTGGATTCGGATGGAACAAATCTGCTGACGCTTGATGAAGTCGACATGGATTCCTTTCTGATGTATCGACGATATTCTTGTAGTGTTTTGATTAAAGCTATGCGTATTTATTGATACTGCCGACGCTGACTTTTCTATTTGCTTTATGTTTTTCTACGTTGTTGAGGATAAGTGCACATACGAGGAACACACATCATGATCAATTTCATCACCAATCTTCTTCTCATTAACAATCGTAATCGAAATACTTGTACCAGGATGGAGTATTGCCAGAAGTTTTGCGACAAGTATGGTGGCGCGGCTAATATGTTTCAGAGTGTCGACTATAACCGAGACGGTAGGTTGGATAGAGCAGAATTCGGATTCGCAATGAAAGCGTGTGGATTTTGCGACGATCCCGAGTGTCCTCCGTTCTTAAAGACCCCAGAAGCAGTCTCGACCCGACTTTTCCCAGTCTGCGATATCTCCGGAGATGGGAGCATCAGCTTGTTGGAACTGGTATTCTACGTGCGTCTTTTGCAGATAGAAGAAGGAAGTGCTTACCCTGATTTCAACGGAACTGGAAGTGATTGGTTTTTGCTCACTCAGGGAATTGAAGTAGAAGTGTCTTCTGCGAAGACGTAACTTACCCCATTACTTAGTTTGAGAAAGTAAGGTTGTCTGCGGCATACGCAACATGCTTGGCGATGTCATGGAAGATTTTAGGTTTTGTTCACAAGTCCCCCATCCATTGATATTTTTTCCACAGCTTTTTCTGGAACGCGACGTAAACAAACGAAAGGAGATACGAGATAAGTTGTTAAAAGAGATCCACGAACGGAAATACGGAAAGCCCAAGAGTATGCTGGCACACTATATGTTGCGTGATGTCACAAAAGCGACCTCCACTTTGGATGACTACATAGCCTTCATGGATTCATACATGGGCTCGGGCACAGAAGGCAGCGCTCAAGCGGCGGAACTGGAACTACTGGTAACTTCAATCTAGCAAGTTGTTCCTCTTTCTTTTTATTATGTCAATCGGGATTTTACTTCCGACTGTAAAAATGGATGGTGCTCGAGTTATGCCGTGTCGTATGATTAGTCTTTTTTCGTCTTGTTCAAGTAGTTTCGCAATCCTATGCATCGTGATTCTTGAGGTTGAATGACTAATTCTCAATTCTCAATCTCAGGTTCGCCAACGAAAGCCTCTGTGGATGGGCAAGCTGCAGAGCCAAGGAAAATACGATAGGAGTTGGGGTGACGCAGAGAATGCGAAATTGGAGGAGTTTTGGAAACTAGAATCGCAGATAGCGCAGACGAAGCGAGAGGGCGCCATTTTCAAAAAGAAATCTGCGGGCACCTCGAAACAGCTGCCGCCAATCCTGCAACCGAAAAGAGGCCTCGACGAAGAAATGGTTCCTTGTCATGATAATACTGTTAAACAAAAAAGTTCTCCTCAACAAGTAGTAGACCAAAATCAGGCCTATAAAGCACCACAATCAATAAATCAACCAAATGCTCCTGCTCGATCGTTGCCTGGCACGCCACAGAAAAGAACGTTAGAGAAAGCTAAGATGATTGCAGCGATGTCCCCGAAACAAGGTGCAGCAAGTGGGACAAGGAAGGGTCCACCGCCAGAAATTCCAGTCGAAGGTGGAGGCAGCGATCGAGGAGTATCTGCGTCAGAAGGGCCACAAAGCAGACCCCAGACCGCACCCAAGAGTCCCAGCTCGACTAGAAGGCCGCGCCTGGCTCGGCAACCGGAGGAGAAGGGTCGGAAGACGGGCACGCTTGTCGACTTTGAGACGCGACCTTATCCTAAGCCTGACCCGCGAACTCCAAGGGTAGACGGAGAATATCCTATTCTGAATATTCGAATTGTCAATGGCGGAGGTTCAGTCATTGATGAAGGTTTGTCTCCTCATGCGAGTGCAAGTGGTATGTTGTCAGCTTCAGCGATGAAGACGAAAGAGAATCCTAAAGAAGAGATGCGAATGAAAAAAGAGCAAGAGCGAGCAGCGTCTCCAAAAACAGTATTCTTTGTGGACCCGAATAAAGCAAAGTCGACAGAAGATTCTCCAGCTGGAGGTGTTAATAGGTCACAGCAGAGTGGTGGAGCGACGGCTACGACAAAAAACAATTCGAAAGAGACACCGTCAAGTACAGCGATACCAGGTAGCCGGCCACAGACTGCGCACGGAAGGCTGCAGCAGCCGCAGGCCCCCCGCAAGAAGCCACCACGCAAGAAGCGCGAAAATGTTTTCAGTACCGAGACGGACACGGGACGTAGCCTCGACAATTTGGAGCGCTACTCTACAGGAGAACGACGCACGCTCTGTGTAGATATGGAGGCACAGCGGTGTCGTCTGCGCCGCTTGGCACTCGATCCTTGGTGGCCGAGCGAGGACGACAAGTTCAACAAGCAGATGCTCATGGACACCCTGGGAGATATGAAAAGTGAGGACGGGGACAAGAACAAGAAGCCGGATCGCACTGGTATGGATTCAGATCGGCCCACCGGCTTTCTGCTAGCCAAATTAGGGAGTGCAATCGATGCCAATTTTACGGGTGTAGACCCCGACGGCGTAAAAAATGGAGAAAAAGACATTCAAGGAAAAGAAGAAGATCGCGCAAAGGCAGCCGCAACAGCTCGTACGACTCCAAAAAACGGGCGACCACGCAGCGCTGGAGGAGAATCATCTCAGCAGGCGTCGCCCTCAGCAGCTTCATGATCAGCGCCATAGCAAGACTGAAGCCTAATTATATTCCATTCTGTGTCTCCTTCTCCAGTAACCCTGGTGAGCTATAAGGCCGAGAATTATATCTGTATCATGCAGGGTGATAAAAGAAAATTGTTTGGCGAGCTTTTCGACCATGTGCACACGATGCGAGGCCTAAAGGGGTATCCCGTGTTCAGATTGCCAAGGGAAAAAGGAGGCGTAGGTGCTGATGAAGGAACAGAGCCTATCCATGGGGGGGATACGGTAGACCACGAGACGTCGTGCCACGAGCCATCGAGAAGACCAGGTCTGTGAGTTGGAAATCTATCTATCAAGAAATATAGCGGACAACACAAAAAGAAAAACTAAAAGCCTTGTGAGAACAACCAGTTATAATATCAAGAGTTGGAAAAATAGACATCCAACAGTGGATGACCGTGCGAGTCGAAGGCTCAACTCCATTTACACACAACCTACAACTACCACACAACAACTTAAGCAACTTTTTATCAGCCTCTCTCTTCATGAATGACAAGAAGGGACACTGATGATGTGAACATGGTGAATTACAAGTACAACATGCATCGTATTTGATAAGCCAGTTGGCTTAGTGGTTTAGGCGTTGGCCTGTTCACTTATCAATCAAACTACCGGGGTGGGTTCGGCCGCCTTTCTTGCGATCTCTGTCGCTAGGCACCCCCTGCCGTAGCTAGGTGGGTCACCGCCTTGCATTTGCGGCCGGTATCACTAGGCTGCCAGGTTCATTGGGGACTGGGCTTCCGCCATTCTCGCGATCTCAGTGGCCAGGCTCCCCCCTTCTTGGGTGGGACCGGTCAAGTTTGCCGATGTCGGGCTCGTCGGTGGCTGCGTCTTACAGACTTGGCTCATTCTGTGGCGGGTGTGTGCACTGGAGCGCGCTCAATCAGACGCCTCCCACCCTTTGGCCTCGATGCGTATTTTGGGCTCTGTCACTTTTTTTGATATTACCGGGACTCGAACCCTAGGTAGTTTGATTGATAAGTGAACAGGCCAACGCCTAAACCACTAAGCTAACTGCGCAGTTGGCTTAGTGGTTTAGGCGTTGGCCTGTTCACTTATCAGTTTTGATCACGACTAGAAGCCACTACATGAAAATGATCCACGACTAAATACCAGTTTAGGGCAACGCTACCTCCCAAGAAATTTTCCTATTACCATCCTTCTCACTTATGGATACTGAACCTCTAATTGATTTCTTTATGTCTGCTTTCATGTTACTGATCTACTTCGAAGTTTGATCATCAAGAAATAAACTAGGGAATTTATCTTGTCAAAAATGTCAAATATAAACCATCTCTCTTTCAGAACGAGACGCGGAGATTTCTGAAAACTTTGTATCAACGTGTGGTGACGCGGACGCTGATCGAGACCGCACCGAAGGTGAGCGCGAAACTTGAAAAGGATATCGCGTCCGAAAAACGAGAGTTACGACCGGAGGTTTTCAAAATTTTATCAACATCCGACTAACCTCACTTTGTTAGTTAGTTTAAGTGATACCTTCGTTCCGGAGTCGTGCATCTATTCATTGGAGTTATTTGTTAACACACTCACGCTGAGAACGACAAGACTCGTCTGTGCTGTAGTGCAACTTGAAGCTTTTGTTCTAAGATTTGAGGCGCAACTTCGGCATGCTGGCAGCAAGGATTTCAGAGGGGGTGGCCTGGCTCCCATTCCGGAATCCGCATCATCCTCAGCCACCAAGGGCAACAGCACTCGCGGCATAGGTCGCGGGGCCACACCTACGTCGTCGGCCACGGGCAGCTTACAGCTTTATAAACCAGCGACAAAGGAGCTTGAGGCGCACCTTGAAGCACGGATGGCTCAACGGACAGGAACATCCAGTTGCGCATCTAGCGTTGCGAGCTCTCGTCGAGGCACACCAGCGACGCAGCCGCCTGGAAGAGTCAAAAAGCCATCCGATATTCTCCGCTCAACGAACAAATTGTTCTTGCACTACGCAAAAATTTCTGCGCTTCGCCATATCGAATAAGACTAAATCCTTGCTACCTTAATTACCTACTCGTTCCTGTACTTAATCGATACTAGTAATTTGCGCTTCTCTGCCTTGCTTTGTTTATCTGGTGCAACGGTAAGCAATGCTCGAATATGATTTGGACTTCAATTTGAAGTCTTCAGATGATAGAAAGATGATCTTGGTGCATCAATCTTCTTCCTGTATTGAATTTGAGAAAAAAAGGTCTGATGTTTGTACAGTACATTGACATGCACAGGTGGGAGTTCAAGAACAAGAAGTGTTTGTGTTTGTGCATCTGCCTATTCTCCAGAAAAAGGACTATCATGTACTTACATTGAATATGAATTTATTTATGGATTCTACATCTACATCTAGCCCTAGCTCTGGGTTTTGGAAATAGCTTTTGCGTGTTGTCATGTAATGTCTTGGTGATGGGGCTCCAAGTTACCACTTAATATCTTGTTATAAAACTAAACTCCTTGTGCTCCTCCGCAAGACGAGCCGAGGGTGTTAGTTGAACTATTTAGCTATAATTTTACGTCTGTCAACACAGCTAGAAGTTAGCGGGTCTGAAATCTGCCTCTGTCGGTTTGTTTCGTTTTGGTTCATTGTGATTTCATTCTGAAATTAAATCATCCACCTCGGTCTGTCATTCTCTCCAAAATGGTGCTCGGTCTATTCAATCTCATGTATACCAGAAAGTTCTGAGGAGCTTCAACTATGCAATTTTTTCTCTATTCGCGTGATCGATAGTCTGGGTTAGAAAGTGCATGTCATCCAGCTATACGATAAAGAAAGATGTACAGAGAAGGTAAAACTGAGAAAAGTGATCACTCAGTCACTAACACTAGTTAGTCGTGTTTTTCAATGTTGTCCAAGGACTCCTCTCTGTAGCCAGCCCCTTCCCCACTGAGATAGAAGAATAGGAGAGTTTCCTCATTCTCCCTGTTAATGTTCGTTTTTTGGACTAGGTTCGGCGTATTGACATTCATTGTTTCTTCTCGCTCAGGAGATCTAGTAGATATTTGATTTAGTGACCTCCTGGTTCATCAATTGAATATGATGAGAAATATTTCAATTTTATCAGTACTTTCGTGTTCCGAGGAGGAGCAGACTCTTCGGTTTCCACTCTCTCTTCTTGACAGCATCGGGCTCGGGTCGTTTGATCGTTATATATAGTTTCGTTTTCGAGTGCAGGAGTGAGGAACACGGGACGTCGAGACTAGGAGAAGATGAGAACGAAGAAGTTTGGAAATGTCTCTGAAACTTGAACTTTCTCTCGTTGTCGGTCTGAAATCGTAAAATAGGCTTGCGTTTCCAAACAAAACAAGCACTGGATAATTATCGACGAAAATACCGGGGAGTGCATAAGAAAAATGAAAAGTCAACGAACAAGTACTCAAGGCAAGAGCGCATCTGCTTGATTTTGTTCTACTAGTCAAAAAAAAATCAGATTGGATACGTCTACATTTCAAGGTAAAAATCTTGACTTATAGGTAATTGTATCTTTGTGGAGAAACAAGAAAATGCCATCGGCGGATTCAAACGCCGAGGCCCTGCTCAAAGCAGCAGGTCCCGGTGTGTCCAAGCATATGAAGGATCTTCTGAAGAAGATTGCAACGACAGAAAATGCTGAAAAAGCGTACTTTCCTAACTACTTATCTACTTTTACTTTGTTGTTGTATTTTTTCCGCATCGGCTCACCAACACAAACACTGATCGAGCCTTACTTTGTCCTAATGCTCATCAGGTTAAACCAAGACGCACTTACTTTAATCTATGTTGAACCTCCCTTAATATTTATATGTATACTACAATATACGTGAAAGAAAACATTCAGGTTTCATGCTTTGGAGGTGTATTCACGCAACCTGAAGTCGGCGCCAGCAAAACCAAAGAGTTGCTTTGACCATCCGTTGACAGAAAACGAGATTGAGATGAAGAAGACGAAGACGGAAATAGTAAAGAAAATTGCAACCGACCCAAAAGACGAGGAGGGCAATCTACTCCGTACTTTGTTTAATAGAGCAATAAAGAGTAAAAACGAGTTGTGTCGACGATGCTATAGTACATTCAAATTCAAAATTTAGACTTAGAGAAAATTTTTTGATTGTACCATGAGCAGACGGAAAGATAGATTGTCTATCGTTGTTGAAACAACCATTCATTGTGCATTTCTCCATACTTCTTCTTTAGCAATTTGCGCACTTCCGAACTTCTGCGAAGAGAATGATCTGCTCAACTGGGCCGGTGTAGGATTTGGTAGTGGAAAAGCGAACTCAGTTATGAACTCATTGAGGCATTTCGCTGCAACAACAGAAGGATTGAAGAAGGTACGAGTTGTACAACTGTACTCAATGTTGATGAAAACAATAATGAAGTGGGCCGCCATTGCTATTGCAGCAGCTCGTCACATCAAACGAAAAGCTTTCGACCAATCTTAGACATAGACGCCTGTACTACTACTCATGGAAATAGATCTATCCAACTTACTAGGGGAAGTGCACTCATTTATTTACTAGAATAAGTGTCTTGTACTCTGAAGGCCTACATGATTACTAGGTTCGATTTTGGGGTAAGATTTGTGGCTCAGAGGCGGACTACTACGTAGCGGAGGGTCAGCTAGAGGCTGCAGGAGAGGAGGACCCAGAAAATCCGATGTTTGAGCCTTTGGGAACTGGAGCAAATACATTCGCATACTGGGTATAGAAGTTATTCATCTCTCTACTGTAGTACTCTGATTTATTAAAAAAATATTTTCTTGTTTCCCCGCTTGAAATTTAGTATGATGTTTCGTCTTGACTATCACGACTATGCATGTGGTTTTCATTTAATATCCACAAAAATTTGTTCCCGTTGTAGGTGACAAACAGTATAACAACGCCATCATGGGTGCGCCTTCCAGACGTGACGCCATCTGCAATTGTTGCCGCTCGGTCTTTGAAGAAAGTATTTTCGGGAAACTTGGAGGCAAAAGTTGTCTGTATGACCAGGAACATGATCATGCATGTAATGATGGGTCAATCATCTTTCATCTACTAGTTGTAGGTAGTTGTACACTCACCTGACTGCGTTGAATCGACATGTACAAGGTGAGAATGGAATCCACACTATGTAGACGAGCGTCTTCTGGATTATCGTGAACAATGTAGACGTAACTTTGTTACCCACTTCTATCCCCGGCCCTGTTTCATATCTGCCATGCCCTTTTTCGGCGAGCCAGAAAAAGTCCTCCTAAGAGCGCAGATCGCACGAATCACAGCGGAAACAGTGCTCAACGTCCAGGGCTACCTAAGTGTCAGCGAAGATGACGGCTCAATCGCAGAGACTGAGGAGTTCGTCTTTCCCTCACAAGACGTGCTCAAACAGCACAGCGGATGGATGCATTGTGCTACACAGAAGATTTAGTTATTTAATGTTGTGGGACTGGAATTTTTACCTTTACCGGCTTTTCAGTATGATCACCAAAAACATAATCTTTATATTTGCATTCCCCGCACGGCGCACCTGCGGATTATTTTTTTTGCTACACCTCGAAGACGAAGATGTGGTAAAAAGGAGCTTCGAAATTCGGAAACTGAATCTCCTCCTCCATCACTTTCATAGGCGTGCCGCACATCTTGAAGACAGGGCGATGTTCCTATTTGGAGATCGATGCGGAAGCGGAGCCAGAAGCCTACGAAGCACAGGAATTGAAGAAATTGCGAGATCCCATGCAGGATCAGCTTAGAGGAATTAATACGAGAGACTGGGCGATCCGAGCGCACGCTGGCGCGGCGCTCTCAGTCCGAAGTCTCAAATATCCAGGAGCTGTCTGCGTCACCAAAGGCTCAGCCTTCTGCAACGTGTACCACGACCTAAGTAGCTTCAGATGATAAAATGTTTGTGAGTCTGCTATGTATAATATTAATGAAATTTCTGAATTGTTGATCATGGATCGGGATGTCGTTATCAAAAATACCAAGAATCAAGGTAGTTCGTTTGTCACGTACTTACCTCACCTTTAAACCTTCTCGTCCCAGGTATGTTGGATATGGTTTGAAGCGGGGGCAGGACTTTTTCTACTGTGCACCTCCAGACGTGCAGGACGAGCCAGCAGATGTTCCGGAATGCGCGGAGCCAACGCCCGCTGATGGCCCGCCCGCTCCGCCTGCTGAGGAGTAATTGTTGGTTACTACCAGCAGCGTCGATGGGTTAAATAGTAGAGAATGGGTGGCCGATTCCACCTTGGTGTATCTGATAGTAGATTCTTACCGCTCATTTGTGCTATATCATCAACTTCACCGAAAGACAACGAACCACGAAGGAAGACGCTGGTGGTAAACCTGCTTCTCTGAAAAATAGACGAGATACCATGTTTTACAAGAAGGTCGAGATATACATCTGAAAGCTTATATACGGTTGCAGTCGTTCAAAAATGAGTCGTAATCAACTGGCTGTAGATTGAATCATCCAGTATATAGAATATGAATTTGCTTCGTCTCTAAATGTTAATGGAAAAACCGCTTAATTTTTGTCATGATTCTGGAATTTGTTAATGCGCTCTTTTGTCATCCACAGAAATTAGAAGACATTCTACAGTAGAGAATCAAGATGAAAAACAAAATGTACGAGCAAATCGAAAGCTGCAAGAAATATACCCTTGGGGCCAACCGCGATCCACCGTCCGCAAGTGTAAGCCCAGCCGCTACAGGAGAAAAGCAGTCGGCCGAGAACCGACTGTGACGGTGCCCTTTTCGGAAGACAAAGCGAGGCTCTTGCCAAGTGAGTGGGCATCGATCCTGCGTGCACGATGTACATCAGAAGGAAGCGAGCGTACTCCAAGGTCTCTGTGGAAGCACTCCAGCGATCGGTTTGCATTTTCAAGTTCTCTGATAGTCCCGGTTTCTTCCGATGACGTTGCTGTTTGCCAGTCCCATTTCTTCTGTCGCTCTCATCGGTCAGCACCCCATAGCATAACTCGCTCCATCTCCTCCACAGCAGTGAAAGATGTTTCTGGCACGTGACGCGAATTCAATACGTATCAAAAATGATATTTTGCTTTCAATATATTCGCCAGCCCGGGTACTTGTAATGTGCAAGATAAATAACAACGAGACTCAAAAAGGGTTCAAGGAAAAAAAACCTAAGCTGCCCAGCAACCTTTTGAAGGGAAAAAGGAGCCTGTATTCTTCATCTGGTGAGTATGGCTCCCTACAGGTAAGGGCAGTACCTTCAAAATGTCGCTTCCGCGACGAAATGCCTCTGCATCCTCAGGCCGGGGGGCTATGCGTGGTGGTCTTCATGTCATGAGTGAGACTTTGAGGGCGAAGATGCTTGTGCCGAAGGCAGTGCCTCTCTCGTTGGGAAGCGTGCTGCATCAGCCACCACCGCGAATAGTCGGGCCAAGTCACGACCAACAGACAACAAATCTTCATGTTGCAACGAATGAACAAGAAACCAGTGGAGCCACTTCGCAGCATTTTTTGTACCGTTCTAATCATCGGCCAGCGGCAAGCAGTAGATCACCTTTTAAGCAGGCGAGTACTCGGCGCGGAGGGCCTATTAGGGCAACAGCTTCGGCAGTCCCACGGTTTACGTCCTCTGGGGTGAAGTCTCCAGGTTCATCTTCAAAGAAGACGATCACTGGTTTAGTCGCCAGACCAGGTTTGAGTGCGACGCGAACTCCGATTTCGTGTAGCACCTCTTGCTCTTCTCTTGCGCAACCGAAGCAAAACATGATGAACAAGACGGTGCCACCTCCATCTATTCAAGGCGCCATGCGTGTCGACTCGCAGAACAACATCGTATTTGAGGAAGACGATTATCGTATTCGTCCTAATTATAGGCAGTCCAGTGTCAAAACGATGAACATGAACGACAGTTTTGCAGCGAAAACGCGCAGAGAAGTGTTGAGTGCTGTGATGAACGCTCCAGCCTGGACGACGACCTCAAAGACGAAACTAGTGGCAGACGGTGGCTCTTTCGCTGCAGCGATAGGGCGCACGGACGACGAAGAACACGGTACTAAAGATGGTATTGAGCAGGCAAGGACTGAAGATGATCTTCGAGTTAGAAGGAAGTCCACGCCCATCTCGGCAAGTAAATCATGTAGTGTCCGAGAACAACGCGAAGCAGAGCATCAAGGTGAAGATGAAAGAGATGGTCCTACAACAGGGGAAGGAGTCAAAAGTGTCGGTCCGCGATTGCGATTAGAGTTGAGCGATCTCGGATTGACTCGTGAGAGCTCTAGCACTGTCATTTCCCGACCTGCTTCGGCATCCTCTAAACGGGGATTGCGCTCGCTGGATCACGCTGCTGCAGCCAGTGCAGGAGAGGCTTTAACGTACAACGAAGGCGGATTATGCTGGGCGCGTCATCAAGTAGGAGATGTTACACTAGGAAACAATGGTGCAGCAGAACAAACAACAGCAACGACGGTTGGTGGCGCGACCGTGGTTCGTGGAATTGCTGTCCCCGCTGCTGGAAAAAGCGATACCGAGACGGAGGCCTTTCACGACAGCGAGGCACTCGACCCACTCCCCTTTGTGGACAAGGTTGTTGTTGAAGATTTCTCGGCATCTTCAGGTGCTAAAGGGTTGGTGCTCACGACGTGGCCTGCAGATCAAACGGCGACACTGATTCAAGAAGAGACTATGTTGGCACAGCGAAATGCTCCGAAAGAGCTAGACGGCATGCTTATGGTTGAGGACAAGATCACTGGACGCACTAGCACTCAAGCCACCTCGACGAGCAATGTAGTCAGCGTGCAACCTGTCACGTGTCACACGCAGCGCATAGGTGCGGCAACGCATCATCGGTACGCGCTATACGAAACGGAGCCGAACCCGAAGGACCCAGTGCAGCGTGCGCGACCAGGCTCGGCGCCGCCTAGTAGGTCGGCAGCCGCCTCGGCATCGCAAAGTTTGCTCGTCAATCCGGAGGGGGAAGTTCCAGTGCCGGATGACGATGGTATCAAAACACAAGCCAGGGGCGATCAGGTCCTGGGTCGAGCAGAGCAAGAGTTTGCACCTGCGACTGTCTCTGGCGTGTCCGGACAGAACACGTCACGGCCGCGCAGCGCATGTGACCCGCTGAGGAATGCGTCGCGCCAACAAGCCCGACCTTTGAGCGCTTTAGTCGGAGGTTCTACTTCGGACAGTCATACCACAGCACACGTGGTGCTGCCGACTACACGGTTGCGCGATCGAGCGATGGAACAGCACATTGCGGATGTTAAGAGGGCATCAGCAGGCAGCGCGTCCTCCACGCCTTTTGTGCATGGGAGAGGACCGGCGGGAGCAAAGTACGTAGTTTTAGGTCCCATGACGGAGAAAGCGAATTTCTACGGTGCAAGGCCCAACAGTGCAAAGTCCCTGTCCTGCGCCGATCGGGTGCGGCCGCAGCAGGGACCGAACATGCCACTTTCGGCATTTAGGATTCCGACAATGGAGGCCGCTTTTTCATCCAAGAACCGGCGGCGTGCGCGGCCCAATAGCGCGCATGCTGCAATGTCTTCCCGAGGAAAGCCGCCTGTGCCAAGTGCAAAGTGGAGCTTGCGGACGCTTACAGGAGCAGGACGTGATATCAGGCGGCTGCCGCAGCATCGACTCCCCAGTGCGCCACCCGTGGGACACCTCACTTCCACTTTGAGCCTGGAGGATCCTACCGTGTCCATAGACGCCGCTGGGGCAGACGGTGCTTGCATGGCCACTACGAATCGCCAAGATTTTAGTAACTTTTTCCATCCTGCTCACCAAACACTGAGCAGAGTTGGGGAATCCTCGCGGGACAGCGACTGTCTCTTTGTCATTGATCGTCGGCTGGCGTCTAGTGACGCATATTCAGACCTTGTAGCGGATGAAATCGTCACAGTTCCAGCATCATCTAAAGATCCGACTCCAAATGACGAGGAAGACGTAAAACAAAAACCCAGGCCGGCTCGAGTAGATGTACAAGAAACTAGGCCAAATGATGTTGATTCTCAGAGACAGGCACGGCAGCCGCGTTCGCTCGAGATCACTCGCGGATCGATCGAGCGGCACATGAATCTGATGATTGACGACCAAACTCCTGCGGAAGCAGAAACAGAAACATGCCTAGTGCCTGCGCCTGACTCGCCGTTCGTAAATGAGCAAGCGTTGCATCCTCAGCAAGGAGAGGCTGTCGCAGGTGATGGCAATTCAGTCGTGGATGCGGTCGCACTTGCGTCGGGTGATGGCGAAGGCGATGGCAGCAGCGCAGTTCCGGCTGAATCCGTTCCAGTAAACATACAAGTAGAAGCAAGCGCAGAACCAGAAAGAGCTTCATCAGCAGCGAGGAGTCAAGAAGCTCAAGTTGCAGCTTCTGAACATCATGTACAACTAGCTACCGGGATTAGAGCCAGCAAGTTCGCAACCAAGAAGATGATAATCAAGAACGCAGCGCGCCTGCTTTCCACGGTGCGCGCCAATGCTGCTGAACAAGAAGAGGCTGCTAGAGTCGCGCAGCAGGTTTCTGCCGAGAATAGAAGAAAGGCAAGAGGCTATCAAAATCAATTCGGCGCGTCGTCCTCATGCGGGTGGGGCTCTCGACCAACGAGCCGTGGCAACGTAAAGCAGCGAGGGCAGCAACGTGCAATGCCATTCGGCGAGCTGGATATCGTACCCTCCGGACGCTCTGGCAACATCGTAGAGGAGTATCTACAAATAGTCAGTGGGAAAGGAAATGAGAACACCGAGTACGTGCTGTTAGATGACGTCGCAAACGTCAAGGGCGTGGGAGAAACCAGTAGTACTAGTTCGAGCTGGAATATACACGGGCATGTAGTGCACAACAAAGGGACAGTACAACCACGAGCAATCGCGTCGAATGGAGGAAAAGATACAGATAGAATAGTGGATCACGGGAGCGATCTCGCAGGGGACAGAATAGATCAAATCAGCATGGGGACGAGGACAAAACGGGGAGAAGTGACCGACCAGTTGGAACAGACCGGCACCGGAGATGGATCAAGCCAAGTGCAATGCTTTAATGCCGAGGATGACCTTACCGCTTGCACTAAACAAGAGGATAGTTCGCCTCCAAAGATGGCGATACGACAGGCTGCTTTTGAAATGTGGGAACGGACGATGATCGACTCGAAGCCCGGATGGGAGAAGGTGGGAGAAAACGCGCCATTGGCTTCTGTAGTCGGGATGAAAGGAGGTCGCCCGCATTCCGCTGCGCAAATCCTGCATCGAAAGCGTCCCAGCAGCGCTACTCGAAGCGGCGAATTCACTGCTCTTGAAGTGCAGAGGAGCCAACAACGAGGATCTGTTGCGGGAGAAGTTGGAGAGGCAGCAGTTGAGCTGGAAATACAACAACGTGACGAAAATCAACCACAACAAGAACAACTGGTGGTGGCGGCGGCGGCGTTTCCTTCAGCAGCGACACTTTCCGTCTTGCCAGATGTGGGCTTGCAGCTCGAGGAAACGCCAAAAAAGGCACCTCGAGGAACGCATCGGCCCCAGAGCGGAACCGCGATGAGTACATTTCGTCGAGGCCTCATGCGGAAAATAGACGCAGCTTCTGCCACGCTCGACAACATGCGGGATCAGGACGCTGCCCGTCTTCAGGAGCCAGGACTTGTGTCCGGACTGACTGGTGTCCGAATTCAACGTCAAGGAGAACAGCAAAATATTCACGAAGAAGAAAAGATGAAAGGTCTAGGCGCGGTTGAGGGAGCTGCAAAACCATCTTCGAACCAGAACACTAAGGTTCACTATATCTACAGCACTCCCGTCAAAACCGCAACTGCGTCGGGAGTAGAAGAGCCGAATACATCTGATTGTGCTCCTGATACTGACAAGGAGGGTACGGTTACGGACCCAGATGTAGTACCTGAAAACTTCCAAACTCCCATGCGTGCTGGCGCTTCATCTGCAACACGAGGCACTCCGGGATCTACGCCTTCTCCTATCAAGAAGCGAAAGGTGATGAAAGAGATCGTGAAAGTGAAGCCACGAAATATCAACTTCACACAAGGCTCCATCCGGACTCGTTTTCACGATGGCCGTTCGATTTACCAGACACTCAACGAGTTGGATCGCGGTGTGACGAGCGTAGGAGACATCCCGAAAATCTGGGTGATTAGGAACGAACGCGATGGCAGCCTCTGGTCTCTGAATAACCGACGTTTGTTCACTTTCAAGCAATTTTGCCCAGACCAGGAAATCGAAATTTGTCTGCTCCAGGACCCGGCGTATTGCGTGGGATTCACCAACCCGGTGACAGGAAAAGGTACGTGCAGTGATTCTGATCGAAGACATGAAGGAGCGGGATTACTTATTCTGCGTAGATTGAAATGGAACCTCAAAAACGTGCTCGCTTTTTCAAGATAGCCTCAGGCTCAGCATCTATGTATAGTTGTGTTTGCTCATGGATTATGATTGTCGTTGCACCATTTTTATCCGCTTCCTCCATGATTTTTCACGTCACATATCAGGTGTCGAGCTCGTCTCGCCTCGTTGCTACTGGACCACGCTTTCTAAGGATCTTTACCACGCGGCGGATTTCCCGTCTCATCCTGTAGTGGACAAAAAATACCGTCGCTCAGTTTCGGCTCCGACTGTTCCACGCGGAAAACCCGAGCCCGCAGCTCGCAACACTCGCCGGAGTAGTGTGAATGAGGCGGAACGGAAAGTGATCCCTATGGCTGAATTACATCGGGCCTTCAATATGCACCGGGTAAAGAGTCCGAAGAAATTGACGAAGCCAGTAAAACCCGCTTTGTCCTCGTGCTTACAACCACTCACGAGCGAGGAGGAGCGTGAATTAGCGGACTCGGTTCGCGAAATTCGGTCCAGCAGCGCCTCCTGCGCCGAAGACGAAAGTGCGGCTGAAGTACAACCGGCTGAGAACCACGAACAAGATACGATACAAACTGATCCGGAAGCGGACAAACATATCATTTCCGTCAAGAACGAGTGCACCTACGACGAGATGCCGGATTGGCTCAAGCCGAAAGCAGTCGTAAAGGTAGCGCCTCCGTCATTGGCTGAAGTGGGTGCGGGCTTGTCCGCTCTCGCCAATTTTGACACCTCGGTAGTAGCGCAGCATGTGCGCAAGTTCCCCCTCGTCGCGAAGGCGTTCTACTTGAAGCACGGACAGATTAGCAGTGTTTCGTCTCTCGCGTCAAAGGTCGGAGGAGGTTACTCGTCTAGCGACGAACAGACGACGACCAGCGCTGCACCAGGAGCGCTGTTACGAATTCTGACGGCCCTCGAAAAACATGGCAAAAAAGGTGTGCCGGCTGGTTTACTTCAATGAAGAAATTGAAATACTTAGTAGTCTACATCCTCATATTGTATTCTCATTCTCTCATGACCTAACTTCATCCTCCTCAACAATTCCACATAAAACTCTCAACCTTAGAAGGTACAACAACATTAAAACAACAACAACAGCAACAGCCTCAAAATCACCTCCTACAACAGGAACATTTGAAGACATCGCCCACCGCCTACTCTCTCAGAGACTAGATTGATGTCCTTTCTACACTCTTATTCCACCGAAATACTGATCTTAGAAAGTCCTAGGTTCATCTTATACTTAGTAGTTGCTTAGCTTCTATAATCATTTATTTTTCATCAACATCATCCAGTGTTGTTGAGTTATCCTGTTGACATGTCATTCCACTAGTATGCTAAAACAAATATTTGGGAATATAGATTATCGTACAACTGTCATTGTATTGCAGCTACATCTTGTATTCACTTATAAATCGAAAATGTACCATACTGTTCTTTGATAGACATCTTATCTGGGTGGATTTTGGTGAATTGTTGTCAAACTCTGGGGTGTGTTGTTCTTGTTCCTATCTAAGACGCTTGGTTCAGATTATCTATCAGCATCGGCGCGTATCTCGAAAACTAGTATAATAGAAAAACGTGCAAGAATCAATCAACATATCATGACATGTTATTTAAACGCAGTGCTTCTTATTAGAAACCTTTTCTTTCTTTTCACGTATATCTCTGCATATAATCGTGCACATTTACAACCAACAGCTTATCGATTGCGGCTTCAAATTCTTGTTTCCATGTACATAGACGTTGGTATAAAAATTCGTTAGTGAGGACTGTGTGGCCATATCGAAACAGTTCATCTGTACCAGGAAACGTTGATCGACAAACCACAACTCACCAACGTTGCTGTGGAGGAGGCTGAACAAGAACGCAAGAGCTGGCGTGCTTCTCGTCTGGCATGCTCGATTGCTGTCCGTCTCGTACTCTATCGTTCTCGCAAGCATGAGTTAACTCAGGATGGATGCTTTTCTGCTCGTTTACTTTGCGCTACCTTACTCGCGTTTTTACCTCCTCTGCTGCAAGAAAACGGTAATGATATGTTCGTCCCTGTCGTCGGGTCTCGCAAGTAGGATCCTCGATCCGTCGAATGCAATAGTCGAGCCGAAGCCCACATATCATCATCGTTTGTTTAGTGGAAGCACATGAGATGAATAGCACCATAGAAATCTAACGTTCTTGACTTTTGGTGCAGGGGCTTCGGTTCATATTTTTCTGTTCGGTTTTCTATCTCTAGCTACACAGGACTACTAGGTCCTCTACGGGTCATTTGGGGTGGCGGTTACACCTCTTCGGATAGCTATCTAAGTACGAAGTCTGCGCTTAGCTGCCATCCTAGCGCTCGTGACTCACATCACGAGCAGGCAGTAGAACAAGGGGAAAGACAAACCACCGCGAGGAAACGCAACACTTCTCGACACACTTCTCGATTTGGTATTAAGAGATTACGTAAACCAAGATGCCAGAGCAGAGGGGCAGCAGCGCGGGCAGCAATTCGATGGTGGATCTGCTGGCCACGATTGATAGCGCAAATGCCACACTGGATTCAGTCCCGCTACGTCGACAACTCGCACGATCTGCCAGCTGTCGAGGCGTCGAGGGTCTACCCAAATCCGAAGACTTCCAGTTGCCAAAGTATCTTCATCATATCTGACTAAGATTAATGAGGTCAATATCATTCTCGTTATCAGCGTTTTTCTTCTCTTCTACGTTCATTGACTCCTCTCTTAGAAGTTTTACAAGTCGACTCTTCTTGTATTGTTGTTTCACAGGTTTGTCGAGGTAGACCGACAAAGAGTGGCGGATCTCGTGAAAGAGTCGCAGGGAGTGAAAAGAGGACTATGCGCGGACCCAGGAGGACGCGAATTCATGACTCCACAGTACTACAATTTGGTCCCAACTACAAGTCTTCAGTGTTTACTCATATTTTCCGATCACGAATGCATGATCACGATGATGATGCTGGTGATAACGCAAAAACAGATACTTCGGAGATGCTCGCTTCATATTCTTTGAAAGCGTATTAAATTCTGAAATTCTAGGAGAAACAAAAAGTTTCGATGAAGATGATCATGCGCGGCAGTCAAATCGAATTCGAACATTTTTCTGGACTTTCAGGTACCTAAAACCGAAGATGTTGAACTCATGGCAATTATCACGCGCCATCATGCCACCGAGGAGTTACAAGCAGTGGCGCGGACCTGTGCAAGACGGCAGAGAACTCTACAGATGGCATGCACAATCATGTGGTAAAGAATATACCATAGATATACCAAATTGGAAAAGGTCATGGCTATTGAAAGAGTATGGCTCCGTGTACGTCGTTGAAATCAATCATCCTGCTTATCGAGAGTTGTCAAATTGAAAGTGATCATTTTGATGACAGAGCATCAGCATTTACTGAAGGAGGTCCCAGTACGATGAATGATGCATGACGATGACTACAGAAAGAATGTTACGCTTACGTAGCACCTACCGCATTTCCTTATTCATATTCTCTATTTCAGACATTGCCTTACCGGATCCAACGAAGATGGGAGAACAGCACATTAAGTGGATGGTGGGCCACGAACGTCAGCGGGAAAAGCACCTTTATCCCATCTACTACCACCGCCAAAAAATTCGCCAATACTGGAAAACGAAGGAAAACAATGCGGCGGACCTTGCAGAAAATTATGGAACGAGAAAGAAGAATTTGATATGTGTATCGTGCTGTCCGTGGTGACTTTGTTTCAATGTACCCTTTCACACTGTGAATGTGCGCTCATGATTCTTTGGAAGCAATAGATGATTCTTTAGAGCATCTCCATCTTATTGTTATAGATTCTAAACTGCGGAGGCTCTCGCTAAGCTGGATGGAAAGACGTTGACAGCGGCAGACTATAGCAAGCCGATGGGACCGCCACCGGACGCGCCCGAGATCGGTCCGCCGGCCATCAACATCAGTCCACCTCTGTTCAAATACACGGAGAAAGTAGGTCGCTCGCTGTGGTTGAAATACCCAACGGATTTGTTCGAGGAACTGCGAACAATGAAAACGGACTACCTAGACGACGCCAAAGCGAAAATCAAACGCATAGACGCAGACAAAGCGGAGAGAGCCAGGAGAGCAAAATTTGCTGCAGAATCCGCATTGACTGTCTGAAGATCCGGATTCTTGTAGTACAAAGAGTTGGTTACGCTTCTTACATGGTTCAAATAGTTCATCAAAACAATGCAAAATGGTTTCCTAAAAGTGCTAAGATCAACACTCGGTTGCATGCTGTTGGGTCAAAGTAATTAAAGAGGATCCACCCGCCGAAACTGCCGCAGATCTCACCTCAATTAGCTCCTCCACGTGACGCTGCTCAACCTGTACATCCACTTCAAGAATAGGGTTAGTAATGAAGCACGTAATTATTATTCTTGTTGGGATTATAGCTCGTAGTGCGTCTCGTTGTGGACAACAATTCAATTTGAAACAAATATCGAATATTACTTTTTTCTAGTAAATTTTCTCATCATATTAAACAAAGTCATAGCAGAGCCGCATACTTCTACTTCTAAATTAGCAAGTTGGTCGTTGATTTCGAGATGGATCAAGTAAGATCATCTTCTGTAACAGAACCTGAAATGGTTGGTAACTAGCTTCTTCTGTTCAAAAATACCATTGGAATCGCTTCTCGTTTATTACACTTGCTGGGTCTCTCGTCTACCTTTATGTCATTTACTATTCGTCACGTGAAAGTGAACCGATGCACACGCGAGGCGAGGTGAGGGAGCCCGTACAAGTGCTTGTATTATGACATGTGTAACGCGGATAGGGTGAACATTTTCTCGGGGTCCAGGACTAGAGATTTAGAACAGAAGCAACATGCAAGTTACAGACACGCATTGCCGCTTCTGATTGCTGTTCGCAGAATAAAGCACGGATATCTAAGTAAAAACCAGATTCACATCCCATGTCGCGAGCAGTTCTTAGTTATCCGAGTGTCACGATGAGTGTCAGTGTGGACGAGATCGGCGAGAGGAAATAGTCTTTTATCAAAATCCCTTTTGCAGAGGGGATTGAAAAAAAAAGATGGAAGGACCACGTCAGCGTTCAGCGGGTGCTTCATATCGTCGCCTGCTACGCAGAATTGGGAGAAGAAAAAGGCGCATGAGGGCTGCTTGCCCAACAGGCGTCAGAGTATCAGATGACTGGTTGACGTTTTTCCGGAGACGACTACTTGATATATTAAAGGGTTACCGGTTTTGCACGTCAATGTGTGCCTCGTCAAACCGGCAAGGTACAACACATCATCTGGATAAAAAAAAAATGTTTCTAGGATGGTCAATAGCTGCGGCTGTGCTGCTACTTTTCAACGACTATAGATCAAAATTTCTAGATGTTAACACCTTCCGTACTAGCGACGACGACGAAGTAGAACAAGCTGATCTCTCATCTGCCGTCAGGGTTGCAGGGATACAAAAATTTACAAGGATAGCATCAAACACTAGTACAAATAGTTCCATTAAGAGTGGACATACTAGGGAGAAAGTACTTGTCTCCGAGCCGGACCCTCTCGCACCACCATCGACACCGAGAAAGACCCCTTCAAGAAATAGCGTCTTGACAAAGTCTCCTTCATCTAGCTCGATTATGACAGGAAGCTTATTCGACACCCACATCTTCGTGAAAGCGCAGGAGACTGCATCTGATGACCATGTGACGAGGTGTCACGCGAACCACCCGGAGCATTTCAGAGACCCAACATGTTATGGGTTGAAACATTTAATTTCTACAAGCCTTTTTCACTTAATCATTAAGTGTTAATGTTAACACTGAAAAACGAAATGTTTCAACCTTTAAAAATGGCTCGAGGTTCAGGGTTTAAATCAGGACTGGGAACGGGTGCGAGTACCGCTGGCAGATTTCGGCTCCCAGGTTCTCCAACAAGGTGGTCGCCACAACATGGATGGACCTTCCACGAAGCAACTCGTCAATACCTACCTGTGGCCTACATTATGGGAGTCGGACGAACATAATATTACTCTTAATTTCTATTTCTTGTTGGTAATCAACAGTTGACTGGAAGTCCTCACGGAGTCTCGTGGGATCCTAGCTGCAACGAGCTAACATGATGGTCATTCCTTCGGGACTTACATCCGCTGAATGAATGTCGCACTCAAAATAAGGTGACCCTTGGATCTGTTTGCCCTACTTCATAAAGAATCCTCGAGTACAAGTGTTTTTTAGACATGCAGTTGGATGAATGGACTGTGCGCCATTTGAGTACCGAAGAACTACTAGGAGTTATCTCGGTCCGCTTCGCTTGGCTAGCAACGAACACGGAAGAAGGGATAGAGCACGAGCTGGGCTCAACGAATTGGGTCGTCGAGTGGAGCCTACTTTTGTTAGGAATGAAGGAATAGGGAACTCCAACTCGCTTCCGTTTGTTCCAGCGGAGGTTTTTCTGGATATCAGTCAAGTATTCTGGATTAATTTGGTTTAAGCGTTGTAATCAGACAAGCACACGCAAGAAACAGGACACGGACCTCGGTTGAAAGGGTTTCTATGTTGTGTTTCCGCCTTCTACGTCTAATCTGAGAGTTGCTGAATTGGAAGTTGCTTTTTCTTCACGATTTTTCCCGGATCATCTTTCCGCTGTTGTACTTCATCAGCGATTCCTTGCCGAAGTTCCAGGAGCCCTGTGGCGATGGCTGGGAGAACGTGTTTGACGTAGCGCTTCCGCAGCAGATGGACGACCTCGACTTAGATCTACACGAGTCTTGGTGCCATTTTTTGACGGAGGGCGTGCTGCAGCGGGAACACCTGGATAAGTGTCCGATCGCAATGGCGTGGCTGGCTTTGAACTTGGCGTTCATCAATGTCGCGGCGCAAGACCGGGTGCAGGCCTTCGAGTATGTCCATCAAGCGCAAGCGTACTTGTCTCGCGTGCGTTACCTTGAAGCGTATCGGAAAGACGAGTTCAAGGACAAACCTGTGCCAGAGGAATCCGAGGATGGAACTACACAGCAACTCGAAACACAACCACAACAGGGAATCGCCGCAGTCGACGAAAACAAGAAAGCATCTTCTTCCATTTCCGACGAAGAGCGAGAGGCTCGCGAGGCTGCGTTTGTCAAGAGCGCTACATCAGATGAACAGAAGCTTCTCTACGTGAATCCAGAGGCAAAACTGATGACCGAGGAAGAAAACGCAAACGTGCGGGCATCAATCTTCGAGCGACAGATCACCTTCCCGGTGCACGTAGACCTTCGAAAATTTTTCGGAATGCAGTTTCCAATCTTTATGGAGCACTTGTTCATCTAACTCATCTAGGGAACAACTCATTTTCACAGAACGCTCGTCTGTCACTGCTGGAATCTTTCACAGAGGTACTTAGTTTCACATTCATGATGATGGGAAGATGGTACAAATTATGGTGTACTCTGCTGTGTGCTCGTCTAATGTTTGGGAATTGATGGCAAAGCTCGATTTTTTTCAGGGATTAGCCATTCAGATCCAGAGCGACGAGGAGCAGGCGAAAAAGCATTTGGATGCTGAAATGCAAAAACTATCAGGGCTGGTATACGACGACGGTGCGAGGGATGGAAGGCACGCGTGGATGCTTGATAAATGTATGGCGCATTCAAATATCTTACATCATATCCATCCACCTCTATCAGGGTCCTCAATCTCTCACGTTCAAGATTTCTTCAGAGCGAGAAACTCGAAAGTGAGGGAGGAATCTCGTAGTTGGAGACGAATCTCACGTCTTTCATGTGGTACTCCCAATTCGACCTGAGGGAGACGCTTGGCTCTGGCCACGTGGATAACGAACATCTGCACGTCCTCGAAGGCTCTCAACTTCAGCGGCTGCCACGACATGAGTCTGTTGCAAGACCGCACCACGACAAGCAAATCGAGGACATTTCATCGAAAGTGCCGGATCTGAAACTCCTGCTCAAGTTATGGCGTCTTACAATTTGCTTATAACTTAGTAGAATAGAGTACTTCCTCGATCTTGAAAAATGTCGTAACCGTAATCGATCATGCACGTTCAAGTTCATTCTCCTGCCTGAGTTTCGTTGCCATTCATCAACAACGCGTGACAATTTCAAATTCTAAGCCTAGCTCACGACTTTCCGAAGATAAGTGTCGTGGACGTGGGTGCCATCCAGGTTCGAGGGAAGCCCCATATCTACCACAGGTTGCTCATGCAGGATATGTGTACGGTCATAGGTTTCGATCCGAATGAAGCTTACCGAAAAAGTTATCCAAATATGATCCTCTTTCCGCACTTTGTGGGCGACGGAAAAACTAAAACTTTTCACATAACGCAGAATGACCTATCCTCCAGCCTTCTCGAGCCGAATGTCGACGTGGTGAGTAGGTATCGCCCAATCGCGTTACTTCCATTTACAACGATCCTGATGTACTAGATCCTGTTGCTTATTGCTTACGCGGCTACAGAGCTGATTATGATTTTAGATGAAAGATTCGCGCGTCATTTTTTCACACACGACGACCACACTGTCAGAGGTCCACCTTCTTTTTTCCCATCCGACGACTAGGTACGACCAACTCGAGGAAGCGTACAAGTTAGTGATGAGGAAGCAAGTGCAAACGGTAAGACTGGACGATATTATGCAACCTGGCGGCTTCGATGTAGATTATCTAAAGGTCGATGTTCAAGGTGCAGAAATGATGGTCCTTCAGGGCTCCGAAAGATGCTTGGAGAACGTGCTAGTGCTCGATGTCGAGGTACTAGAGAGCCAGAGCTACTTGTAATACAAGAACTAGGTGTAAAAGTATTAATAAATTTTGTATGGGCATCATGATTCAATCGCAAAAAGTTCACCACAGTTTTGAGACTATGCACCTAGTCCTAAACAACTTTAGTTTGCCAAAAGTTTTCGTCTCATGCAGGTCCATTTTCAGCCGTTGTACAAGAATATGCCTCTTTTCGCCGATATCGACCTGTTTTTGCGGGAGAGGGGCTTCGTATTTCACCGATTGTCAGACCTGACTGGGAGAGGAATGAGACCGACACGTTTGAGCTCGAGCACATTGTGGTGCAATGCGATCTACATAAAAGACGTTGAGGCACAGTACAAAAAGATACTGTCCTCGAAAACTTCTACCTCCACGTCTGATGTTGATTCAGCGCCGACTCTGGAAGAAGAACTAAAAAGTCGACAGGAGGAGCGTTTGTCCGAAGACGACGTTTTTTCGATGGCGTCTGCCTACAATGAGTGCGTTCGCAGTGCCAGCAAGACGGGGATGCAAGCGTGCGAGTCTAATTTACGCAAGGCGTTTCGTGCGGTAGGTCGTTCGACTGCACCACTTGATTTTGATGATATCAATCGCAATATTTATCCCCACCGGCAAGAGCAAGAAAGCGTCGCAGCAGATAATAACGCTCAACAGAATTCGACAACAGCTCCACCGACGAGCGCTTTCCTGGGTGACGTTCAGGTTTTGAAAGAGCGAAGGGAGAAACTGATCAAGCAGGCGATAATCCTGCATGAGGTTTACAGTGCTATGGATGTAGCCATGCACTCGCTCTCAAGAGTGGGAAAAAATTCGGGACTTGCAACCAGATACTACTACAAAATGGTCGACAGCCTGCCTACCGAAAAGTACATACCGGGAAAAGGGACCTACGAAATGACGCAAGGCTTTCGACCACCTCTGAAGGCCGTTCGTACACGCTCGGGCGGAACAGCGGCTTTTGCCTAGAAGCCGGATGATGAGAAGGAGAGGGTCACTATTATTGATATTTCTCACTACACTTAAAGATGATCAGGAAGATCATAGAGGATTTCAAAAAAATCCGCTATGAATTCAAATAGCAACTCAATGATGAAGGACACTACAAACATGATCACTTCATACCAAAAATGTAACTCTGCCAGGTCTGCTAGCTCCTCGCCAATTTACAAATGAAATTGAAACTGTCGCACAGGCGTACTTCAAGTTCGTTCTCGATAGGTCATTAGATAGGGCCCAAGAAGAACGTCGAAGTTCGAGTTCTAGTAAGGTGGAATTTTAGTTTTGAATTAGAAATCAATGCGCGCGTGCTGAGAGAGCCCTGATGGTTCAACATCACAAGAAGGAAGTACAAGTAAGTCGAAATGAAATATATTTTCTGTGAGGATCATGTGAAAACAACAGATATTCATCTTCAACAAAAAAGAGGAAGTAATCGACGAATACGAAGGAAGATCTCTGTGCAAGCACTTTCGGTCATATTAGTAGGTTCAAATTTAATCTGTGTCATTGCCATTATCAAACCGGTTACATTCACAAACCAATCTGTCAAGAACTACAGGATAACGCCACAGCTCCTTTCGGATTTAAAGTTGCTGAGCAGTAAGTCTAGATAGTAACATCAAGACTATAAGTCCGTGTTTTTTAGGCCATCTGCTCTCTGTATCACGATGTAACAGAATCAATATCTAGTTCACGATATCTTGAGTGTCTTAGTCGTGTTTGAGCTTGATACCCGCCTCGCCTCCCGCAAATCAGTAGTCTTTCTCAATTCCTGATGTTCTTTTTGGCATTTTGATGAATATCCATTGACCAAGTAATTCAAATTTGAATCAATGCGAAGTTGAATGAGTGGCGTTAACGTGTGATAGAGAAGCTGATTAAGACACCTAAAACCAAGAATCATGTATCTACTTAAATAAGTATCAGGAGTTGTTTTGCACTCCCCGTTTCTTGATCTTCATCGGTCATTCAGCTAAATATTCCATACCCACGAAGTACGAAAATGTCAAAATGGACTAGAGAGTCCTGCCGAAGTCTCTCTTCGGGGAGCACCGTCGGAAATTCCGATGCTGAGCCAGGAGAGGTGGATATGGAGACGGGTTTAAGAACCCGGCTTGAACCCGGAGGCGGGGAGGGCCGAACTTCAGATTTTTACCAGGGCCAGGCAGAGCTGCAAAGTGATCTTATGACCCCTTCCAGGAACTCGGGACGTGGCTCTAGGGCGAGTGGCAGGGCCAGAACAACTTGTGGGCGTCGTGATAAAGAAGGAAAGCACGACGTTGCCCGAAGCAGTACCGCGAGCGCACGTTCCAGCACATCAAGAAGAGAATCGACGAGGAGGAGCGAGGCCCCATATCAACGCAAAACTGACGTTCTTCCGCCTGTCGAAGAAGATGCAGCAGAGGGAGGTAGTCCCGAGGTAAAAGATGCTCCGCCAGGAGACGAAGAAGGTGGGTATTTTGACTGGGTGCGTGTTCCTGAATTCATGAAAACTGAGAATTTGCCAGAGTACGCGAAAGTTTTTCCGAGCGAGGAGGGACGAGAGCAAGCGCTTCTAGAAGAGCGCAAGCAGAAGCACGGTCGTTATTGTGAAGTTGTATGGATTCTGATGATCCCAGTTATGACCTTTGTCGTGGTTGCTGCTACACTCGTAGGTTTCTACTTTGCATTTACACGTACTGGACAGCCACCTGCTGGAGGTGGAGGACTGCCGGGTGTAGCTGGAGGAGGTGGCGGTCTAGTAGTAGCTGTTCATGCCGATGATGCCCCGTACAACAAGCACCAGCTGCATGACCTGTTGGAACCAGCTGAGAGGCAGCAGACGGCCTTTGCAGCAAACGACGCCAGCGCGCGCACTAAGATGGAGATCCTCAGTCCTGACCAGCTGCAGGTGATCTGGCAGCGCATCAGCCAGAGCCGTCGCGTTCTAGTGGGCGCGCCAATCCAGACCATCAAGGTGCAACTCCTCAATGCAATCTTCGCGGCCTTCGTGGTCGCATTCAACGCGCACCCGGTGCGCTGATCTTCACTTCCACAACAAGTAGTCCGCGTCTTCGATGTCTATCATCTTCTTTAAGTGGAGCGCCATCTTCTGCGATATCTCTGAATGATCTCGAACTCGATCTTCGTCATGTTGGATCTAGTAGGAGTTATTTTGTCATCCGTATGGAAGTTGTAGCAGTTTGTATTATGAGTCTAGATCATGATGGTGGTCACGGTCACTCTATACTACAATTGATGACTAGAAGCCTTTAGGTTTACTTATCGTGTTCAGCATTGTGGTCTACCCATATCCTATAGTATAGATTGCATTGATTTCGTTCTTCTTCTTGAAGAACACAACAGGAACAAACTGCACGTTTGAGCAATTGGAGTGTGGACGGACAGCGTATTTACCTCTACGTTCACATTGTTAACCCCAACTTTAGGTCGCGCACTAATTTGTTATCACAATTTTCCTTTTGGGGGTAGCGAGAACTTGGTTCTTCTTGCTAGCAAAGACTAGTGAAGAAGATTCTTTTCGCTTATCTACCGAAAGGCCACCCACACCCAAAGTGCTTACGATGACACCCTCGACCCTTGAGTACGATGAAGTTGAGTACAGTTTTCTTTTGGTGATGCAGTGAAATAGTTCTAGTCTTGCATCACGTTCCCACTTATACTCGGCGGTCATAGTACATAGGAAACAATCATGGTCATGGATTAAGTTCTCCATACTCAAGAATGTTGATCGTTTACTTTACTTCCCACGGCTCACCTCCAGATGAAAGGGAACGTGTACTTTTTGGCAAAGTTAGTTACGCTCCACATCATGTTGTTTGAAGGAAGTCCCGTGGGTGTCGCTTTTCTATCCCGGTGTTGCTTTTGCACACGGGTACGTGGTAGAAGGCGTGTTGAGCATATACTCCGCTATCATGCATGGGCTTCCACCTACCTTTCTTGCTCGGTCCTTCTTCGTCTGTACTATGAAAGTTGACTGCCAAGAATGTCGAGGGCTCTGTCGCACTTATATATTAAGAATGTTGAGAGATTGAGAACCATATGGGAGGCGACCAGACTCTGTGTCGAAGAGGCAAAAAAATCTGGAATTTTACGGAGGGAGGGGAATTTGTTTTTGAGATGAAGTTCATAATTGCCAATCTGTCATTGAACATGAGAAGACATCCATGCATGACTTCTGTCGTCTGTTATAATATAATGACAGAGTGAGGGTGGAGGAGACCAACCCGGCAATCGGTGAGAGGCTCCTGCAAATCATGATCTGTCATCGTCCGATGAATGTAGAGTGAGTAAGTATGTCTGTTGGTTGTAGACGAGCGCAGAACTAGAAGAGAGACGCCAATATATTTGAAAACAATCACGCGTCGCATGCTTCTTGGTCTATAGTATCCAAGACATGATTTGTAGAGTATGACTTCCTTGAATTATCTTCATGATCATGAAAATTGTGTATGTGCTACTATCTTATTTATTTTATCCCATAATGATTTTTCTCAATCTCCTGTTCCATTTTTCTTGTGCCGTATTTCGAAGTAGACCTCCTAGACCCTTGTGCTTTTATCTCCTCCAACTGTATAGTAGAAATATCGCGTTGATGATCCCTTTTCAGCATATCTTCCTTTGCCATGCATACAGTGTTTAGCCTTCTTACCATCAGAATCAGGAGCATATCAATCTTCTAGGTTGTAAAAATATAGAGATAGACGAGTGAGGTAAATAATATTGAAGATTGAAGACGGAACAGCATCTTTTTTTGAAATCTATGTTCATCTGGTCTTGATGATTTTCTCGGATTATGGATATGGACTACTTCTACCTCTAATCATACTATCCACCTGTGCCACCTGTCCACCAAATTAGTAATACTGTTTGAAAAGAAGAACGAGAATCATGTCGCTGGAGAGTGAGGTTGCGACTAGTGCGAGCAGTGTTATTGAGCCCATTGCGCCAGGACGCGGAAGTGTTCAGCAGCGACCGTCACAGCGGAGCCGTGCAGCTGGTTCCAAACGCGAAAAGCCGACGGAAGAAGACGACAAAGCGGGTGCAGAAGACGCTGATAGTGGTGGTGGGTACTCAACATGGTTCGGTTGGGGTGCGACCGAGGAGCCGAAAGAACCACCACATGTGACGCAACTGAAAAAACGTCGGGAAAGGTACAACTTCATCTTATTCAGTGCTGCTCTCTTACGTTAAATTACTACTGAATACGTTAATAGATACAACAAGAATCATTTGAGAAAGCGAAGGCTCGAGGTGGACACAACTTGTTCATCAGGCAAAAGGATTCATTTTGCACATGATAGATAATTGATCTACTTCTTCTGTGGCATGCCATGATCAAAAAAAAAACCAGCCAAAAAGAATGCTGTCACCACCTCCACCCTCGATTCTTAGGTACTGTGGCATTTTGTGGGCCCTGCTTATTCCAGTTATAACGGTGGTCGTCGTTGTTTTTTCTCTGATCGGCATTTTTCTCGTAGTGAGAAAAAATACGCCTGAACAAAGTCCTGCGCCACGAACGGCTGGAGGCGGAGGAATGGCTGGAGGCGCAGCACCTAGTGCAGGTGCTCCGACCGGAGGTGCACCAGCAGCACCAGCAGCAGATCCGGCGGGACCTGCCGGGGAGGGTCCGGCGCAACCTGGTGTGTCCTTCCTGCACAGTGCACCGATTCGGCCATTGGCAGAGGCATCGATAGAATCGACGTCGGAGGATGCGCCGCAACAAGTAGGGATACCTTTGGACAGTATGGCGCAGCGAATGCGAGACCTACGACCTCGAGCTGTTTCTGTGAGCGCCTCTGCGACTCTCACACCGGAAGATGAAGACACGAGTTATTTCGACATGTCGGATTGAAGCAAGGACGTTGTACCATAGCTATGCATCTCAAAGAATCAAAATGATGAATGATTTGTGATTATGCACACATACATATTCTTCCAAGTCTACTTCTACTCATAGAGTTATGAACATATAATGTGAAACACACATGGTCGCGCCCGTTGTCATCAGGAATAGCAACTGAGCATCCTCCTTCATGTAAAAGCACTTATTCTTGTTATTCTATTTATTGATGCTCGGAGATGGAAGATCATGACTTTTATGATGAGAATGCGACGATGCGGACGCAGATCCAGCCCCAGCGAGTTGGACGAAAGAATTCGAGTGGGCCGTCAGATGTGCAAGAGAAACCTTTTAAAGGCAGCACCTTCTCTTCGATCGGTCTGCTACCCGCCAAGCGCAGTTTTGTCATGGACGACAGGTTTCCTACCAGCACTACCGCCTATGGACTTTTGGATAAGTACAAAAGACTTGCGACTTGCTCACGCAGACAAGAGACAATGACACGGCTTTTGCAGCGTCGTTGCCGAGTGTATCTGTTTTCGAGTTGTACATGCTTTCTTATTTACGAGAACTGCTGCTACTGACGTCTGTGTATGTTGAGTCTGTGCAGAAATCATCACGGTAGACGACTTGAGATTGCAGCTTGCATCTGTAGATCAATCGCTCTATATTCGAGAAAGAAACTTCCATCTGTATGTGTTTGAGTGAGCCATCATCTGCTCATGCGAGTTTATCTTTACATATATGAAAAGAGCACATTGAATTGCGTATACTTCTAATATATTATGATATTTATAAGATGAGAGCATTATTAGCTATAGCTTTAGGAAGTATCTGCAACTCTATCTTTCGATGTTACACGAACTTCTATTCTTCGCAGGAGCAGGAGGTCCCATGTTATTACTTATACGATTGCCTCCATTTTGATAGACCACCCATGCTGCACTTACATGATTGTAGTGGTCTGTACGACTATACCGATTAAATCAGATGAGTAATTGCAACGTGTGATGTAAGCCCTAGCCCGCGCCCCAAAATGAACATAACCCCAATTATTGTTAGAGGCTGTTCGCTTTGAATTTGATCGTGTCAAAAAGAAGTTACGTGGATCATGCAGGAACAGATACATATCGCATTATAAGTCCCTAGTTACTTCATCTAGGATCATTGGCTATCATGGCATTGAGTGCTACTTCGTTGTATCTATAGGAAAAATGACGGGAAGTGACTCGGTTCATCAGGTGTGGGTAACGCCACCCTACTTGCTGGGCGTACCGAACGAGGAAGATTCCGAGAAGCACGAAAGATGGTCTCAGGGGGAGGGTTCGGGTCGGGACCTGGGGGCACGGCCCTGTCTGCTAAGAACGCACGTTGGTCCTTACGCCTTGATGGGAGACCAAGGCGTCGTCGTAAACGCATACACGATTAGCGAAGGCTACGAGCCACCCCTGTCGCCGATTTTCGACGAGAGTGAGGCCCGAGCATGGGTCGAGGAGCAGAACGATCCGTCGATAATTTCCGCACACAATTATGTTTTTTCGCGAGGGGACTTTGGCGGGCCTGGTTTTCTGGTTAATTCCCGGGACCGTTCCGGTCTTCGAGGTCTGCACCTGCAGGGGATCATACGAGACGACGGACATGACCACCATGCAACCATGCATTCCTTATTCGGCACTCCAGCGTACTTATCGCACGCGAACCTACACGACTTCACGCGGGGAAAGCGCAACGTAAATGCGGACGCTCAACATCTCTCGACTCAAGACAGACTGTTGCACAAGCGGCAGCTTCAGCAGAATGTCCTTTTCCGACAAAAGGGCTTTACAACTCCCTCAATTTAAGAATTCGGCTAATGTCTGACACATGCGGTAGCTGCTCTCTAATTGAATTCAATTGCGTCACTGACTAGTCGGGAAAGCTAGCTTTCGATCAGCGTGAAGATCATACTAGTTGTTGATTAGAATTGAAGAGCAAGAGTTTTTCCTTATGTTCCCAGTTCTAATTGCCGCACTTGCAAAAGCATAATCCACAACGTCTCCGGCGGCGACGGCCGATGAAAGGACGTGGTAAAGCGCAACACATGATGTTGAGACCGACTAGGAAACAAGAAGACCCATTGCATTTGCAGGCTCATGTGCCAGAGCAAGCTACGAAACACGAAGAACCAGTGGAGGTTGATGTGCCAGAGCAAGCTACGAAACACGAAGAACCAGTGGAGGTTGATGTGCCAGAGCAAGCTACGAAACACGAAGAACCAGTGGAGGTTGATGTGCCAGAGCAAGCTACGAAACACGAAGAACCAGTGGAGGTTGATGTGCCAGCGGTGGCGGCAGTGGCGCAGGACGAAACCAGGGAGGAAGAAGATTATCCCGAAGAAGATACACCATCTCCAGAAGTCGTTCCTTCTACTATCGTAGAAGATTCAGAGGACCGAGAAGCTTCTGCTCAAGATACACCTCCGGACCTTCAGTTAAGGCTTTTCATCTCGACGATGATTCATATTCCAGGAGAGAGTTTCCAGTTTCTGTGCAAGAAGTCACTAGGTTTTTATTTTTAGTTTTATTGAGAGGACGTTCGTTGTATGGAAAATAGGAGGACCATGTGGTTTTATCAATGTCTCAGTACAAGAATATGAAGCTGTTGGTGCATTGCGCAGTAGTAAAGTAACACGCTCTAAACTAAGCCCCCCCGGAAGAGATTCTGTCACCAGGTCCCTCACTCGGAGGGCGTGAGTTTTGGCAGCGATCCGGGCTCCGCAAGCCCTGGCTGTCGAATCAAAAAATCAAAACTGCCAAGGAGGGGCCATATGAGCAGCGAGTTCGACAGTTGTATAATCCTCCGCTTGATGTCTCTTCTGCCGCGATGACAGCTCCACGACGTGGTGAGGAATCGACATCGACCGCCACGAAGACTGGATATTTCGGTGAGACCGTTGACAGCGACGCGTCTAATGGGCGTCTCGATGCCACGCGCCACCCATGGAGAGGGCCAAACGAGGAGCCCTATGCTCAGCAGTACGCTGGGCATGCATCCGCCACGAGCACAGGTGGCACGGGAGCAGGATATGTGCCACCTCCACCGGCCGCGATCGCGAACTATTCTAGCTATCCATCTGCGGCGAATACAGGCGGCAAGGGAGCGGTATTCCAGCCGAAGTATTCCGCGTACTCGAATGTGGGGCAATCCCCGACGACCACGAGCACGAGCAAAGGTGACACAGGAGGAGCACAAGCGCCGCCTTATGCCGGACAGTACTCTAGCCCTCCATTCACAGCTGGTAGAGGTGCAGTGCAGCTACAGCAAACTCCTCAGCAGGATACGCCAGCGTATCAGCAAGCAGCAGGCGAAAACGCAAAGCAGCCGAAAAGGATCGGAGATCGTCAGACGTTGATGGTACAGAGGACCGCACCTGAATCAAAGCAGCTGAGGAACACGCGAGGTGGTCAGATGTTGACGCTACATGGGACTTCACCTGAAAACGGCGTCGAGCGTGATGGTGATGCTGAGAAGTTGGCGGCCGGCGAGGGTAGCTATCTCGAGCAGATACCCTCTGTCTTCAGTGGAATCGAGGAGGACGATGGCAAGGTGCCAACGGAACTTCAGCAGGTTTTAAGTACTGCAAATGTAGCCGCTGAGCTGCACACTGCCGGCGTCCCTCTGCTCGTGAACGCGGACGGGGGCGAAGCGGGCAAGAATGGCCGAAATCCTCGTACGCGCTTCTACGGCCACAGCCGCATAGAACGCGACAGCACGAAGTTCGTCGTCGGGCCAGGCGATCTTCTGCACCAATGTGCCATGGCGCCATCGGCATCCGTCGCCGAGAAGACCGGCCTCGGCAGCGCGTATCCGCCGGCTTCAGGCATGAGCTCAAGCGGAGATGGCGGAGCTGTGGCCCAAGGCGAAACTGCGGTCACTCCTCGCGCGGTCATGAAAGCCGCTGGACTCTTCAAAGGCAAGAGAAATAAAGGGGTATGGAAAATCGTTGATGGGAGATGGAGAATGAACTATACAGTCCAGAGTCCTCTGGCAAGTCCACGTCAAGAGGGAGAGGCAGCTCCCCTCGAAGAAGAAATTGGGTGCGAGGATGAAATGAATCTCCTTGAAGATGATGATGATGCCACGGATCTCCTTGAAGGTGATGAGATGAACCTTCTCAACGAAAGTGATTCTGTTCCTGGGTCATGCTATACTGACGAAAATGAACTCAACACGTTCGGAGATTCTAGTGATGCGGAGCAGAGGATAAACGAGAATGTAAAGCTCGTAGACAGCGACGAAAGCGTGGTGAAAGCCATAGTGCCTGAGCACCTCTTCGCGAAGCAAGTAGATTCTATGAACCTCCTAGGACCAGGCCTTGAAGAATCCGAGTACGAAAACGAAAAGCTAGTTGTGCCCTTGGAGCTGCAGCTCAAGCGCGAAAGTGTCATCAAATACAAACTTTCGAACAGGAAGAGTAAAAGCCGCCAGAAGAAATAAGATCCACCATGGGGCTCCAGTTCTGCGGTTTGGGTGTGTAGCAGCGTAGCTTCAGGCGAAGTGGAATCGGGCTCGCACTGCGGGTCAGGTCCGGAGCTTGTTGTGGTAGCAGACACATCAAGAAAATGACGTAAGAGTATGCTTGGTGAAAATTATTGTTCTGTATTTTTAGTCGAGGGCTACCTTGTTCTTGAACAAACATCTAGTGAAGGAACTAGAAAGGTGGCTCGAACGCTATCGGAACACACGAGTTCATTCCCTTTGATTTCTTCGTAAGAGGAGCCTGACCCTGATCTTTCTATGTATCATACTAAGCTGGTAATATGCTACTACTTGTTGTTCTTGTAGTAGCGAAACTTTACCCTTTCGAATTGCGTGAAAAGTAACCCAATGCGATGCAATTTAATCACAGGTTTCGCGAATCGATTGAACTCGGGAAACTAGGTAGCCTTTGTTGTGTCCTCGTAGGAAAGAGGTCATGGATTCTGACGGTACCTTACTTCGTCATAGCTAGCTTGAGAGCAGACGCAATGGTCTCATGAAAAACAAAAAGACAGGCCTACCTCAAATGCCGTCTGTGATGAGTTGACAAGGAAGTCTGTTGTGCTGCTGCTCAAGTCTTGTTTTGAAGAAACACATCAAATTATGATTTCTAGTGAGATCATTGAGAGACCGACGGAATTGACGGACACGGAGGACCGCGCGAAAGAAAACAAATCACAAATTCGATTCTGTATTTGGAGATTCCCAACAACATCTGTGTGATGCATGTCACCGACTTTTGTCCCGAAGCGTTTGTGAGAGTCACCGAACGTAGTAACTAACTAAATTGTGGCCTCCGCGATTCCTGTCCTCTCCTATACTTAAGTACAATAACTTTGTCGAAAGAGCTCGCCAGGATTGAAGATTGAAGAACTCGTAGTTAGTCTCGTTGTTAGTCCTTCCTTTCTTTGTTAACCAAAGGGTTTACTAACCCCTTCGTGTATTACCGAAAAATAAGTTGTAAGTAAATCAAGTCGATTCCTATCGACGTAATGCAGAGTGTGTTGAAATTATTTCAAGGGGGATCGCTAAGAAACACTTCCTAATCCTAGCGCTCTTTTGTCGGAATTTTGGCCAAGAACAAAAGTATTATCAATCTCACGGCTGCGCTAATCCGCTCGAGTATGCTGGTAAAACTGTGGACGGCGGACTGAGTCCTAGTCCTAGTCCTAATCTCACACGTTGCCCTCCCCTTCCGGCTAAAAAGTCACATTTATATAGGAATGCTCTTCTCGTTTTATATCGATGAAAAACAAAAGAAAATCATTCAATTTTTTAATCAGAACAACCAACAGTTTTCATTCTTCATCTCTTTAAAAAAGAATTTGAATTGATCTGATGATAAGATAAGTAATTAGAATGATGGCATCGAAAATGGAAAGTGAGATTGCGCGTGTCATTCGTAGTGTTGAGGAGCGGCGGGTACGAGCGGATGTCACTCCCCATCGTGGAATTGTGTCGGACGCCTTATGTCGTCAGCTGTACGCGGAGCAACAAGCGGGTCTGCAAGTTGTAGGGTCTGATTTTCTCGTGTCGTCCGGTGCTGTCGGATCGGGAGTCATTCCGAATAACATAGAGTCGATGCCGCGGCAGGTTTATCCTACTGGATCTGGGGGTCAAGCAGACGTAGCGTTTTTGAAGAAGGTTCGCGGTCATATGCAGAACGTAGGAGGAGCATCAAGTCCTCAACTTTCATCGCAATCGGCCGGACCATCTAAGGCGTCATCGTCGTCTCCTGCACAAAGGAAAAATGCAAAGGGCAAGGAAGCAAATAAGCGGAGCAGGTCTGCTATGGTGCAGAGGGACAGCTTTACGTGCAGTAGCCGCGAGGGTGCGATTAAGCGGGTGATTGTGCATAAATATATGGCGCACCGAGTTTCGCATCGAACCGGTAGGGATGACGAGTATGTTGTGGGATTCGCTGTCGTGGAAACTAGTAACACGAAGAACAGCAGCACCTTTCCCTCTCCGACGAAGAAGGAGTTTTCTGTGGTTCTGGAATGCCGCTCAAGTATATGGGAGCACAGTATACCAAACATTGCCCAAGCGATGAAAACGCGAGCGTCCCTTTCCGATTTACGCGATAAAGTAGATATGACTAATGTGAAAACGAGAAAGACGGGGGGCCGCAACGGGGACTCTATCCCTGTTGGTGCCGTCTTGGGTCTCCCGATCATGTCGCGGACTCTTTGGGTTTCGGAAGATCCGAGACATGTTGAGGAAACATCAAGAAATCAGATATCGCGAGAGAGACTTCCCAGTGGACAGGAAAGACGTAGAAATCGGGGTGACCGCGACAGTGTCGCTACGATCTTACAGGACGGCGCCGCCCGTGCTGGCCGCGACAGCACTGCGACCATCCTGCCTGCGTCTTACCTTGGAGTCACGGGCAGCCCCGGGACTCCGCTATCGTCTCCGAATGGCTCCTCAAGTCAAGTTTATGCTGGTACAGGCACCTCGAGTTCGAGAACGCAGGTACAACTGGCTGCAGGCGGGGCTCAGACGATTTTCAAGGACAGCGGCAGTGGGTCTGACAAGGAGTCCTCAGGTTCGACAAGTGGCAGTTCGCCTTCGTCCGTTTCTGAGAGAAGCCAGAACGAGTCTCCAGCCCCGCCACCCGCGGCAGACGCTTTTCCTGAACAACGCACCCTCAGTTACGAACTTACGGCTTCGAATCTAGCGCAGGTTTCCGCATCGGCCGAGGACCTTTACGGGATGGCAGATCATCAAAGGAGTGAGGACGACCACCGACTCGATACAATCACTGGCAACAACGTGATCGACACTTCACTCGATATTGATGAGGTAAGCCTACAGGCGGGAAAGGGCGATGCATCCGCAACAAAAAGTCCTCACAACCGCTCGATGGACTTTCCGGGTGAAGAGGAACAGAGAAGTGATCCACCTTCACCCACTTCTAAAAAAGTATCAGCATCATTCGCTCGACGAAGCTCGACAAAAACGGAAGATGACGAGGATGGCGATACTGCGCGACGACGGCAGAATAGTCAAGCGAGCAGTTCTCCTCGTGATGGACAAGACTCGCCACGCAGTTTATTTCTAGGAGAAAAGGCCTCGGAGCATAATTCGGGCAAAGGTGGACAACAAGACGGTCACGAAGACGAATCCGATGAACAAGAGAGCGCGTCCTCGTCTAGAAGCAGCCAGTATTTTGAACGCATGCAACAACCACCTGTTGCATATAGTAACAAGGACCCCCGCACCAGATCATCCTCCAATATAAGATGCGCGAGGCGCCAAAGAGGCGAGTCAACTGACTTCTCGACATCGAAAAGAACCGAAGAAGCACAAGCTGGCATGGATATTGGGCAAGAACAAGGGGAAGATGAGTCGGATTTGCTACCAAGTTTTCGTACGCGAGGAAGCACCGCACGGCGACAGAGCCTCCTCGCGCGCACAGAGGCAAGCGACTTGTTGACGGGGCGCCCTGTGTTTCAGTGCTTAGGTACGGTCGCGTCTGCGGCAAAGAAATCCATTGTTGCAGCTTCCTATTTCCGGCTCAGTGATGCGACCACGTCATCTCCGCAAGCGGCGAGCGGAAATAACAACAGGGGATTCAGAAGGACGTCAGAAAGCACGACGTCGGCGACAACGGTACGAAAGACCATCCTCACGGATTCCACATCAACGTGGGTTGGTTCGTCTCCGAGACGACTGAGCGAGATTCCCGAGTACTACGCAGAGGTACGGCAAGCGCGCAAGGAGCGCGTCGAGCAACGCAAAAATGCGCAGCCGCTCGTTTTTGATAAGAGAGGGCGCCTTCTCCTCGTGTCAAAAGATGTTTCCACACAGGGGGAACAGGTGAAGCGTGTGGACGCATTGAGGAGCATGCCTGATGGAGACCGAAAGCTGGCTCGGGAGGAGCTGCACAGAATGCATCAGGATTTGCGAAGGCAGTTGTTCCGGAGACTCGGAGAGATCGGCTTGTCCCAACCAGCTATGGCCGCTGTTGCGACGACCACAGGACGCAGGACGCAATCAGCATCGCCCAAGCGAGATGGCGGAGACAAGCACGACTTCGGTGTGGCGCGGCTCTTTGCCAAAAGGGAAGAAGACCGAAGGCAGGCAACCGCTCGCTCAGCGTCGCCATCGTTTCCGGATAGCAAAAGCAGAAAGTCCAAAATGTATTCGATTGTTTTTCGAGCAACCCGTCTGCGTGCAGCTGCAAGTGGAAAAACTATGCCCGCCTTGACAGGTGCTGGGACGTCCACTGATTCTACAAAAAGGAATCCGAGTCCGACTACATTTTCACAAAGAAAGGAAGTCAAAGATGTGGCCATCACTCTCAGTACAGCTATTGAAGAGAATAACGCCATGCGAAAGCGGGCTCGGGCGTTATCGGCTGATGCGTTGCTATCCCGAGTCGTGGCGCGTCATGATATCTCGCGGCTTCCGCTTGCGGGTGCAGAACAAATGTTACAACAAGAGAATTCTCAACGAGGTTCTGCAGATGAGGAGGGGAAAACCTACGAACACGCTGGAATCTTTGTCGTTTCGTCGACGCCGCGCCACAGCTTTCGGTCTTCGTGCAAGCTGCATGATGATCCCTCTCTACACTTGTTGGGGTCCGGCAACCCTCCGACGTCAACCTTGAGTCAGAAAAAACGGGAACCGTCCTACCTGCCGAAGATGTACAAGACCTCCGGCTACATCGCGCGCAGCAGGTGGCAAGCCATGCGAAGTGCCATCAGTGCCAACCACGAAGCCCGTGTGCGCCTAGGTGCGGGGCTCGCTGCGCAAGAGCAGACGCAGGGAGCTAGTCCGGCAGAAGCTGTGCTTGATTCTACAAGCGGCAAGCCGTCTTTCAGCGTTGTCAATAAGAAGGACGATGCAGCTGCGTCGTCTGAGCAACGAGGGATGAAATTCAAGAGCACCGGTGCAGTTGGAACGCGAACTACAAACAGCAAGGACACTACAACTCGCGCCCAGAGCTCTGCTATGGTCGCCGTCGAGAACAACGACTCGCAGCGTTCAAAACTGGGAGGCTTTCATTACATGGATAATTTCAATCAGGTTGTTCGGGCTACCATGGTGAAGCAAAGTCTGGACGTACACTCTCCGCGACATTGCAAGCTCAGTGCGAAGTCAGTGTGTCTTCAACTTAGTGGACGGGACCCAGTGGCTCAAGTCGATGTTAATGCGACAATCCGAAACTCCACCAATGTAAAACCGCGACGGTCCGCGCCAGCACCGCAAGGTGCAGCTCTCACCTCGCCAGGAGCTCGGACGCCGCGAGACTTTGACACTACAGCCGACGAAAATTATGCTGCGTTTGCCGATGAACAGACTGCTGCGAGAAAAAGGAAGGACCACCGCGAGGGCTTGAAGACACTGATCCGGAGTAAGGTATCGCAATCGCCACTACGCAGGCCGATGAGTGGGGCTGGAGCACTTGCTTCCCCTGGCCCAGCTTTCTCTCCTGCACGACCTCAAGCGAGTAGCGCCGATGTTTCTCCGCACACGAGTAGCATCGCAGGTGATTCGCGACTACTTCGGCCACGCAGTCCTAGTCCAACGTGCACGCTGTTTTCATCTCCAGGGCACGTGGGTGGAGAAAGAGATCGTCCTCTCTCACCTCCGAGAAGTGAGATGATACCCGTTTTAGTGGCACCGGCAACCCTAAATAAAAAGAAGGAGATGTTGACGCCGGCTTTTGCTTCTAGGGGTGGTGAGACATCCACTTCTGTTAGTGTTATCCGTTTAGATGGAAATATAAGTGCTAGCGGAGAAGCATGGATGAACAGTGTTGGCTTTGCCCCACCGAAAAGGAACGTTGGCACGGAAGCGGCGACTTCGCCTAGTATGACACGGACAGAAGTGTGGGAAGCGCAGCGAAACGAGCGCGAGGTGCGTGCAGCGCAAATATCGGTACTGGTGAGTCGAGCGGATGATGCAGCAGTTTCGGGAAAGCAAACGCGAATGCGGGTAGAGCGAAGTCCGTCGCCCAATGCTGGCAGCGTTAGGGATATCTTGGCTCTCATCCCAAAAGAAGAGAATTCGGCTGACGAAATGGCAAAGGACGAAATAAATCGACCTCCGCAACCACCGAATGCGCGCAACAGCGGCACACTCTCATCACGCCTCCAAAAAGGCAAGTCAGCAGTAGATTTTGTAGCCCCACCTATCGAAGTGGAGGCCGTGAACAGTAAACCGCAGCAAAGTGAAGATACAAGAACGAGCAAGACGAAGCAAAACGACACTGCGCCAGAGGACGTGCGCAAGAGCACACGTCGCTCGATGCGACCGAGAGGGAAGTCGATCATCGAATTCATAGCCCCCAGCGAGGACGAAGGTGACGAAGAAGCTACGACTAACGGGACCAGCGCCGTTCTTGGGAATGAAGGTGATCAAAAAGGCGAGCACACATTCGCGCTCGATGCAATTTCTGCCACGCGAGAAAATCTCACTAGTCTAGATGAGGATGCAAACACTCATTGGACATGGACAGGGGCCTAAGTTTAGCGACTTTCGTCGACGACTTTATTCGCAACTAATGAAAGGCAAAGAGCATGAACATGTACATGTTAAAACAACAGGAGCCAACTGAACTGCCCATATTTTCCTTCCTACTAATAGAGTGAAGGGCAGTCGAGAGACTCAATGTCAACTCAATCATATTTATATATATTATAAGTATTATATAACAAAAACGTCATGTGGAATACTTTCCTGGCGTCTAAGTCACTAAATAACTTTGTCTTTCTTTTTCGATTTTTTCGATCTGAACATTGAGATTTATGCATAAGTAGATTGTTTCTCGATCTTGTATTGATGCGAATCCATTTCCATAGTTTATTCAATGCCAATCATGTCCATTCTCGCTAGATTTTCGATGTTTTACCCTGCTCTGAGTAATCATATGCCGAGAGACTACCTAACTATGTAAAAAATGCACAATCAATCTTGATCTTCTTGGGTATTTGCTCCTTGAAAAAATTGGACTTCAAGACCAAAGGTTGGCATCTTTTGTCAGGTAGGGACGGTTTTCTGGCAAACAAAGAATAGCAGTTTTTAAGCAGCCAGGAGTGAACCGCATGAGTGACAGTTGTGCGAGCAGGTGAAGCGTGAGAGAATGGTGTACATCATGAGCCTCGTGACACTCACTGTGATGAAGAAAGGAACAAGACAAGGGATAGATACCGACGTGTGCAACTCCGTCTATTCTGTCAGTTTTGAACTACAACAAGCTTTTTATGGAAATCTTATGCGTGGTCGCTGTGTGTCCTTGTAGTTGTCCAGTCCTACTTCCCGATTCCCTCGATCAACAAAATGTCATGGATCTGTCCGTGTATTGTCTTACTCACACTGGTGGCGTGTGGTGTACAACAACAAGCGAATGGTCATGATTCTGCAATATCGAACTACCAACAAAAAGCCCGGATCTGGTATCCGAAAGGGTTCCATATTCATCCTCGAACTGAAAGTAAGAAGGAGCATTTCGTCTCTGCGGAGCCGGTCTCATCAACGTCGAGGCCTCGCATAGCGGATACACCGCAGGTGAGCAATCGCACGCATTACAACGATAAGAATAAAACAAGAGCAACCCCCTCTGCCGCAACCGCAAGTGTATTGAGAACTACTGCCACTATTAGACCAAGTTCAGGCGGACCGCTTTTGTTATCATTTGAGATTGTTGGAGATCTGGGAAGTAGACTGACCGATCCAGACAAAAAATTGGTCGTTGAGGTCGGCGTGAACGATCTTTCCATGCTCAATGACGAGGCGCTCGGCTTAAGGAATCGCACAGACGTGGTTGTTCTGGGCTTCGAACCACTCCTAGACAAATATGCACGCAACGTCCTCAAATACAGGAATAGTGGAGGAAATTTGGATCATGGTCATCATGCTGATAGCACATCTATTAAGAACGAGGTCGAGGAGAGCAGAAGCAATAGCAAAGAAGATGAAAATGACAGTACAACTTGGCCAAACGATCATATTGAATCACATGATGATGCAGCACCGCTTCGTTTGTCTCTTGTGGATGACCTGTGGTCTGAGGAAGGCCGAACGCTTTTTCTACCCTTCGCAGTGGGGGACGATACGCAGGATCATGATACATCGACGGCTACCACGACGCCGGGAGAAGATCGTAATATTGTAGTTGAGAACGCTGGAAAGATTTATACTTCTGAGGACACTGAGGCCACGACGATGAAGATGATGCCAGAAGCTGAATTTTATGTAGCAAAGCTCGATGGATGCAGTTCCCTATCGCGTATCGATGCATCGGCAGCGGGAGGGATGCTGTTACAGGAGAGCGCTGAGCCAACACTTCACACTACGTTTTGGAAAGACCGGTGTGGGAAGCAGCAGTCTGCGCGGCGCGTGCCTATAATGAGCTTGAACACGTTACTAAAAAAACACATGGGATTTAGTTTGGGAGAAGATGGAGAGGGATCTCAACAAAACGAAAAGATAGAAAAAGCTTCAAGTTCAACAAGAACATTAGTGAAGAACGCGAAGGAGGAAGAGACAAGTGACGAAGCAGTAGAGATTCTTCTCGAGCCGCAACCCCCAACTCGGAAGGGGATTGACTTCCTGAAGATCGACGCACAAGGCTACGACGTGGATGTTGTCGGAAGCTTGCTTGCGAATACTCCTCAGCACCAAATGGTGCGTCGCATTTTCTCTAAGACTCACATGCGGTCTGATTGCATGTTGCTGGACGAGTCTCTCCGCTTCCGTCGCGTCATGTATGAAATGCCAGCAAAGACCTCTTCTATTGGAAGCACTTTACTAGTGCGGCCGTTATCAGGCTCTTCTTCCTCAGGTCGCTCTTCTGCACTAACTTCTACTGCGTTATCTACCGCAGAGCGGCAAGAACAAAGAAGTGATTTCATGTTCGAAATAGCGGACGAGACTCGCTCGATTCTGGAGCACGGTGTGAAAGCATTGCAGGTCGAGGTAACTGCGGATATGTGCAGCATTCCCTACAGTTACGCACCTCGTTGCTCGCAAGCCACTTTCATTCTCGAAGCACTGAACTTCACGTCACTGCCTGACGACCAGTGCCAACATTTACTCTCAACCGATCGGCACAAGTTCTGTGCTTCCGATTTCATCGTGTGGCAGAGAAAGTTTCTACGAAAATCCGACATGTCATCTAGAATATCAGACGCCTATGCTGAGGAAGAGACCCAAGCGAAACAGCGCCTCATGGCACTTGCGGCAGCTTCGAAAAAGCCGTTGCGAGCAGGCACGAACCTCAGGGACAACTTGTCACTCGCGGTCCTTCAACGTACAATTCTGGCACCTCCACCTCGCAAAACTCGTGAAGTAGCACCCGAACAACAACAAGTGGAGAGCAGTGAAGGCGGCGAAGATAGAAGTAGAGGTGTTATTAAGGCTTCATCTGAAGAACAAAAGCGTTCACGGCCAAAGGAGGCGGGCTCAAAAAAAGTCGGATCAGTGTTGTTTCGTGGCCGACTTCAAGTGCTCGACCGGTTTCCGATTCCAGTGCCTCAGGGTACGCAGATATTGGACTTGCGCATCGATTGTGGACTCCGAAAACTAGGGTATCCACTGCTTTCGACCTCGACTTCCCTTCCCGATGAAGATCAAGATTCCATTTCCACTACACCAGCCACCTCCACAATAATCCTGTCGCTCGAATCTTCCTGGCGTTCGTATCTTCAGTTGTTAGCGTTGCCCTGGGACCTGGAGGAGCAAGCATTTCGCCGGAATATCCTTGATCGGGAAACAGACCCTCAGAAAAAAGCCGCAATGCTCAAAAGTTCGCGTCTTATGCACAATCGAGCGTCAAGAGAGCGAACTTCCAGTCTTGGCAGCTTGGATCTGCACCGAGAAAACCACCTCGCTCTGCCATTGGACTTTTGGCGCTTTGTTCAAGAACATTTGCGACTTCTCACTGGCAAAGACCAGGAAGCAGAAGATGAGCGGACGCAGGATTCAGGAGCTGGAAAAGTAGAAGAGACAATTCTTGATGATGTAACTAATACGTCGGACGAGCAAAGTCAATTCGTGTTTTCTGATATGAACTCATTTCTGCGTGGTTTCTTCGAATTTAGCGTTTCTTCGAATGAAGAACTAGCTCAAGTAGCACGACGAGGATTCGACAAAGTTGTAATTCGACAGTGCGGGGCCATCAGGACAAACGATCGGAAAACTAGAGGTGTAGCCGACGCCGAATTTTTCCTGAAAGCTTGGGCAAGTGGAAACTTATCTAGTATGCTGCAAGCGGCCTCTTTGCGACAGCACCGCACTGAATCGAGTGAGAAATTCTACAATCAAACAGCAAGCTTTGAATTTTCGAATTCATCTAGTACACTATTCCAAAATTTCGCAGTTGAGATCGTAGAAGATGATCATATGGAAATCGGACTTGTTGATGCTGCCACTGGAAATCAAAGGTTACAAGCTAGTACTGTTATCCATGAAAATGAATAGATTCTCTGGGGAGCGGGCTCTCATCCGACGACAGCGGGATTGTTCACAAGCACCTACTTTTCTTCTATCTGCGTTAGTTTCAACTCAAACTCTTATGCATTATAATTCATGTATAAATGTTCGTAAGGGAAAATTGTGCAAAGCGAGCAAGCACATCACGGATTGATCGCGTTTGCTTGGTGTAGTAGGCAGCTCTTTGAACTCGGGAGCAGAAAAGATGGGCTCCTAGTACGAGCTTCACAACTACATCATCAAAAACTACGACAGGTAGCGATAGCAGAGTTTTGTGCAAACAATAAAAGTAGAACAAAATAAGGTGTGATGTGTGCTCGATGAAAAAGTTTGTAGCTGAGAAATGTGGTTGAGAAATTATGTTACCATGAACTCACTGAGTGGTCCTTGACCTTGCGGTCAACACTCCTAGTAGGCAAGAGACCTGTTTCGTACACCTTTCCGTAGTCAAATTTTGAAAAAATGGTATCGGATTCATCATGTGAGGCTGATGCTGGGATAAAGCCATTTGCGGATTCAAGATCAAGAATAGAGGAAACTACCACCGACCACTATGGATCTGCGAATGCGCTGCTTTGCGAGCTGCGTCGCGAGCGGCTGTCGCGCGAACGCGTCGTAGTGCACGATGTACAAGGCAGAGGCTTGAAAGTGTTGGAACGACCTGAGCGCGATATAGGTTCCCAGTTATGGCGTGAGGGGACTCAGGCGTTGCACCCAGCGGCGCGAACGGAATTGCGGAGGCTCCGGCCGATCTGTCGTGAAAACGAAAAAATTGCAGTCGTAGAACTTGGTTGCGGCGTCGCCCTCTTGAGCGAAATGTTGGCTTTGGAATTCGGCGAAGAGGAAAGCGAAAGTGATCGGCTAGCGAGATATAGTGACGCAGACAATATAGACCGTCCCGAGGTTAACAAAAGGACAACAAGTCGTGTTGATATCAGTGTGGAAGCGCCAGGTGCGACGTTTTCCTCAATGAAAAAAAAAAAAACTACGCGGGTGGACTTTTACGCTACAGACCAGCAGAAGGTCCTGCGTTATAGTGAAGAAAATCTCCGCAGTAACTGTTTAGAAGGCAGTATTCACCTTCGACCGTTAGATTGGACAAATCCTGGTGAAGCGGTGAACCTCAGAACCGAAATTGCAAGTGGATGTGAGCCACACCATATACAAGACAAAGAAATTGCAAAGCAGCATGGAGTAAAAAATCATCTGCTCGTTTTGGGTTCGGAGTGTGTATATGACGTGCGACTTGTCAGGCCGATGCTTGAGACTTTGAAGCGCCTGGCACTTGGTGTTGATATTGGAAAAGACCAGCGTGAGCGGGAATTATTGTTCAAGACAGTGCGTGCTGTTTTCAGTTTCAGTCGGCCCAGACGACAAGCCGAAGAAGAGTTCTTCAAAATTCTATTCGAGAGCGATGAGGAATACAGAAGTTTTTTCAAAATCCAGGAAATTCACACGCGCACTGCTTCCGATTCACGTGATACCTTGTGGTGCAGGAAAGCAAATATGGAAGAAGCTAATGATTATACAAAAGAGTTCAGTTTGAGCCTTGCTCTTTCTCCCAACATGTTTCGGGAGGACCTGTACCCAAAAATAGTTGTCATTGATGTCAAATCAGGCCGAGATAGAAAATAAAGAACGAGGGAGTATACACCAGCACGCGTAAACACTACTGATCCTAACAAAGCTACACCCTTCAAACAACTGCGATACTAGAATGATTGAACTACTAGAAGCCAAAAATCTCTGTGTGTTCTGACAAGCTAGAAAAGGAGAACTGGGTCAGGAGCTCGTTGTTAGCCCAAGCCTATACTCTGGATCTGGTTTTGGACTTCGAGGATTCCCTCACGAGGACTTATGTTTTATTCATGGGCACTTGCGCCGCCGGTCACGATGCTTGCATATGTTCCTTGGGGCGTATGGATTCATCTGTTGTAGGGTTGTCACTTGATATCACGGTTTTCACCTCTGAGTGTGAGTGTGCGGTGCACCCTGCGGTACAATAGAGAAAGTTCAGTGAACCACGCTTCTGAATCTGAACAGTTACAGGGGACATTCTGTTGCAGGCCTACCCGACGTTCGGTAATCTAATCTGCAAACCCGCCAACCCTTATTTTGATAAATACCGTTTAATTTGTCTTGCTTGTGATTGTCCCTGTGGCCCCATTTACTTAAGGTCGGCGACTTTGTTCGGTCGCTGCGGTTTCATTCATGATTTGTTATGTCCTCGCCTATCATACTCAACGTTGTCCAAATACATATTCGTATGCCGCTTCAACCATGTCTCCCACTACGACAAAACAGCGTGTCTAAGAGTAGTCCGTTTAATGTTTTAGAGGTTCGGTACATGTTGAACTCGAATAATATCCTCAGTTTCAATTTCAATATCTCCAGATCGATGATGGCTTTCTAAGTTTCATGGGTTTGGTTTGCCTTAGATTTGAAACGGGTGTCACTTCCCTCTGAATGCAAATGTACCTACAGCTAAGTAAGTAGTACACTTTCACGTATGAGAAGAAAACATAATTAATACTCGACTTGAGCGCCCGGCAGCACTCCTCCCACTAGGATCACCCACCCCCGGCACGCACCTTCTCAACCCCGGCGCGATTCCGCTTCCCCGGCTCCTCCCCCGCCCGCCAACCGTCTGGCGGCGTTGGTCGTTGGGGCAAGAGCTGGGCGGGGGACGGCGTGCGGCCATTGATTAAAGAGGCACAGGCCGAAGCCGCTGGCCTGTCGGTGTGCTCTTCTTTTGGTAGGTTTGGCCTTCTTTGGGTGCAAGTTGCAGCGCTCTGCTTTGCAACTTGTCGAGTTTCCTCTTCTTGTGATACAATCAAAAACCTTGGGAGGGAATTGCCGCGCTTTGTTTTTATTGGATATAGTCAAAAGCTTTGGGCTTTCGGTCGCAAGACAAGTTTGGAACTTTGAGATATTGAGGCGCAGCCTTTAGTCTTAAGCGTTCAGCTTTGGACTTTTAGCCTGGGACTTTCAGCTTGGCGCTTTCCGCTTTGAGCTAGCGTTCAACCTTGAGCTTCAACTTTGCGCTTTGAGTTTTGGACTTTCGATCCTGAGTTTTCCACCTTGAGTTTTCGGCTTTGCGCTTTCAGTTTCGATTTTTCAACTTTGGGCTTTCAGCTTTGAGCCTTCGACATTGAGGTCTTCAGCTTTGAGCTGTCAGGTGTGAGCCGGCTTTCAGCTTGACACTTTAAGGCTCAGAGCTAACCAATTCGTTCGCTTTTTTTCAATTTTTTGAGTTCAAACCGTAAAAGTTTTGGCTTTATCGCGTAGCTAAGTTTTAAACTTAGCGCCCATCTGCGTGAAGTCAGGGCTAACTGATTCCCAGGCATTTCCTCAATTTTGTGGGTTCAAATTGTTTTGTATAGGTTTTGACTTTATCGCGTAGGCTTTAACTTTCGCGCCCATCTGCGTGAGGTCAGGTCTAACCAATTCGAATTCCCAAGCCTCGCAAGCTCAGCAGCTTGCAAGTTCATAAGTTCACGCGTGCCGCTCGTGATGATGATGATGATGATGATGCAAGCCTGCAAGCCTGCACGCCCCCCGATCGGTTGGGGTGGGGTGCGCAAGTTCGTAAGTTTCTAAGTTCGTAGTGGCTCATAAGCTCAGAACTTCGGAAAGCTTGGAAATGGGAAGGTCGGAAGGCTTGGAAAGTTTCGAAAGTTTGGCAATTTTAGTTATTTCGGAAAGATTGGAAAGCTTGGAAAATTCTGAAGGTGCGGAACGTTTGGAAAGGCCGGAAAGTTTGGGAAGCTTCATCGAAAGTTGGGGAAGCTGGGAAGGCTGGGAAAGCTTGGCAAGTTTGGAAAAGTTCGGAAAGGTCGGAAGTTCATGAGTCAGAAGAGGAAGACCGAGTTTGGGGCTCGGAAGTGGGGGAGTGAGAGTTTGGCGGGGTCGTTGTTGTTTTGTAATTTAGCTCTTTATTATGGCTAAAGCGTCAGCGAGCGCGAGTATAGTCCTGCCACGCGCCTAGCATAAGCTATAAGGATACGGATAGTAAAATCAGAAAGCTTCAAGCGTATAGTAAAGATAACAAAACTTTATCGTAAATGTTGTTGTCGAGTGAATACTAGCCTCCACAAGCTTCGCCCGGCTTCAAGTTAGTTAAGCACTTCCCTGCAGCCTCCCACGGGCTACAGCCGCTAGAGTAGAGACAGCCCGCGGGTGAGCTGTTGCACCCTACGAATTCACTACGATAAGAGCCGAGCGCCGACGGTGGCCGACTCAGATCGATGCGTCGACTCATGTGCAGGGCATTGCGCTGCCTTCGGTTTTTTTATGAGACTGCCGGGGGGTTCATGCAAATTCTTAAGAATTTGCAAGACCCCCACGGCAGTCCAACGAAAAAACCAGAAGAGGGCCACCAGACACGCACAAGAATCCGCAAGCCCCAACGCACGCAAACGCCTCGCGGTGGCGCCAGGCAAGAACGGGCGGCGGCTTTAGCGGGCCAAACAAGACAAAGCATAAGCAACGCAGGGCTGCGCTGCTCGGGTCTCTCTACGCGCTTACACCTGGCTGGGCTTCTTTGTTTCGTCAGATGTCTCTCGTCAGAAACAGACGGGCGCACCTCGCGGGGGCGTGGGGCGTCGCGCTGCGGGTTGTGGCTGAAGCCTCTTGACTGGCTGACGTCTTTCGCCAGGATGGAGACTGAGGCCTTCCATCAGACTGATGCCGTTCGTCAGACCAACGCGCTGCGCCAGGCTGGCGGCCTTCGTCGGACGACAGGCCGGCGCCCTTCGGCGGACATCGTGGGCCAGGCTGGGGCTCTTCGTCAGGGTCGGGCGACGTCTCTCGTCAGGCTGACGCCTTTCGTCAGACTGAAGCGCCTCGCTTTGCCGACATACCTCGCCAGGCCAAGACTCACGCCTTTGGTCAGGTTGATGGCTTGCTTCAGCTTGGCGCCGTTGGTTCGTCAGGCTGATGCACTGACCAGCCAGGTGACGCCTCTCGCCAGGCCGGCGCACTGCTTCGCCAGGCGTCTGCCTTGTGTCGGAAGCGGAACAGGCTGCGCGGGGCCTTTCTTCGGGCTGCGGATGTCTTTCCTTCGTGAGATTGGTTCTGCCCCTTCGTCGGACTGACGTTCTCCGCCAGGCTGACCGCGTTCGTCGGGCTGACGTCCTTCGTCAAAGGTCTTCGCTATCCTCGTCGAGGTAGGGCTTCTCGCCACAGGTCGGGCGGCAGTTTTTCTGGCAGTGGTCGCGCGTCAGATGTGTGTCTGCCGTCGCGGGTCTCTTGTCTTGTCGGAGGTCTTTCGCCCAGCGGTCGCCCAAGGGTCGCCTTTGGTCCAACGGTCGCCTTTGGTCCAAGGGTCGCCTTTGGTCCAAAGGTCGCCGCACTTTGGTCCAAGGGTCGTCTTACTTTGGTCCAAGGGTCGTCTTACTTTGGTCCAACTCCAAAGGTCGCCTTACTTTGGTCCAGCGGTCGCCTTACTTTGGTCCAGCGGTCGGCTTACTTTGGTCCAGAGGTCGCCTGAAAAGGTCGCCTGTGGTCTGCAGGTCGTCTGTGGTCCAGAGGTTGCCTCTGGTCTGAGGGTCGTCTTTGGTCCAAAGGTCGGCTTTGGTCCAGAGGTCTGCCGTGGTCCAGAGGTCGTCTGTGGTCCAAAGGTCGTCTTTGGTCCAAAGGTCGCCCTTGGTCCACAGGTCGCGTCTGGTCCAAAAAACGCCTCTGGTCCAAAGATCGTCTTTGGTCCACAGGTCGTCTTTGGTCCACAGGTCGCCTCTGGTCCAAGGATCGCCTTCGGTCCAAAGATCGTCTTACTCTGGTCCAAAGGTCGCCTTATTTTGGTCCAAAGGTCGCCCCCTCACTTTGGTCCAGAGGTCGCCCTACTTTGGTCCAGAGGTCGCCTTACTTTGGTCCAGAGGTCGCCTTACTTTGGTCCAAAGGTCGCTCTACTTGTCGTCGTACTTTGGTCCAAAGGTCGCCTTACTTTGGTCCAAAGGTCGCCTTACTTTGGTCCAGCGGTCGTCTGGTGTGGTCCAAGGGTCGCATGTGCTGTGGTCCAAGGGTCGCCTGTGGTCCAAAGGTCGCCGGTGGATGTGGTCCAAAGGTTAAGGTCGCCTGTGGTCCAAAGGTCGCCGGTGGTCCAAAGGTCGCCTTCGGTCCAAAGGTCGTCGTGGGTCCAGCAATAGCATAGGTCGTCTTGGGTCCAAAGGTCCGTCTTGGGTCCAAAGGTCGTCTTGGGTCCAGGGGTCGTCTCTGGTCCAAAGGTCGCCTTTGGTCCAGAGATCGCCGCTGGTCCAACGATCGTCGTTGGTCCCAAGATCGCCTTTGGTCCCAAGATCGTCTCTGGTAGGTCCAGCAGTCGCCTTTGGTTCAAAGATCGGACCAAGGACCGCCTTCAGTCTGAAGGTCGCTTTCGGTCCAAAGATCGCCGTGGGTCCATAGGTCTGGGGTCCAAGTGTCTCTGGTCGAAGGTCTTTCTTCGGCTGTTTCTCTTTGGACTTCTCTCGCCAGCTTGCGCCTCTACCCCCGTCGGGCATTTTTCTGGCTTCTTTTCTGGTAGTCTGCCACGGGGCCGCAGCGTGAACTCCAACAAGAAAACGGCCGGAGGCTATCGGGCTTAGGAGTGAGGGGAAAGGGCAGGAGGCTATGGGCAATAGCTTCGCGGCAGGAGGCGACTAATCTCCCGTGGGTTAGGCGGGGAGTTTTATGGCGGCGGAGATTTATAATATAGATTAATAATATAGATTATTTTTTTGTTATGTTTTTTATCTATCAACTTATAAGAATTATTACCTCCGCCCCCTCCTACTCGTACTCCTTAAACCGAATAGGTACCTATTATCCGAAATCTCCTCTTCCTTAGTTGTGGTCTAGACGCGGTCCGTTAGTTACCGTTCTCCCTGCTCTCGTTCAGGGTACTTATCATGGTTGTTGTTGCACCTTCTCCAGAGCAGGAAGAGGTGGTCGGAAAAGCGAGCTTTTGTGCGGCCGTCCAGATTGCTCCTGCAGCTACCGAAGGTCATCACTTTTCATCGCCAAAGGATATCGAGATGACGAACAAGGTCGCTTCGTCCAGCGGCTCCGTCGAGGTAGATCCTGCGGCCGCCGACAAAGCTAAGGCCGAGGATGCGAAATACAAGGCGGAATTGGCCAAGATCAGTCTGTCGGACCTCTTCCAGTTCGCAGATAGTACGGATAAGTTCTGCTACTGGGTCGGCGGCATCAACGCTGTCGCATTTGGTCTGGCGCAGCCTGCCATCGCGTACGTCTTTGGCGAACTTTTTGACACCGCGAATATGACAGACAAGGACAAATTTGTGGACCAAATGAACGACCTGCTGATTTGGTTCGGGTTGATCGGCATCGTCAGTTGGATCACTGCCTGGCTTTTCGTTTGGCTGTACGACGTAGCGGGCAGCAGACAAACTTGCAAATACTAAGTTCCAGGAAATAGAAATCCATCTTCAGTACAACTAGATCTAGAAGAATCTTAGGTAAGATGAAGCCGTTCAAACCTAGAACAGCTTCAACTTGGATGCAGTGTGATGGGTTTTTATGAAGTCTAAGACTGCCGGGACGTCTACTTCAGTGCGGTGGTCGGGCAAGACTGTGGCTGGTTCGACGAAAAAGACATCATGACCGTGCCAAGCAGCGTCCAAACCGACGTAAGGAAGATCAAGGATGCCTTGGGAAAAAATTTTGGTATCTTTGTTTGTAGCATCCTCAAAGTTCTCGATCTAGTCAAACATAAACAAGTAGAAGAACATACTTGTTGTATCTATGTCGGACATGATAGATCCTCTTCTTGGTCACACAGACTAGTTGCATTTCGTCCTTCTGCTTATCAGCTCTCGCTTTGCAGAATGGAGCGCAGTTTCTGGGAGGCTTCGTCTTTTCGTTTTTCATCAACTGGCAGCTTTCTCTCGTCCTTTCCGCCGGTCTTCCGTTTATGGGCGCATCGGCGTACTACTTTTCGCTTGCGCTAATGGAGATTGCCAGCGGCACAAATCGATACTATGTCAAGGCCGGCGGAGTAGCGGACGAGGTCTTTGGCGCAGTCAAAACTGTGATTTCGTTCGGGGCAGAGCAGGCAGAGTTGGATCGCTATTCCATCCACTTGGAGTCAGCGCGTCTTGGCAAGGTGAAGAGCGGTACTCGTATTGGAATGCAGGTCGGTTCACTTAAGACATACTAGAAGCACCTACTTACTTTCAATGGGAGTCAGTCAGCATTTGTGATCGAATATTGTCGACAGCGGTCCTTTATAGGCTCCTGCTAATTCCTAGTTGTCATGCACTTCATACTGTGAGAAGCCTTCTGCCAATTTTGGTTTGATGGTCGCTAACTTTTTCTACATGCTTCTAAGTTTTTCTGGTCGTGTTGTTTTTTGTTGTACGCCTTGGCGTTTTGGTACGGCAGCATCCTGGTGGGTGACAAAATCGAGAATCAGCGCACTGGGGAAGCGTTTACCGGTGGTGATGTGATGAAGTGCTTCTTCTGTATCCTCCTGGGAATGTTCGGAATAGGTCAGGTTGCACCATGGATTCAAGCAGTTGCCGAGGCGAAGCCCGCTCTGCTCAACCTGAATTATGGTCTCAGCATTTATAATTCAGCAAAACGAGGAGAGAAGTCAGAATGTCTAACAAACCCACTTCTTCAAACTTCGGGGCTGCTAGGACATTATAGTGGTGATTTTTGCGTTTAATAATCGTAATATTAGCTACTTAGAAGTTTGTTGAAGAGTGACAAGAAGAACAAAGAGTTCTCCAAGTGCAGTTTCTAATTGGCGCGCATTCTGAATGAGGAAAAGCCAAAAGTTACAGAAGGCAAAGTAGAACTTTCCAGTGCAACGCTGAGTGGCAGTAAGGGCGTTGAAATCGCAGCCAGGGATATCACCTTTTCATACCCTACAAGGAAAGACGTACTAAGTCATTCTTCGTCGTTGGGGGAAAAAGCTTACTTTTTCGTGCTTAAAAAGCTCATTTGGAACGCTTTCAATCAAATTTTGAAATATGTTCAAAAATGCCTCTATGGAAGTAGATGTGCTGCCAGCTGATACTAATTGACGTAAATTCACAAGTTTGGTAGACGTATAATCCTGAAAACAAACAATTACCTCACCCAGATGCAAGTGCTGCGCGGAATATCGTTCGATATCAAGGGTGGACAGAAAGTTGCGTTTGTCGGCGAGTCTGGCTGCGGTAAGTCTACGCTAATTCAGCTGTTAGAGCGGTTCTACGACGTAGATGGTGGCTCTCTTTCTTTCAACGGACACAACATCAAGGATCTGTCCTTTAACAGTCTTGGCAGTCTCACGGGCTACGTGTCACAAGAGCCTGTTCTTTTTAACTACACGATCAGAGAAAACCTCTGTTTTGGTCTGCGAGACAGGCCTAGCGACGAGCAGCTCAAGGACGCCTTAAAGCAAGCGCAGGTACGTAAATTAAATTTCAATTTATTGACCTGACTGTTGTAGTCATCTGTACTAATTCTGTCGGAATGAACGAACAACGAGCTCATTATACTTCACGTTATTGTCCTGCTAACTGCAGTTTTCATCCTCTTGCTGGTGCTCGTCCTGTAGTCATGTACTAGAGATGATGCAACGACATCATCAGGTGTGGGATGTGATTTCTGGGTTGCCACAAGGATTGGACACACTACCTGGCACTGCCGGTTCGCAGTTTTCTGGAGGTCAGAAGCAGCGCATCGCCATCGCGCGTGCACTCGTTCGTAAGCCAAAACTCCTTTTGCTCGATGAGGCAACCTCGGCACTGGACTACACTTCTGAGAAGCTCGTACAGGAGACCATCGATAAGCTGACGAGCAATGCTGAATTAACGGTGATCGTGGTCGCGCATAGGCTGTCTACCGTTAGAAATTGCGACCAAATCCTGTTCTTCGAGAAAGGCGTGATCGCAGAGCGTGGAACGCATGCGGAGTTGCTTGCCATGCAGGGCGGCTACTATCGCCTCACGCAGACACAGGAGGCTCTTGCGCTGGCTGGCTCGGTTTCCCTCTCACGGGGGAACACGAAAGAGTCTGTTTCACCGCAGTCGGACGTTGCGCCAGGCGATAGGCAGTTGAGCGGCAAAAGTGCCTCGCCAGTGAACGCAGTCGGCTCGCCGGTTGAGCCCGGAAAAACGGAGGGAGTCGAGGGTGGCACGCCCACTCAGGAAGCAGTGTTAGCGCGAGCACCTTCGAAGGACCCAATGACACAAGCGGGATCGAATGCGCTAGACCTGGTCAAAACTGAAGACGAAAAAGAAGAGGAGCGCATGGCCAAAATAGAAAAGGAATATTCGGTACACCTACACCTAGTTGGACGTTGCCCTCACCAAGGCGTAGGAGAAAACCATCGAGAAAGTAGAATGTTCTCAAATAATACAACTGTTGAGAACATCAACGTTCCTTCATCTTCCGATCAAAACCACCAAAAACCCTACCACCACGACCACGACAGGTTCCGATGTCTCGTTTATTGACGTTGAACACCCCAGCGGAGAAGCTTTACTATCCTCTCGGGTTCTTTTTTTCGCTTTGCAACGGGAGTTATCAGCCTCTTTGCGCGTACATTCTCACGGCTGCAATGGAGGACTTCTATATCCAGGACCCGGAGGAGATGAAAGAGGAGCTGATGAAGAGTGTCTTGGGGTTTGTTGCTATCGGTGTCGCATCCTTTTTCACCTACACCGCAGCCTGTGCTTGCTACTCGTACGCAGGAAGTCACCTGACAATGCGCGCGCGCAAACTGATCTTTGTCACGTACATGAAGCAGGAAATGGCCTACTTTGACGACCCGGCGAACACACCGGGAAAACTAACTGCGGCCTTGGAGAATAAGGCGGCAGATTTGTCGTACATCACCGGGGAGCAAATGGGGGTAAAAGTGGAGACAGTGTCTGCACTGGTTTGCGGTGTCACCTTTGCCTTCATCGCATCCTGGAAAGTGGCTGCTGTCGTGACTGCTTGCCTCCCGCCCCTCGTGATCGCGATGATCATCTTGTTCGTCGTCCTTATGGGCCAGGGCAGCGGGGGCGAGAGTCCCGAAGTCGTGGCGAGCGGTGGCATCATCGCGGAAGTCATTCTGAACCTCAAAACAGTGCGCGCCATGCGCGCCGAAAGGGACTTCCTCAAAACCTACCTGCAGGCAGTGGAGACGATCAAGAACAAGGAGGTGAAGTCAGCTTTGCCGGCAGGCTTTGGCTTTGGTACAACTTGAAGACACAGCTTTCTGAATGTTCTGTAAATGGAGGTACATCTTCACATCCACTGAGGATGTTAATACACGTCGTCGATAAAAAGATTAGTATTGCGATGGATCTCTTATGCATTCATTATCACTTGCCTACTAATCAGTACTTTCAGGTTTCTCCAATGGTATCATTTTTGGCGTCTACGTTGTTGGATTCTGGTACGGTGCTAAGCTGATCAAGGAGGAGGGCCTCAGCGCCACGGACATGTTCCGCGCCGTTATGTGCATTATCTTCGCTGGTATGGGTGCGGGACAGGCTGGGGCAGCCATGCCCAGCGTCGCCAAAGCAAAGACAGCGGCCCACGATATCTTCGAACTGGCCGACCGCGTTCCGCAGATAGACTCGACGATAGAAGGCAACGCTCAGAAACAGACTATCGATCGCATGGATGCGATAGATTTTCGTGCCGTGGAATTCGCTTACCCAAGCCGACCGACGGTGCCGATTCTAAAAGGATTAGATCTAAGTTATGGCGAATGGAATTTGGTGACGCGGAGTCACAATTTCGCGAATCCTTGTAGTTGATGACCGAAAAAGTTTATTTGCTTCAAGTTTCCGCTTCCATCTCTTCTAATGCCATGACACCCTGAAGCTAGGCCAGTCCGTGGCGCTTGCTGGCCCTTCAGGAAGTGGAAAGAGCACGATCATGGCCCTCTTGCAGCGATATTATGACCCAGAGAAGGGAAAAATTGTCCTCAACAATGGTCCAGAATTACAGGAGATCAACCTGAACAAGTGGCGACAGGTCATCGGGTATGTCGGTCAGGAACCGATTCTCTTTAACGTGAGTGCCATGGACAACATCCTGTATGGAATCCCGCCAGAAGAACGAGCTAAGGTATCGTCTATTACTTTTGGTTTTGTCACCAGGTAGGATAAGAAGAGGTCCTGACTTTGTACTGACGGTGCTGAGCAGTTGCTGCCTACAAGGAAGTGGAATTTTCTTGCAGCTTATGATTAATTTCATTTTGATTGTGTACCTCGTGTATCAAAACAAAGAAGAAACATAACGAGAATTCATTTTCGTAATATCTCCGCGCCCGTTCGGTCCCGCGCCCGTCCGTTAATATATATGAATATGAAACTCAGTTCTCCGAGGCGGATGTGCAATCGGTTGCCATGCAAGCGAACGTGAATTTTATTGGTGGCTCCGATGGCAAGCTAAGTTGGACTGAGCCTCTTGGTCCTCGCGGCAGCAAGATATCTGGCGGACAGAAACAGAGAATCGCTATTGCACGTGCTTTGATCCGCAAGCCTCAAATCCTCATGCTTGATGAAGCCACTTCAGCCTTAGACGCAGTTTCGGAAGCCGAAGTGCAGGAGACGCTTGACAAACTACAAACCGACCACCCAGATCGACTCACAATCACGATTGCTCACAGGCTGTCCACCATCCAGAATTGCGACAAAATTGTCGTTATGTGTGATGGCGTGTTGTTGGAACAGGGATCGCATAGCGAGCTACTGGAAAAAGAAGGACTCTACAAAAAGCTCATCCAATCGCAGGGAGCCGGACCACGGGGGTCGCGAAAGTCAGCGTAGGGCGAAGAAAACTCCTGCTGAGCCCTCCGTATAACTATTTATTAAATAGTAGCTTAGTTCTACCTGCTACTGTTAGGTATAGTGCATTTACTTTTACATGGAATATGTCGATACTAGACTTAAGCGCCCGGTAGCACTCTTCATTCCACTAGAATCCTCCACCCTCTGCACGCACTTCCCCCGCTATTGCGTGCCGCCGCTTTCCCGGCCCCTCCCCCACGCGACAACCGTCTGGCGGAGTTGATCGGTGGAACAGCGCAAGGGTCGGGCTCTGGGCGGCCTGCGGCCATTGAAAAGCCACGCTTGGAAATGGTAGGCCCGGGAGTTTGCGGGTCTTCTTTTACTCAGGTTTGGCATCTTTGCGGAAACCTGAAGCTTTTGAGCGTCAAACTTTTGTTTATTATTCGCCCACTTTGGAGAAAGTTAAAAACTTTGTATCCAATTTTTTTTTGAAATTTATCCTCCTTCGATAAAGTCGAAAACTTTGCCACTTTCGCACTTTCAAACTTGAAGTTTCAATTTAAAACTTTTTCAGTCCGCAGATTTTTAATTTTATCGCCCAGAAAATAAATCAATGCAAATGTCAGGGCGGCGCGTTGTAGGCTTCGAGCTGAAGACTTGAAGCATCGGGGCCGGTCTTCATAATTTCCATAAGTTCACGAGTTGGGGGGTTGGGGGTTCGGGAGTGTGAGGCTGAGAGTTTGGCGGGGTCGTTGTTGTTTTTTTTTTAGCTCTTTCATATTTACTCTCATAAATCTTCGAAATGTCACGTATCAACTACCGACTAAGGATTATGCTAGGCTACGAAGACTTGTACTATTCACCAGGCTAGTATGATGGTAGAGATTATTGTACAGGTAAAACTGATTATGTGCATGTATATCATATTGTGTGTAGTTTGATCAACCCCGTAGCACTACCAGAGCAGCATCATGAAATTGAAAGTGGATCACAAGGCGATGAAAAGAGCACATCACTCAGTACGCGTCTTGCTCTAGGGTTATTGTATAAATGTATTGAAACTATTGACTTGAACGAGGTAAAAATAATTATGATTATGAATGGTCAAAACGGTACTTAGTCTTAGTGTTGAGTGGTAGTTGTTCGAAGTCACCATCTCGAAAAGTTCATGAACCCGTTCCGGTTCCATGTTTTTCTTCTCTGGCTTCGAGTATAGGATTTAAGCAAATGATCTAGGTACAGACACATGCTATTCAACATGATTTGGATTTGTATAGACGGGAAAAGTAAAAATGGTTCATGTCACTGTTACTGTTAGAATATTCAGTCGTGACCGTATCAATGAATCGCAGAATTGGGCTATCAGGAGGAGTCCTCTTGTCATTTTCGTGGCTACTCTTTCGGATAGGTCCCAGCTTTTTTGAAAGCTTGCCAGCGAGGCACACGTGAAGCGGAATGTTTTACAACCTAAAAAGATGAACCAAGAGAGTTAAAATATATTCTCGTCGCTCCTGATGCGAACATCGGTTCTGTGAGCTGAACACGGATGATCTTCTGATGCAAAGATCACAATATGACACTGGTTTTGTCCTCGTGTTCCTTGAGGTTCAGCAGCCAAAACGTGGTTCGGCAGTTACTAATTTTCATGCGAGACCAGTCAAAGAGACCGCTAGAAAGTTTCATTGAGTTTCACACGAGAGCCATCTGCTTGGTAAAAATCATCTGGCCTTTTATTTGTCGAGTGTTCAGCCTAATCCTTCTTCTTCGGTGGTCATAATGAGAGATAAGGAAAAGCATCGTCCATGCTGAGATAATTGATCGGGAAATTGCATCTTTATTCTGTGCTGGTGTCCTTCATTTATGAAGCAAGATGACCACGATGATGAGCAAAACTGGCATCAAATAAAATATAGCTGATATTTTCCCGCCCATGATCGTATTTTTACGACACTCATTAGTTAGAGCCCTCAGAGCTGGTTCTTTGTTTTCAGGTGGTCCCTTTCCCCCCAAATTTGTGTCATGATTATACATAGATCTTTGTAGCATTCATAATTGATCGATTTCATTCGCCATCTGCTATCAAGGATGATCGTAAAAGCATTTTTAGCTTGCTAGCTTGCTCTGCGAGGCATCAGTGACTCACTTCTACTCAAGAGTCTATCAATCTATTTTACGAACACGACGTCGATCAATCATTCGACAATATATATCAAAGAACAACAGGTCCACTTTTAGATTGGCTATTTTGTAAGGCAACGCTAATATTCATAGTTGTGCAGCATTGTAGTTCATTTTTCTAGCAAGAACGCACTTCTGTTTATTTTTTTCCATTTATACTACTTTTTCGCTTCATGGTGATCATATTTCCAAAGTTGAAGTTCTTGTATTTTTATACAGCTGGTCCATTTATTTCAACAATTAGAACACGCTTAGATTTAGAAGTTGTGTACACGGAAGATAAAACACGAAAGTTGTGTACATACGCAGTGTTGATAACGGAAGATGACTATGTTAGGCGCAGAAAAGACTTCTGTCGCTGCGTCGGCTGAAGACGAACAGAATATACAGTCAAGAGTATTGTTGTTAAAGAGCGACTTGAATAAAGACTTGGTTTCTTCATCACCGCCTGAAGATCATCACCAGGTGCAGTGTAAAAGCGATCATCTTTCTTCACAAGATGGAGTTCCTCTGGTCATCCCGAAGGAAGTTTGCAAGCACGCTCTTGTACTAGGACAGCAGGTGGTGAGGATATCCGAAGACTCGATATCAAAGGAAAGGGTTCCCCCTGGAGGTGAGAGGGTGAGCGTTCCTCCAGCGAAGGTGTTGGATCAAGACCTTCGTCCTTTGCGACGCTCGCGGTTGTGGTTAAAGGTATCAAAACAAGACACTGCCGGTTCCGAGCAAGAGCAAGACGCTGTGTATATCGAGGACGTTTTCAACAGCGACGGCAAGAAGGGCGCGAGCAAAGAAAAAGAGCCGCAGCTTCCTGCATCATTCTCACCAACAGCAAGAACAGGAGAGACCATTGGGAAACCCATCGGGGCCGCGAGCAAGGAAGTCAATCCCCTGCCAAGCACGGTCGTGGCACTCGAGAAACAGCAAAGCAGCGGCACCAGCTCGGCAACGACTGCTTCATCATCAACATCATCGCCTACAATTGCGCAGGAAGTAGCTGGCGTTACTACAACATCTACATCATCTTCTGCCGCTGGCCTCAGAGCAGATGAACTAGGTCCCACGCCGCCTCCATCGTCCTCTCCCTCAGCTTCCACGTCAAAAGAAAAAGACATGGCCCTGCGCCCGCCAAAGCCAGCGGAGGGCGCACCCACGGGTCGTATAACTCCAATCGTTTCATCGCGAGGTTCCTCACCTCGGATCCCCTTCCACGTGACGCTGGACGAGCCCATTCAGTGCGAGCACTGCGGCGCGGTTCTCATCTGCCCGGAACTGCACGTGTGCCAGCGCATGTCGGCCTCTGAGATCAAGCGCGCCCTCGAAGCAGGTAACCAACGCTACATAACGGGTGAATACCAACCCTTGCTCGAAGGCAGGCACCGGAAGCACCGCATGAAGATTTCAGAAGGCCAGCTCCCGGCGATCGCAGCTATCGGCTGCGCAGATTCACGCTGCAACCCACAAGGCATCACGGATTGCAACGAGGGCGAAATGTTCATGACCCGAACAGCGGGAAACTACGTAGGCACATCCGTCGCGGGATCGGTACGTATTAAAAGATTATCCACGTTAGTCTTACTGTTGTAAGTTACTTCTCATTTGTTCGATTTGTAATGAACTACACACAGCGTTGTAGTAGATGTATGACACGTAGATTTGAGGGCCCTTAATCTTAATGATTTGCATGTGGTTTATTTATGCTGCTTGTTTGATCAATCATCTCCAGATTCAATACGCCTGTGAAAACCTGGGAACAAAGTTTGTCTTGGTAGTCGGTCACACGAAATGTGGAGCTATCTCAGCAGCTATGTCATTGCAGCCAACGAGTATACCTTCACCTCTCATCTGCGAACGCGTGATAGACGCTGGAGGTGGTCCGACCCCTTCGCATGGGGGCACAACACGTGAGACTGAAACAAGACCAGTCCTAGTTCGCGTGGATTCGGGACCTCCCGGGCCTACCGATAGTGGCAGCATGCCGAGACGTATCTCCGTGTCAAGGGTATCAGTATTTGAATTGCATAGTTGCCTAAACTATATTAACTTCGAACCCGATGAACTCGACGATCAAATTTTTGTTCTTTTTTTTCGATCGTTAATCAACAATGCTGTCCTTCCATTAGTAGTTACCCTGTCCTGATTAGTGAGTATGATTGCTCTTGGGTAGCTACATATTCTTGTCTTCCTTCTTTGAATTTACCTGCAAGATGGAAGAATGATATGAACGATACAGGAAGCGCGGCCTGGTGACGACCCACTCGGAATGCTAGTGGGATGGATTCGTGCTAGTTTGGACAATGAAAGCCGCTTCGGTCAGTACGCAGTCGAGGATGATACGGATCGCCAGCTCGTAGAAATCCGACGCCGGTACAGTTCCGATCCTGTAAGCGCAAACGTGGTGGAGCAGCTGGGCATTTTGAAGCACATTCTCGAGTCAACCCGAAATATTGCAATAGTAGGAGCGATTTTCTCCCTGGAAAGCGGGAAGCTGGAGTTCCTTCCAGAGTACGTGCTTGACGGCGAGATCGCAACTTGGTAATGATTGAGGTGGGTCCCACTTGTGCCAGCGTCACAGAAAAATAAGACGTAATTGACCCTATCAACTTTTTCAATGAGCAGTTATCAACTTATTTTTCCTGCAAGGACGACGACCAACCAATTTTATTTAAAAGTACTTCTCGACATTCTCCCAGATTTCTTTTCACAGATCCACCTTGCTCTATACATTACAACGAACTAGCCTCTTTTCGCATATTCTTGGCATCACTTCGTTTACTCTCTGTCAGGGACAATTTAATTGTTGTATATTTATATATAGTACACGCGCAGAAGTTGTAACTTCGTTCAAGACAAAATGTCGGCGTTTTTCTTTGTTTTATTTTGGCGATGTTTTCCTTCTCTGTGCTTGATCTAAAGTAATCTACTTGTCCTACTCGTTTCCCTTTTCAAATCCTCAGCTTTTGTCCTACTCGTTTCCCTCTTCAAATCCTCAGCTTTTGTCCGACTCGTTTCCCTTTTCAAATCCTCAGCTTTCTTCTCATTTTATCATTGAATCTCACGTGTTAGATCTAGAATAATCGATTGAATGATATTTGTGAAGAAGCCGGGGAACAAAGGAACAGTGAGAACGTCATGTTCGCGCATCCTTGTTCCCTGTTCGTGTATTATAAATTTATCATTGATAGTACTATTGCTCGGTGAAGATCCTCACCTCGATGCAGCTTGTCATTGTTCCTTCTTGTAAATAATGTGCAGGAGCAGGACCAGGAGCAGCAGTACAACTAGAAGATGAGGGGTCTCCTCGACGATTAAGGAGATAATCCCGTACCCCCGTCTAATCATATTCATCGTGGAGGTGGAGTACGAATACGACGGCTCAGGTGAAGATCTTTTCATTTTGTTTGGTGGTGGTTGCCATCTGGATCTGTTTTAATGCATCTTTCTGATGCCTTTAGTTCAAGTAGTCTTACAGCATGGTCATTTGTGTGATGTTGGATCCTGTGTGTCGTCGAAGAATTCCTTGGTTCATCTTTGTTCACGAATCAGAGCAAGAGTTATGAGAAAAATTCGGACAGGCACGAGCTGGCATATCATCATCGGGCACTTTCAAGACGATTAGTTTTAGTTATCATCAATATCTGTATCTTCGATGAAATTCGAAGATACAGATATTGATGTTTTGGGTCACGAAGACGAACAGTGTCTGACTGAGGTAAGTTCGCAAAGAAGAAATCGCATCATTGTACAGCCCGCATATATCACGTCTGGGCGCTTCGCCGGTACTGCGGGCTGAGTTTTGCTGTTACATGCCTTGGATATTTAGTGGCTTGTATTTTCTAGTTAACTTTTTCATTGTCTTCTCAGTTTTTTCATAAAATAAGTAACTTGCATTTATCATATCTTGTTTGTTTGTTTGTTTCTATTGTATTGATGCGCTCCGGGCAACGCGTACGATCTCGGCGGTTTTCTTTGTGCTTCGTGTGTTTTGTGCTATGGTCGTCGTTGATTCTTAGGGAATCGAGACCCTGGGCGCTCTTCGTTTTCTTTTTTTTATGGATCTTTGTTTCCCCATCCCATCCGACTTTTCGATCGTAACAAGTTTAATTTATGTGCTTGTGGTGTATCTTCCTAAAAACTCTACTCAAGCTCGTCCACTCATTGTTCGTCTCTACATGATTTTCGCTTGCACAAGGCTCGGGCCCATAGTTGCTTTTTTGCAGCCGAGAGCAGCCAGTTAGCTTGATAGAATCTCATCAGTTATTCTATGAACGTGCATCATGCTGTTGCAACCTCAGGTTGAGATCGATGCTGCGTCTGCGTCATCCTTCGCGAGTCGTCCACAAACAAGAATATTCACTTACATCTACTACTTGCATAAGCGAAGGCCGGCGCGATAGCGATTGAAACAGGTGAGACTGTGACTCTCTTTGTGTGCTTTGAGCTTTTAGGATCTCGCTGTCGTTCCGCGTCATCCCTGCTAAAAAGAACAAGTGTCACTTCGGAAATGGGGCACAGTTCCTGGATCGCGAACCTAGAACTAGATAGACATGAAGATGAAAACAGAAGAAGGGATAAGAATGAAAAATGAGAAGATAGAGAATGCAAAATACTAGGCCCGTTAACGTCTAGAAATCCTCAACCGATCCAATGCACCCCACTGAGGTTTTCGAAAAAGTTAGTAGAGTAAGCTCATGACATGAACAGCTACTTTTTTGAATGTTAATGAACCCGTTTTCATGTAGACACAAGTTCATCGCCTTCGATGAACTTAGAAGTTCGAAGTGTCATCATAATTTATACATAGGCAAGAAGATTTTTTTCCATGGTCGTGGAGCTCACTGGGTCTGGAAGAGTCCACTTTTAAATCTATCTTACCACCTTCTAAACCCATCATGTTCGATTCATTGTAATATGATCTGCCCCGCCTCAAAAGAACCTATGCAGTTGTACTTCAAGACCCGGACGCAGCTCTTGTATTCCAAGTAATAGCGCTCTAGCTCTTACTTGAGGCAACTACACAGGAGACGGTGTTAGTTTGGTGATGGTTCTCAGTCTTGTCGAAGACTGCGACGTTTACACGGAGCTTCTGGTGTGTTCAGCCGTATGAGCGCTATTTGTGCGTGCATGGTTTAAGCAGTAAAGATTTTTCAGTATTTGCTTCAGAGGAGGCTGTGGTCGTTCATCGAGTGATTGTTTTGGTGGGGCTCCATCATACTGGAACGGTGGAGTGGACAAAAGATGTTAGTATGTCATCTCTAACCTGAGACAAAAGACCTACTTGCCTAAAGATTACGATTGTTTGAATCTATCCGACTCCGAATGTGTTGTACCCTTCTTGCAAACAAAACTACTTTCTAAAAGATTTACGAAACTTGATGTGATTAATGATGGCGCGGTCTACTCGTCGTAAGCAGGCGTTTGCAATGCCGAAGAACATTGTCTTGCTTGTGGTGCTTACGTGGCGACATAGCTTTTGTCTTGCTTATGGCAACGGAGTGCTTCCATTGCCTCTTAAGTGCAGCGATTCGGACCTCCAAGGATGCATAACCTCACTCGCAACGAGTACTAGCGCCACTCGTGCAGGTCAAGAGGTATTGCCTCTCGTTGGCCAAGTCCATGACTGGATTTTTGGCGAAAAACGACCTTCAACTCGAGAAGATGCAGTGCCAGATTTCCATGAGATGGCGCTTGTTGAAGATGCTGACACGACGGCACTTTTACGGCGTTCCTTGGCGAGCATGCGCAGCCTTGGGGCCGTCATGCTCTCCCTTGTCCTTCGTGGCCTAGACTGTGCAACCTCGACTGCCTCGACAGGTGGAAGCAACGCCATCGCGTCACCTTCGTGCTTGAACCGCGACCAAGCTGGGGCTGAGTTGCGTTCGCAGTTCGGAAACTTTGACGAAATGCAAACGGCTCTATTCGCAGATACGACTTTCGACCACGTAGAAAGCGGTATTCGAACTAGCGCAATCCGACACAGCCGAAAGCTTTCGAACATATTGCAGGACGCACTAGAGTTATGGATCTCCATCTTCTTCTTACTAGTGATGATTAGCCTGCCAGCCACTAGCTACTTGTCTTCCTCGGCTTTTTCTCTACTCGTCCCAGGATTCACACGATTTCTGCAGGTTAAAATGGTGGGCAGGTGGGACACACACTATACTTGGACACACACTATACTTTTTCAGGTTAAAATGGGTATCTGCGCTAATGTAATCGCTCTACAGTCATGGCGAAGACACCTTCCAGGCCCTGCTTTCCTTGCTTCCGATCGCTCAGCGCGTAGGTGACCGAGTGCGGCTACAGGCACAAGAGCTTCAGTACCACTACCACATTCGCGGTTTGCGCATTGTCGAGGGCTTGCAGACTCCGGTCTTCGTGTTCCACGATTTACTCGCTCCACGGGGTGTTCCTGAAGCGGTCAGCTATTTACTACAGCGACAACGCAAATTTGGTGTTCGCGTACCCGCAATGGTAGAAATTGGCGTCGGCCGTGGAGATGTAGTGTCTGACCTCTTTGGTCAAAGCTCAGACGCTGCTCAACAAATGCTCCCGTTGCAGTACGTCGGGGTAGATAGTTTCCAATTCTCACAAGACCCGGCTGCAGCCATGATAAGTGGCGATGAAGCATTGCAAAAACAAGTTGTTCTTGACGAGTTGCATTCAAAGTTTGCGAGTGAGCGCTTACCGCTCGTTCAGCGGATCGCTCAGCAAGCAAGCGGCAGTGCATTTTTCCTGCGTGGATCTCCAAGTCATGATTTGTGGCCTCAAATCCCCGATCACTCTTTGGATTTGGTCTTCGTAAACGACCTAGTCTTGGATCCGCAATTCGGCAGTGGGAACCTATGGGACGGTGATTCCGGTGATGGGGCAGCTGGTAGTACCTACAACCCGAATTTCGCGAAGGACCCTAACCATCCAAATGCGGGAATCCAGATTCGTGGCGACTACGTGTCCGACCGCGTGGCCTCCATCTTTGCGCTGTGGGCGCAGAAGGTGAAGTACGGTGGAATTATGGCAGGCGCAGGCCTACTAGGGAAACAGATGGTGGAGGCAGTGTGTGATTTTCGCACCGCAAATGAGGTGCACGTCATCGGGAATGGCGTATTCTGGTGGTATGTTGAACCGCCGGATGAGTGAGTATCTTCCGCAAATCCTTGTCACGTAGTTAGCAGATCAACATCTGATTCTCATGTCATCAAAGTCTATGTCTATGATTTCGGTCTCCGCCGTCCTCAGCTGCTTGATGTGAACATCGCATTCATCGGATCATGGTTGATTATGCGAGTCGCATGTGACCCCGCACCGTTGATATAATCTTTCATGTGGTTGTTGTCTGGAGCAAACTGAGATTTCATCAGTGAATACCGTTACTTTGTTCGCCGCCCGCAAGAGGCAACTTCGGCTGTAGAGAAGCCTCGTAGCAGACATCGTTGATGGAACGAAAAGAAAACGTCGAACGACAAAGAAGCACGAGAGTAATTCAACAGCTCTGAGAGATGGTCTGTCGTTCTTATTTTTGATCATAAAAACGGCACAAAACCTGAAAATATGAGTAACTCGTAACCTCGTCATCGTCTTCGTCATGCTCGTCGGAAGACAAGAATCAATTTAGTGAGTGTTGAGAGTGAGAGGTGGAGCAAGCCGTGGCTTGCTTGGTTAACTAGCGATATGAATATTTCCAGGTTCGTTTCCCTACTTGAAGTTGATGACAATACATTTTTCTTTCCACCAAAATTTATCACTCGTGTATCCACGCCGAACAAATCACTGTCACTCATCCACCTTAGTCGAGTAATATTCCTTTCGATTCATCACTGTCGGGAGCGATTCCTTGACTTTCTATTTGTTGACTAACATCAGTATCCAGTACAACAACTACAACTACCACTACGACAACAGACATCTCTTGTCTTTTCAAGTGATTCTTAACGCACAAGCGCATCAACAACGACACTCCGGAGAAACTTCCGTACAAGTACTACAACAACGAACGACATCGTGCAAATCGAGTACAGTCGAGCAGAATCACCGAGAAAGCTACTCATTCGTACAACTGACAGCTGTGCGAATGTTCACTGAAGCATCGACAATGCAAGCTCATTCCAGTCAAGTCAACATCAGCGTGTCTTCCGGTGACAGTATGGGCTACAGCGTCGCTTCCTACCACGATCGCATGATGGATGCTGACCCGTCCAGTACGGCTCGCCGACGCGCCGCGGTCGCTGCGGTGACGGGCCGGGGAGTCAGCACGCCTGAGCAGCTGCTGCATGACCGGAAACTCAAGGCTGCGCTGAAGGAAACCGCTAAATCTGTCTGCGAGGTGCTCGAGGATGGGTTTTTGGACGTGACGTTCAAGCGCAACGTCCAGGCCTTGTACATCACTGCAGTCCTTGGTGGTCTTTTCTTGGCTACGTATGTGGCGGAAGGTTACGCGAGTGTGCTGATGACGATTGCCAACTTGCTTCAGGCGTGTGGTTTACTCTCGATCTGGGCCGCGGTGCATTCGCAGCAGGGAGCAGGCGGATTCTCGCTGCGCATGATCTTTCTCCAGGCGATCGCTCTGATGGCGCGTCTATCCAGCAATTGCTACCTGAAGGGCTATTTGCCGGTCGACGACAGCGGCGAATACATCTACAATAGTATCAGCTGGACCGCACTCACAGCCTGCTTGGGCATCTTGTTTCAAGTGGCGCGTTATGAGCATCCAGCTCTGCGAGCAGCGGTCGACCGTGTTGCGGCTGCCTATGCGCATCGCTCTGGAGTTTCCGCAGGTGACAAGATCGGGCACGTCCTTATAGCAGTGAAAGAGGTTGGAGTAGTCATCGCGGAGCTGCTCTGCCAAGACGCTCGTAGTGCAGCTCGCGGCGCGACTCAGCACAAAAACCGAGTTGCCAAGAGCAGCAACGGGTCTACACCATCCTTTGCGCAGAACCATCACTATGACACAGAAGCAGGCTTCCAGGACCCGGAGTTCAACAGATCTGCGACCCAAGAGCAGCAACAAAACTACCAGATGAGGGCAACTATTGCAGCACCGTCAGCGACCCCCTCGTCATCTGTCGTTCACCGCGCATCTAACCTCAACGGTGGCTGGAAATCCTACGAGTGGGATCTCGACTCGCTGCCAGTCTGGAAGATCATTCTGCCGTGCCTGGTTCTGGCCTACGCCTTTCACAGTGACTTGAACAACTACGCGCCGTTGGACATCGTATGGATGTTCGGTACCTATCTGGAAGGCGCCGCAGTGTTGCCGCAGCTCTCTCTCATCCAGAAGAAGCAGCGCGTGAACGCTCTCGCTGCGCACTACATCGCGCTTCTCGCTATCGGACGCGCACTCCTTGTCTACTTCTGGTACTGGCAATTTTTAGCATCATCTTAACAACGATGAAATGCATTAAATGGTGCAAAGATTTTGCCGACGAGTCATCATTTGAACTACAAGATATTCCGTCCTTTGTCTATCCACTCAATCGAATGTTGATAGATCCACGTAGTGGTCCTCGTCTACCGTATTGAAATCAATACAACTTCTACCTCCATCGATCAAGGTACCGCGCCTACGAGGAACTCGGTGAGATGGACGAGTCCTTCAACGTGAGCGGAACCATTCTCGTTTTCGCGCACGCAGCTCAGTTTGTCATGGTTGCTGACTTCATGTACCTCTACCTGAAGGCAGTCGTGCAGGGCAACATTATGAACCGCGAGTTTCAGCTGTTGTGGAAACAGGAAGACGTCCCGGTCTAATTATTCGGCAGAAGTAGAAGCTTGATAGATAAAGATCGAGGATGAACAACTGGTGAGCACGACAATTATAGTTATACATAGAAATTCTTGTGTTTTGCTTCTGATGATGATCATGAAAAATGAAAGCAAATCGACTATAAAATGACAAAAATAAACAACACGGAGAAAAAAGAGAACTGAACGACAATTTTTGTACAGCATTGCACCCGTTGTAGAACTAGAAATTACTGCTTTTTCCAAGAATTGTAAGTCTTCTACATGATGTTCAAACTATCATCTCTTCCGTAATACTCTTACAACATCCACCACGCACATCAACATTTAACACTCTTGCGAACGTATCTTGATCTTGAACATCCATCTACAGTTTTATCTTGTTAGCTCATTCTCCTTGTGGGGTGAGCCATTGATATACCATTACACAGTGCTGTCATAGCTTCAAGTAGACGCAAACCAAAAAAAAAACGCACGCAAAGAACAAGCTCCCATACGCCTGAGCAGTACCTGACTCCCGACGCTAGACCTAAGTGTGACTCATAATGTAATGAATGTACCCCCGTCTCTTCTAACTATAATTCAACCCAACATGACTACATTTGTCATACTTACTACAATGTCTAATTCAGAACTTTTATTTATAATCAGCTAATACAACAAAAAATGAACTACAGAGAACTAAATCTATTTCTGCAGCAACCTAATTAGAGCAACATCTGATAGATATTAGAACTTAGATTTCTTCAACAGAATTATACCCGCTCCCTTTTAACAACAAACTTGACTTCCCCTGTCATATTAAGATGCTAATGCCAAAAACGCCTTTATGAAGGAAAAACTCCTTGTAATAATGCACAGATGAATAATAATTAGAAAACTTTCTTCTCATATTTCCATCATAATTTTCAGCAGTATTACGTACTAATGTTGTTGGACGATGAATTGTGATGGATCGTGCTAACTAGGTCCGGAAGCATAATGAACATCCACACCTGTCATAAGCTTAGATGAAGAGATCAAACGTAGCACCGCGCGGTAAGCACCCACGAAGACGGTGCGACGTCTTCTAGTTCTGCAACACGCAGCTTCACATCGTATCACAAGAATTGTATCTATTTGATGCCGCTTCTTTTCGTTGTAAAAGCCATGATGCTTGTGCACGTAGAGGCGGTCATCTCCGTGATGATAAAAGTGGTTATTAGCAGCAGCGTGTTTTTCTAAGATGAAGAAGACGCACATTTCCGCGATCTCGATCATATTACATCGCACCCCAGATGTTGCCTAACAAACTCGTTCTCCCAAACCCTGAAAGCGAAAAGGTGTGCTAGCTGTCACAGACAAATCTAAACCAAGTAAATCTCTTCGTCTGATGTGAAGCCTCAGTTGTAGCCTCAAATCAAGATGAGACGAATCTTACCTAAGGATGCTCTCACCTAGTTGCTTCAATTCATCCTGCTTCTTGTGGTTGTGCCCATCGATCACTCGGGGGTCAGATCGCTCAGAAGTGGAAGAAATTTGCGACAAGGAGAAGATCCGTAATAAATTACAACCCCCATGGAAACACCAATATTAAATGCACTTTCTGAAGATGGAACAGGAAGACGCACCCACTCTCTTGTAAGACCCCCGTACAAATTCCTTCAAAATGAACACACCTCCGTAAATGACGTTTCTCATGCAATATGACATGCATAATAAAATCGAAAAAGCACAAGTTGCTGTCCTTTTGTCGCAGAGGCCACGTCGAACCACACCGCTGTCAGCAAGAAATTCATTGTCTTCTGACGTTAGAATGTTCGTCGTATCAAATGGCGTAAGCCTTGAGGACGTGTGATGGCTCCTCCTTGCTTTACAGAAAAAGACAAATCATGGCATTCTTGAACCCGTTTCGACGCTGAAGGTCACATCCATGGTTCCCCTTTTCTGCGGCGAAGAACACACAAGTCATGTCAGGCGATGAAAAAACCTTCTTCCTGGTCACATTCTAGAACTACTTTTTTCCCCGGATGAAGATTGATTGATTCATTCATTCTGGATGAGAGAAATGAAAGGAAGCTGTTATACTTCAATTCAAGAAATGAATTGATTACTATCTAATGAGTACGACTTCAAGCATTTCCTAAGATGGATGATGGCTTGCATGGATTGCAATGCATTGCATGGATGGCATGGCCAGGCGGAGCGAAGGCGTGACCTTTTTAAAGGGGAAGCGCGCACTTCTCTGCTTGAACGCAGCGCCTCGCCTGACAAGGCCACAGGAGGGCCGTCGCCTTGCTTATCTTGTTGTGCTCTGCCCGCCCGCGGATAGGGGGCTCGTTTCTCGTAGGGGTGAGGCCGCGCGTGGGCTCCCTTTCGGTTCGAGCTGGCTGCAGGGAGGACGCAGAGCCCCTGACGCCTGGCCGCGTTGGAGATGCCAGCAAACTAGCCTAGATATTCGCAGCGAGATAGAAGCCGGGCCCCTAAGTATTAAGTGCGTAATGGTCGATAGGCATAAGTGCTTAAGATGTTAGATTATGAAGGCCCCCATTTCCCCCCGGGATGGCGTTGCCATGCTTGCGACCAGTGTGCTTACAGTATATTGATGCTTATTATACTTTTCCGCTATGGGCCCGCGTTAGAAGTAACAGGAATGCAGTGGCGTCTGGCTTTCGGTCTAGTCTTGGTTTCCGGCTGGGTTTAAGTAGGCACGCGGCAAGTGCGCTAGTTTTCTTGCGTGGGTGCACAGGCTCCGGCGCGTCTCTATGGTCCTCTGCGTTGCCGGCGTTGGGGAGGTGGTCTTTGGGGGGGTGTTCTGACTGTAGCCTGCGTATGCTGCGCCCGGATGCGAATGCTTCGAAGTTGCTGGCGCCCAAGCTGTTGGAAGGTGAAACACGACCACAGTGAGTGCGGACGATGGCGCCCGAAGGGCGCCCCGAAAAAAAAAACTTAGTTCTAAATAGTGCCATCCATTGCCATGCATGCAATCCATACCATGCATTTTAGAAATCCGGAAAGTGCGAAATTCTCTACAATAAACTTCCATCACTCTTCTCATTCTGCAGGTGTCTGATGCAAAAAAGTAAGAATTGTTGATCGTTTTCTTTTTGATATTGCGAACTAGATTTGGAATGTTCAAACTACAGAAACTACCACAGAAACAAATAGTTTGTAATTTGAGTAGACGTCCGAACAAGATTCAGATTGATAGGTGAAAATATGACGAAATCATAAATGTTGCAGTGATTCGTTGCTTTTCTGAAACTCTCACACATTTTTTCATAATATTAGAGGAAGCGGAAGGAGAATATGGCAATAAGCAACAAGATGATGGGATCGAAAAAGTTGAAGATCTTCGTTTTTTCGCTTCTTGCGACCACAAGTGAAATCGCGCTGGTAGATGCAGGTTCGCCTGGAGTCGGACGACTTGCGAACGAATTACCGACTCCCAAAGAGCTTTTACAGAAGCTCATGCAGGAAGAAACATCGAATGACAAACACACGTCTAGAACTTCTAAAGAAGAAAAACCGCACTCGGCCGTTCCGAAAGCACCGACTAAGGATGAAGCAGATGAAGTAGATATGGATCCCGAAGTGTCTGCAAACGCAGCGATCAAAATCGCACGCGTAAAAAATAAAAATAGCGCAGTGGACGAGGTTGCCCACCACATTCTAGAAAAACTATTAACCGAAATGGAGACGGACGCCGATCCAAAATTCCAGAATAAACCAATAAGTGTTGGAGCGCATCATTGGTCAAGTGCGGCCGCCTCAGTACAGTCGCCCTCCGTCGATCGTAGCCACCGCACTCCAGGAAACGCAAAGGAGTACTATGGTTTTCCGCAACATGATGCTGGTCAACACGGTATTCATTCTTCTTGCGGTTCTGGTGCTCATCGGGGTCCAGCTATTACAGACCGCCATCATTTTCCGGCAGGTGGGCTTTACGACGCAAACTCGGGGTTGCCAATGACTCAGGCACAGGTATCAGCGGCTGCAGCTGCAAGCATAGTCCGCGATGCGTGCATAAAAAACGACATCGAATCCCTAAAGGGTTCAACACGAGCAGCAGCAGAAGAGCAGACTTCGGTTTATCGTCAAGAAATGTCTCATCCTGCACAAGAACGATCTAGAATATGTAGTGACCAACACGCAGCAGGATCATCGTACTCTTATTACGGTGGTGCCGCTTCTGCGCCCGATTTTTCCTCTCAATGCCAACGTCGTAGTGCGTATGATCAAGATCAACACGGATCATACCAGGGTCAACCTGCATCTCCTAGTGGTCCATGGCCCGCGGGTTTCATGCCCTTACCGCAAGCATACTACGGAAACCCGGATTATGACGCTCCGCATCAAAGGCAATTGCGGGAGCATGGTTGGACCGGTCCAAATGCGCGGGAGTACCCGTTCCGAGGTTGTGAGAGAGTGGACGACACTGCAACTTCTGGAGCTTCGATGCACGACAATCAGTTTTTCCCCTGCAAAGGCGGTGGAAACCGCAGTTCTTACTTCGACGCATCACATAATGCATATCCATCTACTCCAACAGGATATGCATTTGGTTTCGCCGACAATGGAGGCCAAAGTGTGCTGTTACTGCCTGCTTCTCCAGGAAAGGGCGTTCATGCGCCTCTAAATGGAGGGCGGAGACATGCTGGTTCGTCGAAGGGCCAACGACAGCAATTCATTGCAGAATCAGCGGACATGATGGCTGACTCGGTCGGCACTGTGGGTGATGCTGCTCGCCTATGGAAGGAAACGCAAAATGTGAGCATCGGAGGCTCTCAAAATCCGATCTCCGCTTCAAGTTCAGGCCTTTCGCTAACTAGACGTCCACCAGGATTGAGCTTGAGGCGATCTGATCGTAGTGGACTAGAACAGAGTGTTGACTTGTTTCGGAACTATAACGCCGGCATGACATCGACAAAGCAAGAACAAGGAGACACAAGCACTTTTGGTACAGGCGGAGCTGCTTCATCAGTTGCAGGAGGCGGAAAACAGGACCCTCAGACCAAGAAGAAGAATTATACGAAACCGGAAAGCTCGAACAAAGCCGAAGGGCATTCGCAAACTCGAGGTACAGAAAGCGTGCTGCAGGAAGATTCAAATGTCCGTAGCCGTGGAAAAGGGAACAAAAGTGCTGCTGCTACTTCCGTAGAAGAACCTACTGCTCCTGCAGTATCCGCAGAACATCAACATTTGCCAACATCTTCTCACGCGACTTCTGAAAGGGACGACGAATGGGGATCATTTCAGGGTGGAGGCCATTGGTGGAGGAATGGAAAGGGTAAAAAATCACGTTGGTGGTAAGCGTAAGCCAGCTAGGCCAAGCTGCGCTGCACTGTCTTGCTTAATACCCATTTCAGGTTTAGTCTGTGTCTATCATGTTAATGAATAATATGCAACAAAATAAAAATTCGTATTTTTTTCAGATTGTCATACACTACAGGCTGTGAATGCGCTGCTTCCGTACTCTTTAGTAGTGTTTGTTACAACTACATCTTGACATTTTTTGCTGTACCATTCTAGAAGTTGCGAACAATTGCTACAAATAACTAGTTCCTTAGAACAAGTAGTAGTAAAGATCGCACCAACGTCGACACGCGCATATACAACATGGGACGATCAAAAGATGGCGTCTTCGAGAGCACTCGAGTGGTGATGATGAACAAGAATATCAGGAAATTATCATCTCGTGGCTGAAGAAGTAGTTACATGAATAAAGTGCATGAATTTCGGAAGCAATGGTCGCGACTCACGCAGGAAGACATCGGAGAATCCAGGATTCATATGAGCCCATGATTAGTAGCTAGTTGTATGTCTATGTGAATGTCGAATATTTTTTCGATTATTGAAGTTTTCATCTCCACTAGCTATGCCACGGCAAACAAGCCAAAATACCTTGCCAAGATGATGTAAATATTTGCTGCAGCATTAACTCATGCGTTGACTTTGGAGCTGTAGGTCCCGATTCGGTATGCATCTCTGATTCTTTCGACGCTAGTGCGTTTTTTGTTAACGCTCTGTAGTAAGCGCAGTAGTAAAGCGGTGGTGTTACATGGAAAGAATGAAGTAAGAAAGATCGCCTGCGTCTTCTATTTTGCTAGGGAAAGAAATTGTGCGTCTTGAATCTCCATTGTGTCCTCTTCGGTTTGAAGTGAAGAAACTACTGTCGTTTTATACACGAAGCTTGATTCATGCCGAGCGACGCTCGATCTGTGATTCTTTCATTGGTGCTCCAAATGCAAAAACCCTCCAGCTAGTGAAAGAGAGGTAAATATAAAAAAGTGTCCTCGTTGTTTATAGATGCAACAATTTTCATCCTGTGTATAAAGATAAACAAAACTATCACCGCGGATCAACGATTGTGGGCTACTAGTATGAGATTTTGAAAGTCATAAATCAAACTAGTAGCTACAGCACCAAACACCTTATTTTCTCACGACGAAAGACATGGTTCCATAATTGCGTTTCCGCATGCCATGTACATGTTATCTTCATCGTCTTCCACTTCCACTTTCTTCTAATAATTTTCTCATTGTCCACGTCATTTGAAAAAACATGCGAGCAACTAATTTTACAAACGACGTTGACAAAATGGTTGCGCTTAGGTCAAACAATTTTAAGATGATCTTGGTGTTTTTCCTCCTTGCGAAAAGCGATAACGCGAAGGTAGATGCAGCATCGCCTGTCGCCCCCGCACCTTCGAACTTACCCAGTGCGACTACCAGCTTTGCGATGCCTGATGCGACCCGTCGGACGAGTCATGAGCTTTCTCTGTTGCGGAAGCTTTTGCAGGACGAAGCATCAAATGAGAAAAATACATCGAAGGAAGGAGAGCCGCAGCAGGCGGACGTGTCGCAAGCACCGAGTTGTGGACCTCCGCCCGGAGTGAATTCGCCCGAAGCTGACTCTTCTGGTCGACTTCTTGTAGAACAAGTTCCTGCCACGATATTTCGAGACCCTAGTGGAGATAGTTAAGTAATAGTTTGACGAAGGAACAAGCATTCGAAGGTCCAGCTGTAACCGTTTCTCGAGGAAGCGGAGCTCATGCCTCACCTGCTGCAGCACTTGGGAACCAGGAGTTTTTGACAAAACCGCAGGAGAACGAAGAGGGAATAGTGTGGCGCCCGCGCACTCGCCGAGGAGGCATGTGGATGAGAAATTCACAATGGGCAGCCGGATATGGTGGAAAGAACTATGACAATGAGTAATATGAGAGTGCGTGTGCGCCGCCTGCCTCATTTTCATATGCTGTGGTGGGCCATGCTATCCCTGTGCCGCTTGCATCCATCATAGGTGAATATGGAGTGCCTTCGCCAGCACCACTTCACAAAAACGAGACGGAGACAGTTGTACAAGAGCAGGTGTGGTGCCCACGAACCCGACGGGCAGGCATGTGGAAGAGAAAATCACAAGGCTCCGGGAAAAGAACTCAAAAATGCGGAGGACGAGGGCACAGTTCGAAATACCGGCTTCCGACGCTGAGAGGGTCGCGAATCACCACAAGGGTTGTCGGGGTCCAGTTAGGCGAAGCTGTGCTGCGTGTTCGTCAAAAATCTCATTTATATAATCAATAAGATCGAGTGAATGAAAAAATAACAATTGTACTGAAGCTTCTGGGAGTATAAGTTCTAAGTTTTGAGTAAAAAAAGCATGATGAGGTGAATAAAAAAAGTGGCTATTTTATATGCGCTTTTTAAGGAAAAAACGAGACATCTGAAAAGAGAAAGCACTTGACCTCCTCCCATGACAGGAAGTGATACAGTTTTTTCCCGTTAGCTTAAGAGGTGTGCTGCGAATCTTGTTCTTGCCTGACTTTTGCCGTTTTATAAGGTGAAGGTTTAGGTCCAGCGACGCTTAAAGCACCTCAGTAAAACAGCCGGTTAGTTTTCCCTCTAAGCTTAGGCTTATCCGTTCATGCAATAATCGATAAGGTGCTTGGCCGCGTTTGTTATAAGTAGGTAATCCAATCTTGCGATATTTCAACGTGCTTCTAGTGGGATTCGAAGACGCACTCAACGTACTTTGTTGCGCTTGCTGTATCCTGACAGTTTGTTTCCTTTACAATTCTCACTTTATGATTTGTGATCTTGTAACGTAGTGATAATTCTTACAAATTTCTAACATGAGACGGAAGAGCAAGAAAGATTGTAGGTTTTGTGGGAGATCAACTTCCGCGAGATGATGTTAAAACTGTACTTTGTATAATTTCTGATCGACGACGAGGTAGTGATAGAGACTCTTCTATCACGACTGGGTAAAGCAATCAGCTGCAACGCTCTTCTACCTAACTAAGGGTGGAGGCAGCGTGTGGCCTCGATTGTCACATGATTATGGAGTCCGTCATCTTCGGTTTTTGTGGAGTCAGCCAGAGTGAGATCTCACTCTGTCCAGAGCCTTGGAGCAAAGAAATCATGTGGCTTGAGCAGAGAATTGCTGAGCAATTGGGATCTATACTTGTTTCAACTCTGTAATTCTGAGCGACACCACAGGTACAAATACTTTCTGTGAAAAGAAGAGGACTACTGACTCGCAATCAACATTACTGAAGCAGTCAGACACTTTGTCGTCGGCGGATTGAGTCATCTGTTGTTGTTGAGCGTTCATCACTAAACGTTGTCTGTTGAATAGAGTTGGTCGACTTGTGACAAAGGCTTGAGTGTACTTTGAATTGATGTTGGTATACCCCTAGTATAAGTATACTATAGTCTGTCATCAAGATGCAACTCCGCCAGTTTTCTGTTTTCTTTATCTCTATGACCATCGAGGTGTGCCCCGTATGCGTAGTGATCACCACCCCAGTGCATCAATATACCTAAAAGTTGCCCTTCCCTTGTGAGCTCTTCAATTCGAAATTTTTTGATCATCATGTTTTCTGCTCAAGATCCATATCCTCGAAGTGCGGCCTCTTACGGCCCGCAACGCTTCACAGCAAACATAGCGACTTCATCCTTTGTAGGCTCGTCACCTTATGGCTATGGCAGTTACACTCCATCTTATGATAATTCGTTTTCGCGTCCACGCTGGTCTTCATACTATGTCTCTGATTTTGTAGACAAGAACCAACATGATGACGTTAGTGCTGCTTTTGCACCCTATTGTGCTTACTCGCGATCAGGGTCACGAGCTAGTAGGTCCCTCCCCTACGAAAAAGTCGGACAAGCTGGACAAGCTCCTGCACCTTACTACCGACAACAATCTTTTTTAGCGTCCCCTGGGTCTGCCTATCATGGCGCGGAGCGTACCAATTGGGTCGTACTCACCGGCTGTCCACCTAACGCGTGGCCGCTTGCTCTGCGGTATTTCCAGCAAATGGTCCGAAGTCCAGTCATTGAAACGCGTCGTGGCGTTTACCTAGACGAGTTAATGGTCCGTGTGGCTGACCAGAGCGGCGTAGCCGATGCTTTAGGGCTGAATCGGATGAGAAATAAAGACAGCGGCGGCCAGTGCCATGTAGAGCTGTGGTTCCATGTGCGTGTCGCTCAGAATCCCCACGATTGGGGTGGTTCTAATCAGGAATTGCCGCATGTATCGAGTGCTGCAGGTGTGGGCAATGTTGGAATGACCAACGACATGTCGAACGTAAGCAACTTTGCACAGTTTTCCTCGCCTTACTACAGAGGGGCAGCCGGAAGAAGCGTTGGAGGATCAACATCAGGTGGTACCATCATCGGTGGCGGGACAAGTGGTGTCTACTTTTCTCACGACTTCTACGGGAGGACAACATCTTCCGCACTTCCAGTTTTTGCACAATACACTCCCTCGTATCGACGCAGTCGGATAAGCTGTGCAGTTGATGCTTTTTTGAGCTGGTTCTTCAACTAGCCTTGAAGATGATAGCCGCATGCGTACCAGCAGGATTTTTTACTCTTTGTGATCATACACTCCGGATTCCTTGTTCTTGTATCCTCTCGCTTCCATAATATGAAATTATTCCCTGTATGTATAATTCGAAGTGACTTGAGATTCTGTACTATGAGTTTTCTTCCGAAACCTGCTGGTGAGCAGAAAACAGGATTCAATTATATGTACTTACTCAGACAGAGAGACGGATTTTCAAACAAGGTAACGCCGAAGTGGAAACCGGCCAGCGTGAGACAATACTGTTCTAAAATTTTTCTAGAGCGCCTTAGCTACCTAGAACACCAGATAAAGACGGAAAGATGAGCAGGATGTGCATTTGACAAGTAATAGTGAGAAAACAGACTGTACTCTGAAAATAAAAGGACCAGTTGCGAGTGCCATGAAAATTCATGACACGACCAAATTAATAGTGAGAAATTGTGAGAAGAAAGTGCCGTTGCGACAGCACACTGATAAATTGTAGAAATTGAAATTTGATTGTCGCTGTTGAGACTGGTATGCCAAGAGCAACGACATTTGGAAATGAATACTGGATATTTTTCGAGTTCTAGAAACCACGAAGAGGAAGAGCGCGATTAACATGGTATTCCTGCAAGACGCAGATTCCGGAATTCCATCGAATGCTACCGCAGTCGAGTCCAACGCCACAGCGACTGCGACTACGCAGCGACGTTGCGAGCCATTTCGGAAGAAGAGTCACAAGGATGACACTTGCGCGATCGCATCATCCTATCAAAGAGCGCGTCTCATGAGGCACAAACGCCGTCGGCGAGCGGCATTTTTTCGACGGAGGACGTGTGGCATAGAAACACTGACTCGCACGCTCTCCTGCACTCTAGTGTGGGAGGGAGCACTGGGCCTCAATCGGCCTCCTGAGCACCATCTCTTGCGGCGCGGAGACGATGCGAGAGACGATGATCAGCAGCATGCACGAAATCAACATGAGATTGATTTTGAAGAAGGAAATGAATCGGCAGCCTTATCTTCGTCAAGGAAAGCATTCGGAGAAGAAGGGGACACTGCGACGAAACATACACACAAAGCAGGCAGTCAACGGACGAACAATCACGATAGAGATGGCGTAGCACATGAATACAGGGTCCCCAAGGCTACTTCTAGTGATACCAGAACGCAACATAAATTAGCTCGTGCGGCGTTCCATGTCTCGCCTCAAGCGGTACTAGAGAGAAACCCAATAGAAGTGCAAGCAGTTGCAGATCTAATCGAGGATGCGAGAAATCCGGACTACACGTATTTGCGCCGTGATACTCGACATGCATCGCCAGGACGTGATGTGAGAAGAAGTGGCCATCACAGGAAAACGCGGAAGACACATAGAAACAGACATCATGACGCGGAGGCGGCTTCGTCGGATGAAGAACAAGGTGAAGACAGTGCGCGAACGCAACACGATCGAAAAGTGGGCGTCGATATCGATCAATCCCACGACACCGCAGACAGAAGCAGCCTCGAACAGTTGGAGGCTGGAGAAGCATATGACGACGAGCAGGAGAACGACGATGAGAAAATTCACGATAACGACCTACACGACGACGATGACGAACCACGACACGCACTCGATTTTCAAGACGGCCACCGGTACGACAAAGGCGTCGCTGTAAACAGCTGGTCGAATCGAGACGCCATAGAAGAGGTCGCTGCACTGGTGAATGACTTGAGATACCCCTTCGAGGCATCCTCCAGCGGTCTTGAGGAGAGAGAAGGCCGGAATTATGACGAGTCTAATTCGCTAGTAGCCCACAGGCGGGCAGCACGTAGAAGACATCGGCAAAAGCGGCGTGCGCTTCGCCAAGAGGAACAGTTTTTACATGATACCGATAGGAAGAGGCGCCATGGCCATAGCAGCCTCGGACATCTTCACCATCAACACTATATGCCGAAGAACGATGACGACGATGATTCAGGTCCTAAATACCAGCATCACAGCACCAGTAAGCATCACAAAAAACACGACGATGATGGCAAGGACTCAGGAACGCACAAAAAAAAGAGCGATGACGATGATGCGAACCACGATGAGAATACGGACGGAAAGAACGACGACGAGGATAAGAGCAACGATGATGACGATCAACATCAAGAACAACAGGACGTCGAGGAGGCGGATAACTCCCCGAAAGCTGCAGGAGGATTTTTTAGCACGATCGTCAAAGGAGTACAGCGCTCCCTGTACTACATCGTTGTTGTGCTGGGAACGCTGCTGACTTTTTTCATAACCTGGATATGCGGCGGTCGTTTAGCAACAGCCTTATACACGCGGTGGAGACGAATGAGTATTTGACACCACCTGCACTTCGTGCTTACTATACTAGGATTTTCTAGCAATTTCAATTGAAGTCCAAATGGTATTTGCAGGGTCATCTTGTTGCAATAACTACAGACGCAGTCCGGTCCAGCGCCACGGGTGGTGGCTCGCGTCCTACATCAGCATCGCCGCGGCGACAAAAGAGGCCCGACTCTGGCTCGCGTGATGCAGATAGATCAGGGGCGGCTCGCCGATTGACCTTCGCGGGCTTAGACGGCGACAGCGATGCCGAAGTGTCGGATGCCGGGTTGCACTCGGGAGCCGAAGCCCCCGATATCGGTGATGAAGACAGGAGTAAAAGCGAGAGTCGTGAGGGCAGCCCATCTAGTGGGGTTTCTCGAAGTATAGGTGCAGCGGCCTCTACTGCAGTTGCAAGTAACAAAAACAAGCTTGATGTAAATCGGTACTATGGCCGAAACGGAGAAGATCGAGCGGCAGAACGGGCTCAAGATCCGTCGTCCTCTGAGGAGCCTTCATCCTCCGCAGTTCCATCGTCAAGCGAGGACGGATGCCCGACCGACTATGCCGCCCTACGGCACGAAACGGCAATGCAAGCGAGACGGGCGTCTAGGCAAGAACGCAGGTCTCCTGCGCGTGGAGGAGCTGCCCTTTCTCCGCCTACTGGGGTTCTCAAAAACCCTCCAACAGCGGCGAAGATGTCTCCACCGCCTCCACATCCTAAAACCCAGAAAGGCCCTCCAGAACTACATCAACTGGAAGATTCTCCCTTTGACGCATCGTCTCGCGAGGATGACAACGATGATCAAAGAAGTGAAGACGCTGAGGCCGACCTTGGTATCGGGTCGTCAGCTCAAGGATCGGCTTCGGCTTCCGCATCTGCCTCAGAGGTTTACGAGGCCTCTGATGTGTACGAAACAAGTGACGCAGGCTGAACACTTGAACAAGCAGCACATCACGCGTTGTTTGTTTCTCATAGATACAATGAATATAACAAGAAAGAACACTTCTACTTAGTTCATCTAGGTCCCAAGAGTATAATAGTAGTACAGGAACAATGAATAGCGCGTCATTTATGTCAACTTGAAAGTCTTGAAGCAAGAATTTTCATCACTCAACAACCTCAAGCGCACAATGCACAGATGATCCTCCATCGTTTTCTTATTTTGATCGTTACTTGCTTTCGCCACACCGAGCAGATGCACAGATGCAGTAGCAGCACTTTTCAGGTACATGACATTCGTTTCCAAGAATTGAATGACACAATTGACGTCTCAAGAGATTGACTATGTGCAGCACTAGCAGCTGTGATGGACAAGTTCAAAAATAGGCCGATTGTTAGAACACGCAAATCGCGAAACTTTGTTGTTTGCGGAAGAACTCCTATTTCATGAACAAGCAGGGCGTTTGAGTTTGTTGTCCTCCAGTTTTTGTTCCTTGTGATTGTGTCGTCCTTGATGTTGGTTTAGCATTTTGTTCTTGCGGCCTCGTCCACCTCCACTCGGACTTTTCAGATGTTGAAGTAAGTAAGTCTCCGATGGGGTTACTTTTCAATTCCATTCCTATTTTATTCCCTTGTGCTGCTTCTGGTTTAGGATTGATAATTACAGAGCTGCGAGGACAAAATGATGGCCACGCAGCACGTCGTAGATCATGTTAATGACCAGCATCTACTTGTTCAGTCGAAACATTTGCTGCAGTTGCACCACCAGCAGACTGCCAGTGAAGCGAGTAGTTCGATACAACAGGGACGTTCACGTGCAGGATCATCTGCAGAGCAACGAGAAGACGACCGCAGAACCCGAGCCGATGTTTTAGTACAAAACGCGGTACGCCGACGCCTGCTAGTGCAAACAATCGCCGCACAGCAGGAACGAGAGCTGGGCCGACCTGAAGATAAGAATGGTGGTGACAATAAAGGCAAAGGTTCTAGCGATGAGGATGAAGACGACCCGCAAAAGCACGCGCAGCAAGAGCTCGAGTCGATTCGGACGGAGATCGAGACGGAACTGTACCCCCGGGTTGTGACGCAACAGCGCGAGATGGAGAAAGCGATGGGTCGGAATACGGAACTGTTGGAAGCGATACGAAGCCGGAAAAGCCAGAAGAATCAGATGGAAACGCAAATAGAACGCTTGAGACTCACGTTGGAACGTTTCTTTCGTGAACAAGTGGACGACGCAGTTAGAAGGAGACGAGAAAGATGCGCGCTGTCGGGTGAAGCACGGCAAGCTGAAGAGGAGCAGAAAGCGGAGCAATGGCGATTGAAGATGCTAGAGCTTCTTGCAGTTTCGTTGTTGGGGCAAGAGGCTAGGGTGCTCGTCTATTCAAGTAGCGGTAAGCCTTGTTCGTCCGAACAACATGGTATTCGAGACAGCGTAGCTTCGACGTATTTGTCTGACGGTAGTACCAACATGAAAGCCGCAAGTCTCACCAGCGGCTCTGTAACTATCGACGACGAGCTATGGAAGAAAAATATGTACTCATTCTCGGAAACGAGACTCAAAAATTTTTCGCGTGTTGAGATTTCGCCGCTTGGCTGGCCACTCACAACCGGCGCCGGGCGCAATCCATACTGCGAGGGGACAGGCGTGGCACGGGAAACCCAGGAGAGAGGTCAAACAAAGCCACCCAAACCGACACAAGCCAGCCCAAGAACAAGGGCGCCAGGCGCTCTCTTCCTGCGGCTCTGGCGCCACGCCATCACCTTGCTGCCTTAGGGAGTCTCCCGCGCACACGCGCGGCGGGTGCCGGTGCCCATGTGCGTCGCTGGTGACGAGGCACACGCCAGACAGCTCGTAGCGATGCTATGCCAAGAGAAACAAGGCCCACTCATGGAGTAGCCAAGAGCCACGCAGACAGCACCTCTCCGAGGGCGGCGCACAGCGGTGACGCTGCGCGACCATCTTGGGGACTTGGTGCGCGTGTGTTGTTGTACCTTCTCAAGAGGTTTGAATTAAATTGCATACTTTTCTCAACGCTTGCGTCTGGGGTGTGTGTCAACCCCTCAGATCCAGACGTTGAGAAGATTGCCCATTTTAATTCAAAGATAGCAGGAATCTAGTGCGAGGAAGCTCCCGAGAGCGGTCCAGATTTGGGAAGGCTCCAGCGCGTGCAAATCTGGACAAGCTTCGCGAGCCTTTTCCCACTGGATTCCGACTATGTACGAATTAAAGTGCATCTTTTTCCCAACCTTTGAATTCTGAGGGTCGGACACACCTGAGACGCGGACGTTGAGAAAAAGATGCAATTTAATTCACCCCTCGAGCCTCTCCGGCACTAGAATCCGCCACCTGGTCGGTGTGTGCTCCAGTCGGGCCCGATACCCTTGGCGCAGCTCTTGGGCGAATCTGTTGAAAGGCTCCGAGAGCTGACAGGCGGCGGCGGCTGCTGGCTCTCTGGCTGAGTGCCTTCACGGTCTGCAGCGCGGCGCCCACTCTTGCCCCCGTTTCGCCGGGTGTGGGTGCCTATTTTGCGCTGCTTTGGTGGATTGCTCCCAGGAGCCGCGTGCCGCTTCCTTGGCGCCAGAGTGCAGACGGCGGGTCCCTGGCGTCCGATTCTTGGGCTGGTTTGTGCCGCTTTTGGTGGTTTTGGCTGGCTTTTCTTTGGGGTTCGCGCGCCACGTCTGTGCCCTTGCTATAATTACGGCGCTCGGCCCTCGTTGTGGCTTGCCAGCCAAGCGGTGAATTCTCAACATAAAAAAACTTTTTTAGTCTCGTTCTTGAGAATGAGTACAGTTTTTCTCTCCATACGAGCGACCTGGTAAACAAGCCATAAAGAACGAAGGAGCCACAGGAGAAGAGCTTGAAGACGTAATCTCGAAGATAGTACAACCTGAAGTAAGAGCACTTCCCTCCAGTCTGCGGAGGAATCCCCGATATCTGTTTCTGCAACGTCAACGTGAGCAGCAAGCCCTTTCCAGTGCTGAAAAAGAAGCACTCGCGACGACTCAGGAGGACGGACTACATCTAGCGCTTTGCCTACATGATTTCATGGCGACAGTTTGAATTGAAGGCAGGCTCCTTTTTACTGAAGTAGAAGTCGATTTATCACTTGTCTTTATGAAAACAGAAATAATGTTATAGCTCTGACGGTTTACCCGCGGAAGCAATTCGAAGTTTCCCTCTTATCACGTGGCGAGAGTGTTCCTCTTTTGAGTTTGTTTCGTTTTCGAGAGGATGGAGTGTTGTGACATAGAAAACCTATAAAAATTTAGATGCACAGGAAATGTTTTTCTTTGAAATTTTGCAAAAGTGGAAAAAGAAATCTGCAAATAGTAAACATAGCACAAGCAAACAGTGAAGAACAAATCTTTAGGGAAAACGGGAACAGGAGTAGGAGAGGTAAATCCTCATAAGCGCCTCTTATATTTCTTGTGCTTGTCGTTTAACCACAAAAATTCCATCCATGCCCTAGCGGGAATCCTCGCCCAGGTGATTAGATGAAATAGCTTGGCTTCACGAAGCATCATCAAACAAAGTTAAACGGGCATCTTGAGGATGACAGATGTACTGAAACAATGACTGATTTGTTCTAAATAGGACATAACAAGAACAAACCCTAAAAATAGGGCATTAGAAGTCGTTGCACAAAAAATGTCATTGTTCGCACGCGCACCGGTGGGTCCAAGCCTAGGTGGCGGAGCATCATCTAGGCGGCGCCTGGCCAGTGGAAGATCGTACTCTTTCACTGGACTTCGCAGTAGGGGTTTCAGCGTTGTCTCTTCGACGCTGCTCCTATCTCTGACCTTATTCTTCGGACATGTCGCAGGAGCCCAGTCACAAGACCCGGACTGCGTCGTCGATAATCAACAGGCGAAATGTTGTGAAATGCTTATGGCTCCAGGGAGCACGCTTCCAGACGGAACGCCGTGCTTGATAGCGAATATGATTGGGTAAAAGTGATCTTGTATTGATCATCTCAGCAATAGCTGCATCGAAATCTCGTAGTTCCTCTAGTCCACCAAAGTAAAGGTCATCAGTAGCTTACTCTTCCACTAGTAAGTACGTTCTCTACTTATGTTGAACCATTTGAATTAGCATAATTTTGGAATCACAGGAACCAAGGAGAAGTTTGCTCTGTGGCGTGCGAAAAACGGTACAAGTCATTAGGCCATGAGTGCTGGTCGCGACACCACTTAGGAGCATTTTGGACAACCATGAGGCAGCTCTGTGACCCCCAGAATGTACTTACCTGATTTTGCCTTAAACAAGTTTTTTCTGATAGTCACGTACAACCTGGTGCTAGCCAGCACTTCTGAGGGCTCTAGAATCTCGTCTAAGCTTCATCATTATTTCATAATATGTCGTGCGCCCGGGTGGATTGGTAGAGTAATACTTTCCATACACATACTACAGTATCACGAATATACATGAAAATGAAATTCAGAACTACGAAATCAATGGCTTCTTCGATCCGCCATCGGACCCAACGCAGAATCAAGCCGGGGTAAATCCAGCTTCCATTGGTGCGAGTCTCCGACGGTCAGATGCGAGTGCGCTCACGCTAGTCTTCGGAGCCCTTTTCCTCTCGATTTTCTACTCTCGCAAGTCACAGCGATGACAGGAGCCGTGTCCTCTCCATTGTAATTGTGATTGTTCTCACGTCAAAACAAAAATTCATTTTTAACTCAGATGAACCTTGTTGCTTGTTGTTTCGTTGCCTTGAGATGCACAAGTCTCAATTCTTGGTTGAGGAGCCAGTAGTTTGACTGTTGAGCATCTTGATCATTCACCTGCTGGCCAAAAACGTGTATGTAGCCAAAGATAAAGGGGCCACCTCGGCATCTAGAGAAAAAAAAGAATCGCTGACGGATCTTCTGAGGCAGCAATAGTCTGGAGTGGAGCAAGCACAAGAATGTCTGAATATATAATTGAGGACCATGACCGTGGCGGTAGGGTCATCGTGCGGGAGCATAGTAGTGATAATAATAACCCCGACCGTTTCCCGAGCGCAAACCCAAACACATGATTGAACTCTTGGTTTCGAAGCTGTGGATTTTCCCTTGCCGCAGCTAATTTTTAGTCTTTTCATTTTCTCTCCCTGGGGGAAACAAAGAGAAACATTATTGATTGAACATAATTTCGGATTGACGCATCTAACTATGTAGTAGGCAGACAAGAGGCATCAACTTCAACAAGATCCCGTTTCCGTTACTGATGTTCGGTTCAATCGATCTCGATCAAAAGGATCCACATGATCCAGATGATATTCTGTTTCGTACCTCCACGTCCTGCGAAGTCATCAGAAACTTCAATGATCTGATGTTCAGCAACTTCAACAAGCTCAAAGTCGTAAGATCTTACGCAACAGGAGTTCAAGAACATTCTTGCTTCTTCAACGACAGATCTCCGTTCAACTACATCTAGAGGGGGAAAATCTTTCTCGAGAAAGACGTGCTAAAAGATCACGACGTGTTAACTTACAAATCCTCACGTGCTTTTGATTCTTTTGGCATCGTCTTGAACCAACTTCTTTATGCATGTTGATTTGTTTTTTCAGAGCACCCCGCAGGAGGAGGACGGTCCATTGTAGTGATTATTCTTTTTCAGTACCCACGAGAAAGGACCTACTTAGGCGTAATAGTAGCTGTCAAATGTCATCAAGTAGACGAATATAGTCGCTATTCGATTTGGCTACCTAGATTGATCGCTTTTACCCCGTAGCCGTACTCATTGCCATTCCCATTGCAAAGTGTGTTTAACGACCTCTTGTTAACCGAAATCAAAGCCGTGATACTTCACCCAAACAAATCGACGACAATGGCGTTTGATTCGGCAAATTATTGTCCTGTGTGCTGCGCCGCACTAGATTTCACGCAGTCACAGAAGAAAAAATGCCAAATGTGCGATTGGGGAGTGCTCATAGACGAAAAAGAGGCGCTCTCATCAGCCGTTACAATAGTCAAGCAAGCACAGGTAACTATTTCCGACGTTTTCGAGATTTGCTACAGAAGATTAAGATATGTTGATTATCGTATTTAAATTCTAGTTTTTACGGTGGTTTTTTATTGCCTTCACCATCATGGAATCAATTGTAACGCACTCAACTACACGAAATTTCAGGTAAAGCGATGGCAGAAGGAGAATGCATTTGCAGTACCTAGCGGTACTAATTACGCGGAAATTCAAGAAGAGTGCCCACAATGCGGCAACGATAGGTTAATGTTCTGGACACGCCAGACAAGGAGTGCTGATGAGGGTCAAACGTGCTACTACCAATGTTCGAAATGCGACTTTAGAAAAGCGGAAAATTCATAAGAAATCATTGTGTCGGAACACAGTTGAAGATTATAGTTCCACCATTTGTAAGATCATGGACCACAACCACATGATAAGCATCACATTCACGTATTCGCTTTCTAGTGCGGAAGTGGCAGGTGCAACATTCTGAGGATATGCTTGTGTGTTCTTCCACATTTTGCTGCTGCGAGGCATCATCCACAACAAGACCAACGAGTAGGACTTGTTTACCTACATAAAAATCAAGAGACTTTTATTATGGAAGTGATACATTGCAACTAGGCTTGACTGCGACCTCCTAAACCTTCTGTCCCGCAAAGATGACATCAGAAGAAGACAAACAGAATAGAAAGGGGAGCAAATTATGATAGATACAATGTTTGAAGCGTACTAAGTAGAGGAGAAAAAGATCCGAAAGAAGTCACTAATTTTTTTTTTTCTTGAGTGGAAACAAAAAACACATCTTTGTCGTCCCACTATTAAGAATTAGACTGAGTAATGTCAATCTTCAAGTAGAACATGTGGCCCCGTCGTGCGGAGCGGGATCTTCCACTGTTGTCTCCGGGGCGGTTGTGGGACGATGACGGTGAGGGCGACGATGACGAGTGGAATGAGTGGTGGAACGGAATTCCAAAGAAATACATCCGGACAGCGGCCGAGGACTATAACCATGAGTTCGTCTTATCCGAACTCGGTGCGTCATCTGGCAGATTGCGAGCTCGCGATGCAAATTACTTCGCCAACCGCGAAGTTTCGCCGGCGCGCACGCCGACCGACATGGTGCAACGGTTGCCCAAGCTCAAGATGGAGGACTTAGTCGACGAAGACGATGACGAAGCATGTGCGAAGGAAGCCGGCGACCACGGTGACGCTAGAGATGAGGATGAGGAAGATGACGATGCACTAGGGCTAGATTCGCTCTGTGAAGAAGAAATTGAGGAAGAAGAAGCCGTACAAGTACAAGATGCCAAGATATCAGCCAAGGCTGAGGGAGCAGGAGGCGGTCGGGATAAGGAAGGGCCCGTGTCGTGCCCTCTAGGACCAGAATTTCTAGGACTGTCTCCTCTTTCATCGTCGCCCGCAGCGTCGGCGGCAGTGCTGTGGGACGACGACCAAGCCGCAAGCAAGGAGGAAGACTCGTGCAGCAGTTTCGACGCTGGCGGAACGGGACGAGGTGATGGAGTGCCAACAGCAGAAGTCGAGATCACGAACGCGCATGCTGCTGTGGGTGCTTTTTTTCATATTTTTAGCTAGACACACACAGACTCTCACGCGTGTTGCTTATACAGTATCGGTTGTTCTTCTTTCTTCGCATAAAGAGCATTCGTTTCCAATTCAACATCAAGAAGATTCTGGTTTCGACATCGGCTGGAGCAACCTCAGGTTTAAGCCCTTCGATATTTTTACATTACAGGCGGAACAAGCCCGACATTCTACCCCGAGCTTGCCGACCAAGACCAGGAAGACGTCGAAAGTTTAGGGGATTTGCTGGCGCAGGTCGAGGACGACGCTAACAGGGGCAAACAGAGTCCGGAAAAGCCACAAGAGTTTCCCGCGACTCAAGAGGATGCTTCTCAGCAAGCATCAGTGTTGAGTAACGGTAGTACCCCTGCTGCTACTCCGGCTCCTGTCCCTGCAACAAGTATCAATAATACGAGACTACAAACAAACCTTTTCTCTCAACAAGATGTAGTTCACAGAGAAGAAGTACGAGGTACAGCTCGCACAACCATCAGCAGACCAGTTCTTGCGGAGCAGAAAACGATTTTGGGTATTGACGACCTCGAAAGTGATCATAGCGACGACGATACTTTCTCAGAGCAGCGCGCAACCACAAATCCACCCAGTATTGGGCCAGCAATCGCGCAAGAACAGCTGCCGGTCCAATCACAGCTCTTGTTAGAACATGATTTTGAATGCCATGCACTATCATTATAATCTTCTTCGATCGTGTAGGTTCTTCTATCTAGTTGTAGGTACTCTCACGACGTTGACTTTGACTATTGGATCGATCCTCTTGATTATACAGGTCCCAACGCATGCAAGTGCCAAGATTTTTACGACTTCCCCTGATAATAACAACAAGCGCAAGACGTTTGGCGATATTCTTGTTGGATCACCAACAAAAGCAGTAGACACAAGTGCAAAACCGCCAGCGCGTACTACACCACTCGCAGATATGTTTGCACAACCGAAAAATCTCAAGGCAGCGGGAGAAGACCATGACTGGACCTCGGACTCAGACGATTTCGATTTTGAAGTATTTTTTCGCACTTTTTCTAGGTCTTAGCTAGCGACAGAGTCGTCGCGAATAGGCTAGGATCAAAATCAATTGATAATTTCAATTTCTATAATCGATATGCACAAACTATGTTTTCAGAATTTCCCAGTAGCTACTAGACTTGAGCGCTTGGGAGCACTCGCCCCACTAGGATCATCCACCCCCGGCACGCACTTCCTCAATCCCGGCGCGTTTCCGCTTCCCCGGCTCCTCCCCCGTCTGGCGGCGTTGATCGTTGGGACAAGAGTTGGGCGGGGGACGGCGTGCGGCCATTAATTAAGATGGCAGAGATCGAAGTCGTTGGCGTGTAGGTTTGCGCTTATCTTGGAAGGTTTGGCCTCCTTTGCGTGCAAGTTGCAGCGCTCGAGCTTGCAACTTGTCGAAATTCCTCTGCTTGTGATACACTCAAAAGCTTTGGATTGGAATCTTTTAAAGTCATTTTGCTGAGATATAATCAAAAAGTTTGGATTCGAGTCCTCAGATTTGAAATTTTGAAAACATTGAGGCGCCGCGTTTAATCTTAAGCGTTCAGCTTTGAGCTTTCAATTTGAAGCTTTCAACTTTCACCTTTGAGTTTTCAACTTTGAGCTTGAGCTTTAAACTTCGGGGCTCCAGCTTTGAGTTTTCAGGTGTGAGCTTTCAGCTTAAAGTTTTCAGGCTTTAAGCTGAGGCATTGCGCTTCCAATCTAGAGCGTTCAACTTCGAGCTTTCGGCTTTGAGGCTGGGGCTTGTTTCAGTCTTGAGGTTGGGTGTAAGGCTTCAGCTGATAAAGTCAAAAGCCTAGGCTTTTTGTGCAAAGTTTTCAACTTTAAAGCCCACGAAGCGCGCGGTGCTTTATTTTAAAAGGGGCGCGACGTCGTGTCAGGGCCCAGGGGTTCGCGTGTTCGTGTGTTGTGTTTGTTGGTGGATTAGAAAAGGAGCGGAAAAACTTGCGACGGACTAACGATTTCTACTTCCGTGTTTCCAATGGACCATCGAGCACTCGCACACTTTTTGTGCAAGTGCTTTCGGTTCAATTGCTTTTGGTTCGGGTGTGTTGGGTTCGGATGTTGGCGGGGTCGTCGTTGGTTTTGTATTTAGCTTTTTAACCTTTTCGCTTCAACGTGACTAATAAGATATATGCGAGCGCATGTTCAAGACTTTAGATAGATTTCTTGCGCTGGGCATGGATTTTTTAGAAATAATTAAAATTTTTGAAGTTCAAATCGTAAAAGTTTTGACTTTATTTCGCAAAGTTCGAATTTAATACGCACCCGCGTGAAATCTAACCAATTCGTAGGCCTCGGAAGTTCATTCAGATTCAGAAGCTCATGAGTTCAGGCGTTGGGGGTTGGGGAGTCGGGTGTGGATGAGTGAGAGTTTGGCGCTCCGAACTGGGAGGGTGAGAGTTTGGCGGGGTCGTCGTTGGTTTCTCAATATTAATCGCTTTAATATGATAGAACATTTCGTAAGAAGGATGTTGGATTGGATGGATTGCGTGGCATTGCATGCATTGCATGAGCCGAGGGGGTCAGAGTGCGACCTTCTTAAGGGAGCGACACGGGAACGAAGATTCAGGGCGCGGCATAGGAATAATTGGCTCCGTTGTAGGAGTAAGTACTTGAATAGTGCTGGCACGTACTAGCTATTGTAAGTAGCTCGACTAGGCTAGCTTGCCTGTGATCTCGACCGTCTTGCTCACTGTTCCCTGGCGCACACAGGCCACGGCGTTTGCGCTGCTCCTTGCTTGTTTCTGGGGCGAGGTCACAGTGGGGCCGTGTTTGTGTTCGTGTATCGTAAAGTAATTCTCCGGCGGAGCCGCCCGGTATTGCGGAGGAAGTATGGCGCCCGAAGGGCGCCGCGAGAAATATATTGTTTTTTGGGTAGTCCATCCATGCAATGCATGCCATCCATGCCATGCAATCCAGAAGTTCGGAAGTTGCCTTATATTCTAATATGATCAGAGGGCTTCCGCATCGAAGTTAGATTAGGTTTGACGCCATTTCCTTGATGATGATCGCACACACTCTTTTTCAGTATATGTAACATTTTTCATTTTTAAAGCGAAAATGTGAAGAAAAGTTTGTCAGGGCAATACGAACCGGAAGACGAAGGGAAGACAAGGACCACCCGACTCAGCGTCCGCACTTACGCAAGCAGACGGACCGGCGGGTTCATCCAGTTCACAGCCAAATCGTAGTAGCAACCCGGTTGCAGGAGATCGAGTGCTGGTTGGCGAACCTTCTATCGAGCAGAAAGAGGAATCTCCGTCCGCCAGTCTTGTTTTAGCCTCCGTTGTTCAGGATCAGGTTGCAGGAGGCAGTAGTCTTGTCGTGGCGGAAATACAGCAAGTAGCAGTTCCTCCTACTGCTTCAAATGAAGACCAACAAGTGACGATGACTCCAAAGTTGGAGGAGCAAAATGCTGAGTCTACGCCAGTGAATGACCCCGCAACTAGACCAGCAAAGCCACAACGACAAACGGGAACGCCGTCGGATCGTGGAAGTACCTCTGTAGGTTTTGCTAATGCACGTGCGGGGACGACTGCTAGCGATCACATAACGAGTGTAACAACAGCCTCGTCAACTTCGGCTTTGGCTGCCGCTTCATCTAGCCATGTTGTTGCCGAGGCTGCGAAAATGAAAGACGAAACGGTGTTGAACAAGGAAAGTCCACTGCTTGGGGCAGAAAACTATAACTCCGTTACCAATGACTTGGGTCTGAAGGGCGATATCCACCGCGGAGCTGACCTAGCGTCGATTGAGCAGCATGGTAAACAGCGACTTCCGGCAGACCGTTCAACAGGAGGTTCGTACACTCTTGCGGAGGTGAAGCCAGGCGCTCGCGTTGGTTCTTCATTTCCGAGTTCATCTCTGCCTTCGCAGAGCGCTCCTGGCATCAGTTCGAGCAGCGGCGGAACTGGTGGCGGCCTGGGACTCCGTGATTTTGTCGGCGGAGGTGCAGCACCAGCAAGAGGTGCAGCAAAAACCAGTTTGCATAATCCGAGTGGGGAAGCGGCATTTAGTGAGGATGGCAGAGGGCCCAGCAGCCCAGGGAGTGCGATATCATTGGACCCAGAGGATGGAACGAAGCAGAGAGCGCGGAGAAGCGGCCCGACGTCGTTCTCGCCACGACCAATAGGGCGAGGGAAACCAGGGCAAGTGAACTACAGGGCAGAGGGAGAATCCGATTCTTCGATGAGGCCCCCGTCGTCATCTGCCCGCGACACCAGTGAGACCAGTGCATCCGTGGTATCTCCTACGGGGGGTGGTATAGTGTCGCTATTTGGAGCTCCGAAGATGCTGGTGGATCGTGCACAAACGGCGTTCGCAGCTATAGCGCGAACTGCCTCTGCTGTCTCTTCACCGCATTCGTCCGCCGGCTCGGGCGGGTCGCCGTTCGGATCAATTGGCCGGAAAAAAAGTCCGAAGCGCGCTGCTACATCGCCTAGCCTAGGTAGATTGAGGGAAAAGCCTTCTCCAATCTCGACGCGTGATATCACCCTGAAACAGTATGCTGTGGGCCTGCAGATTCACAATGAGAAGAAAAAAGCGGGATATCCCGAATTAGCGGACAACAACAACATTACGGCGCCCTCGTCGCCAGGTGGAGGTCCTTCACCTTCTGTAACGGCTGGGATGCGTGCCGCGAGCAGTCCTATGGAGTCTTCGTCACCAAGCTCTCCAGCGGTCTCGATGTCTCCATCGCCCTTCCGGATTAGGTCGGTCAAGAAAGGAGGCCAGTTCCTACCTGTGCAGCAGAGCCCACCTGGAATACCGGACAAGCTGAAGTCTTCGCCTGCGTCGTCGTCGTCTCCGCAGTCATTTCCACAGAAGATGAAAACGACTAAATCGGCTGCTGAAGATGACGAGAAAATTGACGAACTTAGTAAGCGTGAGAAGGGCATCAACGACGCCGTTTTTCAACTGTTCGGTGCCGGAGGGAAAGACGATAGCAGTTCGTCTCCAGGTGATGGTAGTACAAGAAAGAGCTCGCAGATTGATCCTCCGAGAAATGACGTACCATCGGGGACGTCATCTGAATACGCAATCGAAGTTCCATCTGACTTTACTCTCGACTCGAAAACTGCGCCCGACGGAGCTGATGAGGACGATGACGCGTCACTGTCCTCGAGAACGAGAGAAGCGCACGTAGACTTGCGTTTTGGCGGAGGTGCTTCGTCTGACATAGTTCCAGGTGCAAAAGGTACAGAGGACACGCCATTGCCTTCGAAGAGTTCATCGGAATACGCTATCGAACTTGTCTCAGACGAAAATCTTTTCACAACAAGCTCAGACACCGCTAACGTCTTCGAACCAGAGGAGCAGGGACGCTCTGAAGGCAGAATAGGGACGCTAAATAAGGAATTTGCAGCGGACTTAGCAGCTCAGCCGAAAGCAGATGAAGAGCAGGTGGCTGCGCAGGACGAAAGCGAGGCTGCGGCGTCCAAAAGTGCTGATGCTGCTGCTTCGGAAGCGGTAGACATGACACCTCCAGCTGTCGAAAAAAGTGAAAAGGAGGAGGCGGCTGATATTCCTGTGGATCAAGATGGCAAAGCGGCAGCGGATGCGGCAGCAGAGATAAAAGAAGTAGAGGAGGATGAAGAGAAAGAGGACGTACTAATAAACCCTCCGACGAGTCCCGATGACTCAACAAGTCCGCAGGAAAGTCCTGTAGCAGAAAGCAAAGCTGGTGAAGAGGACGAAGACGGAGGCTTCGTGTTTCGTTTGAGACCTGAGGATGAGGCGGTCGCATCTGTTGAAGAGGAAGCAGGTGCCGTGGAATCTCCGGATATTGAGGCGCCCGTTAGCATCTCCAAGGAAGAGGAGTCACCGATTATACCTCAGGAAGAACCGCCTACACCGGAGAACGAGGCAAAAGTAACAGTCTCCGATGAATTAGCGGGAGTAGAAGAGGTGGATCCCGATGAAGACCGGCCCACGAAGTCCCCGCGTCTTCCTGAATTCATAAATAAAGGCGCCGCTTTGGTATTTGACGAAGAGGCTGTCACACTCCAACAGCTAGATGGAGCGAGGAGTAGAGCAGCATCCATAGTCTCGGGGACTGTTACTCATGGTGTCACAGTGGAAGCAGCTGGGACAGTGTCCAGTGGTGCCCGAACACCAGCAGCCGATGTTCAGACTCAGTGGCGCTCGCTTGGGCTGGATATTTTCGCGGCAGGCGGAAAAACGCCGCTAGGGTCAGGCGCGGTGACCCCCTCAACGCCACTGCAAAAGCCGCCTACTGCTGGTCCCGAAGGAGAGGGCCAGCCATCGCCTTCACCTGATCGCGGGTCCGCAGTGGTGTCGCCGATTCGGCAACTCGTGCAGGCGGGTCGTACATCCATGGGGCTCGAAGAGCAGCTGAACGAACACGTTTTGGCGAAGGAACGAAAAGCACAACAAGAGGCTGCTGCTAAGGAGGAGGGCGCAGCGGATGAACTCGAGCGTTCACGTGCTGGAGGAGCAGCCGACCAACTCGGCCGATCTGTGTCGACGCCGGTCTCTGCCGTGAGTAGCCGCGCATCCTCAAGACGCGGGTCTCAGCTCGTGCCGCCGGCGCGTAGCAGCAAGTGGAGCAGTGCTGCGACACCTCCGTTGCCGCCTTTTCGCGGCAATGTCTTGCAGGTAGACACTGCGGTTGACGAAACTGACGACACAGGTCGAAAGATCGAGGCCGCTGCTCCACAAACGATTGTGAGCTCTGTGGCTTTTCCCACACCCACAACAGTTGAGGCCACTCTCTCTCGTCGGGAAGCGAATGAAGGTGCAACAGCGTCCGCCAAGACGTCGCTCGAGCTGGCTGCCGAACATCAAGAGCAGCGCCGTCAGAGGGTTCTCGATACACCCATGTTTGGAGCAGGTGGCATCGCGCTGTCATCTCCCATTGACCTAGCTTCTCCGCCGCCGGGATCCGCTAGAGGACTCCGCACGCCTGGCGGTGCGGACGGAGACGGGGGCACACTAGGTGGCAGCATAGCCCGAGCAAAGAGGCAGTGTTCCATCGCTCGTTGCGAGGCAACCCACGTGGAGCCAGCCAAGCAGTATCTGAAGAACGATCCTCTGGATACGTCGTCCTTAGTCGACATTCCGCCCGCTGGCGGCACAACTCCGGTATTGATTTTTCGAGATGACTCAATGCGCAAATGAAGAGTGCAAATAGAAATTTTCAAGTTCATCTTGTGAGGTTAACAACTGAGTTTGTCGACCGCGCTGAAAAAGCTCTATGTCTATCTACTACCGCTCCATCTTCAGGCCCATGCGGGTCCGGCAGTGCAGCCTCATGCGCCGGTGATGCATCCCGGGGATCCACGCGCTAATTACAACTACCACGCTCCACCTCGTGGTGGATTCTGGGTACCTCCGCACGCGTATGCGTACCCTAGTGGCCCTTATCCTGCTCCTTACGGCGGTGGTCCGGAATATGCTGCAGCAATGGGCGCACCAGCACGACCCAGTAGAGTTCCTGCTGCAGGAGCAGAAGCGACAAATTTCTCACGTCTCACTCGCATTGATACGTCCTCTGCGGCTTATTCAGCCGGTGCGGGAGACCAGACGTCGTTTTTGTCTCCGTCCACGATGCAGCAGCATCAATTTCATCCGCAGCACGACGGGCAGGCTGCTCTTGAGGCCGACCACGAATATCTTGAACGATTGCGCGCACGAAGTATTGCTGCAGCGGGCTCCGCGGGAAGCCCGACATCCCACAGCAAGTTGCAACAGCAACAAATGATGCGTGGCAGCCCCGGACCGAATAGTACCACCGATGGTCATCTCGGTCATCTCGGAAGCAGCTCTTTTGGGCCATACTTGCATCACCATCGCAGCGAAAAGGAACTGAGATACCTCCGCAGTACAATGCCCGCAGAGCCGGCTGGATCTATTTTGCAGGCGACTGAGAGGTACGAAATGCAAACAAGCTATACTGCGCGAGCCACTCTGCGACCCTCGATATCCGATCTTCAATGGCGGTTCTCCTCCTTACAACAAAGACTACAAAAGTCTTCCCAGAGTCGCAGAGTAATGCCAAGGAACGAAGATGCAAGTGCAATATTCCGTCGTAGACTTTTATTGGATAAGACAGCTTCTTGACGCACCAAGAACACTGAGTCGTAGTTCTTGATGATTCTTCTTGCAGTATCAGTATGTGAAAAAAGCACAACAACGCAAATAAAAGAGAAGCACATGATGATGATCATATTAATGATTATCTATCATTTTCGACAAGTCCTTTTTTCATCTTGTTTGAGGGACGACGCCTGGCTCTTATTTGTCCTCATGAACCTTTCGTAGACTCTCGCTAGCGCGTTAATTTAGATTCTAAGTCCAAGGCTATTGCTCCAACGAATACTTGCATCACTTTCATCATCGGCTTTCAAAATCTGACACCACAACCAAGGAAACAACAACGTCAACGACTGCGTACCTTTTAAGCTCAAATTTGTTCTTCATTATTAACAGTATTTGAGCTGATTGAAGCTCACATCGTTCGCCAAGAGTCAGAATGCAAATTTCAAGAGACGAGGGAGCACTCGTCCTGCTTCTTAAAGCAGACGGAAAAAAACAAAGAGAAAGAGAATCTTATTAAAGACGTCAGGTGGATACTAGATTTCCACAAAGGAAATGAGTACGCAAGGAGAATGCCGTATCAGTATGATCAGTGTAAGTATGATCAACTATTCACTGGCGTCGGCGTCTGAGATCACTTCAGCAGGAGCAGCTTGGGGATTCTTGACCCTGCTTCCACTTGTGTTTCCTCAATATCAAAAACGAGTCTAACAGCGCTTAAGACACGAAGCACCACAGAATACAATTGTGCGGCGATTATAGGAAAGAAAGGAAAAGGCTAAACTTCATGAAAGAGTTACTTGGGAGCCTTTACTCCCTAGAAGAAGAATACAAATCGTTTACATGTGTCGCAGGACCAGGACCCCTTTGTGGAAGACCCACCACAAGAAAATTTATCACTACCCCACTTCTGGTGGTGCACGATCGCGGGCCTTTTGTCCCCGGTCTTTTTTGAAAAGAAAATTGGAATTATTCAAATCATCAGCACTTTCCACCACACTGTCACACTTCCCGAAACAGAACTATAGTTCACCCTGACTGTCTTGTTTTGACTGTCCCTGCTTCGATTTCCTACGTCAGAGCACTGCACAAGTTTGATTTTCTTCCTCCTCCATACAACAAAGATTCTCGACGTACTTGGTTCCATTTTTGACCTCTTTATGGGTTGAAGTTTGTTGAAGTAGTGAATAACCTAAAGACACGTGACAAAAACAATGGCGAAGAAAAGCACATCGTGCACCTCATCCGCCGCTTCGGCGTGCTCTTCCCCTTGCAAGATGTTGGAATGCGTACCGATGTGTGGAGGTATTCTTGCGGCCTAGTAAGCGTAAGCTTCCTGTTCCTCCAGTGCCACTCTAGTAAATCTCAATCTTTTCGTCTTAGTAGTACGCTTCTGATGTGTGCAACAAGTGGTGCGTCATTACTTTTCGAAGCAAGAATCGTCCAGTTTGATCACATGCTCTTTTAATGATATTCTTGGGCCTGAGAATTGACATTGAGCATTATGATTATACATTAAATTCTCTTGTTACTAACTTCGGCACAGGTTCTGTGTGGCTTGCGGGAAACCTCTTGTTCGCAATGGAATTTTTGGGCGTCTCACCAGTCATTCTCCTGATTTCATATGGACCGATGATCCTGCTCGCATTGGGACTCTGCGCGAAGATGACAGGACGTACTATATTGGGATCCTACAACATTTGATGAATTTTTTCATCGTGATGTAGTTTCGTCCCACATTCTTCAAAAATCTTCTACTTTTGATATTCACGCAAAAAAGATGCTTTGATTCAGTGACGAAATGAAGAAATGTCACTCCCCTTGTCCCTTACTCACATCAACCACTACAACCAGGCATCAAGTCAGAAACGGGAGATGTGTCACTGGAGATGCTCTATTCTCGTGAGGACTTCTCTGAGAAAAGTACTGCTGTCTATGATGCTGCATCAGGAGTGATGGAGACCGTTTCTCCTCTGTTGACCTGGAAAGAGCCTACGACCTCTTTTGCTGTCGCTATGGCAAGGTAAGAAAAAAATCATTTGCAAACTCTCTTCACGCGCGAATCAGATAATAATTGTGGACTCTTTTTTTATCTACCACGATCATTGCACGCTTTTTTTTGCTCTGCAACCTTACTCAACATTTACCACGCATTAACAGCTATGTTTTCGGATGGGTTGCCTGCTTGATCGGAATCTGGGGGCTGGTTTTCTTGGCCTTTAATGTGTGCGCTGTTTTCGCCTTCTTCGGAGATGAGATTTGCGTTGCTGCGGCTCCGCATGTGGCCAGAGCGAAGAAGGAACTCACAGCTCTTTCTGCCAAGGTTCCCCGCTACGCTCCCGAAAAAAAAGCTCTGTAAGTAAGTAAGTAGTAGTTGAACAACTAGACGAAGGTCTTGATCGTCCTATAATTTAACACGCAATCATAATTTTTTGTGTGCAACGAATAGATGTTGATGACATAGCTAGTAGAACGAGTAGAAGTTATCTTATTTTCTTTTCCAAGAACATGCACACACAACTTCTGGCAACAGAAGCGTACTCGAAGCTGCACATAATCCTGTGCTGTGACTTTTTTTGACATGATTTTCCATCAACTTCTATACACAGAGAATACACTACAACAACGGATAATGAAGCTCCAGAAGGACGAACTAAAGCACCAGCACTCTACAAGGGTGTATGGGGTCAACGGGAAATTATATAATGATTCGAAGCTCAGAATTTCGTTACCTCGCCCTAGTTTGCTCTAGTACTATCATACTTTACAATGGAAGGCGGATTAAAATGATTATACATGATCACGGAGCAAAATGGCTTCTTGTAGACCGCTTTTGGACGGGAAAAATAATGACAATTTACATTGTTGGCTTCACACACACACGCAAGATGAAGGAACAATAAATTTACGCCTGAATTTTATGTATCGATAGTTGTATACGTTGTCGTTGGTTTACGTTATTGTTGTATTTTTTTCTCTTCACCTTCGCAATCCTGCGAAAAAGAACCATGCGGTCGTGGACGAAGTTCTTGATGTGTTCCACATACTCAGCGGCCTCTAGATGACCTTTTTTGCGCCATGAAATAATTGCACCAGTACGAATCCGAATCTTGATCTCGCACTTAGAGATGTTTCATCATACTCTTCCTTTTCTTGTTGAGCATCATTGGTCCACACGAGCTTCTCCGATAGAACCCTCCTTGAGCTGTTCCTGGCCTCAAAGTGTGAGAGTAACACGCTCCACTGGTACTAAGTAAGCAGTTTGGATCCTCTTTGTTGCTGAATGAGAGAATTGCTAACGCATCGAAATGACGATGAATCAAACTGCATCACTGATGAAAGAAACCTGCTCAAGGTCAACGCGAACGACGAAGCTGCTTCTCTCTTCGTGAATTCAATTTATGGCGGAGGTGGAACATCTGCAATCTTCATCTAAGTAAGTATAATCAAAGTGCATTACTCTTTTGTCGTGGGACATGAGGAAGAAAATCCAAATCCTATTGATCTTGTTGCCCACCTGGAAGTGAATGTTGATCTTCACTCAGGACAACATAGAAATTCATCACGAGGATCTGGTCGTTGTACGCGATTGGCGCCATTTTGTCGCCGCATCACATCGCAAAAAAAATTGGCCAACTTGCTGAATCGGATTGCTCAACGAACAGCGCTTATAATTGCTTAAGTACATTTACTAGAAGTACAACGATGTTTATCAGCGAAGAGCGCCGTCCTATTTAGCCAACGTCAACTTGGTTTCTGCTGCATCGAACGGAGCGACAGCGAACAGGAAGTCGCTATTCTATGGCATTTTATTGGCCCTTTCTCGTATCGTGCGTTGTGTTTGTTGAAAAGCTTGGTGTTCGTTGGACGACATTTTGATTTTGCTGAAAGTTTTATCTGTGTATCTCGCGACTACAACGAAGGAAACAAACAAAAAAGTAAAACGATGTCCGACAAGAATCGCCGCGGTGGCTCGTCGTCGGGGCCCTCTAAACCTCCGTCGTTCGAGGAGCTGAAGCAAAAGCTGACGCAGAAGAAACGGCAAGAAGAGGAGAGGCAACAGAGCAGGCAGACTACTTCCAACAGGTTGCAGAACAAGAGACCTCGTTCGGAAACAAGGGAGAAGAGTCGGGAAAAGGACGGAACCAAGTCAACGTCCTCAGGAGCAGGCGCGCGGGAGAAGCAGACGGGAGAAGGCGCGTCAGCGTCGTCAACCGCAGATCATGCGAAAAAAGAAAAATCTGGAGATCGCGAGACAAAAGCAAGACGAGTTGTCAACGAACAGCTTGGGGGAGTCGAGAAGGTACAAAGCTACAGCAATGTTTCACAGTTAATCCTACGTATAGATATAACAGTTTCATCAACTAGGAGAATACAGATGATGCTTTGTGGTCGGAAAAACTCCATGATCTGTTCTTACAGGCGACGTCATCTACGGCTACAAAAGCTGGTAGTGCAAGTGGGAAAGGAAAGGAAACAGCTCCGGCGAATGGCAAAGCCGAGTCTAGCAATAGCACTGAAGATGCCCCAGCGAATGGAGACGCCAAAGCTGGATCGTCAAATACAAGTGGGGATGGGAAAGCTGGCACAACAAAGACTGACGGTGGAGCTGCAAGCAAAGACAAAGACAAAGAGCAAGCAGGGAAAGATGGCGGCGCACCAGCTCAGACCAAGGAACAGGCGGCGGCAGCGGAGAAGCACAAAGATGAAACGGACAAGCGAAGGAGACTGGTCCTGCGAAAAACTCTAGATTCAGCAGAGGACGCTGCTAAGAAATTCAAAGAGGAAGTGGACGCCTTCACCAAGAGACAAAAGACGAGGTTAGGCGACAGCGACCGCGAGAAAGACCGAAAATTTCTTGATGAGAAGAAAAAGGAGGTCGAGAAAGAAGCAGAAGCAATCAAGGCGCTGATAGACGACGTACTAACACCACAGGAGATATGTGATTTTTTTCAAAAATATGGTGTTGTTTCTTCTTTATTTCACGACTTTTCATCTGATATACATATAATTTATCTGGGTGTCAGGTATTCCTTATTTCGTCTTTTCTGATCCACCACGACGTCCGCGACAAAACAAGAAGGATGAGGATCGCAATACCGACCTTTAGTTTTGTTCCTGCCCAAAAATTTTCAGTGCAAGTCGAAAAACGAGAAAGTCCGAGCAAATGCGGAGAAGACGAAGACGTGGAAGCAGTGGACCCTCGATCTCTTCCAGTCTATAGATAAAGTTTACACGGAAACCCTCAAAGCGTGGGACCAGATCTATATCCGAGATTGGCCGGCGGCTAGGCGGGACTATGAAAAGGCGCTTGAAGCGACTTCATTTCGGGCTTTTGGCTTGTCCGACTTAGAAAGGTATTCAACAACAAAGATGTTGCGCTTTAGTAGAAATTGGCTTGCACAACTTGGAGTTTCCAACTACCAAGTTCCTTAATGAAAGTCTGTTTGCTCAGTAGAGACGCAAAACTGAGTATCCTGCTCCGGATTCGCTCTGTGTGTTGCATAGCTGCTTTTCAACTATCCCTTCCTTTGTCCACAGGTATATGCAGCGCAAAGACCCTGGAGAAGAAGTCGCGAATAAGGACAAAAAGGACGGCAAGGACAAAGAGGGTAAGACTGAGGAGCGCAAGACGATTCGCGATGGCACATGGAAGTATCCCACATGTCAACTGGTAAATCCAGGCATGTACTTTGGGGAGTGGAAGCCAGAACTAAAACATCTTCTGGGTCCCAAGCCAGAAGTTCCTGATACTGAGGGGGAACGGTCATTACCGGAAAAGAACGGAACAAAAGACCCTCCAGGACTTCCAATGAACAATGTTATAGTTGTCGTACCTCAATACAACGGCGTGATCGACTACACAGAAATTGAACTAAGTAGTGAGACCGAAGACTAGCGAAAGCATCTCCGTCCTCCAGTTTTCTTCCTGATCATGTCTTCCTCATCGCACCATACGTGTTGTAGAACCTACAGCATTCTTCACCTGGCACCCCACCGCAGTACCTGATTCTCTAGTGGTAAGAGTGCTGCTTCTTCCGCGCACGGTCACGGATCGATACTAGATTTCACCTCAAGAAGATTGAAAGAGATGTTAACGTGTGTCAAAATCGAAAGAGGGGTAGAAGCAATGATATGTTGACGCAAAAGAAACTGCGCAGCGCTTTTCAACGAGCGCGATGCGGCACTTGCGGCGTCTCCCTGCGCTGGCCTGGCAGTACACTGCTGCCTGCGGATACCTCATTGCCCAGGACAGCGCAGGTAGCCAAAGACGCTGGCATCATCTCGTGTTCTTCGAAGGGGCTTGGCGTCCTGCCGTACGCGCACCTGGTCTATTCGGGTTTGAACTGCGGAGTGCCTCGCAAGTTGCTGAGGTCTGGTCTGGGACTTGTAGCGAGCCCAGCGCTAGGGGAACCATCAAGGGACCGCGTGCAGGCTTGAGCGGGCTCGACGCTAGGGGCACACAACAAGCACGATGACTGTCACTTGCATTCGCGGTTGCAACCTGCTATGGGTTTTCCTTTTCATTGTTTCGTGTTCTTGTGGGCACAAGCCGTCGTGTTATGTTAGTAGCCGAGCACGACGTGATCCGCATTCGCGTATGGCCCATAGTACGAGACGATCTAGATCTACGACTACATCCATCATCAACCGGTCCGAGGTATTTTGAAGCAGAGAATGAAATAGTCGCAAGTGATCCTCATCCTGTGTTAAATTAATTGGCCGGACGAGTTCTTTGTGGAGCTCTTCTACCGATCTCGTCCAGCGCGATACAGCAGTTGCAACATATGCAATGAATGGAATTAGTCGGTTCCAGAAACAAACAGAAAGCATTGAGTAATAATGGTTGAGGGGATTACAGCTCTGCAACAAGTACATCATGGCTAACCGAGGATGTGGTGGTCTGAAGTACAAGACGCAGTAGACGTGTACTAGAGGAAGACTGTAAGATATACAAAGATATCATCTACTTCTTGTGGAGTCGTCCGTCAAGAAGTCGTGTACAACTAGTAGAAGACGAACTAGGATCCAAGACCAGTCAAGATAGGTGAACGCGCAGTTTTGGAGGTCGAAGATGGTCTTCTGGCGCAGTTGAACGCCACTGAGGAGCGGTGGAACATCTTCTCCACCAGGAATATCATGATGCAATGGAAATGTTGTTCTTCTTGTACTTGCGAAAAATTTTCCAACTACAACAATCATCTAGTACCACGAAGATCATATCATATTTGATCATGTTGTAAGAACAAAAAAATGCAGTCCTTCTATGATGTAAAATTCCATCGGACAATCAAGAAATGGAAATGCGGACGACAGGGACGTAAGAATACGGATTCGACCGGCTTCAGCGGGCTAAAAACGGTGATCATCGACTTATCATGCGGATGCCAGCCGCGAGCTCATCCTCGAAAGGAGGGTGCTCTTTGATCACTGGTGCTGCCAGTGGAGCTAAGACTTCGGCTTCCTATAATTGCAAGCGAGCGACGCTATGGAGGGCGAGGGTTGTAGCGCAGTTGCCAAAAGTCGAGCGCAGTTCTCAACGGTTTTGCGCTGCTGGAACTGCGCAAACGAATCATGCACCCTGTCGGATAAGTCGACTCTTTCCGCGGTCGAGCCGGTTCTTTGCCAACGATGCCGTTCCAGTGGCGAGAAGAGGGAATCATGGTATCGATGGTACGAATCCGGCTCCTGGTGCAGCCATAGACGAGCAAGTTGATCGCCTTCCTCTTGTGCGTCGAAACTTCTTACAGCCGCTCGGTTACGAGAGATTGACAGGCACGCAGGAGCAGGCGTTACCTTTTTTGTTGAACCCGGCGAAAGGCTCTGCGCTCGTACGCGCAGCAACCGGTAGTGGAAAGACACTATGCTATCTCCTCTCCATCTTGCAGCAACTGGGTGACAGGCGCTTCAAGGAGGCCTTTCGGCCGCACACCGCCCAGAGGAAGAAAGAGAATGCCATTGTTGAAGCAACTAGTGACGGGTGCGAGCTAGCAACAACAGCTGGTGGAGTGCAGCAGACGATGACAATCAGCGCGGGTGTGCGGGCACTTATCCTTGCACCATCGCGCGAACTCGCCTTGCAGATCTCCCACGAGGCGGCAAAAGTTTTCCCCCGCTCTGACGAAGACGATGAAAATGGGCAGCATCTTCAGGACGATTTGAGGCTCAGTTGTTTAGTTGGCGGTCTCAGGGGTCGGAAAGCCGATTGCGCCGATCTGAAGAAGCGCAGGCCAGACGTAATCGTCGCTACACCTGGCCGTTTGCTTGACCACTTCGAGCAAACTCTGTTTTTTCATGATCTCTTCAAGAACCTGGAACTTCTCGTAATCGACGAAGCCGATCGGCTCTGTGACCTTGCCTTTCTTGACGATCTAAAACGGTTGCTTTCGTACGTCTCATCCAGTATCGATGCCGCGCCCCAAGGTCGAAGAGATGATGGTGGACCTGTACGACCTAGTGGCCATCCATTTCGCTACCTTCTTTTTTCGGCGACACTACCACAAGCACTAGAGACAAATGTGATTGCGCGGTATGTGGACGGATCGATCCGACGGATAGACTGTGTTGACGGACAGGCGGGCTCTGTAGTAAGTAAAAGCACTTCATCTGGCACTTTCGGTGCAACGGTAGCAGGAGAAAGAACTTCAGATATGAATCCAGTTGAAGTTATGAGTGCGAGTGAACACGGCCTAGACGAAGGACAGTCCACTAAAGGAGAATCCGTTTCCAGTTGTTGTACCACGCCGAATTCGATGCTACTAGCGCAGACAGCCGAAATCCAGCCTGCGGAAAACTTGCTTGCAGCGCTGCACCACGCACTTCTACGGGAAATGCGGCAGCTACCGACGAATTACAAGGTGATCGTGTTTTTCCCAACTGCAAGGTTAACGCAGTTCATGGCAGCTTTTTTTCGAGAGTTGTTGCGGTTTCCGATCTTGGAGATCCACAGTCGAAAAGACGCGCATCGGAGGCTCCGGACGAGTTGCGAGTTCAAAGCAGCCAAATGTGGCGTACTTTTTAGTAGTGACGTATCGGCACGTGGCATGGACTATCCCGAGGTCTCTTTGGTCTTACAGTTTTTGGCTCCCCACTCGCTGGAGCAGTACGTGCATCGCGTGGGCCGCACTGCACGCGCAGGACGACCTGGACGAGCGCATATCCTACTTTCGCAACACGAAATGCGGTTTGCGGACTTCCTATCCGGTAGAGGTTTAGGGAGTGGAGACGTCAACGAAAATTTAGCGGCACAGCCAGATGAAGCGATGACTGCGTCTGCGAAAAATAGGAGTTCATCCGCAAACTACAGCAAGACTTCTTCCATGCGCACGAGGATCATGCAACACGTTGGCGCCAGTCTTCCCGCTGTCCGATTCTTGGACACAGAAAATTCCACTTATCATTCCGAAGCCTTAAACGCAGCCACGACTGCGTGGGTGTCGTCCACGACACTCAATTCCCTTGCCAGCGCGGCATTTGCATCGCTGCTGGGTCATTTTAAGCTGTACACCAACGTCCTGCAGCTAAATAACGACCAAATTGTGCAGGTGGCGACACTCGTTCTCACGGGATGCGGGATGGTGCAGATGCCCGTGCTTTCACAAGAGCTCGCCGAAGGCTTGGGTCTTCAAGACCATCCAGGACTCAAAATTGCAAAAGACCTGACAGCAGAAGCGATGGCAAATGTTCCCACTGGGGGACCGCGTGTTGACCCAACGCTCCACACGCGATCAAGGGGCCGTCGTGCAAACGGAGGGAGACAGAATGCCGCGACAGCAAGGCAAAAATTCCTCTAGTACCTGAATGCAGGAGGAGTTTTTATTACCCGGGGGGAGGGCGGCACGCTGCGCGCTTTTTAGTACAGGAGCGGGCATCGACATCCACATCACGTACTAAAGAGAAAGTCCACATCCTCTGTCGACGACAATAAGACAAAAGCTAATAATTAATGTGTGTTTCGCATCCCAAACAAAGTCACAACATCCAAGGATGAGTAGAATCACATCTGAGGGCATCAAGGGAAATTCCAATGACACACAGGTAAATATAACGAGCTGTAGTTTTAATGGGGGAAAATATTTCATATTGTTCACGTCAATCAGGTTGTAAACACGCGCACCACGCGACTAGACTTCGCAAGATTCTTTTAAAAGCAAAGGGCGATACTTGCAAACTCGAGCTCGACGTTATAGATACATGTTGACTCGGGTGTGGCGTGGAAGTAGAAGACACCGAAAGCTGCACTTCACAGAGAAAAGCGAGTCGAAAGTACTGCGTCGAGAGATTTGATGGAGAGTTGGCGTCATTGGAGCGGAGGGCTTATCGGTACACCAATAACGAGAACCCCCACAACTCATTCATCTCAAGGACTCTTCGGAGTCCAAGGAGCACAATGCGGATATTAACCAACCATCAAGTAGGAAAAGACACCAAGGAAAGTAGTGAGTGCGCATTTCCGACAGAATACAAAGAATATTTTTAGGTAGGTAACACCTAATTAACGTGTGCTTGGCCCTTATTCATACAAAAAATTGGAAGCGAAAACGAAAAGTTGCCGCACGTCATAATCACCGCAACCCAATTTCTTTAATGGATTCGAAAACTCAAGAGCGAAGAAACGACGCGTCGAGCGCGTATGTCAGTCAGCCGCAATATGCAGATGTGACATTTGATGCGCATTGTTCTCGACATTTTGGGATATGTTTTTTCCCGCTCCCTACTCCTCTTCAACAAAAATAAAGAGCTCGTAATCGAACAATCATGTCGCTTCGCTAGTTTTTTGTAACCTAGAAAACCGCAAAAAGATGCTATCCGCGTTGGCGGACGTGGCGGCCCCAGCTCTCGTGAACCTCGGGTTGGAATGGAACGAGCACCGACGTGCGAATCACCTCCACAAGGAGGCAATTCTGCAGTCGCTGCGCATCCACGAGGCTGAGACGCAGGCCGTGAAGGAATATCACCGGGTTGAGGTGAAACAAAGCAATGATCAGCACGCGCGCGAACTGCTGCAAGCGAAGGTGCAGCATGAGGAGAACATCGATTCGGACCGGCGATCCGCGATACGAGAAAACCTAAGGGATGAGTGGTCCCAGATCACCGAAAAAGCGGAGACGGTTTTGATCGTAAACACCTTGATTTTGGGCGTGGCCTTCACAATGCTGATTGAGGGTCCGTTGCCGGATGAAATGATCCTGGAACATCCAGTGCTGGCGCAGATCTACATGTGCAGTCTCTCGATCTGCCTCGCGACGCTCTTACTCTCCGTACGGTACTCGATGGTGTTGCGCTTCCGCGTCGGACGCACGATCGTGAACGAGATGCGTACCGCGATTCATCGCGCCTTGCATTTGGACCGAAGGTTTCGATTGTCCGAGCAATACCGGCAGTGCAATCGAGCCAAAATTACGGTCGCAGCCTGCGACGACGTGAGCCACCCGACGCGGCTGAAAAAAGTGCAGTCGTTACCGAGGCAAGTGGCGATAACAAAGCAGCTCAGCGAGCAGCGCCGAAGACGAGCAGCCGAACGGGCAGAGGCGCGGAGGGCAAAGCGTCGCATCCGAAACGAGCAAAACGTTGGACGAGAGCAAGTCAATCCATCTGCCGCGCAGCATGCTTTTACTATGGGAAGTAAATCTGCAAAGCAAACGGCAAGCAGTAGCTCAACATCGCCAAGGTTGTCGTCGACACAAACGACGAAAGCGGCAGGCTCGAGCAAGCAATCAAACATCCCTGTGACAGGCTTGACGCAGCAGCCAATCGACGGCTTCGAGGACGATTTTCGAAGTTTCCCGGGAACTGAAGAAGCCGAGTTGGAGGACCAGAATATGACTTCACCGCTTATCTTGAGAGCAAGAGTCGATGACGATGATGAGGAGCAAGAGTCAGAGACAGAGAATGAAGAGATGGAAGACGACGCTTCGGTTTTTGAGCGTGAGTTCGGATCTATGCTTCTCCAACCGAGCTCGCTTGGTGGCGTAGAGCTAGGCTATGAGAAGCTTGATTGGGTGGCTCGCGAAATTGGTTACAAGAACCCACTTGGATGTCCACGCCGACGTAGCCACAGCACTCCGTGTTCTAACAGACAAAACAAGTCGCTAAAGGCTCTCCCAGCTGTGGGCATCAAGGGCGACTTAGCATCTTCCTCGTCGACGGCGACGAAAAACCGAAGGACAAACAAGGCCACGGGGTCCACCGGCCATTCACTTTCCGCCTCCTCTCGGACAGCGAGAGGTAGATGCCGAGTAAGAGGTGAAGAAAGGGGAGCCTCATACCCTGCAGGAAAGTATACTTACACCGAAGCCGGGAGTGGTGTACCGCGAAGTAGAGAGACTTACACTTTTGTACACGACCAAGAAGCATTGGACCTCCCTGCGGTAGAGACTAACAACCACTTCATGCGGGAAGGGTTCCATGAAGCTGCAAGCCCGTCGTCTAGTAACAAGCACCAGGGTAATTCATCTACTGATGATTGTAAAAACGAGGGGAGCGAGGTGTATCCAAGTTACGATCTTCACTGCGGCCGTCCCACGAACAAAACGGAGACTTCAGCATCACAATCATCTCCCACTCGAGTGCAGGAAGAAGTTATATTTACCAGCATGCATCATCGCCGGGAGCTGATTCCTTCGTGGCGAGAGGGTTCACACGCCGCGGAGAACGACCAAGCGCCATGGCTCAATTGCGGTCGGAAAAGCGGTGGTGAGACTGCGGGTGGCCCACAGATTTCAGGCGGGTCATCGTCTAGCTCTAGCATCTCACGGCAACCCAGGCCCACCCTGCGCAAAACAAAAACTGTGGGTCAATTTTTCTTCGAAGATGACGAAGGAGCCCTGGCGGAGATTGATTATATCTCTGACGAGTCCAGCGATGTTCGACAAGGTAGGCGCGAGTACGATAGAGGTCGAGGAGCAGATCCCATTCCGCCTATTAGTAGTGGTGGCAGGCAACGTTTATTACAGCTGCCACAAAATCCAGGACCAGGAGGCAGTAGTTCTAGCAGATCATCAGGTGACAGAACAAGAACTTCAGAAGACAGGAGGAGGCAAGACTTTTTCCATCATTTGAACACACGTGCGATACTCAGCAGAGGGCAGCAGAGCAGGGACCCTTACGGATTTGTCATTGGGAAGCGGAACCATTCTTTGACAAACGCGGTTCAGCGAGGAAGTGCCGCATCTTCCACGCAAGCACAATCAGGACACTCTGTAGATGGGAGAATCTCGAGTGCACAGCCGACGAACTTTATTACTAATATCGTCCGCCCGACCAAACCCGGGTTTTTCAAACGACTACTTGGCAAAAGAAAAGACGAGCCATCTTCGCGCGTACCTGGTGATCCCAGTAAAGCACAATCGACGAACGTTGGCACGCCAGTGCAACGGGAACCCGAAGGTGAGGACGACGTAGAGGGAGCTGCGGGTCGTTTGCCTCCTCCACACTCGGCTGAAGCGCTGGCTTCACTGAATACAGCAACAAATCATGGATATGGAACAGGTGGCTCGATCTCGGCTTCACAGGGTATCGGAAGTGCGACAGCACAACAGCGCAGTCTCCTGCCATCTCCAACTGCAACGTTGACGCCAGGCACAGTTTTCGGTAATCTTAGCTGGGCTCTGCAGGGCGCACCCGAACAACCACCGCGTCCGCCTTCGCAGGCAGCCGGCGCGTCGTTGCCGGGTGACGACTCCTCGGGAACCGCATCCCGTACCGGCCAAGGTCTCCCGCCTCGGTCCCACTCGCACGAGGTGCATGTTGGTCCCAGTGGGGAGCAGCTCCCAACGCCGACGAATGCGCGTGGACTTGAGGAAGATACGCGACGAGCGCGAGACTTGCAGCGCGAACTGCATGACATCGAGCGAAGCTATCAAGGACTGCTCGACCTTCGCTTGTGGCAGGACAAGTATCTGTCGCGCAAGCTGGACCTGCTGCGCAGAAATTGGTGCAAACCCTATGATTCCGCTTCCCAGAGCTGCTTCATGCTGGGCACATGGATTCTCCTAGGCTGCGCTGCACTCTTGGTGGTGAGTCGGGCGCAAACAAGATTGGCGAGGCCGCTTCAGCTGAAGTTTGGCCTCGCCTCGTCAGCAGTCTCGTTTGTCACGATGAGCTCTATCACGGTGGGCGGTTTGGTCCTCTTGTTAAGGCTACCGCAATCCATGCATCCCCAACAGCTTGCCACCTTTTGGGTAACTATTTTCCCACGGAAAAGTTGACCCAGTAATGCGGGTTGAAGAGCGTGCGAAAGCGAAAGCTCTAATATTGGAAGGGTTGCTGAAGCGGAGACACAAGTATGAGGCTGCAGTGCGAGAACTTCGCCATCAAATTTATGACCACTCGAATGCAGTCACAATATCTGCAGGAGAAGAACAAAAAGGGCTGGGTCCTGCTCTGACGATCGCAGGCGCAAGCCCGATCGTCCCGCAGACGGCAAGCCCGATCATCCCGCCGAGGGGAGGCAATAGCGGATCCTCTGTGGATGATCTAGTGAGCGTGGGGGCGGAGACGGGGCCGAGCAGACTGGTCTTGTCTGATCATCTTCCGTCAGACAACCGCCATCAAACACGCGGTATAAATATAAAAGTTGAGCTGGACGACCCCGTTGCACTCCCGTCACCGCCTGCAGGTGGCGGCTCGTTCAGCTACCTGAGCAGTCCTGGCTCGGTGTCTGGGACTACAAGTCCACGGCTTCTTTTCGAAGGGCAGCATAGGGATTCATTTCTTGTCGAAGTAGGACAAATTGATCCCGCAGGAGCATCGACAACCTTCAGCACCTGGGGTGACCACCCAGAACAAATGACTATGGCTGAGATCGAACAGGAATATTTGTACTTGGAATCGACCGTGCGCTTCGACCGACTGCCCTATCTCTTCACGCCGGCGCTGTTGAGCGTGTTGGCTTTTGTAGCGGTAATATTTGCTATCGTGGATGGCGTGCGGGAGCTCGAATATGGTCTCACAGATAAAGACGCCGACGCGCTAGACACCATCTTTCGTAGCAATGGCGCGACAGCGTCATCTCAGGACGCAACGGGGCGTGGCGCCGACCTTTTCAATGACCAGTTGCTTTTGGCTCTCACCGGTGGCGGCGCGGAGCTGCGTGCAGTCCCCAGAAGTTTAGGGGCGGCAAGTAGCACTCCAGGAGCTCCTGCGCTTTTCGCGGGAAGTGCACCGGCAGCGTTGGAGAGGTTCAATCAAGCTGCACAGTACCTCGACGTTTGCGGTCTCTCCTTTGCAAATGATGCCACGACCGCCGGCACTTTCTATTCGGCGTTACTTTTAGGGCCAAACAATGCGCTGCACCTGTACGAGAGATCATCTGCCAACTCCTCGTCTGGTGTGGTAGAGGATGTCAAGATTCTCAAAGCGCTGGAATGGACCAGCGGGAACACCTTCACTCAAGGATTTCTCGCGAAGCAAGGGACCGCGGTTGCGATGGGCTGCCTGCCGGTCAGTGCAGCAACAGCCGCGGGCGACCTTGAAGCGGAAGCCACCGCGAAGTTCTCCGCGGACAGCCTGCTCGTGGCAGGTGGAGGCGCACAGACGGCCATCGTTGTTAGCCTTCCCAGCAACTCGTCCTCTTTAACCACGAGCAGCAATATTGACAAGCCTCTGCGTATCCTCTCTGGCACGCGCGCGCGTCTAGCTGTTGCCGACGCAAGCTCTGCCACTGGCGGCAGCAGTCTTTTCCCTGACGCAGAGAAAAACCTGACTGCTGCTCTTTTTGCGGCCTACCCGAACGACGAGGAGTATCGAGTGTATCCGTCGAAGGTTTTCCTGGGTTACAGCAGCGGCGCGGCAGTGGCTGGCTACGTGGTCGAAAGCCTATCAGCGAAAACCGCAACAACCGCAAGCTTCCACTACTCTTTCGTGCTTACCGAGGTGCTCGGTCGCGACGCCCTTCTCGGCGACTTTCTTGCCGACGCAAAACTTCTCAAAATCCAGCCGCTAAGCTCAACAAGCATAGCCGCAGTGTATGATGTCTCCATGCCTTATCGGATCCTCGCGAATGTGCAGCTCAAATCAAGTACTGACTCAATTGAAAGCAGCATCATGATGAGTTTCTTCAACACCACCTCGTTCTACGTGGCCGTTGAAGGAAATATGTAGCATACTTGTCGACCCCGTCCTCCTGTTCTGCAAGAAATTGACTCATCAAAATCAATAGTTTCCGCTCCGAATCAGTATCTACCTTTGGAATAGAATAAATGTATAAATGGACACAACAGGCGCCAGCAGCTCAGTCGCGAATCTGGCCACAAGTACCGTCACTTGGTTGAAAGATGTCAACGAAGCAGCCCTTCAGAGGGGGCTGGTAAGGCGACAGGGCGACGCCTTACGATTTTTGAGAACGGACTTCCTCCTCCGACGTTTTCAAGGCGTTCAATATGAATTCACTTCGATTCATTGAGAACTGAAAAAATGTCAACGGTCCAAGTAGGGCGATGCTGCAGAAGATTAAGGTACCAGCTTCAGCATATTCTACTTACGCGTGTGCCACCTGATGGAGACTTTGAGTTATCCCAGACGAATATTTACAATTGTTGTCGGTTCTGGTGGTTGATAGAGGTGGGTAAGACGACCGCTCCACTTCTTAACATTAATTTCTTGTAAAGTCTTGACTTTTTGTGAAATATATGTTGTAACTGATTTTCTTGTAGCTGTTTTCGAAGAACATGTACAAGCTGCACAACTGCATCAAAAATCTGGCTCTTCTTCTCTTGCGCAATTTCACATTCACAGTGTCTTCATATTAAACATCATCAAATCATCTAAAGTTACCATTTTCTTTTCCGTAGTAAGTACGAGCTTACTTCTCGCTTTTTTACAGTTATTGTGATCACGCTTGCGTCGCCATTGCCTTGTTTGTCCATGAACGGTGCTGAATCAATGTGACAGTTACGTTTACTAGAAGAATGTGTTGACGCGCCCCGCCCGGAATCTGATTATGTGAACAAAATGGAAGTGCCTATTTATTTGGATCGATGATGCATGATGAATCTATCATATTAATATTTATGTGTGTGTGTGTTTCGATGTAGAAGTAGCGTAGTGAGGATCACATCAAGTAGTTAGTAGTAGTTACCAATCTCGTATCGAATTCGGATTCGCCGTCGAACTGATGGTCATCGATTTCGCATCGGTCGCCCGGCTCCTTCTGAGGAGAAGGCAAATCAATGATGAAAATATTTCGGATCGTGTGGCAACTAACGACTTTCGGTTTTCTGTGTTTCATTCATCTTCGGTATACTTAAGATCAAGTTAAAGGTGTACCATAATTAAATGATTGCGCACAGTGCAAATATCGGTTTATTTTACGACACCAGGCAAGACATACCGAAACCGATACGATCCCAGTGATCTCACTCATCCCTCTCTTTTACTCTCTCCGCCACGCCAACATTTTCCACCTGTGTCAACCTTCGTATTACTTGTTGATGATACTCGACGATAGTACAAATAACTACTGGTGCAACTTCTTTCATGCAGCTCTCTATTTTAATCTTCCCTGGCGTCGATTAAAATTATATTTTTCTTCATCTTCGTTTTCGCCTTCGCGTTGTTTTGTAATATCGGAAAGTTAGTGCGCGTAGTGAGCTCGAAAGGGAAGATAGTAGAAAGAATGGAGAACAAGATGAATGGAGAGCGGTGGGCAATCTCCTTTCATCTTATCATAACGACGACCATATATTAACAAGATTCGTTCATCTGATACTAGATTCTCGTCGTCCTCCCTTACGTTTCATCTTGTTGCTTGTTCATTTCTAGTGCTAGATAAAAAGCTACAAGATGGGGGACATCATCCAGTCGATAGAAGAAAGCACGAAGAAGCGTGCGAAGGAGCATGCGCAAACTGCGTTTGCGATGCAGCGCTTTTTGGTCCATCAGCGAGATCATGAGAAAAACATCGGAATGGAAACGGCTATCTCCGAAGCCGTGGCGGCTGTGGAAAGAAATGCAGGGCTGTTCGCGCATCACATGCTCAAGGCGGAGCAGACCACGCTGAAACTCGAGGAGGAGACGCGACGGATCCGCGGTTTGGTCGACGATGACGGGCGAGACGATGTGGCTTTTGAATGGGAGCACATTGCTGCCCAGAAGACGAGTGGACCGGAGCACGGTCAAGGCCCACTAAGGAAACTGAACTACACCCCTTACGTCCGGGGGTTTGGCGGACATCATACGCCCGCGCAACTGCAGGCAGCAGTGAAATTCCGCTCGGTGTCTCAGCGACGACTGCTGGGTGGGCTCATGAATTACGAGAAGTTTCTTGCCTACATCATGCTGCAGTATACCTTCCAGGGCTGGAAGTGGTTCATAATGGACCGAAAATTCACGATCTCCCGCTTCTACGGGAACACTCTAGTCGCGCTGCTCTCCATGAAACGAAGATACATGCTCTACGCGCTCATGGTGCGCTGGAAAATCTTCACCAAGTGGTCCGCTAAAGAGGAACAAGCAAGGTCCTCTTTCCTACATGTTTATTGTACATGGATTGCGATGCTTCCTGAGGTGGACCAACCAATCTCAACATTCCAACCAGTTGTACGAACTACTAGTACTGTTGAAGAATTCTTCATCTAGACGTACTACAACAACTTTGGGCTTAATATTGATGTAGAATCATGTGATGCAGAATTCACCGGGGTCTTCAGATTTTCACATGATCTTATCTTCAACTGCAGGACGCTCGTTATGCGAAAGTTGGTCGACCGTGACGTAAAGCGGATGAAAAAGCTGGGAGATGGATACGCCAAAGCGTTCCAGAAACTAGCAGATAAAGCAACGCACACGCGTAACGAAGGCTTTCAAGAGTGTCTCAAATTTCTCATCCCACACGCCTGTGCAAGTCTTACCGGCAAAAATGACGCCATCAATCCGCGGCAATTTGCCACTTTCTTCATCGAGCATGTGAAAAGGTACTAATCATTGTCATATATATTTTAACCCGTACAACAATATACAAAATGCAATCATCACAACGACTATCTTCAGCATCAGCGCTTCTTTCCACTATAATGTCAAATAATTAAGATGCATTGACTAGAAGTAGAAGTGTGTGCTCACATTTTTCAAAAATCAAAAGCTATATGAAAAATGTCAGGGTGCGCGTGCAGAAACAGGAAAAAGCTGATTGGTATCTGGCTCGCGGTCGATTAGAGCCCAAGCACGTTCTGCTAGAGCTGATGTCCCTTGCCAAACGACATGTCGCCGCGACTTTGAACGAGGAGGACGAAAGGAAATTCGAGGAAACAGGCCCTGACATCATTCTTGCTATTACTAAAGAGGTCGACGAGCGTGCCGAGGAAGAGATGCTTCGAGACGATTACGTCGATACGGCAGGCGAGAAAATGGCCACTCATTAAGGCAGGAGCTTGCCCAAATTCACTTTCATCCTGAGAAGCATCTTCTGTGATTAATAGTTTGCGAAGGGGAAAAGTAAAATAGAATATCAAACACAGTTCCAAAGTACTTACTTAAGTTAGAAGATGACTTTCTGTTTCTCCAAGAAGTAGCTGGGAATTTGGGCACCAAGGTTTTCTAAGGTGAGCTTTTTGGGCAAATCTTGCGCACTACGATAGATGCGATGAGCCGTCAAATGCGACAAATGGCAGAAGAAACGATGAAGGAGCACGAAGCCATGCTTAGTGCTACTTCCCGAAGTGAAGCAGTAGATACGTTGGAGGATGAGGCGTCTCAGAGCGCGAAGCTGATGGCGTCTTCTGGCGCATCTTCCAGGCTGGATCCTCTCACCGCAGGGGCAAGGGCTCCTAGTTTGAACTCGACAAGCGCCCAACAGAATCCGAAGCTTGCCAAAGCAAAACAACTACCATCAGTCCCACCGCTTACCAAAAACGAAAAAAAGGTATCGTAGTCTTCGTTCTATGAATTGCTCACGTGCATCTGGTTCTGTTTCTGGACTTCGTAGTTAAAGTACTTCGTTCTTTCTTTTTTGTCTATCTTCCGGGTTGCGGCTCATTGTGTAGGATCTGCAACCTAGCCTAATCACTGTCTCGTCCATAGCCATCATCATCGCCTGCATCATACTTCAGCTGATCGAAGACCATGTTGGGGTGTGGATTAAGGACGTTGCAACGACTGATAAGGTTTTTTATCATTTGCGTGTAGCAATGGCTAAAGATCTAGACAAAGCCGCCGAGCGTTTGGATAAGGCAAAGAAGGACGGGGAAGATCCAGGAAAGGCAGAGTCCGAGTACTACTCTGCTGAAAATGCCTCACAGTCTATTTTTCTCTTAAGACTTCTTCTCCACAATGTGATCATCATCATCATCATCATCGTTCGGTTTTATATTCCAAGAGAACAAAGAACAGCACTGACAGACTCTGGAACAAGATTCATACTGTAGTCCCTCATTCGAGGTGGATGAATCAGGATCGAAATTAGTTTTCAAATGAGCCAACGATAGCTACGAAGTGAGAATCTTGCTCACGCTGGTAAAGTCGAAGAATAGTCGCTTGAACTCCCATCGAGAGTTTTTTTTTAGGATTGTTTTTCATTCTGCAGATTATTTCTATCTATGTATTGTCTAATCTTCACGGAAATGCGCCGGCTGTTCGAGGAAGTGATTGACCGTGCAGAGGAGGTGCTGCAAAAGAAGTATCCGGCTATGCACGAGGTCTTTAAGAAGCCTGGCGCTCGCGATACTGAGGCACTCCGCACGGCACAGCAAGAGCAGAACTCGGGAATGGTTGCGGTAAAAAAGAAGAACAACATTGACGAGGATGAGGTTGGAGATGTTACGGCTACAACAGTCAAACCGACTAGAAAATTCTTGCTGTGTGTGAACAGAAAAAAGATAAAACTCTCTTCGCTACGTTATCAACTCAAGTGACGCATATAAGTAATTCGATTTTTTCGAATACGGAATGACTAAGGGAACGCTTACCGACGGTGAGAAATTGTCATCTGTTTTGCTCCCTTCTTGTCCTTGTAACTGTCGTTTCTTGCAGCTTAGCTCCTGAGTTACAATTACAGGCCATGCTTACTTTCTAAAGCTGCTCTCGCAGATATGATGGAGATGGGGGCACTTTTTAGAAAAAGCCCAGCCGAGACGGAAGCCAACTTTATCGCGCAGCTGACCACCGCAGCGCATGCTGTGAGGGAGCATCTTATCATAAGTCTCTCCTACGATCTGGAAAGCCTGCGAAGATCTGAAGTTCACCAGGAGTTCTTGCGTAAAGGACCTTCGGCGGATGTGCACGCGCGCCGTATGTTAATATTCTTATAGGAAAATAGTTTATAGATATACACGCTGGGTGGCTGGGCGGCAACGCCGGGGGGGGGGGCGCTTGGATAACGCTGAGCGGACTTGAGGGCCACCCATGCGGCACGCCGAGGCCGCGCCGTCGATTTGTTTGCGCCTCGGGGGCGCGGTGATGCGCGTCCCCTGACCACAAACAAAGGCGCTGCGCCACCCTCATGGTTCCGGGCAGCGCGAGCGCAGTGCTGGCGCGCCAGTTTGCGCAGTGGCGGCCCGCGCCTGCTCCGTGCAGAGCTGCGTTGTGCTGCGCTGCGCTGCTCGGTGCAATGCTGCGCCGCCCCTGTCCACAACGGCCCTGGCGGTTGCGTAACTCGCCAGCGTCGTTGGCCTACGCTTGACTAGTATTGTCGGGGGGGATTCTCAAGCGGGCGCCTGAAGGGCGGCCCGCATTTTGAATTGAGATCCTTGATGGCGTCACGCTGGGTGGACGCCTGGCGCAGAATTCGGCACAGCTGGCACAATCGGGTCGCCCAGAGACCCAGCGCGCCCAACGTGCCCAGCCCAGCCATCTTCGCAAACTGCCCTATTATAAACATATGCATAGTGCTACATCTGCTAGTCCTACTCATCTTGTTTCGTTTACGGTGCTCACAAGTGACCATATCAGGAGCGCAATAAACATGACATGCATCCAACTCATTCATCTGCCATCTTGACAAAATATTTTTTTTAATGGAGTTTTGACTCGTTGTCTGTGCTTTGTTTTCTTTTTGAAACCTCCATTCTTTTTGAATGTCCTACTTACGCGGTGATGAGACAATTATACACACTTGGGTAATTTTCAGTCTTATCTTCTCAACATTCGACTACAGAGGCTCTGAGCGCTGCCGAGCTTCGGGACAAGTTGCTAAATTTCATGCCGCGAGATGGTGACGTGGGCATGGTGAAGGAAGGGATAGGAAATGAGGAGCTGCCACCCGGCATCGAGCCGCCCGTCGCGTACAGCACCGACCTTGGAACCGGAGACGAACCTCTTGACACCGAAGTCTTGTCCCGAGCTCGGTTCATATCCATGAATTTCTTCCAGAGCATGAGCCCAACAGCCAACGCGCTGATTCGCCAGCTTATTATGGAAACTTGCCGCTACATCCATGGCCTTTGGGAGCTAGTGCGGAATGGAGCAATACCCGTAGATTATGACCCGACCATTCATTTTGTCACTTGGAGGTAGTCCTGGTTCTGATCAGAGAAAAAATACAGTGTAAAGAAGAACACGTCGACGTGCGAAATTACCTCGCTTAAGATAGTGAATTACTCTTTCTTGCCTAGTATGCCTACTACATTGTCCGTGAATGATTAGTAGGTTGTAGAAATTGTAATTGTTCTTGTCGTAGTCGTAGAAGTAATGTTCTTTTTCGCTTTCCTTTTCCTAGAAGAGGTTGTATTCCTTTCACCTCGCAAGACTCCTCGGTCTAAAAAGGAGCCCTCGCGGAGATATCTTCCACTTCTGCCGTTGCTCTGGCGCTCCGGACGCGAAACTTGACGGCCATTCTAGAAGAACTGGCGCATATCGAAGATTTTTTCCTTCGTCACTTCCTCACGTTACACGACGTCCTCCCCGGGCAGTCGGGGCAAGCCAGGGTCGCTGCGCTGTATGTCTCCACCAGTGCGGCGGACATTCTGAGGGCAGACATCGATAATGATCGACGGCAGATCCACCCAGGTACAACTTCTACAATTTACTACTTCCGTGGGATATGAATCAAAAGTAGGGCGCTGCAGCTACTCCTGTAATGTCACTCGTACTCAATGTTGAAATATGTACAAATATAACTTTTTTGTCAAAGATCAGTCTATCCGTGCTTCATCTTACCTACATCCCACTGCTCCTACAGTTAGTGCTCCTTCGTTGGGTGGCAAAATAATAGTGATGAACCGCGCTCTGTCGTATTTCATCCGGAGAGTCGAAGAGCAAGATGAGCGAAAGCTTCCGCAGCTATCAGAGATAACGGATAGGACGAACAAGCTCTTCCCGAAGCAACCGGATCTCGCGGAAATCCTGACCCATTTAGAGGCGCACGAGGTGCAGACCATGACTAGAATGATCCTAGACGTGTGGACCGACGTCGTAGACGAAGGAGTTGCCGAAAAGGTGCGAGATCTACTCCCACCACCAGAATCATTCACGCGTGACGTGAAGGACATGCATGATTTGAATCTCAGTCCCAAACATTAAGGAGGATTGCGTCTAGTTTACCTCCTTTTGCCAATCATTTTCACGAGAAACATGTACAAGACAGCTAGGAGATCTCTAATGACGAGTAAGTTATAAACTACCCTTTTTATAGAATGAGAATCATCTACTTGCTTCCACATAAAAACTAATCATGACGTTTCTTGTAAGTTGGGGAACGGGAACGTCTTAGAAGATGATGTGATGGAACGCAAGAAAGGAATTATGGAGTAATTAGCAGGCCCATGAAAACACTCTAAAGACAGGAAATTGCCTTGTCCGTGCTCGTGTTCGGGAAGGAGTCGAGGCGGTTGCGCGTTGAGCGCTACGTGCGAGAACTCAGGGCAAAAGTTCGACTCCTGGGCATTCTGCATCCGAATAGAGAGGCATCGGGGGCGGCGAAGAAGACCGTGGGAGGAGGCGCCGCCGCGAAGAAGGCACCGGCTGGAGCGATGACGGCGGAGGAAAAAGATATGCACCTGCTTTCGGACGTTGATCCTACGTGGTTTCTGATGCAAGTTCTCGAGTTAGCGAAGAAAGATTTAACGGAGCAGAATTTCTTCGAGTACGAGATACCAGGAATAGGTGTGCCGGCGCCGGCGCCGCCAATCGAGGAGACCGTGGCGCCGCCGCGAGATGCGGACCAGGACCCGGATTCTCTGGGATCACTATTTACTGGAGGAGGAGAAGGGGCGGCGGAAAATAGTTCCATAGATCCTTCAAAGCCACGCGTACTGGCACCGGCGGCTCCTCTTATTATGCTTTCAATGTAGATATAGGTGTTCGTTGAAGTTCCAGAGCAAGTTGTACTTACTGGAAAGAGATTGTAATTGATTATTGGGAATTAGCTACCTCGCTCTAGCACGACCTTCCTCTAGACAGAGAACGAACAAGCAGGCACTGTCGGAGGGTTTCGACTAAAATGATGTTCAAGCAACTACTAATAGTTGATCATGGCCTATTTTTACGGGAATAATCATGTAAGTTGATGCTGCACCCACGGAAGTCACGATGTTAAAGGAGATGAACTTGTGAAACAAATCTAATCGTAGCATGTTCCAGCATTTGCCGGCAGCGACGCAGAAGCTGCTGAAGCAGAGTATACTTGGGGTTCTCACCGGCGCACTCGTGTCCAAGATGCAGTCGCAGGAACCTGTGATTCCCGACTACTCGGCTGCGCACGTCTGCCAAGTCCTTTTTGATGACGTAGAGGACGAGGAAGAAGTGATGACGGGAGTCGAAGAAAGCGCGCAGCACAAGACGGAAGGCAAAGCCTTGTTGGATCGCGCGGTCGCGGGTCTCTCCGAACCAGTCACCCGCGGGAAGCCGGATACAGAGCAGCCTCTCCGCTTCAAAAAGACCCTCGAGGGGGTTTACTACGACGCCTATCTGGCGCAGCTCTTTGACAGCTACACCGTAACGGCTTACTGCGTCCACCCCGCGGTGCGGCCGCCCACTGTGACGCAGATCTCGCATGCACTCTCCGTCGCTCACAACGAACACGTCCGGTATCATTGGGTCGGTGAGAGGGCTGTATTCGTTTCCAGACCTGGTAAGCTTCGCACCGTTGAAGAAGTAGGCCACGTCCTCACTGAGTTTCTGTCTTACTGGGCAGGGCGTCCTAGTTGCAGCATTGCCACAATTTTCGAAAGTTTTCACAAGTGTGTCTGGGAGTTGCACACGGAGAACAAGGATCTCGGTAGTATTCCGCCCTTCAAACTTTGTCTGCAGGCGGTTGAAATCTCCATGGGCTTGATGAAGGACCGCTTCAAGTATTACAGTAAAGATCTCTGCGTTCATTTCTACAGTCTAGTGATATCCCTGTTCGCGGCAGACGTCCAGCTGGCGACGGATCCAAGGCTAAAGTTCATTGCTACACACGCCCCGCTTATTCGTGTACTCGCCTTCTCTTTTATCAAGATTATGGCTCCAATGCTAAGCGTTGAAAAATTGATATTTTTTTTGGTGGCTGGCCTAACCAATTACTACTTTAGAAAAAACCCATAAATATCCTATCTTTAAGGTATATCAAATTGTGACTTTTTAGCAAATCTGTTACAGATTTTCGTTTTCCCGAGAGTGTCGACTTTTTTTGATCCTGAAGACGGACCCGAAACGGACTCGAGACTTTGGATTTTTTACGAGTATGACGATGCATGTAGAGAAAGATGGCAGACGAAGGAGCAAGACAAAGGATCACGCCAATCCATCTGCCCCCCATTTTTTTATCAATTTTCTCACCGTTCTTGTCCGTCGATGCTTCAACACAATAAACGTCTAATGATCTTTCCCAAGTTAAGAAAGCTTTGCCTTTGTTTCGTGTGAAATACCGAGACACAGGCAACCGCGTCTGGCAGCTTTGAGCCCGGTGTCGCCTCTGTGTCTGTCTCTGTCCATCGAAGCCGCCCTGGCGTTCCCCTCTTCGAGTTGTTGCGAGGGCAATGTCCGGCGCCCTTCACTCCTTCGGACCCTGTCAATTCCCGCCGCCCTTCCGTCCCTCCTTTGCATGTGATACCCGTCTAGGGGCGGCGTGCCCTGGTCTTCACTCATCGTGTGACCCGAAAAAGGCCGCGGGGGTGGGGTGTTCCTTTGGGGTTGCCTCTCTTTGGTCGGGATATGGTCAGCACTTTCGGAAGGGCCAAGCGACGTGCGCTGCGGGTTTCGCCCCCCTCCACTCCGCTCTCTCATCATTTGCGAAAACCAACGAGAGGGAGCAAAAACCCAGAAAAGAAAGAAGAAATACCCGAAGCCCACAACATGATAGCCGCGGGGGCGGGGGTGGCAGTACGCTTCTGCTTTCTTTGGAGAAGGCCCAGACAGCACTCTCTCGCGCACAAATGCCGAGCGCGTGGCACCGCATAGACTGCGCGCGGGTGCTGCATGACGAGAGGCAGAGCACCGGGGGAGGGGGCTGGTGCTTGTAGCGGGGTAAAAGCTCTAGACCGCTCTCTGCCATGCTTCCCCTGGTTGTCTAGCTCCTCCATTGACGCCCAGCCCTGGAGAGCGGCACGCCCGCACCAAGGACGCCGTCCCGGCCAGTGGCGACCCCCAGGAAGATGAAGGCTGACAGGCTCAGGCAGCCCGCGGCAGCAAAAACGACAGCGAGGGCGAAGACAGTGGCGGACAGTCAGACGCATGAAAAAGAGACTCCAGCCGGCGCGGGTGGGGGTGTCGCCTGCTTCGCTCCTCCCCCGGTTCAGTCAAGCGCGCGCGGCGCCTGCTGGGTGCGGGTGTGGCTCTGCTTGTGTTGCTCGCGTTGGTCTGGTCTTGGTGGCGGTGGCTCGCTTCTCTTTTTTGTCTCTGGCCTTCTGCTTCTTTCGTCGCCTTTGTTCCTTTGAGAGAGTGGCCTTCGGCTTCGCCTCAGCTTATCTTATCGCAGCTGCTTATGGCGATGCCCCCCGAAATACCGTAGCCATGCTCCTTTGCCTTCTCCCTCCCCTGCCAGCCCTTCCCAATCCCTTGCCCCCCCGATAACCTCGCTGAAGTTCTGTCCCTCTTGCTTTCTGTGGCACCCTACGCGCCCCCAGTGTCTGTCATCCTTGTGGCCGTGCGTCGTCTTTTCTCCTTTCCTTCAACAACTAGTCTTCTCGTCCTCATCTTCCCCCGCCTTCTTGTCTTGGTGGTTGTGCTGTTCGTTGTTATTTGTGTTGCCTTTGTGATTCTACTTGGGCTTGTGCGTCACGCCTTCAGCCTCACCTCGCTCCATTGGGATGGGCTTCGGCCGTTTCACTTCTGCCGGCGTAGCTTGTCTTTTGTCTTTGGGGGCTTTGGCCTTTGTATGTGGCTTTCCCGTGTCATAGTCTTCGCTGGGTTCATTCTTTGGCTTATACGAGACAAGGCGGCCCAACTTGATAAACTTGACCGTTAACCTGTGACACAGACACTATTTTTGGTGTAGTCCTAGTTTCGTCCGCAGATTGTTTTCAACAAACATGAATATTCAGGAAGTAGTCGGTGTTGTAGGATTAAGACCTGGTTTATCGCAGGAAAAAGTGTTATCATTATCGTTTTTTTGATTTTTTCAGATTGGGGTAACAAATTCCAGGCATTGGTGGGACGCTGTGCGCGTGGGCATAAGAATGGAGGGGCGCCAGCATTCACCGCTTCCTCTTGGCGCGTCTGCGGGTGGGCTGCGCTTCCCATGACTCAGACAACAAACCAGCGGCGCCGCACGCGCTGCTGTCCTGCTCTGGCTGCTGGGTGGTGCTGCGCTCTCCGGGAGGCGCTTCCAGCAATGGCAGACGCGCATGCGTGTAGCTTGTTTCCCTGTCCCCTCGCGAATCTGGGGCCCGAGTGTCAGGGGATGGCCTGCAGCCCTGCTGCTTGCGGCCGCTCCGCCACCTCTGGCGCCCCACCTTCTCCGACCTCTAGCGACTCGGCGCCCCCTTCCTGCTGTGGCCGCTCTGGTCCTCTAGCCGGGCCGGAGGTGGTCCGCCGCCCCCCTCCACCGACCCCTCCAAACACTCGCCAAAAAAACGATAACGAGCAAGCAGAAAAGGCGCCCACCTGTCATCCGCTTGCCCCTCGAGGTTCTGAAAATTTAGCGCGTGTTTTTGGGCTTCGGCGAAGAGTGTCGGGCGCCAGAAGCGTTATCGCCTATCTGTCGGGCGCCGAAAGTCTTATCAAATGGGGCCCCTGAAAACAAGGACCCCCCTCGAACACCCCCTCCAACTGACCTCTTCAGCCGCTCGCGCGTCTGCGGCTCTCGATCGGCTCCTCGCCTCCTTGGATATTGAGCGAAGTGGCGTCGCGGCTTCCCCTCGATCGGCTTGGCGTTTCATATTGCTTGCCCCCAGGAATCACCCCAACGATTGCCAGCGGGGCTGCTTTCCGAGTGCGCCGAGCTTGGTGCCCACGTTGGGCTACTTTTGCGGATAAGTTTGCAGGGCCAGGCCACGCTACTGCCCCATGGGCGTGCGTAAGCGGAGGCCGCGGCCTCTGAGCTTAGCGGTACCATCATGCCCAGCCATGACTGAAGGGCCGCGTCAATGGGAGGAGGAGCGCAGCGTCTGCTGCGGCACCTCGTGGAGGGAGGGCCGGCTTGCCCATCGCAAGGCGGAAAGCCCCAGGATCGCAGTGCTCCACGTCGTGCTTTTCTCAAAAATTCAAAAAAACGATAATGATAACGTTTTTTCTCGCGATATGGTTGTAGCACTACCAGCACCAGGGCTGGCCATCGTCGCCCTCTAAGAAGAGCGTAGTGGAAGGCGGTGGAGAGCACAAGGCCTGGTTCACCAATTTGTGCAAGAACGTGCCGGAGTTTCGTGGAGTGCAGGACCTTGTGCCGCTTCTGAATCTTTTGACACGGTGTATGAGTGAGGCGGACGCTAACGTCTGGTGCGAGCGATTGCGGAAGCTACATAACACGACTTGCGCCGCTCTGAAACAACAGGCGGCACTTGCAGCAAGAAAAAAAGACCTCGAGGAGAAGGCGAAGGCCAATAAGAAATTATGCTGAGACCACGCTTCAAGAGTCATGTGTTGTGAAGAAGTCCTTTGAACGTACCTGCAACTTGCACACTTCAAATGAAGAGGGTACTGTTGTGGCATCCTAGAAGCTTGTACTTACTTGATTTATACTTTCACAAACATTGAGGTACAGGAATTGCCTGATACTGTCATTCATAGGTTCCGTCTCGTCACTTACCAACAAGATGGACCCTATTGCATTCACGAGAGGCCACTAAATGGAGAAGCTGCAAGAGGTAAAGGCAATAGCGGTTCTACTACATCGTCTTATCATCTACTCATCTGGTTTTGTTCATCTATTTGCACTAGACTTAAGCGCCCGGCAGTACTCATCCCACTAGAATCCTCCACCCTCTGCACGCACTTCCCTCGCCATTGCGTGCCTCCGCTTGCCTGGCCCCTTCCCCACGCGAAAACTGTCAGGCGGAGTTCATCGGCGGGACAGCACAGGCGCCGGGCTCTTGGCGGCCTGCGGCCATTGAAGGGGCACGCCTGGAAATGGTAAGCCCGGGAGCTTGCTGGCCTTCTGTTCAGTTTGGCATCTTTGCGGAAGGCTGAAGCTTTTAAGTTTCAAACTTTTACAACTCGTCCACTTTGAAGAAAGTTAAAAACTTTGCGTTCAATTTTTTGAAGTATATTCGTCTTTTCAAGTTTGAGACTTCAACCGAAAGCTTTTCAAAGTCCCAAAGTTTTTGATCTTTTGCAAAAAAACTAAACGTGGGCGCCAGGGTGGCGCGTTGTAGGCTTCAAGCTGAAGACTTGAAGCCTTAAGGCAGTCAAAGGCCCCACGTCCAATGCGGTTTTAATTGAAGTTCATGCGTCTTTGATAAAGTCAAAAGCTGCTTTGCCCTTTTCGCGCTTTCAAATTAGAGGCTTCAACCAATTTCAGAACTTTCAAAATCCCAAAGCGTTTAAGCTTCTCGCCCAAAAAGTAGACTTAAATAAGGTCCAGGGTGGCAAGTTGTAGGCTTCAAGCTGAAGGCTTGAAGCCTCAAGGCCGTCCCTAGTAAGTTCATGGGCTCGGGGGTTCGGAAGTGTGAGGCTGAGAGTTTGGCGGGGTCGTTGTTGATTTTTTTTAGCTCTTTAATATTTTCTCCAGTCATTATCGTTCTAATTTAGAAGGACTCGGTGACGGGCAGGGGCTCACAGCTGTTGCGGTCTATGCGAAGCCAACTAATGGAGAATTGGAAGGCCCGCCAGAGTAGTAGAATGTCATCACGTGACGGGGAAGTGCGCTCCTCAACTATGTCAAGTAGCTATGAGCTTGCGCAAGAGAGCAAGCGCGCGGCGAATATTCACACCGCAACTAGAGCTTAAGGCCGGTAGTTTTTCACTCACGAGGTCGGACCTATCATTATGATTATATGAATATGTCGGACTCCGATATAAGAATGCGTAGGTGTAGAACTAGAAGGACTAGAAGTAATAGTGTACTAGAAGAACCCCTTTCATCTTGATTATATCCAAAGTGCAACAGAGCATATCACCATCAATGACTACCTTCTAAAAAACAGTCAAAAAGATGCAGCAGTTACAGGCACAAGAAGGTGCAGCAAAAAGGGCACCACAGATGAACGCGCCAGGAAACGCAGGGGCTGGCCTCGTTGCAGTCAGCTCAGGATCAGAGTTAAGTCGTGGATGAAATTAAGTAATGATTTTTTGGAGCTCGGTGATAAATTTAATTGCTCACGAACACCACCCAGAACACCGAAATATGCCTTGCAGAGGCATGCCAGTCTTGTCGTGATATCATACATAGCGTTAGTGACACGACTAATTCGTTGTACCTACTATCGAAAAGTAGACTAATTTGTGTTAAATGTAGAAAAAATATTTATATAAATGAAAACGCAGGAAAGAAGTAATATAGTTGTTGTAGTTGCTATTTTATGAAAATATGAATATTACAATGATGTACACGCTGACAATATGGATGAAGATGTTTTTTCCATTCTTACGACCATCGAGGCCTCGTCCCCTTCTCCCCTTGAAAGTGTATAGGTAAAAAGGGAGACTCGATGGCCTGGCTACTTGCAAAAAACGCCACTCACTCATCGTAGCTCGTAGCACTAGACTTTAGTTCTTTATCTTCTTCTCCTCTAAAGAAGACAGATGGAGAGCAAGCAAATATGCAAGACTCGGCAAGGTTCGAAAGATGTGAGCGACTCTACGTGCCGGTACTTGCAAACTATGTTTACTTTGCCAGGGGTCGAAAACTTCTAGCAGCGAAAGCCGCAGCGGCGGGAAGAAAAGGAGGACGCTCAAGCTTTTATGCGCTACGTACCATAGAGGACGTGAGTCTGAGTGCTACCGATTGATAAAGTTGAAGAAAGACAATCAAATATGAAAATATGTAGCGAACTCCCCTTGTCTGGTGCGTCGCGACGGATTACCATGCATATTATTTTGACGGGTTTAGATTTCAAATTCGTGAATTGTAAAGCAGCATGGCTGGCATGACGTTACTTTACATTTTCTTGTCTCTTCATGATCCGGTACTTGGGTACGACGATCAGCGGGCGCATAAGAATGAGCATTACGTGGAAGGGGTAGGGTATCGCCCTGTCGACAACATGCAAGCGAAGGACGGCTCCGTTTTTGACGTAGACGCGCACAATGAAACTTATGACAACCACTGAAGATCATTCGTGACCAGTTGTGGTTGTGCCCCCGTGTATTTAATTTACACTTGATTGTTGGTACCGTTCTTCGCCTCATTTTTATTTTTTACACAACCTTCCTCAATACAAGAAAATAATGTTTACTAACGAGTAGTAACTACAACTAGAATCTTGGCCATTAAGACAGTTAGTTGAGAAGAAATGTGCTACATCCATAGAAAATGTCGTGATTGAACAATTTCAATTTCTGCGTTGGTTTTGTTTAAGAGCAGTGGCCAGAAGTAGAGCGACGAGTACTTGCGATTTTCTAAGACAAAGGGGGTGACCGATTTCATATCGAGAATCTGATAAATTCTGGGCCGTCCATCCTGATCACACGTATCCTCGCGCGCCTTCCTGCTCCCGGACTGAACTGTGTAGCAGCAGCTGAAGGCTTGATACACTTTTTCCGGACTACGTATCGTGTCGTACGTAACGATGCTCTAAACCATGACGCAATCTTACCAGGAGTCTCGCCGCTTCCGGGCGAAGCACTGGAGTGCATCTACGAACTCGGTACTTCTAAAGAACAATTTTTCTGATCAACGATTAGGGTTGATTAATTATGATTTATTTCTCATGTTTTTGTGGGAAACCATGCTGGTTGTATAAATATGCGAGGATGTTATGGTGCTGACGCCTTTCCATGCATTGTGATTGAGTCAAGAATATCATACATCCAAATCCATGTTATATTTTATATTAAACCACGATCCACATTCACATATTCTTCAGCTGCCAACGTGAACCTCGAACCGATTCTGCAGCTTGGCGCTAATACATTTGAGCTTCTCAGTGCATTTCTAGCTCGTGTATATGGGAAACTCCTAGTGGCTAACCCGGATTGGCGAAGGAACTTTCCACGCATGTTCGATTAAGGCTGTCGATGTTTCACCTTGTGTCTTTGGTTGCATCTCTCGTCGAGAAAGTAAAAGTACCTGCCTGCGTGTCCTGCTCGATGAAAGAATGCTTACTATCGAGATGCGATGGGTTTCTGCCTACTAGTAGAGATGAATAATTATCACCAGTAGCAAATGAAGCGCTAATTTGTTTACCTTCACGTTTTCGGTTTCGCACTCATAGAGTACAATTGGAAAGGCGAAGAAATATTAGGTCGCGAGGCAAGTCTCAAGGAGGATGAAATGCGATTTGCGTCGGCCCTGAGAGAAAGGGGCACCGGAAGGCTCGATCGCATTGACTCAATCGAAGAGCTTGTGCTTAATTCCGAGGATTTCGCACAGGTTCAGATTTTGATTTATTGATCCCTATGGTAATCAGTATCAGTCTCTCTTCTTTGCTTTTAGAAACAAGCGCGAGCGAAAGCGATGAGTATGTTGATTCCACCCACATGGACTTAATAGTGTACTACTACGAGGACGGTTCAGGTTCTTATATCAACCAGTGGTTATTGAATGATTTTATTTTTACCTCCTTTTACTCATACTCCCTCCATCATCCAAAGTATATCAAGTACTACAACAACTTCAACGTCAACTTCGTACTTGTCCTATCTACTGCACCTTCGACATCAAGGTTATGATATTATCGGCATCTGGTTTCCTGAACAAAGCTGCACAGTTGGAGTTCGACGACGAAAGAAGTGTGACGGACTTCGAAATGTTCGTGACGGCAGAGCTAAGTGACATTGCTCTTTCTTTCTGCTGGCAAGGTGAGTACGCGGACCTCTTCGTCGCCTTTGTGGCTATGGCGGTGGGCCGACGCATCATTTTCGAAAATCGGCAGCACTACAACACGCTCTTCATCCACTTCTTCAATCTCTTCACTAAAGTTAAGACGGAGTGCGTTAGTCCTCTCAGTCCTCTGCCTCTTTTCGCGACTCTTATTTTGTACTAGACTCATCAGTACATTTATTTTCTTAACAGTTTCTCTGTCTCTCCACGGTCTTCTGCTCGGCGTGACAAAAATCGATGCTGGTTTAATATTTTTTTATATATATAATACACGAGGACCAGAGGCACATTATTTGATGTCACTTTCAATTCCACTTAGCATGCTCGAGAAAAGGCTTACGATTTGAAATGTTCCTCTAATGATTATACAGATATTACATTTGATAATAAGTGCCACGTCGTTTTCCTCTTGCTTTGATTTGATTTGGAAACCTCTTCTCGCTCTTGCTTCTAAGAAAGAGTATCTATCGAAGGTGCCGGACCACGCAGGAATATTGCCGTGGCTGAAAGATCAGGTAAAACGGATATTCACAATCTGCCAGCGACCAACAATGGAAACCAGGATGGCACTTGGCGAGGATGACGCGGACGATGGCGCCGATTCGGAACTACCATACAGCAGCTCCCGGAATATGGAGAACGAGGATGAAGAGCCGAAAGACCGTCTGTTAAGGCCTCCAGTTTTATTTCAGCATGCTGATCCTTGTGTCGACATGTGAATGATTCTCCGCAGAGTGGATGAACTTTTTACTACCTTGTCGTCGGGCTTCTTACGTGAGTAGATAACATCAATAGCGTGGACGACCAGGTTCCTAGAGAAAAATCCTTCTCAAGGTAGGATGATGGAATAAAGCGACCGCTAAGTCACGGCTTCCCGCTCCCTCAGAAAGAAGAACCAGAGAAGAAAACGAAACTTCCGTTCATTTAAGGCCACAACGACAAATGCATGTGCATTCTCACAGCTACAAGCTCCTATTTTTTCCTTCTCATTTACATTCATTTTCTTTTGGATAGTCGACTCTTCAAGTTCTTTCATGACTTTTTTTTCATCAAAACAACCCACAACCACAACCACACACTCTCACTCACACTTAGAAGGTACTAAACCGCGAAGTTTGCCGCTCGCCGCCTCAGAGACTTGATGGAAGTCCTCACTACAATTTCACTCCATAGAGATACTCATCTTAGAAAGTCCTGGGTTCATCTTATTCTTCTTGTAATCATTTTCTTTTGGATTTTGAGTTGGATTAAGCAGAAATATTTATTTCAGTGAATAACAAACAGTCTTCCAGTTCTTCAAAAAGATGGCCACAAGGTGAATGCCCGGGTCATGAAGGCGAAAAATGCAGTTCTCGTAGATGTACTTCTTCTAACTTGTGAAACTGAACGTTGCTCCTGAGGGGGGGCAGGCAACGGAAGCCCCTGTTGTGGCCGCTGCAGACCCCGATGCAAATCTAGCGAGACTCGAGTATTCCAAGAATTTTACTCGCGGTGACGCTGGAAACAGGTAGTGATGCGTGACGCGATTGCAAGCCAGCACATTTTAAACACATACTTACATATTCATAAAAATGCCACCAGTAGTGTACAGGCAAAGCTGGTCCTCGTCTTTAAATGTTGTTGTTCGTCCTCGATCTTTTTTGCAAATTGTATCTATATATATAAGGAGTCGTAACGAAATTCACCTGTTTTCATGATGTTGACACTTACTAGATAGCCGTGAGTGTAGAAGTTCTAGATTTGAATCCTTTGCAAGTAGTCAAGTTAGTCTTAGTGAGTATACATTCATAGTTGTAGTTACAACATCCGGTTCTCCTCGAAATCGTAATTGTTACATCAATTCGCATATAGCGCTAGTAGCGCTTGTTGAGTTCATCTTTATGAAGATAGAAGTCTACCGAATTCAGTTGTAGCTTGTACTTACCTATACTCCTACGGGGTGAGTCTGAGTCAGCGATCAAGACCACGTGATGTAACATGGCCATCAAGCATACTGCCTTGAGCTGAAGGAAAAACCTGCAGTCTGCAAGCGCAACAAAAAGAACACCCCGTCTACGTGACCACGTATAGTGTACCGCACCACTTTCGTTGGCACCGCGTACCCATTCCATCCTACCAATAGATAAGTACTATGTATAGAATTGGTCTTGTAAAAAGAAAGCACTAATATATTTTATGCGCAAGATAATCATATTTTATTCTCGAACGTCATTCTCCTCCACCAATATCCAAATCATGTTAGCGACTCAACCGCGTCGTGGACGTGGTCACCATCCACCTCGTCATCTTTTCCCCATGAGCAGAGGATGGCCCGACGAACGTAAATTTGAGGCACAGTCATGGACTAAAAAGTAAAGTGGTTCTTTCTCAGACTTCTTTCACATCAAAAAGAACTCCCCCCTATGCCGGTAGCTACGCGGAAAATATGTAGGCAGGTTCTTCACGGAACTCGCTCGCGATGCAAAAAAAAAAAGTAGTAAGAAAGTAAATTGAAATTAAAAATAGCAACAAATAACATATTGCACATTTTTATATAGCAAGGTCGTATTCGCCTTCGAAGAAGCAACTACCTTATCAAGTTTATAATCCCAACTACATCAAGTTGAAGCTGATCATTCATTCATCCATGGATCTTATCTATTATTTACTAACAAGAAACATCCATCTCCAATCTTGTACAACTACATCCCCGCTGCGGATGAACGTATTCGATACCGTAAATTTAAGCCGATCTGTTGCACAGAAATGCATAGAAGAAGGAAAGATGAGAAAAATTAAATGTCATATCGCCACATTCCAAACAAAACTACTCGTTTGAAGATTAATAAAAAGTTGACGGATCTTTACTAAAGCAATAAACTAGTCGTAAATATTTTCTCCTTCTGAAGAAAACAACGAATGATGACGCAGAGAGAAACAGAACCAAAAATGCAGTTGCCGCATCAGAACTCTAAAAAGACACATCAAGATCTACTACGTCGGATTGCTGCTGTTGACGGCGCTGTCGCCCACCCGCGTGTCGAGCAGTATATGCTGAAAAATGCTAAATTTGTGATGCAAGTGGTGGCACGCAGGGTAGAAAACAATAGAACTGTTGAAGAATTCTATCAGCCGATTGATTTGAACTGCTTTATGTACTGGTGGCGATGAGAGAGCAACAGGTGAGTAATCACTGAGTCTGCAATCCGTCGGTCTATCAGCTCATGTTTTCGTACAAATCAAGCAGATTCCCTTGAATTGAGCAATCGCAATCTCTCTCACGCTCATCCGTCGATTTCCGATATTATTGCGTTAAAATACAAGATCATATCACAACTGTGTGCGCCGTCTCAGTGTGGTGCAGCGAGGAGAAATGAGTAACACTCGCGTCCCAGGACTACTTGTTTTTGTATTTTTTGGTCTGATTTTTTCGTATCTTCATCATCATCTCGTCATCGTGATGAGTGAATACCGATAAGATGATGATGATGATGATGATGATGAATACAATTTCGTAGAATGAACCTGACGAAATCCTTTTTTTTGGAAATTAAGGCCAGTTGATGAATGGAGGCACCTGGTAAACTTGCATAGACGCAACTAATTTCCACTACTAGTAGCCATTCAATTTTGCTACCATATTACGTGGTCGAAAGTTTTTTTGTAGATTTGAGTAATTGAAGAGTATAGCACTACATCAATAGAAGCGACGCGTTGTGGTTGTCATATTGAATCTTGTTTGATTGTTTTGACGATATCCATATGATGACCACGACAAGTGACGCAGTTTCTTCGTTTATCTTGTTCTGATGAAAGCAGAAGATGAGCAACATGACGTGGTCGCGTTCATTCTTTCTCGGTGCTTGCAACGGCGGACCTGATGTGAAATGTGCCGCTCTGCAGATGAAGGTCGCGCGAGCCACCGGATGGGCGTGCCAGGCCTGACAACTCGTGATTAGCCTGACGCAAGTACTAACCGCAAGCGGCTTGCCCAGGGGTAAGGGTAGCGACAAGAAAACAAGCCAGCCACTAATTCGTCTTCAAGTTTTAAGAACGAAACTAGGCCTGGAAGAAAGGATCAGAGCGCAGCTGCTTCCAGAAGTTTATCGGAACGCAAACGCACCAAGACGAAGACCACAGGGCAGACCGCACCAAGACAAACCTTAATCACGTCAAGAACACTTTCTGGCACCTCAAAAACACTACGAAATGTCGAATGCTTGGCAACGCCTTGACGACCTATGGTACCGACGAAGGGAAATCGGTGGTATGAAGTGGGCAGAGGACCCAGACCGCCTCTGGACTCATGTGATATGCGGTGCGAGATGCGGGGGTCCAATCGCAATGGTTAGAGACGAAAACGTCTTCCAGCAGCTCGGCACTTCTACAAGTCTCATACCGAAGTACTACTGCATTGCAACTTGTTACTTCTTGACTTTAATTCACTTTTGGTGATCATTAACGCTGATTCGTTTTCTTCGAATCAAGTGGAATGAAAATAGACATGGCTTGTTGTACTGAAAAAACTGAAAGTCTTGGAATTGTTTCGAATAATCGCATTCGCAAAGTGGATGCGTTCCTAAATTCAATTCATCTTGATGTGTGGCACTAGTACGTACTTGATAGATTGCGTGATTTGAGTTATCTATAGTGGATTCTGCTAGTGCTACATGTACTACGTCTGGCGAAGTCCTCCGCGCGCTGGTCCTATGGGGCGTTGATATTGCAGGCCTCACGGAGGTCCACCCTGAGGACACCAGTCTGCCGCTGCTCGTGCGGCAGTTTGGAAAGCATGGATATGAGGCGCTTGCGCGCAAATCTTGCAGCCCGTCGCCTCTGGCCGCCTCCCTGTTTCTGTCGATCTTCATGCTCAATGTGCATCTCGTGGGCAAGATGCTGCACGCAACAGCCTGCCCATCGGTTTAGCGGCAATGGTGCGCGAGTTTTTGAGTCTTCGCGTCTTTTCTTACCTGCTCAGCTGGGGGCCACGTCTGGAGACTCTTGCCGCCCATATGCTCGATTTTTCGAAGATGCACCCCCAGCACAGGCTTCCACGATCATGCACCCGGCCTGTGGGATTATTGGAAACGCATGATTAGACTCGGCTCCATGGCATTGCTGAACTTGAGCTGCCGGGTCTGCTTATATTCGCAAACCATCTCGACGCCCAAACCCCGGAACGGCGCGGCTGGGGCTTTTATGCGCTTCCTTTTGTTGGATGGTAATCGTTAGAGGCCTGCCGGTGTGCGTGTGGGTCCTTTGTTCCAGGGGTGCGGAAGCGTCTCCTCGAACTCGATTGGACCGGCGCCGCTTTTTGGCTATCGAAGGGCGCGCGCCTCTGGGCAATACAGTGGCGGCTGCTGCTAGTAGTCAGAGGTGAAACCGATGGAATCAGTCACCACGGCGGCGGCATCCTCTTCTTCTTATGCTCGCGACACCAGCCTCGGGGCTAGCCCTCGCGATCGTTTTCGAGAGGTAGCCCGACTCCCTGCACTATTTGAGGCCGACTCCCTCGAGGCCGCGCCGCAGGCCCTAGTACTTAATATGCCGCCTATGTATAGATCGAAGCTAGGCGGGGAGTTTTCGGCACTGTGGGCTTCGGTCGGCGTTGTGTTGCTTGGCTTTTCGAAGTTAATTAGCACAAGCAGCGGCACCGTGGCGGCGCAGGGCTGCCGCCGTTCTTTCTTCGCGCACTCTGTGGCTGTGGGCTTGTTGTTGTCGTCGAGTGGGTGTATGCGTTTGGGTATGATCGATGCAGCACGCTGCGGGGCGGTCTGCCGCTTTTCGCGCTGCGTGCCGTGCGTGGCTCTTTGGCGCGGCGCGCGTGAGGTAGTTTTCGTTTTCGGCTGAATCTAAAGCGCCTTGCCCGGGGCGCTGCGCCCGCCTGCTTGCTTTTGATTTTTCAGTGTGTGTTTGGTCGGGGCTCTTTGGGGATCTTGTTACACCATGACGGCACTGGCAAACGCAACCGGGCCGTGACGCCTTTCGTTGGGATTTCTTTGCTTTTGCCTAGCGCGTGCGCGTCGCTGTGCTTCAGATTCTCCTTGTTCGTTGTCTGTGTGTAGGTCTCTCACTCTCTGTGGGTAGCCGTCTACGCTTCTCATAATAATAGAGTATGCGTCTGAGTAACGAGCTTCGGGCTGCTCAAGTTCTTTCGAGTTGCCACGAGTTGCTGGGCCTCACCTGCCCAAAACTGGCCACCTTGAAACAAAGCGTAGCAACCCCCGGCGGCATGACGAGCCAAGAACAGGCCATGGAGCTCCGGAGGGGGCTCCTCACTTGTTGGCTTGCAGGTGTGCCGCTTGTATTGCAGAGGCATGCCTCGGCCGAGCTCTTCGAGGCTTGGTGAAAAAAGGCAAGGGTCGGGCCTTTGCTTTGAAGATTGTTTGAATGGCGCGCGCGCGTGCCACCCTTGCGAACTGCGGGCTTTTGCTTTGTTGGGTCGATGCCTCTGCGTCTTCGTGTTTTGCTGTCGGTGATGATCTGGCCATGCTTTTTGTTTCTGATGACTGAGCGACGGCGAGGCTGTTCGGCTTTGGGGTTGGGATTTAGAAGTGAGGTGCCAGGCTTGTTTCTTATAACGATGCCCCCTCGAGGAGCCAAGCTCACTCTCTGCTGCGTATTTTCTTGCGTGGTAGTGGACTTATGGAGTAGCGCGTCGCCTAGTAAATCATGTATCATTGCGCTATCCTATGCGCGAGGACACGTCAGCAACTTACTGGGTCGCAGCGCTAACTAAGTAAGTAGTCCCAAGCTACAAGAGCAGGGGCTGGGGCCCGTAGAGGGCGCTGACCCCGTCTTCCCCGCGCGTGCACCGCGCCCGCCGCACCAGAGAAGGGACACTATTGGCGAAGCCGTTTGTTTCTTGTGGAACGTGTGTGGCTTGTGGAAGATGCTGCGCCTGCGCCCGAAGGGCGCAGCGAAAAAATTAGGTGTAGAAGTGGAAGTGGAACTCGAGAAACTCGAGGCGATACAACCGCGCGAGAAGAGTCTACTTAATTCTATGTATAATAATAACACATGCACTACTTGTACTGTAACTACCTAGGTAGACGTTGTTCGTCAACAAGAGCTTTATTTTCAACATTGTCCGGCAGGCTGCACACGATGACGGCAATGGGTTCACCGCTTGCGAGTGTAGACTGGACGTTTAAAGGCCTGCTTGGGTTGTATTGGACCCCCGAGGAGGAGTTGGTGGCGGTTTTCTCAACAGGCCAAGTGCGAATTTTCGACGCGTTCGCAACACAGAAAAGACACTGGAGTCTTGATATGGGCTCCGAGACGCGCCTCACACTCGTGACCTTCTGGACTGGTGGGATCGTCGTCTTCGGAGCCACCACAAAGCGCTTGTACGTCAACCTCGGCTTTTCACGTCGATCTCCGGTCCAAATTACCGACGCAATCGACGCTTTTCCTGGTCTCATAACAGCGGGCACATCTGCCGGCTCCTCGGCTGGCGGAAGCACTGGAAGGGGTGCTTCTATGGCGGCGCAGGAGCATGCGAGTGACTTCTTGTTCGCTGCAGTCACAATTTGCGTTATGCCGGTCGCTCATGAACAGGGTTCTGGAGCGAGCTCCGCGGCTTGTGGTAGAGCGAACACGGGTTCGAACGCGGCAGGTGGGTCGGATATCGTGCAAGAGATCGACGTGCATGCGTCGTCGGCTGTTTTAACACAAAACGTGTTTGCGCTTCTGAATAGCACGAAAGCAGACCTCAGAGTTCTCCTGGCAACCGAGTGGCATGGCGTGTTCGTCTGTTCCCCACAGAACTGCTATCAACTTGGGGCGGGCGGAGAGCAGCTGCCAGACGGAGGAGCGCCAGGAGTCGGCCCTCCTCAAGCAGTTTCGCAAGGTCAGCCTCAGTCGTACCAGCCGCACACAGGCAGCAGCGGTGCGGGGGCAGCCTCAATGTCACAGCACAGTGGCCATGGAGGGCCAGGTCCCCGTGGCGCATCTAGTTCTCTCCCTCTAGCCGTGGCAGATCCCACGACGCATTTCGCTGTATCGCCCTCTGGTTTTTTCCTCGCGCTGTTGACAGAGAAAGGCGCGTTCAAGGTCTATGACAATCGATTGGCGCTGTTGGATGTGGCGCAGCTCGAAAGTCGAAAAAAGCCGAGGCAAATGGTCTGGGTTGGAGAAGACTGTGTAGCCCTGTACATGGCAGCCACGACGAAACAGCATGCACTGTTCGTAGGAGGACCACGAAATGACTGGATACCCTACCAGTATGACCATCCCCTTTTTCTTATATCAGAAATCGATGGCGCGAGAGTGGTCGGACAGAAGTGCGAGATGCTACACCGAATACCGGCGGCTGTGGAAGCGATTTACAGGTATTTGTAGTTTTATCCTCTCTTCTTGATACTGATAGATAAAAAGATAGATGCGCCGCCAGATCTTCCAGGTCGTTCCGCTATTTTCATCATGTTTTTTTGCGCTGAATCGCCGAAACATACCACTTGCAAGTAAAACTAGGGCCACTTCAATTAGACGAATCTGTTAACCCAATTTGGCTCAACATGTCACGTTCACAAACCACAGTATTGGTTCTTGTGAACCACCCGCTATGCTGTGCTACGCTTTGGAACGATTTGTTGAAGGCGATGTTCGGGCAGAGGAGTCACTTCGTGCTATCAAGGACGATCTGTACGATGCGATAAACCAAACAATGGACGCCGCAATGTGCGAGTTTGATGAGGACAACGTGAGTTCCTTACTCCAAGCTTCTGTTTTCGGCCGCACCTTTCTAGGAACTTGCATGTCATCATCGAGTGGCGCTAGTACGAGTGACTCTGCGCAAGCTCGCGCTGAGGAGGCGTCGCGGCGCTTCGTCGAGTGTTGCAAGTGGATACGCATCGCGTCTGCGTTGCGAAATGAATATGATCTGCCGGTAACGTGCGCGCAGCTGCAGCAAATCGGCCTGCCCGCACTGGTGTCACGCCTGACAGCGCGGCGGCAGCACTTGATCGCGAAGCGCGTCTGTGATTGGGTCGGGTTGCCAATGGTCGAGAAGATCCTAGTGTCTTGGGCCAGAGACAAAATACAACATTCGCCGGCAATCACTGACGCAGATCTCAGTGAAAGTATCCGACGAAAATTTTCGCAGCACGCATCGGCTAGCAAAGCTGCGGGAGGAGGAGGAGGTAGCTCAGCCCTAAGCCGCAGCGCGTCGAGTCAATCACAAACAGCAGCTCCAGTGAAGATGGTGCGCTACCGATACTGCGCGCGACCGCCTCAAAGCAGCGTAGAGGAATTGCCCGTTATCGACCCGGGTGCAGCGGACGTTCCCTACGCAGAAGTCGCAGAGTACGCGGCGCAAGCGCACCGGCCAGCCTTGGCGACCATGCTGTTGAAGAATGAGCCACAACCGGCACAGCAAGTGGCAATGCTCTTGAAATTATCGGAATTTCAACTGGCCTTCGAGCTAGCGGCGCAGCCAAAAGGCGATCCAGAGCTGTTGCGGGAATGCTTGAACCATGGATCCGACAGTAGCACTGAAGTTCTAATTTCAAATACGCGCGCGCGGTGCTTGCACATTCACTCGTTGCGAAAACTGCAACGGTGGCCCGAGCTGCAGGCCTTCTGCGAAGGAGGGTATCCACAGAAGCGACTCATCGCGGAGGCGCTCCTGCGTCAGGCTCACGCACCGCGAAGTGTCGTCGCAGAGAGGGTGGAATTCCTACAGAAGACGGCAGTAGCATTCGGCCAGAAGAGCTCGGTGGCAAAGAGTCGACCGACGCCGGCACCAAGCAACATCGGGGCGGCGCAGCAGCAAATGCAACAACAACCGGCGGCGGGCGAGAAAGACCACATTCCGCCAGACCACTTTAGCGCTGCAGTGACGCAGGAGCAGGCCTCACTTCTTAAAGTGCAGGAAGCACTGGAGCTCAAGGCAAAAGCCCAAAATTGGCCTACACTCCCGCAACTCGATCCGCCGAATGCCTCGGTTTCCGCAGCAGGTGCAAATTCGTTCTCCTCAAGTGGATCCTCTTCATCAAGAACTGATGGTGCTGCTTCCTCCTCATCTTCCTCGTCTGGCCAACAACATGCTTCGTCTGGCTCTTCCTCTAACATCCCCAACTACCTTTTTCTAGGACGGTCGCTAATGCAGACCGTGCGCATACTTCTCCTCCTAGGCCAGCTGAGTGAAGCGGACAAGCTCCGCAAAGAATTCGCCATTCCCGAGAAACGGTTTTGGTGTTGGAGAATACGCGCGCTTTGTGAGGCGCGAAATCTCGACGAAATTGTGGCGATGGCGCGAAGCGGACGAGGTACTCAGGACTACGTGCCACTCGTCGAAGCGTTGATTCAGCTGAACCGCCCAGACCTAGGAAAGGAGTTCGTCTCGCAGATCAAAGACGATCAGAAGGCTGCTGCTCTTCTACTCAGAATGGGCTACAGGAAAGAAGCCGAGGAACTGAAACAGAGCAAGGGGATGGGAGGCGGCATTCTCAATTGGTTCAAAGGGTCCTCGTCGAGTGGCTAGCGTTAATGAATGCGTGGATCAGTCTTGGCAGCGGAGATGATGGGCACTCCCAGTTTTCGGTTTCGGCGACTCAACGATTATCATTTATAAGGAAGTACAAGTACTAGATGATCTACATGTTGCGAAGTTACCCGTGACGCGCGCAAGACAGACAGTCATTGTTTTGTATTCAGAATTTACGAGTTGGCGTTACGACCATTCCTCTTCGTGTTACCATTCTCAAAAAATGTAATATTTCCCGTCGGCACCATGAACTGATAGTTTATGAAGGCACAGTTGTAGACTAGTCGTACGATCATGTCTAAAAAGTGTTCATCGCATGCAATCTTTTTGTTCAAGCTGTTGAAATGGGCACACCTTACTCGGTTTTCTACTAAGTACATTCTTTATCTGCAATTATCATTATCTCAATTTGACTTGTGTTATCTTCGTTGAGGAGAGACGTTTTGCGAGAATCAAAACAATCGTACTTAGTTAAGATCTTGCCGGCAGTGGAGTAGAAGTACTATCTTCTGAGACGCAAATGAATGAGTGCTCCTGTATGTGTCGGTCGTTACCGAGAAATGTGAGTGTGGCATCTGTCAAAGCAGAGTGTGTAGTTTCTCTGGACCAAGAAAGACTCATGAAAACTGTGATGAGCATAGTCCAACAGGAGCATGTTGACTTGAGGGAGAAGGATGTGGAAACAAACAGGAACCAGTTGTCGGTCTATTCGAGTGCAAAGATGTAGTCTGTCGCCAGAGAGTTAAGCATTATGCTGCTAAAAATTGATTACGGATTTTCATAGAGTTGTATACCTTTACCTTATTTTCTATTCGTTTTTAATACATAGGATCAAACATGAAAGAATCTTCCTGCGGGGACAGAGATGCAGCGCCGCTCAGCGAGCGGAGTGTCTTGTCCATTCTTGTAGATCATGTGTGATCGTAATCCAAAAATATCCAATGAAAAAGAATCCGATGTTGACTGACTAAAAGCATAGATCGACTCTCTCTCACGATGATCTAATTTCTGGCAGGGCGTAGAGCTGGCACTGGAAGTGATCAAGAAGATCATCTGCAAGACTGATTGCGATCAAATACCTATCCTTCGAATTCACAATAGCGATTGCGATTGTTCTCGTTTTTATATATACTATAAGTAGGCAAGAAGTTGATGAAGTTCTTCCTGTTCCTAGAAAATTTTCTTTTACGTTCGAGTTACGGATCGGATCCCGTGTATACGCCTCTGAAAATGAAATCTCTACTTCATAATTAGTGATAGTAAGTATTGAGTAACTCTGGCACTGGCTAGAATTCAATTTCAAACATTGCTGCAGCAGCAAAAAATATAATTAAGGAAGTAGAAGAAAACAACATTTGTGCTTGGTAGAAGATAGACCTATGTAAGTACAGCAAAAACTTGCATGCGACATCAAACCAACAATCACTAGGAAATATCGCTCCTGAATCGCAGGTCGGGTATAACACTTTGAAAGTTTGATGTGCAAATATCAAGAATTGATTGAGTTATACCAAAGATAGACTTGTCTGGTGATTCGTGGTGGTGCCGGGGACGAGAGATTGAAGACGGTGCTACTAGTTGTGCTTAGAATAATCGACTGAATTTTGATAGCTGCACGTCAGTCCGCTGATTCTTGACATTTCTTCTAGAACTTTCTCCTGCGTCCACCGACTGTGCTAAATCCCGCCAAGCATCCCCTTTTATTATAACAAGGGTGTCTTGTTTTTGTTTTTGATGATTGCATATTCCACCTTGTATTTTTCGAGTTAAGCAGTAACATCAGAACAGAAAATGCAACGTCGTTCTATGAATAGTGCTGCTGAGGAGCCGAAGGAGGAGCGGCGAAAGTCCCTTCTTGTTGCAGCCGGTGACGACGAGGATGAGCGATCCCGGTTGATTCGCGCGTTGGACCTGGAGTCGGGGGGCCAAATGGCTCCGCAGGGCCTCAATGAGCGGCGAAAGGGTAGACGTAACTCGACTGGTCAAGGAGAGTCAAGAGCGGGTGGCTCGTCCTCATCGTCGGCACCGTACCCCTTTTCAGGGAATGCTCAATACAACAGCCTAGGAGACACTGACCAAGAAGAGCGGATGGCGTATGTGAACGTTGGAGTGGAGCATAGTCCGGACCCGGAGGACGGACAACAGGCGCGGTTGAGGGGGTGCAACGTGGCCGTGGTGCGCGAACTGGAACAGCCGGTACTGGATGAAGAGGAGCGGAAGACCTATCGAAACATGGTCTTGCACGGTGACCCGGACCCGGACCCCGAGAACCGCGACACGTTCAACAATCGAACGACGAGAGAGAGAGGCAGCCTCGGGGGCCTCAACTATGGTTTTCAGCCAACGATAGGTCAGCTGGGTGGAGGAGGGCCTTCCGCCGAGTCTTCGGGAGCGAGTGACGCCGGTACGTCAGCAGCGCCAGACGGTCTGTTACGTGGATCTCGGGCAAATAGCATCTTGTCGCAAAGTCCTTCTGCTGTGCCAGCAGGCTATTGTAACCCGGAATTTGTGGAGGCCGTAACGCACGAGAAAAATCTGACACTCGAGTGGCGTAATCTAACGTTTAAAGTAGGCGGCGCGCAGAAAAAAGCGATCCTCAAAGACTGCTACGGAAAACTCTACCCAGGACAGGTCTGCGCGCTGATAGGGCCGTCAGGTGCAGGCAAGAGTACACTGATGAATCTTCTCGCAGGAAGGCAATCATGGAAAGGCAAGGGTGTTGAGATGACAGGAGAGGTCAGGTAAGAAAAACAATTTTTTATGTCGATTTGCTCGGCTCGATGTCGACGCTGCAACGAGTATGAATCCAGCTTCTCTTGTTTTTTGTGCTGAAGAGCGTTGCGGTTGTAGTACAAGAACGATGAATGCCACTAATCCGGTGGTCCCTCTGCAATTCTAATTTGAACGCTTCTGGGGCAGCTCGGTCAAAAACAAAAAATCTACCTAGATACAACAACCAGCAGCTAGACGTTCTCTCTGCACTTCCACCAAATCCTTCCAATAAGATGTTCTTCCATCTCCACAATTAACAGGTATGGTGGAAAGCTCGTCGAATTCGACGATTTAAAGTCATCAATAGCCTATGTTATGCAACAAGACGCACTTTTGGGAACACAAACAGTCTACGAGACGCTACTGTTCGCAGCACGCATGAAGCTACCAGCATCCACGAATGCGGAGGCGCTTCATCACAACGTTGAAACGACACTGAAACAGTACTGCTTGACTTTTTCTTTCTTTTTTGTTTTGAGAAACGAGGATAATAGAATGGACGATGAGATTGTTTTTACTTAATAAGTTCTCGTGTTTTGCCCCCCCAGGCTGTCATTTATGTCCACGTGTACACGTGTACCTAGGAGTAAGAATCCATATTTGGATGAGGTTCTTCTTCTTGCATAATATCAAAAAAACGAGACCAAAAGCAATTCCAGTTTTAATTTTTCGCCATTTTTCGCTCAACAGACTAGACCTCTGGGAACAACGAAACGTGCCAATCGGAGATGCGTTCCGAAAGGGCATTAGCGGTGGTCAGAAGAAGCGTGTGTCGGCAGCTTTAGAGCTCTTAACCCGACCATCAGTGATGTTTCTCGATGAGCCGACAAGTGGTCTGGACTCGTTTTCGTCCTTGAAATTGATTGCCGAGCTGAAAAACATTGCAGTCGCCGAGAACGCGATTATTTGCTGCACAATCCATCAGCCGAGTTCTGAAATTTTTGACAATTTTGATCGCGTCATCTGCATGCGTGAGGGTGAGATCATGTTCAACGGCTACAACGGAAAAGCAGCGGAAGCCTTGGTGACTGCGAACGCGCAGGAAGCCAACGCGCTTACGGCCGGCACAGTTGCTGGAGGAAACTTTTCGGCAGCGGCCTTGCAGCAGCAACAACTTTTGAACGACGCTTCCCGCATTTACACCATTATGGGCTTCCTCGAGCTCATTGTCGGCCGCTCCTTGCCCACTGGGTACAACACTGCGGATTGGCTCCTCTACCTAGCACAGAGTATGGACGAGGAGGAAGCAAGGGAAGTGATCGAGCAATGTGCTCGTGCCTACGAGCTGCGCAATCACGGGTATGCGGCGACCCGTGTGCCCCTGGTCGATTACAGGGCAGTGGAACTCCGGGACGCGCCTCCACCTAATGTGATGAGTCTCGATAAGAAAAACGTCTACTGGGGACAGGATGTCGGAGGGTACTTTCACACCTACAACTTCCTACTTTTAATACTTTCTCATCACTGTGCTCAAAAGAGAATTTGGGTCATCATTAAGTGCTAGTAGAAGGAGATATACTTACATAAAAGGCACCAACATATGCATTCAAACTCCGCAAATTTCGGTTTCGGATTTGCAGATAATAATGAAGAAAATCGAATGTCGATTTTTTCTTTTTCAGGGGCAAGACGGCATTGGATGATTTGTTTACTGTGCCGGAGCATGCGGAAAGCCAGTCGCAAGAAGCGGTGGTAGACTCTTCCGGTGTCCACGCTGAGGACCCTGACCGTCAGACCATGTTGGCAGCAGCCAAAGACGACGATGTCGACTTGGAAGAAAATCCAACGCTAGAGGTAGGCAAACAAGTGAGGAGATTGAATTGGTCAGCGGAAATCATCGACTACATGGACATAGGAGTCGGCCCAGATGCGCTGAAACGTATGCACGTCGATGCCCAGTGGATCCAAGAGCATCCAGCAACGAAGGAGCTCATGTTAGCACGACAAAAGCAGAACGGACTATGCTTCCAGCTCTGGTTTCTCACTCAGCGCGAGTGGGTGCACAGGCTCAGGTAATCAAACACTAGTATTTGTCTCCATTCGTTGTCGTACTCGTACGGAATAGCTTTTTAGCTTGTTATTGTTACGAGAAAGAAAAAGAATCACAAGGCTGCTTAATATGTTTGTCTCATTTGGCTGTGGCTCTGGATGATCGATAGAATTACTTCATGAGCGAGGAGCAGCACGTGACCGCAGACGCTGTCCGGATCAGCTGCACGCCTGTCCGCTCTCCAACCTAGATCGTGCACGTTTTTTTCTTAATCCAAAATCTCTTATTGTTTTTCACCTCCTTCTCAGGGACCCGTGGATCTTGTTTTACCGGTTCTTAATTCCGATAATGCAAGTGACTTTGTTCGCAGTAGGATTTACGAATATCGGGAGACAGCTTCGGGAGGGTCACTATGACAGGGAGGGAAAGCTTATTAAAACCCCTGGTGAGTACGGTGAGAAAATCCGCGAGCTTTACGGTGCAGCAAACAATATTATCTGGATTTTCATGTTCTCGACAGCTGGAGGATTCTCGCTCACCATTCCGCAAGAACGCGCCATCTTTCTCCGAGAGTACAATTCACTCTTTGAATATGAATTTCGATTTTGGCTTTGACCTAGGTTCCGTTTCCATTTTCCTATGTCTTTACGGTACATTAATTTTCTTTTTCAGTAATATTTCCTGCTACATAAAGATAAAAGCAGGTTGTCCACACATCGGATCGAACTAATGATATCCCTGTCGAATCAATATTCTACCGAATTATAGCATTAGAGCATCCAACGCCAAGAATCGAATTCAACGTGGCATCACGCCCCCCCAATCATAGGTACCATTCGAACCTGTATGGCATCATTCCATACGTTCTGGCGAAGATCATGATCGAGATGTTGATTATTCTGGTGCAGGCAGCTTTGTTGCAGGTCATTGTGTATTTTGCGTGGGGTATGAACAGCAACTTCTTCTTCCTCTGGGGCGTGACTTTCTTGCTTGGTATGGGCGGAAGCGCGATCGGACTTTTTCTGGCGTCTTTGAACTGTAACGCACCGGAACGAAGCGTGATGATGACCCCGATTTTCCTGAGCAGCGTGCCTAACGTGTTTTCCGGCGCATTTCGTGCTGTCAGCGAGATGCCTTCCTGGATGAACTGGATGGCGTACGTCATTCCTAGTACTCACGGGCTGCGTTTGATTGGATACATCGAGAACAAGGGTTACCTCGAAAATCATCTGCAAATCGCTGGACGGAAATGGAAGCCGCCGCATCCCGACGGAGTGTCACCGCCTTTGGATTTTCATGAAATGTATGTAGAAGCTCGTACAAAGTGGTGGGAGCGCCATATGATCAATGACACGCTTGTCATTGCCTACAGTTTTGCCCTTTTCGGCATCATCGCGCTCATGTACGTCGCCTCGATCGCCTTCTTAAAATTTGGATCTCGCAGTTTGTACATGTAACACATTCTCCTGGTGCGAGCACGCAAACAGTAGAGTTCAATAGCCGTCGATTGGGTCTGTGGGCATCATGACGAGCAGGACTCCTCTTGTCTAGCGTATCCGTAAGCAGGGAATCACTTGCGTGGTTGAATAGGATGAATTCGTCTCCGGAAAATGAGGAAATAGCTGCTTTACTCGAAGGGACGCGGGAAATACTTCAGTTCTGTTGTAGAGTTCACGAATACGTTTACATTTACAGACATGTTCTCCGTGTGTCACGTTGGGTGGCATATAGTAGCTCTCGTCTGATTTAAGCGGTATTGACCATTTCTCATACTCCCTCACGATACTTTTTGAATGAACCATTTTTTATCTTGCTACTGCTTCACATAGAAAAATTGATAGTGATGCTAAGTGTCCCTCGGTGTTGCATGACGCGGTCTGCGAGATCGCTGAGGCGGGGCGCTATTTTCCAATATACTATTTTCTTGCAATTATCTTCATTAGAAGTGTTTTACTACATTCATACTACATTCAAACATAGACAGGAAACGGAGGCACGCACATGCATGTCTTTTCTTGTTCCTCTAGCCCTACATTCATAACGGCATCTTCTATTGATGGTGGAGAGTTACTGCTTGCCCTTTTCCCTCGCAAAATGCTAAAGAAGTTCCACTATTGCATCGATTCTTTACTCTTTTAACCTTCGTTAGTTCAGGATAGAGACAACTAGTGAGTGTGAGCTAGCTACTAACTGTAAACAAAAATTAGTGATAATACAGAAGCGATGACACAAAAATATTTAGTGATTTCTTACTCCATTTATAGTCTCCTTTTTTACCACATTCATTCAATAAGCAGAGGAGAACCTGCACCCAGACGTTTCCTCAGGACATTCGGTCAAGCGTCCTGCTTAGCTTAACTACGTAGTCATAACTGTGCGATATTGATTCGTCACTGATGAAGCGACATCATCGTCGGACGCCTTCCCCGTGGGATGTGAACGACAAAAGAAACGCTCCTTGTCAATTTAGAATTATGGAATTCACGTTGTGTGACCGAGTGCCTCTCGCCGGGAAAGAGGAGGTCTACCTGGGCCAGAAATTTACGCAGGAGAGAGCTTCTGCACGCTCAGGGCACACTTAATGTGTACTATATGAAACACGTGACGGGGCTGACATGTCGACTCACCTTTGACCTCCTCAACGTCAGTACTACTGTGAATAGCTGGACCGGATTCCGCTGTCAAGATCCATGGCAACTTCACCGCAGAACAGGGCCATCGTTTGGAAAAAGATCACTGTGCTCTCGGGCGTCGCTTACCTAATAATCGACGGCAAGGATTTTCATATTCATCATCGTGGGTGATCAAAACAGACTGTAATAAAGAGTAGCAAGCTGGAGGCCATTAACCTAAAATCTAAAATTGCAAGTGACATTCTACTGAGATCTAAAGAAGGATCCAACTGGGAAAAGCTATGTTTTCGAATTCAAAGTAAGGTCGTATCCGAAACATGAACCGGGAAGATCTGTCAAGGAATAATTATGCATCCGATCCAGGAATTGATTGCATACACACTGATGCCCGCTGAAGTACGATTAAGACCAATCAGATAAATCTACGTCATATGTTTTTTATCAGTAGCAGTACGACATTCTTTCATCACCATCATAATCTCGACCCACTACGCACTTCATCCCACAGGACCAATTTGGACCCTCACTTTCGGGTTTAAATTACGGCAGACTTCCATCCAGTCTTCGAAATGGGTCTCAAGTACGTTGCCGCTTACCTCTTGGAGGTCCTCGCCGGAAAGGAGGAGCCAACTGCCGCTGATCTCCAGAGGGTCATCGAATCTGTTGGTGACTTCGACTCTGCTGTGGCTGAGAAATTGTGCTCGGAGATGAAGAGTATTTTTTTTTTCTGTTTCCTGAAAATTCTTAATTGAACTGCTCTTGAATTTGACAAATTCTTATTTGAACTGCTCTTGAATTTGACGTGGCAACTGGTATTCACCTATTTTGTGCATTTGCCAAATGCAAATGAGGTCAAAGCAATCCCATCTTGTCTCATCTCACAGGCACGTGCGTTCATGAGGTGATTGCTGCCGGAAAGGAAAAGCTTCAGGGCTTCGGTGGTGGCAGTGGTGGTTCCGCTGCTGGCGCTGCTGCTGCTTCTGGCGGCGCCGCAGCTGCTGAGGAGAAGAAGGAAGGTGCCCCGCCAGAGGAGGAAGAAGATGACATGGAGTTCGATCTCTTCGACTAATTCTTTAGAACTCTAGTCCTTGTTTGGACTAATCCAACGCAGCTCGGCCAGCGCACTCTGAAGAAAAACTGCTTGTACCTCCGGAGAACGCGGCTCCTTTCTCTGAGCGGCTTGTTGCGCAATGTGGTCTTGCGCAACCTGCTGTGGAAAACGTGTCCCCTTTTGGCTGGCGGATCGGAACTGCAGGCCCGTTTCTAAGGGGAAAAGAAGGTGAGACCTTTGAATGATCCAACAGATGACCTTTCGCCAAGCGTCGACTGGACTCGCACAGATGAAAACTTCTTGGGAGTAGAAAGCGATGATATGATCATCGTAAGGATGTCTTTAAGGCTAGCGTGAAAGTGTTCCCCGGTGACCCGGTTCGATGTTCAATTTTTCACAGGATGGTCACAAAAGAATAATTTAGAAGATTTCGATCACAACAGGATAGGTCATGAAAATCATCACTCCTGATCTGTCATCGTACGCAACAAAAAATAAGAATGAATAATGAACGACTTGACATAGATCAGTTCTTTGATGTGGATCTATAATGGATGCGATTCCTTCCTCCTCCGACTGAAAAAGTGATCTGCTGTTCTGTGCTCAGTTCTCCTAAATCTAAAACGAAGCTCGAAAGGAGTTCTCCTTCAAGAAAAGTATGGAGGTTCCTTCACCTTCAGAGTAACAGTCAAGATCAAAGTAGAAAGTATCAAAGTAACCGTCAAGACTCCTTGAACATGTTCACCACCATCGCTTTTTACATCAAATCTGAAAACAGGGAAAATCTAAAGACTCCTTGTGAGTAAAGTCATCTACCGCCTTTGGCAGTAAGGACATTTTCGAAAAATCGAGCTGTCAAGATGTCTGACGTCGAATCTGTGGCCGCTGCCTCTGCCCCGGCTGAGGAGGAAGTGACGGATCTCGGTTCCGCTGTGCGCCGTGTCTGCAAGAACGCCCTTGCCGCTGACGGTTTGGCCCGTGGCCTCCACGAGGGTACAGGCTTATCTTACCTTAGTTTGAGAAAGCAGGCATATTTTGGAATCAGAAGCGAAATTGAATCCGTCATGACAAAATAGTCTTAGCGCAAACCGTCCTTCTTAGAAAACACGGACCTTTTGAGTGCCGTTGATAGGGACTACCTTGTGAGAGGTGTCAGCTGCTATCTTCGTTTCTAAGGAATAACCACTACTTCCATCCCACCGTCTCCTCAAAGATATTTGTCATTGCTACGCATTTTCCATTGCTCGTTGATGCTCTTCATGTCTTAATAAATCGCATCTACAGGTGTCAAGGTGATCGATGGTGGGCGTGCCCAATTTGTGTTTTTGTCCGAGTCCTGCGACGAGCCGGCTTACAAGAAGCTGGTGAAAGCTTTGTGCGCTGAGAAGCAGGTGCCTCTGTACGAAGTCCCAGATAGCAAGAAGCTCGGTGAGTGGGCTGGCCTTTGCAAGATTGACTCCGATGGAAACGCGAAGAAGGTCGTCGGCGCGTCCTGCGTCGTCGTCCACGACTACGGTGACGAGTCCGAGGGCCTCAACTGGCTCCGCAACAACGTCAGCACCGCCTAAGACGCTACACGAGCGATCTTCATCGACCGTTGTTGATAGCAAGAGGATGGTGACTATTCCGTGTGGCTGCATGAGACACCATTTTTTCTTCGAAAAGAATTTCGATGTCTGTTGCTGACGGGTGGAGAAATGAAAGGCACTGGTGCGGCAAACGACTGCGGATCAACGGGTGGAAATGCGTTTTGGGATAAAATTCTGGTGGCAAGGAGCAAGCGGTGAAAGCTACTCTCCAGTTGTCTCGATTGTTGCATTGATTCACAACTGTAGTCTGATGTCAGACATTGCGGTGTAATTTCTTGTCCATGATGACTTGACCAAACCAAAGTTCGTAAAGAAGCCATACGCTTAGCGCGCGCGGTGCTTGTTGGATGGTTGTTCATGGTGCTGTCGCTCTGGTCGGTCAGCAGCGTCGTGTGCATGGCGATTTGTTAACCACTTTTATCGGTTGCCTTTCGCTTTCGGTTTGACCATCCTGCGCTGTACTTCAAGAAATGAATTGTTCCCGTTCCCAGAGTGTCTATTCGGATTGGCGAGAGAACAGACAAGTCTCCTTTGTGCGCGGCACGAAGAACATCGCCCTGAAATAGTGTTCAAGATCCGACGATGTACGAGCTGCTGAGATCTAAAGCCGACTCGAGGTCTAGAATTTGCATTAGAAGTAGACTATTTCCATCATGGTGCAAACAGATCCATCATCATGGATCCGGAGATTCCACCGAGATCTGCTCTTATGCCGGGCCAGTTTGTTTTCTAGACGTCTCGTTTTGGTTAGTATTCGAATTTGAAACTGGATTTCTCTCAGCAGGTTGAGAAAGAAGTACACAGATTTTTTCATAGCACACTCAAGTTACTACTCTCCACCCTTTAGCTCCCCTCCTTTCTGGCCGGCCACTCGTTGCCTGTTGTCCTCGCGTGCACAAGTTCGTGCTTCATGATAGTCATTGCTACACCTGCTTTAGTAAGTCCCTGTCTCAAAAAATGGTCGTTTTTCCCGAGACGATGTTGCCGGAGCGAGTGCGGCAGACGAGGTTTTATCGCATGACGGTAAAAAATCCGCTTCCGCTTTTTAGTATCATCTACGGGTTTTTTCTGTGTGTGAATGGAGCCACCCGACTCTCCAGTGTAGACCATTTGGTACCACTTGATGAAATACGGTGTTGCGTTCACGCGGTCTCTCTTGTCATAGGTGTCTACTGTTGGGGAGTACGCACTGCCGTGGCTAATGCGAAGAAGAACTCGACGAGAACTGAGGAGAGTCCATCGAATAAAGTGGCGACATCGGGCTCTTGTCTGGTGGAGGATACTACTGAGTCTGCGTCTGGTGTTGCGGATGAGCCAAAGTCCACAAACCCTCAAAGGATGAAGCACCAGGAAAAAACATCTAGAAGCGCGGCCGAAGAGTCTGGAGGTTCTGGTGCTGGTGACACTAGAACAGACCCCGAAATTAAAAAGGAAGGTGGTAAATTAACGAGCGCGGGAAAAAAGAAGAAGAAGTGGTGAGACCAAGAAAAACGCATAAGTAGAAGGAGCCGGTTCCTTCTGATATGCGACCTTCTTGCGGCGAATTCCCGAAAATGGTAGGGACACTCGATGAGAGCGGGAACGTCGGGAGATCGATATAATTCGTTTTTTTTTTTCATGGGATCTAGCGTAAACATGTCGATGTCGTATATGCAAGAGGAATTTGTACAGGACGAGTTTCGCGGGATGGTTTTTGACTCGCGGTCGAACCTTGTGGTGATGGGACCGTCGGAGCCTGCGTGGCGGAAATTCAAACTCGGGCAAAAGAGACCGGCTGTCGGAGTCCTCGCGGGAAAGAGACCGAGCGTCGGGGTCCTTGCGTAAAAGACGCCACATTTCATGTGAGAGCCGAGCGTGCCTTAACGATGAAGGTGATGCGTATCGGCAGAGCAGGGCGATGACGAGGGCAAAAATCCATGTGCTTGCCCATTTGTCTTCTGGTAGATATAGAAGCTGAAGATGGATCTCGTCATTCTCATGGGCATCAAAGAGCATATTTGAGTAGAGGGGATGGCGGAAGCGGACACTTTCAGTTTCGTTTTTCTTTCGAAGCAGATGTGGATGCTGAAGCACGCTATCGACCCGTAGGAGTTCCACTACAATGAGGCAAGACCGAGGTTGGCCCAAGTCCTCATCCAGGAGAGTAAGGTGCTAGAATGATCAGAATATCATGATGTGAGCAACCAGACGTGATTAAATGGTGGCTGGCGTCTGGAGATAAGACAAAAAGAAGGCGTGCAATACCTCGCACTAGGCACATACATTAACTCGCGCGCTATGCTAGTTCTAATTGTTCAACACTCCGGGGCCTCGCCTCATCCTCATTATTAAGCATTTCTAATTGCAAGCGGTATTCGACTTATATTAAGGTGGAACTGGAAATCTGGGTTACCTCTCCCAAGTAATCTGATAGATTGTGAGCTCGAGATGCATGGTTACTGTCGGATAAATGACTCGTCAGTCTGTCCATAATATCCTCGGTCGGGTGTACTTGAAACAAGGGAGAAGAGAAAGAAAATTCCAGCATGTATTAAAGTCAGCATATCTACTCCAAGTTCATCTAATGAGAGGTGACTGAAAGGAAACAAAAACCTCGGGTGGACCACGCCTCTCTGGCTGTTGGCGGCACTGACTTCTCGTGCAATACGTTGCATCGCCATCCGTCCGCCACTCTGTATTCAATATGTTTCTGTCAGCGCGCATCTTGCAATCGGTTTTCGTACACGAACACCCCGTTCACCTCTGTTCCCTCCCTCGACTAAACTCCTTTAATGCCGAGCCACTCTGAAACCTCATCTCGTATCAGCTTTTCGCCGGAATATTCTGCAGCTCTCAACTCTCCCCTCTTGGCCTCAATCTATGCCTTGTTCGCTACCACTTGCAGCGGTTTTGATCATTAACATTATATGAATATAAATATATGCAGCGGTTCAGGGTGGACCTGGTTCAGGCTGGCTCTCACTCTGGTTCAGGGTGGAACGCTGGCAATTTTTTCCCTTGATTTGGCTTCTATCCCACCCTGGCCCAGGTTTTTGCAAGTTTATTTTATCCCCACCCAAACCGGTCCGGGGTGGAATTTCTGCCACCCTGAACCAAGTCGCAGCCGCGATAATTATGCGAAAGGCTGCGAATGTTAGGCGCCTACTCGGTGATAGACAGGAGGCGGGCAACCCTCTCGAGCGAAGGCGCAAGCTTTGGGGGCCTTTTGTTTCGGCACCTTGGTACCCCTGCAGGCTTGCCACGGTTGTGCCTTGAAGTCGGGGCGGCAGTGCCAAGGGAAGGGACTGGGCCCCCGTATTTACTGGCGACTGAGTGCCCCCGGGGGGCTCAGCGCAGCTTCCATCCCTGACCGGGGGCGAGCAGCCTGGGGCGGTAAGGAGACAAAGACGAGCACCGCTCGGCGGCGCTGGTCTGCGGCCGCTGGTGCAAGTTGTTGCGCCGCGTGGTCTTTGCTGTCTCGCTCGCTCTTCCACCAAGACCCAAGCGCCAGCAAGGAGGACGCGCCCCAGGCGATGGAGGAAGTGCCCGCGCTAGAGGTTTGTCAGTCGCTCGGATGTGGCTTCGCCGCGTGTGGCATATCAGCCATCGCGAACGGCCGCGTGCTGTCGATCTCAGAGCGAGGGAGCGGGCCTCTGCTCTTCGTTGTCATAATCATAGGGGTGCGGCCGCTTGGGGCCTTCCCTTGGTCGACTCTGCCAGCCAGGAGAGCCTTGCCGCGTCCTTGAGATTGCCCCCCCGCCTCCCCCCCAAATTTTTGCAAGGGCAGCGTGGCGCAGGTAGATTATCGTCTTGAGATTTGCGACCAGCGTGCCGCTTGCGTGTCTCTGCTGTCTTTGCTTGCTTCTTCGCTTCTTTCTCACGTTCAGTTTAGTCCGCGCTCGCCCTTTTGTTCTTGGTTCCTCCACCCTCCCATCCTTCGGGCCCTTTCGCTTCTGGCGCCCATCTCTTCTTGTTCTCATCTCCCCTGCCTCTCCTGTCTTTCATCCCCTCCCCTGCTCTTCCGGCACTTCCCCGTCCCACTCGTCCCCTTTTCTCCTTCGTCCACCGTTCTTGCTCGCCTTGTCTGCCACCCATTCCCTCTTCTGATCTCGGCTTTCCACTCTGGCCCACTTTCTACTCTGGACCGCTATCCAACCCTGGACCACTCCATATATAAATTAGAGTACTCCGAATATCGAGTTTCGAGTTGCCACGGAACTCACCTGCCCAAAACTGGCCACCTTGAAAGCGTGGGAATCGAAGATGGTATGACGAGCCAGCAGAACAGGCCAGGGGGCTCAGAAGGGGGCTCTTTAGTTGTTGGCTCGCAGGTGTGCCGTTTGTATTGAAGAGGCACGCCGCGGCCGAGCTCTTCGCCGGGGGTTGGTCAAAGAAGGCAAGGGTCGGGCTTTTGCTTTGAAGATTGAAACTGAATGGCGCGCGCGCGTGCCAGCCTTGCGAAGTGCGGGCCTTTGATTTGTTGGGTCGATGTCTCTGCGTCTTCGTGTTACGATGTCGGTGATTGTCGGGCCGCGCTTTGTTATCGTTTCTGGTGAGGGAGTGGTTGCTAGGCTGTTCGGCTTTGGGGCTGAAATTTAGAAGCGGGGGGCCCGTCTTGTTTCTTAGGACGGTTCCCCCTAAAGCAGCCACGCCCACTCTCTGCTGCGTATTTGCCTGCGTTCGTTGTAGTGGCCTTAAGTAGTAGCGCGCCGCCTAGTGAGTCGCGTGCGATTCTCCCTTTGGGTATCCTATCGGCATGCTTGACGCGTTAGCAACTTACTAGGGCGGCGCGCTGCCTACCTTGTCCAAAGCTGCAAGAGCAGGGCCGGGATCCCTAGATGGCGCTACCCGTCTTCCACGCGCGTGCAGCGCGTCGCACCAGAGAAGGGACACTATTGGCGAAGTTCCTGGCTGAGGGCGGTTTGCGCTCTTGTGGAGCGTGTGTGACTGGTGGAAGGGCGCAGCGAAAAAATTGGGTGTGGAACTCGATCTCGATCAAGTGGAGGAACTCTAGCAACTCGGCCCGATATCGGGCGAACGCGAAAAAGATATAATTCGTGTAATATGCTTGTCTCCCAAAGCCAAAGCGTTGCTGTCTAACATAAGTGAAGTGCTTCAACGCTTGAAGCAAAGGTGGCAGCTGTGTTGTCAAAGGCGCGCGCTCTCTACAGCGTGGATCTAAGCTTATGGGAGTTGCCCTAATTCATCTAGAAACCAACTTTTGGCTCTCGATTTGTTAAGGCGAAAACAATAACAGAAACAAATGACTTTCAAGATGAACTTGGGTAGTGAAAAAACTCTAATAGAGGCAGCGTTGACAGCGGCGGAAGAAGACGACAATCGCGTTAGACCGTCTTCTCCGACTGCTGATGTCGTTTTGACGCTGTACAAGGAAGCTATAGACAAGGAACGTCAGCTACAGTCAAAATTAAGGTCGTGGGAATATTAAATGCATCACCTCCAAACTATAATAAGTCATCTGAACATCATGGCAAAGAATTAAAGATCCTATCTAAGTATGTCAATCAATTTTACTCAGTTATTCACATAAGTAAGATAATCAATCAATGGATCAATAAAACAGATGAGTAATTGTAAGAGAGAAGAACACAGAAAGAACTTGATTAATGAACAAGATAAAGGCACTTATTTTGTTTCCTACATCGATCACCACTAAGGAAAATTAAATATGCTTGGAAAATGCTGGATGTTGTTTCTAGGGCAAAATATGATGTTGACGACGTCGACGACTCGGCACACCAGCAATCGTCCACCGCAGGAGTTGATGGAGCGAAGCCTGCGGAAAAATCTCTCAGCGTCTAAAAGCTTTCTCAGATAATTATTATAACAAGGTGGTGAAGATTATTGCGAGATGCCGAATAGCAATAGGAATAGCTTCACTACTTTTTGGGGTTGCCTCAGTGACAGAAACAAATACTCAGGCAAAAAAATAGAAATAGCTCTATGCGAAGTCGAAGATACGATTTTAATTTTTTGTTGCATCCAACTACAACATCAACGGACAAGTACAATTTTGAGGAGCAAAGTTGATAGCAGGGCATGACCACCAGGTTGTAAGCAATTGTAATCAAAGCTGCTCCCTTCATCACTCACATCTGACTGATGATGAAGCTTGTCCTTCTGCTTCTCGCATTCATTGTTGAGTTTTCGAATCCTTAGAAGTTTTCATGGGACCATGTCAGCATTCAGACACACGACTGAAGAAGCAGTAGAGGCGCTCGCGGCGATCTTTATCAGAAAATGATCCTAGGCATTGTCTCTTATCCGAAATGCTGGCTGTCAGCTATCGGGAGTTTGCAAGATGAAAACTGTTCGATTAACAAATCTGTTCACATAGTACGACTCCGATGGTCTGAACTCTCTTGAAGATGAACTCTATTTCGGAACACCTAGCCCAGACTAGAGTAGAGACCAGCCTACACGCGCATGCACTCGCTTGACGGCTATGCTTTGAGCACTATTTGAATTCGACTCTGACAATTCTGCTAGAGACTCGCCAGCCTATGCATGATGTGTGGTGCATGTTGTCCGATACCATGGACCTAAGTCGTTCGGTAATCCAATACCTTCCGCGCTGCAACACAGCGGCGCGCCACTTTTATGTGTGTTCTTGCTCCTGGCGCGAAGCATGCGATTAAATCTGCGGGGAAAGGAGTAGCCAGCCGCGGCTAACCGGAGAACTTTGGGAGCGCGATCCTTCGGCCGTAGGCGTGCGCGCCGTCTCCGGGAGTGGGCCCTCTCTGGGGTGTGCCAATAAAATGCAAGGCCTCTCTGCTAAATAAGAACAATAGAATAATAATGATAAAGATAAAAGGTTGTTCTAACAATTACAGTTTTCGTTTTGTATAAATTAGCAGTTTGCAGATGCAGACCGAGCGTATTGATGAGTCACGTCAAATACATGCATAAGCATTACTGCTCAGAGAAAGATAAAAACTAGAGGTACGTGTAAGTACCTAGCTAGTAGAACTGGCACCGTGACGGTGACGCGGAGAACGTAGACAAAGCCATGACCTCTGCAGCCCTGAAGCCATAGGTTTATTTTCTCAGGTACCCGCTGGCTATCGCGCTTTCGCTTCCTTGTCTCGCTTTTTCAGTGTTTTTCTTATTTGAATTGGGATTGAGATTACGTGACAAGTGTAGGTGTTTTGCAACCTCTAGTAAAAAGTAAAACGGCGACGAGTGCATAGGAATCCTAATCAATGACTCACAGGAGCTACTAGATGAGCAACAGAATGATAAAAGTGAAAGGAGAAGATGAAAGCGAGGTTTCTGCGACGAAATATTATGATGAACGGGCGCGCATACTTACTGCAGCTCACAATTCCAGACGCGAAGCCTATTGTCCTCCTGGAGAAGCCCCTCGTTCTACTGGAGAAACAGGTTGTCCTTCTGGAGAAAGCGGTCGCGCTTCTGGAGAAGCCAGAGCCGGTCAAACTCCTGAGGAACACTCTGTTGCTTTCGCTTCTGGAGAAGCTGCTCGCGTTTCTACGGGAGACTGTATACTATTTGCAGACGTTGACAGACTGACAGTGGATCAACTGGTGAAAACATATTCTTACGACATTTCCGCGTTGGCTCACATCGATGACGAGGAGGTACTAGATGATTGCGCTGAAGACGATGAGCAGATGGTTGGTGCAGTACCGCCTAGTATTCGGTCTACAAAAATTCAGAGTGCATTTATACCAAATCGTATCGATTTTGGAAAGTGTTCTGCTGGAAAGTCGTCTGGTTGCTCGGGGTCGTCTGCAGATGTCGGGACTCTACACGAGAATGGCGCTCCCAGTGGTCCTCGCGAGAACGCTTCTGGTACAAGAATTGTAGGTTTAACTGCATCTGGTGTTACTTCGGCGACGTCAGTATCTGGTGTTCTGGTTACTACAGATTTACACCTTTCTCGGTCGAGTTTTTCTTCGACGATGATAAAAACTCACGTGAAGACGTCAGCCACGTCGTGTGCAATTGAGGTTGCAGATGGTGCAATTGGAACATCACGAGTACAACAACAAGATCCGATCGGCTATGGACCAACTCGCCACTCGAAAACCTCTGGAGGAAGGGGCCGTGAATGCATTGTTGTAACTGATCGGGGCCCCTATGGGAAGGAAAAGGGCAAGCAGCCCAGAGTCGTCCCTGCACCTCCACAGGAACAAGAGGACAAGGCGCGGAACACCAAATTGCGGGTAGCAAACGTGTCTCCTCCACGTGGATCAGAGGAACCCCCGACGCTTGACCCAACTGAGTTGGGCTTTGTTATGGGACTGAAGTTCAAATTATGATCATGAGCGTGGCTGCAGATTCATGAACTCCGGGAGGGCGAGGATGACGATGAGCCGCGTGGACTTCATATTTTGGAGACAGCTGCGGAGGATGAAGCTGTGTGACGTGGCGGCAGTTTGACAAAATCGGGCGGTGTCGAGTAACTACTTACTTGGTAGAGGCATTGATTTCCTCCGCCTACTACTATCTTTCTGAAGAGGCACGGTTTCATGACATTTCTGAACCTCCTGCGCATCAACAACAAGAGCATGCGAGACACTTACTTACTCATCCGAAGGAACGAGGAAAGTGGAACTCTTACTTGATGTCTTCAGCAACGGCATGATGATTTCCCAGCGACGGCAAATAGCCTGTACGCCCTCAGCGATATTGATCTTAATCAAGAATATGATCATAATAATCCTATGAAATGATCATTGTGATTCATTTTTATAATCTCGTTGTTCTTCTACTTCTACTGCTGGGAAGTGCAAGAACTGCGAACGCAAAGATACTGGGACTATCGGATAATTTTTGTTCGGCATTCATGTCGTAATTCCTGGAAACAAAATGACTGTAGCAGATGGTCGATTATAATACACACAAGAATAACGAATGCGCCACGAATTTGATGTTGATGTTTATGTTTGAAGATGAGAAGCACGCTGAAGACGGAGAGTTCTTGGCACGATAGTACAGGACATCTATTGATGCGTCGAAGCAATCGCAGCGTAAGATGAAACAATGAATTGAATGCATCATCAACAACATGTGATTGTGAATTTTTCAGAGAACTATCACAACATGAAGACGAGATTTTGAATGATGTTGTCCCAATGCAAGACTCCTCTTTACGTTGTCATGGACGAGCGAAAGCGTGCTGTCTGGGGAGTATTCTCTGTGAAGAGCATCTTCATCTCCTGATTTTTCCAAAACAAGAATTGAATTGTTCCTTTGTGCGACTGAGAATCTAGATGATAGAAAGATGCTGGTGGTGCTGCAGTCCTTCTACACCTGCACCTGCTGCACGAACTTGATTTGTCCTGAATTTCTTGTGCCTCTGGCTGCTACGGTTCAAGCAGGTCTCTGTGGAGCTGTTGACGTCTCTACACTGGCTACATTTTCATCCACCTAACCACGCTCCTTCGTGTTCAAATTTAATCACGTTTCGCCACTTCCTAAAGAGCAGAGACCGATTTTCCTATTTCGATGTACCAGTTAGAAATAGAAGGATTGATCTTTTTGTCTTTGATTTCCTGCTCTTGGTTCTTGATATCCAATTTTTGAGGCTGCCAAAGCGGTGGCTTCCTTCTCCTGCACAGCCGGGACTGATTTCAACAATCTTCCAATAGTAGAGCCAAGAGAATTTGTAGACATAGGTCAGTCGAAGTTCGTGACGCCGTGCATGTAACAAGGCCCACACTGTGGAGTCAACGCAGATCTTTTTGCGAGCACAGAGTGAATGAATGAGTGCCAGCCAATACATAGTAGTAGAAAGCACTTGGCATTGGCTAACAGAGGTTACTTTTTTTGTATGGTCGTGATCAAGAACACGCACCAGTTCGTTATTTTTATCTTTTGAGATAGTATGTTTTTAAGAACATGTCGCCCTAGGTAGCAGGGATCGAGTTCGATTGATTACTTTTGCGGTTGCGCCGCCTACTCAAGAAGTACGATGCTGGACAACCACTGTTATCGTCTCTTCAGAAGCGCAGCAAAACGTCCATGAAATGAATGTCATACTTGCTGCTTCCACATCCACGATCACCTTTACATCAACCTTGCCGCAGTCGTAATAAATCTAATGTGAGAACACGCTGTAGATGACGGCGGACAAACAGATTTGCTTTGGCCGCAGGCGCACCATCTGCAGGTTGGTCCTCCACTAACTGAGAAGCCGTAGCGGTCGTCCTTGCGATTCCAGGATGCAGTATGCATGCTGGAATGAGAAGACGCCGCTGCTTCGGCCAGGAAGAAATCGCGACTTCACGACTAAAATGCACGACTAAAGCGCACGTCGAGTTGGGCACATAGTAGACCATCTCGCAGCACCTGAAGCAGGTCGTTGACTGAAGTGTAGAGATTCTCGTGCTGGCGCCGCCTCGAAACAGCAACAGAACTTCACACCACGACGAGGACCTCACTCGGAGTAGGGGACCGACTACAACAATATACGCGCATGCAATAACCAGGAACAAGAGAAAACGCTTTGTTTTGCGTCACCAGACATAAAGGACCAGCACAACGAATGTAAATTAAGAAGTTGCTTGCATTGTTTACGCATCACCAGGCATACTTGGACTTCAAAATGGTGAAGAGCTCAAGCGATGAAAACGAAGATGAAGAGTGCCCGCTTTGCCTGGATAGACTGGATGCGACCGATCGCGTTTTTTTCGCGTGCACATGTACTTACTCCTTTTTTTTCTGAAGATTCAAATGCTTGGTCGTGTTGAAAAATTATGGTGAAGTTATTGATTAGAAGCAGTTCCTAATCTAAATGAACTTTTATCAATCTCCAGGATTTTTTAGCTCGACAGATGATAAAATAAAGATGAACTAGAACATGCTGAACCTTTCAAACGTATTTTTCTCAGGTAATTACCAAGTTTGCATGTTTTGTGTGCAGCATATCAGGGATTACGGAAATGGAACATGCCCTGCATGCCGTCAGCCCTACGATGACTCCAATTTTCGATTTCTCGGAGGCAGACCTGGCGCCACGGAAGAAGCACAGCGTCCAAGTAGTTACTTCAGTTCATTTTTCCTACGTGCATCTTCACAGTATATCTCAGAAGAGCCTTTATATATATGGAGTGGTCCAGGGTGGGATAGCGGTCCAGAGAAGTAGAAAGTGGGCCAGAGTGGAAAGCCGAGATCAGAAGAGGGGATGGGTGGCAGACAAGGCGATCAAGAACGGTGGACGAAGGAGAAAAGGGAACGAGGGGGACGGGGAAGTGCCGGAAGAGCAGGGGAGGGGATGAAAGACGGGAGAGGCAGGGGAGATGAGAACAAGAAGAGAGGGGCGCCAGAAGCGAAAGGGCCCGAGGGATGGGAGGGTGGAGGAACCAAGGAAAAGGCGAGCGTGGACAAAACTAAACGCGCGAAAGAAGCGAAGAGGCAAGCAAAGACAGCAGAGACACGCAAGCGGCACGCCAGTCGCAGATCTCAAGACGATAATCTACTTGCGCCACGCTGCCCTTGCAAAAATTTGGGGGGGAGGCGGGGGGGATCTCAAGGACGCAGCAAAGTTCTCCTGGCCGGCAGAGTCGACCAAGGGAAGGCCACAAGCGGCCGCACCTCTATGATTATGACAACGAAGAGCAGAGGCCCGCCCCCTCGCTCTGAGATCGACAGCGCGCGGCCTTTCACGATGGTTGGAATGCCACACGCAGCGAAGCCACCGCCGAGCGACTGACAAGCCTCAAGCGCGGGCACTTCCTCCACCGCTTGGGGCGCGTCCTCCTTGCTGGCGCTTGGATCTTGGTGGAAGAGCGAGCGAGACAGCAAAGACCACGCGGCGCAACAACGTGCACCAGCGGCCGCAGACCAGCGCCGCCGAGCGGTGCTCGTCTTTGTCTCCTTGCCGCCTCAGGCTGCTCGCCCCCGGTCAGGAATGGAGGCTGCGCTGAGCCCCCGGGGGGCACTCAGCCGCCAGCAAATACGGGCGCCCAGTCGCTTCCCTTGGCACTGCCGCCCCGACCTCAAGGCACAACCGTGGCAAGCCCGCCGGGGTACCAAGGTGCTGAAACAAAAGGCCCCCCAAGCTAGCGCCTTGCCTCGAGAGGATTGCCTGTCTCTTGTCTATCACCGAGTAGACGCCTAACATCATCCGCGACCTTTGGCATAATTATCGCGGCTGCGACTTGGTTCAGGGTGGCAGAAATTCCACCCCGGACTGGTTTGGGCGGGGATAAAATAAACTTGCAAAAACCTGGGCCACGGTGAGATAGGAGCCAAATCAAGGGAAAGAATTGCCAGCGTTCCACCCTGAACCAGAGCGGGAGCCAGCCTGAACCAGGTCCACCCTGAGCCGCTGCATATATGACAAACGTCTTTGCTGCTCGTTGTACTTGTCTCACCTCTGGTCTGCCTGGGTGCTGGTTCATTTGAGTCAGTGTTCTGGTCTACGATGTGCACGTTTATCCGAAATTACAAGGTAAAGTTCAGATAATTTGATGAAAATCTCGATCTTCTCTCAGGCAGTCAAATCGAATCTGAGCAGCCAGCGGTTGCCGCGCAGCGAGTATCCAAGACGTCGAAGGAACCTACTTCGTCTTACAACAAAAAGGAGGCCACTGCTACATTGTCACAACAACAAAAAACAAGCCCGGATAAGAAAGGAGTGTCAACAGCGAAACGCGTCTTCCCCGAAATCACTGATGAAAGCTTGAGAAGCAAACTCGTTGACGTGCTCAAGTCAAAACGAGTGCCACAACGAAACTCCGTTTACGTCACAAACATCGTTCCGGCTTTAGCACTCGATACAGCGTTGCGGGATGAGTCTATGTTCGGCAAATACGGAAAAATTTTGAGGGTAACAAAAAGAAAATAGAGTCTTGTGCATGTAATTAGTCGTATTAGTGCTGGTACCTGATTAAGTTGTAGGTTTGAAATGATTACTTAGATAGATGTAGGCTACATAAGATATGAGGTTTTTTATCGTTGCCGAATACGAACAAATAGTCGTCGATAATATTTATTTAGTGATACAACAACTGATCGAAGACGAAGATGAGCATCTTCTTCAATAATTTCTTGCAAAGAGGACGATGCTGATTGCATTACCACGGTTTCAACACATCAATAACAGGTAACAGTGTCAGACAAAGCATTCAAACCACGCGGAAGTGACAAAAGTTTTTATGCGGCAACGATTGTTTATGAAAAGGACACCAGTGCCGCAGCAGCCATCGCAGCTCTGGATGGAGACTCTTCTTTCGGAGAAGGAGCACTTAGCGTGACACCAGGACAGAACCGCTACTGTGTCCATTGGCTTGAGGGACAAGAATGCTTCCGAAGGGGAAACTGTACTTGTTTTTTCCTCGGCCATTTCTTGAACTACGTGATTGTGGTCGGTCGGCTACATTATACGTGTCAAATACATGATGGGCTAGGACGTATTAGCAAAAGTTGATGTAAGTACTAGTTGTACCTACTGTAAAAATGTTTCTGAAGAAAACACTTTCAGAAATTCATTTTCATCAATTTAACTTCAATTTCAATCAGGCAATTACCTCCATGAGTTGTATGAGGGGCACCGCGATTTGAAAGCGCTCGAAAAGGAGGCCGCAACGAAGGGAGGGAAAAACGCACTAAAAGGTTCTGGCAAGAAGGGCTATATTACAGCCAGCGTCAGCACGGGCAAAGGAGATCGCTATCCTATATTTTCAGGGCCAGCTGGGATCCCACTCACTGCGTCAGCGCCATCTTCTGGCAAACCTAGAGGCGCGCTCGTGCCGGACCCCACCGGTCGTGGCAGTGGCACAGCAAATGGCACAACGGCAACGTCGGTGGCCCCTGGCAGTGGTGTCCTGTTCTCGAGCACAGCGGCTGCTTCTAGTAGTAAGACCGGGACGACAACGTCCTCTAGTTTAGTCGGCGAAGGAAAGAACAAGAAGGGGCTCGGCAAATATAAACAAGCGCAAGAAGTAGAAGCATCATCTGGAGGTGAGTCAGGTGCTGATACAGCACGAAACCAAAAAACTTCTCCTGGTGCTGGTGCCCCTTCAACGTCTACGAAAAACGACGGGAAAAACTACAATAAGAAACAATCTTCCAAAGACGCTGCTGCTGCTGCTGCAGCTGTTTCCTCTTCACCTGCCACCGCCGCCCAGTCGAAGTGCTTTGATGAACGGGATGCACCTAGCCCAGCCAGCAAGCAAGCATTCGAAGAGATGGCGCTCTGTGACGTGTCCCAAGGTCCCAGCGTCAATAAAAAGCAAAAGGAGTGGGGCAATCGAAAGTGGGCCATTTATCACCACGAAAAGGTAAGCTCTGCCTACAGTGTGAATGAGTGGTTCCTCTATTTTCTCAAGAAGAAGAAAGACATGCTGGACGCAGAACAAGAACAACAGAAAGCAGCGGCCACGGCCACAACCACGACTAGCGAGAAGAGCAACAAGGCAGCACCACCACAAGCAGGTCCCGTGGAAAACAACCCACAGGCGTCCAAAAACGGAGAAAAGACGTATTTTTCTACGCGTGGTCAGTTGTACTAGGATTTTTACTCGTGCACCTGAAGTCTGAAAATTGTTTGATCAGCAGTTTCGTCTTGATGTTGAACATGAAGATGATGATAACGATGATCAAATTGTGCTCAAACCCTCAATCAAGAAGCCAATGAATGTGTAGTCGCGGTAGTTTTTAGCGTATCTTGTTTACTCAACCCGTGACTCAATTGTTATTGTAGTCGTCCTATTTTATTGTCTACATGATTATATTCTAGTGATGAGCCAGGATGTGAATGTTATCAGCCCATCTGCTTCCCTTGTCAAGCAAACATTATTTCTTTTAAATAACTCTTTATGTAGGCACAACAAGAAGAACAAGAAAAAGTGGGATCACTGGGAAGGCTGGGAAGAGGAGGCATGGACGCAAGCGGAGCTAGACCAATGGGAAAAAGAGAAGGCCGAAAGATTAGAAAAGAAAAGGGCTGCAAAGCAACTCTCCAATCAAGAATCTCCACCGAAAACGCCGCCGATTGTTGTTGGGGAGTCCACGAAAAACGCCACTCCTTTGCAGGCTTTTTCCGGCGCAGATACAGCCCCCGCGAATTCTGGCAAAAACGGGACGACCACCTCGACTTCTTCGACCAACACGGCGACATCTTCTTCAGCACCAGGAGCTAGTGCTAGTGGACTACATCAAGATGCTGGAAATAGTATGAAGATGAATAAGAGGAATCAGCACACGACTAGTAGCAACAACAAGAGCGGGGGCGCTGCAGAGGTCGAAGCATCGCCTCGGGGACCCTCGGAAGCAGTTGATTATGCGCCGAAAGTACCACCACCTTCGGACACAAGTACTGCAACTGGCGGTGACGGTGAGAAAGGAAACAAACAGAAGTACACGGCTCAATCATCACCGAGAACAACGAGCGGTAGGAGCAAAGAAAGAGGCGGCGCTCCTGAACAGAAAGCGACTGCAAGGGCTGCGAAAAAACAAGAGGCAGAGACGACAAAGAAGCAAGGAAATGGCGGAGGACATCAGCAGGTAGACAGATTTTTGTGAAGGTACCGATTCACCCGATCATGAAGTCAACAAAGATACAATTATCATTGATGCCCTCGCTGAGGAGGAGCAATAGCATCAAGATCAACGGCTGCAATTTATACTTATAATATATACTAGCTATGAGCGTCCGATAACATCCCCCTCACTAGGATCCTCACCCTCCCCAAAGTAAGAAGCTAAGCACTGCAAAGATGTGAGCGATATGCGTTTTCCAAATTTCGAAAATTTTCCACGTTTTTGCGTCGTTTTGGGATTGAATCCGGTGCGTTTGAAGTGGTAAGACCCCAAAACTTTTGACTTTAAGCCCTTTCTCTGCAATTTAATTCCTTGGGTTCGCGTTTTTCAAATTTCGAAAATTTTCCGCATTTTGTTGCCGTTTTGGGATTGAATCTTGTGCGTTTGAAGCGCTAAGACCCCAAAGCTTTTGACTTTAAGCCCTTTCGCTGAAATTCAATTTCTTGGATTTGCATTCTTCAAATTTCGAAAAGTCTCCACGTTTTGTAGTCGTTTTGGGATTGGGTTTTGTGCGTTTGGAAGTGCTAAGACCCCAAAGCCTTTGACTTTAATCCCCTTCCCTGAGATTCAATCGCCTGGGTTTGCATTCTTCAAATTTCGAAAATTTTCCACGTTTTGTTGTCCTTTTGGGGTTGAATCCTGTGCGTTTCAAGTGCTAAGATTGCCAAAGTTTTTGACTTTAAGCCCTTTCGCTGGGATTCAATTTCTTGGATTTGCATTCTTCAAATTTCGAAAATTCTCCACATTTTGTCGCCGTTTTGGGATTGAATTCCCTGCGTTTGAAGCGCTAAAGTGCCAAAATTTTGGATTTTCAGCCCTTTCCCTGAGAGTTAGCTTATTCTCGGACTCGCATTTTTCAAATTTCGAAAATTTTCCACATTTTGTTGCTGTTTTCGGATTGAATTCTGTGTGTTTGAACTTGAAGTGCTAAAGTCCCAAAATTTTTGATTTTAAGCCCTTCCCCTGAGATTCTTTCAATCGCTTGGCTTCGCGTTTTTCAAATTTCGAAAATTTTCCACCTTTTTCGTCATTTTGAGAGTAAATCCCGCGAGTTTGAAGCTCTAAGATCCCAAAGTTTTTGATTTTAAGCCCTTTCCCCCGAAATTCAATTCCATTGTGTGCTTCGTGGTTTCCTGGGTTCATGGGTTCATGGGTTTGGGGTTTGTTTGTTTTTGCGTCGGAGGTTTTGGGTTCGGGTGTTGGAGGTTTTGGGTTTGGGTGTTGGAGGTTTTGGGTTTGGGTGTTGGAGGTTGAGGTTTCGGAAGGGAAGTGTTTGCAAAGTTTTATTGCTCTTAATATTATAGATATTGCTTGTTTTGAAGAAGATGCTGTTGCTCCTGCATTTATTATCAAGAATATAACGATCGTTTTTTATTCGTCAGGTGTACGCGATCCCACAAGGTCCGAAGCCAGAGGGGGTGCCTGATCTATCGAAGTTGGAGCCACCGACCCCGTCTCTGCCTCCTTCGCAGGCGCCGCCAGCTAGCGTCTCGTCGGCCACAAGCAAACGAGTACAGAAGGAATCGGAGAAACAGTAACTACACATTTTGTTTACTTAGCTTATGTTAGAATTAGCAGTACGTGATTGTGATGCTGGATATACTGGTGGTGATGCGACGGTGAGGCAGGCTCTTTTTCTATCTTCTACAATGTCGCTCTCGTTCGTTCTTTGCATCGAAATTACTTATGCTAATTTTGTTCAGGTCTGCTTCTAGCAAAGATTCTGCCGCGGGAAGCCCCGATAGAACGGTAGGAGGGGGGAAAGAGGCACGCAAGGGGAAGAAGAATAAGAGCTCCTGGCAAAGAGTTGATCAAGCTTCGCCATCTTCTTCTCCCGAAGACATCAAAATGACTACGGCAGATGTGCCACAGAAGACCTCATCAGAAGTAAAACCAAGGCCAACTCAGAGTCCAACTGACCGTCTTGTTCCAACTGCTCCACAATTACCGCCGCCGGGTGCATTTGCTGGGCCAGGGTTCCCACAGTCCGTACCTCCATCTGGTCTATCCGCAAGAGGAGAGCGAGGCGAAGCGCCGTCAAGTAGACCACCAGGCTTCGACCCAACCGAGGGACCGCCTCCAGCTTTGGGGCATCCATCGCAGATGTTGGCACCCCCTTCGATTCCGAAGGGACCGCCGCCATCCACGATACCACAGGTCTCTCCGCCCGACCTGGCACCGCCTCCTGCACTCCCGCCACCGTACTAATTCTGGCTTCGAGTTCGACCGGAATTCCCAGTTTCTAATTTTTTTTCACCCTATGTGACTTTCATATGGTGTTGCATTAGTATTTTTTGTCAATCAATTACATCTCAACAAATAAATATGAATTCAGGTTCGTGCCTCCACGAGGTGCTCCTCCACCAATGATGAATGGCGCACCGCCAGGTGGCCGCGCTCCTGTTCCGCGACCGCCACCGAGCTCGTCCTCCACAGCGATGTCTAGAAAACTCTCTGATCGAGAGACGCCGAAAAACACAACACCAGTGAACTACAGTGCGTTCACCGGAACTCCGCAGAATCAGGCTGCTGCTCCGTCAGGCGGAGGCATGTCGTCACTCCAACTACAGGCACCGCCTCCCGGCTCCCAACCAAGCAATCACAAGCACAATTTTGCGCCATCGTTCAGGCAATCTCCTCGAAATTCTCCTCGAAAACAGCAGCAGCTCCAGCAACAAACTTTCTTTCTTGAGAGGCCGCAAAGTTTTTCGCCTCCTGCTGCGGCCCCCGAAGGCCCGCCTCCAGCATTGGGTCACCCACCTTCGGCGCTCTTGGGTCATCCAACACTGCCTCCCGCACTGCCTCCTGCAGCGGCACGCCGATTTGTGGAAGGAGAGCACTCAAAAGCAGTCTCTTTGACCGCGAGCGACGACAGCGCCTCGACGTCTGGGAGGGCTGCGGGGTGCCCTAATCTTGGCCACGAAGCTATCAGCGCGTCCATCCAGGATTTGGTTCTGATCGATAGCGGAGCTAGTACAGGAGGGTCGTTGGGCGGCTGCAGTTTCGCTGCGCTTACGAGCCGCTGCTTCGACAGCAACGGCAGCATCACAGAAGAGGAAACGAGTAGCGCACGACTCACGGCATCGGGTGGTACTGTGGTCGACGGCACGGAAGCAATGCAGCATGGGGGCTCATCTTCAATAGCAAATTCTACGATGCTCGACTCTATCTCAAGAATATCCGTGAATACTAGTAGGATGGACATTGAGAATATCATGAGTCATCTACAACAACCTCATGAAGCATCTACTTCTTGCGGCGCTGCTGGATCATTAGCACAGTTCAGAACACAAGATGAGGAGGAGGACGGCAGAGCAAGCGTTGTTCGTGTTACAGATTCTCAAGCAGGTGTAGGAGCTACATTGAACACGGGCAAACAGCTTCGTGAGAAAATACTCGACGAGGGAGTTCCCGGTTCACAGCGAATATGTAGCCGATCCGCGCTTCTTGTACATCGCAGCTCTGACGCAAACACAACAAATTGCGGCTGCGAAGAAGGTGCAGGAACAACGACCACCGCAGGAGGAACAACATCCACTACCATCGGCGGCACGGCAGCCGGGGAAACAACCCCAGCAGCCTCGACATTGAAACGCGCAGGCCCGACTGTGAGTAAGGCGCATGTTGGACCCAACAGTATTCCGCGAATATCAGCCACAGGAGCATCATCGGCCTTCAAATCTACCGTCGCTTCCAGCACGACGTCCAGCACCGGTTCGGCAGCCAGTGGCGTTACGCTTCCGGGCGTCACGAATGCAGGAGGCCCTGTGGCACAAGAATATGTTGTGCAAGAGATGCATTCTTGCGCCGCGCAACATCAGATCTTGACTGTCAGAATGCCACCCTCATCAATGCCAGGAGCTGTTTCCCCTCACCCACTTCTAGTTGGAGGAGCCGGATTCCAACAGCAAGGACCGCAGCAACCCACTTGTGGCGCTTTGCAAGCCCTTAGTCTGTCTCGCTTTGAAGGGTCAACATCAAATGCAGGAGTTCCGATGTCCGGGCAGATGCCGAGCCCAACACAGCTTTTGGCTCCCCATCAGCAGCTTCGGTTGGCGCCGAGAATAGCAGCGCCTGAAGCGATATCAACAACAAGTGGCAACTTCAACTCTAACTCTGGAATGTTGATTGCCGGACCACCTACGGTTGGTGGAGTTGGGTCTTTTCCCAGTACCGCAGGTGCTTCTTCTAGTAGTTGCAGCGACCAGCATCCCCAGAGGCAGAACATTATGAACGCGAGTCTAAATCAACCTCCAGCACCTGCGGAAACGAACCCTCGATTTCAGCACTATGGACAGCCACAACATCAATTTTCGTCAGTGCCATCCAGTGCACCCCAGCTGCAGTCAACTGCTTTTCGAAGCTCGCCAGTCGGGCAAATCACGCGGGAAACGCTGCATATGTTTCAGCAGAAGTCTTCATTGATGTCTCAGTCATCTTCAGCAGCTGCACCTCTTCCAGTGGGAACACCGGCTCCAGGAGTTGGAGCCGTTATTTCCGGACTTCCAGCTTCCTCTCCAACACCTGCTGTGGTCGCGGGCACCTTACACGCACCATCGACGTCGCCTCTCACGGGCATGGTTTCGATGCCTGCGTCTGCAGCGAGTGCTGCCAACGTGGGTAATGTGCTGGCATCTACTGATATCCCAACTTCATCAACATCGAATAGTGTTTATTTTGGTTTCACGCCAGCGACTGGTGCACCATCGCCCTTGGCTTCCTCGTCAAGCTCATGTTACCCACGAGGAAGCCGTCTAGCGAATCCGTCGATGCTGCAACATCAACAGCACCAGCAGCTACTAGTACAACAGTCAGAAGGACTTGCACAGCAGCTGATAGCGCAGATGATGCAGAATCGGTCGCAACAACAACAGCAACAACCGATGCAGCAGGCCCTGAGAGGTAGCTTGGCGGGGCTCTGTCAGCAACAAATAAATGCTGGGAGCTTCGTTCAACAAGGAGGAACAACAGTAACGAGTGCAATCGCATCAATGAATAATAGTACCACGTCGAACACCAAGAGCGTCAGTACTATGGAAGCACCTGTGATGTCATCCACGTCAACGACAGTCCCCCTGCCTCCATCTTCTTCAAACCACGAGGGTGTCGCAATGCTCAGCGGACCGCTAGGGATTACGCCCCAGCAACACCTGGGATTGCAGCTAGCTTTGCAGCAGCAGATGTCAATGTCAGGACCACCGAGTAACAATGAATTGCTAACACAGCAACGGCAGCAAACGACATCTTCCACGCAACAAGGTGTTGGCGGTACCACAATAGTGCAGGCAACGTTCCCCCCAAATACACGGCGAGGTAGTCGAGAATATTTGTCTGGCCGTGGCGAGCATCTTACTGACGTGAGCGGACGTGCGTCTGTGATGACTGCGGCAATAACACCTCATCATGGCCCCCGGGGCAGCGGTGTCAATTTGTTGCCACACACGAATTCTCACGCTGGTTCTTGTGCAACTACAAACAATATCATCAAGGGCGACAATGGCGGCGGTGGGGGTCCTCCAAGTGGATTACCGCTTCAACAGTTTGTGCAACATCCTCAGGTACAGACCCCTACTTCTACCTGTAACAAAGGTGGAGCGGGAACAACAGGAGGGCCAGTTGTGCACAACACTAGCAAAGCTAGTAATCATGGATCACTGGCGCAAGGGATGAGCATTCTTCACATCCTTGGCAACCAAGCGCATGCGCCGCCCAACATGGCAGCGCAGGAGCAAACGCCGTCTTGAATCCTGCAGGCGCCTCTTTAAATAGTGAACCTCTGATGTACTTTCTTTTTATCATGTTTACAGTCACAACCTTGTCAACAAGCATAGTTTGATTTGCAGCAGTCACAACTTGAGGCAGATGTTTTTTACGGGGTCTTCCAGTTCCTCTACGTAGATAATAGACACAAATTCAAATATCGTACAAAATTAAATCCTGCTAAGCCAGTATTTCTGAAAAACCGTTGAAATTCAATCTGTGACGTTTATTCGAACATTTTGATATTTTCTTCTTTCTTCATTATGTTGAGCAAGCAACGGGCTCATGCGTGATAGAATTCTAAGCTATTGGTAATCACTTACCCGACTTAAAATTCAATAGATTGATAAATATAGATCACCCCCGCTCACCCTAGCGAACAGGCTGGGCCTGCGGACGGCATTCCGATATTTTTTCAATTGGAATGTTGTCGTACTTATAATTTTTTCGAACGTAGAAGATGAATTTCTATTGTGTGTCCCTCTAAAAAGCGCCACATTGTCGTAGTCTACTTCAGTGGATATTTTACTCAAACATTGGTTGATGAGATTGTCTCGCGTACGTAATCAACTTCAAAGCATTTTTTTAAAACGCCCTGAAGATGAATCTTGTCGGGTTTTGTAGTTGAATTCTAGTCATGGTGTAATAGTTTTAGTTGCTAACTCCTTCGATGAGATCAGCGATCGGGTAGTGCGATCCGCAGAACTGCTCAAGTCAGATGCGATCAAACTTCTTCCTCCGTATGGGTATCGTCTTGTATTCAATAGACCTAACCTAGTTCCAAAGCATCAGGTCATTATATCTCTTTTTTGTCGTCATCACCCACACCCGTATTTTGTTTTTTTCGTGTCAATGTCAGTCATTGTCTTCGCTCACTATTGATTTCTTTTGTCGCTCGTCAATGCATCATCTTTCGGAATTAGAATACTTCTCACACTCACGACGCGGACGCGTCGTCTTGTGCTCCTTCTACAGATAACACGCAGCTCATAGATATGTGCTATTGGTACTATATTAATGTATCGTGTGAAGGAACGACTACTTCTCTGCTAATATTCCTTGTTGTACTAGTTGTTCCCCATCCCCAGCATCCATGTTGTATCTGTCGAAGTCAATTGAATGTTTTTGGCTCTTCTTCCCAGGTCGTAATTTTCACTCACAAGGAAGCATCATGAAGATAAACTTAAAGTTATTCATTTTCATAGAGTCTACTCAGGCATGACATTGCTGTGTTTATCCCCCCATCCCCCAGATGATTGGATTATGCATCGTCGTCATTATTAGCTTTGCGTATTAAGGATAAGGAAACTAGAGTTGATAATTTACCTCGGGTAGGCTGTACCTCATCTAGGCAATCGACAGATAATTACTCAGAGGATTTCACGAACTCCTCCACACGAAAAATTATATAAATATATGAATCCCTCATCTTCACCCAGAATTCCACCCGTCATCCAAGAACCAGAAACTGCCGTGACAATCTGCTATAATTGGTACCTCCTCCTTTGACCTTGTGGTCCTGGTCGTCGACAATATGAAATTTTTCAGCGCTCGACGGATGTACATGCTCTTTGTATTCCCTGGGAATATGCTAGGTCCTGCTTCAAAATAATTGCTTCGTCTGAATATGATATCGATTGTACTAAACGTTGCGGTTTTCAGCAGGCATCTGCTCTCTACTACTCCTGGTAGTACTAGTTGAGGCTCTTGCAGCTTCAGTAATGTTCGATACAACAAGAACAAGTTTTGATGATGTTGCGGCAACGCTGGGAACATGACCCAGTATTTAAAGCGGTCCAATCGGTAGTTAAGTGAGCACAATTATTTTGCGAGGAAAAATAATTCTACTAGAGCAGCTTATAATACTGGATGAGAGGACATAATCCGGAGCTTGTTCTAAAAATGACATTGATTGACGAGAGGAAAAAAATGAGAGGACGAAAAGTGCACCAGTCGTGCATAAGAATGGCACCTACTTTAGGCAGCTGACAACCTCACTGCACAAGAACTACTTGTGCCGAATCAAGACGAGCAAGAGCAGATTGATCTTGTCTTCACGTTAATAGTCCGAGGAATCTGAACACAACTCGAAGGCGAAGGCGAAGACCCCAAAAGCATCGAGAAAAAGTCAATTTGGTTTTTTTGCTCCTAACTCCATTGATAGAAATATATAGACTTTCAAGATGGAAGAGGTTCATTTCAGCACGCGTGGCTTGCTGCGATTCTTGGTCTCGTCCGCGTGGATATGGTCATGGTCTAGCTGGGAAGAATCCGCACTTGCAGGTAGTCGAAGGATCAAAAAGAAAAATGGACGCATTCTTGGCGGTGCGTCCTCCATCTGCGATAAAGAGATTTCAGATTCGTTATCCGAACGCATCCGAAATCTAGTCATGTCGCAGGAGTGGCAGGCGATGCAGCAGCTTATCACACAGGTTCACACGGACGCCGAAAATTCAGCAGACAAGTGCGACACGAAGGTACAACTACTTACTAGCTCCATGATTAGCATCATCTGCAAAGGAGATTCTAGAATTGACACGATCGAGCATAGAAGAGAGTGGGCTTCTGTGTTGTTACCGGAAAATATTAAGTTTGAGGTTAAGCTTAAGGGCAAGTCTTTCCTTTTTCATCTTTATCACTTTTTTCATATTAAGGATCAAGAGGAGTAGTTGTAAATGAATCTGAATGCTACTAGACTGCCAGCAAGCAGATTTTCACTTGGGTGAGGGACGCTGTGGACGACATGAAGTCTGAAGCGGACGATTTAAAGCGCATCGTCATCGACAAGAAGTATCTAGAAAAGAAGAACAGTTTCACAGACGTGCGTCCGGCTTTCCAATGGGCTCAAAACAAAACGCACTTGTTTTTGTTGATTAAAATGTCCGCACGTTGGAACGCGCCTGGCGCACTGAAGCTCATTCGCGGACCAGGTGCCACAGGAATGAAAACGGGGTCTGTGGTTAATTCTCTTGCGGCGGACGAGAAAACGGGCGCATCGATTGTTGTTATGACAGACGAGACAGAGCTATTCTTATTTCTTCATAATATCATGTTCATGATGTGGCAACGAAAGTGTTGTATGCCACCTCTATTGTAATTCTAATTCTCTAGAATACGATTTTTTCATCAACTTCTTTCAAACTTCGTTTTCGTATACATGTTAAGGATGTTGTCGGCGTGAACACTGAACATAATGAAGAAGGTTTGTTTCCGTCCTTCCATAAGTTTCGGGACCAGTGGCAGCGCGGGTCTAGGGCCTTTTCTGTCCTTGCGGCGCAACGAAATGCCATTTGAGCTGAACTTCACAGCCTATGGCCAGATTTCGGCAACCAAGTATCGCTATTCGCTAAACCTACCTCTGTGGGATGGTATCTACTCCGCAAACGTGGTGCTGAATTCCGTGGGCAAGTTTTTGGTCACGATCGAAAAGACGTTTCCTGGAAGGTGGAAAACCTTGACTCATTCGGGTACTTCTAGTACAGGAGGTACAGGAGCTGCTCCTTCAACGAGAACAACAGCATCTTCAAGTAAAGGGAGGACTACAACAATGTCTGCTACAACTTCATCTTCTGCTGAGAGTAATAATCACATGCGTTGGGCAGAGCGACAAGAAATCGAAGACAAAAAGGAGTTTCCTGTGGGAAAAGAAAGCGACGACGAAACGGCCGGAGACCGCGCTGCACGGACGAACCGGAAGGACAGTCCTGCGAGTTGCGAGCCGAATGGACAACTCTACTGTCGAGCGAGAGACCACTGCGTTCTCGATTGCGCCATCTCCTGTAGTGAGGATTACGGAATCATCCAAAGGGGAGAGTGTTCTGGTCGCCCAATCATTGACGGGCCGTCGCCGGACACGCGAATACGTGTGAATTTATCGGACGAACACCCAAAACGTTCCATTTTTTCGGGTCTGATGTCGGTCGAGGCAAACTGGGGTATTGTGGATGAGGTAGATGTGCATGCAGCTCAACCTCCAGGGACGACAACATCAGCTAGTAAAGCAAAAACTTCGCGGTTGCTGTTCACGGCCACTCGGGAGAAACCGCGGTTCCAGGTAAACGCATTGGAACTCGGAGCTTCAGCCGAGGTGGAAATCACCGCGCGAAACGTCTTTGGACAAGCCATCCGACCAGTGACTCAGGTCCTCGTGGATATGCCGTATCTCCCGGAGTTTGTCGCGGTGGAACTCGTTTGTGAGGACCTCAACGCAGACAAGAAGTGGGCACGCTATAAGTTTGCGCTAAAACTCTGGGAAGATGAAAAGGCTGCAAGAGATGACGGGTCATCATCTAGCACAGGAGCTGACGTTGAAGTAGCAGAAGTTGCCCGCCCTACCACAACACGTACAAAATCAAAATCTCGTCCGTCTTCAGAAGCTTCATCAAATTATAATGCTGATCTCCGTGCGACTGATTACTACAAATTTGTTTGGGCTAAGCGGCGAAACTCTGCGTGGGAGACTGTCGAAACGAAAACTATAACTAAGCAGCTTGGCCCAGATCCGTTTGGGCGGATAGAGCTTCGAGGTGAGTACGAAGAGAACGTCTGGACTGCGAACATGCCCCATGACACGCAGGCTCCTTCTGAAGCAACCCACGTCGTTGCCATGCCATACAGCAAACACGGAGCCGGGCCAGTATCGACTTGGGTGGCTTGTGAAATTTTGGATGATAAATCGGAAGATCAGGGTGCTGCAGCGGGACCAGAAAACGTTGATGTTGTACTAGATCATGATACAGCCGCGTCGTCCCTGGCAGGAAGATCTACAAGTAATTCAAAAGATGAGAATCTGAAATTGAAACCAGAACAAGATTTTCTTCCAAATTAATTGGACGAGTACGCTTGTAATTGTCACTGCAACTAGCTTGCATCCAAGCCTAATTGCAGGGTACACGCTGGCTCCAAGAGCAACCACGACCGGGCTAACGTTCAGTTTTGGTATCACGGCCTGTTGAGACATAGATGAAGACACAACTAGCTACTATTGCCGATGTAGCTACTCTTTCGCTCCGCTTCTTCTTCTGGATTCTTGCATGTTCCTTCGACACGATCGTCCATGATTTTTGCAGAAAGAATCTGATTCTGTCCGTTGACGATGACTTGGGGTTGCATTCCGCAGCGACTTTTTCTTGCGGGATAGAAGCAAGTGCATCATCAGTATAATACCAGTGTAGAGGTTGAGGTTTAGAGACTGAAGATCAGACTTAATGCCGAGGAGAAGAAGAAGTACCCCCTGACAGAGAGGCGCAGCACGTGCAACAATCAAGTCTGTTCTTTTCGCTATCTTCGGTTTTGGTTTTGATTTTATTCCCTCCCAGGTTTCCCAACAGCAACACTAAATCCGCGCAGCTGCCTAACATCGTTAGTTAGGAGACGGAATTATTATTTTTGGATAGAAGATCATGATTTTTCTTCCGTGCTGTCGTTGAATGAACAAGAAGCTTTTCTCCTGCTTGAGTCACATCTGCATAGTCACTTTTTCATCATCTCATGCCTCAACGTGTTATTGTTAATAATTTTTTCTGGTGTCGCTGTGTATTCGACTTATCATGGTCCTATGTATTTCACTCCAAGATGAAGTAGCTTCTCCCACTTTTACGGACATGAAGAAGATGGGATTTTTCTCTCTCAAAAATGATTGATGAACTATCGTTTTCTTAGGAGGACCTCTCATAGTTTTTTAGTTCTTCTTCTTCTTTGATGAATACATACTTTTTTTGCGATAGATACAGAACACGGAGGATTATTGCTGGATCAACGACAAAAACGCCGAGTGTGTGCAATTATATCCGTACCCGGGAAACCACTAGTAGTTACTGCACGATGGCGGACGACGCAGCTGCGCCCGAAGTTGGGCGAGCCGTGGAGTTGAGGACGCTGCCTGACGAACTCGCGGATAGCGTTTATACCACTGAGAAGTATCCACTGATTCTCGACCCGACTGTTAAGGCTTTCCACTTGCTGTAAAAAAATGTTGTTGTAGTTAAAGAAATTGACTTGCACTGGGTGGTGGCATATATATTCTAATTTATGAGCCCAGCCGCAGCCACTTTTCGCGCCTGCGCGTCCTTGATTGAAACTTCTATGATGTAGTTACTTAAGCGTTTTGTTCTGGCTCTAATATCCGTGTTGCGTACAATTTTTTGAAATATCGTGGACGATGTCTTTCCGCAATGCGGCAGGGAGACCTGGACAAAGAGAGTTTGCGCATTGGGCTTGTTCAAACGATGCATAATGGGGCCTGGCTGGTGTTAGATGCGGACGTGGTTGACGTTGACTGGAGCGCCCTCTGCGAAGATGATACATGCTTCCCACCTGAAGTTTTCCAGGGACCAGCTGCGCTGTTCGATATGGACGTTTTTTCGAAGTTGCCACGGCCAGCGGACGAGCTGGCGGCAAAAGTGTCCTACGAAAACCTGAATTTGGAGCAAGAGGGCCTGACAGACAGAACCAAGACTTTTCAACCGGAAAAATGCGTAGAAGTCGATTCGCGGTTTCAACCGCAAGTTAAGAAACTACTCTGCAGAATTTGTGCTCGTACAGAACAAATATGAAGACCGTTCTTCTTCGACGAAATCCCTAATGATCTGGTGCATTTTCTCCCTCTAAAGCGAAAGCCTTCAGGTTAATCGTTGTTACGAAGAAGACGACGCCACCGCCATTCTTAGCTGAGAAGATGGATGTCCTGACCGTCGCCCTGCCGCGTGGCAGTGCTGGTGACGATGCGAGTGCTATGGGTGTATGGGCTGGCGGCGAACCACCCGCAGCAGAGCGGACGGGGGCGCAAAAGAAATTGGACAAGGAATTCTTGGAGTGCAGTTTCGACGGCGACCTTGACGGGGTTAAAAAGATGCTCGGGAAGGGCGCAGACAGCAACGCGGTGGACTCCAGAAAATACACGGCATTGAGCGAAGCAGCGTGCGCTGGTTCCACGATGATCACTTTGTTGTCGAAAACCTGCTTAATTTTTTTTATCCAGTCACAGCTGTTGCTTCCTTGGTATGGTCTGTCTTTTTTCTCGTTAGGTCTGCTCCACCACGATCATTAGGAGGTACAAGTGATAAGAATCTTGTAAGTAATTGGAGTTGTAAATGTAATTGTACTAGTTTCTCGTTTGCTTGGATGCTCTACTAGTTGTCAGATCAACATATTGTTCTTTTTGTTGTTCTCAAGCACACCCGACTTCGACGACGACCAGGTCATCTACCTGTCGTGGAGTATCTCCTGGCTTACAACCCACCTCTCGGCTCGGATCCAAATGCCAAGAGCGCTGACGGACGCACAGCGTTACACCGTGCCGCATTCAACGGCCACTGTGCTATAGTCGAGATTCTGTTGAAGTTATGAGCATGTTATCCAGGATGAGCAAAACCAAGTTTGAAGTACTTATAGATACACTAGAGTTTAGGTGAAATCATTAGATGCAGGACCTCTACGGCGAACGAGTACTACCAAAATTAGTAGAAAACTACAACCAAGTAGTCTCGTTAATTTTGAATGGAGCCGACCCACGGATTAAGGACACGATGGGGGATCGATGCTACGACATAGCAACAAGTAAAGATATTCATGCTCTCCTTGACGGTTGGAAGGAGGAAGACTCCTTGAAGATCATGGAGGAGCGGAAAAAAGCTCGCGAGGAAGCCGAAGAAGGCCTCGTAAAGAACGAGGAAGAAAGTACTTACTTGAGGTAGAAGTAGAACGATGAAGAAGTAGAAGTTTCAACTATCATTCTGATTTTGATTTGAATTTGTACCTTGTCTCTATCAGTTTTTGCCTTGCTTCCTCTCATCAAGCAAACAAATGCTTTCAATTTGTACTAGAGTAGAGAAACGACGACCACATACACATTTGCAATCACCAGGGAAGCGGTTGATGAAATCACGCAAGGCTGCGAAAATTTTCGAATGGATTGAGGAGAACGAAAAGGACATGCTAGAAATCGAAGTTACCGGAATCGAGCAAAGCCTATCATCCTATCGAGACGAGCGTGGAAATACGGCCTTACATCAAGCAGCTTGGAAAAATCGATTCGAAATATGCCAGTTCCTCGCTGATTTGGCAGATAGGAGCACTGCCGTGGTAATAACATTGAAAGTATCGATAAGCGGCTGCTGCTGCAAGCACAGTTACTCATAGTTTTAGTTCTTGTACGACTAGTATGGATCCTGAAGGTAATCTCGTTGTCGTTCGTGTCACTGTCATTCCCATGTAACAATAACACTTCTGAAAATTCGACGCCTCCAACTTGCTCCACACCTCGCCATCTGCTTCCATCAGATCGACGCTCGTGATAATAAGGGCTGGACGCCTTTACAAGTTGCGAGTTTCCACGGACATCGAAAGATATGCGAGCTTCTGCTTTCGAAGCGGGCCAATCCTGAACTCTTCAATGGCTACCGCAAGAACGCAATCGACCTCGCAAAGGATGACGAAGTGAAAGACGTTCTTCTCGCTGGCACAGCAAATGCGATTCGTGTTTCGACGAAAGATAAGGCTGCAGCAGCCACAACAGCAGCACCAGCTACAACGGAGCCGTCAGCAAAAGCCAAAGCCAAGGCAAAGGCATTCGCGAAAGTCAAAGCCAGAGCAAAACCGAAGGCAAAAGCGGGAGCTGCGTGAGAGCAGAGATTCTTGACTGAGTCTAGCAAACAAAGACTTTCTGTTTTACTGGCAGGGAATATGTGGCAGGCGCTACTTTGCTTTGTTTTTACGACAGGACTGGGACAGTTTTTGTTTTGATGCCTGGGAGTTCGTCTTCACCTAGCCCAGCCTCAAGTCCCTGTGTAAGTGACATTGAAGACAGAAATGTGAAAAGAAGGATGCGATGGAACCCATCTGCCGCGCGATCGGGGCATGCGTTGAGTTGAAAAGACAACTTGTCGTGTCGAGTTGTTTTGGGTGTGCATGCAGATACACAAGAAGATCGAAAAACTGAAGACCAAATCGTTTCTGATCTTCTAGCGATCATCATGCGAAGCATCAACCTTTTTCAATAATGCTAAATAATGTTGAGGTCTCTATTGGTCTCCATGTTAATTAGGCTGCATACGCTGAGCTATAGTGTATCTATATATAAGACTAATCTAATGACGGCAGCTGCGAACGCCGACAGAAAATGTTTTCTTGCAGTGCTGTGTTTCAGGACGGCGCCTCTTCGTGACATTCTGGAGGAAGAGCAGCCACTCGACAACATCGAGCCTAAGCGATTGCGGACGCATAAAACACGACAAATAATTCTAGGCGTTCAGGTTGTTAAAGAAATCTGTTGCATCCTAGTTCCACGAGAGGAGGAGCCACTTTCACTTTCTGGTGGAGGAAGCGACGGACGAGGAGCTGTTGGAGTTGAGTATGCTGCCTTTCACAGCAGTGGCATCAAATATAGGGTAAGCGATCTTTTCGCGAGAATCGATTATCACCTACAGGAGCTCCACGACGATAGCTTCGGGAGTTCTGATGAGGACGATGGCAAAGAGGCGAAACTGGAGCAGGACACATCAAACACGAAAAGTAATGCAAGCGAGGATGTTATCGCCCGCGATCCGTTTTTAAAAACTTTCATACTAGATTTGGGAAAATGGTTGGAAGTATATGCAATGACGGGTCCGGGCGCCAACATGAACATTCCCGCACGACCGGAAGTTCTGACGGGGAATGACTGCGACCTTAACCAACAGCAGGTCCTTAAGATTCGTCGTGCCGCGTATGCCTTGTCTGTCCAATCAGGAGCGGAGGAAACAAATATAACCAGGAAAGCTGTTGGCGCACGGAAGAGGGAAAAGGGGTTCCTTGACATGTGGTATGAAATCAAAAGTCCTCAGCAGTAGTCATGTTTTCTCTTGCCTGTCATCGTGGCACAACGTGCAAAATTCGCTCGCTGATTATCTCGCTTCCTCTTCCTCATCCGAGCAGGTGCGTCGCGCACTGTACCGCACTTTGGATGAAGTATTTTCCGCTAATGTTGTTCCAGAGTTGAACGCGCAAATACCCTCTGGGAAGTTCAAGAATATCGACGACTGCGTGGCGAATCTCGTTGTGAAATACTACGGCAACACACGGAACGTAATCACGAAGATTGGGCCAGAGGAAGAAAATGAAACACTGCAGGAAAGCGCATCCGACCGCATGGTAGAGCGGACAGCAAAACTTAGGAATCTTGCTGTGGAAGCCGCATCGATTGCAAGCGGCAAAACGCAAGGGACGAGCGCTACGGAGAAGGCCGCGTTGATTCTGAAGAGGCTCGAGTTGTTGCTTCAAAAGGGAATGAAAATCGACGACATTATTTCTGGAAAATCGAGGCGTGAACGCAAACTCGCCTTTTCAATATGAAGCAAGCGAAAGCTGGAATACATGTGATGATTTGCTGTGTTTCCGGACATGAAATAAATGTCAACTTCTTTCGGATTCTCAAGTACTAGAAAATACTGGTCCTTCATGTTAAACTCGAACATCACCACAGTGGTAATATCTGCATATGCACTACCAAGTCGTCATCAATGATGATCCATATCAGAGATCAGTGACGGAAGCCTTCGCCAAACTCAAGTTCAACAGTCGTCGAGAAGCGCAGATTGAGGAGAAGATCCAAGAGATACTGTAGAGTACACTATTTATAATGACAACCAATATTATGCTTTTTATGCTTATGCTTATGCACAAACAATGAGCCGAAGCTCTACCTCGTGAGTCGAACGTCAAGGAACAACAATTCTGATTGAACTCTTCGCGAATCCAAGAATGGATTGGCTCCCGATTTGTGGTTCACAATCCAAAGCGAGTCGTATATTCATTTATTTCATGATGTTCAGCTTCAGGAGGATACCCGCTCCACCAGAACCAGGCTGAAGAGGGTGTGGGTTGACAGGCTACGGCGCGAGTCGTTTGCATGATCTTTCCTACTAGAAATAGAAAAGTACTAGTTTCTGATGGGGTCTCAGTGCCGTAGGAATGCTGTCGTGTTGTGCACATGTATCGGACGTCCTTAAAAGAACGTGATTCGACAAATAAGAAGATCTTCATCTTCTTGTATGTTTCTCTGTGTTTAGAATTAGAAGAACCAGAAGTAGGAGCGATTAAAGTTTTCGGATCACGCGACCTTTGGCTTTTGCATACTTGCTCATAACGTTTTGACAAGGTTTACATGAGATAAGACGTAACGTTAAGGAGCACGAACGACAGAGAACATCGATCAGCAGAAGGATCAAAATGAAGGTGCGCGGTCGTGGTAGGATGCGCGGTTTTGCTCTCCGACTGTCAGGCATGCTATTGCCATTCGTAGCAGGGAAGAAATTTCTCGATGCAACTGTAAAAAACATAGACGATGCGCGGTCCAGGATACAGCCTGTGATGGGAACACTGTCGAAACTCGATCCTTCGGATATTGAGTACCTTTGAATTTAATGAAAGACGAGAAGTAGATCATCTTGTAACAAATTTCTTCCCGCCGCCACCAAGGGGAGGTGGACTACTTCGTGCGCCACTCTGCGTAGGCCGACGCTTGTGTATGACCACTAGGCTTGGATTTTTTTGTTGTCAAGTCGACATGATGATCAGTCGCCTCTATTCTCTAGATGAACATGACACGACTCTGCCAGGTACATTGTGCAGAACCATTTCTGGGACCTGGCGACAGAAATAGTCACTGAGTCGCACAAGCAGAAAGTGGATTTGTCATTTGCAGTTAGAAAGGCTGTGCAAGGTGTGCGAAATAAGGCGGATGAATTAATTCGCTATCTGAACCCAAAGTACCACGAAAAGCAAAAAGTTACGCCAGTCTACAGATGGGCCCAGAACTCGACACACGTGTTTGTCACGATAAAATACTCTGTAAAATGGGATGCACCGGGAGCAGTTAACGTCAAGGACCCACAGGTAAGCACAATCTCCATGATCTGATCGTAAGATTAATTAATTCCAGTTCTTGATAGCTGCACTTTCTCAGAGCTCAAACATTACCAATGACTGTGCCCGTAAATAAACCAGCACTACTCGTTGGAAACTCTTAAGATGTGAAGAAGGCGCAGCATGAAGAACCAAGTAGTACCAGAACAAGATGAAAGATTCTTCTTGTTATTCAATAAAAGAGCAGCCCCCCCCCACTGCATCCAATCTTTAAGGTTGTTTTCGACGACAATGTCTTTCGCTTCACCGCGTCCGGAGAGCACAGTGGCAACAAATACGAATATTCCCTTGACCTCGACTGTTTCGACGCAATAGATGAAGCAGGGTCGACATGGTAGCTCCACTTAGCTTCTGGAAGTAAATAGACCTCCTTAGCCTTACGAATCATGCTAGTAGAAGCAGACGCTTTCAGTGATCATGAGTACGTGTGGATGTGGAAAATAATGAAGATGAGCTGAGTTAGTATCTACACGAGGTAGTCGAGGAACAAGAGGTAGACATCATCATTTACTCTGCAGGTCTGCAGCTTCTGTGGGCCGATTTACTGCCGTTCTTGCCAAGCGGCGGATGCGACGGTGGCCCAGATTGCTTCTCGACAAGAAGAAGAAGGGAACCGGACGGCCCGACCTTGGTCGGCAGGAAGAGCTGGACAAGGAGGACAGCCCAGCTTCCGTAGTGATGCAGTCAGAAAAAAGTTGTGCGGTCAGCGAGAAAATATACTGCCCACACTCTGACAAGTGTATGGGCAATTGTACCACCTGTGCGGAGTGGAACATACAGAGTCATGGCGGAAACTTTTGCAGCGGTGCTCCCCAGAAAGCACCAGACAGTGTCGTTTTCACAGACTCGAACATGATGCGATACCGAATCGACGGAGAACTCAAGGTTAGTTTTTCTTGGTCCTATTTTCAGGCACTTTTATTTTAGGGCTGATCACAGAGATTGATAGGCTTGGACGTTCTTGATGTCAACTTCATATCTAAAGACTTTGTCCTCACGGCAGGAGGGGCGCTTTCATCTATCACTCAACATCACGACCAACCCACCTACAGATCGAAAGCAAGGAGCAGTATCACGTGGATAGCTATGTGATAAAATATGGTGTGGTAACAAGTGCGGATCGCAAGGCGGATGAACTCGAGACGATTGCGGAGATTCCCGCGAGCACGCATAGCAAGTTTACTGTGAAATCGCTTTCTGGCCTGAGACCTTATTCGGCTTTGGAAGCCGGGCAAGAGATGGCCCTCGCCGTGTTCTCGAAGAACACCTTCGGCGTACTAGAGACACCAGTCTGGAAGACTGTGGAGGACGCTTTCGTCCCAGAGAGCGGGCCAAAAAAAGTCAGCTTCTCGGACACCAATGGCGATGTTGGAAAACTGACAGGCGATGTCGTCATCGAAGGGCCAACGGAGACGGAAGACCCCACTATCACGCAATATGCGCTCTACTTCGGTGAGATTTTTGATTTTAATTGACCCAATGAGCAGAACGAATTACAACATCATCATGATTTGAATTTGATGTGGTTGCAACATATTAAACCTATTGGTGAATGACGATGACAACAAAATGCAAATACAGCCAAGCGCGGCGGTCGGGTGCTGTCAAGCAAGAGCGACAGCTACATTGGTGTCGAGAATCGAGTCGCCGGGTCTGGCACGGTGACTTACAAGCTCACAGACAAATCAGTACCCACTGGCACACAAGGAATTATAGCATTTGCGAAGAATTCGTTCGGTGAGAACAGGGAACAAGGAACTTACATCGACGTGCAGGACGCGCAACGACCGTGTGCTGGTAAGAAGAAGACATTTTCTGCTAGACAATTGTAACTAACTTTTTTTTAGTGTGCCAAACGCCAAGGAATTGAAATGAAACAATGCAGGATGCAAGTTCTCATTACAGTATTTATTGAGCCGTACTCCCTTTCACCTAGTCTCGTCTACTTTGCCCTATCAGCAGAAATATGTACGACTTACATGAAGAACCTCTCGTACAACTATGCACCAATTAAGATTGGTGGTGTTTGTCGCAGACCACTACATGTCTCGGTCTGCTTGTCGCTACGTCAATTTTGACCGTATCTGCGCCGTGGAAAAAGATGGGGATGGAGCAGGCGCAACATTTCTTTTCGGGCGCGATTGTGGTGCTATTGCTGGTCGTGATCTATCCGCACACGGCGCTACGCCAGCTTGTCGATAAACTAAACAGCAGGTGCTCAAAAAGTTTCTTTTTGGGCAGCACGCGAACAAACAACTGCAGGGTCTGTCATCATCCCCATCTTTTTCCATCGGGCGTGAAATTTGAGTTGTACGAGGACAGGCCTGTCTACTTCCGTTCTTTTTTCCAGATCTTCAGGAGCCAGTCAGCCGGCACCCCTACGTGCTCACTTCCTGTCTGCACGGCCCATCAAACAATTAGCACCATCCATATCGCGCTCCCAGCACGTTCAACTTCATCGTTGCTTTCCTAAAAACAAACAGGTGAAGACCGTGGAAGCTCGGTGAACTGTCCACCGCGGATTAAGAGTATAACGGGAGATGCATCTCCAGAGGCGAACGTTATTTCTGTTGTCCTCGATCTTGACAAGACTATTCCGAAAGGAGTGACGGCATCGGTGTATTTGGCAACTGACAAGTCGTGCACCAAAGCATCTAACTACAAAGTAGTAATATCACGGCTTGATGATCTGCATTGTGATACTGTCAGATACAACGTAAAATTGCACTAGTACTGTTCATGAATACCTCCAGGTTTATAATTCGATATCAATTCGTTACGACATCATGACGGACAGACAATATAGAGACAAGATTGATTTTCATTTTGGTATCAATTCCTTCCTGTCACCTACTTCTCCCAGGCTGTGGAGCACCAAGCAGTGGAGGCACAGATCTTGTTAGATAATACTCAGCTGAATGGAGACGGGGAGAGTTGGAGATATTCGCATATTTTGCTTTACACGAAAAACGATTTTGGGACTAGCAAATACTGTTCTGCGCACGCTTTCACGGACGCTGGAGCTGATATCGCGGAAAAGGCTGAACTCTAGTCGACATTGATCATAATAGTTCTTCTTCTCGCTTCTACGGGAGCAGCGAGGTGATGGTGGAAGAAGAGTTATCTTTCGAGCAGGTGGATGAGCGAATACTAGCGTCAACATACTACATAGACGGACAAATAATGAAGCGTGGGGACAGGGATTGGCTCAGCAGATGCGTGGATGTATAGGTGGAGACGATCATGCGTGGTGGCGAAGTGCCGACGAAGGTAAGCAAGTTCCTGTGCAGCTCCCAGCTGAAATCACCGCTCTTCATCCACATGATCATGCGTAGTACCACAGGCGTACTGGTGTTATCGCAGCGCGCACTTCCAAGAATTCGAGACCCATCCACCGACACCAGTTGTCACGTTGATTCAAAACTACACGATTAAGAATTGATGGTTTAGCATAAAATACGAAAACCGAATGACAAAGTCCAAAGAACTGATGCTGTAGTACCCATTTAATTTTTTCATCGCAGCACAGGCAGTTCGCAAGCAAGTTACCAGCTTTATTCGAAAGAAACGTCGTGTCTCACCGTATTAATCAAGTTCGAGTTTTCATTTCCCCTCCGACCACGGAGAACCCAGATGCCAACATGAATGAGTCCCAGCATCCTGCACTGGGAGTTGTTCAGAGACCTCTCTCCACGACAAAGAACAATATCTCCCCACTCTCCACCTCCCCCACCCACGCTTCGCCCCCGAGTTATCCCGTGACTTCATATTCCCCCAACTTCCCGTCCTCCCTTCTTGTTTTCACGTTGATCATAGCCACCACAAACATTCAGTAGGGAAGCTTGAGACCTCAGATATTTTTTAGAACAAGGCTCCGACAGTGGTGAACCACAACTAGCCGCTGTGGACACTGCGGTTGTGTCTTCCGCTGCAGGCTATTGGTCCTTTTGTTATGTGATCATACTACTTACACCAGGCATGTCGCTGCCCAGCGGTTTACTGTAGTTTGGAAAGATTAGATGGATTGAAGATCAAGATTAAGTACCTCTAATGATCATTTTCAGATATCCTTCACAGTTCACCATTGTGAATAAAAAAAGCGAAAAGATCACACGGTCATCGTTACTCCAAGATGACGCAAGGAAGATCCACCGTCTCTGCTATATCATCATTAGATCCCAAACACAACAAGCGATGAGACCGTTCTTTTTCAATCCACACCTTTAAATTTGAGCATAGTGAACAATTGCACGATGAAAGATCCATGAGCGGTGCTGTTATATCCTGTCATAACTGACCTTCACAATCACATCGGCCTCACTTTTGCCATGACCAGGAGTAGAACGGCGTTTTTATTCTGTTGGTAAAAAAGGTATACAGGAGCGTGGAGTAAAGCATTATAAAGGTTAGAAAGAGATCGCCATCAAATCAATCATCGTGTTATCATCGTTAGTAACAATTATCGAATTATCAAAATCGAATAAGGGAAAATGTTGTTGCGCTATTACCTCGATTTGAAGGGAAATCGGGTCTACACGACCGATAACAAGGCGCCGGATGGAAGCCCGACTTACAGCGCACACCCGGGACGCTTTTCGCCGGATGACAAGTAATTTTTTATGGTTGATGTGCTTATTTCATGCTAGGTTAAGGTTTACCACGTTCTTGTTGCGGAGATCTTATTTGTTTTTGATCTCAATGAAGTCTATATAATTCACGAACGTCATTAATTGATGCAAAAATACGAAAAAAAATTCAGGTTTTCCGCCCAGCGGATTGCGTGTAAGAAGCGTTTCGGCATCCTGAAAACGCAGACTCCGGCTGAGGCGATGTAGAAGCGTGTATGAATGTAGGCTAGAACAAGCGTGAGGAGGACGCACTGCAAAACCATGCATGTCGAAGAGAAGCATCGCAAATGCTTTTATTTAGAGGAGGAGTTTTCTACGGAAGGAAAAATGAAAACGAAGTAAAGACAGGGAGTTATGACGAGATGTACTAAAGACAATGTTTTTTTACGGTCATACATCATCATCTCTTTTTTGGGAATGAATTTTATCCACTGGTGAGATCCATCGTGCTTGCACGAGTGATTTTCGCAAAAGCGGGGTTTATGCGCAACAACCCGGCCAATCAACGTAAAACACGCAACAAGGAACTGTTTTTCGCAAATAAGGGAAGGCGATTTGAAATACGGAGAGCTCTTGCCCTGGGAATCCAGAGCAAGGGCATGCACATAGTTCTGCACCAACGAAATTGTTTGGTTGTCGGTGGTTGTTCTGAAGATAATGATTTTCGGCGTGCATCATGAAACAAATTTTCCTGCAGTAGGCAGGGGAACAAACAACGCTTGCTGAGAGCGGAAGGAGTAGCAATCCCCAGGCAGACTAATGCTGCTCGCGGTCGATCCTGCAGAATGCGAGTCCGTACTTTCTTCGGGGCAAAATTTCTTATGGCTTCGGAGCTGATGTAAAAGTAAGTGAGGGCGAAGGCGTTAGTGGTGCTGATCATGATAATCGGTGAAGATTATCAATCAAGAGAAAGAGCCGTTCCGATAATCCTAATAAAATCGATGATGTTGGTAATGGTGTGAGAGAATGTTCTTTGATTGCGATCTGCCCGTCCTAGACCTGCTATGGTCTCTTCACTTTTGTGAATCTGAGTGACAGCTCTGTATGGCGTTGAGGTCAAAAAGACGAAGGACGACATTTGCGGGGGGTGGCAATAGTGATGACGTGATTGAAATGAATTTTCGTTCAGAGAGCGCGTCAACAAAATAGACGGTACTTAATTAAGGCAATGCTCTGTCCCCCACAGCCATATCCCCCTGAATAGATGGAGCTAGTCCTTGTACTGTCCTTCATCCTTGTCTGAGTTCTTCCATCGTTTACATCCATTCCATCGAACAAGACCTGTTCAGTTGATTTTTTTTCATGCAGAATGTTCGTGGATGTCTGATAGAATGATTACACTTTGGCAGGGTGCAACTACCGATAGCAAATGATCATGCATGATTTTAGAGTTTGAGAGTCGCCACGAGCCTGCTTTCAAAAAATCGATAATTGGCGCATAACATCACCATCGTGACTATCACCGCATGGTAAGAATGTGTGTCCCACGTAGCAGGTATGTCTCAGCGAATGTTCTTGTAACCACTTATTCACCCTCGAAGGATCTTTAGAAGTAGAAGCACAAGCAGAATGTCGATACCCTCTCCTGACGCTCTTGGCGAACAGAGCGGCAGCTCTGCCTGGGAGTTCGTCTGCAAAACCTCGGAGTTTGATGAGCACAATCGCTGCCACCGAAGGTTGCGAAGTGGACGGTTCGTGACCGTTGTAGCGCACAAAGACCGATATCATTGCATCGACAGCATCTGCTATCACATGGGCGGACCTTTAGGCGTGGGTGATATTGAGGACGTAAAGGTGCCGCGTTCTGCTACAGGATCTAAATCTGCTGGAAATTCTGAGCTGACCTCAGGGCAAAAGCCTAGAACGGGGGGAAATTTGTCTGAGTTGTTTGCGCCAGTAGGTGGCCTGATACGAAACTTCTTTGGCGGGAGCTCTAGCAGCACGGAAATCGGCGGAACTTTTCATGGATCACCAGAGACTTTCACGCCGCAATCATCGGGGACCGGACAAGGGCGTGCGCATGGCAGCAGGACATCGCCGGGGACAGCGCCACATCCACCCGATGGTCACCCAATGCCAGAGGAGCCCGTAATTCTTTGCCCGTGGCACTATCATAAAATTTCGCTAACAACGGGCAAAAAGTTTACGGAGGGCCTCAAGCCGCATCGAGATCGATTCACTGGTGCATTTACCATGAAAAAGTGCGGTCTGCAAGAATCCCCGCACGCTTTCCAGCAGGTACATGTAGCAAAGGAGGAACAAGGTAAAATTTTCGTTGTGGAGTGCGGCAAAGAGGAGGCTGCAGCAGGTCTGAGCGGCTGGCTCGGTGTAGCAACTGCCCCTGCCGTACGGGATTGTGTTGGCCTGGAGCCTCCGCCAGTCGCGAAAGCGAATACCTATGCTTTCGATTCAACGTGTGCTGGAAATTTAGCTGGAAGGCCGCAAATTCATTCACGACAATACAGAGCGCAGTCAGCACCATACTCAATAGACAGTGGGGGAAGCATCTCTTCAAGTGGACCAATAGTGGCTGCCCCAATTGGTGGCGTCGTTGATAGCTCGGCCTCTTGCATAGGACCAGGAGGCAGCATGGGGGTGTTGGGAAACATGCCAGGCCCCAGCTCTTTAGGTTTCGCTCCCGATTGCTCACCAATAGTGGGAGCCACGACAGGAAAGTTGGATTTGGATGGAAATTGCCAAGACCCGATGCTGGCCGTACCGCAGATGAGAAAACGATCGTTAGAAGACGACCCTGTACATGATGCGCCCGCATCGAACTTCGTATCAACAAAAAGGCCGCGTTTTGGTACACCTCCAAGCGTCTAGTTTTTATTTCTTGATTGCGGTTGTTGCTTGCTTTTGCTTTTAAACAAACGGTGCGGGAAAGCGAACAACCTGCGCAGGGATTGCACACATAATGCTCTCAACCTAGTTTCGCAGACGCTGATCTAAACCTTCATTTGGATGATTTCGCGCTAGCAGCAGCTAAATGACAGCTTATCGGTTGACACAAAAGGAACAAGAACAACAGATCCGCTTTAGAAATCAGGGAACAGACCTTGAGAAACGAAAAATGCACACGCGTTGATTCATGATTATGGAATGCAAGCAGGTTCAAACACTAGGAAATTCAGATCGAACACGTGCGCATGATAAGATCGAAACGAAATCCATAGGGATTTCTTAGAATCTCCTGCAGATCTAAATCAGTTAGATGTTGCTTTTTGAGCGGGTAGAATCTCCTGCAGATCTAAATCAGTTAGATGTTGCTTTTTGAGCGGGTCTGACCGCCTTTTAATCACAAGATCCACGCAACAGAAAGATCAGCTCTAACTAAATCCACTGCAAAATTCAAGGATCAAAAGGTCGCGCAGTGCCATCTTCTAGAGATCATCAGGATGGCTAGGCGATCAATCACATGTGACTGCTATGTGTTGCTCTTTTGAGAGATCTAAATATGTCTCACGCAATTAACATCGCGAGGAACAGATTACAGGCGAAGATCTAATATCGAAGACGGATGGCCTCCAGAAAGAGGTGAGATCTCTGTGACGTCCCTGTTCGATGATCAAGTCCTAAAGCCTACCGAACATAGCACAGCGATCCGGATCTTTTCAATGTAAACTGCGATCCACAAAGTTCGGATGTCATCCAATCAAAATCTAAAACGAAGAACTTCATTAGATGGGAATTTGCTCTTCTAACTGATGTGATCTTCTAAACATAATTGTGCGTGTGTGGGTAAGCTGATTGTGATCTCTCATCAACTTCTAATTGTCGCGACCTTCTCTTTATCTACTTCTTGACAGGGAAACTAGGACAAGTGTGTTTTGCTCCTCATAAAGAAGCAATAGAACCAACAAAATGGCGGTCCGTGGCAACAACGTCATTCCGAACAACCACTTCCGTAAGTGGTGGCAAAAGTACGTCCGCACCTGGTTCAACCAGGCCGGCCGCAAGAAGACGCGCCGCAATGCCCGTGAGGCCAAGAAGGCTAAGATTGCCCCGCGTCCGTTGGGCCTCCTCCGCCCGGCTGTGCACCCGCCGACTGTCCGATACAACTTCAAGCTCCGTGCCGGACGTGGTTTCACCAAGGACGAGCTGAAGAAGGCCGGTAAACACCCTATATTTTTCTTTTCTGTGTTGGTTTTAGACCCCGATTTTTCGTGTCTCGGAATTTCTAGGTAGTATGAACGTTCAATAGTACAGAACATCCCGGACTGAAAGATTTCCTTTGGCATTTAGGTCTAAGAACTCTCTCGGTCCGCAAGATAGAGTGTATTGCATTGTTTCTAGCCAGATCTAAATCAATTCAATCTAATCGACTTTCCAATCAAAATTTAGGTATCCCGAAGAAGAAGGCTCAGTCCATCGGTATTGCAGTTGACCACCGCCGCAAGAACAAGAGCCAGGAGTCTCTCGATGAGAACGCCGCTCGCCTCGAGGAGTACATGAGCAAGCTCATGGTTATGCCGCGTAAGAGCAAGGCCAAGAAAGGTGATACCCCGCGCAGTGAGTTGGAGGTAAAAAAGTCTAGTTTTCAGCTCTGTCTGACTAAGTCTTAGCCGTAGCCATTCGATTTGAGAAACGATACTCTAACTGTGAGCTCGGTCGTTCAGTCTTTAGGACATTGTGTGTAGTGTCAAATTTCGTGAGCCTAATGGCTTGTGCATGCATCGTTTTTCCAGGACATTTTTTTAGAAAGACAAATTTTACCTCAATCTCATTCTACAGGGCGCTGTCCTCGCCGCTCCGTGCAAGACTCTTCTCCCGATCAAGAAGCCGGAGCTTCGCGTGAAGTCCCGAAAGATCACCGCTGAGGAGAAGGCTACTTCCGCCTACAAGATCCTCCGTAAGGCTCGCGTCGACAAGAAGATGTTCGGTCGCCGCCTGAAGCGCGCTGCCGCCAAGGCCGCTGCCCAGAAGGAGAAGTAAGCAGACAACTTACTAGTCATCTACCTCCGCAAGAGTTGTGGCAACAAGGGACGTTGAGTAGCGAGATTACATCGTGAGCTTCTTTCTCAACTTCGTGTTCTGCTGCAACCACTTCTGACAAGGGATCATCGAATGCGGACGATGCAGATGGCAAGGTGGATCCACGACGAAGAGACGCCTAAAAAGAGTGAAATTCAGATGAGGAGAACACACACGTCAAGTCACCGGCTTTGTTCACAGAGATATCGCACTGAGCGTATGGCTGCAACTCTGCAGGATCGAAAAATCATTTCGCTTCGCGGGTGGACGATGCAAACATATTCTTCTGTGTATCTCATGAGAAGCCTTAGACAACAAAAAAGAGCCTTAGTAGTGGCAGTGTTTCTGCCCACCAGACGAAAAAGAAGCCGTCACTGATGACATTTATCATCGTGTTCTTCGAAGGTACAATCGTACACATTTTGGACAACATCGGCCCGTGACTTATTATCTCGGTAGACGGCCTGATCGAGAGGGTGCTGGAGAAATTTGAGAGACTTTTTGTTTCCGAATTGAAGTCGGACACAGGATTCGTGGTAACATCGAGTATGCGGTGGGCGCTAAGTAATTATGACTCGATCGGTCCTGAAATTTGACAGGACTGAAAAAGAGAGTTCTCGAATAGATGAGCGATAACATAAGAGCGATCACTAAAAACAGCTATTGATTCTGGGATCACTGTCTCTCTTCGTTGTAAATACTTATGTAAGTACGACGCCGACTTTACATTGTATATTCGTTCTTGTTCTCGTCACTGACACAGAGAAACAGAAACGATAGATGAAGATGAGCGTATTGAGACGCCTCCAATCATGAGGGGTAGGGTTCGTCTCTTTATAGGAAAAGGTTACACCATCCTCATGTGCAGTCCACGCGAATAGAATCTCGTCGAGAAGAACTCGAAATGTGCAGGACCGGCGTAGCACGACCTTACTTACTTTCCCATGTCTCCCTCCCACCTGACGAAGCGACATATCCAACTCGGTGACGTGCGATCCGAGTCCTTAGGTAAGGAGCGGGGTGCAAGGCGGGACATCGAGAAGTAGGAAGCGTGTATCTACCAGGCGATAATAGCAGATTCTTCTCTCATCCGACTCACGGCGTGAAGTTTTGCAGGAACAGCTGTCGGCGTCCCGCCGCTTGAGACCGCAATGTCGGCAGACACTGCACCGTACGAGTTCCGTGAGTTTCCTCCAAAAGAAATCGCGTTAACATGGTGGGGCACCGTGATGACCGTGTGGAGCTACGTCCGGGTCTTCACGTTGGCCCTGATCAAGGAGATGGTAAGTTTTTCAAGCGAATCCTTTGCCTTTTCTAGATAGTTACCTGTGTCATCGGTTTCAAGATTGTGATCCCTCAAATTTTCACCATACTGCTTCTGCTATTGGTGGTGAGTGCTGGTAGCGCGCTCCTCTAAGTCTTACCTTCCGACGTGCAATCACAGGCATGGTTTCTGCAAGCGCAGCTGGGTATTGAGCCTGGGTATTCATTTAGAAAACGAAGGCGGCCCGGCATGGAGGCTGTCTTTATCGAGCATGGGTATCTTTACGCGTTGGCGTGCTCGTTGTTTTCCTTCGTCTCTGCTTCTAGAAGAGTCTCGAAGACGTCGTGAACGACTCCTGAATCTCAAGATAATTCGATCGAAAAATAGGAATATCATAATAAGCAGTGTAACTACGACTACCTAGACGTGACCAGCACTCCTCGATAATGACAGGTATGGCTCATTGGCAGACTGCTGGAATAGACCGATATCCAGTTCTCCTAGCGCCTATGTGAAAGTGGTAAAGCGCACCCGGAAGAGTCAGACATTTTTCGAGCCTCTCAAACCACTCACGCTCACGGACGAGGAGGTACTCCCTTTTTGTTTAGAGTAGCTGCTGTGCCTCAGTGCTTGCTCGGTCAAATTGGGTCAAGTAGGCAGTTCTTTTTCTCACTCTGGATGAAAATGACTCCGCGCCAGGTTGTCTCCACAAACCTCGCGAGCTACAATTATCTCGGGTTCGGTGGGGTGGATAATTTCTGCACAGAATTCGTGGCAAATTGCATTGCTGGTCCGTGTGGTTTTTCAACGTGCGCAGCGCGAGGGGGTGCAGCGGGCACGCGACGGATTCACCTCGAGTTGGAAGCCAAAATATCGGACTTCCTGGGCAAGGAAGACGCACTAGTCTACGGAATGGGATTCGCTACGAACAGCATCCACATCCCAGCTCTAGTAGACCCAGAAGGCGATGGAAGAGGGTAAGTGCATCTTCGAGTACTCAACTTGAACCCTTTCCCAGACATGTACTTGGTTATTTATTCATTGAAGATCTGTTGTTAATTGCAAATTATGTGAATAAACTTCTAATGAAAACTGTGAACAGGGCGTTGATATTATCCGACATTTTGAACCACCGGTCCATCGTGGAGGGCGTGCGGATGTCGGGTGTTTCTGTGAAACCGTTCAAGCATAATGACATGGTAGACCTAGAGCATAAACTGCGCGACGCCTGCGAAAACGGACAGCCCAATGGCAAGGGACAATGGCGAAAAATCATCGTGATTGTAGAGGGTATATACTCGATGGAGGGTGATTTTTGCCGGCTGCGCGAAATCGTGGCGCTGAAAAACAAATATGGCGCGTACCTCTACCTAGACGAGGCGCACAGCATCGGAGCTGTCGGTAGAATTCGCGCTTTCATCTTCGTAATCCCATAGCTTTTGGTTAACACCTCTACGACAGGTACCTGAATTATGGCAGTCTCGAGGGTCCCTTCTATTAACTCTAACTCATTGATTCACAATTTCAAATTTTCTCCTTCACGCCCATCTAGGTGCATCAGGACGAGGTGTATCGGAGTTGCTGAACGTCCCAACTGGAATGATAGATCTGTTGATGGGCACATTCACAAAATCGTTTGGCTCCGCTGGTGGTTACATCGCAGGCGACAAAGTCGTCATAGACTCACTCCGAAAACATGCAGCTAGTTCTGGATTTTCTGTTTCCATGTCTCCAGCGTGTGCGGCGCAAGCGTACTCTTAAATATTTTGATGCTTCTATGTGTATGCCGCAGTGCGTATGTAGTGTGTAGTTTTGAACAAGAAGTACGTTTATGAACAAGCTTAAGCACTCTTCTGGTTCCGACTAAAAGCATCAGTGAGTGCATCCCGCTCAAGCTCGTCCTAAACCAGGTATGCCGCGCTACACGTCATCCAAATGGATCCCGTTAAAGGAGCAGCAAAGCTCAAAAGTATTCGCGAAAATAGTAACTATTTCAGGGAGAAGCTGATGCAGATGGGATATTCGGTAATTCAAATATGCTTGGTGTCCTCTTTCCCACATAATTGATGGAAACGCGCAATCCCGATTTTGATTCAGTAAGCAGACACGTCAAGAACACTTGGCCATGAAGACAATTCAAAACCAAACCGCGACCACAGGTGCTAGGGGACGTGGACAGTCCAGTGATTCCGGTCTTGATGGATCCCCTAGGCATGCTGGAACTGAGTAAGCGGTGTTTGGATTTAGGCGTTGCCATCGTGGTGGTTGGTTACCCAGCCACCCCTTTTCTTCTAAACCGAGCGAGGTTTTGCATTTCAGCCGCGCACACACGCCCACAGCTGGAATCAGTGCTGGACATTCTGCGAGAGCAAGGAGAAAAATTAGGGCTGCTCTACAACAAACGATGCCCGAAGTTGTTGAATTGGGATTACTATCGTTACATTCGAGAGTGCAGGTTAGAAACGAAGGAAGCCAGCGTGAGACGGCCCATGTTCGAGCGTCTGGCAAGCAGGGAGAAGCGACAAGAGGATGCAACATGCGCGGACGCGCGAACAACAAACACGGGCGAAACGAAGAAGAGTATTAGTGCCGGATCCGTTTCCGTACCCGTAGGACGTGAGATGAACAGTAGCGCAAGCACGGTTGAGTCATCCGACAAGAACCTCGTAGCGCAGCAGAGTGTTACGCCTGGAGGTGGAGAAGTAGATGCACTCATGCAAACCTCGATAAATGCAAGCGGGAGCAGCACGAGCGTTGATAATGCTGCAATGCGCGAAGGACCAGGAGGAAGCCGACGGGACGTGCAGTTGTCAGATGCGTCGTCTCACAGAAGCCCGACTCCCAGCCTCACCGGGCGCGGTGAAAGTAGAAGTACTGCCTCTGACGCAAAGACCGAAGAAGTTGAGCTACTCGGGGATGATCATGACGAGGAGCAAATGAAAAATAGTACACGAACCACGACCGCATCAACGTCTTGTTCGTCACTCATTTCGACGGCTTCATCGTCAACGCCATCAGAAGACGTGATGCTTAGTCTCAAGGGGCGCTCCGTCGCGTCGCTAGCGACCGCATCTACGACAACAGCGTCCAGTACCACAGCAGGAGGAGCACTCGCACGAGGAGACGTGGAGGCTAGAAGGTCATCGTCTTCCGCTTCAAGCGAAACTAGGACAAGTACGTCGTCGCGCGTAGCACAGGACGAGGTCGTCAACGCCGCAGAACTGCGATCATCGTCATCAGAAGACGAGGATGTGAGTGACATGAGAAATGCAGTGAAGAGTAAACAAGACTGCGAAGAAACAGAAACACCAGCTGAGGACGAGGACGAGGACACCACCACGGGCACGGATTTAGAACTAGCGAGCCATCATCCGGAACAGCCGTCCACACCTGAAGAGGATCAAAACTCGACTGCGTCGAGCGAGTCGCCAGACGAGGAAATCGCTATGACGCAGCAGAGCCTTGCCTCAGCGGCATCAAGCTCGTGTTTCGCATCAGATGAGCTTAGGCAGAGAAGGGGCGGCAGCAGCGCTGTTGAAGACGCTAAAGATTCGTTAGCGTTTGCGTCTAGTAGCTCTAGAAGTACGAGCAAAGCAGCCGGACGTGGAGCGCCTTCAACCACGTCAACAGCAGCTGTAACATCATCGGATCGAGCGTGTGGCGCAGCATGCAGTCAACAAGGCCGCGCCACGTCTACCAGAACCTCGGGAGAGACAAAAAGCCGGACAGATCATGAACCAAATGACGCTCCAGGGCCTGTCTTGACGGGTGACAGTGCTGCTTCCTCCTCAACATCGTCATCGAGTGCGTCTTCGAAAGCCGCTGCTGCCCGCCTATGGGCTGGGGTCAGTCGTGGGCACGACCCATGTCACAACGGTTTCTGTATGTTAGATCCTCTAGGCCTGGCCAAGGATCCACCACCTCACCTTGCGACCCGCTGTAACGAGTATCTCTGGCGCAACGGCTTTGGGGCATGTGGGCCTAGAGGGTTCTACGGCGGAACCATGGAGCACCTTTTGCTGGAACAGAAACTCGCGAGCTTTCTGGACAAGGTAGTAAAGTATGTAAGTCGTGAGAGTCAGGTGGAACTTTCACGACGATTGCGAGTTCGATTCGTGGGATTTGTGCTCGTGGTCAGATTGATTATGATTTTTTTGTAAAGCGCATGAAGTAAATGAATGAATGTGCATCCGTTTCGTCGCCAAAAATTTTCATCCAACGGCACATCACAACAGGAAGAGTGTGTGTTGTATTCGCACAGTGTTACGGTGGCTAGTTCCGTTTTTGAGTCCATGGTTTTGGCCAAGGATCACGTCTATTGCCAAGATAATGCGAACTTTGGCATAAAAGCTGGCCTGCGTCTCAATCGGTCGGGCAATCGCATTTCTTTTTTTCGCGATCTAGATCATCTAAAGGAGCTTTTAGAGGAGAAGGATGCAGTAGCACAGGAGAAGGTTGGTGGAGCAGGCATCGCTAACGGTCGATGTTACGTGGTTGCAGAAGCCTTGTGTCATTGCGACGGCAAAGTGCTTGATTTACCTGCGCTTCTCGAACTTAAGAATCGCTTTCATTTTCTTCTCGCTTTGGATGAAAGTTTTAGCTTCGCTGCACTCGGGAGGAGAGGTAAAATTTTTAAAATGCAAGTAGTTTAGTTTTAGATCGAAATAGATTGATGAAAATAGATTAGCATAATCAGGAGGAAGATTGTTCATGGTCAGAAGCTATATTACCTCCTGACCATCGGATAACGATAAGAGCAGCAAGAAGCTGAATCCGATTTGCTAGGCCACCGGTAGAACTCGGATCAATCTCTTTGCAACTGTTGGCAGGTATTTCCGATTATTTCAATGTGTCGATCCGGGACGTCGACGTGATATTTGCTTCCTTGGAGTATGGCGTTGCCGGCATCGGTGGGTTTTGTGTGACAAGCCATGCACTGATACGCGATCTTCGATTGACAAGTAGTGGCTACTGCTTTTCGGCATCTGCCCCTGGCGTGTCTTGCAAATGGGGGCTAGAGGTTCTCGACATGTTGGAAGCGGGACAGCTCGACGGGCGCTTAGAATCTTTGCGGTGCAACAGCGAGCAAATTCGCGAGCGCCTTCGGAGCGGACTCCGTGACCTGAAAATCGAAGTGTCCGGCGATGGCTACATGTTTTTTCTTCGACCATGCAACGATGCCGCCGGTTCATCTTCCTCCACATGCTCAGTCACTCGATTGCGGCGTATGCAGAAAGCGGCCGAGAGCAAAGGAGTGGTGCTGGATCTGTGGCAGCGCGGAGCGGTCGAAAAAGCGTTGTTGCGCCGCTTCAACCTCTCACAGGATGCAGGAGAAGCCTCTTTGAGGTTGTGCGTCTCCTGTTTGCACTTTGACGAGCAGATAGCAGACGTAGTGAGCAAACTGACTGAGGCGTTCCGCACCTGCACCGCTGCTCTCACGTAGCCAACAAGCAGTTGTAAAGATTTAACTTCCATAATTATCTTCTTTAGGTTTAGCAGTTGCTACGCTTTGAAAATTTTTTAGAGCAAGGGGTGTCCTCCGCGTTCACTTCTCTAATGAATAAGGACGAAATTCTAATCCATGTACAGTTATGTGAAATCAACGTGCGAATGCGTGCTCATCAATCTGAAGTTTTCAAATTATCTATCATCTTCCACACTAGTACCACAGTGGCAAGCGGCGAGTCATGCAGCGCGCCTCGTGGTGGTGACCGGCAGCGTTTCATGTATAGACCTGCTACTCTGCTGAGCGTCCTCGTTGTGACGCTGGTCATCAACGTGTGGTTTTTACAGTAAAGAACAACAGAAATTAGATTTACAAATTAGGTTTGAAATAATTTGATTCATACGCATCTCCTTCTCGATTAACAAATTATAGCCCTAGAACCCGTGGTGGTATCCGTATCGCAAATGATATAGAACAATATCGGCATTTTCACATAGATGAGAACTAAGACTTTCAGCTGAGCATGATTTTTGTTTTCGACTCGAAAATAATAAGAGTAACACCGTATTCAAGAACAGAGACGATAATCCCGAACTGCAAGGTTGGTTCGGGTGGATTTTGCAGGGTGCTTGCAGCACCCGAGGGCGGTGGCAGTAGCGTGAATATGAAAAGCATCAACGTTATTCATCATTGTTCACATAGACTTGCAACATAATTCATTGACTTATGTCAATATTTATACATATATGAAGACCCACTACAACAACTACGTGCATCGATCAAGATGAAGTACACTCTAGCTGACAAATAACCTCAATTTTGTATAAAGATGAAATGCTGAAGCCTAGAAAATGCCTTGGCATGATCGTCAAAAAGTGTATTTTTTCCTGGACGAAACCTCCGAGTTGTCAACGATATCTCCATAGCAGTTCCAGTCAGTGGCTTTGTGTCACTCACCGATTAGAAGACTGCTTAAGAAAAATCGCCTTCGCCTTCGCGTTCGCCTATTAATTTGTGATGTCTACCTACTCGCCTTCATGCTTCTTTTCTGAAGAAAGTCGACATTGTTACACTGACAGGTCCTGATACACTGGCAAGAGTTTTTTACTGATTTCGTTTCCACTCAGCAAGATGTATCGTATGCATCTTGGTCTGACAATTTCTATTCCGTTGAGACTTTTTCGTCCGGGCACATCATAGTTGTTGGCCGGAAATATCATAGTGCATGCGTACGCGAATCATCATCATGGCACAAAGATCTTTCCATCTTAACGTGTGTAGTGAGTTTATCGATCGGGTCACGCGTGGTAGTTAATAATCTTGGATAGAAAATGTCGTTGTGAAATGTTTTACTTTTTACGTAGCTGCTGGTTCCAGTTCGATCCTATGATTATCATTATCGCATCCAAACGCGGCCAGAAGGATATTTTAGTAAGTGTTGTGTAGGTTGTATCCTAGGCAAACACAGACAGGAGTTAGAGTTCTGTTTTTTCGTTTAGCAACATTGTCGTTTAGAGCCGTGCCTCGAATAATTACCGTGATTGTGGATTCTGATATGCTCCTGCTCGCTCAGCAGCTGGCGGTTTCAGATGGTGTATTTTGTTTATGGTCGCAATTTCCGAACTTGTAGTTAGCAGATTGATACATACTTGTGCCTTAATACTTATTCTAGAGTAGTTTATAGCACGCATGGCGCATGGAGTGCATGGAGCGCAGAGCTTTAAGGGGCGCAAGAAGCTCCCCCTTTAGCTCCATGCGATCCGTGCACTCCGTGCCATGCGAGCTGTGAAACCTTATAAATTGCTCTGTTATAATTCGTCTCCGAATTCGAAAGCGAAGCCGGAATGAAAAGCTCACGCTCAACCGCTGAAAATTTTGCAGACGGAAGAGTCGATCAGCACGGTGGCCTGGTGACCAATAACAAGCAAGAACTTCACCGACTTTGATGTCGATAGAGACATAAATATACTTCTAGCAATGCCCACGCATACGCAGGCAATAAAGATCTATAGTCAGGTGCAAGGGGATGGGGAGCAGAGCACCAGTAGACCCCTCCAGAAGCGGGTGGTCCGTTCTCAGGTTTATATTGTGTCGATTTTCGTTTTCTTAGTTGTCGTCACCTCTAATTAACAACCTACGTAGATCATGCCAAGTGGAGCGGAATTTTTACATATGTGTTAGGCTTACCACGACCAGTCACCAATCAGCATCAGCATAGGTCGTGATTACAGTTACACAGGAGGTGTTAGGTGATAATTGATCATAAAGATTAAAGTAGTTGACTTGTTTGACAATCGACGTTAGTGGAGTTACCCGTAGGCCGGCCCACAGTAACCTCCAATGATTATATATTTATAGATACATTGTTGTGAAGATGAATCTCAGGATTGACTAAGAACGCAGGAATAAACGAGACGTACTCAACAGCAGCAGGGCCATGATCGTACAGATTATACCCAAATCCTTGGCAAAGTTTTTGCGAGACATTTTTTGTCATTCAACGTTTATAACAATACCAAGTTTGAGGTTGAGCTTCTACGGTGGTCATTAACGGCAGAAATTTATTCAGGAGCACACATATTAAGCCATCCACACCCTGTTCCTACCTAGCTATCAACACATCAGCTTCTCCACGGGCAAGGGATCAGCACCAACTTGTTTCTCGATCTTCCGCAAGCTTTATTCTGGAGATGCGGACGATGGGCAGTCACTGGAGAGATACGAAGTTTGTCATTGGCCAGGTTTTAGTCCGCCACGTTCGGAGAGGAAACGGCCGTCCGTGCTCCCAAGGCACTTGCGCGAGTAAAACGATCGTTTGCCTGTCAAAGAGGGCCCCTTCCCACCCCATGACATCAACTCGAAAAATTGGAACTCCTTTCAGAAACTTACAAATACGAAATAGAAGTGCTAGCCGTACCGTCCTAGTACAACTCCCTGATCGCAAGTACGCTGATGATTAAGTAGAACTTGATCTTACTACCCATTCTCGAATATACTAGCTTGGAGCGTCCGATAACATCCCTCCCACTAGGATCCCCCTCCTCCCCAAAGTAAGAAACTAAGCAAGGCAAAGATGTAAGCGGTGCGCGTTTTCAAATTTCGAAAATTTTCCACGTTTTGCCATCGTTTGAGGGTTGGATCTCGTGCGTTTGAAGTCAAGGGCTAAGTCCCCAAAGCTTTTCGTCTTTAAGCCGTTCCGCTGAGATTCAACTTCTTGGATTTGCATTCTTCAAATTTCGAAAATTCTCCGCGTTTTATGGTCGTTCTGGGATTGAATTTTGTGCGTTTGAAGCGCTAAAGCCCCAAAGTTTTTGACTTTCAGCCCTTTCCCTGCGATTCAGTTTCTTGGCTTTGCATTTTTCAAATTTCGAAAATTTTCCACATTTTGTCGCCGTTTTGGGGTTGAATTCTGTGCGTTTGAAGTGCTAAAGTCCCAAAATTTTTGATTTTAAGCCCTTTCCCTGA